AAAAAAAAAGAAAGAAAATATGTAACTTACATATCTCGAAACTAGCTTGAAGCAAAGCTATAGCGAGAGTGTGATTCCACACTACGACTTCTCTTGTCTTCAGAAAAGCACCAGATGTCCTGTTAGATGTTCCTGGCTAACGGTCGGCCCGGGGATGTCGGCTGGCGGCTTGTCGCGCAAGAATGATAGAATCTCTTCATCGGAAGGTGGAAAGCCGGAAGTTCCAGGTTCGCGAAGAACGAAGCTGATCATAGGACAGAGTTGGCCGAAAGCATGCTAATCTCGACTTAGCCATGCCACTGCTCTGGACAAATACCAAGGTCTTTGCATAATACTGGTTTATACGGAGTAGCTGGTATTTCCGAATGAGATCCCGTAGCGCAACTAGGGAGTGCGGAAAGTAGGTATTGTTCCAATCTTTTTGCAAGGCACGGAGAACAGCACTTGTCTGAGAGGGAGAACGTGCGTGGGATGGGTGATTGCTGATGTTTGCATTCTTCCGCCGCTCCTCCCGACTTTTCTCCTGGTTCAGTGTACTAATAACTCGGAAATCTCATCGGCCTTCAGACCTTGTAACTCCTCTTGCTTCAGAACGGACTCTGAGGTCTGTGCAGCCTGAGAACCTGACCCGGTGTGTCCCGTGTTCGATTCCGAAGAAGTGCTCATCGTGATGCCACCTAGGACGGCCGGGCGTGACGAGAAGAGACGGGGAGCAGAGGGGTGATAAATCGGGTGATAAGAAGAGAAGATGAAGATGAGTATGACGGCGGAGGAAGAGTACGTGAGAGCAAGGCGTTGATGCTGATGGTCTCTGTTCAATCGGTTGAAGGATTGATTATTGGCTCGGTTCATCTCTCATCTCTCTCTAAGCACACGACCGCAGAAGTGACACGCGAAGGGGACATGCCAAGCCAGCGTTGCCTATTCTGGCGTTGTGATCAACAAAAGACTACGGTGATGTAAGTTACTGGACCGTATGAGGTAGGTCTGGCGAGTCACGTGGTCTCGATCGACTGACTTTGGTAGAGTAGTGACGCCAAGGCTTGTGAAGATCTTTGACGGCGTTCGTCCCACGCTTCGAAACTACATGACCCCCTTCGAAATCCTCCGAAAAAATCGGGAATGTCTCGGGAGAGACCCTTGGCGGAGAGTTGTGTACCACAGAGAGTTACCAAAACATCAATCCTTCCTGACGCCCTGTGAGCCTCTTGTGAGTCTATAAAAAGTACGAATCGAGCGACGACGAGGTAAAGAGCTTGCCAATAGCCCAGGTATGTAAGTGCGTCGACTTTGATTTCTTGGTACCTCAATTTGTGTACGATTTAGTGGGGGATAGCTCGCCATCTGCACAACTAGGCTCGGCAAGTCTCTGCCAGGAGACTCTGCCCCGATACATCCCCAAAAGATTTGCAAGAGAATCTGTCAGGGTCGGTGATGAACCACGCTGCGGTACTCTATTGTAGTGCTCGCAATGGCGGCTGATCCAGCCAGTCCAGAGGCCTCAAACTGGAAACGCCTGCTTACTCTTGGCATTCGCGTAGTCACGTGATCCACGCGCCAAATTAGAGTTTTTCCACGCACAAAACGTCAAGGTATATATTTTATTGTGCCAGGAACAACCGTATATGAGGTAAGAGGGTTGTCCAGCCTGGCTCTATTTAGTCTAGGTGCCCTAAATGAGTAAATGTAATGCTCCAGCCAGCGATTGTCGATGTCTACTTGCTTATACTGATTGGGAGGTCATTGATCAAACCTGCCTTCAGTTGAACTTGTCTGACTGAAAACTTTCGCTGATTGTGGCGCCCCGTCTATCACAAGCCTGCCGGATATCAGACCTGGACGCCGTGGGGCCTTGGCAATTTCCAAGCCATCGGTGGGAGCGCCACATTTTTTGGCCGGGAGTCTTGTGACGGTGGCAGACGAGATGGAACGCTGGGTCGTGGAGGGATGTCGACGGATTCAACAGCGGCCATGTGGTCGTTCCTGGAGCGTGGGAGGACGTGGTTGACATTTTGATCCCGGAGCTGAAGAAGAGAGGATACAGCCAGGACTATCCGGTCGAGGGGGGAACTGCGCGAGAAAACCCGTATGCAACACGTGGCGATCCCAAGCTGAAAGGAGAACACCCTAGGCGAAAATACTCATTTGAGCAGTACGGGAAGACCTAGGGGTAGGGAAATGCTAGGACAGCTGCGCGCAAAAGAATTCCTTTTACACATCCGAAAACCGGGGCTCGGTCACTACTGATCTCGTGTGTGAACTCCATATGTTTGTATATGAAAAGTTAATGCACCACACCATGGAGGTGTTGAATTATTTAAATCGAAGAGTCTGTCTTTTTGGAGCGAGGCCGTCATGCTCAAAAATCACCACATATATACTAAGGGCGTGGATCAAAGCGTCTAACAGGCTCTCTATTAACCACCTTATTTTGTGCCATTGACGATCGAATCTACCAGGGCAGCTGTGTTGGCTAACGCTTCATCTGCATATCGGTACCCAACCAGCTGCACACATATAGGCGCATCTTTATAATCTTCGGGTCCTGTGTCTGCAAGGTGAGAGAGGTCAGAAGTTTGTCAATCTTCATGAGGTTAGGGGACTCGAGGGGGGTGATTTGCTTACAAAGACTATACACGCGAGCATCCTCGGCGCCGTATTTGGCATTGCTGGGGTCATCCACAACGTCGGACTCACACACCGTGTCAACGGGAATGACGATGGCCGGATAGTCGAGATAATTCCACAGGCCAGTGTAGGTGGCGGTCGTCCATTTGTCCAAGGGCACGGCGGTGTGCGGGGCCGGCGGCATCAAGATCGCGTCGATGCCATTGTCACGGAAGAGCTTGAGATAGTTGCGTGCTGCTGCTTGACGACGCACGTTGAGGTCGAAGAACCCGCGCAGATCGGTGGCTGGGAAGGAATTGAGGCCAATGGCTTTGAGGGAAGGAATTTCGGGCTCCCCCGTCCGGGCGAAGAGCTCAAAGTAGTTCTTGAGATGGAAGAATTTCACGTCAGATTTATCTCGAAGTTTGTCACCGGGGAACCACATTTGCAACTTACTTCGCTTCCCAACAATGTCCAATACCTGACCAGGTCGCCATAATGGTCTTTGACGTTCGGCAAGGTAAGAGGAATGAGCTCAATATTCTCGCTTCCTTGGAGAAGATCCGCTGCCTTTTTGAGGCCACGTCGAACCGGTGGTGAAGGAGTGTAGACACAGTCATCCAGGACGAGGCCAATCCGAAGTTTTTGCTTAGGTTCGAGATTCACCCACGGCACAGAAATCACAGTGCTGTCATACCGCCAAGTTTCTGTCAGCATAGTGGTTTTGAGGAAAAGAGCAACATCCCGAAGCGACGTCGCCATGGGGCCGGCCGACGAGCGCACCCCATCCGTTCCAGGAGTCGTGAGGTCCCTCACGCCCCCGTGCGGGACCAGTCCGACACTGGGTCTAAATCCATAGATGCCGTTGCAGACGGAGGGGACACGAATGCTCCCGCCAATATCTGTACCAACACCGAGCACGCTTCCTCGAAGGGCAAGAAGGGCGCCCTCGCCGCCGGTGCTTCCACCTGCCGTCAATGCCGTATTGCGAGGGTTCAAGGTCCTGCCGAAGACATTGTTATGGCTATCACTGGTCATGATTGTTTGTGGAAGATTGGTCTTGCAGTAGAGCACTGCGCCCAATTCAAGCAGCAGGGCTGCGGTGCCACTGTCTTCGTCTGCTGGTTCGTTGACAAAACATGCCAATCCGGTCGATGTATCGTATCCCGAAACTTGGAAGCTATCTTTGAGCGAGATTGGGAGGCCGTGAAAGGGACGAAGCGGCTTTTCAGGATTTTCTTGCCGTTCGCGATCCAGTGCACGCGCTCGCTGGATGGCTTTGTCGAAGAAAATCTCCGTTAAACAGTTGGTCTGTCGCGCCGGTGAGCTTATGAAAGAGGAATGTCGCGAGACGAAGGAAGGTTGACAAACCAACTGCTGAGCAATGGCCGCCCTCTTGCAAAAGGCAACCGTGACCTGTTCCGCCGACCAAAATCCATCCTTGAGCTTCTCCAGAAGCGCGGTGGCGTCAAAGTCGGAGGTGATTTGGCATTCAGTGTCGCTCAAGATGCCACACGTCCGCGGCACTTGCATGAAATTTGTGGCCCCATGGTATTGATCGGAGGGAAGTAGCCACTCTTTGGGGATCTTACTCTGGCGTTCCAACTGCTTCTCGGCCGCGACGGTTTTGTAGTTCTTGAAGACTTTCGACATGCTGCTCGTGTCCTACTTCCGAAAGAGTGGAGGGTCAATGGGTTGAGTGCTTCTGCTGTAAAGGTGGATGTCCTCTTTGGCATACTTATACTCCGAGGCCTCGACTCTTTGTTTTAATGGTACACCAAGCTTCTTGCGGGGAGGAACTGACGTGGAGGCGCATAGGTTCCTAGCTGAGCACTCAAGTCCTTTGAGATTTCGCCGGTTCCGGTTCTAAAATGCTCATGCTGCTGAGAAGACAGTTGGCTCGCCCCGACTACGACATCCCGAAGACCAATTCCCACTATATCTGTCGGATCATCACAATTGTCGGGAATGACTCGATAGTCGATACTGTATCATGCCTATTTGTCATCTGTCGTCGAGCTGCGTGGATTGTAGGATCCTGGTGCGACGTCTCTCGCGCATCCATCGATATCTCTTCGACACGAGACCTCATTGGATCTGCTATCTGGCGAGAGCCTAGATCTCTCGTTTCTCTCTCTGTGTCGGATCCGCAGGGCGGTTCGAGACACTCGAAGTGCAAGCTTCAACGCTCTCTCTCTGTACTAAGAGACTAAATCCTCCGGTCATCGTTCCGGTCTATCGCGGATCACCGGCCAATCAGCAGCTTCGCAACCTGCTTCTTTGAGGTTTACCAGCCTATCTCTCTACCAGCATTCACGTTCTATTTCCATTCGTGTCCTAGAAAGCAGTTTTCATCTCGACCGCCAGCCGTGCCGACCGACGTCTGATTGGGTCAGCCGGAGCTTCGATCTAGTAAACACATTCCCGTCTTCTGAGCAACACTTTTAGTAGGAATCGCGTGGACCGGAGCCGGAGGATTGATTATCAATGTGGCAGATGCACAGCTTCATCATGATCCTAACTAATGGCGCTGGGAGTGTTCCAGCTTATCTGCTCCACCTCAAGTTTGCATACGGCTGCGAGATCCTTATCCTTTGTAGCGGTATGGGATGGAAGCTTTTGTCATGGATGATCGAGGAGAGTTCGTTCGTGAATAGATGCGATGGTATAAATATTCGTCTTGCTTCCGATCGTATTCAGGAGATGTCCAAGGAGGACGCCAGTACTATATTTTATCAAGTCTCCTTCTCATATGATGTCGTCGCTCACGGACGGAATCCGGATCCTCAACCAAGGAGTTGGATATGGCATCGTCGTTGGTATTGGCGCATTCTTTGCGCTCATGATGTGAGCCCGCTGCTTATTCTCCTTGGTCTGGTACAAGGGTCGGAAGCTAAGCATAACGATTGCCAGGCTCGGTCTCACATACTTCCGAATCGATTCACAGCATACTCCATTAAGCACGCTGAGGAATTCAGCACGGCTTCCCGCTCTGTCAAGCCTGGCCTCATCACTGCCGGTATCGTGTCGTCATGGACTTGGTCTTGACCTCGTCCACGTTTGCGTATTCCTACGGAGTCTGCGGCGGCATTTGGTATGGCGCTCTGGGCAGCTTCTGCATCCTTCTTTTCAGCGTTCTAGCCATAAAGATCAAAGCCAATGCGGCCGGCGCCCATACCTTTCCGGAAATCGTCCCGAGTCGGCATGGTCATATCACCCATGTTACTTATCTCTTTTTTGGGTTGGCCACGAATCTGCTTGTCGGAGCCTTCTGGTGTGAACGTGTACGACGCGTGTTTCTTGGTCCCGCTGGTCGTGGCGGTGTATGTCATCGCTGGCGGGCTGCGGAGTACCTTCATCGCGGACTACACGCACACGGTCATTCTGTTCGTGGCGATCCTTGTCTTTGGATTCAACGTCTACAAAGAAGATGGCCCGCTCGGGGGGCTAGATGACTTTTACGATCTGCTTGAGAAGGCAGGGGAGAACATGCCCGTGGCGGGGAACCTATCTGACATTCCAGTCGTCCAAGGGAGTTCCATTTGCCATAGGTAGGTCGGAAGCTCCGAAATGGCGAAACAGTCGATGTTAACCCTGGTGGAACAGATCATTTCCTTGGAGGTGTTGTTGATGTCTGGCTTGACCAGGCATATTGGCAACGTGCAATCGCCTCTCTCCCAGAAACCGCCGTTAAGGCGTATATTGTTGGTGGTATTGCCTGGTGCGGCATCCCATTTGCGTTCACAACGGCCATGGGTCTGGCTTGCGCCGCTCTTACCGGATCACCATGTTCCCGACGTATCCTAACCTGTTGAGCTAACCCGTTGAGTGCCGCTCAAAATAGTGCCGGCCTCAGTGCCTCAGCAACTGCCATTACATTTACTTGGTAAATCGGGCCGGACTGATGCTGTTGCTTCTATTTATGGCGGTAACATCTAGTACCAGCACCGAGTTGGCCGCCATCAGCTCGCTGCTGACCTTCGACGTGTACAAGACCTACATTCGTCCACAAGCGACCAATGAGGACTTGGTAAAGATATCTCATTACAGCATCGTCATTTACGCCGTTGTCCTGGCCGTGTAAGTCACATTCGTCTGTTACGTGATCGGGGTCATTTGGCTGACCAAGTCCCTCCAGATTCTGCTCCATTCTTGACGCCGTTGGCATCAATCTGACCTGGATCTTGACGATCCTTGCAATCATTGTGGGCGGCGCCGCCATCCCTCCAGCAATGGTGTTAATGTGGCTACGCACGTCAACCATTGCAACGATCGCCGCACCGTGGACGGCTCTTGCAATGAGCCTCACTACCTGGTTGGTAAGCTCAAGAACTCGGAGCGGCAGTATTACTGTTGCCACAACCGGTGTTGTGTACAACGCCTGGTGGCAATCGCCCACAGTATGAAGATTATAGGGCACAGCCCGTACTACGTGGGTGATGCCACCGCTCCGACACAGATCCTCGAACTTGAAAGCTCATCCTCGAGCAGAGACCTTGAACCGGGAATGAGCGATGGGAAGGATCCTGAGAAAGGCAGCACATCGCCCACCGTTGAACAGCACCCCACCGTCGGAGACGGTAGAGGGGGTGATTGAGTTTCACGCCACAGACGGCATCCAGTTCCTAGATCCCAAGGTCGTCAAGGCCTCGACGAGGCTCGCAGTCTGGTCCTGTATCACTTTTTTCTTCATCGCCATCATCCTGGTCCCATTCTCGCTCTATGGGTCAGGTTGGATCTTCTCGCGCGCTGGATTCAAGGGCTGGTGCATATTTAGTTTCATTTGGGTGTGGTGCAGCATGTTTGTGTGCGTGTTCTGGCCCTTGTTCGAGAGTCGGATGACAATATTAGCGATCACGAAGGGCCTCGTCCGGGATGGAAAGTAGGATATGCTCTGGCATCGGAGAGGGACAGAGATGGTAAGGTGTGCAGCCTCGGCCATCGTAGAGAGAGATCTAGATGTTCATTTTTGACAGCCCAGATCTACCTCCTGTGAAGTTCTAGAATGGTTGACACCGACCTCTGAACGCATGGAGACTGGGTTATCAAGATGGGTCCGAACCGGACTAGGGTGATTTTCCCGCGTTCTACAAGCTACGGAGAAGACTAGTTGTAAGCTTACACCTTAGACTCCGAAAGGCTGTTCTTAGGTTTTCAAAACCACTTGCCTACCTCGCTCCTAACTGATCGTTGGGACGAGTATGCTGTTGGTCATCGAAGGTCCTTTCTGAGAAGACCCGTACCTGTTGGCACGTGCATTTGCGAATCACTGCTATTCTCCTTCACGGGGGGTATTATTCTGTACACCAACTTTTGTTATTCTGTACACCGGAAAACCTGCTTATTCTGTACACCATGCCTCAACTCTCCTTATTCTGTACACCACCACCTCTCTCTCGCCTTATTCTGTACACTTAACGCTCTCATCCTGTTATTCTGTACACCGCGCTAACAGAGCTTGTTGCCGTTGGCCCGGCGATGGCGAGAAAACACTAGTAAGTGGCGTAGCTGTGGAGGGGTGACGCGTTAAACTCTCCCCGTTATAGGTGGTTGCGAAGCAATAAACACATTTGATTCCCTTTTCCTTGGTAGATAAGTACCGTGCATTTTGAGCTTCTCTGTATACTTTGTAAATTATTGTGGCCTACACAGCCGGATTTGTGTAGAGATCCCCTGCACGGTCGATACCTCGTGCTGACTAAGGTAACAAACCAGCGCCCATAGGCTTGGGAGGACCGCTCATAAGCCGGAGGGGGAAACCGCCCATGAACCGGGGGGAAACCGCCCATAAGCCGGGGGGCAACTGCCCCGCTTATGGGCGGTTCCCACCCAAGCCTATGGGCGCTGGTTTGTTACCTTAGTCAGCACGAGGTATCGACCGTGCAGAGGATACCATCGTTAACCATCATTTCTGCATTCTATATAGGCAGACTTAGGTGTTGTGACATCACGTATCTTCGAACTGCGCAGATAACCGGAAAAATAAAAATCCGGACCAATCAAAAGCGGTGTACAGAATAACAAAATGTGGTGTACAGAATAACATTACCCCTCCTTCACCCTCCCTCTCTCGCTAGACCCGGTCCCTTTGCTGGATCCATCCGAAGGACTGGAATGACATCGGTTACGCCTCGGCGCCGTGGAGTCCGGGCTGCATGTGACCGATGCTATGAGCTCAAGGAACGGTGCGAGCGTGCGTCGATGACTTCCACCTGTGTCAGGTGCGACAGGCTGGGTCAAGTTTGCCTGACTGTGCGTCCACTGCGACCGGCCGGTCGAAGACCACGACGTCGAGAGCACCCGGCCCCCCAAACAATATCAAGCCAGTCAAGCACGGGCGCTCAGTCTCAACGCGATGTCGGTGCCTGGTTACAGGATGTTCCTGACCTGTGCCCGGAGGAGAGGGAATTGATGATGTTTCTCCTATACCAACCCCAAACCCTGCAGTTCTACGTGGTTAGCCCCAGCTTTGAAGATGCTGAACAACGGTCGTTTGAAGCCCCGTTGCCGGCCGCTTTGCCAGTACTCAAAGATGCCTATCTTGCCTATGCGGGCGGGTTGAAAGCATTCCACGCCGACAAAACGATGGATGTGGATGTGAATGCGAATCTCCGCCATGCGTCCTCCGCCATGAGAACGTTGCGCACGCTGCCGGTTGCCAGTTCAGGGGATGCGGCATTATGTCTTACCCTGGGGATCGCATTGGCCCTGTATATCTATGGAGCTATTGGCGTTGGTGTATCCGACATCTGCCACTACTGCCTCAGCGCTGCCAGGCCTTATATTGAGCCCGCCGCGTCGATCCCCGAAACAGAGCCTCAGCTCATCTTTCTTGTCTTGTTGGAGACTATGGATTGTACGGTCCACCGCCGAAAGCCGACACTGAGGATCCAGTCACCGGCCCCGGAACGCGTGGATCGCCACTTGGGGCTCTGCCTCCCATTGCTTCCCTACTATTACGATCTCTGTGTTATCAGCCACTCGCTGGTCGGCGCCAGCAACGCTAGTCTCATATTGATACTGCACCAGCATCTCGGGAGGATCCAGGCTGCCGTGAACGCATGGCAGCCATCCCAACCGGAGCATTTCGTCCATGAGTTCTCATCGGCCGAAGTGGTCCACCTCCTGGCGCAAGCTCGGGTATACCGATTGGCGGCCTTGCTGATGGCTCACCGGCTGCAACACGAATTTGGACAGGAGGACAGTCAGGCGGATATCTGGTCGCGCGAGGTGATTATGGAACTCGAGCTGGCTCGACGGACGACACAACGATCGATCCGGTTTGTTACGCTCCCATTCATTATTGCTGCGATCGAGATTCGAGACCCGGTCGCACGGGCCAAGGCAGTCCAGGACGTGGACGAGTACGTTGATCGATTTATGCCAGTCGTACAAGAAGCGACCAAGACGTTTTTGTCGCGGATCTGGCGCGAGCGGGATGCTCAGGCAATATGTTCTTGGTTTGATTCGGTTCACAAGCCGTGCGTCGTATTGGATTCTCTCGGGGCTTCTAGTTGGGTGTGATTCCTCAAAAAGAAAAGTAAAGCAAGGATATGCCCACAACATCCTTCTAATCTAACCGCAACGGTCAGGATACACGAGACATGCCTGAAGTTACTTCCAAGTGGGTTTTTGCCATTGCTCCTATGCCTGGTCGTAAATTCTTGACCAAGAAATCATCTGTGCTCCCTGATTATTACTATGACGTGTACAGTTATTCCCGAAGCCGCCCTCCCCTTGGAGTCTTGCAAGTGGTGAAGGCGGTGTCCATCTGTCGCCTCGCTGGAACCTATATTCCTTCACGAAACCGGCATCTAGTGGGCGAGGTAGGCCGTGATGGCAACATATTTGAATAGCCCAGACAAGCTCGGTAGTCTGGAAGAAGGTTGTTTGTCGGCGGCTTTCAAGGGGAAGGAAGTGGTCGAGCATGACCTGTTGGCCATTGTCCCATAGCGGTGTGTACTCTGCAATGTTCTGAATTTTGCCTTGCTATCACGACGTTATTTCTGGGACCTTCGCTCACCACAAAAGACAGATTATAACCTCCCTGCAGCCCAAATTTCAACGTCGCAGAGTTCGGTTCTCCCGATGTGAATCTTTCGAAACGGCTTTTTTCTGCGAGTCTCATTGCTTTCGACCTGAATAAGGGCCCGCCAGAAGAAAGGCCAGTAGCCAAATCACGGATCTCAATCGTCCAATGCATCACCTTTGGGCCCCCGATCCATGCGATTGTATGCTCAATTGCACGTCTCCAAGGGTGAATGTTGAGCTTGCGACTCCCTATGGTGGATAGGTTAATCCATTGAGAAAGCCAGATGTCAGTTTCTTCCTGAACATTCCAAGACGGTTCGGATTCGCCAAGCAGTCGGAGCGCCAACATACACTTGATGATACTCTCGATAAGCTCTTCGCCGTCTTCCAGGGTCAACCGTCTAATGTGTCAGAATTCACCCTTCATCAGTTTTTCCCGCTTCGTCTACTCTTGATCACCATTGTGATGGAGGCCTTCACATCGATCGAAGATTGTGTCGGACAAATTGGTGTTGTCACGCCATGAAGTCCTCCTGACATGGACAAGTACACCTGCCAATGGACTGCCATCGAAGGTCTCGGAGGTGTGGGCAAGACTCAGATGACTTTGGAGGCCACTTTCCGTGTTGGCGATCAGCATCCAAACTGTTCCGTCTCCTGGGTTCCCGCCGTAGATCTTACCAGTTTTGAGAATGCATACCGTGAGATTGGCCAGAGGCTCCAGGTGCTGGGAATCGAGGAGGACGGGGCGGATATTAAATTGCTTGTCAAGAATGCAATGAGCCAAGAGACTTGTGGTAGTTGGCTCCTGATTATTGATAACGCTGACAATGTAGAGCTCCTCTTTAGCACTGCGATATTATGCGACTATCTTCCATTCAGTCTACAGGGCTCGATTTTATTCACTGCATACATGGCCAAGACAGGTATGTCGACTGAGGATCAAGGTCGTTGGCATAAGCAACGCAATAGCCACTACGCGGCTAGTATCATTCAACCATATTTTACGGGATAAGCCGCTGCTCAGGACCGGCCAGCTCTCGAACTCTTCAGCCACAGTACACTCTTCCAGCGATCATTGGGGCATTCGGAATGTGTCAGTAAGTGCTTCCGTGCTCTTAGAATAGACGGGTGCTGCAAAATCAGAATACAAGTGGCATTTCTATTTCGATGTCATGTGCTGTTTTCACTGTAGCGCTCTACAGTGGACGGCAAGTTCTGAGGATAACTCAAGGTGCCTCGCAGTTTGGCCCGACGACCGTTAGTGGGGGCTACTGTTCCAGGGTAATCGTATTGGGCGCGCCGCCGCTTTTGACGGCTATAAGAATCTCGTCCCCCATCTCCATCCTTCTCTCACTCTCTTCCAACCTACTTTCTGACACGTGGACATTAACTGGCTTGAACAAGTCTGACAGCTCTGTTTATTGTCATGTTTCTTTGGCCATTTTTACACGGGTTCTGCTTACGGAAGAATTGAGGAGATACCCACAGGAAGAGACCGCGATAGAGTGGAACAGTGAAGGTGGAGGCGGCTGCTGATGACCTAGACAGGCGGGCATATAATCAGCAATAGCAAGATACCGTCCGCAGGAATATCAAAACGTTCTGTCTGTGCTAGGATCTTCGAAATCTTTTTTGCATATGGAACTGGAATGACCTGTGCCAGGATTTCATCCCAACAAGTATCCGCCATTGGAGTGCACCACCGTCCCATCTACAAAAGCGTCCCTCATGCAATATAGATACGCTTCCGCTGCCTGCTCCGGCTGTCCGATTGTCCCTGTCAGAGTTCCACTGACATACTTCCCCACCAGCGGATCTAGCAAATGCTTCGGCATCCGATCAAACAACTCTGTGTGTACAGCGCCAGGACAAACGCAGTTAACTCTAATGGGCCGTAAGTCCACCGCGAGAGCGCGTGCCACACCTTCTACCCCGGCGGCCCACCCAGCCATCAACACACGACCTGCCCGCGGTTTCACATTGCTGTAACCGCTGGTGAATGAGATGGAGGATTCGTGACTTTGTATCATATACTTTGGTGCGATCTTGCCCACCATGATCGGGACGTAAAACCGCATGATCCCGTTCGCGGTGATCATATGGGTGTCTAGGTCGTCCAGCTTGACGAGTCCGACGACGTTGCCTGCCGTGTAGACGATGTGGTCGAGCTTGTATTTCCCAGCCTCGGTGACCTGCTCGAATAGCTCCGCCAGGCTGCTTTCCAGCGTGCTCACATCCGACAAGTCTTTCGCGTATCCCCGGAGGCTACCCTTCGGTGAGCCTGGGCAGCTGGCGTGTATCCGTTGAATGGCGTTCTCGAGCTTGGACCGGTTAGACCCTGACACGAGGACAGTCGCTCCAGATTCCCTGGCAGCTTCAGCGACGCAAAATCCAATTCCAGAGGTACCTCCCAGGACCAAAATGCGCTTGTCTTGGAGTTTGGAATTGTACTTGGTGGAAGGGGACATATTTGAAACTATGGCGAGGAAGAAGCTTGGGAGCGTGATGTTCGCGTCTCACTGCAACTAATGCTCCAGTCATTTGCCTATTAATTCATTAGTATCAAAGAAGACATGGAGTTAAGATGACTTCAAACCCCGCGAGCAGGGGTCTCTCCTGTCCCGCATGCAGAGAAGACGCGGCCATGCGCACGAAGCAGGATGACTGTCGAGTTTTTTCATCGTTGCCGTCTTCCGGCGTAGTGGGAATGAAGAGGTTGGGTGGCCCGTGCTATTTGGCTTTGTCTAACGGTTGCGATCTGGCTTTGCAGTTGCACACCGACGCCAAGTCGGCGAACACAACGACGTCGCTACTTCGACGCGAAATTTACAAGTCAAACGGTCTGATTAACGTCACTGCCGTCGTTGAGCTGCAGTCATACAATGCCTTGTTGATGGAGCAGATGCCGAAACTTCAGATCAGGTTAACTTCTCCACGTTGGCCATGAGACACCAATGCGCCCTCGCCGACCTTGAGATCCCCCTATTGCGCGGCAAAGCCTTTGACAAACGATGAAGGACTTCTGTTGCCTAAACCTTTTCCAGCAGGAAGGAGTCCGGATTTTCTCTTCCGGTTCCGCTATCACGGAGTGGTCCGGGGAGCGAGCTATACCGATCATGACGCCTTCGAGTTTCCACAAGGGCAAAGACGGCGTCTTCCGTCTATACCGATGCCCTGCGCCACGCCGCAATGAATATGTGCCACATGGAGCACCATGGACACCGTTGCAGGTACCTTTCCGGCGGTCGAGAATGTCTGGGAAGCGAGGGCATTCTCCAGAACGGACTTTCTAATCACCATACGAAGACTTTCTCCCCATGATTCTTCGTGGGTTTCTGGCTTGGTACATGATATGATGATCAATGCAGACTCTCAGTTGCATTTATGAGATCTCTGCTCCTTCTGGCTGCTAGCGCTTCCTCACAACAATACATTAGACAGGGCGGTCCTTGTACGACCGAGCCACAACACGATATCGAGGAAACGGCCGTGCGAAGTTTTGGCATCCTCCGTCGCCGGCATGGCGGAATATTTGGTGGTAGAGAATCTGCTTAAACTGAGTCAGATTGACCCAGAGCTCAACGAAGTGTGTCTTACCGAAGAGGTCCCAACGCATGTGCTGATCCTCTGAACTCTCTCAGCTGCTGACCGCAAACCCTCTACCAATTCTCGACTATTCAACTCTCGATGATTTTGCCAAAGTGTATGCGAAGAACAGCGAGCGCGCAAAAAGCATCCTCGGACCGGCGCCTCCGGGTGTCAAAGTTACTGAGCTGCAATATGCTACCCGTGATGGCTACAACAATCGAGCAAAGCTGTTTCAGCCAGAAGACATACCCGAGAATGCCAGTCCCCTCATTGTTATGATCCATGGGGGAGGCTTCTGCTTCGGCTCACCGGAGGGAGAAGAGCAGACCTGTCGCAATTTTGTGCTGGCGCTGGGCGTCACCTGCGTCGCCATTGCATATCGCCTGGCGCCAGAGTACCCTTTTCCCTATGCGCCCAACGACTGCTGGGATGCTCTGAAATGGTGTGCAGCGAATGCGCAATCCTGGAATGCTGATACCTCCGCCGGCTTCGTTGTTGGTGGAAGTAGTGCTGGAGCGAACATAGCTGCCGTGCTTGCCCATCGGGCGAGGGATGAAGGAATCTCATCTCCATTGACCGGACAATACCTAGCTATCCCATTATTATGTCCCGAAGGCAAGATGCCTGAAAAGCATAGGCCACTCTGGCTGGCCCGCACACAAAATCACAACGCACCAGTAATTCCAAAAGCCGCTCTTGATATGTTCATGGGCGCCTACCAGCCCAATTTTGACGACACTGTCAACTTTGCAATCTTCAACCATCCACACGGCCACGGTAACCTTCCTCCAACATTCTTCCAGGTTGATGGAATGGATCCACTCCGGGACGAAGCCATCATCTACGAGCGCGTGTTGAGAGAAGAGTACGGTTTGAAGACGAAGATGAACGTCTATCCCGGCCTTCCTCATGGACATTGGAGCTTCTTCCCAACGTTGAAGGCGAGTGCGAAGGCACGGATAGACCAACTGGAAGGCATGAGCTGGCTTCTCGGGAGGACGCCAGATTTCTCCAAAGTCGGCTTTGGCCCGGTAGCTGCGACCCTGTAAGGAGAATAGTATTCTTGCTGGTGGGAGTGTGCGGAGGATTGAATGAGCAGGACAGTCATTTTCCTTCCAACCTTACTTGGTCAGCAAATGGCATCAGTCCCGTACTGGGTGAGGTCAGTTTTACTCCCGTTACTATGTCCATAATATTATCCCATTTTGGTGCATTTCGAGTGTTCCGTTCCAGACGGGAAGAATACAATAGACACGCTGGGTTGAGCTGTGATCCCGGCTGCTATGCCAAGTCGCCTTTTGAAATCCACAGGCTTAACCCGAGGTGTACTACAGTATAGACGCTTTACGTTGCAACTCACAAGTTATTGCTGCAGGAGGAAAGAACCTTTCGGCCACAATGTCTAGCTCCAATTTTATGTGTCTCCCGTGATAATTCTCTAACGAAAAACGTTTGTGCGCCCGATAACCTATTCTCGTTGAGTCTCTTTTGGCTATAAAGTCTCCTCGTGCCTGAGAACGATGTGCCTTTCCCTTTGAACATACTGCGCTTGGTTGATCAAACTCTTTTCACTTAATCGCCTCCCATGGCTCCCACCTGGGTTATAACAGGCTCTTCCTCGGGGATCGGGTTGGCACTAGTCCGCTACAATCTCGCTCAGGGACATAATGTGATTGCGACTTCTCGCAATCCTAGTAAAACTCCAGATCTCGTTCGAGAAGTAACTTCCCACCCGAACGGACGATGGCTCTCCTTGGACGTCACTTCGCCAAAGGTTGAAATTGAAAGGATCCTCCAAGAAGCGTGGAGGGAGTTTGACGGCATCGACTTTCTGGTAAATAATGCCGGATACAGCGTTCTTGGTGCAGCGGAGGACATCCCCGAGGACCGAGCAAAAGAACAGTTCGGCGTAAACTTCTGGGGCGCGGTACGGACAACCCAAGCAATACTGCCGCTCATGAGGTCTCGAAAATCAGGGACGGTCGTCAACATCTCCAGCGTGGCTGGCGTTGACCCTCTGCCGACTTGCGCCATCTACTCGGCTAGCAAGTTCGCCTTGGAGGCCTGGTCGGAGTCACTGTCAGAGGAAGTCAGACCCCTAGGGGTACGTGTCTTGGTCGTTGAGCCAGGCGGATTCCGTACCAACTTTTTCAGCGATGCAACGATGCAGTTCGTACCACCGAGCTCTGCCTATAGCGAAGGCCCAAGTCCTGTGTCGCGGACACTTGGCAAGTTCAAATCGATCAATCCCACGACGTTTACAGACCCTATAAAAGCCGCTCAAAGGATATTCGAGGTTGTGGTGGGCGTTGGCATGGGCGAACAGCTGTCCGATCACGTCTTGAGACTGCCATTGGGGCCAGATTGTTATACCAGGGTTACAGAAAGCCACAAGAAGCGACAGAGAGAACTAGAAGACGTCAAAGCTATCGCATTGAGCACGATTTGAGCGAGGAGAGAGGCGGGGGTATGCAAGTCTACAGTATTCTGGCATCAAACCGATGCAGACGTCGCCAGTCCCATCTCAAATTCCTCGGAGACTGCTTCTAAGGCCGGATGGGTGTCATGTCTTCCCCCGAAGCCGGGTTTGGAGCTTCACAGTTTGGAGGTTGTCGGTCCTTTTGTTTGCTGAACGACTTTCTCGATATCGTAAAATGGCAAAAACGAGGCGAGGGCCCTCTTTTCTTCCTCGGTAACTTTCAATTTCGCCATGGCATCTTCCCCTCCACAAAGAATGGCTCTCACTTGGATCTCCAGCTTTTTGCCATTGACGTTATAAGGTATTTCGGCTGCCCTGAAGATAAACGTGGGGACATGTCTTCTGCTAAGGTCTTTGGCAATCTGGTCGCGGATTTTGCGTTCTAGATCGGGATCTAGTTGGAGTGGATCTTTCGACCTTTTTGCTGATGGCGTGCACTTGACGAATAGGACGACTTTCTCAGTTGTGTCAAAGTATGGTGCTTGGTTCCTTTGCTGGCCGACGACACATGCGTCTGAGATATACGGCGTGAACCTTGGTGTAAGGAGGATGTTGTAAATCTCCGAACTTCCAAACCGAATTCCAGAGGGATTTAAAACCCCGTCACTGGTGTGGTTGGTCAGTATATCAGAGCGCGAGGGAACGAGGTCAAAGTCATACGATCTTCCAAGGATGTATATACCCTTTGTTTCGGGATTGATTCTCATGAAATCCCCATGAGTCCAGACATCTAGCAATTTTGAAATGTCAGTCTTGTCCACGCATATAGCACCTTCAGGGAGCCGACAGGTCAACTGACGAGGAAACACTGCAAAATATGAACTGAAATATCTCTTGCGGTCGGGGTCTCTCAGAAACATCGTCGGCATATTGGGGAAAGGCTTTCGGCAGACCAGTTCTCCGCTCTCTCCATGGGGCACCTCCTTGCCGTCGGGCGAAAAAACTGCTACGTCTATGCCTAAGGCTATAACGGAACTTTCGCCTGGGTAGGAAGGCAGAGTTGGCGTAGCGTGAACCCAGGATCCGCAAAGTTCTGTCCCTCCCGACATGTTGATTTGGTAGACCGGTCCAAATGCCTCAACGAGCCATTTTGCAAGGGGCACGGGAAGTAGAGCCCCAGTCGATATAATTGTACGTAAGCTCGATGCGAATGTCTCTGATGGACGATTATGGTCAGTCGGCCTAGTCGACGAGACAAAATACTTGTACTTACTCGGTTTCACATTCAACTTTTGAAGCTCCGCAAAATATCGGGGTCCGGCACCAAAGGACGTCACCCTAACGCAGGCACCTATTAGTGCGTTCGACACAGCTGGACTACCCATGTTGCCGACTTACCCTTGAGCAAAAAGGGCTCGCAAAAGGCCCTCTGCAGATGGAAAGAACGGGCTGCCATCGTAAAGCACCATGGTTGATCCAGCAAGCAGTGATCCCAACGAGATATTCCAAAGAGTCCACCCAATCTGAAAACAATCAGCGGAGGAAGCAGTGGAGAAAGACTAGATTATGTCCTTACGCCGCTGTAGTGGTAATGCACATCATTTGAGTCCACGTTATGGTGGAGAACATGCTCTTTCAGTCCGTTCATGATAAGTCCCTAAATCTCCAGTCAGGGATGTCATCTTTTCGGTGTTCAGGAGTACTTACTCCGTGAGAATGAACTATGCCCTTTGGAGCGCCTGTTGTTCCAGAAGAGAACATGACGATAAAGGGACTAGAAAAAGGAACTTGCTCATACTCGAGTCTTGCTCCAGTCCCTCTGAGCAGGAATGTATCGAAAGAGATTCTTCCTTCCAAGTTAGCAATTTCACGGCGGCCATCTCGATATTTCTGGCTTACCCATCACCCGGTTGCGAAGAAGGGCCTATAAGCACAAGTTCGCAAGCTCCTCCCTTTAGCTTCCCAAATACGTTTGTGATCTTCTCATTGATGTCGATCTTCTTCCCATTGTACGAGGAGATTGTTTCGGCGAATAAGAAGCGTGGTTCAAGCACTTGAAGACGGTCATCGAGCGCCTTTTCTCCAATATCCGTCGCGAAAGAGGCAAACACGCCGCCGAGGGCACCGGTCGCCAATTGCAGAGACAAGGATCGCACACAGTTGCCGCCGACCACTTTTTGTTGTTAAGCTTGGTCCAATGCAAGTAAGGGGGGGTTCATGGACCGGGGATACTCACGCACAACGGTCTCTCCCTTTTTCAGCCTCGAGGATCTTAATGCGTCAGCATATAGCTCTACAAGCTTTCGCAAATCAGTCCAGGTGTATTTCTCCGGATTCTTCAAGTTGTCTTCTCTCATGTCAATTATCGCAGTACCAGTGCGATTTCTGCCCAGGATGTTCTCCGCAAAATTGAGCTTCGCTCCCTGGAAGAATCGAGGAAATTCGTCGATACGTGCATCGTCATCAATTGCCTGAAGGTGGTTGCCAATGAGCAAGATTCGACATGCAGAACCCACTATGATGCTGAATTCACCTTAACTGGCCGCACTGAAGCGATAACACCCAAGTAGTCCCATGCAGTCATCCAAAAATCATTCAAACGAGTGACCGAAAATTTGTGGAGGTCGGTATAGTTTTCTTTTAGAAGACTTTGTTATCCAAATGTTTCCGAATGAGACTCGGAGAATTGCTCGAAGCGTTTCATGCTAACCCTCATCAGTGGTACTTACCCAGTTTGACATTGTATTTCTGGCTCAGATGATCTCGGAAGTCATCCAAGGCCGCCCGCAACCCCCTGGGTGGCGTGTACGCTGGAATCGCAGCCATGGGTTATCGATATAGCAAGAACATTTGAAGTGATGAAGTCGTCTCCTCGAAATTCGCACGTCAATGTGATCATCACAAGACCTCTCGAGGTTCCCAGGTCACTTGCGCGAAGTTACACCCTGCTTCACACGAGACGGATTTTCGCATGTGTTGGATCGCTCCACTGACAGGGAGTTCAAAGCTTGAAGCTCCACGTCACACTGTTCCAGAGAATTGGCTTCTCGGATGCCTGATGAATCAATGGTACGACGATGTAGGCATGCCAAAGACCTCCACCACTTCGGCACAGGCTTGCGCCCCAGAGACTCGGCATCTTGGCGAGGCTGGGCCGTTGACCTCCGGAGTTCAGTGCGGGGATCCGAGGCGGAATTCTCGGTCTCTGCCACGGTTTATTTTGGCAGCAAATTCTCTTCGAGAAGCCCATATTGTGCTGTAAAACGGCGATCTATTCTGCAACATGAGCTATCATAACATAATCTCGGATCTCGGCGTACATGTGGTCCTCAGCTACAGCCAATGCATGTGTTTGAGGGCCCATAGGTGCTCCGTAGCGTTCTTGGCCTTTTGAAAACAAGTACTATGCTAATTCCGAATTTCCGTTGTATGGGACCCTGCATTTCCCATCAACCGAAACAGTCAGAGCGAGAGAGGCCATCAAACGTCTGGGAGGCCTCGTCAGATTTGTCGTCATGCCAGTCGCCATAGTGACTGGAGCCTCAAGAGGAATAGGGAAAGCCATATGTCTACAATTGGCCGACGACGGAATAGATATCGCGGTGAACGATATTCCCGCCCAGTCTGCCGAGCTCGGAAAGGTGAAAGTGCAACTTGAGCAGAAAGGAAGACGGGCAATCTGCATACCGGCAGATGTGAGCGTGGAAGACGACGTCAAAGAAATGGTGGCGGCGACCGTTCGAGAGTTTGGGGAATTGAACATCATGGTTGCGAACGCGGGCATCGTACTTCCCAAGAAGCTGTTTGAGCAGACCGTCGATGAGTGGGATCGAATCATGGCAGTCAATGCTAGGGGTGTCTTCCTGTGCTATCGAGAAGCAGGAAGACAGATGATCGGACAAGGCAAAGGAGGCAAGATCATCGGTGCATGCTCCTCCGCCGGTCATAGGCCATCGGTCTCGGGCGTCGCATATTCGGCCAGTAAATGGGCTGTTCGGGGCATCACCCAAGTGACAGCTTTAGAGCTTGCACAATACGGCATCAACGTCAACGCCTATTGTCCAGGACCGGTCGAGACGGATATGTGGGCAGAAATTGATGCGAGTATTGCAAAGAGGGACGGTGTGCCTGCAGGATCTACGTACGAGCAGGCAGTGCAGACACGCATGGCACTCAAACGACGACTACTTCCGGAGGATATAGCTTCCTTGGTCAGCTTCCTTGCTGGTCCAAAGTCGAGGAATATTACGGGACAGAGTATCCTAGTCGATGGGGGCCAGTACTTCACCTAGTGATGAGCCAAAGTGGCATGAGATTTTGAGTCTATTACCCTTCGAATTTATTGGGGGTGTCACGAACCGGGTTCTGACAAGTATATAAGCTAAGAGGTCCAGGCTTCTGTCGTGGAATGACAGGATTCTTAGTCTTTTGGAGCGATCCCCAAGAGACTGTGGACCTCTTCCTGACAGAGGGGGTTGTCATGTGTGTCCTGCAAACTTGATTGGAGACTCTATTCAAGGTGGAGATATTCTATGAGAATGGCCGGATTGTTGGTGTTTTCACTGTCTGCTCGAGAGAGCACGTGGTGTGGATTGAGCGGGACATAGAAAATCTAGAAGTCTCTCCTTTGGTACGACCTTAGAAACTCAGAGTCGTGCCGAGGATAGTTGCAAAGAACAAGTGTCTGTCTGACAAAACAGAAGCTATCATGTCTCGGAAGCCAGCCGTACTGTCAATGTCCATTGACTCGGTCCAAGTATATCCCATTCGTATAAATTTCATTCACGCCGTCCATATCAGACTCCTTCATACCAGTCACTTTGGCAGCTTCATGAGTGGTCCCGTTGGAGACAGCCCGTTCTTCTGTTGGAATCAATGCACCAGGGTTTTCTCTCGTACCAAGATAATATGATAGGTCGCTGCCATCGTACTCCCTCAGGGTGAAGCCGTTTCCCAGGAATCCAAAAGGGTTGCCACTCCAGTATTTGATGTCATAGTCATCGTAGCGAGGGTGAGCCAAAAGCTCGAAATACAGAAGCCTCGACCCCGGCCATATGGCTAAAGGCCCGTTTTCTTTGCCCTGTTTAAACCAGCTCCGGCATCCAGATGTCCACGCCGTGCGTTTGAGGTATAGATCAGCGTGTTCCACAAATGCCTCGCACACGTCTCTCCGAGGCGTCATTTCCTTGATATCCTGTACCTGGAATCTCTTTATTACCAGGATGAAATGGCGCATAAGCAATTCGATGATTGGGAGAAGGGACCCGTGACCAACGGGTCCATATGCACCGGTGACAGTCCAGTAATTTGGAACTAAATCGGTTAGTCGATACGAGGATTTCCTCAGATTTGAACACCAACTCACTCTCAGGTACGCCGATTGACAGGTATGATATAGGTTTGTATTTTTGAATGTCCTGAACGTTCTTTCCCCTCGCGACTATAGGGAATCGGGGCACCCAGGAAGTGTCGAATCTATTGGGATGCCACTTAGCTTCTGTGGCGATTGCGAACACGGGAGGGACCTACCCTGTGGCACAAATAATCACATCAACTTCGTGCTCCTGACCTTCGTGATCGACGAAACCTCGGGGGGTAATTCTCTGCAATTGCTTTGGGAAGGTCGTTACATGTGGTAAGGTCAAGGCTTCCAGAAAACCATTCCCTGGCTGCTCTCGTAAGCGTTGGAACTTTCACCATTGTGAAGAAGCCTACCGTCGGGCGCCTACAGCCAACGCCAAAGTTGGTGGGAACCAACATCTTGATCAAGTCTTCCCGGCCGTTGAGCTTCTCCCGCATTTGGAGCGTAGAGAACTAGAAAGGGACACTCGTTAGTTCTGGATGATGTCGGGAAATGCCACACATACATCTTTGGCTTCTTGTGCTTCTGGGGTGCCATTCAAAATGAACTTGAATCTTTGATTTAATTCGTCTTCGATGTTTTTGGTGTATGTCACGTAATCCGGGAAATTCGCAGCAAAATCTCGCTTCTGTTTCTCAGTATCTGTGCATGATTAGCCCGAGGTTGAGCGATATCATCGATGCCGAATGCATACATCTGAAGTTTTCGCCATTTGGGCCTGCGTACTTCTGCGCGAAGCCAGCCGTAATCCAGGTTGGAGACCGTACCCATGTATATAGTTTGTTGACTTTTGACGCAATGTTGGCTGTGACTTGAATGCCACTGCTTCCCACGCCTATCACCGCTACACGTTTGCCATCTAGGACCGTGTCCACAGGATAGTTCGCTGTGTGGCAGAGTATGCCTTCAAAGTCATGGAGACCCTCAATATCAGGCCATTTCCAGTTGCTGTCACCGGTTTAGTGGATATCTCGGACGCTTCATCGAATACAGTTGCACTTACTTCAGCACCCCTCCTCCATTGATCAAGATTTCGGCTTGATCCACGGTCACCTCATTGGTTTTGAGGTTCTTAACTCGCACTTCCCATATTCCCTTATCTTCATCCCATGTAGCACCAAGAACTTCGTGGTTCAACTTCATATACTTCCGTAGCTGGAATTTATCGACGAGGTCCCTGAAATATTCCCAGATCTCTTCGGAGGAGGAGTAGAAGTGTGACCAGTCAGGCTTTCGTGCCCAAGTGAACTATGATGTTGTCAGCGCAGATCAATGTACCAATTTTGGTCAAGCCGTACCTGATAATTAACAGACGGGATGTCGCAAGCACACCCAGGGTATCTAGGAGTGGTCATCAGCTCGGTATAGTCGCGGTCAGAGCAGGGCATTGAGGGCTCACCGATTCTCCAACCAAGTCCCTCCGATATCGGGATTTTTGTCGTAGCATACCCACTCCAAATTGTTTAAAGATTCGGCCGCAAACTTGGAAAAACAAATTCCTGAAGCTCCAGCACCGACATGGATGACACGTATCGGGCGTTCAGTCCCCGATATCTTCTCTTGGATGCGGTATCCTCTGGCATTCTCTCTTGGCCAGCCATATTTGTCCGGTAGTGATTCGAGGTCTGAGTTAACGAGAGCTGCGATCTGCCCATAGCTAGAAATAAAGGGCGATGGATTCATTCTGGATTCTGGTGGTGTTCGGTTCAATAAATAGTAGAGAAAGCACTTTTATCAACTATATTCTGGTTCGAAGGCCTACCTCTTCTCGTTGGATAACGCTTGCGATGGCAAATGTCAGGAAAGAAAAAAAAAAGAAAATCTCACGTCGACGTATATGTGTTGTCTCTTCTGGCCGTTGTTTGCCAGTACACTTGTCGAAGTGAACATCGAGATGTAAACGATCAGCGACTCACAAGGCTTACCTTTGCTAGTGTACTTCAGAGATCCTCCACGAACCAGTACGCATGGGTCCTCAGTCTAATCTTGTAGACTCGACCTCGGACCTGGACACCAATACGCCGACATGGAAGGTTCATTGCTGTGAAAGATGGCGATGATTCCCTGGCGACCAAGACCAAGACGAAGGCCAAGACGGCGTCTTACGGAAACCTAATTCTCGAACCTGAAGGCTGAACCTGCTAATCTCCAACACGCCGCGCAGCTGACGATATAAGGTTTGAAATCGCCTTCTCGGGATCAAACTGATTGCTGTAGGTCAATTTTTTCCGCTTCAGTCCCTAGCGAAATGCTAAACGGAGGGTGCGAGGATGCAGTGGCAGCCGACGACCCTGGAAGTCCCCAAGCGAAGGCTCGCCAATAATGTAAGTAGCCTTTCTAGCCTCCCATGTGTCCATCAACGCAGCGCGAGAGGCGTGGAGGCTGACCACAGGATCTAAGTCAACCTCTTGCACGCAGCCAGCTGCCTGCCCGTGTACCGCGTTCACATTATGTTGATTTGGATTGTGAAATGATCCTGGTAGAGCGAAAACACAAACAATACTCCAATTGTTTCCTGAGACAACCGTTGAATAGTCATGTTTAGCTGGCAAATATGAAAATGATTCACATTGGAAAAATGGGTCATTAAAGTGTTGGGCTCGCAAGAAGCGTTGGAATGGAAAGGTTCAAGCGTCGCCTGGAATACGAATCCAAGCAAGACCAACCCCCCACCCAAGCCATTTATCCTCGGCTAGACAGTGGCGGACAGGGGTCAGATGTGGCGTTACGGGGGTTTGGGATGGCATGCCTCAGGCCCACTCTTCTCATCATACCTGTATTCATGCCTCTCGAACTTTCTTTAATAATTTGTGTCTCGAATATTCACGATGGATGACAACGCTACTACCGGTGTCCAGGCTGCACCTAGGACACAACTGAATCAACCGCGCCGTGGGGGACGAGTAGCCTGTTCATTTTGTCATGCCAGGCGCATTCGCTGCAATGCTTTCCAGTCACAACCCTGTTCGAATTGTATCTCTGCCCAGACACAATGCCAGCTCATTGAATCTAAACGGGGCAGGTAAGCACTGCCACCATCTTGGGGATATTCCACTAAACAAGTGGTCAAACAGATATGTCAGGCCACGAACGAAGAAGGTGCATGGCTCCGATTCAAGTGGACAGAGCCAGACGCATCACCATTCAACAATGTCGTCAGTCACAAAGTCTCAATCACCCAGAACAATACTCAGTCCGATGTACGATTTCAGTAAACAAGTCGATGGGCGCCCGCTTAGGATCGAGCGGTTAGATTTCGTCCCCAGCCCATTTACGGCTCAATTCAGAAACAGCCACAAGCTCTCTCACAAAGAAGGCTCAGAGAATTTGTACGCTAGGTTGAGCGAATTAGCTTTGTCGCCTCCACAGGGACGCAACCTGCAAGGAATCCAGACTCTATATCTTGGTGAATCATGGCTTTTGACCTATGTGGTCCAAAAGGTTATCAATGCCGAGACAGAATCCGACTCCAGCTCGCCAGCAACTCTTCAGGTTCCTCTGCCGCCCTCGGTCGGCGACAAGCCTGAGAACCTTGGTTACGAAACCAGACTTGATCCCGAGGAAATTGAAATCCTCAACATCAGAGGCGCTTTCATCCTACCGGAGAAAGAAGTGTCTGATAGACTCATCCAAACTTTCTTTGAGTGTGTCTATCCTGCGTTTCCGATCTTTGACAGGGAAGAGTTTGCACAGCTTTACGAGTCAGGCCAACAATCTCTACTTATATTGAATTCCATATACGCCATGGCGAGCACTCTTTGTGAAGACGATGTCATCGCTAAAGCTGGGTTTGAAAGTCGCAACGTTGCACGCAAGGTATTCCTCAAGCGTGCCAAAGCTCTTTACGATGCAGATCATGAGACGAATAAGATTTGTTTAGTTCAAGCGGTCTTCTTACTCAGCTTTCTGTGGAACGGCTCAACGGACGAGAAGGATATGGCCTACTGGCTATCAATTGCGATTGGAAATGCTCAAGGAAAGGGCATGCATAGATCGTAAGATGCCTGCCTTCGTTTCCTCAGACAGTGCTGATGACAAAGAACAACCAATTCCACTCTAAGGCCTAGAGACCGTCGGCTCTGGAAAAGGATTTGGTGGTCGCTATATGTGAGATCTGATGCGTTCTATCTATAAGACACTCATTGAGAGATGTAAGGTCCGGGATCGTCATTGCTCTGTAAACATTGGCCGACCGATGCGTATCCGTGACGACGATTACGACGTCGAGCCTTTGGAAGAGTTGGACTTCGAAGATGATTTCTCGCAAAGCGCCTCTGTGTCAACAATCTATGGGCGAACTAGGAGGATCCACGCCCTTTACGTGATTTACATGAGCAAGCTCTCAATGATTTGTAGGTCATGGATTGCTTGTTCGTTATCGCTCCTGCTAACAACCCAACAGTTGGCGACATCAATTTGACAAAGTTCCCCACCTGCAAAGCGAGGCCAACATTGAGCTGTGAGGAATTAAGCAGTCAATTAATGAAATGGCGGCAGCAACTGCCACCAGAGCTCCAAAATTGGGAGGATGAAGAAGGCAGTTTCTGGGCTAGGATGCTGGAATTGACCTACAAGTGCAACTTACGCTTCCCCCTCGCATCGTTTGCAAATGCTAATGTGACGAGCAGCCAGCACCTAATCGTCCTTCACCGACCCGAAAATAGCAAAATGCTTGATGACAAAAAGTTGGCCCAATCAACGGCATTCATGGCCGCCAAAAATATCACCAGCCTTTGCGATGATTTTCTAGCTCTAGGACTTCTTCGAAAGTCCCAGCTGCAAATGTAGGCATCGCAGTACCCCGACTTTACCATTCAAGGAGCCTTTGAGCAAATTTGATCAGAAAACGCTAACTTCAAGATATAGATGCCCTAGTCTCTTCTCCGCACTCTCGATGTATGTGCTCATGGTGCAACACTCTGACCAGATTCAACGGAAACTTGCCGAACACAAATCTCGTCTCCTACTGCTTGCTTGTGGCGAGATCGCAAAGACCTGGCCTGCTTGCGGCTGGATCTTGCGGCTTTTCGAGACGATATTCAAGAATCTGGAAGAGAAATACAGCGGGCAGGGTACTGGGGACCAGCCTGTGCAGGGGGCATCGCGTCAGTGGCCGTCATCTGCGCATACGGACGTCGCAGGTAACCCACCAGAGACGCCTTTTGAGGAGCTCCAGCGTAGTGGGGTTTCTTCCGAATCGTACCAGGATCCTGTCTCGTTAGGAACAGCATCTGGCAGAGACGGGTCTACCGCTAACATCATGCCGGAGCTACCTGCGCAATTTCTGAATATCCCGGACCTCTTCGACACAGACCTGCTCAGTGGTTTGTCTCAAGACTTTGGGCTTGGACAGAATTTCTATCCTGATCTGATAGAAAGCTAGTGCAGCGCTTTTGACGGTGAATATTTGATACGTGTCTGATGACAGTAAACATAGAGATGGCCCGGTATTTATTCTATCGAGCTGCAAGAACTGGGCTCCGTAGACTTGGAAATCCACAGTACGCAGGATCTAGCAGGTGACATAATACCCCAAGTCACCCTTGTCCATCTCCAATTGAGTAAACCCGTTACCCAGGAATCTCCATCGGTTCTGAGGATCGAAAAGTCAGCTGCGTTCACATTACCATGTGTCTCGAGGTTGCCAGTACAGACCTTGCTACGATAACTGATATGGAAGTCTTCTCCTCGTATATGTTCCACCATATCTTTCTTTGGGGTTGTTAGAAGGACGTGTGCCCTGGACGTGTGGAGAAGGGCGGCTCACATAATGCAGAATACTGCCAGGGTACAACGCAGTGACTCTCCCGTCGACTTTGCCGTTCTTGTACCAACTTCTTGTTTCATCGTCAGTTTCTCGCAAGCAAGACAAAGAAGGACGTCTAGGTACTTACCTGCACCCACTGGACCAGACCGTCCGCTTCATGAGTTCGTCACCCCAGACATTCCAGTCATGTTGGACATCTTCTCTGACTTCAAAGGACTTGATGTCCTCCTTGGTCATTTTCAACAGCCACTTGATCACATAGTCTGCTGTCCAGTCGATCGCTGATGTCAAGCTACCATGACCGACTGGCCCTGCGGGACCCATGAAGATGAAATGATTAGGTTGGCCAGCGGCAGCGAGCGAGAAATAGCTGGCCGGTTCGTCTTTCCAGTCTTCTGCCAGAGACCGATGATTCCGACCCAGTTGCACCCAGCGAGGCTTGAAAGAGACGTCGAAGCCGGTTGCCATCGCAATGGCGTCAAATTCGCGGTGTTTGCCGTCAACGGTTCGAATCCCTGTCGGCGTGATCTCGGCAATTTGGTCGTCGACGAGCTCCGCATTCTGTTGGCTCACTGCTTCCAGATAGCCCGTTCCAGGAGTCAATCGTCGGCCTTTCAATGCCAGATTAGCAGTCATCGTCCTCGTATTACTTCGTATCCGAAACTACTTACAGCCCAACGACCAATTCGGTATTAATTTCTCAATTAATTCTTGATTGCCGCCAAGTCTGTCAATCATCAAGGCCTTGACCCCTTTAGCAGCCTCAAGGTTCGTTGGTGCTCCTTCAATGAGCTATCATGTCAAGGTCAGTCTCTTCCCTCTTTTCGTGACCTTCACGACACCTTCAACTTACAGCTTCATAGAAGGTATTCTGAACGTGGATGAGTTTGTTCCGAAGATTCTTTAGTTCTTCCGGGTGATCTCGAAATGTTTGCTTCTCCTCCTCAGTGTCTGGGGGAAATAGCAATTAGCGAGTTCAGGAGCCAGGATGGTATAAAACTCTTACAAGCAGGGTTTCCTCCGGGCGATTTTGAAAAGTCTTCGGCGAAGGGTGCCGAGATCCACTAGGTTTAATCAGTATTGCAAATGGAGTTACCGCAGGCGACACTGTCTCACCGCTTTCGAGCGGATGAAGTTCACCATGTGGCTCGCAATCTTTTGCATTTCTGGGACGATTTGTATGCCTGACGATCCATTGCCCACGACGGCGACCCGTTTTCCGGTGAAGTCGAACCCGTCTTTCCAGTTGGCGGAGTGACACAAATGACCTTTGAATTGGTCAAGACCAGGGATTGACGGCCATGACCAGTGGCTATCAAAAGTTAGTTCAATATCCAGACGCAAAAATTTACAAAGTGGAAACATACTTGAGGACTCCTGAGCCATTAATCAGAACGTCGCACCAGTCATCGACCACTTCTGTCTCTTTCAACACCTGTATTTTCCAGGTTCCAGATTCTTCGTCCCAGATGGCTGACTTTACCTCGGAATTGAGCTGAACGTCCCTGTCCAGGTTATATCGCTTCGTTACAGTTTTGAGGTACTGGTGGATCTCTGGGCCAGTGGCATAGCTGTCGAGGGTGAGCAATTTCGCTACATGGAGTCTTTTGAGACGGGATACTTACTAATGGCTCCAATCAGGATGCGGTATATCAAGAAAGGTGTATATATGCTGTGAGAAGTGAGCACGGTGTCAGAATGGCTCTACGGGCCTCCAACGGACTGCTGGAACATCACACATCACCTGACCGGACAATCAGCGCCTCGCCCACTCCGCAATGATTCAAAGACTCATACGTACCCCTGGGTACCGGTTCTCATACCAAGTGCCACCTATATCCGGCTTGGAAGCGTCAGCAATCGGCCACGGAGAGGAAATTGTCCCTTACATTCTTCTCATATATTACATGGTCTATGATGTCGTCGAGCTTGTAGGTTCGTTGAATCTTGTTTGCCATCGTCAAACCTATGACAGCCATCAGATACCAGTGATTTCGAAATTTCTGATAGAGAACCTGCCGCTGAAGCCAGCTCCAATTGTGATAACTCTCAATCGACGATGAGGTTTCCACAAGACCTCATCTCGGATGTCAACCCAATTCTTCGGCCTTTTCCCCGCATCGGGTGCTATTCTGATGGTATGCGCGCCATTGACGCATTCCGAATTATTGGGAATCCACTTCTGCTCGTCTTGAGGTACTGTCAAGTCATTGAGTGTTACCCCGTTTGGGGAGAGCGTGTCGACACTCATGACATCAGGTTCGAGACGACAACTGACTTGAGAAAAGATAAGTTAGGATAGGAAATGATGAAGATGGCCTTAATATACAGTAAGGCTCAACAGAATAAATACAAATCCCTATGTCCCCTCGCATGTACGGGATGCTTATGCCGAGATCACGGACACATGTGAAGGTGGAGTTACCTTAGCCGTCCGGGCTAATACAAGGCGACATGGAAACCCTAGGGTACTGGACAATTGAACAAGAGACTACTTCAAGGAACGCGGCAAGCTTGGATTGTTGTCTCCAAAGGTGGGACTTTGTCTTTCACCCTTCCAAAACGCCATGGACCCGCCATGTACCCCCAGGCCGGGTGGCGTACGTCGAAGAAGCCGTCTTGGCTTTGAACCTCGCCCCATTCGAGCCTTGACGACTCAGCACAAGGCTTCCTCGATCTAGATTAGGTTTTTTTTTGGCGACCCAACATGTTCTCGCCTGCTCTCGATTCGAAGTTGACATCGTTCTTGGATGCTAAGGGGTGAGATATGCAGAGGTCCCGGGTTTTCCAGGACCTGAAGAAATTATTCAAAATAAAGGACCTCATCCTCGTTCTAATCCATGGTCAACTCCCCACAGCAAATTTCGAGACCATAGTATTGCTTCCACTTTCCCATTGCCCTGAAAATCACGGCCGATTCTGACGAAGAGTTTCTGCGTTTCCCTGTGCGCCACAATGATGGGGGTTCAGTTGGCGTGTTTATTGTATATCACTTTTGGCGGTGCTTTCTACGGCTACGACTTCGGTATGGTCCTTTAATGAATTTAGTACTGCACAGCCGTAAGGATAAGAATCCCGCGCTGACCTTGGATGGCCAACTAAACAGGAATCATATCCTGCGTTCTGGGCTATTCAGAGTTCATCACCTACTATGGGTTTACTCCTACCACCATCGGCGCGTTCAATTCGGCCTATTATGCAGCCTGTGCTGCAGGTACAGCTATGAACGTGTGGCTACCAAACAAGTATGGACGTCTGTGGACGATCCGCATTGGCTGTTTGATCTCTGTCGTCGGCATTACCTTGCAGACCGCGGCAGTCAACTTTCCCATGCTCCTGGTTGGAAGAATCATTGGAGGGATTGCTACTGGCATCATCTTTGGCATTTGTCCAGTCTATGCCAGCGAGATCTCCCCGCCTAATATACGTGGCAGGGTTGGTGCTCTTTATGCGTAAGTGCTTCTACTCTCGTTCGACAAGTCTCTCACGAGCTTTGAAACAGGCTCAACATCTCCCTCGCAAACTGCCTGACCACGTGGATCGGGCTGGGTCTCTATTTTATCCCCGGACATGCCGCATTCCGCATTCTCTTTGGCTTCCAGCTCCTTCCCGGGGCATGCATGCTTGCCGGATCACCCTGGATGCCTGAATCACCAAGATGGCTAGCATTGACCGACCGATATGACGAGTGTCTTGCCGTTCTCAAGCGGATTCACGGTAACGAGAACGACGAATCTGATTCTTTCTACGCTCGGGAATTCCACCAAATCAGGGCTCAGATCGAACTCGAGAAGAGCGAGCGTGTGTCAATCATGGACATCATCAGGAAGGCGTCATATCGCCGCCGAGTAGTCCTCATCATGGCATTCTACTTCTTTCAGCAGTATGTCTTCTCTACTCAACATGACAGCGTCATGCTAACAAATCTATACAGGGCCACCGGCATCCTTCCTCAATCTGTATATCAAGTGCAAATTTATTCGCTGCTGAAAACCACCGCGGTGATGTCCCTTGTCCTTGTTGGTGTCTGGGGCGCTGTCTCCATCTTTGCAGTGCTCAGTCTAGGATTCTGGTTCGATCGAATTGGCCGCCGAAACGCCCTGGTAAGTGAACAAGTCCAAAAAGTGACAGTAAAAGAATCAAAACCCAAAAAAATTCCATGATTTCCGCTCAACATGAATATTCTAATTCTCGGGGTGCGTATTTACAGTTCCTCTCGTACGCAATCATGATCCCGGCCTCCATTATCATTGTCGGAGTTTGGGCGGCATTTGAGCAGTCTGGAAACACAAACTTGGGATTGGCAAAGGGCATCAATGTTGGCATCTACCTCACGGTGTTTGGCTACTCGGCCATCATGAATACCTTTGGCACCACTGTGAGTTTTTATGGCATTCCAGCGACGACAGGCGGTCAGATATACTAACATTAATGCCATCCAGTATGCATCAGAAATCATGCCGACCAAGATCCGAGCCACTGGCGTCGCCTGCGGCTATATCGTCTTCAACTGCATGGGCGTCCTCATGACTCAGACCGCTCCCCTCGCCATCGCGGCCATGACTTGGAAATACTTCATCATCTGGCTGGTTCTCGACTGCGTCTACGTCGTCATCGTGTACTTCTTCTATCCAGAGACGAAGAACAGGACCCTCGAAGAGCTTGCGGGCGTGTTTGGAGACAAGGTTGCTGAATCCTGGGAGGAGACCAAGCAGTATATTGACGGCACACGTGGATTCGAATCCCCTGCTGCAGATGAGAAGGAGGGCGATCTCGAAGCAAGGGTAAAGGCTCCCCAGCACATTGAGACGGCAATAGACTCAGATCTTCGAGGATCCTAAGTAGGACTGTAAAGATCACTTTACCACGCCGTTGATGGAGTGTCCTTGCTCTTTTGAAAGCCACTTTCGCTGCTGCAAGTAAACAAGCAAGGGTCCAGAAATGTTTTTCCTTTTTTAGGTGACTCATCAGTCCTTGGATCATCCACTCTTATTGCTAATGCAACACACACAGATCCGTGCGGAAGGATAGAGATTGCGTCATGTTCCACAGTCAAAGCGCCTCTAGTAACATCCAAGGCCTATGCCATTGTCCCACTCTACAGTACTTACCGAATCCAAGTCGCCCCCGCACCACTTTCGAGACGCCGTCTTGGCTTGGAAGACCGCTAAACCATATCACCCCCCAAGTTAGGTGCTCTGGAGGCCTTGGGAGGTCTGGCTCACCATCGCCGCCATCAAAAGCGCAGTGACGACAAAGAGCTTGGCGGTAGATTTGATCAACTACCCCGAAACAATCTCTATATATTGCATATTGTGGGCTGAACAGCTATGGGCTCAATCACCACTCCGCAAGAAACAACCCGGCCAACCTTCCCCTGGCGCAAACGAGGTCTGGTATCCTCCGGTCTGCCCTTTCCTGAACTCGTGTCTCGCCATGTCGAAAGACTAGGAAAACAGCGTGTCTTCGCGGTCGTGTCGGGCTCTCTTGCCCAACACACAGACTGCGTGACGAGGCTGGAAGATGCCCTGGGATCAAAGCTCGTGGGCAAGAACGTCGGATTCCCGAGCCATACACCTTGGACGCATGTTTTGACACTGGCCAAGGAGATGTGAGTCGTTTACCGCTCCCCCTGTTTGAGCTCTGAAATTAGGACGAGATGAATTGTCAGTCATGGCAACGCTATGCGTCTACTGTGTACTGACGCCTTTGACCAGAGAACAATCCGGCGCGGACCTCGTTGTCACCCTGGGCGGCGGATCCATCACCGACGGCGTCAAACTCGCCGCCCTCGCTCTCGCTAACAACTTACACGACCTCGCCGGATTGGGCGCCATGTCCGACAAACTCAAAGCTGCCATGCAGCACGACATCGACTACAAGTACCAGACCGACTCGGATCCGCCGGACGTGAATCCGCCGCCGTACGCTATGATTAATGTACCCACGACACTCTCGGCGGGTGAATACTCACCGTATGCTGGGGGCATTGACGCCACGGATGGGGTGAAGAAGATCTTTGTCCTGCAGAGCCTGTTCGCGGACGTGGTGATCTTGGATCCGGAGCTCGCGCAGCATTCGCCCGAATGGGTCTGGATGAGTTCCGGGGTGCGGAGTATTGATCACTGTGTTGAGTTGTTGGGGTCGTTGAATCCGGATATTGAGGCCGAGACGGACGAGGCGGCGGTTAAGGGATTGGTGTTGGTGGTCCGGGGTCTATTGCAGTTGAGGAAGGACCCGACGGATTTGGAGGCGAGGTTGGCGACGCAGTTTGGGTCGAACTATGCGATGGATGGTATGTTGGACCCTGCCCCAGGCCACAAGACGTTCAAAAGCGAAAGCGACTGACACTGAAGTCAGGATTATGTAGAGGTGTGCACCTTGGTGGCTCGCACGCCATCGGCCACGAACTTGGGACCATGAACGTCGCTCACGGTCACACGTCGTGCGTTCTATGCCCTGCGGTCATGAAATACAACGCCCACGTCAACGCACATCGGCAACAACGCGCTCTCGTCGCCCTTTGGTCCGACGACTATATCCGCCAAACGCTAGAAAACCGAGGCCTGAAGCAGTCTTCGGCGGACTTAGGAGATCTGCTTGATGGGCTGTTTCGCGAGTTTGGGATGCCGAGGACGTTGAGGGAAGTGGGTGTGGAAGGGGATCAGACGTTGCAGCTCCTTGCGGAAAGGTGTCTGGAGGATCCCTGGTGCAGAACGAACCCTGTGCCGCTGACGACGAAGGCGCAGGTCATGGAGATTTTGAGGTCGGTGGAGAGATGATGGGGCGAGCGAGAAGGTTGGCGAGGACTAGATAGTGTGTAAATTGGTAAGGAGACTGGATCAAGTTCCAGCCCTTTGAGTCTCCCCAGCCTTGCATGCCGACATATACGATCGGTTTCGGACGGGGCCCAGTCACGACAGCGTCGAGCAACATTCCACAAGGAAGAGGCCCAAGAGACCAATTATTTGTGCCCACTAAATCAAACAGTCCGCAAGGGCTCTATAAACTCCTATTTCCGAGCTTGACATATGCAGCACGAGAGCATCGTCCCAAATTTGTCAGCAGTGCCTGACAAGACGGCGGTAGTAAACCTTCCTTCAGAAGCATCCTGACAAGTACTGAAAAATCAAATAACTAGCACAAACTCGCACAAGCTCCGAAATAAAACAGATCTGGGCAAAATGTCAGTACACATAAATGAAATCGACATGGTCACCACTCCAAAAGGATAGACGGTTATTTACCACCTGGTGACCGACTTCCAAAAACAAAATTCCATCATGAAGGCCATAATCTGGAACGGCACAGCTCCCGAACTCGTTACCGACCGCCCCCACCCTCGTCTTCGCCCAGATTATCTCCTGATCTCGACTATCGCGGTGGCTCTCAACCCTACTGACGTCAAGGCGATTTCTCAATCCCGCGCCGCACGCAATGGACTCTTAGGATGCGACTTCTCTGGCGTCGTTCTCGAAACCGGATCTGCCGTGGTGAAACCGTTCAAAAAGGGTGATCGGGTCTTTGGATTCGCGCATGGTGCGAATTTCAATGAAGCGGAGGATGGGGCGTGGGCGGAGGTGATTGCGGCCAAGGGTGACTGCTGTATGAAGATACCGGAGACGTGGAGCTTTGAGGAGGCGGCAACGGTGGGCGCCAGCTCGATCACCTGTGGACAGGGCTTGTTTCAGGAGATGAAGCTGAGGTTGCCAAGCGTGGACGGCGATGTTGTCGAAGCAGGAAAGGATAAGGAGTATATTTTGATCTACGGCGGGAGTTCGTCGGCGGGGACGTTGGCGATCCAGTATTGCAGACTGTGAGTTTTCCTCTGACTGCCAAGTCTCCGCGTTGTGGAATGAGGAGTTGATCCAGCATATGCACTCACTCACTGATGTTTTGACCCTAGAGCTGGTTATACTGTCCTGACAACCTGCTCGCCTCGCAACTTTGACCTCTGCAAATCCCGCGGCGCTGAGGCCGTGTTCGACTACACCGATCAGACCTGTGGCGAACAGATCCGCGAGTACACCAAGGGTCAGTTGAAGCTAATCTGGGACACGATCGGCTCCGCCGACGGCGTCAAGATCTGTATGACGGCTCTTTCTACCGACCCGGGCGCAGACAAGAAGTACGGCACGATTCTCTTCAACGACATTCCGCGGAAGGACGTGAAGCACAGTTTCAGTGTACTGGTGACGTTTGCGGGCGAGGCTTTTGACAAGTTCGGGAAGCATTATCCGGCAAGTCGGGGCCAGTTCGAGTTCGCGAAGATGTTCACAGGGCTCACGGAGGTTTTGGCGGCGCAGGGAAAGTTGCAAGCGCACCCTGTGAGGCTCATCGGCAAAGGCCTGCTGGGTATGTTGGAAGAAGGTGTGCCGCTTGGGAACGAAGGGAAAGTAAGCGGGTTCAAGATAGTGGCCAGACTGGCAGAGACGCCGTGAGGTCTTTTGGCACGGTAGAATGAGCAGAGCTTGCAAATCATGGGCAAAGAAAGAGATGCAGGACCATCGGTCGTGGAGGAACGTGGTACATGACGCTGAGGCCAGCAATTGAATAGTACTGCCAGACTGAATTCCCACTCATTCATTGACCAGAGAGACTATCCTCGCCGCTTTGACGGACAGCCCTCAGCTGCGCCTATCAAGGGTGGCGCGTACTCTCCGAGGTTTAGCGTTCTTGGCATCAAGGGGAACCCACCTTCAAAAGCGGCGGCGGCAACCGCCAAATTCGGCGGGAGATTTCCCTGCAACTTTGCGTTGAACCGTAAGAATTGTACTGACACGGAAATCTATAATGCTGCCATATTCTTTGTGATCTTGCTTTGTCAAACTATTCAATTCACCTCCAGGACATTTTTGTTGGGCGAAGTATCCACCGTACCCTCTCCCTGTGCGCTATTTACAATCTTGTCACCATGGCCCAACTTGGTCTCCACGTCCACTCCTCCTTTAACTGTTTGCAAAACGACACAGTATCTTTCACTCAGCTCAATCAATTTGTTCACCTTTGACTTATACTCCTCATCCACGTCTAGCTGTACAATGAGCCTGATTTTGGTAAATCCCACGGAAACAGCATTCCCGTCTGGATCTTTGATCCCCATTGTACCTCTGAAGTCGAGATCGCCCTCTGCAATGATGGTTCCATTGTTGATTGGAATGCCCAGACTCGTGGCCACCGCCCGCACCGTGACGCCAAAGCAGGCCACCAATGATTCAAGCAACATATCTCCAGAGCACAGCTCACCTGACGCGTCAAAACCCTCTCCTCCCGCAGCTTTATGAAGGCCAGCCACTTTACGAGCCGCAGTGCCAGCGGAAAGAGAACATGTCAGACTTGTCGAGGTAGGATCAAGGCTTCCGGAGGAGGAAAGGGTGACAAGGGCGGAGGATGGGTCAGAGCGGTATTTGTCTTTGAGAGGCTTTTGTTTGGCACGTAGTGAAGTGGCCGCGGCCATCACTGCGTCAGACATCTTGAATATGGTGTGTGCGAGAGATGACTTTGGTCGGGACGATGGATCGCAGAGGTTCACCCAGGCCGCGACTCTTATTGGCTGCTTAACTGGTGGATAAGCGAGTTCAAAAGTGGAAGGTAACGAAGGGAATTTGGGAGGACTTTCGAAGCTGTGAGGAATAACAAAAGAAAACACTTCGGTATCGCATAAGAGGAAGTATCAGCTTCTGCCAGACACCGAACTGAGAAGATATTGATTCGGCCATCGGGGGAGTCGAGTTGGTGAAATATAACACAAACATTCCCTTTACCCCTCATCAGAATTGTGGAGGCTCGGATACTTTCCATTACGCAGGGTAGAAGAATCCCTATCTTGATCCATTGCTCCAGGCCGGGCCTCTGTGAGGAGTCTGGATAGCGGTTTGGAAGGAGATGGCCTCCATATACGATTGACTTAAAAGGCAAAATGTTTTCATGGCGAGAAAGACACGCACACAGATGTCGTCAGTCTTGGCCTATTTCCATCCGCAGTCACGTGTGGGAGGGAACACAGACGTACTGAGTATCAGTGGTTCTTCCGTCTCAAGAATACACCCTTTTGGCGTACACATATTAAATAAAAGCATTTCAATCGGCCACAGCATTCAGGTTTGGCAAGCCCCAGAACATGTGCCCGACTCGGCTTCCGCAAGGCCACAGGTGGATATTTAATGGCTGACAAAGTCCCGCAGAAAGAACGGATGGATACGTCACAGCCCATCAAAACACCAGAGGATATGCCCGATCCCGCAACTTGATACGTGAAACTTTCCCGGTGCCTTCTGCAACGACAAGAACCTTTCGTCCCACCAATGTTCGACATGTACAGTACACAAATACTGATGGCCAACATCCTCTCATCCAATATTGCACTTATTGGAAGCTGGAGATGGCCCTGACCCTCTTTACCAATGATCAAAGAGACATACGGAGAAATAGATGTGCGTTTCAAATGGAGGAGCGTTCGGGCTAGCATCGACACGAGGACCGGGTTGCTACTCCGCTGCATATGACGCCCCAGTCGATCTCTCCCTCTCCATCAAACAAAGACCCGTCAGCGACGATCCATCCCTTCTCCGAGAGAGTTGGGAGATTATCGTGGCAATTCCGCCGTTCGATGGAATCTTGCATGACGTTTCGAAGATCCAATTAGAAAGAGAAAAATGTTCAGACTAAGACAGAATCGGGTAGCCAATTCTCATGCCCACAAGTGCGCATGGTCAGCCAGTGCCGCTGGTGTCGATCCGTTCTCCGTCAACGATCCATCGCACCGGATATTGCGCACAAGCTGAACGGAAGGCGCACATCATAGAACCAATTGAGGTCTGCTGTCATTCCCCCGGTCGGAGAAAGCAAACTCGAGCACAAGTTCATCTGGACGAGTACAAGGATATTTGCAGCTAGCGAATTGCCGTGGCGTGAGAGAAAAAGAGAAATAGAGATGGAAAAGAGGATACTTTGCACAAAGCTAGTGGAGTATTTCTCGGACATGGGCATATCAGCGAGTAGATTGGCTTTGTCATCTGATGGCTATCGGAGCCTTAGGAAGCGCGAAATATTGCATTACGGTCAATTCTGAATACCTTGAGATCCATTCAGACATTTGCCCATTCTTGACGACTCTTTTCCCGACTTCGAATTTTCCAGCCTTCCTGCTCACTTCGCCTTCCCTTCTCTCCCTCATCTCTCAGCCTTGTGTGTTGGGCCCTCCGGTTTTCCAACTTAGATAGGCAAACGTCAAATCCAGCATTGTCATATAGCAATTATAATGGAGAACTACGACAAGCAAAAAGACTCTCCCATGCACATCCCACAAATGCGTCCCCAGCACTCGCCATCATCCTCCCGGCCGGCTTCTGACGAAGTTACTTTCTCCCATGACGATGTTCCTCTTCGCAACAACGACACTAGCAACCAAAATACAACTGGGAATGTGGAACCATACTACTTCCACGCTGAACATGGCCCCCCTATCGATAATGTGTTGAAATATGATGAAGCCGAAGAAGACTATCAACACCACAAGGACCTATGGTGGAGCAGAGTCCGGCACTACATGCGCGACCCCTTTGCAGAGTTCATGGGCACTCTTATCATGATCCTCTTCGGTGATGGTAGTGTTGCACAGGTCACGTTGAGTGCGAATCCAAATTTACCCCAGAGCAGTCAAAATAAAGGTGACTATCAGTCGATTTCTTGGGGGTGAGTTGACACTCTTTGCTTCTAAGCTCCCTCTTCCCTGGAGGGTAGTTAATTTTTTTTCCCCCTCCCTTCCGGTGAAAACGATTCCAGTCCTCAGAAATCTTTGATCTCTCATCGAAGAATCAAGAGCTAATTTGGGCTCTCTCCTTGAACAGATGGGGCATCGGCGTCATGCTCGGAGTCTACGTGGCCGGCTGTGCAGGCGGCCACCTGAACCCGGCCATCACCTTCGTGAACTGCTTGTACCGCAAATTCCCCTGGTGGAAATTCCCCATCTACGCCTGTGCCCAGGTCATGGGCTGCTTCTGCGGCGCCGCCATCATCTATGGCAACTACAAATCCGCTATCGATCAATACGAAGGCGGTGCAGGTATTCGTACGGTGCCAGGCTACTCTGACACAGCCACCGCTGGCGTCTTCTGCACCTATCCACAACCTTTCCTGACCAAGACTGGCCAGGTGTTTTCTGAGATCATCGCCAGTTCCGTCTTGGTCTTCATCATTTTTGCCATGAAGGACGATGCGAACCTCGGTGCTGGCAACTTGATTCCCCTGGGTTTATTCTTTCTCATCTTTGGAATCGGTGCGACTCTCGGTTGGGAGACCGGATATGCCATCAACTTGGCTCGTGACTTTGGCCCTCGCCTGTTCACTTATATGGTCGGATACGGCCCACACGTCTGGGCCGCCGGGGATTATTATTTCTGGGTATGTAATATCTCCTCCTTTTCCTCTTATGACGATTCAAACTTTTGCTGACGATGGATCGTCGGTCCTAGGTGCCCACGATATGCCCTTTTATCGGTTGCACCTTTGGAGGTTTCTTGTATGACACTCTGATTTATACCGGCGAGTCGCCGATCAATACACCATGGATGGGTTTGAAGCGAATTGTCCGCCCATCTCGCAAGGGTATCAAAAATGCGATCACAGGACGTCCGGAAAAACAGGTCTAAAAAGGGGCCAAGAAGGATGTTAGACCCAGATTTACAGAAGAGGAAACCGATTTTGATGAAAAAAGTTCGGCCAGAATTGGTCAGTCAGGCGCGTACGATAGCTGACATTGATGAATCCAGTAACGTGCCCGACATGGAACGTGTGATGACAAGAAACGTCGGCCTTGAATGGTCCTTATTTTGGATTTGAAGTCAGGTCTGTGAATCAAAATTAAAAAAAAGGGCATGGGCGCACCGTGTCTTTAGCGCGGCAATTCGCAACAACTTGAACATGATGATATCTTCATGATTAGTTTTTGGTTTATGTCTTCTGTTTCTTTTTCTGCGGCCCACCATCTTCCTCATCACTCAGATCAGCATAGATGGTTTTTGGCTGCGTCTTCTTCCAGGCATTGGTGAACATGGGATCTTTCTCCGCCTTTTCAGCATACTTGAGCAGCGCCTCTCTGGGGTCCTCCTCTCTCATCGTACTAAGAGGAATTCTCTCCTTGATGTGTCGCTCGTCAGGCTGACTTTTGGCAAATGGCGTCGAAACCGGTACATGTGGCCGTCTTGGATCTCTGGATCTTCCCGAGGCAGTGAGACCAATGGTTGGATGTCTCGACGTGAAGCTACTGCTTTGTATAGCTTCATTGCTTGTTCCGGAATTCACAATTGCATCACCAGATACACCTTGCGATATATCAGTGGTCAGACTCGGGTCGTCATCGACATGTCGACGTTTCGGTTGCTTGGACATCACCATGACGGCTCCTTTTGTGGAAATTTTTGGGTTGAAGAGTACATGTGTCTCGGCATGGGCACTCCCTGTGATGATCTGATTGAGCTTATCATGCCAAAGTACACTAATAAGGGGTAATTCAGGAGTGACTGGTGTGACAAGCTCTGGTTTAAGAGTGGCGGGATTGAGGATGTGTAAGTCCCCAGTCTCCGACCCGGTGATGATGGAGGATGAGTTTGGTGCGAACATGATGTTCGACGTCGGGTGTTGGCTCGATGTCGAGACGTGCGATGCGGTATTCACCGGTTGTTTGAATTTTCGTGTGTCCCATAGCTTAATTGTATTGTCGCCACCTCTTGTGACGACGAGTCGGCCATCTGAACCGATGTCAATGCCGCTTGTCCAAGTGTTGCTTTCATGGGCCTGGCTGATCTCTGCACTAGGTCTGGTGTAAGGACCATCTCCCCCCCACATGAGGAGGGAACCATCAAGAGCTGCAGCTACAAGAAGGCTATTGGAACTTTCAACCTGACCGCCCCAGGTCACAGCCGTCATTCTACTTCGGCCTGCTGAGCCAGCCAGTTTCGATTTGTGAACGATTACGTCCTTCTGCTTCGTCCGCACATTGACATCCCAGATACGAAGGGTACTGTCTGTTCCCGCGGTCACACAGAGATCGTAGACATGAGGATGCCACGTTCCGCTTGTGATCTCACTGATGTGGCCTTTGGTCATGTTCATGTCTCGGAGATACATGTCACCTTTGATGAACTCGGTCATTACCTCGCCGTCGCGAGACAATATTCTCGCCTGGGGTGTCGCGGAGATCACAAGCACTTGGCTTGGTGAGTTTGGATTGAATTTCGCCACGTGAATGGGATGAGATTCTGAATTCGCAGAAGACTTCGTGGCGGTAGGATCAACTGATTTGAATGCGCGGAGAGTATTGGGGGTCATGGTAGCAAAGTCATAAAGTTTGATGGTGCAATCCGTTGAGCCTGTGATCATGCGAGACCCGGAGGCGTCTACGGTGATGGTGGTCACGGCGCGGTCGTGCGTTTTGAACACGATTTCATGAGAAGTGGGATATTCGTCTTCATCTTCCGAGTCACCGTCTGAATCCTCATCGGAGTCACTGTCGCTCTTTGACGCTGTTGATGTGGAAGCCTGAGGTGCCGTCGATCCGAGCACCTTCCGCCTTGCTTTCTCCATCTGGGCCGTTGGATCGAACCCCTCTCCCGACCCGCCAAACGAGGTCGGGAGGAAGTCCTTGAAAGTCTCTTTATCCATGTGGATGAAGAGTAATGGTATGTTTTCTATGTGATCATGTGGCCAGTGATCAAGAGAGATGGGGAGCGGTTTCCTCGCCGAGGGATTCTGGGTGCTGGAGTCGATCGCACTGTCACCTTGTTAGGGGAAAGTTTGGTGGTAGTCCACAGGATAAAAATTCGTAGGATCTTTTCGACTAATCTTTCAGAAGGATTGGATGCGGTGGGAAGTTCTTCTCGGATGCTCAAATTCATCAATCACGGCCTTGGCATAGGCTGCATTTGATCGTCTCAATGCTCCAAAGAAACATCGTGATATCTATGCTCCCCCGCACCGATATCCCGAGGTATTTTCCCGTCGAGAACAAGTCGGCAGAGGATGGAGCGATATGGAGCCTTTGAGAAGGCCGGACTTGATTAACATCAGAACGAACCCCTAACGCCTTACGACGAGTTTGACAGCGAACGGAGATATACGAAAATCTTGCCCTTTTTGCCGAACTCGATGACGCGATACAAACGTCAATGGCTCGAGGCCGCGGGCCATGGGATAACGTCGATGGGAGAACGGAAGATGCCATTCACGAGGCCAACCAATTAGCCAGTGCGGAGAAGTCCATGGAGATCGATCGGCTATGCCGCAGAATAAAGCATCTCACTATATTCAGGTATACATATATTTCCTTGGCCGGATCCGCGAAAGAGATTTGCCGGCACGTTAAGAATTTCTCTTTCATATACCTGACCCATCTCTCCGGAGTAGAATTGGACGCAATGGACGTCCACAGTGCGTTTACACTCGACACGACAAAGTTTGGGCCGGGGACGATATCGGAGGAAACCAAGACCTTTAACCAAAAGCTGATGGATATTATGTCCAAAGGGCCAAAGTGGTACGAGGTGAGTTTCGGGCCGCTGGGCACATCTCTGCATTCCAGGAACATCCATTCAAATACCCTTCTCTCCAGGTCGGTGCAAAGCGATACCGTGAAATGCGAGCGGCGGGCGAAACTCCGCTCCCCAAAGCCGTCTATCTAGATTCTGCTGAAGATATCACGATCCCATCGAGAGATGCCGGACGGACGATCCCCTGCCGGATATTGAGACCTCAAAACGGCAAGCCCGTGAAAGCGGTCTTCCTCCACATCCATGGCGGAGGCTGGGTTCTCCAGGACGAAAGGTCCCAGGACCCTTATCTCCAGGGCATTGCGAATCAGACTGGCACTTTGGTGTTCTCTGTCGGCTACCGTCTGGCGCCTGAGCATCCCTTTCCGGCGGGACCAAACGATTGCTACGATGCGGTAGAGTGGTTGGTCGACAATGCAGAATCCAAATTCGGTGCACCGCTAGGGTTTATCGGAGGCGAATCGGCAGGAGGGCATTGCAGCATGCTCACCGCATTGCATTTGTTGCAGTCTCCGGTGCCCAAGTATGCTAGTTTCCGCTTAAAAGGTCTTCTGTTGCATTTTGGTTGCTATTCCATGGTTTGGATGCCCCGTGTTTACCACTTCAAAAGACCCGAGGTCCTGGTCCTGGACCGAAATCTGATGGATCACTTTGTCGAGGCTTTTGCCCCCGGTATAACGGAGGAACAAAAGAGAGATCCGTCAATCAGTCCTCTCTATGCGGATCTGGAACCGTTGCGCGGTAAACTTCCGCCGGCGCTGTTCACTTGTGGAACCGAAGATTGTTTGTTAGATGACACCATGTTTATGAGTACGAAGTGGTTGATGGCTGGAGGGGAAGCGGTGATCAAGATCCTTCCCGGAGCGCCTCACGGATACATTATATTTCCTCGGGACATTCCAGGGAGTGGTGCCGCCGAAGGACTAGACGTTACCGAGAAATTTATGCTATCAAGGATGGCTTGACGTCGAACACAGGCAGTGAGATTCAAAGAGAAACGGTCCTCGATAAAGGAGGGAAACTGTAGTGAAGTGACCTTTTCCTCAACAAACACGTGTTCTCAAGTTGACCTCCTTTTTGGTCAGTGGATTTTTGAATTGAAATTTTCCCATGAGCCGGTATCTCTGTAGAGCATTCTGTTTTGTTACACATTTGACGAGTTTGAGACCCGAACGCATCTCTTCATTCGATCATGTCAATATCATCTGCTCCTTCAGCCTGCCTATCCTGTCCTGCTGGGGCAGTATTGTTACCACCCTCGCCTTGAGCATTATTGCCTGCATTCCCCCAGTAATCATCCATCTCGGCGTCAAGTTCTTCAGCAGTTTTCCGCGGTCGACCGTTGACCAGTTTATGACCTTCGGCATCTCTGGCCGCACGTTCTCGTCTCTCACCTGGTCTGCGACCTCCACGATGACTTGAGCTTCGACTGTCACCTTGTCCTGGAACATATCGGTCGATATTATCAGGAGGTGGTTTGGTCACATCACTTCTACGTTCTCTCGGCTGACCTCTCCTCGGAGCACGTCGAGAAACACGATCTTCCTCAACCTCTTCCATCGGACTGTCACTTCGTCTGCGACTACGTCCAGCTGGAGCTTCAATTCTGTCAAAAAGACTCCTTGGATTCTCGACACGATCAAATGGATTGTCTCGTCTTGGGAGAGGGAGAAGTGTGAGACGAATAGGTTGACCCTTGGCATTCGCACCGTCAAAGTCACGAATGGCAGCTCTGGCATCTGCAACATGCTCATAGGTTACAAAGGCAATACCTTCAGAACGCCCGGCTCGATCATAACGAAGTCTAGCGTCCATGACGGGGCCAATGCGCGTAAACAAATCCTAAACGCATTAGTATGGAGATAGCTCTCTTCCAGGCTTCTATGTACCTACCCAGATATCGTCCTCGGTCAAATCGTAGTGGAGGTTGTCAACGCGGAGTTTGGCTGGAGGAGGTCTACATTGTCAGTTGTGGCGTGCGCCAAAAGCTTCGGCGCTGCTCACCTTTCGGGCCCGGGAGAACGATCATCCCCTCGACGGTCTCTCCGTTCTCTTGGGCGATCATAACCCCGACGGTCTGCTTGCTTGAGTCAATAGACGTCAATGTGAAAGCCGCAGTGGCCTCGTACTGTCTGGCTCGTCATCGTATCGATCGTGAACCCAGTCACTGCCATCTCTTAGTCTCATTATCTCGGCCGGCCAGCCAGCCAGGGCAAATCCTTACTTATCAAGATTTGTTCGATCATCTCTTGCAGACTGTAGTGGAGGAAAATCTAGTCAGCTGTATGTCAAAATATCCCTGGCCTGAATCGCGTCGAATGTCAAAGCAACACTTCGCTAGACTTTCGAGATGATGCGGCGATCAATCGTACCGGCGGAACAGGCGGGTGTTATGGAAGAGGAGAGGAGATCCGGACCTAGATCAACAGTGTGAGAATAGGCAAGGCTGCTGATGCAGTCAACACCACCTACCTTTCTGACTCCATCGCGTGGATAGTTGTAGTCTCGACGACGCGGAGGAGGTGCTCTTCGTCCTCGATTCTGGGCCCGCTAGTCGACTATCAGTATATGGCAATCCATTTTTGGGCCAAAATTGTCACCAACCTGACGCTCGGCGATGGTTTCGTCTAAACTGCGATCCATGGAGGTTGAGGGTAATGGGCCGGAGAATTTCGTCTATACCAGGATGCAGTGAGTCGAGATGTCGAGTCTTGGAGGTGAAGAAGGGTTCCTGTTTGCTCTATGCAGAACAATGGGCTTTGTACAGTCTCAAAGTGTCTCAAGGCATTGCCTGCCAAATACCGTCAAAATGTCCTACAATCCTACTACCACGACGAGTTACACTGCAAGGCCCAACTTGAAGCTACCCTGCTTTCGGAGTCATTGTGACGCCGCTTTTTGATAGGTGGAGCCAGCCAATCAAGTCGTTCTCGGCCCAATTCTCAATATTTTCGTGCCTTTCAGTCCTTACACATGACTCGCCTGTCATGGGTCTCCATTTGGGATCCCTTCCCTCTCTTAATCAACAGCGTAACAAGTCCTGGATTACCGTTATAAACCGCCCGACCCTAGGCAACTGGTTCCCGATCCGGGATATGCTGTTGACGTTCGATCCAGCATCAAATAACATTCTAGTCGCTTCAACATGTCGATTCGGGTCTTTAGACTCCCACCGATAGCAGACAATCTCTAGCAACGGTGTTTGACCAAGACCACTACGATTAACACCCGCTCCGGCATCAATCGAGACCTTCATTATCTCGATATGGGCGTGCTACGCAGCAATGCCGAGCACCGACCCGGCGCCCTGAGGCCGTACCTAGGATCATCAGGAAACACGGGTACGTTGGTGATGATGGGAGAGCTGGGGCTCACCCCTAGGCTGAGAAGCCTACGGATGGGCAGCGACAAGATTCTAGCACGCAGCGGACCCAACCACCGATTGATTCTCGAAGGTCCTCGCGTGGATATCAACCTCATATTCGATGAGATGATTGAGAAACTCGAGCACCTTTTCATCAAGACAATAGACAACTCGTGCTGAGCAGGATGCGAAAGGGAAAACCTATCGCTCGATCTCTGCTCATTCGGGTCCGTGCCACACTCGAGGAGGAGAGTCGTGATGGCGAGGGAATGACAACGCTGGACAGCGTGGTGCAGAGGAGTTGATGCGTTCATTGACTTTTCGCTGACAGGCTCAGAATTCTTTAGCAGCTGCCGTACCTCTGCTCTGTCATTACATTCCACGGCTCCGCGAAGTGGAATGAATGATCGCATGGAAGGCTAGTGAAAATTCTGCAGCTCCAACACGCAGCACTACTGTTTCTCAGCTGGCCCAATTCGAGTCGATTCCGAAGGTGTCGTTCCACAAGCTTGGGGACGTTAAAATTGTCTTGAGAGGCCTCAAGATATACCCTTGAAATTGAGATCTGAGCACGATTGTCTTACTTTCCCCCAAACATGACTGCGGAGACTTTTCCACGTGACTCACGTATTCGAGCGAATCCCTCACGGTGTTCAATTGACGCCCATAAAGCTTCTAGAACGCGTCCTGGTCCTGTGTTGAACCATTGTGGTCGAGCTTGTATGTCGTCCAAAGAGGCTCTACCTGAACTGATAAATCGGAAACTTCGAGCGCTGCATTCCCCAAGTCTTTATCGGCTTCACTGACGCGCACGTCCTTATTGGATTGAGAGAGCCTGTCAAGCTCGAGCTCAGCGAGTCTCAGTTTAAAGAATGGTCGGTCCTTGGGAGCGTCCGCCTTGATGCTTTGGACCTGATGCCACAGCGATTTTGCCATCAAAGACCATCTCCTAGCCTTTGGGAGCGCTGTCACGTCATTTGAATTATCTCTTTGGCCGACAAGGTAGCGCGCACATGCGTTTACAGTCAAAGGGTCCCGCAATGAAAGCCGAGTCTTCAACTCCATCTTTATCTTCGTCCTCTTCCTCATCATTTCTTAAATCGATCTTCTCCATGAACTCATTGCACGATTTCGAAGCCTGTTCTTGAGAAAGCACAGTAAATAGCATTCTCATGGCGCCTGCGATTCCTACGGATGACCTTCCGTATCCAAGTTGCATATCTTCCGAAAGCCTTCGTGGGCCGGCTCTGAGACAGCATTGACACACGGGGACTGAGTATCCTCAGTGTAGAGCCATCAGGAGGTTTGGGAAGTGAAGACCACAATTTGAAGATAAATCTCGAAAATATGAATCTGGGATACATTGACCGAAGCCATCGGCCCGTTTTGGTCGGTCTTACCTCCACTTCGCAAAGGCTCTCCGGCTCAGTTCTAGGAGACTTCTCCAAATAGAACGAGCTCGTTCCAAGTTATCTCGAGATTACTACAGGCATGCATACTTGCAAAAGCTGTCAAGAGCCCAAAAAGGAGAATTTCATGTTCTGAGAAAATCCTCCAGCAGCCCGCATGATCGTCGTTCAAGGAAGAAACCCGCATACTCAACAGCCACTGGGAACGGGTTTTATGGGAATCCAACAATTTATCATGAAAGGTGTTTCCTTCCTTGAAATTGCCCAATCGATTCAGCCGAGCGAACGCCTCGACCTTGTCCCGGGCTGCTTGATTCTTGGTAACAAAGGTAGTCTTTTATTCAACGATTCAAGTTGATTTTGATTTTTACATCACGAGTCGGCAGACTTTGGACCTGTGCAATCATTGAAGCTCGAATACGAGGCTCCCTGTCCAACTTTAAGACAGAGCTGAAACCGTTCGATACTTCTTCTCTTCAACATTTCCGTCCTCCACCTCCATTCCCTATACAGATATCTGGAAGAAGATGCATTGTTGATATGAGTGTTGGGAGTCAGAAATTTGGCAAAACCCAAGTTGTCTGCTTCTACTACGGGTTAAAGTTGAAATGGAGAGTCATCGAATCCGACAATACAAGAATCGTCGACTTTGGGCTTCCAGTGTCTCAGACCTCGAACTATCATCCAACTAGGTCGACATGCGCATGTCTTTCAAAGCTATAGAAGAACGCACGAACTCTCCTCCCACCTTTATGGAGTATATTGTGCCATAAAGAACCTGGGGGCTCGAGGGAGTGGAACGGATGAGCGTGGACTCGACACTTGAGAGTGCAAGCTGACACTCCGGGGATCACGACAATCGATCTAGGTGAATGGAGATGCAAGAATGACTACAAGCGTCCGCAAAGATGGTCATTTCGGGGGTAAGACACTCGCTGACGGGGAAGGAGCGCGTCTGTTATCAGATTGTGCGTGGCCGTGGGATTCTAATCCCAATGAGCAACAGTCAGAGACCAGGTATCTATATCTGGCTGTCACGGTGCAGCATGCATCCGTCCCGTTTTCTGTCGAAGTGGCAGTCGGTTGGAAATTAAGAGAGCATGACCTGAGAGCAGTCAGAAGCATGTTTTGAGGCCGGCGGAATTGAAGAATTGCATCAATTGAGCCTCTAGGACTTCAAGCGAATCTCCTCGCTGAAGCTCTGGGTCTTGATACGGGGATCACGAGGAAGAACCGCCTCCTTCTGCCCTATAAGTGTTCTTCTAAGCCCCCGTTCCAAAATTTGGAAACGTGATTAGAGAAGTATTGGCCAAAGCAAACCGCGCACTGATAACAGATTCAGTAAACGACAACAACGAAGGACCGAGTCCAAATGTACCTGCGAAATAGATTGAACCGGCGAGGACAAACGAGCTTGCCAAGCAAGATGATATTTCGAGGCAAATTGAAACCCGAATGATGATGATACAGCGAAAAAGGATGCTGGGCCTGCAAAGCCAGACGAAACTAAGAAGCCGGATGAAGATGCCCAAATGCTGAGCAGAAGAGACTAATGAAGACACGAGACACAGGACGAGCTTGCGAAACCAGACGGACCTGCTCCTTGCATGAAACAGGATCCATCGCTCGAACTAGCTATATCTATGTTAACAAATAACACACTAGAACCACGCACAGCTCTGGAACCTCCAAAGCCCTCAGAATCCGCTACATCGAGTTCCACCTCTTCAAATGTCGACCCGCAGCCGGAAGACGAAGAAGCTCGGATCACCAATCCATATAGTCACCAGCCGAACGATTGGCAGAGAACCGTGTCTTCTTCCGCACTTTTATTCTTACGTTGAAAGAGCTGTCAAAGCCCCTTATGTGCTTCATCGTAAAAACAGACATTCGGGTTTCTGCCTGAACTCGGATTGGCATGTGGCTCAAGGGCGAAGCTAGGGAGAGGGAGGGGAACGATGGCGAACTCAAGTGATGAAAGAGTTTGAAAGGTTGATTTCCTGCCCTTATATATATAGAGCATTATAATATGTATCATAATCGAGTCTGGATGCTCAGTGGACGCCATTTCTGGACCGAGGGCTCAGGTCAATAGTAATGGCAGGTTATTCATCTAATATTCGGGAGTCTTCCTCGTACAAGCTGAGGGCGTAGTGGCCCCTCCAGGATTAACGGGAAGCGAATGCTCCCTTCACATGAGCAGGACAATACGTTTCCAGCCAGGGCCTTAGGCCGAAGATTCGCTCTGTGATGCTTGGATGGCTCATAACCCGCTTTAACTGTACCAACGTCTTACATTAGGGATGAACGTGTAACAGTGGCTGATGGTCCGATTTACTCTTCAAATTTCATGTCCGTGCATGAGATAGCTTCATTCTTGCTGACTATCTGGATAGAGGCTACCCCGGACCTGTGAGGTCGAACATGCTTCCGTCCAGATACTCTCACCCAGTTGGCTGCAAATATAGGGCCACCAGATAAATTTGGATAATATGTCCTCCTCCAACGACCGCCAGTCCAGAGTATATCCGGAAGAGATTATATTGCCCAAGTAGTTGACGTACCAGGGCCGTTGTGAAGTGGATGTCGAAGCAACTCCACCCAGGACAACTATCCAAGTCAACAAAGCGGGATATTCGGACCAGACATTGTCGCCTTCAATGATTGGGACATTCAAGAGATTTTCGCGAAGCATGCCAAGTAACCTATCAGCCACGCCAGATTCTATGGGTAGAGGGAACAGGGCCATGTTGGAGAAAATCAGGAGCCCGAGACGACAAATCTCAAACAAGAAGCGTTGGACACGAGCACCTGTAGTCGAAATGGAGCCTGAATCGGCCGCTGGAAGGCTGAGCAAGTGATGTTGCACAGCATTCCGGGCTCTGAGCAGGGTGGGAAGACTTGTTGGATTTCGTCCCATTCTGTCATATTGATCGAGGGCCACCACAACATCTCGCACGTATCGTATAGTATCATTCAAACATCGCAATTCATCAATCTCGTCAAACCATTTTCCCAGCTTCTGAAACATCTGCTGAGCCCGATGATCTGGCACGTAGCTGTTGGCTAAGTCTAAGAGACTCGTTGGGTGGCTCCAGGGGAATCTCGGCGTCGTATGTTCTCGGGTGGCGAAAACAAGATCCACACTGTTTTGCCAGCAATCAGTGAGCAGGGACTCCTCTTGGAGAATTGCGATAAATAAACAGAAAATTGCTTCATACATCTCAAGTACATCAGATAAACCATTGAGTGCGATGTTTTCAAGGCCCCCCTTTGCACTGACTAGCAGATAGAGGGCCTGTAGGTGTTCAGGTTCCGCGCGCGCCGATCCATAGACATTGAGATTCTGTGTGTTGGCCAGTGGTGATAATGGGATCTCTGAGCCGCTGGCCAAGTATTTTCCACCTGAAGGCTCTGCGTGCGCGGCCAACGCTGCTATCCCAATGATAAGATGGTCTGTGGGGAGGGCTCGTGTTCCATCCTCTAGATTTTTGATTTCTTGTTTAAGATTTCGGAGGCATTCTGCATAGTGGTGAAACAGCAATATGCGTTCCGGTCCGGGGTCTTTTCGAACGAGTAGGATGGTACGCAGCATCGCGTATGCTAAAGCGTGCAGGGCGACGGGGGACTCGATGGCGGCGCCCATCCATGCCTTTGCGACCGGATTCACGCTCCCATCTTGGATGGTTGGTCGTACTCTTGACCACTTATACCGGGATGCTAGGGAACGAAATTAGAGTCTGCATTGATAGGTCTTTGCAAGTCGAAGAGATCCGGGGCACAAAGGCATAAGATCATACTCACCGGTCTGGAGCAAGGAGAGTACGTATGGAGGTAGATGACGAACGGAAAAGGTATCGAAGGGGTCATCATCGCCCCCATCCAGCCTTGTTTTCGAGAATGATTGATGTTTAGGGATCGGAGCAAGGCTTGTACTAGGATGGTCCAGAATCGAGTTTTGTGAGCCCATCGCCAACCTGAATCTGGCGAACTTGGGGTGGGTAGACTTGGGTGGTATTTGCGCTTCCCACATCCCACCGGCTAAGGGGGCTTCTGAGCGGCGTCTGGCATGAGACTTGCGAGCTGCGTGGGCACGCGCTCGTTGATCCTGTCGTTCATGTTCTTCCTGACAGTCTTTGCTCGGGGTGGAAATGAGGAAGAAGAATTCATCTGGCATTGACATGGGTGTGTTGAATTCATGGCATCATCAGCCTTGTTCTATTGTCGAGGCTGTCCGCCACATGAGAAGTGTCTTTAGCAAAAGCCGAGAGAAAGATCGACAAGTATTTCGCGCCCTGGTGGGAGAATTTCAGTTAATCAAGAAGCTGCAAGGGTTCCTAGATATATATAATCCTTTCTGGATGCGGGGGTGGTTTATACCATCAGCTCGCCTATCACTGGAACCCACCAAAGGAAGTTAGTGACCAGTCCCGTAACTATGTCCAGTTAGACTTCTAAAGGGCCTTTCCTGGTCTAGGATGCCGGTTCCTCCCCGCAATCCGTTGCAGACATTTCAGCTTGCTGCGTAATCATTGTCAAACATGTTCCCGCCAGGACATCGCGAACAGTACCAAGAACTCACAACAGCCATAAATGTAGGCAAGAGGTACGAATCCTGTACGAAAGACCGAATCCGAGTCTCCTTTAACCCGTCAAGATTGTGATGGCTCATTAAAGCACGTCGAAGACTACCCGCATCTAGATTTGGCTCATGTTTTGCATCTTACGGGAATGAGCGATATCGTTATTTCACTTGCCTGTGGTCTTCAGAATAATGTGGGTGCAAAATGTGGGGGAGTCGGTGGGAGCGGCGCGGTGAAGGACCTTGCACGTGATCTCGGGTCACTTTCTTTTCTTCAACCGCCACCGCCACCTGCGCCTCAAGCCAAATGAACGTACAATGGTTTGCTCGACTTCTGACTTTCTCGACATTCGAGTCGCTATGGCTTTGAGATATTCATATGCTTGTATCAGTATTGTGGGAATCTTGTTGTCTTCATTCTAAGGGCTCATACGCCCTTCTACCACAATTCGTTGCTTCGCGGGGAGCCCGATCCAGTCCTCCTGTGCCCATAACGGACGACTCGATGAAGACGATATTACGACAAAACATCTCCGGAGCAACGCAAAGTTCTGTTCTCAATGCACATACCAATCACCGGTGCCACGCCTGACGCCTATCCAACACCGCTACTAGACTTGTTCCTGGAAAAAGGTGGACCACACCCTGGCGAAGGCTCACAATTGCAACAGTGGTCCTCATTCATTGGCATTGTTACGGCTATTGTTGGAAATATCCTTATTTCTTTTGCCCTCAATACCCAGAGATATGCGCACATCCTCATCGGCCGCGAATACGAACAGGCCAGAAAATCATACGCCAATGGCGGGGTACGTGAGCATCCCGGCGGGTATGGTTCCGATCAACAAGACATAGTGGGAGAGGAGAGAAGAACCAACCTTGGAATCTCTGATCGCAGTGGAAGTGCTGATGACGTTGCGGCGATTTCGGCCGACGAGACGGCGCAAACGACTTTGCAACCCGACTTCGGTCCGTGGACGCCGAGGACCGGTCGAGTGAAAGACTTGAGCGATGATCTGAGCAGGCGATCGTATCTCAAATCGCCCTACTGGTGGTTCGGTCTTGTGCTCATGATCCTCGGAGAGGCTGGCAACTTTCTTGCTTATGGATTTGCACCCGCATCAATTGTGAGTCCACTGGGCGTCGTCGCTTTGATTTCGAATTGCCTGATCGCTCCTCTCATGCTCAAGGAGCGTTTCCGAAAGCGAGATCTTTGGGGAGTCTTGACGGCAATTGCAGGCGCGGTCACCGTCGTCCTTTCGGCGAGAACTAGCGAGGAAAAGTTTGGTCCGGGCGAAATATGGCAAACCATCAAGAGGTGGGAGTTCTTGGTATATTTCATCATCACCTTGTTGCTCATCGTGGGCCTTATGTACGCGGAACCCCGGCACGGTCGAAAAACGATCCTTATTGACCTTGGTTTGGTGGGTTTATTTGGAGGATACACGGTACTTTCTACCAAGGGCGTGGCGTCCCTTTTGTCAGCATCTCTCTGGAAGGCGTTCGGACATGCCATTTTTTACTTCCTCGCCGCCGTTCTCGTTGGGTCGGCGCTCATGCAGATACGCTACTTGAATCGGGCTTTGCAAAACTATGATTCAACCCAGGTAATTCCCATACAATTTGTACTGTTCACCCTGTCGGTCATCATCGGATCGGCGGTCTTATATCGAGATTTTGAACACACCACGGCAGAGCAAGCAGTCAAGTTTATCATTGGGTGTCTTTTGACATTTTGGGGAGTGTATTTGATCACCAGCGCACGAGACGAAGAGACAGCAGAAGATGGGCAGCACAATGCTGATGAGACGATTCAACTTCTCGACGAGGATACAGGGAACATTGACGAGCGGACGCCCTTGAACAGAGACACTGACCTCTCTGCAGCTCACACGAGGGAAGAACATCCCGTGATCTTGGGTCAAGACGAGGTGCGAAATGGGGTTCTCACCCCCCGACGCCTTTCGAAAGCATCATCTTCTGCCCCTTCCATCGCCGCCACGCCACTCGACTCATCTGAAATCCTCGGCTCAAACCCCTGGCTGTCTTCTGTCGAGCAAATCGACGCTCCTCTTCCCCCACGCACTCCTCGAACGAGCAGAATCCAGACCGACTCTGGTTTCACGCCATTTTTCACCCCGGCTACATCCAAGTCCGATCTTGAAACACCCAGCAAACAAGGCACGCCCCGTCCACCCAGTCCCATTCGTCCTACCGTCCCGGGAACTGATGATGCATCCCCATCACCGAGTTACCTCAACCGCTCCGCACGCGGCAGCATCTCACGCCTCCTCCCCGTCCCCGGCCCGCTATTACCACCTCTCTCATCCTCCCTCAGCGCAGTGGTTGCCGAGTCGCTCCTCAAGGGCGAGGGAACACCTCGTTCCGTCCGTACCGCTATGCGGCGGTCGCGATCCGCCAGACACTCGCACGATGAACACCGACGGGCCATTCCCGTCTCAGACGAAGAGAATCCAGCGAGTCTGAACTTTCAGAGTGGTGGTTCTGATCAAGACCTAAGCAGCGCACAGACGCAAGAGACAATGACAGTACCCGTGGTGAGCGATTATATCGACGGATCGTCCGAGCGCGAGCATGGCCTCGGGAAGAGAAAGACCAGGCTCAGGGCTCTAAGTGAGACTCTAGCCGGGATGATGGGCAAGGGAAAAGGGAAAGGTACAGGAAAGAAGAGAGATGACGTTGAAGATTACCCCTCTGCTACTAATGGTGGACGGAGATATGGGATGAGTTGATCGTAATTTCAATAAGTAAATACCCTCGTGGCGTTGGCTCAGCTTGACTCAGGACAGGATAGGCTCCTAGTGCGTAGTACGCACTTCATAAAAGAACTTTCTCTCGTAGATGGTTCAAAATCAATATCATGCCTTTCACTGTAACCATCAGAGTCTGTACTAGACAACCGGGAAAAGTCTCCGGTCTGGCGAAAGGAATTCACTGTCTATATTCGAGACCAGGCTGCCTCAATAAGTTGAAGCGACTGCAAACCACCGACGGGCTTCTCTAACACCCTAGGCCTTCATTCATTCAATCTTGCCCGAGTCTCATTTCAAGCGGCACCAGGCAGACCACCATCGTCGTCTTCACCAGCGTCCAAAGCCTTTTCTAGAGCCTTACCACCTCTTCCCTCACGCTCCCTCTCTCTCCTGGCTTTCGCTCCAGCTTTCAAACTATCCCACTTCTCTCGATACTTGGTGATGGTCTCCTTGAGTTTGAGATTTTCTTCATCTTTCTTCCGTACCCGTGCATCACACTTGCGCAGAATCTCCTCTAACTCGGCGATTCGCTTTGCCATCGCCTCGTCCGTCCCTACAACAAGCGGGGCCCCGTCCATGCCCTTGGTACTGTTCTTTCCACGAGAATTTTCCGGTGAAAGTATCGGAGTGGTCAGTGGTGAGCGGTGCAGAGAGCGTATGCTCTGCGCTAGCGCCGCTGAAGACGTTTGCGCCGACATTTCGAAGACATGGAGTCGTCGGGAGAGTGTGTCTGAGAGATGTTTGAGGGCTTGGTTCTCCAATGCGAGTTCTTCCATGGTTTTCCCGTTGATTTTGACTTCATCTGCCCCACCACGGCGAGAGGGTCGGCCGGGGCCACCGACAGCGGGGCCGTGGTCGCGAGAACGGTTAGGAAGAATAGTACTTTGGGCATCGACGAAGTCATCTTCGGAGATGTTTGATAGATTTGAGGGCTGTCTATGATGACGGAGACCGCGAGCCTCTTCGCGTTCGGCCCTGTTCATGATTTCGGCGTAAGAGATTGTACCTCCTGTCGTCGGGACGACGTAGAAGGATTCTGATGGGTTCGCGGCATTGGTTCCGGAGACGGCCCGCAGAGCAGCACGGGAGATCAAGTGAGAGTAGTCGACTGAAGGCGCTGCAGGCGTGGGGCGTGATGGCGCCTTGGGGGATTTGGCCGATGGTTGAACAGGAGAAGCCGGTGGTTTAGAGGATGCGGGAGAGGTTAGAGGAAGTCCTGCAAAGGCCAACGGTGCACTGAGTTTGGATATCAGACTCTCAAAAGTGGCGTAAAATTGCTGAAATGGGGCGTCTGCAACTTGCTCTTCTGCCTCATCATCCGCATTGGACTTGGAGGAGCCCGGTAAGATTGGTGGTGTCCAAGACGGACGCGACTGTGACTGCTTAGACACGGAAGAAAGCGCATCGCTGGTGTCTGTACCCGGCTTTGAGATAGGCTTCCCTCTCGTTTCATCTTGTGAAATTTGTCCATCGGCATGTTGGTTCGACACTAACGGTGAGATGGGCGCAGGCCTCCTTTGACGACTGTTAGGAATGCCTCTGGCGGAGGCAAGGTTGCTTGCGATAGAAGAAGACAAGTCCCGAGCATTTGACCTTTGACCTCGAGACAATCTTGGAGGATGAATCGTGGTCTCTGGTGATGAGGGTCTGTTAGACTCCTGCCGCTTTGGTTGGGAGGGTGCAGTTGCAGGAGTTGTCACAGCAGTAGTGGATGAGGGATGAGAAACATCTTCACCCGCAGGATTTTCATGTCTTGATCGCAACAAATGTCCCAGCTTTTTATGATGTTGTTCAAGCAGAGTCAGGACTCGCAGTGCCTCCGAATCCGTGGTGCCTTGGGCCGCCGATGCGAACTCGGCGGCCGCCAAATCATGCTCTTCGCTCGCCGCGACTGGATTGGAACGTCGGGTCTCAAGGGCCGCATTTCGAGCATGGGTATGTGCCTAAAAGGATGGAATTAGAAGATGGGGTGTTGCTAACCTTCCGACTTGCTTACCAGAGTCAGAGGGGCAGATTCCATTTGGAGATTCAGGAAATGACGGTGACGGAGAGATGCAGAAGAGGCTGGAAGTGGGTGTTCTTTGGCGGCTGGCAAAGCGTTCGTACTCGCATTTGAGAACCGGGGTTCAGTCACGAGTGCTAGTAATGGTTGCGGTCATCCTGTTTGCGACAAGGCTGACGAGATTTTGGAGAGGGCCGGCGACCGGGAATTATACCGAGCGTTACAAGCGGGCGCTGGTAACAAAGTTTCACTAAAAGACCCTATGTTGATAAAGGGGGTATTCTGTGGGTTGGATTGCCCGTACTAGCTCAACGTCTAGCGAAGAATCTACCATCTGGAGGTGCGCCCGTATACGGACATGGTGTATACTTGCGAGCCTGAAAACACCAGCTTCGAATTGCTTTCTCTTTCCGGGTTTGTTCTATTTCGTGAGTTTGTCCGTTTATGGTTACTGGCCAAACCACAGGCTTCGGTCTACCATCTACAACAAAGTGCCGAAGTACCGTGCGCCGCTTGACCCTGGGTTGGCGTTCGCTTGAATTCTGGCCCCTAAAGACTTGTGCCGAAACTCTCATGCACTGGCATGGCAAAGTTCACCACCTCACTTCGGTTTACACATCGGTCAATTCACACTCCCCTTTTTTCTTCAACCATTCGTTCATTCCTCACAGCTATTATTATTTCATTTTGTGTAATAACAGAAGGCCATTCTGTTCCTCTCTCCTTGCGTGTCTTCCTTATTCATTGACCGCCCCCCTTCCTCCATACCGCTCCCTTCCCAATGTTCCACGTCATATCACAATCAATCCAAATATTGGAACAACACAACCGCAATTACTGTCCCACCGTGACCTATACCTTGAATGGCGGCAGTCTCGACTCAGTCCTCTCCTCATGTCGCTCCTATAATGCCGGAGCCCTCTCCCCAAGTCAAGGGCCTCAAAAAAGTCCTGTCAAACAGGCGTCCCTCAGACCTTCCCGGCGATGAAACTATACGAGATTTGCGCACTAACTCTCTTGACTCTGTTGCTCTCGAGAAATCCCCTACTCGATATAGTGCACGTTCTATCAGTCAAGATGGAAGTAGCAAATCTGGGAGTAGTGGCATGCGCAAGCTGCTGCCTGGCCACAGCAAGCGAAAGAGGAGGAAGCTTCGTCAAGAAGAATTGAAGGCCGCCACAGAGGAATTTGCAAGAGGTAGAATGGGCACCAGTCTCAGTGTCAACAACCCCCCAGCAGCATTGAGTACGCGGACTAGCAGCATCGCCGGTGATGGTGAGACAAGTCTTCTCACAGACGACTCCGAGGTCGAAACGCCTCCTCTTGCTTCGACAGACTCCCGCTCGGGTTACCTGACCATGTCATCTCCTCTTGCCTCAGCCACCACCCTGCGGAGCGATGATCAGTCAATATCGAGCCCTCCCCAAGAATTGTCATTTGACAAGATACCGACTTTGGTAGAACCTAGTCAAGATGGTGGACCGCCATCGCCCAAGAGTCATCCAGCGCCTGATTCAAGTCCAACCTCGTCAGTGGGAGGGTTGGTCGACCGAGCAGACACCCTCAATCCCCAATCACGCAGTGACAGTATGAGCAAACTTCGAGGCGCATCTCCTGGGAGGAGGTTCAGAGACGTTTTTGGCAAGCCCAATAAAAGTCCCAAAGTCAGCCCGCAGAGGAGATCAACAGATATGATCACTGGTTTCACCAGCCCGCTCAGTGTCCAAACCCTGGTGGCCGAGAGCGAAGCCGCCGGAGAGCCAAAAATGCTCGAGGATCCCCCCAAACCCTTAATCCACGATCGGCCTCAGAATAATTCAATGCCCAATCTCGAGCCGCTCCGGCCTTTGACGCCTCCTGCCGCGGTCATAAATACGCCTCTAACCACGGTCACGCCTCCGACTCCCACTGACACTCGTTTTGAAGGCACAACAGGGTCCCCTCAGTCAGAAAACCTTGCATCCAAGCTCAAGGAGGAAAATTCCAATATTGTGGTCAGTCCTTCGGGGAATATGATTTCCCATCGCAGAATTAGGTCGACCTCGTCTATCACCCATCAACCAAGCAAGCTCTCATCATCAATAACTGCTCCTTTGACACCTACCTCGGAGGAGAGCAGGACAGCCAGCGGTGGTACCTCCGGAAACCGTACCGCGAGTGGTGGGTTGTTTTCTTCGTGGGTGTCTGTGGCCCAAAATGCAGCAACGACCATCACCAATCTGACCGGCCAAAATCGGAATAGATCTGGGACCAATGCATCTGATCCTTTGACCAAGCCCAAGACCATTGAGGAACCCATTAAAGAAGAGGAGGAAGCGTCTGAACCAGAGATTCCGCGGAAGCCGTTGGCGATTGAAACCCTGGGCTCGGGAGATCTTAATTTTGAAGATCTCGGTCTAAATGGTGACGACAAAATTGGGTCCGCCGGCCGATCTGATCTGACGGAACTGCGAAAAGACGCGACCCTGGAACGAGACGAGGCTGCTGCTAAAGTAGAAGATCTTCTCGCAAAGCGTGCTGTTTCCGCCGCCTATGAAAAACAATCGAACGCGCCGACGCCGATAGCGGAGATAGGGGATCCATTGAGCAATGTCAGGCATTCACAGACGTTTAGTGGACCGACAGGCGGCGAGAAGACACCTCCGAACGGTAGCCTTTTCGAGGGTGAAGTCACTTCGGTCAAACGAACCAACAGCGTTCGTAGTAAAATTGTGAAGAGACGATCTCGGGGCTCGTCAACAGCTACAGGCCAATCTGCGATAGGGGCGATAATAGGACCCAGCGTGGCGGCACTGGCGAACCCTGCGAAAGGCCCTCGTCTGACGGGGTTCACAATGGCTCCGAAACAACGCAACCGCAACTTCCATCAGCAATTCCGAAGTGTGCCCGAGGATGACTACTTGATTGAAGATTACAGCTGTGCATTGCAAAAGGAGATTTTGCTGGCGGGCAGGATCTACATCTCTGAAGGTCATATCTGCTTCTTTAGCAATATCCTTGGCTGGGTAACGACGGTGGTGATCTCTTTCGAGGAAGTGGTCAGCATCGAGCGTGAGAATACGGCGGTAGTTTTCCCGAACGCGATCGCCATTCAGACCCTCCATGCTCGTCACACATTTCGAAGCCTGATCTACCGTGAACAGACCTACGATCTGCTCATAGGAATATGGCGAGTTAGTCATCCGACAAGCTTTCAGAAGAGCATGAACGGCAAGCAATTGGCGGCCGAAGAAGCCACGGATACGACAGGGGCCGGGGCAGAAAATGGAGCAAGCGCACAACCCAGTGATGGTAGCACCTCTGAGGACGCGGAATCCGCCGGAGATGATGATAGTGCTCCTAGCCTGGTGGAAAGTAGTGCCAGTCATGCCGGCAGTGATCTCGCGGACGGTAAGATCACTGTGCCGAGGAAACCGTCGGGTATGAACGCAAGTGCTGTCGCACAGACGGCTAGCATCCTCGCTGGAACCACGCACGATGTTCCGCCTACTCTAGCTGCTCAAGCTGGACTTACGGAGGTGGCTAACGACTTTCCTGGTCCGGCCACCCACGCGCCGACCGAATGTACGGACAGCGCCGCACATTATGACAAAATCATGAAGGACGAGGTCATCCCTGCCCCCTTGGGAAAGATATACAGTTTACTATATGGACCCGAGTCCGGATTCTTTGTTCGGAAATTCTTGGCAGATGAATGCAAGTGTACGGAGCTTGTGTTCGAGGACGACAAGAAAGGACTCAATCGTGACATCAAAAGCCGACAGTATACATATATCAAACCTCTGGGCGGAAGTATTGGACCCAAACAAACCAAATGCATTACGACCGAGAACCTGGACTTTTTCGACCTGGAAAGAGCAGTGACCGTTACATGCACCACGCAAACTCCGGATGTCCCTAGCGGCAACGCATTCAGCACCAAAACTCGATACTGTCTTTCATGGGCGCCCGGGAATGCGACGAGATTCCAAATGAACTGCACCATCGAATGGACAACAAAGTCCTGGCTAAAAGGACCCATTGAAAAGGGTGCGAATGAAGGCCAGCAGCAGTACGGGGATAGTCTGGTCAAGGTCCTGAAAGGTGCGGTCAGTGGTCGGCCCCGAGGCACCACGAATGCCAGCAAGGTATCGAAAGCAATGAAAAAGAAACGCAAAGGTGAAAAGAAATCCAAAGATGAAAAGAACGACGATGAGATTAAGAAACAGAAAGAAACCTGGGGTCTGTGGGAGCCCCTGAGGACGCCGGTGAAAGCGTTTATAGATGTGCTCAGACCGGCTCTGAAAATGGAGGTTCTGGTTGCGATACTGTCCATTATGGTCGTGTTACTCTGGTTCAGAGGTCCGACAAGGGGATCGCAGCTAGGGCCCTATGCGGGACTCTCGCATTCGGAACGACTTGCGGCATATGATTCTCTCTGGGCACGAGAAGAGAATGAATTTTGGGACTGGCTCGAAGCGCGCGCGAGTGTCGACACCGTTCTGCTACGAGAACAATCCGCGTCAAATTTGCGCAGGAATAAAGCCTCGAAAGGGGACCCGAGTGGCACCGCGAAACATCGGATGAAGCAGCGTCAGCGGAACCAAATCCTCGTATCGGATGCTGAAGCTAGGATTCGGGAAGAGAAAATCAGTCAGCGTGAGATGGAAGATGCCATTCAAATCACACGGGAGAGATTACGGGCTCTGGAAGTCGTCATTGAAAAGGAAAAGCAGGCGAAAATGAACGTAGATGCAAATCCGAAGTGACAAAAAGAAACATGTCGCAAACGAGGCACACATATATTATTATCTGGTTGATTAAAGGATTGATTTGCATCTCCTGGGACGGATGGGAATGGAATTACCTTGGGTACAATAAACATGCTTGCTACAATCGGTGAAGTCAAATCATGGATCACAGAATCAGTTCGAAATGAGGTGTATTCATCACAATGTCACGAGTGAGCTGCTTGAAAAAGGCTCCTGATTACCAACGACGACTTTTAAAGTTGGAATTTTGTCCTCGACTTCTCCATTTTTGCTTTCCATTCCCAATCCTGCCCGCTACGCCGTTGAATACCTTTATCCACCCGTCTCAACTTCAAGGTCATACGCGGGCCTAGTTCCTGTAGCCCAGCCCTGATGCCTTCGACTCCTTTAACTTCCTTCCCATCAGGCCCGACGACTGATTTCTCCGTCTCACGCCTGTCGCGGAAGATATACCGGTGGCGTCGGAGGAAGATGTAGTCGCGCTGGTTGTGCAAGGTCAGCACCTGACGCCCTTGCAGGTCTGGTGAGACGGGGAACAGGGACCGGAAGAGATGTGCGGTCAACAGGCCCAGCGGCGTGGTGAAGTTGTTCAGTATCAGTTCCGGAATATGTCCTGTCGCGCGACCGTGGCCAGGGATCGCTTTCCCCGTGTACCAGTTTGAGATGGAAAAGTGGAAGGTCGGTCCGACGGGCAGGTGGACAATGGTCATGCCGCATGGTTTCTTCTGGTCTTCTTCCAGCACAATCACCGCCGTGTAGCCGTGGTGGTGTGCGAAGGAGGAGATCTCCTGCACGGAGAACTTGTAGCCATACCGATGGGACGAGCGGCGGATATACTTGGAGTTCGGGAACAGAGAGGTCAGGATTGCCGCCTGGTCGTGTAGAGTCGAGTTGAGAGATGTCGTTATGAGGATCTTTGGAGGTGGAGATGGAGGAGCATCGGCAGACAGGAAGAGGGTAGGGAATTTTGCCGCCAGGGCAGCTGGCGCGAGAGATAAATTGGCTGACGTTGTCGAGCGAGTCGGTGAGGTTGCACGATCTTGTATTCTTGTGCTGGGCGAGTGAATTTGAGATTTAGATGGGAGAGGGTCCTGCATAGTTTCATCCAGGTTGTCTGGCTCGAGGTCTTCTTCGTCGCTCTCCGCCAGCATCGAGTCATCGTCTTCCCCGTCCTCTCCATTTTCCAGTCCTTCTCCTTCCGCATCTCCCGGCCCGTCCGCTGGGAGTTCCTGTTCTTCAGCTAACTTTCTCCTCTTCAATGTCTCCACGTCGTAGACCACTCCCAGGCCACCATCCTCTGGCTCGTTCTCGACTTGGTCGTATACTCGCTTTTGGTCCAGAGTCACGGGGATATTTTGCCGTAACCGTTGTTCTCTTAATTTGGGATTCTTTGCCTCTTCCTTCTTGCGGCCGAATCGCTCCGCTCTTTTCCATGCATCTCTTGCGCGTTTTCGTTTGAGATGTAGTTCTTGTCGCCTTTGCTTATTAGAGGTCTTGAAGGGCAGTGCAGCTTTGTCGGAGAGTTTGATGGTTCTGGAGGGCATGATGGAAGAATGAGTCTATCATTGATGATTTATAAATCAAAATAAATTCCAAATCTCTGAAAGTAGAGCTCTGTGAGCATGGACCCAGGGCATATAACCCGTGCGAAGTGCTTCTTCTGTGCTATGAAAAAAAAGTTTTGGGTGCGGAGAAAATTCCCGGCCGATTTGGCTGGTTTGCAAGGCTGACTTTTTGGTACTGGCCCTCCTCAACCACCAGTCACAAATTTGAGTCATCCCGCGGTACGACTCCTATATCTTGTTTTCTTTCTTACATGCGTGCTTTGACTCTTCTTTCGAGAGCGACTTTTTCCCGATTTTCGCTTTGTGCGAGATCTTTCACTACCACCGCTTCAGCCTCAAGATTCCAACCTCCCCAAATTAAAGTCACGATGGCGACGAGCACCACGAAGACCGGCCAACCACTGGATCGAACGAGTCTTGACACGCTTTTGCGTCGAAGACTCTTCTTCACTGCTTCCTTCGAAATCTACGGCGGAGAGCGCGGTCTTTTCGACTACGGACCACCAGGGTGCGCCCTTCAAGCCAATGTGGTGGATCTATGGAGAAAACACTTCGTTCTCGAGGAAGACATGCTTGAGGTCGACTGCACAATGCTGACCCCCGAAGCTGTTCTCAAAACCAGTGGGCATGTGGACAAATTTGCCGACTGGATGTGCAAAGATCCCAAGAGTGGGGAAATATTTCGTGCCGACCACCTTGTCGAGCAAGTTCTCGAGGCCAGGCTGAAGGCCGACAAAGAGGCTCGCGGGCAGACCGTTCCGATTGACGAAGAGAAAGAAGCGAAGAAAAAGAAGAAGATCAAGGATGCCAAAGCCGAGAAGCTTGACGATGCAGTCATTCAGGAATATGAGGAGACGCTCGCAAAGATTGACAACTACGGAGGTGACGAGCTGGGAGAGCTCATCCAAAAATTCAACATCAGGGGCCCCACGACCGGAGCAGAACTCGATCCTCCAAAGGCTTTCAATCTCATGTTCCAAACTCAAATTGGGCCCAGCGCCCACAAGCCCAACGGCTATCTTCGACCGGAAACCGCTCAGGGCCAGTTTCTGAACTTTCAGAAGCTGCTTGAATTCAACCAGCAGTCAATGCCCTTTGCCTCGGCCTCGATTGGAAAGTCATTCCGAAATGAGATCTCCCCCCGATCGGGACTTTTGCGTGTTCGAGAATTCTTGATGGCCGAAATCGAACATTTTGTTGATCCTGAAGGGGGCAAAAAACATGCCCGGTTTGACGAGGTAAAAGACACCGAGCTGTCACTCTTGAACAGAAAGACCCAGCTGGCCGGCAGCACCAAGGCCGACGTGTTGACGATTGGAGAGGCCGTTTCCACCGGACTGGTAGACAACGAGACTCTCGGGTATTTCCTCGCCCGGATCCAGGATTTCCTGCTCAAGCTCGGAGTCGACAAATCGAAGTTGAGATTCCGACAGCATATGGCGAATGAAATGGCCCATTATGCCGCCGACTGTTGGGACGCGGAACTCTTTACCACTTATGGATGGATCGAATGTGTGGGATGTGCGGATCGAAGTGCTTATGATTTAACCGTCCACAAAGACAAGACTGGAGCACCCCTTGTTGTCCGTGAAATGAGAGCAGAACCCCTTGTGATTGAAGAGTTTCAGGTGAACTGGAACCGAAAGAAACTCGGACCCAAATTCCGTCAAGACGCCAAAGCCGTCGAAGCTGCCGTCGAAGCGCTGTCGCAAGATCTCCGTGAGAAGTTGTCATGGGAATTGGAGCAGTCGGGCAAAATCGAGATTCCAACTCCAGGAGTCGGCAGTGGGACCACAGAACTTGGCAAAGACCTCATCCAGATCGAGAAGAGAAAGCGAACCGAACATGTGCGAGAGTACACGCCCAACGTTATTGAACCATCCTTCGGCATCGGACGAATTCTCTATAGCTTGATGGAACACGTGTACTGGACCCGTGAAGGGGATGAATCTCGCGGCGTACTCTCTTTCCCCCCCACCGTCGCACCCACCAAGGTCCTGCTGGTACCATTATCCGGCAATGCCGAGTTCAAGCCATTCCTCAGGAACCTGACGACCAGACTGCGTCGTTTGGGAATCTCCAACAAGGTTGATGATTCATCTGCCAGCATTGGGAAACGATATGCTCGTAACGACGAGCTTGGAACACCGTTCGGAATCACCGTTGACTTTCAAACCGTCAAGGACAAGACCATCACACTCCGGGATCGTGATTCCACCAAACAAGTTCGAGCCAGTGAAGACGAAATAGTTGCGGCGATCAAAGCGCTCGTCGATGGCGAAGAGACCTGGGAACAGGTCGCGAAGAGGTTGCCTGCCTTTGAGGGACAAGATATTGATTGAAGAGAAAGACACGGTCTGTGTGCATTTGTGTGAATTTCTGCTTCTGCTTGTGCTGTTAGAGATACCCGACCTTTGATGGTGCAATCTTTCTTCCTTTTTTTCTACGAAAAGAGTTCAAAGAACGCACCTCGGAGATGATAGTCAGAGCACCGTGGCGGGAAATTGCTGGGCTATGTACTCCAATAGATAAGTGTCAATGTATGGAAATGAAAAGAAAGGGGGGGGGGAGAAAAAAGAAAAAGAACTTGTAGGTGTAAAATGAAGAAGAATGCTTGTAAGATTCTGTCCCAAGAAAAAGAATGTTCTCCATCCATCGTCTCGTCTTCATGGCGTTTATCCCGCTATCTCACTCCACCGAGCGGTATATCTTCTTTTACACCATCCCTTTAGTCACTTTCCTCATATCCGTCCGCCACGTCTCAAAGTATGGCTTCATCAGTTCCAGCATCTTCTCCGGCGTCGGATGGTTGATCATGCGCAGATACCAGTCGTCCTGTACCGCGGTCGAGACGTCATGCGAATGCAGGCGCAACTTATTCTGCGTCGACGTCGGATCCACGAAGAACTGGAATACTTTGCGGCGTTCGTCTGAGTAGACGTCGAGGACGGAGTCGGAGCAGCCTTCGTTCAGGACCATGATGAGGGCTTCGGTCGCAGCGTCGGCGTCAAGTATGCCGGTGTTCAATCCGAGGGCGCCGAGGGGCTTTTTTGGAGAAGATAAGCAGTGGTTAGATATTAAGATGCATTGGTGATGCATTGAAACTAATGGATTAGAGCAGACAAGGGGCGGAAAAAGGAGGCCCGGGGGCTCGAGACTTCACCTACATTGTTCAAGTGTGCGGCGTCGCCGGCCAGGAGACAGTTTCCCTTTCGCATGGTCGAGACCAACCGTTGGTGGATACGGTAGATTGCTCGTGCTTGGATCTGGGCCTGTAACGGACGGGGCCCATGCATGTTGCGCTCATACGCACTCATGATGTTGGAATTGGACATGAGTTCCTCATCGGTTCGGGAGTCGTTGGGGTCTGAGGCCAGAGAGTACCGCCATAACGTCGTTTTGCCTGGTACGGGGTCCTCGAGAGGCGTGGCAATGCTGTAGTATGTGCGGTCCATGACGAAGTGAGTGTGGAAAATGGGGGCGGGCTCATTTTTCACCAGGACGTCCGTGGCGATGATACGTTCCGGCCATGTGTGGCCTGGGAAAGAAAGACCGAGAGCCTTGCGCGCCATGGAATGGGCGCCGTCGGCGCCGACGAGGTATGTCGCTTGATATTGCTTTTCGGCTCCTGTCTCGACGTCACGGATGAGAATGGCGACGCCGTCTTTGGTGTTTTGGAGGATGGATACGAGTTCGGTGCGGAAGTAGATCCGAACGTGACCTGTCTTGAGGGCCTCGTGGAGGAATAGCTTGTTGATGTCGGCCTGAGGAAGATTCAGGAGGCCAGAGCCGACGTCCAGGACTGTGTCGTCGGGCGCACAAAGTGGTTGTACGCCAATGACATCCCCGAGCGTCTTGCCTCCTTTTCCATCATCCTTGGGCATGGTCCTCCACACCAAGCCCCGAGTCATGAATCCTTGTTCCCTGATCAACTTGTACATACCAATCTCGTTCAGGAAGAAGTGGACGGCGCCAAAGTAACCACAAGCGCGAGGGGCGTCACTGGTTGCCGGCAGTTTCTCGATGATATCGACATCGATGCCCGCTTGCCCGAGCTTGAGAGCGGCCAGACAGCCCACGGGACCACCGCCGACAACAAGGACGCGTTTGAAACTCCCGGGAGAAGCATTGTCCACGCTCTTCCCATTCACGTGGCGTCCGTTCATGCCGCTTGTGGCGTCCATGTTGTGTTGATCTGCTCTGCTGGTTGCCATGCTGGCGACGATGTTATATGTATTGATACGACGAGGAATACTTTGTCAGACCGGAGAAGCATGCAATCACCGACGAGGAGAAGAAGTTGTCAATGCAAGTAGGACCGGGGCGAACATAATTTGAAGAAAGAGAGGCATGCCAAAGAGGCCCCGGCAGTGTCATCTGGTAGTTTGAATATTGAGCCGGACCAAGATCGATACTCACCATGCGCAAAAGCTGAAACAAACTACACCGTTGAAGCTTGATCGTCTTTGCTTCGTCTCGTGTGCGAGTGCCTTCGTGGCTGAGAACAGCGAGATCAAAGGCTGTTAAGGCGAGAAGGCGACCTCCGGAGATGGGGGGCCTCAAAATCTCAGGTGACTTAATCATGTCCATTTATGATTTTAGCCCTGCAGCGCGAAAGTTTGTGCATCCATGAGCTAGTCGTATTGTATACCTGGTGTACGAGGTAGCAGAAGGATCTGTACCGATGTGATCTACTTATTGGACGATGCTCCTCTGGCGGGGTCCTCCGATCGACAGCCTTACATAGACAAGTCCATGTCCTGCCCCGTTCGGGCAGAACGGTCGAAGACCTGTCGTGCCGCTTCCCTGGTCTTCGGCGTTCGCGGTCTGGGACCTGAACGAGCACTGAAAAAGGGGGGGGGAGGGGGGGCACAATTCCATTGAATGGTGTCCCGATTGTAGTAACGAATGGCAGATGGTGGGTGGTGGCTCAGCCCTCAAAGAGCCGATGTCTCGAGCATCAAATTCACGACAGCTTCCAGAAACCGATATCCCATTTGGTAACAAACCGACTTGTCCTTCTCTCGGGACCCCATCTCCTTGCAGGACCGCAAAGTCTCCATTATTATCTGTCGCGGTGGTATTCGGCATTCTGATGCAGCGGCCTCCGCCAGCGGCGCATCTCGCCGGAGAAGGTGGATGCACGTCGTCAGCACGGCGACGAAGAAATCTAGCATGAAAAAGCCTGAGATCGGGTTGAGCGACCGGGGATGGTCGTTGTGGTAGTCACCGAAAAGTTCTAGATAATGCATCAGTAGCGCCAAGCTGCACTCCAGCGAAGACTAGTACGACACGGGGAAGACGGTTGGTGCGTGGAGATCGAGTGCGAAATGGCGATGCAGGACCAAGAGCGCGCGACGGAAGTAGATATTGAGCGTCATTCGTAGCAGCGCATCGCCTCCTGCTGGGACGGCCTGTCTCATGAGTTGTCGTATCTCTGCGTCATATTGGAGCACATCTTGGTAGGATAACTGATGAACATGAGAGTTCACTCGGGACAGAATCGCGTAAATCGTGGGGAAGGATCGGTCGAGGAGTCCTAGCTGAGAATTGATAGTCCCCTCACCTCGCCAACATGACATTGCCTTTCCCGGCACCCAAATCTCGACTGGTTGGAAAACCGGAGGCATCCCGGTGGTCATGGACGCCTTTACATCCAGATACTGGATTGTTATCCACAAGCGATGTCGAGACTCCCACTCTTCCATGGCCATCCCTTTCATCTCAGGGGGCGGTGTCTCTTGGGAGAGTCCGGAGATGATGGCCAAACGGACCAGAAGACCAAGCAACGTCCAACACGCATCGAGCCCCCAGCAGGTGGAATTGTTGACCTGTTTGGCCAGAACCATAAGGCAAATAGTTCTCAAGTTAGATAGGCTCGGCCGATACATAAAGGGCGTCTGCATGAGGCAAGCTTCGGCGGCCATGAAAAACTCCATTGCTTGATTTGATTCTCTCGCATCTGCACAGCACCCTAAACCCAGGACCATCAAGAACTGTGCCAGCCAGCACTCGGCTTCACTCTGAAAGCTCTTCGTGTCTAAGACGGGATGGACGCGGTCGAAAACATCAAGATAGCCGTCAATATGTGTCTGATAGACCGTATATGTTCCATGTAGGAGTGCCACGACCGCTTCTCGAGAGCCATACTTTGACGCCTGAGGTGATCCAAACGGGAAGTTTCCCGACAGGCCAGAGGGGGAAGTGCACGCGTCCTGCGGCATGTCTTCGACGCCGATTGTAAATGGGAGGGCGTTCAACTGTGCAAGCGACAAAATCTGAACAACGATCAGAATTCAAGACGTCCTTTGTCATGGTCTGCCACACGGACCTTCATCATCATTTCTTTCCAGTGGCTGGGTCCCCGGTGCCGGGAGTGCCAGGCGGCCGTGAGCTGCTCCGGGTCTTCTCCAGCCGCAGCGACGGGGCCGTCGGTCACTAGCGGACTTGGAAAGCTGCCACTCTCTGGTCCTTTGTAGGAGCAGTCTTGTTGATGGCCAGAAGCGCTGCATCGAGAGCAGGGCGACTGCCTGTCGCATCTAACTTTGAGGCGATGGCAACGGAGGCACGACAAACATGCCCTCCTCCGTCTTCCCAGGCGGGACCCGGGATCAGCACCAGGCGGCGGATCAGTGCCAGTGTGATTGGAGCCTCCAGGTGCCGGAAACTCGGTTGACGTTGTCCAGACACCATTTCGCTCTGCGGCAGACACGGACTTTGGCGACCTCGGAGGCTCGAGATTGAACCCACGGCTGGGAATGTTGCCATGGCTGCTTGTGGTGTCAAAGGAGCACTTGACGCCCGCTTGGAGACACCGTGAGCAGGTTGGTTTCACCAAGTCGCAACGTCGTTTGGAGTGCCGGCACCGATCGCAGGTCTTCACCTCCCGCAAGCGCATCCTGAACCTGGATATGAGAAAAATGCCAGAGGATTCAGTTCCCGGGGATCTGGAGGTAATACCAAGCAAAAGTCTCCCAAGAGGGTCCGATGTCCAGAGTGGTCTTGTCGGCCGACTCTATGGCTGCTCAACGCCGACACGTCATATACTTCGTACGAACCCCTTTTAGATCGCGCCAGTCTAGAAAAAGATTGTTTAGGCTTCGGGGTGCCTAAATGACCATCTACTATTGTATGAGGGGACGAACTATTCCATTATCGCCGATCGTCGGCCGATTGCGTGGCGGATTATAGGATCATCCTGCCGGTTAGTACTTCAATTGCTCCCTCCTATGGATGATTCGACAACACCCCCTATATGTTGCGCCGATTCAGATCATCCCAACCACTTTCGCCAACAGCACAATCACTGCTGGGTGGCATGAAATTCTGGACGTTCATCGTCGCACTTATAATTTCCTTCACCGCCGTCTATACGCGTTGCGTCTATCGAATTGCCGAGATGGCCCATGGTTGGCGAAATCCCATCATGCAGGATCAAGCTCTTTTTATTGGAATTGACAGCTGGTATGTCGTCCTGCTATTCTATGCGTCCCGTCCAAAGGCTAAATTCAGCGCCCAGGACGGTTGGCCTTGCTACGATTCTCCAGACCTGTGTCCATCCAGGGATATTTTTCCCGGCCCTTGCAAGTCGTAAGGAGACAAAGAAGGTGGAGCAACTGAGTCACAGTGCGAGTTCAGTGGAGAAGGTTATGGTCTAGACGAGAAAATGATTCGAGGCTCTTCCACGATAGCGACCATAGCGGAGTAACATCAGATCTAGATGGGAATAAGGACGACGACGGCGAAGTCATTTATCTTGCAGTCTTTCGTGTAGCTGGCCACATGATGGGTGGCAGGGTACACCGGCTTATGTGCAGGTCATTATCCGCTAATGCGAGACTCACGAACCATTTTTGATTCGTTCTACGTTGACTTCGCGCCTAAACCTATCACGAGACCAGCCCGTAGACGAAGCGACAGCCTTGTGGGAAGAAGGCAAGGCTGGACCACGTGATCTATGTAGTCGCGCTCGCTCCTTTCCGCCGTCGACTTCGTCATTATTATAGGCCTCCCCGCTGATTAATACTTCGTTCTGGACATCGACCCGCTCTGTACTTGTGCTTTCTTCAGCGTGACACTTAATACTATTCCCAACCACATCCGACTCGAGACGCGTACTGTGGAGCGAATCGGCAAGGGATGCGCCCCAAGATCAGCTTTACGCCAGGAGTATCTGTGTCAGTATTTTAGCATACAGGGAGCAATGGTTACCCCAGGACGTACCGCATACAAAGGATTTCGATATTACAGGACGGTGTTGCTCGATATTTGAGCGAATTTGATTGGCGGAATCCCCAGCAGGGACGGGGATGATATCCGATCATACAAACTCACTGCGTCGTATTTACTCTTCACGTACGTTCATATTGCGCGACCTTCAAGGTCCTGTGCCCTCCCTCTCTCCTTCTCTACAAACTTTGTCAGCGGCGTGGCTGTCAATCTCGTGTATGAGTAAAACTATTCGACTCCTGCGCAGGTGCAAGCGCATCCCTCCTCTCAATGCCACCCTCACAACCCCCGCCTGATCTCTCTCCCACCATCTCGACCTTCATTTCCTCCACCTCGAACCATATAGCCTCAGGCTCTGTACGAAGAAATCTCTTCTCGGCTCATCTCTCCCGGCGTCAGGCCTCAGGCTCGCGGCCACCGTCGCAAACCAGTCCACAGAATAACGCTCATTCTCAAACCCAGACGCAACAACACCACAATAGCCAATTTGGCCTTCCCCCACTACGCACCATGCATCAGCGCTCTGTGTCAACTCCTCCCCTCTCGCCCTCTCCCCCGCGCGGATCTCTTTTCAACAATATCCCCCCCACGAACGGCAACAGTCTTCCACTGATCCCACCTCCTGCACCTTTCTCTCACGTCCTCCAGCCTCCGTCTCCGCCTAGGACAGCCTTAGCAGACAGTTATGACCTAACCATCTCGCCAAACCGTCCACTAAGCCCACGGTCATCTGCGGCCGTATTCCCGAATGCTTCAATCATCGCTATGAACCCGTTAACGGGACGACCGGTGCTACCTCAGATACCTGTTCTACCAGGTCGGCTAAGACTTTCAGACTCGGACGACGGTCAAGATGAAGGTGAAGAAAGAGAGGGTGATGAATTTGAACACCCCGATCATAACCAGGAAGGCTATTCAGAGGATGAATCACACGGTCCTGTGACGCGAGCGTACCGCCGACGACGAGATCGAAATCGACGACACCGCCATGATCCATACGCTCATTCTCCCACCACAGAAGCAGAGCACGCGCACGCACGGGCTCATGTAGCAGCAATGGCCGCAGCGGCAGCGGAAGCAGAGGCAGATCAAGAACGTCGTGACCGTGAACGCATCGAGAGAACCCTCGGCGAGATGATGGCCAGACAACGCGCAAGGGGAAGAAGCAAGAGCACAGTGTCAACCGGACTTCCAGATCCACGACGTCACAGACATTCTCACACCACGGACCACCGAGAAGGAGCACAACGACTGCGTCGACTCCCTACGCCGGACGGAACGGAGCTAGAAATGGGCGTTCATCACCACACCTACGTTGAAGACGAGGAAGACGAGGATGACTACATCACGAACGGAGACAGGGACAACGATTCGGAGGCCGAACGAGACGAACTTATGGGCCTGATTAATTCGAGTTTGCGAAGGCATGTTGCGCGTGCGGACGAGGAGAATTGGATGTTCGGCGAGCCTTCGACCTTGGTGGGAACCAGGGTCGGAAGAGATGATGCTGGTGCTTATGAGTGATTGATGACGATTGGAGTTCGGATACGTCCAGGATTGAGCAATACGTGGGTGTGGTTCCTGTATGACCACGTAATAAGCGGTGTGTGGCCAAATGGTTCTATGGAAAGGGGTCCAGCCAAGTTACGATATGACAGGATATCTACTCGGAACTCAGTCCAGCGTAATTGATTGAAAGGAGGGGGGGAAACCAGACCATGGAATACAGTTTCCTTTTTCCAGCCACAAGTGGCGCCATCTTGTTCGTCAGTACGGACCAACTCACTTCAAAAGCTCTAATATGTACTTGGGAAAGACAAATCGAGTCCTTCCATTTCTCAACTCCAGTACTCGTTCTGACACATCTCATCAATCCAAATCCATCGCAGGGGGCCGTTCAATCTCCTTTTTCGTAGCTACTGGTGCTGGTTTCGGTGTGCCTGACCTAGACGTATGCCCCGATCCTGATTTCCCTCCACCGACGGCACCAGGCCCACCTTGACCGCCACCAAAGAGCATGCTCCCCATCATATCGAAAAGCGGATTCCCGCCTTGTCGAGGGATTTTGATCCCGAACCAAATCTCGCCGATATTCGCGAGGGCGTCGGACCACAGGGCGTCAGCGTCCTTGAGATACGGTGCGTAGAATTTCGCCAACTGCTTAAAGAGTGTGCTATCCCCCTTTGGGGCCGCGAGGAGAAGTAGTGACAAAAAATTCAACAGGGGGATCGAGGGGAAGATGCGGAGGGAGACACCGGATTTGCTGGACTCCAGAGGTTGGGACATGGCGAGAAGTTGTGGGTTGGAGGTCGTCAGGTGCGAGGTGAAGGTGCTCAGGGCCGTAGTAGCAGAGGCCAGGTTGCCGACGAGCAAGTACGGTAAGACGGAGCGCGAGGCGTAGATCGGTGCTAGGTGTGGTTGGTCTTGCGTGTACCATGTGTAGTGGAGGGAGGCGAGGATGGGAGCCGACGCCGGTGTGCCAAGGACGAGATGTCGTTCTGCATCGTAGGCTTCGCCTTCTATCCGTAGTGTCAGAGTAAGGGTCGTCGCATGCTCAAGCAGGACTCGGCGGGTTGAAATTTGGGGTGGAGCAGGGTGGTCGGTCGGCGTCTCAATTCTATCCGGAGGATAGAGAAAAAGAATCACAGGGCATGTCACGAACCTTCAGCAAAAATTTTGCCCACCTCATGATGAATTTCCGGATCTCCTCGCTCCAGCTCGCCAAGCTTCCCAGACCAGCTGATCATCTCGGAAACAAATCTCTTACGCGTTGGCTCATCTTTGGGGAACGCATGCAGAATCTCCAGCAGACGTCTCTTATTTTCCTCGTCACATTCCCATTCGCCCTTGATGTAGACGTCGTTCAACAGCATGAGAGCCAGGTCTCCTCCGGATCCGCCCTGCCCGGCGCGCAGGAGGAGGAGGGAGCCATTGTATAGGACATCGCAGGCGGAGTTGTAGTCGGCGGATTTCAGGTAGCGGGAGGTGATGACGCGGAGTTGTTGGTGGGCTTCATAAAAGTTGCCCTCGGCGACTCTGAACGGATAGAAGAAAGGGAGGGCATGTTAGCGTTGGGCTTGAGTCTTTGCAACGTATTGATTGTGGGATGGGATGTCATGGAGTACAGTGTAGTTTCAGACGCACGAAACACAATTGGAGGTTAACTTACTTCTCCTTTTGCCGAGCAATTGTTTTGGCGATTTTGGCCGACATGGCGACGAGAAGAGTTAGAAGTGGAGAGACTGCGTGAGAAGGTAGTGGAAGGCTGATACCATGAGAGAGCCTACAAGTCTGAGGATCGACGTCATGTTTCAAGTTGGCCCTGATTGGGGGGAACCACCAAGAGAATCTTGGCAGCCTTGTCATGCTAATGTTAATGTCTCAGCCTCGTCCGGGTCAATTTCTCCCCACCACACGGGTTCTTACGAGCAGATGAAATGGATTCGTCATTCATCAAACGTCTGGAGGATGGCCAACATATCCCATACATGGCTCTTCCATATTTACTCAATCCGATCCCATTTCCAACAAATCATCCTCCTTTGCTCCACCACGGCCTGGAATGAATCGAAATCGGCCTCCCCGATAGAACAAAAAAGTCAATCCACTCGGCGAATGTTGCTTTGAAAATAAACACCCTTGTATCATGCACGCTATAATGCTCAAATCATGAATATAAAGTTCCAACTCCTTGCTTTGCAAAGACCAACAATGGCGCAAGGCGCCCCATATTTTGACTTCCATCAGGGACATAGGTTTCATCAATGTCCCTTTTCATCTTCCTCTGCCATACTCTCCAAGCTTCCTCCACCGCTTGCATTACTTCGACTGATCCTGTGACCTTTTGGTCCGCTGGCCCCGCCCACGCCCGAACTGATACTTTTCTTGGGAGTTCCATTCTGCAAAAGGGTCTTTTCTGAGTTAGACGATGTTTCTGCGCCTCCACCGCCATCCTTCTGAAGGCTCGGAGGAGGTCGCAAAAACATGGCTTTTAGAGCTGCCTTGGTTTTGGCCTTTTCGTCTTTTTCTTCAGCCACCTTCTTGGCCGGATCTTCTTGGGCCTCTGCGTATTGCTTCCACTTTCGCCATCCGTCGAAATCAATCAGCGCTTGCATGCATCCCCATTCTGTGACCTTGCGTTCCATCCAAACAAAGTTGACAGGCTATATCCGGCATTAGCTGTGTCCCCTAATAGACGTGTGAATGGTGCTCACCTTGGTCAAAAAGTCGTTACACCCAGCGGCCAGTGCTTCATGCCTGTCAATCTGTAGACTGCTAGCGGTCAGTGCCACGATGATGACCGGACTTTTGAACAAGCTGCGATCGGGCAAGACGTCCGCCTCGGCCAGCCCCTCTCCGTTCGTAAGGGGTGTCTTGGAACCAGTGTCGATGGGGCTTCCACTAAATACGCCAATCCCATTCACGGCTTCGAGTCGTCGGATTTCTTTGGTTGCCTCCAGTCCGTTCATCACCGGGAGCTGGATGTCCATGAGAACCAAATGAAAGCCGCCGGTCCTCCACATCGCGACTGCTTCTTTACCATTCATGGCAGACTTCCACCTCACTTTCAGCCTTTTCATGAAAGCTTCCAGCAGTTTCAAGTTGATAACATTGTCTTCCACCAGCAGTACATTGATTGGCGGAACAGTGCCATCCAATAGCGCGGCCGCTGCCGGTTTCGAAGGTGGCGCATCACCATTGGTTGACCGGGTGGTAAGGGGATTCTTTCTTCTCTTCGGTTTCTGACCAGGGTGGGGTGACGAAACGCGATTTGGAGGTGCAATTGAGGAATTATGCTCGTTCGATCCTTGAGCGGGAGGTGTAGAGAGAGGAGGATTTGTTGGCATCGTCCCGTTTATCTGTGATTTCGATTCTATTGATTGGACTCAGTTAAGGTAGATTGCGAAACAGGGGGAGCTCGACATACCGATGACTTGCCCATTAGGTTGAACGGTATGCATGATCGTGGGGCTACTCGTATGTTGCCGGCCATATTTGGGCCGTGCATGTCTCCGTTGTCCATGTGATCCGGGACTGGGTAAGGGCGGCACATGGCCGGTGGTCAATACAGACATGGCATGAGGAACGGCGTTGGGATGGGGAACATGCGCGATATGTGGAGAGTGGACGGGCATGGGAGGAAAATACTCTCGAGCAGCATCGTCAGGTCGGTAGGTATCGGGATAAAAGTAGGAGATGTGGTGATTTCCGGCTCGAGGAGACGGTCGCGGTGTTCGTCGGGAGGGAACGTCGATAATGAGAGCCTCATCGACGGTCTGTCCGCCGGGATAATAGGCATCGAGAGTCGCACCGATGGGCTCTTCGGGTCCCAAGGCACGCTCCGGGCTCACATTTCGATTATTTTGGTCGCGGCTGATGATCTTGAGGGTGATGTCCGGAGCATCGATGCTGCGGCCGAGGGAGTTGGCATATTTTTGTAGGACGGCATCGCGCACATTATCCACGAGGTCATCTTCGGCAACTCCAACTCTCGTAGGGGAGGCGCCAGGTCGCTTCACCCATATCTTTCTCTGCATTGCTTCGGGACTATCATGTCGAGAACCTGAGTGTGGGGGGAGCGTCGGGACGGTCGGAGTGGAAGGTTGCTGAACGACGACGACAGGAGGACCGGGTTTCTGGTCGGCAGCAATGGCTGCAGAAGACGCTTGCTCGAGAGGGATCAAGGGAGAAGGTATTCGGGTGGTGATAGAAGGTGACGTGGGAATAGTGCTGGAAGTTGAATTGATTTCAGTATTGGTGGTGGCCGCAGCCGAAAGTGAAATGCTGAGAGTGGGTTCGATCGACGGAGATGAAGCAGAACCAGTGATAGTTGAAGATGTGGCTGTGGCTTGAACCCGTGTCTGGTTCTGTGTCGCTGTCCGCGTCTGGGCTTGGGCTTCGGTGCGGAACCTGTGGTCGGGCAGCTTGCCCCTCGTTGCTATTGGGCCGAACGGGTGGCCCCTCTCTGGAGGAATTGGGGGTGGGTTCCCTGCTTCGGTTGTCCAGACTCTTTTTCTTGGAATTGGATTTGGCCCGTTCCCCTCTATGCCGATTGAGGTCCGCTAGAGAGGACAGGGCAGGAAGAACTGAAGGTTAGCGAACCTAGGGGAGTTCTGCTTGACTCGTTACTGTCCTCGTCGGTGCTTTTGGTGCTGGCACTGCGTTTGCCAACCAGGGGAAGACGTGGGCGAGTGCGGGTTCTGGATAGGGGCAAGCCTGATGCCGGCGCTGATGCTGATTCTGAGTGTGCTGATTTGGAGGCTTGAAACAGCGCGAGATGGACGTCGGTGCGGATGTCGCTGCAGGCGGCGTGCCGGTAAGGTTCAAATTGTCAATATGCAGTCCCATTTCCGGGGGTTGCCTGAAGCGAGAGAGCTCTCCAGCCACCGTGGGGGACAAGGAAACGAATGCTGCGGTGGACCATTGGGCGGCATTGAAAAAAATGAAGAGATAAAGCACAGAATGTAATGAGGATGGCAAGCACCGTGGAGACTGGAGGCTCATTCATGGGATGGAGTATGTGAGCAATTCTGCATGTTGTGTTGTTGGCTCCAAACTCTGATGCAGCAACAAGCAAATAACTTGTCACTGGCTATAGCTGCAATCGGCCCAAACGCTTTACATTTCCCTACACATGCAATCCATGTCTTGCTTGCTTTCATCTCCATTCACTAATTCGTTTCATGTCTAGGCGAGATGCTGACTCACTCTTGGGGACCCGACCAACTCCACACCACCGTCTCTGCCCCCCCGTCTACGATTTACTGGTACCTCCCGCTATACAGAAACCTACGGCCAAAGAGAGTGACACCCTTCGTTTCTTATATTCTTTCGAGTCTCGAAGCTGTCTTGCTCTGTCCCTGTTCCTGATGGTCATATGCCCCTCATTCATTGCTTTATAAATGCCTCACTACAACTGGAAGAATGTATAAAACCAGAAGATAAACTCCTCACATGTTCAATCCAAGCCTCTGCTCCCTCCGTCGATCAAATTCATGCTCAAGAATTTCAATGGAAATATCATCAAAACACCATCCCCCTTCTTCGTCAGAAGCTCGTCTTTCCACGCGCAATCTCATACTTAATTTGCAGCCGGCTCAGAGCCATCCTGTCCGCCGGCAAATGTTCCCCCATTCCATGCGTACCTTCCCAGCAAGCCTCATATAACCATGCTAACAAATCGAGAATGACAGTGTGATTCAAATGTTCCGGTCCGGTCCTGTGTCCTCTCATCGCTGCTGCTGCTCCCTCAATCAGATAAACGCCGATTCGCTTGCCCGCCCGCTTGCTCCCTTGTTGTCTGCAAAATGGGGAATCTCGTGCTTGAAACGATGAACCAAATCATTCAATCAAAGTCCGTCGACAAACGCCCTTCCCATCTCCAGCCCTGCAAACCCAAATGCTCATCTCTTTGGAGTGTCATACTCAATGCTGAAAATCATCTTTGACAATATCCACCAATTCCATCCACTCATCTAAACCGCGGTCAGCTCGGCGGCATACGTTACCGCCATGGTCTTCCTTGCCGGCGCAGGAGGGGGGGCGCTTGTCTATTATCGACCAAGCATATAATCCGGATACATGCCACCCATTGCTTGCCCACTCGCGCCATTGTTCATTGGCATTCCTCTCAAGTTGGGCATGGTCCCATTTCCAATATTGAATCCTTGGTTCGCAAAGGATGGGGGGGGCGCGACTCCATTCACATTTGACATGCTCATATTCAAACCTGGTGGGGCTGATAATCCTGGAGGAGGACCACTGGCGGTGGTAAAGCCACCAGGAGTCATGCTTCCAAATCCGTTCATTCCCATCGGTCCACTCGCACTCAGAGGCGTCGCTGGGTTCGTACTCCCAGGTTGACCAGCTCGAACCCCGAGCGGATTCTTCGAAAAGCTCAGCCGGATCCCACCCTTGACGCTATTGTGGAGTTGAGCGCCGTACAATTCATTCAACGCCTTCGTGGCGAAGGATATGTCTTCAAATTCGACAAAACACATCGGTCCATTCTGTTTGGTTCGGAAGCATAGCCTTTTATATCCTCTTTGTTTTGAGAACATCGCTTTGAGTTCATCTTCGGATGTGTCAATGGGCAAATTTCCTACGTAGAGCGTATTACATGGCGGATTCTGGTCGGCTGGATTGACCGGAGGGTAGTTGTGCCGGATATAGGGCTGATTTGGCATCGAATATTGTCCGTTAGGACCCATCGTCGGCGGAAATTGGGAGTGAGGTGTTCGAGACTGCACGGCAGAACGGGGCGATGCATAGGTATTGGAATGACCATTGGTCATGTTGGTATTCAGCGAAAGCGCCGAAAACGCCGCCGTGGGAATACGAGGGTTCATCGGCTTCCTACCCCCGGTGGTGGCAGAGGAGCTATTCATGTACGCTAGAGGATCTTTGAGTAGTTCCCCCGTCTCGTCGTCTCCCCCGTCTTCGTCAATGACTTTTTTGCCACTGACACGAGAGCGATCCGCCACTGCACTGGCCACAGGAGATTGAGGAGAGAAAATGGTCTGTAGCTGTGAACTCGCTTCGGACGAGGTATGATTGGGTGGAGATGACGCCGGAGGAGGAGACGTCTTGTCCATCGATTGAAAGGTACCGTTGAATCGCGAGGACTTCTGAGCGCTGCTGAGAGGCGGCGACACCGACTGCGCGATTTTGCGACCCGATGCAGGATCAATCGTGTTGCGTCGGGGTACCGATGCCGTGGTCGGACTTGCTATCACGTCGACGATCATTTTGGCTTGTCCGGCCGTGTTGGGTTTGCCGTCAAGCATCGCCTGCGCCTCAGAAGCACCCGTCATCGACGCGAATCGAGCAATGGCTGTCGTGAATCCGGCGTCCTCTTCGTACTCATTTGGGATGATTTCCGTATCCTGAAGGTCTTTGGCAAAGAGAAGCATTGTCCGCACGGCTTCGGGAGTTGTGTTGCGCGGAAGGCGTCGCAACAGAACCGTTGGGACAGCCATGAGAGCCTCGCTGGCACTCGACATTCGTCGATCAGACGGTGACACTTCTCGCCCGGCAGACTGCGAAGGCACGATATAAGGATTTGACAAAGTGGGATGTAGTCGGGTTTCCGGGGGACTGAAAGCAATTGCGCTCATACTGCGCTTCCCAAGAGTGAACAAAGTCTTTGCCCTCGCCTATCACAAACTAAAGACTAAAATGATGATAGCGGCAAGGCTCTTGTGACGATCCTGTTTCAGAGAGACCGACAAGGGACCAGGCCACGCTCCCTTTTTCAATCGACTGTCCTTCGCCAGGCAAATAGAAAGAGTTGGCGCTCCTTGATCTAAGATACCCTGTTTGATAGGACCGAGATGAGGACGGTAATATTGTCAAAGACCATGTTACGGAAGTTGAAGATTCCGATATCAATTGATATATTGGGCGCGATAGCCCGTAGAAGACAGTTCTGAGTGACACTTCGAGCCTGAAACGTTGACAGAACGGCTCGGTGGGTTTCCGAAAGAAATGGTGAAGATATTGTCAATCTGAGGGGAACGCGCCAGGTACCTGACAGTAATCCTCGAAGATAGCGGGATCCACCACTCGTCCGACGGGGGACCTTAGTCGTTGCGAACGATGTGAGACGAATGGGACCGATGTTAGACGAAATAAAAATCAATGGCGATGAAAGGAGAGGTGAACGCGATCACGTCTCGAAGCGCGATCAGGCGTAAAATGAGGGAGAGGGTGAGGAATAGAGACAGTCAGAAAATGCCTGAGATCAGAAAGTCGAAAGTGCACAGGTGGGATAGCGATTTCAGCGACGCGGAATATTTTGGCGGCGACAAGTGGCCAGTCGATAGCAACGATAAAAACCGGACTAGGCCCTGTGTTTGGCAGCGTGCCGGGGTGATCAATCGTGCCAATCCGGTACCGTGTGGCTTGCAGGGGCTGGCCCGAGCACCAAGCTGGAGGCGCAGGGTGGGCAGGGTGAGATACAAATCGCGATCGTGCGGTGACCGGGTGGTGGAGAGTGAACAGACAGACAGGGTTAAAGAGGCCGCATGGCATGAGGACTTTCGAAGCCGGCAGAGGGGTTCTGACCTGATATTGGCCTGTCGTCGGTTACTAAAAGTCAGCAGAGATAAACGCGGAGAGATGATCAAGTGGGTACGTTAACTTACTGGACGGAATTCACCAGAGTACAATTCCTTGGGAAAGATCGTCGGGCACAGAAAGACTCGAAGGGGGACTGCCGCATGAGAGGAGCAAGATGGATTCGGAGACGGCGCAAATTAATTTGGGGGGGAAGCGGGGGGGGATGTTGTTGGTGTACCTGGAAGGGCAACAATCAATGCAAGGCGGCACCTGGAAGTACTTCGACTTTGGGGGGGGGAGGGAGTGGAACATGAAGTCAAGATTCGAGAACTCCGGAGCAGCTCGTGCTGGCAAAGGAAGTGGGCCGTGGTCTGCTAGCAGGGCTAGCGACACCCGCTCATGCTCTTGTTGGTGGGATGATGATTGCAATGATGATTCGAGAAAAATCCGAAAGAGAGGAGAATTTGGGCATTTTCTGTGGTCACAACTAAGTTTACCAAGAGGCAAGAGAAAGTGCGCCATTGTAACTTGCGAACAGAGTGTGCCTCGACTGTTGGTTGGTTGCTTGTTACTGGCAGAGGGCCAGGATGGTTTGTCAAAGGTGCTCACTTTTGGCTCGAGTGGTGGAATACAATAGATCGCAGTTCCCAGAAGAAAAATCCAGAGGGTAGCCTCCAAACAAGGTGCTGCACCAGTTAATTGGGCTGGCGACTTAACGGCGCGTCGTCGGCTCATTGTTTCGTGGAGAGGGCCGGCAAGAGGATAAACTTCTGTTCCTGCTGGCCACTAAGATGTAACACGCACCCCTTTACCCATTGAACTATGGGGACTTTGGAGGGTGGGAGGAGGATGATAAGCAAGGAAAAGCGTGTCCTCACAGCCCGCACTCTTTCGTCCATCCAGCCAATCTAATGGTCTAGGGCCCAGGGGACGATAGTACAGCAGTATATCCCTTGTTCTCCCTGGTATACGGCATCAAGCCACCTACCCAGTTCAAATCCCCCTGAAGTTGCAACTCGGCCCAACAGACCTGATAACGCCAGCAGTGCTATCCAGATTCACCATGTCCGAGTGACATTGTTCTTTGAGCCCCTGCGTCGGTCGGTAAGTAAGCATCTTCTGTAAGCAACAAGTCATACATTCGGCCCCCCAGCAATGATTATGATTTTCCAACCGCCATCTCCCGCATCTTCTGGTGATTGAAGACTTTTATCCCTCTTTCGAAACTCGTTCGACTTCGAGCAGAGGTGGCATGCTTTGGACCGGCCCTGGAATTTGTAGCGCGAGGAGGTAAAAGCGTGGGAACTGGGCTTGGTTGGTGGTACGCACTCCCTGCGTTGCGCGGCCTTCACGGAATCCTCAATATCTATGCAGCACTCTGTACCTCCTACCGGTCCAGTGCCCTTAATGCTGGGCCGGGGATGTGGACAGCCTGCCAATCCCTGGCTACTTCGGTACCTGGTAGGGCGATGTGATTGCCCTTCTCTTCTTTTTCATGGGTGCACAGATCTTCTGCGGGTGCCATCTAGGTTGCTGCTAGTCGGCGGTTGATGTTGCTGTCTCCGAAGCTGATAGGCCAACGGGATCAGCATATGCAGTTCCGTGCAGTTGGGCCTGGGAAGCTCGGGGGACAGAAAGGATAGGCAGTTTGGCGGGTCCTCGAGTCGTCGGAGGGTCGAGTTTTGTTACGAGGTCGGAGGTGATGAGGGTGCGTCGCGGAAGCCGCTGACTGGTGGAGCACTCATCTCTAAGTACGGAGGGAGCCCGACGCACGCTTCCGGGTGCTGTCACACTGACCAGCCAGGCACGGGGCAGAAACTGACTGGCTCACTCTTCAATCCTGCAAGCTGCTGCAAGACTTGAAAGAAGAACAGCGTTTTGTCACCGAAGCTGGGCAACATCGACTGCACCACTCAGTGCAAGAATGAAGCACGAATTACCACCACTGCAAAAAACCGCTCTCGCTTATTGTATGAGCATATCCGCCTGCTCCAGTTACAAAGTGGTCACCAAGCATTCTTGGTCGTCGGGTACATATCGTCTCCAGTGGCGCATATGGCAACTTTGTCGACGAAACAAGGGTCATCACCAGCGATTTCACTTTCAATGTCTTTGTTCAAGTAGACAGAGGACCCCGGTATAAAATTCCCTATTCCAGCCAATGACTCGGTCTAATTGAACCGACCATCTCACACAACTGCTTCCGACCGTCTTCGTTCAGGATTTTTTAAAAAGGCAAGAGAGTTGGCCCCAAGCTCCCCAGTTGTGCAACCACAGCTGCATTCTGCATACCGACATTCAAGAAACCATGCCATCGTTGGGTAATTGGGTTGTTGCACAAAAATATAATAGACATCGAATAAAAATGACGGCAGACCGTTGTCTCTTTGACCAACTCATGATCCAATCAAGCTCCAGGCGGTGCCTCGAAAAGGCTAGGATATTGGGTACTGTCTCATTCAACTCTTCAGCCTGCTGCCCGAGCACAAGCTAACCAACCCTCTTCGTGCTCCAAAAAAAGGGGCTTCGGAATATGAGTGAGGAGCTTCCATGGATGTCCTTCAGTCCGAGTGCTCAATATGCATAAAACTGCCGCCGTCGTCCTTTTCCCGCATCCCCTTGCCTCTCTCGCTCCCGTATCTTTGCAGCATTTGTTCTGCGTACAGGCCAATTTTGTTCCCTTTTCTCTCTTGCATCTCCTGCTTGCGTACACTTTCCTCATAGGAAGGTGGTTGTTCAGCCGCGAATCCTGAATTGTCCTCTTTAGCTCGCTTGGGCGAAGGCTGTTCATCCTCATCACGTCCAGGCGTGGACGCGGACACGGGGGTGAGTCCGCGAACAGAGTTGCTGGACCCGGTTTGATCGATCAAAGGAACGTCTTCAAACTCAACCTCTCCCTCATGATCACCAGAAGAGTTCGGCATTGGGCCTTCTTCCTGCTGAATCTCCTCCGCAAAGGCTTGGTTGTCCCGATCCACGAAGTGCCTGAGAGAGATGTTCAACTCGCTATCCCGGAACTTCATTGCATTTTCGTTGGCGTACACGAGGAGTACGGAGCTGTGTTCCTTTTTGACCGCTTCTAGCACTTCGTTCTCGCCGACCTTGCTGACGGCGTAGGGTTTGGAAAAGTCGCCGTTTTCATCCCAAGAATTTCCCGTCTTTTTAGCGGCTTCCGCTTGTGCCTGTGTCATGGGTCCCATGATTGGTGGCGGTGGTATTTGTTTCCCAGTGTCATCTTGCAACCAGCACAATTTCCACCACTGGAATTCTGAATCCTCAGGGTTTCTTTGATCCTCCTCAAGATGAAGCAGGTCCCGATTGGGCTGACGAACATACGTGATCTCAGGCTTTGTTGACACACCTTGTAAAGTGTACTTGCGGTGCGGAATGTGGGGATTTTCCGGTGTAGGCCGGGTCAGCTGTAACGAGATTTGCCGCATTTTCTCTCGCAAGTCAGCCTTTCTTTGCTCCAGCTGCTGCACTTTCTGGTCCATTCTTTGGAGTACATTTTGCAAGTCTGAAGCAATTTGCTCCGCTTCGACTTGTGCGATGGCGCTCTCCGACAGGGGCTGCTGGTGATCGTAGAGTCCATTGGACGCCGACTTCTGGCCGAGTGCGGTAGCTGAGGTCTTTGCGACAGCATCAAGGACCTCCCGAATTTTGAGCATCCTATTGTCCGGCAATTTGAGGACTTCACAGCGGCGCCGGGCATTCGTGCACTGATCGATCTCTCTGCGTATCAGTTGCAACTGTTTCCGCATGTGCTGCGTGGCCTCTCTGAATTCGTACATGTACCGATCCGGATACCAAATTGGGTCCACAGTCAACTCAAGACCATTTTTCCCGTTGGCCGGGTCATAGACGTGTGCGGTGAAGACGTCGGCAGCATGATCGATCCAGACATCGTCGAGATTGCCCGTGACGTCGTCCCAGACCGTCATGTCGAACAAGTCCACCAACGTCTCACCCGGAATCCGATTGATCGGAGCTCCAATAGAAAGTAGCGACTTCTCTTCCAGAGGCCGATCTCCAGAGCTAGAGTTCTTAACTGCAACGGAGCTGAAGATCTGCGTCAACGGTTCTTGGGGAGCTTGGCGCAATGCAGCGGCATTCCAAGTCTCTAGAAATCGAGAAAATGAAAACGCCTGGCTGGAGCTTCGAACGGCTTGGAGGTCAGCCAGCGCATCAACACTGCCATAAGCTCGGTGTGTTTTATCGAGAAATGCCATCAAGCATTGGACCTCGGCCAGAACGTGGCACTGATCCCGATCAATGCATAGGGTATTGTCAGTCGACAATGCCTTTGTGTTTTCGTCAGTTGTTCCTGACCACCAACTATCCTCGTGTCCGTAGACATGGATTTTTAAACCAGGCATTAACAGAGCTTCTCTCGCTAGAGGTATGCTATGGTAGATCGTGAGCAATGGTCCGAGATAGTCTGTTTCCTTTGAACCACGAAGAAATGCCGGTTCGTCGTCTGTTCTACGCCGCTTCGAGGGCGGTGGATGGTCAATGATTTCGCGTGAAGTAGCAAACGTGGTCATGGCCCAGTTTGCAGGTTCGTAGAAGTCTCGTTTCGCAGGTCCAAAGCGTGTTCCAGTCCCAGTGACTCCATTTTCCTGGCCTGGCAATGGCTGTCCGAGGGACTCTGCCATGGCTCGTTGAATCACTGGATCGTTCATTTCCTCTTGCTCTTTCAATGTCCTCGCACTGCTTGCTGAAGCTGCGGATTCTCAGTCGATGAATTGATATGTCTCACTAGCAAATACTTACCAGTTGCGTGGGCGGCCGACAAATCAAGCATGGTCCTGCTGTTAGCTGGTGATGGTGGACGTGACATAGCCGGCACTCCGCCCATGCTAGCACTGTCGGCAACTATGTGAAAGCTCATGTCAACATCAGTCTACCAAATACCCGGCGGATTTTGAGGGAAATAGTCTTACACGGGATATTATCTTGATATTGCCAATCGTTCGCCGCTGGCTGTAGCACTTCAGCGGCGTCCTCGACTCGCCAAATATTAGAGACTCACCTCCTCTTTCACAGATCCGACCGGATCCTCGAAGAATGCATTAATAGCTAAATTAATATCATTGTTGCTTTTCTAAGTACGGGCCTCAGCATTTGTTCCATCTTTTCTTGCCTGGTCCACTTTACCCTGAGCAGCACCCGTGCGCTGGATTCATCGACATGTGTAATTGCGCAGACTTGAAGGAGCTGATCTCCAGTGGGTTGCGCACCCGCCATGATGAATGCGTGGAATGGAGCGTGTTAGGGAGTGACCATGGACGAAAGTACAGTAGGCCGTCGCGGCGTCGTCGACTGCATACAAGGCGGAAGCAAGGAGAGGAACAAGTGCACAGTCGTAGCTAAGCTCTTTGATCGGTGGAAGTGAATGAATGTGCCATGCTCTCCAAGTTCGCCTTCCTTCCCCGCAACCTTGTTGGGCAGAGAGGAAAAAACGGCTCGCTTAGAATTGAATTCAAAATGATGTCTGCACATATTATTTCTGATAGACAAACTTGCCGTAGATCGGTGCAACGTCGTCTTTCATATTTCAAAATGGTATCTCAAGAAGCCAAACTGCAAATCCAGTACCAATAAATCACAGGTGCTGATGTCCCCAATTTTCCAGTATTCCTTAATCACGGGAATACCTCGTCTAGTGCTTTGCAAACCAAAACCCTCCCTGGAGCGTTTCGCCACTGGCTCTTGAGGCATATTAGGACTCTTGTTCTTATATCAATAACTCCTTCCCATTCCCATCCCTGTCGTGTCGGTCATTCGTTACAGTTGGACCTAGAAGTCTTTGAAAGCATCTTCCCATTCGTCACGTAATTCGTCGGTATATCTCCCTCTGCCGCCTTCGCTCTCTTCTCCTTCGATGGGATCGGGATATTCGTCGAAATTGCCGGCATCTCCTGCCCATTCGACTCTAGGTATAATTGGTCCTCTTTTTCTCCGATAGTAAATCTCGTCCCAATCGATACCATCAAAGAAGTAATGTTCCATCACCCGTTTGCTTCCCCCAGCAATGTGGCCCAGACGTTGAGTAGGGTCGGTTTTACACAGTGCAAGAATGAAATCTCGCGCTGCTCTTGGGACATGGAGGCTGTGACGAAGGCCTTGATGTGCTGGATGGATAGTTGGAAAGCGGATGTGACCTGCAACAATCTGCTCATAAATACGCATGGGATTCTGATCCCAGAACGGCGGCTGTCCGATGAGCATCTCATAAACCAAGATACCGAGCGCCCACCAATCGACTGCTGTACCGTGACCGGTGTTGCGTATCACCTCTGGAGCGAGATACTCGGGTGTACCACAGAGGGTATAAGTAACACCTGCTCCACTTGCTTGTGGTTCGGGATGTTCGGTCCCTGGCCGAGGGGGACTGCTGTTCTGAGTATTGCCAGAACTCTGCTCAGGAACAGGCGGTAAATATTTGGCGAAGCCAAAGTCCACGAGTTTCAAGTGGCCATCGACATCGAGTAAAATGTTTTCCGGCTTGAGGTCGCGGTATGCAACAAACTGGACCTCATGTAGATAGGCCAGTATGAGGGTAATCTCCGCAGCGTAAAACTGGACAGTAGCGAAGGGAAAGCGGCGAGCCCGCCTGAGATATGAGAATATTTCTCCACCTGGAGTGTAGTCCAGTAGCATATAGAGGGACGTTTCATCGGAGAATGAGGTAATCAATGTAGTTATAAAAGGATGACCAGCAACTGCAGCGAGAACATCTCGCTCATTTCGAACGTGTTCGACTTGTTTTAGTTTGATAACGTCGACTTTCTTGAGCACTTTGAGGGCAAAGACTTTGTCCCTATCTTGTGGGAGAGGATCGGCGAAGCGACAAAGCCAGACTCGGGCAAAGGTGCCTGGAGAAAATGGCGTTAGTCAACATAACAGGTTGAGAGTGTGCTGGGTTCTTTTACCAGTTCCAAGGGTGCGCATCAGCTCAAAATCGGTGATTCTCAGATGGCGGGACGAATGGCCCAGTTGTTTGTTCTCTGGATCCTTTGTGATCTCTTCCGGGGGCAACACCTCCTTTCCCTTGGCGGCATCAGCGTGTTTGAGCACCAAGTCCTTTTCATATTGGCGGCTGGGATGAGGATGGGAGGCGCTCCTCGAATTGTGTGGGTTGCTGGATCGCAGGTATTGTCTATGGCCTTGAGCTGAGGCAGCCCGCGGTGGCGGCTGTTGCTGCGACGGTTGAAGCGTCGCTGTGCTCATCGGAGCAGCCAGTTCGCATTTTTTATTTTTTATCTTTTTTCCCTCAATCCTAGGAGCCGTGGTGGCCGAGGTTCATGTCGAAGCGCCAGCTGAGGCCATGCAATTTGCGAAGCGGAGGCGGGCGAGAGCGGTAAACAGCGGCGTAAGAATGCAGGACGGCCTCGCAAAGAGGACGTGGATGGAAAAGATGAGAGATCTTGCCGGTCGCAAAAGGAGAAGTCCAGAAGTACAGCGAAAAAGCAGTCAACCAGCAGCCAGCACCAACCACTTTGGACTTAATACTCTTCCGCCAAGGAGACTTTTTGCAGCGAGGAACAGGAATGGGACAAGGCGATGGAGAGGTTTGAGATTGAGAAGACCAAAGAGCGTGAGAACTTGAGGGATACGCGGGGCAGTGGTAGGGCTCCAGAGCGACAAGTAACTTATGCAATTGGACGAAGGATTTTGGTTAGAGGTCAATTAGGCTGAGGTCGCCAACCAGAGCCAGAGCCTAAGAGGGTAAGTGGTGGGCAACTGAAGCCTTGGAGCACGAGGGGAGGCCCATGGCATGCACAATCAGCAAAATTCGCCCCGATGGGCATTGGGACCATTAGACATGTTGACGGTTTGATGGTGCTCATCCATCGCATGTCGATACCTGGAACGGAGAGCCACTGGCAACTAGTCATCTTAGTGGATCGCCCAAATAAAAACCTTCTCGCTTGCGCTCGTGCATCCAACTTAATCTTGCCGAAGATGTACCTCGTCATGACATGTTGCTGTCATATCAACATTGACCCTATTTTCAATCCTCGTCCGCTGCCTCTAGTCTTTCTAGTCTGTGCTCCCGAACACCTCCCGAAATGAGCTGCAAATCTATACGACAGTAATGGAATGCAGTCCTCGAATGGACGTATACCTCCCAACACTTTTTGGAATAAGACGTCAAATTCTCACTCTGCTCCAAACACCCAAAGTTCCTCCGATAGCGGTACTCAAACAGTTCTATGTCCAGGCATTAGATGTGCTACTTGCATATCACACACTTTTCATTCGCTCGTTCGCCGGCTTCCAGGATCCTGCAATTTCGTCAGACTCTGAACGTCGGTGGTACGAATAGAGAAGTACATACCGTCAAATTCATGTTTCACAAAAGCCATTGGATGCTCCGGACCTTCAGCGCCCATTTGCCCAACCCCCGGGCTGAAACTTGTAATTGGCAGTACAATGACATCGCCAATCTTCTTGTGTTCCTTGATGCCAAAAAAATCTGAGTAGGTCACATTGGACTGACGTGCACTGAAGTCAAAGTACTTCTTGTTGTTGAAGTACGAAAATATTGCATCTGTCCATACACCCGGTCCTGTATACTCCATAATGCTCTTCGCCGGTTCTTTGCCCTTCCGCAACTGCCCGGCCTTCTTCATTTCTAGGGTATCTGCCGTGATCGTGGCCACAATGTCTCTCAAAACCGGGTGCCCCGGCTTGGACTGGATTGTCCATTGACAGAATTGTATTCTCCTAGCGTACCATTGATTCCAGTCGGGTCTATCCGGATCGGCCTCAATTCCTACCACCAAGCCAACAGTGGACTTGTCGAGGTTCTGCGGCAACCAGTCCGTTGCAGATTGCAGTGCTTGAGTATCGATATCGCTGTAAATACCCCCGCGTGCGAGGAGAATCAAGTACCGAAAGAAGTCGGCCCGGACAACAGGAAGCGGCATTGCTTCGTAAGCCTCAACAACCTCTGGTACTGATGCAAATAAATAGCTGATCAGGTGCACAGCAGTATTGTCTGTTACGACCTCGTGAACAAACCCAGGATGTAGTGTTGTCCAAGATGCCTCGAACGGTCGTAATCTTTCTTCAAATTTGCCCGAACTTGGCCCAGATTTCCACGTCTGCCATACGTAGGCTGGAAACTTGGCTTCAACGTCGTAAGGGAAATAGTATTGTAGACGTTCGCGGAGAGGTTTGGAAGCCATGTCTCGCATTGTCTGCTGATCTTGTTGAGATGTCTTCGGAGGCTTGGGGGGTGGATAGGATCTTGAAGGCTGTCCAATGTCCTCGGACGCCGGTAACACTGAGAAAGGATCTGACGAGGAAGGATAGGAAGGTCGGAGGAGAAGGAACAAAATCAGAAGGATAACAACAACGAGGACTGCTCGTCGGCTGGTTGTTGAGACTATCATGACGGAGGATCGGCTCGCGCACGCCTCGAGTTCCGGAAGCCTGAACGCAGTTCGTTCAAAAGCAGAGATGTCAGTGACGAGTCCTGTCCGCTCCAGACACTGAATGGCTGGTGGACGGAATCGGGAAGCATATGGCAGTAAAGTGTTTTTTCGATAGGCTAATGGATGGAATCCAGGCTGCTGCAGAAATTGGGACTGGGGCAGCTGAGGAAAGGTTCATGAGGTCGGATGGTTGTACATTGTCATGGTGACATGTCTCGGAGGACAAGAATCGCAGGGGAAGGGGAGAGAGAGAGAGGAAAGCAAAGCGATGAGCAACACGGCTCCCCTTCAACTTTTGGAGAACTGGTTGTTAATATGACAAGATGGGGAGGGAGAGGCACAGGGGCAGGCCAAGCGTTGCAGTGCAAGCACCTACAAGGCCATGAAGCACATGTTTCAGGAGAATTTTGATTCGACCCAAATAATCGACCAGAAGACTATCCCTGTCATTTTGCCATCTGCCATCTGCCATCTGAGTCTGTCTGATAATGCTAAGCTTTTGAGCCGTCCTCCGAAAACCACCATCAAAGTAGATCTCTGCCCAGAGTTACGTTGGCATATGGTATGATTTAGGCCACGATAGCGTCTTAGGTATTGGTTGCTACCGAGACACATCATCCTGCTACAAAGATCTTCACTACACGAGATTCCTTCTTGCGTCCACAGTGCCAGTCGTCGATGAATCTCCCTTTTCACGACTGTCCCCAATTCAGCCAGATCAAATATCAATGAACATTCAAAGCGGCGAGGGGCGCTAAAAAGTGTCTCCTGCATGCAGTCTTACGCAATGCAAGCCCCACAGAGGTGTCCCGAGTGATCCATAGCTAATATTGACACACATACCAAGAACGCGTGGGAAAAAGGAGTATGCTTTGCGAGATGGATGGCAGATATTGTTGTTCCTCACTGATAAGCTGCCGTAAGTCAGGCCTCTGGTTTGAACCGATCTTGGTCTCCAGTTGCCACATTCCCATAGCCTTGGTCCAGCCTCGTAATATGTCTCAGTCCTCTAAGACTTTGTATACCCCAAATGCTAACCGTAGGCAACATTTCATCGTGACCATGCTCCATTTTTGGCTGTCCGGGCTGAAGCGTTCAGAGGAGGCAACTTAAGCGAGAATTAAAGTCGCCTTCCCATTGGTGGCTGATGATGTGATTTTGAATTGCAAACGCGATTCCACGATACTGGCTTCTTCGTTTATGTAACGCAGCAAAATGGCGATTACTTCTGTGACGTGCCTTCAGAGGGAGGCTCCGCGACCACTTGAACCTTTTCTCTCTTCAAATTCCTCCCCAACTCGAAATGGCCACTCCTCGGGGTGTTCAGATTGCCGCTCGTCTTCTCAGTCGAGGCTCAAAGTCTCTACCGGCCCATACCTTTCCCATAAAACGCAGGTTCGATTGTCCGTCAATCGCATGCAATTCGAATATTAGAAATGCATCCCTTCACACACGAGCAACCCATCACGCACAGGTGGCTGCGGCAGTACAGGAGGAAGCGTGGGAGCCTCCTGAGCCCACAAACCCTGCCATGGCCTTTCCTTGCCTTGATGCACAAGAAATGAAGACTGCTGCACTGCAGACCCGATCCCACCAGTCTGGCCCAGAACCTTCGTACACAACAGGAAAACACATGGTATTCCACTGTGGTGAACCCATCTTGCTGGACTGGGGCGGTATTCTCCCGGAATTCGACATTGCCCATGAAACCTGGGGAACATTAAATGCGGACAAGAGCAATGCCATTCTACTGCACACTGGGCTCTCAGCATCTAGTCATGCACACAGCACTGAGGCAAACCCAAAACCTGGCTGGTGGGAGGAATTCATTGGACCTGGCGGCCCCATAGACACCAACAAATATTTTGTGATATGCACGAACGTGATTGGCGGTTGCTTTGGTTCAACTGGGCCTTCTTCTATTGATCCATCTGATGGGCAAAGATATGCGACCAGATTTCCGATTTTGACCATGGACGACATGGTTCGGGCGCAGGCAAGATTACTGGACGGTCTAGGGATTGAGAAGCTCTGTGCCAGTGTAGGAGCAAGTATGGGCGGAATGCAAAGCCTTGCATTTGGAGTACACTTTCCAGACCGGGTCGGAAGAATTGTCAGCATATCCGGCTGTGCAAGAAGCCACCCCTACAGTATTGCTATGCGACATACTCAAAGACAGGTTCTCATGATGGATCCGAAATGGAACCGAGGTTTCTATTATGACAGCATCCCACCCCATTCGGGAATGAAACTTGCCCGGGAGATTGCCACGGTGACTTATCGAAGCGGTCCGGAATGGGAGAAGCGATTCGGCCGTCAGCGCGCTGACCCCAGCCAACAGCCTGCTTTGTGCCCGGATTTCCTCATTGAGACATATTTGGACCACGCCGGCGAAAAGTTTTCCCTCGAATACGATCCGAATTCCTTGCTCTACGTCTCCAAAGCAATGGACCTCTTTGACCTAGGGCATACCCATCAGGAAAGTGTCAAGATTCGACGTCAACAGAACCACGAGAAATTGACCCGGCGCAAGGGATCTTGGATAGGAAATGACCTATCTTGCAGCCTGACACTGCCCGCTAAGAATTACGAAGAGAAAGTATCGACAGCTCCCATGGATGAAGGTGTTGGCCCTGAATCAGAAGTTGGACCTCCTAAGGATCTGGTCACGGGAATGGCCCCATTGAAATCTCATCCTGTTCTCGTGATGGGCGTTGCAAGTGATATTCTGTTCCCAGCCTGGCAACAGCGTGAAATTGCTGAAACATTGCGCGCTACGGGAAACACTCAGGTAACCCACATCGAGTTGGGAGAAGATATCAGCCTGTTTGGCCATGATACCTTTCTATTAGATTTGGAGCATATCGGTGGCAATATTGGGAAATTCTTGCAGTGATCGGGTGATAGTTCAACCTCCGTAAGGAGGACAATAAACGTGAAACCTCTATTGGTCATGCTAGAACCTTTCAGTTTTATTCCACCAAATGATGTTAGTCCGAACCCCCGTTGCCGTCGCTATCTACATAGGAAACCCAGCTTCGCGTAGCCAACGAATCCTTTTATTCCATGACTCGCTAGAAGTGTCTTCATAAACGCTTCCTCTGACCGTTTGCCTCAACTCTTCGAATGCAGAATCAAGCCCACAATCAAACCATATAGACCCAGAACCTCGCCAAAAATCAAGATCAGGACCATGCCAACGAATATCCTGGATTGTTGCATGTAGCATCGCACGCCCATATCTCCAACAATCCCAATGGCGTAACCCGCGGCAAGACCAGCCAGTCCTACACTCAAGCCACTGGCCAAGTGCATGAAACCTGTGAACAAGCTATAATTTTGTTGTGGTGGCGGCCCCATGTCTCCAGCAATCAATACGGCGATAACAAGGGCGTAGACGGCAATAATACCGGACATGACTACCGGAATGAGGGACTGCGAGCCTTTGTCAGATAAGCGCAATAGGGTAGTCCTTCCGTTCAGACCTTCATAATCAAATCAGGTCGATATGTTCCAACGCCAGCAATTCCAATTCCAGATTTGGCGGTGCCATATGCTGCTCCTACACCTGTTAAATCTCAGTATCTTTGCAGTATCAGTTTTCATAGAGGTCGAGCACGAGCCGTACAGCCAAATATCATCTGGCACGAGGTCGTTAGCGGTCTCCGTTGTTCGAACGTCAGATCCGTCTACATACAGCGGATGCAATTCCAGCCTGTCGACTTGTCAGCTCTGGTGATGAATGGATGGGACGGATCAAATTACCATGCCAAAGAAGGGTGCAAACTTGGGAGTGTATTCACTGCCTGGGCCTTCCATGAGGGATGCCATCGTGCGAGAATCAGAATGATAGTGATCTGTCGGTCTTGAAGACGTTTCGCGTCAAGACCCAGGCAGAATAAAGGTGTTTCTCGACGAGAAGCGTAGTGCAAGGGCAATGAGGAGCTAGTGAAAGATGATGCTGTGATAGATGCCTCCGCTTGCGCCTGGGAAGACTCGCAGCGTTCAAGCTCATAGGCGTTTCCACATCAGCCAATAATAGCCGAGCGACTGAGTCCATTAGCCAGCGCGATTGAATGAACGAGGAGCACCCATCTAACTTGCTGGGCTGATTCTCTCTGCTCAATTAATCCCCATATCATCTGCACATGTCAGTATTTCCCTATCCTCAACCCATATTCGTCCATTTCTGCTCTGTTCCTGCTGGCATGGAGAGAGCATGAATCTGTGCGAAATCATATATAGCCCTAACGAGTCCCGCCGAATCCTCCCATGCACGAAACATAACCCAATTTTAAGATCAGCCACCTTTGTCCACCGACACCAACGACCCCCTCGCCCTTTTGTCCGCATACAACAGAGATTGAAAGTCAGGAGCTCGGGCTGAGGAACAATCAACGACACTGAGAACAAGACAGAAGAACACACCCGCGATCTTCCAGCTCCTTTCCAACCGCCTCCGTCCTCACTCGATGCCCGCCCAGTGACATCCACCGCTTCCAGGCCGTCCTTCATTTGCTAGCTCTTGGCTGAGTATGGCTGAGTATGGTGCACCCGAATCCCGCTATCATGGTTCTCGAACCGCGAATTTTGGCGGTTCAGCCGATCACCAAAGAGATGCTGCGTTTCATAACATATTCGGGGGTGCGCCCCCACCAGGGAGATCTCAAACGATGACCACCCAGACGACCAATATGATGTATGATCGGCTTCCCAGCATGAGTTCGGGTGTGCAGTCTCAGCATACTATGTCGATGAGACAAGGCCCCCCCCCGATGCGGCCGATGCCGCCAGCGTACGACCGAACAAATGGTATTTCTCCCGGCCAGCCATATATGAATGGAACATATAACAGCCGCCCACCGCCTCACAATCCAGCACCCATGTTTCCAGATCGAAGACCATATCCTCCGCCTCAGCGGATAGATACTCGCCCGGGCGGCCCACCCATGCCCATGGGGCCGTATGATCGCAAGCCTGTGCCAAATCGCTTGCCGCCTCCTGCGTTAAATAACGACGCTTACCGATCGCGTTCGATGGTGAGACCTGGGGAGCCGACGATAGGTTATCGGCCTCCCCCAAGTAGTTTCCAACAAGGGACTGCTAGTGCGTTCAGACAACAGCCTTATGCTTCCATGGCTGCTTCCAGAACAACAGCGCAAGGGAGACACATTCCTGAGAGACTTGATGACAATAGAGCAATGTCAATGGGATCATATTCTTTGGACCGTGATCACGCACAACAATTAACCAGTGGGAGAGTTGTGCCTGGACGTCGCCGAGATTCAGGATCAGATCCTTTTGCACATCGCGCCTCGTCGAATGACTCCTTCAGTTCGTCCAACTCTCCGGCCTATGGCCACACACCTCACTCTCGGCGCCCTAGTGAAGGCAACGGCCCTCCACGCACTGTATCAGCTGCTTCTGCCGCCTCCGCTTCTTCTGACTTGACGGCGACAACGCTGAATGGCTCTCGGAGTGACAGCATGAGGAACAAACCGGGTCAAGCAGCCTATCCAGCCAACCAGACGACGACTGTTGTCCAAAGAAAATCACCTCTAGTCTATCCTGCGCTCCTCTCCCGTGTCGCGAGCGCTTTCCAGGAGCGAATCGGCGTTGGTGATAGAACGAAGAATGATCTATCTTACAAGAACGCCTTCACCGGAGCTGAAGCCGTCGACTTGATCGCATACATCATCAAGACCACGGACCGAAACCTCGCCCTCCTTCTTGGACGTGCTCTTGACGCTCAGAAGTTCTTTCATGATGTTACGTACGAACACCGCCTGAGAGACGCCCCTGCAGAAGTTTACCAGTTCCGGGAGACCATGGGAGAAGAGGCCTCCTCTAAGGATGTGAATGGCGTCTTCACCTTGCTCACGGAATGCTACTCTCCGACTTGCACCAAGGACCACCTCTGTTACTCCATCGCGTGTCCCAGACGGCTTGAGCAACAAGCTAGACTCAATTTGAAGCCTCAACCCGGCTTACGGCACTCCAATTCGAGAGGCAGCTTGCACGGCGACGATGACCAGGAACAAAAGCTTTGGATCAACAGTGTACCAAAGGAGGTTGCAGACAACATCGATGAGCGAGAGAAGAAGAGACAAGAAGTGATTTCGGAGCTGATGTACACAGAGCGCGATTTTGTGAAGGATTTGGAGTACTTGCGTGACTTCTGGATACGACCTCTACGTGGCTCCGGCCAAGGGATATCTCCCATCAAAGAAGAGAGACGAGAGAAGTTTGTCCGCACTGTCTTTGGCAACTGCCTGGAAGTTCTTGCGGTGAATGGCAAATTTGCGGATGAACTTTCAAAGAGACAAAAGGAACAACATGTCGTCCACAGCATCGGTGACGTCTTCTTGAAGTGGGTTCCTCAGTTCGATCCGTTCATCAAATACGGCGCGAATCAAATGTACGGCAAGTACGAATTTGAAAAGGAGAAAGGAGCCAATCCGGCCTTCGCTCGCTTCGTCGATGAAACCGAACGACTCAAAGAGTCAAGAAAACTCGAACTAAATGGCTACCTCACGAAACCCACCACTCGGTTGGCCAGATACCCTCTTCTTCTCGATAACGTGTTGAAGTACACCAAAGATGATAATCCGGACAAGAAAGATATTCCTAAGGCTATTGGACTCATCAAGGATTTCTTGGCTCGCGTCAATGCGGAGAGCGGCAAAGCCGAGAATCACTTCAATCTTCTTCAACTCAATCAACAACTCAAATGGAACGCCGGAGAATACACCGACCTCAAACTCACAGAGGAGAATCGGATCATTCTGACCAAGATGAGTTTCAAGAAGAGTCCGACCGACAGTGCGGAAGTCCAAGTCTACCTATTCGACCACGCTGTTCTGATGTGCCGTGTGAAGAATGTGAACAAGAGAGAGGAACTTCGGGTGTACAGAAAGCCGATTCCGTTGGAACTCCTCGTTATTGCCGAAATGGACCAAGTCATTCCTCGTCTAGGCATTGCCAAACGTCCTTCATCAAGTTTGATTCCCGGCGCTAAATCATCAACGTCGGGCACACCGGGTCAGAAAGAGGTGTATCCAGTTACATTCCGCCATCTCGGAAAAGGTGCCTACGAGCTTCAACTGTACGCCACCTCAATCACACAACGGAAGAAGTTCATTGAGTTGGTGGAGGAACAACAGAGCAAGCTCCATGAGCGCAGCAGCAACTTTTACACCAAGACCATACTTTGTGAGGGGTTTTTCAATGCTCAGAATCGTGTCAATTGTCTTGTTCCTACCGATGGAGGTCGCAAACTCATCTATGGCACGGACAACGGAATCTACGTTGCAGATCGCTGGCCCAAGGATAAATCAAGCAAGCCCAAGCGGATTCTCGACGCTACTCAGGTGTCGCAAATCGACACCCTGGAAGAGTATAGGTTACTCTTAGTTTTGTCGAACAAAACACTCACCTCATATCCTTTTGAGGCACTTGAGGCAAACAATCAAAACCCTCTCGCCACTAGACCACGAAAGATTCAAGGACACGCCAACTTCTTTAAAGCAGGCATTGGATTGGGGAGACACTTGGTTTGCTCGGTGAAGACTTCAGCACTCTCCACCACCATCAAGGTGTACGAGCCCATGGATGATCTTACTAAGGGTAAGAAGAAGCCAGCAATCAGTAAGATGTTTGCCAGCGGCCAGGATGCTCTAAAGCCTTTCAAGGTATCTTCCCTTACTCATCCGTCAATGTAGGTTTGTTCTCACAAGATGCAGGAATTCTATATACCAGCTGAATCCACCTCGGTGCATTATCTTCGATCAACCCTTTGTGTCGGCTGCGCCCGAGGCTTTGAAGTCGTTTCTTTGGAGACGACAGAACGCCAATCTCTCCTGGATCAGGCTGATACTTCCCTTGACTTTGTCACCAGAAAGGAGAATGTCAAACCAATCCACATTGAAAGACTCAATGGCGAGTTCTTACTCAATTATTCCGACTTCAGTTTCTTCGTCAACAGAAATGGCTGGCGTGCCAGACAAGATTGGAAGATCACTTGGGAAGGAACACCACAGGCTTTTGCATTGAATTACCCATACATTCTCGCATTCGAGCCCAGTTTCATTGAAATTAGGCACATTGAAACCAGTGAGCTAATTCATGTCATGACGGGCAAGAATGTGAGAATGCTTCATTCGAGCACTCGAGAGGTGAGCTTTAATATCCTGACTAGCAATATTGATGACTCATTGGTGTTCAGATTTTGTATGCATACGAAGACGAGACGGGCGAAGACGTGATTGCTAGCCTTGACTTCTGGACCCAAGCTCAAGCTTGAGGATAATCAGATTGCTTGGAATTGACTTTTGATTTGTTTTCTTTCAGCATCCTTTGCTTTCATAGGAAGGAAGAGTGGTCGATTGACTGACCCGCCCTGGGGAATTTTCACTGTGGAAATGGCAATGGAAATGGCGATAGCAATAGCAAACGGGGGCATGAAACACGAATTTTCAAGGCAAAGCAAAGCACGAACATCGAAGAAGAAATGATACACGGAAAGGAGAGAAAGCAAAGAAAGAAAGACGGTTGATGGTTGATGGTTGTGCTTGGGTTCTTTTGCTGCGTGGTTCCGGTCGATGAGAAAGGAATCTAGACAATCGATCGGGCAACGAGTGAGTGGGTGAGTCGGTCAACCGATCAGTCAGTCGAGAGTCTTGAACGAAGCTGTTGGCCCTCAGGCCCCTTGGCGTTCAAGCATGCATGCATGCCAATGCAAGGCTTCACCGACCAGACCATGGCTAGATGAGAGGTATCATGCTTTTTCTTCAAATTCCCGAGAGAGAATTCAAATTCACATTGAATCAAATCTTTCGTATTTCTAAGGTATCTTCATTGCAGTTCTGTAAACGTAACAGCTGCGTTAGATGGAGTGTAGATAACTGTTTGAGAACCACAGCAGCCATTGTAGTATTGCGACACTGTATCCGGTTGAGTTCTATAGGTGACGGGAAACGCTCAGAGCATGCGTGTTGTAGTATGTGAATTCAAGGCGAGAGGAAAGGGAAAAAATGGAAGGCCAACGTTAATATTTTTTCTTTGCAAACGTCAAAAATTTTTCGTGAGATTTTGTTAATTCTCTGATTGAACCGCTGTCAACGTGCAATGGCATTCAGTAGTTTGCTTGTACGTCTTCGTCACAATCCCATCCAAGTCCAATCCGATCGAGTTCTGTACCGTACAGTCCTGTAAAAACCCCACAACATCGCTTGCTAGTATGTACAAACCAAAAGCAATCAAGTAATGTTACAAGTAGGTTTCAAAGCCCTGGTGCGTGTTCAGTGGCCGAAAGCCATGAAAGGATGCCAACTGCCTCGTCTCTGTTCGCCCTCGGAGTCGACATTGACAACAGAACCTTTCCTTCGTTCGCTGACGACAGAGTTATTCCGGCTGGCGGATATGGTGTACTCGTTACCGGACTTGGCTTTGTGGAAGAGTTCACGACGAAGAGGGACATCGTAGATGCGGACAGGCGCCGCAGGCTCGTCGGTCGGCAGGAGGAAGTCGGGGATGTATTTCTTGATGCTGGAGGCAGGCATGTTGATTGTGATTGGTTGGAGAGAGATGTTTGGAGGTGAGATGTGTTCGTGTTTGGGTGTTTTGTTTGCCTGGAGTATTTGTATTGAGCACTGTAACTTTGGGAAATATTGGGTATGTCAAGTGAAGATTCCCTTCAGATCTTAAGATCGTATCTTGATTGTTGTTTTGAATGATGGTGAAGGGAGAAACCTTATGACTCCGAAGGCAACGGAGGCATATATACGTTGCTTCGCAACTCATACAAAGTCATGAAGTCATCTGCATTCGCAAGAATTGTGTGGTAATAGGGTGTATACAAAAGATTCCGGCAAGAAACCAAAAAAACAAGCTTTGCGTCATCGCACGCCCTGCGCCTTGCATGGGAAATCACTCACCACACCGAAAATGACAAAGCTGCTTTTGTCGTATGCTGTTATGAATAAGCTTCGGAAAACTCGGCAGTCGTTTCGCTTCGATGTCAGAAATCGGTCGAAGCTTGCGAAGGGGGCTCTGTTGTGTCTTCACCCCATGGTGCTCTACAATAGGCGTCTCGACGCTGGCGTATTGTGGGAATATCGGTTTCCGATCCCAAGGACGGAGTCGCATGCCAACGCCCACGGGAAAATAGGTTTGCGCGAATTTTCTGCTCATACGGACGGGTCTTAAGGGCCTTGGAGATCATCAAAGTGCCTTCCCGTAGCACAATGTCGTATTCTTGCCAGAGCTAATGGTCTGATTGGGTGAAATTTCTGCTGATAATGGGTGCGAAATGACATTGTGATTCTCACGTTTTGACTGGGCCGGGATGGGATTTTGAGATGAGACGGTGAGAAAAAGCATTTTTAGACAGCCGAAGACAATAATGACGCAAGATCACGTGCCTCGGATCAACGTTTATCCGAAGGAGCCGAGGTATAGGCGTCAAGATGCTGCTGCTTCAAGCCTTGTCGAGTTTTCTTTCTGTTGAGCTAATTTTTTACCACCAGCACCCAGTCCATGGAGAAGGCTTCGCTTGCTTGGTGAGGTTGACTACGGTATAGGTAATACACTTCCATATGTGGACAGGCTAGGAACTCAGGCTATGATTCAGCATACAGACCAACATGAATCATCCAAAGCTCATCCAACATGGCCCAATATTGTGGTCTGACTTTCTCCGGATTCCGCGAAAACTACAGTCTCTTGCAAGCAAGCCATCAGGTCAAGACTTCGCGCATCTTCGGCCAGACTTGAAGACAAAAGATGAATGCAGTTGGATCCTAAGAACCCGTCACGTGGCCATGTCATGGGATACCTCGATCGTTCAACACCTCTCGACGAATTTTTGTGGTATACTTCTTATCCAAAAAGTTTGGAGGCCACTCACACATGCCTCGCATTGAGAAACACCTCGAGCACCCGTCTCTTGCGGCCTTCCAATGCTTTCTTGTCTTTGCCCTTGTAATTCGTATCATTTTCGGATCTGGTGATAATTGGGGCAAATATCTCAACATATGCACGAATGAGTTGCTTTCTCCGCTCTGAAGCCGCCATGACCGCTTCCGTCGTTGGATCTGAGGAAGATGAAATACTTTGTGTGCGATGTCGACGCAATGTGAGAAAGAGCCCTCTTTTACCCGGCGTTTCTTGACCGGACATGAGAGGTGTATCGCCAGAATCAACCGAGAGCGTCGATGCCCTTGACCGTCGGGAAGGATTGGGTGAAGCCGGCGCTGGTGTGCCAGAAGTTGGTGCCGGCTTCCCACAAGGAACAAGTTCGTTGACAATCCGATTCATCAGAAAAGTGATAAAGGTAAATGAGACACTGTGCACAGGGAACTGCGACAAAACATCCATCACCATGTCCTGAATTTCTTCCGGACTGGGATGTGCTTTTCCTTTTTCCATCGTGCTCAGCCGTACTTCCACGTCCGACCATATTTCCGCAGAAATGATGCCATCCCTTAAGGACTGAAGAAAGGATATCAAGGTTTCCGCTAGGATTTCTAGTCGGACAATGCCTGGCACATCCGGGTCCAAATTCCTGTCCAAGGGCGCCGCGGTGTCTAAGGCTTCCCTAACACCAGCCAACAATTCCAAGCGTTCTTCACCTTCGTGGAAGGTCCACGTGTCTCGATTGAACGGCCACGACAGACCTCCATTCTCATACTGCCAGGGAGGAATATCTTCGTCATGAATCATTCCCCATTCCGCTATCGATCTCTCGATGAAGATAGGTAAGATTTCTGTGAGAGAATACAATTCCTTTGGGGCAGAGTGATGGGTTGCAGAGCTGTGGACGTTGCCCGTTCCCGTTGAATCTCTGTTCTTGTGAGATTTCGGCAGCTTTCGTACTCCCCCTTCAGGTGCAACAACCAATTCGTCCAGTGTGCGGAAGAAAGAGGATTGCAGCCAGTTTCCCTTGACGGGAATAAAATGATCTCTCCCGTTTTCGATTCTCAGCACGAGGATGTCTTCGAGTTGCGTTATGCCTTTGTTCAACTCATATACGAGCCGGCCATCCGTGACATCGATGGATAATTCAATGCTCGTCGTTTCACCGGGAGATAGAGAGATTTGATCTCCTGGTTTGTGGGCCTGACCTGATTGTTGCATGACATGTGATTCGAGGTGGAGTTCGAGCCATTCTGGCACCACGCGGGCACCTTCTTCTGATTCTGTCGGTCGTTCAACAAATGAAAACGATGCGGCGATTTGTCCAGTGTTTGCAATGGTGACCATCCTCGTCTTCTTGACGCCATAGCGGACATCGCCAAAGTGTACGGCATTCATGTCTGCCGCACCGTCAGCGTTTGGTCCCAGCTCGTCAGAATGATCATCTACTACCACGGTCACCGCTGGGCGGCCCTCGTTTTCTGCCTTGTCCAGCTCTCGCGCAACCTCTTGGTGTATTTTCGCCTTCAGTTCGGGAATGACGGCATCATAGGTCAGAGTGAAGATGGCGCCGAGTGGCTTGTGGTCTGAAGACAATACTCGTTGATGTGAATTGTAACTGTGGAGTTCAATCAAATCCCCATCGTCTTCCCGTGTTTGGACCAATTCGGCGTCGTGAAAATTTTCTTCACGTTCCTCATATTCGTCGTAATCATCGCCGTAGGCAAGCCCATCGGTTTCGGGATCGTAGTCGAACAAGACATCATGTTCAACGGTGGCTTCATCGATTCCACGAGCTTTCATCGATTCATCCTTTTTCCGGGCTTCTGCCAGTTGCTTAGCTTTCTCCTCGTGCATTTCTTTGTCTCGTCGAGTCCGATAAAGAATCCGGTCACACCAGCTGGGACTTCTTTGTTTCTCCCCGGAGTCAAACATTCCTACACTGCCAACATCATATTTATACGTGGGCAAGAAATTGATCTCCCCTTCTCGCCATCCTTCATGGAACGCTTTTTGGAGCCTTTGCTGAGTGCGTAACTGATCATGCGCCAGTAGCGATTGCAGAGTGGTGTGAAGTGAAGCGGGATCAGACTTCGGATCGAGTTCTGGCCCACTGGTGCTTTCGGAGGCTGGCCTCTCTTGATCTCTGTGCTCAAAGTGCTCATTGGAAGGCGCACTGATAAACCCCAACTCGCTGTCGATACGTCGCTGGGATATGTTTTCACTATCATACTCATTCCGAGTATGCAGCAGCAACAGTCTTCGGACATCTTCCCCCGGTATGTCGTCTAAACGGTAATTCAGGTCTCCGAACCAGAAACCAAAGTCCTCGTCGCCAATCTTTTCTTCCCCATCTTCGGCAGCTTCTCCATCCAGACTAGCTAGAGGAAATCGAGTCCGGTTCAGTATCTGATTCGTATCCCAGGTTCGACGATTTAATGCCGTTTGGTCCGCTCCCGCGGCAAGATGACAGTTGACAAAACACAGTTTTGTTGCCTCTCCCACCACAATTCTCACAGCAACGGCACCTTTATTGCCCAAGTATCCCATCAAGCCGGTACCCACGGAAGTGGCACTTACTGAACTTATGCTTGGGGCTAGCTCCGGGGACGCGTAGACAAGGATGAGAAGACCTAGCAGTTGCTGTTCTGCTATTTTCGAAAACCCAACGGGTAAAGCATGTTTCAATGCTTTCTTCCATTTTTGGCCCGGATTCGGATCAGTGTAAGGCTTAACGGCTTCTGTCATGGACGTCACATCGACAATCTCTTGTAGTCCTAACACATACAAATCGATTCGATGGCCATGGGTTTCTGCAGGAACATCATCCATTGGTACAGTGGTCTTCTTCCTCGACATCCGTGCTTCTTGGGACTCAACAGATTCACCATTTTCATCACTATCGGAATCTTGGTCGTCTTCGACCGAAGTGCCGGCTAGCTCCTGTGACAGACTTCTTCCTCCATACCCTTCAACAAACCAAGCCCCCAAATCCTTTTCAGTACCATTGATCGAGGCAACATTCCAGGTACCTATCTTGATTCGCATCGACATTTTCCGAATATACTCGTCTCTTCGGGCCTTGACAGCAGCAGATAATGAGTGAGGTGCCGACACAACCCCCTCCTGCGCTTCCGGTGACACCGGAAAGGCACCCGGAGTTTGGGGATCCGTTGCCCAAGGATCTGAAGATTTCAATGACGGAGGAGGGAGTTGGCTTTGGTCGAACTCATCTTTTGGCTTCAACGACATGGCAGGCCAATCGTGGCCGCTCAAAGAGCGGGATCTTTGTGGGGTTTTGGATGGTTGTTACCTCATAATGGTTTGCTGGGTAGACTTGGAACCGTTGGACATGCCGCAGCGAAAGTCGGAAAATTTGTTCTAGAGCAGACAGAGCTTGCTGGACAAGGGTCAAGGTGGTTATTTGACCAGGAGCTCTGGCTGGTCGCGTGGGTAGTCAATGGCAAAAAAGTATTTGGATTGCACAGCCACTTCAAGGAGATTGGTAAGGGGGGGGGGGGGGTGGGAAGGGCGGGTTAGGGGGGGTGGAGGGGGGAGGGGGGGGGGGGGGATCTGATAGTCGCTTACTGGGCGTTGAAGAGTGACTGGGTCAGCAGGCTACAAATGATGGCGGCAATAGAGCCTGATTACGACTGATGATTCTCGAGGAACCAAGGACGGCCTGCGGCTCTGCGTCATCTCGCCGGAACCCGTCAGCCATCAACCGTCTCACCACCACATTTCCTGCAAAATTGTGCTTCTCCCCTAAGCGTCCTTAAAAAGGCACCACCAGACGAGTATGGAAATTATAAGGTAATTCCATGACGATTCTCCCTACCCTCCCGATATCGCCGCCTTGGATTATCACGACGACGTCGGCCTACTTCTTCCCTACATCATGAACACTGCGGTGGTAGCACTTCAACATGAATACTCGCCCCATCATCGATGAGTCCTCAGGACCAATAGCGTTGTCTGCCTCCTTTAACAACGATGCAAGCTGTTTCGCTGTCGGCCTTGACACAGGCTTCTGTGGTACGTAGGAAAGACCCTCGAGATGTTGAATGGCCCGCGAGTGTTCACATTTTCTCCAGTGTTCAACTCAGACCCATGCGAACTCAAAGCTTCCAGAGGTATTCATCCATCTACGTCCTTCCCGCTTCTATCCATAATCTAAGACACGTCGTAGATCTAAATGCTGGCATCGGAGCGGCTGAAATGCTTGGTCGGTACAACTATCTGGCCCTGGTAGGAGGTGGAAAGAATCCAAGATGGCCACAAACAAAAGTATACACTGGAAAGTCTTGAACGCACGAAGAGTAGTGGTCTGATACTTGTGGCAGGTAATGATCTGGGACGACGCCAAACAAAAGGTAGCCATCACACTCGAGCTGAAGACGGCCGTCCTTCGAGTCCGCCTGACCAAGTCGTGGATTGCTATTGCTATCCAAAACAGCATCCACCTGTATAAATTCTCCTCGCCTCCAGAAAAGACCGCCGTCTTCGAGACCGCGGACAACCCACTGGGGGTATGTTGTCTAGGTTCCAGACTCGTGGCATTCCCAGGTCGATCGCCAGGGAAAGTTCAGCTAGTTGAACTTGGATCGGGGAATGTGAGCATCATTCCAGCACATACGTCGGCCTTGCGTGCGATGGATCTCAGCGCCGATGGCCAACTTTTGGCGACCGCCAGTGAAACAGGGACTTTGATCCGTGTGTTTTCGACGTCAAACTGCACAAAAGTTGCTGAGCTTCGTCGCGGAGTCGATCCAGCCTACATCTTTAGCCTCGCCATATCTCCCAACTCGAGCATGCTGGCCGTCACGTCCGACAAGTCCACTCTACACATATTTGACCTCCCGAATTCCTCACCCTCTCAGCCGATCAGCCCCACGAGTCCGTCTCGCCGATCTCAATCTCCACACGTCAACGCCGACGAAGAAGTCACCACGAACCAGAAATGGGGCTTCTTATCCAAGATCCCTCTCCTGCCTCGTGTCTTCTCGGACATATATTCATTTGCCTCGACGCATTTTGAAATGGGCGATGAAAGCGGTGGACTCAACGGAACCTCACTCTCATATCTTCCCGCCCTCGGATCCCTTCCAATTCGACCACAAAAGGGCATACTAGGCTGGATTGACGATTCAACCCTGATTTGCATCGGTACAGGTCGCGACGCACGATGGGAACGGTTCAGAGTTGGGGAACGGCCCGGCATTGCGGACGAGGGTCAGCGAGCTGTCTGGAGAGATGGCTGGAGGAAGTACTTGGGTAGCTGAGACGACGATCGCAGTGGCGAACGAGACCAATCGAAGCAAACGACGCACACTCAACTTTTGGTCACGGTTGGTTTTCAAACTACGACCAAAGAAGTCCACGGGAACGTCAACGACCTAAAAGTCGTTGGGTGCAGGTGCCTGCTTCTCTAGAGCCCCAAGACTCACTAGGCTTCGGAGTAACGTCGGGACAAACTCCTGCGTCTTTTGAACGAGATACTATATGTCTGAAGAGAACAGATCCCATTGAATTTGGAACCACGACACAAGGTCGCAGATCGAATGACGAATACGAGATAGAGCAAATTGAAGCTATACGGCAATGGCCAGCAAGAGCCGGAGTTGGAGTCGGGTGCTAGTCCTGGTCCATTTGGGGCAAATTTTCGCCTGAGTGCTGACCGCCGTCAACTCGACATTTTGGCAATTGAAAAACGTAAGAAGCATTCATGTTTAGAGAGGAAGTCTATCAGTGCAAAACGGAAGATTTGGAAGCTTTTGGCGCAAGAGAGAAAGGAGTCCCGGGAAACAGGGAGCAACAACGGCCGGTTGATACGGAGTTGAAACTTGAAAGTGGTCATCAAACAAAGAAAGCAAATGGTCGATAATTTAAATCATGCGTAATATCAAATCACGTCCATTTAAGCCCGCGTGTGCAGTGAAGCATTGGTACACAACAGCCAGCCCGTTGGCTCTGAAGAACTACCTACAAGAGTAAGCACTCTATGCAGGAACAAGCGCCATTGTGCCCTGCCCGACTCGATTCCATCCAGAGAGTCAAAGTATCGCGGTCCACACCACGCCAGACCGACCACCGCATTTGCCCAACGACAGGCCCAGCACCGGGGGACTCATACTTCTTACAACCCGCCAAACCCACGGCAAAAAAATAAAAATAAAAATAAAAATTAAAAACACGAGTCCAGCGCCAAAATGTTGATACGTCTTTTTGGTACGACCGGGAACGAACGCCTCATAGTGAGACTGGATTTTCACCCAAAAATGTAACAACGCCACTCCCCTTGGAACCGACCATCCAATGCTCCCTTCTGTTCACGTAGCCGCTGGTTGGTAAATTCATGTCCAGTCAGGGGCGAATCGGTAAGATGGGTGAGACGAATTATTCTTGATCCGACCCCTGCTTACTCGGAGAACGCCCCTAACTCATCGCCTTCTGGTACTGGAAATTTCCGAATCCTCCAGGCGTCATGCTTCCCATCATGCCATGAGCAGGTATGGGAGTATGTGAAGGTGCTCCTGCCATTCCGATGTTTCCAGTCTGAGGTGTCGTCGGTGTACCATTTTGGTTGTAAAAGGTGGCTCCATTCATATTGGGCGTGCTAAAATCCTTTGTCCCTGGACCCGTTCCCGTTGTCGGCATCTGCGCATTCAAGCCCCAAACTTGTGATCTATACTTGTCCTCCTCGATGGTTCCATTGAAGATCTTTTCCTTCATTTTGAAATACACTTGCCCAGTAAGCAAGGAATCCGAGCCAGCTTGATGGGCTTGGCCAATTCGCGCCACAGCGAGCTCTTCTGCGATATCTTGAAGGCCAGATTTGGTCATGATACGTTGCACCATCATCGCTGCTTCTTGAGTGAGGGGTTGTCCGCTGTTGACCTGTCCCTTGACGCCGGCATGTTTGAGAATGAATTTGATGTCGAACAGGGAGGGAAAAAATTTCTCCAAATACTCGTGGAATTGTACTTCATCCTCCGGTAGGGGTTTGCAAATCATGAGCTTCATGAGATAGCCAAAATCGTAACCAGAATGAAACGAAATCCAGTGTACATCAGGATCCAGGACCAGGCCTGAACTGATTAGGAGGGATCCAAAATCATCAGGGTCGATTCCGTGTTTAGCATGTCGATCAAAGTCAATCCCAGCTTTTGTGAGCATTTGTGTTGATTCTCGGGCGTACATGTCCGTTTCGAGGGAAAATCGGAAGTTGAATTGCCAGGTGCAAGGAGTTGGTAACATGTTGGGATGAAATTGGGATTTCGGTGGCGAGATGGCATCGGGTGGAGGAAGGCTGCCGTCAGGCTTAAAGAGGGTGATTCCAAGCTGGATCATCTTGAGCAAGTCGACGTTACATCGTAAAGTTTGATAATGGTAGTCAGCCTTGGTGGTGAATTGGCCGATGGGTCTCGCGACAATGCCAGGGAATTCGGTGTCCTTAGTGCGTGGGGTCAGTGCAAAGAGGATCAAAACAGGGACGAGACGTACGTACCATTGCGATGTATGGGTACGTGTCAACCAGCTGCCTCAACGTCGCCATCTCTTCTTTCAAATTATGTTTCCAGACGTTTCGAATCCTTGCATCGTCTTTATTCTCGAGAGGGCCACCCAAGCCGTCATAGTTCTGGTGAGCCTGTACTGGACCTCCCCTCGGGAACCCCATTTGTGCTAATTGGCCAGGAAGAAGACCACTGTCCAGCATACTCCGATCAAAGCCATTGTTCAAATTGCCAGCCAAAGCGAAGGGACTTGCGTTGGAAGGCCCTGCGGCCCCGAACGACGGTGTACCGAGATGAGTGGGAGGTGGAAGGGCGCCATGTTGGTGAGAGGAAGCGTGTGTTGGAAGATGATTTTGTTGAATGTGATAAGGTCCATTCAAGGACTGATTGCCATAACGAGGAGGCGCCATTATGGAGGAAGAGAGTATTCACCGTAGTATCGTAAAAGTAATGAATCAAATGTGTTCATTGCGGAGACAAGATAGCAACAGAAATCAGACATGGACTGTTGTCGGCTCCATTTGATTGAACCTCATCCTTTCCTTCACCACACAGGCGGTTTCCGGGAGTTCATTGTGGAAGAAGAGCAATTGCGCAGTAGGAAATTGCGAGACAATCCAGCCCACGAAAGACGGCCAGAAGTCGATTTGCAGGCACATCGCGATTACAGTGAAGCACTTGGCGGCAAGGTGCAGCGAAGCTTGACCACGCAGTCTTGGCTCAAGCTTCGTCCTCAAGACATCATCCGGTTGTTCTGGAACAGTGAATCTTTTGTACTGCGTACACATATCTTCAGGAAAGAGTCTAGGTGCCCTTTGAATACGGGTCTGTGGTGTGTGCTGGTGAGCTCTGAGCCCCACCTATTTGCATTTTCGACCATCCTCCGTCCTCCACGACAAAATGCCTCCTTCCAACAACCCTACGGGGTTTAATATGAAGACCTTCACCGATGCTGCAACAAGCAAGCAATGGCGTGCAAAAGACCCTTGGGCGAGATCGTAAGGGGCCTATTGAAGATTTTCCAAGCTCAACAAATTCTGACAATCTCCAGTGAGGCATGGCGATACACTGGTCCATTCACGAGATGGAATCGATTCAAGGGAGCTTTCCCAGGATTTGGAATTGCCGCAGTTGCATTCACTGGCTACGTTGTTTTTGAGGCTCTATTTATGAAGGATTCACATGGCCATGGAGAAGGACATCACTGATCGGGGACGAGATACCACAAAACACACACAACTGCTCACGACCAAGTGCTGGAGTGAACCAGAGAAACCTCAGAGAAACCTTAAAGAAGACCAAGCGTTGCCAAAAGCAATTGACATTGTACTTATGAAAAAGAGCCGCATGTAAATAATACAACTCCCCCCCCCCCCCCCACCAAAAAGGAGGTGAAAAGTGTGCCAAACCTCGGAGCGCATTATCGGACTCAGACATGTCATTGAACCAGCCTCCATGTCCTGCAGCCTCGTGAGCCTTGCATGGTAGCGTCAGTTCGGAAAAGCTTCGCTTGACGACGAGATACTCATTTTCCACCGGTCCATCGGTCCGGGGTGTGGAGGGGGACATTTGGGTTGAGAGGAGTCAAATCAGAAGGACAGAAGTGGAGTTGGACAGAATCTCTGCAATCCCATGTGAATGTGATCAATGCGATCCATCAGCATCTCGCCACTCGTTCGGGAGCTCTGATAGTAGGGGTGATAGTAGTGGTGATTCCGCTGAGGATTGATGCTCGCGGTAACCTTCTCTTTTCGAACGGGGCAGTCCAGATTGGCTCGTTCGCACTGCATCAGCCATATATCCGAGACGTGGAGAGAGAGTCTAAACCGTAAAAAGGAAAAATTGCCATGCTATGGAACTGGATGCGAAAAGGAGGAAAGCGACCACGATGCGGACGAGTCCTTCTAGCCCTCCGCACCCTTATCATTGGTTCCTCTTATCGTTCGTTAACTGTATTCAGCGTGCAATGCAAATGGACAATGTACGACACGCTCCCGGTTCCAGCATCAGGCCATATACTGTTGGTGCCGCCATGGCAAAGTATTGCCCTTTTCATCTTTTTTGAGGAGGACAAATTTTCCTCTACCTACATATATGCCTATGCTTCCCTCCACTTCGTCTCGTTGTCTTACTTCAGCGCATACTCCCTTCTCCCACCTTACGAGAGCACATTGATCATCCGATTCTGTCAACATGGTTCTCGAGCGTGTCAAGCAGTTCACACAGCAGGTCTCCAACACTGTTGCTCCTGTTCACCCATTCGACCCTCTCTCTTCTCTCGAGATTGAGACCACTGTGTCTATTCTGCGGGCCAAATACGGTAAACTGTACTACAATGCCGTTACTCTTCTTGAGCCTCCAAAGGCCCCGATGATGAAATGGTTGGCTGCTCCTGAAAGCACTCCCAGACCGCATCGTATCGCCGATGTCGTGGCCATCTCCACCGACGGAAAGGTGTTCGACGGCCATGTCGACCTCACAGAACGGAAGATCCTTAAATGGGAGGAAACTCCCGGCGTTCAACCCTTGATCACCATGGAAGACCTTCAAGTGGTCGAGCACGTGTGCCGCAAAGATCCTGGAGTCATCGAGCAATGCGGTCTGATTGGCATTCCTCCAGAGGAAATGCACAAGGTCTATTGCGATCCCTGGACTATCGGCTATGATGAGAGATTCGGCAATTCCGTCAGACTCCAGCAGGCTCTGATGTACTATCGACCCCATGTCGATGATTCTCAATATTCATATCCTCTGGATTTTTGCCCCATTTATGACGCAAATCTGCAGAAAATCATCCATATCGATGTTCCCAAGGTTCGACGACCAATCAGCAAGGCTCCCCCGAACAATTATACCGTTCAATCCATCGAAGACATGGGTGGCTACAGAACCGACCTTAAGCCCATCAATATTACACAGCCAGAAGGTGTGAGCTTCAAGGTCAACGGCCGCGTCATTGAATGGCAAAATTGGTCTGTCCATGTCGGCTTCAACTATAGAGAGGGCATTGTCCTTCACAACATCACCTATTTTGACAAGGCTGAAAACAAAGCCCGACCCATTTTCTACAGACTCTCCCTTGCCGAAATGGTGGTTCCATACGGAAACCCCGAACATCCTCATCAACGCAAGCACGCTTTTGACCTTGGTGAATACGGTGGCGGCTACATGACCAACTCTCTCAGCCTGGGCTGTGATTGCAAGGGCAGCATCCATTACATGGACGGCGAATTCGTCAACAAGGCCGGCGCCGCCCAAACCATCAAGAACGCAATCTGCATTCACGAAGAAGACAATGGCATCCTCTTCAAGCACACCGATTTCCGGGACGATTCGGTCATTGTTACCCGGGCCCGGAAACTCATTATCAGCCATATCTTCACTGCCGCCAACTACGAATACTGCGTCTACTGGATCTTCCACCAAGATGGTACCATCCAACTCGAAATCAAGCTTACAGGGATCCTCAACACTTACGCCATGAACCCTGGTGAGGACACCGAAGGCTGGGGCACGGAAGTCTACCCTGGGGTTAATGCCCACAATCATCAACATTTGTTCTGTCTTCGAATCGATCCTAACATTGACGGACCTAACAATACGGTCTTTCAAGTCGATGCCACCCAGGGCGCTGGTGAAGTTGGCTCGGAAGAAAACTTTTACGGCAACGCCTTCTATGCGAAGAAGACCAAGTACACCAACCCCATCGAAGCCATGGCCGACTACAACGGCTCCAGCTCTCGAACCTGGGACATGTGCAACGAGAACAAGCTAAACCCTCACTCTCACAAGCCAGTTTCCTACAAGCTGGTAAGCCGTGAAGTTCCAGCCTTGTTGCCCAAGGAGAACTCTCTGGTCTGGAAACGTGCCGGTTTCTCCCGCCATGCCATCCACGTCACAAAGTGTAAAGTTTTATCCCCCCCCCAACCTCTCTCGTCCCCGAAACCCAACAGCTAACTCATCACACAGACTCCGACGACCAAATCCACCCTGCTGGTCGCCATGTACCCCAAACCTCGGGTGAGCCTTCCATGGGTCTCCCTCAATGGATCGCCGCAAATCCACAAGAAAAGATCAACGATACCGACATCGTGCTCTGGCACACCTTTGGCATCACCCACTTCCCATCCCCAGAAGACTACCCGGTCATGCCTGCCGAGCCCATGACGCTGCTCCTTCGACCGAGAAACTTCTTCATCCGTAATCCAGCCCTCGATGTGCCTCCTAGTTACGCCCGGACTCCCAGCCAGGTCGCCGCTGGCAAGACTGGATGCAGCGGCTGCAAGGACAAGACCAGCGTGCAGGTGTAAAAAAGGTTCCATGTATCAAAGTCAAGTCCCGTGGTGATGATGGATGGATGGATGGATGTCTCATGCTTTGATGGTTTATGTCAACGCAAATTGTCCTTCCCAACCTATCCACAAAGAGTTTTATGATGTGTATGGTGATGGTTATGTAAGCAACAACATCCCCCTTTTTATTAAAAAAAAAAATTTCCATGCGGATAATATTTTCTCTATCGTCTACTATATAACTAGTATTTACGTCTGTGTAGCAGGAAAAGCAAAAAATTCTTGTTGATTTGTTGAGTCAGATTGTAGTCGAATCAGACTCTTAACATATTCGGATTCCATCTTTCCTTCTTGTAGGCTTCTTTTATTGTAGGGTCTTCAATTAGACACGGAGATGATTATCTGTACATGTGTCAGACTGACATCATGACCATGTTTCCTGCTTATATTTCCCTTCCTTTTCCAGCCTTGCGAGGTACATCTCGGCACTGTTGGCAGTTTCAATTGGACTGTCTTCGTCTTCATTTGTCTCGTCCGCGTCCTTGTCCTTGTTTCTGGCCTCCGACAATTCCGTCGCTCTTTTCCGCCCCTGACTCACAAGCGCATCGATCAGCGCCTGCCGCACGGCTTTTGGCATCGGGCCCGCCGATCCGCAGATGATGACCTCGGCATGCCTCTCGCGCAAGAAGTCCCAGATCAGCTCGCTGTGCTCGCGGATTCGGTCTTGGACGTAGATTTTGGAATTTTGGTCGCGGGAGAAAGCGGTGATGACTTTGAGAGAGCTGGTGTCAGACCGATTGTCGGCGGATTGACCAAGCGCAGCGTTGAGACCGACCCATTCATCGCGGAAGAAGTAGTCGGCCTTTTCGCTGCGGCAGCCGAAGACAAGTACAGTTTTGCCTGAGGGTTGATTGTGGGAGGCTTTCTCATGGATGAGTGCTCGAAGCGGTGCAATGCCCGTACCGGCACCGATCAGGACGCGGTGTTTGTGCGATATGTCGGAAGCGAGTTTTGAAAAGCGCCCTTCCGTCTTCAACGAGACTTGCAGTGTGGTTCCGACACGGAGCTGTGCTAGGTATCTCGTACACACGCCTTCTCTGATCCGCTTGATGACGGTTCTATACTTGACGATGGCAACGAGCAGTTCGAAGATAGTGGAACCGTCTTTCGCGTACTTTAGGGCGCCCCCGCTGGCGATGCTGAATTGTCGAGGCCTCAGAAGTGGGAATATATTCGTGACTTCCTCCCAGGGGAGATGTACCGAGTCGAATTCCTGGAGGGTCTCTAATATACTGCGCCTCGGACGCGTCGCGTAGTCGTAATATTCGTCGAGGTATTGCGGGTCGGTGAATTCGAGAAGGCGTTCTTTGTGCATGGAGTCGTCGGTGTACCTTGCGATTGCGGCGAAGAAGGAGCGGCGAGGGATCGCGTTGATGTCGAGATATTCGGTCAGGAGAATTCGGAGCGTGAGATCTTCTCGAGAGAAGATGGGATTGGCTGCGAAATGAGCCGAGTTTTTGTTTGAGGGAGGACGAGTCGAGACAAGACGGATAGGTGTGTCGGCCACCAGATGCCAATTCATGCGAGCGAGTAGAGACTCCACGTCTGTTGGCATGTTTTGGGGAGAGATGGCGATCGCGTCGCCGGGCATGTACTCGATCCTTCGAGACGTTTTCAGACTCATGAATCTAACGTCTTGCCAATGGTCAGACGGTGTTACGCGTTGATTCGTTTGCAACACCACCGGAAAAGAGCCTGGAGATGGCAGTGCCGCAGTAGGTGAAGGATGAATGCGGTCGACGGAGTGAATGTCGCTCTGGACACACCTTTGTTCCAGGCGCCACTTGCTTGGAAGAGGGACATCGTCGGCAATGGGACCCTGGCCTTCAGGAATTGGGAAAGCCGTCAAGATCGTTTCTCGGAACCGCTGGAGCCACTCCAGAAAAGCACCATCCGTTCCATCGTCGCCTTGTTCATCGGCTTCGCATGGTTCGAGGATACAGGTGGCACCTAGTTGCCGCAGTCTTTTGTCCAATTTCCTGGCTGCCCAGTTGAACCTGAGGTATGAACTGTCACCGAGTCCAACAACAGCATAATCGACGCCTGCGAGTGTGGTAGGTGAGAGCTTCCTGCGAAGAAGACTGGTCCAAAATGGGCGAGCATTTTCGGGGAAATCGCCCTGACCGGTGGTGGAGACGACGAAGACCGTGAAAGCATATAGGCGCAGATGGCTGTGATTAACAGCGTCTAATCCAACGACATCTGTGGAGAAATGAATACGCTCCAGACAGCGACTGATTTCTGCAGCGATGTCTTGGGAGGTGCCAGTCTCGGTTCCGTAGAGGACGAGAACAGACCGCTGACGGACGCGGTCTTGTTCGTTGGTCTCCATCATCGAGAATCGATCTCGACGCGGGCATCCTGCAATGATACCGGCGGCAGCTGGTTAACGGTGCCCCTGAGAAGAAAGCGATAGGTTTTCCCTTTTACATTCCAACGCAGGTTGCAGGGAAATTTCCCGCCGAATTTGGCGGTCAGTGCCGCCGCTTTGGAAGGGTTTTCTTCCTTCGATGCCAAGATCGCTACCCTTGTCCCTTTCTTTCTTATGTACTACGCAACCATCACTAGGGACCAGAAACAGTCTCCCTTCAGCAGTAAGGGATCCGCCCAATCCTTCGAAATCGATGGATGCCTTTAACTGCACTATCCTGACCACGACGCCTCGAGCATCGAGAGACGGTCCCTCTAGATTTCCTCACTACCGTAGAGAGCGTTGTCCGACCTTCACAAAATCGACTCGAATCGCGTCCCATCTCTCATTTCCTCTTATGCATTCCAGCGACTCTACCCAACTTTGATTTCTAGACCTGACGCTAGAAGACTTATCATTTTGCTTTCTATGAGGAATTCCTCCCTCGACCTTTCTGTCCTACTTGTCAGTGACGACTTCGCATCATCTACTAGTAGTAAAAGGAAGAAGTTGGGGAAAGGGGGATCTTCCTGAAGACAGCATGGCTATACAACCTCTCAACCAGAGGCCAGGAGCTCAATATTCAACCGAGCATTATCGACAACATCGTCGACAACTCGCTGAGAAGGGTACTGAAGAAATCACATGCAGACTCTACGAAAGAAAATATTTGGGGAGTGATGAAGAAATGGACACGATAAGGGCGTGTACTATATAAGATCTATCGAGGGGAGACATTGCTAATAGCACGACCAGTCATTGTAATTTTCTAGGAGAAGACAGGCCTCGTTTTCCTGTACGCGCCACCAAAGAAGATATCATGACCCTCCTCAAGTGGATATTAGACGTTTATCCAAGAGTTCGGAAAAGAAGCACTTTGGATGAATACTGGAGAGTGTGGTGTATGTTGTACCGAAAGTCGGTCGGGAAGAGTTTGCATGCTAAAGTCATGGAAGAGGTCCGCGATGTAAGAATAAAGATGTGTTCATTCTTCCGCAGCAATGACTAATCTGTGGTAGTACATTGACGGATGCTTGACTATTGAGTATAATCTTGATACATCCGTGCGGGAAAAGCCAGTCTTTTCCTCCATCATCTCTGGGTTCTGGATACATCGGTCTTTCCGGACGAACGACAATGACGAAATGGAACTAGAGTGGGAAGATATCAAGACTCTCTGCTATGATGATGTGACACTTTTGATGCTTTCGAATCCTGAAGGAAAGCGAGATCTTCTCGCGATGGAGGTAACTCTAAAGTATACTGAGGTTCCAAATGGGCTCCAGTAGAAGATGTCCAGTGAAAGGGATCCCAAAATTATGCTCCCTTCAATATCATGTCACCCCCAATGGGGATTCCAGTAAATGTGTCCAGTGGAATGGGTCCCAATATTATGTTCCCTCCAGTATTAACGGGGGATCAATATTGACGGGGACTCGATATTGATACGGACTTAAAGATTGACGGTCTCGATGTAGGAGGTACATACAGGGGTTCCCGAAACCGCCCTCCCCTTGTGGACACATTTGCAACTTTCTCTCGGAAGAGGCTAAAGAAATTAGTAGACCACGCTTTTCTGAATCCGATGTAGCCTATCTTAAGTAGCTACGAATCATCAGCGAGTTAATTCTACCGCTGCAATTCTAATAACTTAGTAGCTCAAAATTCAAAAATTATTTTGCCATATCCCCACTGTAGCCAAACGCTATCGTAGCATTCGCATTGAGATCAGGCAAGTCTTCCATAACTCCTTCTACTGCACGTTGTTGATATATTGCTCGCATTAAGAAGGGTCTCTATTAAGGTATAAGATATCGAGGCCAGCGCCATACACTATCCCCGGCCCTACCTGGCCACATGGTCCACGGATTGGATCCGATGGCGGTAGTCTTTTGTCAAACTTCTTGTGCAACTTGAGATGAAGGAGTGCTCTGTTCTCTATCTACTTGTCGAGGTGCTGAGGCTCCTTTTATAGACACACGAATGCTACATCGTTGCATCTGTAACGTCGTCGTCTACGGAAACCTCTCGTCAATGTTTCTATGGCGGGGTATACGACATCTTTCATCAAATCCGATCAATGGATCATCTCGATATCGAGGCTCCTTTGTTAACGCTTGGTTACGAACCGTCCCGAGTGTGATCAGTAAAGGGCTTGTCTGAGATGGTCCACAGACTGGATCCGATGGCGGTAGTCTTTCATCGGATCCAATCCACGGACCATGCCGACATCGAGGCTCGTTCGTTCACGCTCGGTTACGAGCCATCTCGAACGTGATTGGCCAGCACGTCGCTCTTGGCGTCGCCACACAACGCCAAGCCCTAACCAGGCGATTCCAAAATTTTTTTTTTTTTTAAAAAAAAAAAATTCAGGTTCATATTTTATACAGCCAAAATCTGCTTCAAAATCGTGGTTGACCTATCAAGGACGTAACCGAGTGGTAAAACACTCGGCTTGCAGTCGAACCGATAGAATTGAGGGGCCTTACTAGTGTTCGATCATAGGTAAGGTAAGAGGGTTGTCCGGCCTAGCTTTCTAGGTGCCCTAGATGGGTAAACGTAATGCTCCAGCCAGTGATTGTTGATGATGTCGTCTTGTTCATATGTTGGGAGGGTCACTGATTCAAACTCTTCTGCAGTTGAACTCGTCTGGCTGAAGCTTTCACTGGCTGCGGCGCCCCATCTATAAGTTCGTTAGAGATGGACTATAGGAGGGGGGCTTTTTTTTTTTTGTTTGCGTGTATGTGAACCATCTGCCTTATAGAGTCCACATAACCATTCGACGGCTTTAGGCGCATACCAGAGGCTCTTGAGACATACACGACCGTTTAATCCCTTTAAGCTACTCGCAAAAACGGTGTGTACTCTCTTTTACCGTCGTTACGAGAGTACTCCCCTTACGATGCCGGCCTATATCGTAACAAAGATCCTTCTCAATGCGAGAAAGACTTATGGAAGACTTACGAGGTGGTAAAAATTGAGCTGCTGGTCCTAATGCTCCGCGTTACTCGTCAGGTGACTAGGCTTTCTTGGCTTGTGAAGAAGCATCAACAACCACGGCCACGGAAGACCAAAACTGCCTCAGCCTCGCCCGCGAACTTCGCAACCACATATATGAGCTGCTCTTAGTGGATCAAGAACCTGTTGATCGCTGGACCTACACTTTCTTTCTGATAAGTCCTATCTACGCCGTTTAAGGCCGACGCGGCCGTCTTACTCTCGAAGCTGATCTCTAACCTCCAAAAAATAGGGCTCAGCTAACGCTGCCGTACGTCGCCGACCAGCGCCGGGAGCTGGCGATCGCCTGCATACTATTCACGGATGCTAAAGAGCACACACGATGACTACCTCGAACCCGACCAACTCGGCCTGGAGGGGCAAGTTGCCGTTCGAGGATACGGCCCTGGCCGTCACCGATACCGGCGGTCCCGGCATTCCTGTGGTCTACTTCAACGGCCAGTTCACGACCCAGTTTCACTGGAAGAAAGTCATCGCCGAACTGGGGACGACGGAGTGGCGACATATCACCTACGACGAGCGGGCCCGCGGCAAGTCGAAGCGTTCGGCGGACTATTCCTTTGAGGCAGCCGTCCGAGATGTCGACGCCGTTCTCGCGGGTAGGGGTGTGATGATGACGGACCGAGTGCTGGTGGTGGGCTGGTCGTACGGGGCGTACGTGGCGGCGCACTGGGCCAGCCGGAACCCAGACCATTGCCTGGGCGCGGTTCTGGTCGACGGCGCGTACCCGTACGACTGGCTTGACGAGGCCATGGAGAAGCGGCTCCGGAAGCGGTTCCGGCGGCTGAACTGGTTCATGCCGCTGTTGCGCCCGACGGGCCTGACCCCGCGTATGACCGCCGAGCAGCAGGCGAATAGCAATATCGAGCTCGGCGTTATCTCTCGCGAGCGAGAGCTAGGTCCTGTGTTAGACCGCATTACCGTCCCAGTGCGCTACGTGGTTTCCTCGGTCCGCGGCGACGAGGAAGAACGGTGTCGCCTCAGTATCGATGCGGTGGCCACCCGTAACCCGAACATCCAGGTCGGCGCCAAAGTCCCTAGCAATCACAGCGCGATCCTGTGCAAGGACTCCCCCGCGGTAGTCGTGGCTATTCGCGAAGTCACCGCCCTCGGCCGCGGGGGGAGCTGAAGACGTATCTCGTAGCGCAGGTTTAGCTCGAAGCATATGGAAGGGCAATGGTGGTTTTGGCGGCGGGACAGTCCATAATGTAGCGTTCGATACTCCCAGTTTATATCTTCTAACTAGCATAAGCACTACCTCATGGGATATATCGTCCAATTTAAATACAATGCTAGCTACACTCGAATACCGATACGCACATCAAGTTTCATGGCGGAGACAGTCGGAGAGATATCTGCAGCGCCTGAATTTGGAAAGATCGCTACTAATGCAGAAGCGTTTTGACTTTGCCGGTCTCAACCTCGTCTTGACCCTTCATGTCTCGTCCGAAAGGGGTACTTTTATAGCGAATGATGGCGGCTACTTACAAGGCGTCTGCAGCTTCACAGACTGTCGAACCCATGATTGTCTTGTCCTTGCTGGGCTGAGAAGATAGGTAACTTCTGAAAAGACAGGCTAGATGTCATCGGCTATCGCTGTTTTATTCTACTGTTAAGGCAGGTGGCATTCATCCCTCCTCTGAGCACCATTGCTATTCGCCCATGCTAGCCTATTTTGGGCCTTTTGAACGCGTATTTCTGGGCTCAATCTTGGGCCCGTAGTCGGAGCATCTGACAAGGAAACTTCGCTGTTGGGCAAATGAGGCAATGCTTGCTGGTCAAGACCCGGGAACACCAGTGGCTATCGGAACGTCAAGCCTTTCTTTCAGTCCTTTAATTTCATGCGAGCGAATTCTGGGAGATTTTGCCACACATCGAATCTGCAGTTCATCTCCTGGAGCGTGGCCTAGTTCAATTCCGGACACCAACGGTATGGGAGACATTTGCTGGAATCTCAGGAGCTTCAGGAGAAGATGTCGTCGTTTCTTATGAGATTGAATCTGCCGCAAGGACCACGAATATGAAGCCTTTCGACGGCAGTTTCACGAAATCGAGGAACATCTCACCAAAGGAAACGAAATGAAGAGGAGAAGACTCCAGTTCTGCAAAGAGATTGAAATTACTCTCCTATACTGAGAGAGGTTTCGGACCAAAACTGCATTCCTTTTCTTATTTCCCTCCATAGTGTTCGAGGCTAAAGATCCACGAAAGTCAGGGCACTGAGAAATCGGACGAATTTGAGCTGAAAACCAGAGCTACGGTTTGCAACTGATCAGAGTGAGTATCCAAATTCCAACGATAGATGAGATGGGCCATCACTCACGTAATGGAGGGGATACTAATTCGATACAGTATGTCATGTCATGAAGTCAAATTTCATCATTTTTTCCTCAATTCATTTCATTTCATTGACGATTTTGCTTCTGCTCAGGAAATTGACCAAACGAACAAAGAAGACTCGGCTCGTATGTCTTGGGTATCTTCTGCCGTTTCCCTCCCTTAAAGTGGAAGCGCAAGAATTCCTAGCACTTTGGATAAGAACGGGCTCTTTGCATGCTCCACTTCCCACCTTTCTTTCGATCTTGCGGAAGAAAAATATTTCACGTGCATATGTGACAACGCTCGAGATCCAGTCCGCATCAAAAGTACCCACCCTCCTCATCACCTCCACCACGACCAAAGGCAAACCCGTCGTCATCATCTGCTTCGCCCGTATCAAAGTAATTCTCCGCGTTGTAATCATCGCCCTCGCCGTCATCGGACTCCTCAAACTCCGAATCCACGGGCTCATCGTCGTCCCCAGACCCGTCATCGTCATCTTCACTCGCATTGTCATCATTGTTCTGCTCATCGTGGTCTCCGTGGAAATGCTCGTCGTCATCGTCATCATCATCTTCGCCATCCGAGTCATTATTGGCTGTCTTTTTCCTCCTGTCCCTAGGATGCGTTCGCCGACGCACTTCTTCGTCGTTGTCAGAAAATGCGTCTTCGGCGTCTAAACCGCGCTTTTCGCGTGACTTTCTTTTCGAAGACGCTTCTTCGCGACGTCGCTTCGCTTTCGCTACTCGCGCCCCATTGCGGGAACGTCGGGAGCCCGAGAGCAGAGGATCTGAGCCATCAGTGTCGTTGTCTGAGTTCGCGGCTTTGCCCTCGTCATCCTCGTCCTCGTCATCATCGATTACGAGTTCGCGCCTTCGTTTCAGACTCTTGCGCGGCGTATTGGTTGCGATGTCGATATCGATTTCGGAGGATTTCCAAAGTGGGTTTTTACGATCGGGATCGAGGAGAGGCCAGAGTTCGTGGGGGAAGAATCGCAATGCTATTTATGTCGTGAACATTCCGTGTCAGTCTTGTGTCCAAATCTCTTTTCCCTCTCACGTCATTTCACCCTTGGTGACCGTGGTTGGTTTGTGTCGAGTTTGACATGACATACCGTATTCCCGGCCGCACAGGTCCGGAACCGCTCGTTTCTTCTGGTGGTATTTTGCAGTGTACTTGTCTTGGTCGTTGAATGGGTCGAAGCCCGCGCGCTTGGAAACTTTGCCCTTCTCATCTACGACGCTGCTGGGGTCGAGGATGGAGTAGTATGGTCCATCGCGCGCTCGAGAGCGGAAGCTCAGATAATGCTTGACGATGGAGGCTTCGGGGGCAGAGACAGGTCGAGGGACAGGCAGTTCGATCGGCTGCGTCGCATGTTCTCGTGTTAGCAGAATGGTTCTCCCTTTTTGATTCCGGAAATGCTTGAGAGAGTGTGCGAGATTACCGGAAATTGTTCTTCAGGTTTATTTGAGATCGGTGTCGAGGCATTGTCTTCCTCGTCATCCCAGGACAAGTCAGGGCCGCGTTTCCCGCTGCCTTGTCCGCGGCGTGGCATTTTGATGGCGGTCTCGTAATGAAGAGCAAAGAGATACGACTGTTACCAAAATTCTCGTGCCATTGCGTGATCTCTGGCTGGCAGGGATCTGGAGATATTGGATGCGATGAATTCGTTTCGTCGAAGAGAACTAACAGCGAAGATAGCTACATTGAATGAGTGAACTCATACCAGAAAATCTGCGGCAAAATTTTGTGAAGGAGTTGGGGGTGGGGAAGACACTTGGCGTGGGTCATCCTTTGGTCAAGACTTCGGCGAGGCTGGCGAAGGAGACCCTCTTTCTCAACAACCCCATTGGAAGAGCTTTTGACCTTTATCACTATTTTCCTTCAACTGATCGTCATACGACATACGACCCTTGTCCTATCCGAGCTTTCCTTCTCTTTCGTCGTCGCCCTACCCTTTGCCCTATGCCCTTTCTCGGATGACGCCCAAGCTCTTTGGATGCATATGATTGCATACCCTGGGGGTTCTCAGACTCTGTCGCCTACTCCGATACCTGCAATATGCTACAAGATAGCTCTAACAAGGTTTGATCCCATTGTCCTTCCTTTAGGCTACAAGTTATCAATTTTTTTTCCAGTCTGAGATATTGGTGGATGATCCTGGATAACGCGACGGTGAAAATTACGCGCGATCATATTGAAACTGACTAGATGATTCCGCGCTCGACAACACGCATTCGAGAACGAAATGCCAGCATCAACCATATTGAATTTGCTCTCCTTGTCCCTGCAGTAGCTTCAGGATCGCCGTATGGACGGTGTACAACCCTTTTCACTCATTTTGCGGTACTGAATGATGTATATAAACCAGATAGATGTCCTGGAGCTACTGGGAGAGCCTCGAATACAATCAAATTGACATCAGCGTGATGGACATGATGGACGCACTCGGCTCTCCTCAGCCTGGCGGCCGCAGTGTACAGTCGTTTCAATTGCTCCTTCCACCTTAGATACACGCAGAAAAGGTATAGTTCATATGTCCATCGAGGACGAATGATTTGATTGTCAAGAAACTGGTCAAGCAACCGTCGCGTTCGTTTGCGCTCAAGTGCGGCTACCCAGAGCTTTTCACGCGTTTGTATCGGCCTCCTTTCTCCGTAGCAGATAGGTGATATCTGTACCTAAAAGAAAGATAAACTGATAGGGGAAAATACTCTAACAGCTCTAGGCCCTATTAGCATTGTTGTACTTCAAGGCCATCTATTCGAGCAGCTATAGGGCGGCAACCTTTGAAAGCAAAAGTCCCGAGTTTTGCAACCGTCGAAAGACTCCTTCGGGGTCATAATTGACGCTTGTTTGGCGCAAGAACTTCAAATTCTCCGCGCCATAGCCCTGCACGGTGATTGAGTATAGGATGCGTCATTCATGAAATGAAAGTCTAGCAACAACCCACGCTTCTGGGCGGTAGCGTGGATCGATGAGATCAACTCTCGCGCCTGTGAGCAAGCTAGCTCATCATCTGTGTCATCTGTCCATTGACTGGAAATAGCCAACCCTGGGTTACTGATGTTAGCTGATGCACAGCATGCGTGGGTAGAACTCCATGCTGAAACTTACATGACTGGTTTTTTGGGGGAATGTTCATGCAATTTCCTCCAGAGAGCTTTCCTTTCTCGACGGCAGGCGCGCCAATTGGCTGGAAAGTGAACACCATGTTAGTCGAAGGCATTGTGTGAATGCCTGCCAGAACACTGTGCAATTCGGCGTAGAGCTCTGTGTTTGGCAAAACGGTTGCGGTTCCGCTTGCTCTTCTGCAAGAACATCCGACAGACTCTGATTAGCCACTCAGGGCTCCATGTGTCGGAAAAAAACAACTCACCTAGCAGCTCCTTGCATATTTATTGGGTGCCGACAGTTTCAGGCACTGGAACTGCCATTGGTTTTATACCATCAAAGGCATGAAACACTGCCGGAAACTCCGTCCCTTGTACAACATGCCAGCCACAAAAAAACTCTGTACCGACAGTTAAATAGAAACCTATACGGTCGTCCTCGTCCATGGCCTGCTGGACCTCGATAGCCGCCTTTACGACCCGATCTTTATCCTCCACGCTGTACATCTTGGTTGAGTACCACACTTGATACTCTGGATTCGTGTAGAGATCGAATCTGGTCACAATTCCTGAGACCTGTCAACATGGTCTGCTCCAGAATCATTTGACCATCCTTACCAAAGTTTGCTCCCCCACCCTTCAGAGCGCGGAAGAGATCTGAGTTCTCATTTTCATTTGCTTGTACGATTCTTGAGTTGGCCAGAACAACCTACGCTATGTAAGTGGATTGTGGAGCGGGTCGCGAGGATAACAAAGGAGTCCCACCTCCATGTTCTTGACATGATCGCAGACCATACCCCAGGCATTCGAGAAATGCGACATCCCTCCTGCAAATCAGAGTCAGTATCTATCTAGTTGATTCTGTAAGAAAACTTATGAGACATACCGCCAATAATAAGTCCGCCAACCCCTACTCCAACCACTCGACCGCCAACAACCGTCAATTTGTTCTTCTCCAACTCACCGTAGACCTGGTCCCACTTCGCTCGAGGGCCCAGAGAGACAAAGTCCTTGTCTTTGGATAAGGTGATCTGATTGAGAGACCCTAAATCCAACAAGACTCCAGAATCTCCAACGCTGGCAAAACCGGGGTTCGAGTTGTGGCCGCCGCTCCGAACTGCAAACATCGATTTCGTAAAAGTCAAAATCTTCAGGGCCAAGGCTAATTCGACAGTATCTTGGACCTGAACAATGCAAGCAGCCGGAAGCCAGCATGTCGTTGACCGGGTTCAAGGAATCATTAGCCAACCACGATCCCAAGCTCCTGGAAGTGCGAGAACTTGAAGGCATTACCAATTCTCCTGCTGCTCCTCTTTGTACGTAGATACCCTTGGCATAACCGCACGACTCCCAAAGAGCATTTCAAACGCTTTACATGCCATTACCACGGAATCGGCTGGCTTCGTTCCATCAAGGCACGGCTCTATCGCATTCAGCGCGACAGAAATGTTCTGGATAGCATCCCGATGCCGAGACTTGATATCACCGGAGACAGATCGAGGTAGCGTGTCGATGACACTCCGCAGAGTGCTGGCCAATTTTGCCATGACAATAGATCCGCACCTAAGCAGAGAGTGGGTATAATCAGAGGTAACGAAAACGCCAGGAATGCAGCATACATGTAAGCATTCAAATAGTTTTTCATGATGACCAGAGCCTCGCTTTCTACTGCCATTTGCCTGAATAATACCAGATCGAATGGCGCCGTTGCAACACTCGACCGCCCAACGAGCTGATCGACTGTTTCTTGTTTCTATAAAAGCCAATCAGCCTCTACAACTCCTACACCCATCGCAAATAAGGCCAGCCGCGCCGCCTAATAAGCACTACCCAATCGACTCTAAAGGGCTTTTGCGGCTACCATTAATTCGTGTACGGGGTAACTATTCCGTGTATCGGATCATTGTTATTCCATGTGCTGGGAATGACCTCAGAATCCCCTGTGGCAACGGTGGCACGTCACAGGGTAAGTTGTTGACCCAAATCCTTTTGCTCGTTGTTTATTTGAACTATCCCTCGATATGCCCACATAAAGTCGCGAAAAAGGAGAAAAATTTAGTATAATCTCACCAAAATGTCATACTTGCGAAGACTTTGGTCGGCGGTTATTAGGTCCAACAACGCAAGAGCAAACTAAATTGTCGAGTACTTCGACCTCGCTGCCTCCGCCTGTGGCCACTCAGCCGGTCGCTGTTACTTCTTTAAGAGAGGTAACCATGGAGGGTGTGAGGATAGCCTCGTCGGGTCTTAGTACAACCTTGCCGACTGTGCAAAACAACACCCATTCGACAGCTGGTCTCGGGCAATAACACCACGCTATTGAAGTCTCTGACGATGTAACAACTCCGCAGGAAGATGTTGTTGATGGTGTACTACCTGATTCCCAAGTTTCACTGGGCGGAATACAGGACTGGTTGAACGATGGGGCGCCATAGTTAGAGAAGAATTGATCCATGTTTCCGCTCGTGTCGCGGGAAACACAACTCACCATGTCTCCACCGCGCATCGCTGCAATGAGTTGACTTATTACAGACAGCATCTTAGCATCAGGAAGTGCCTATCAATAGTCAGGCAGCGTAGGCAACGCAGGCAACGCCGCGATACACGGCGCAGAGTCCGGGGCGTAGTCGGCAGAGACATGTCAGGAAGCAACAGCCGGAAGATGAATCGTGGTACTAGATTCCTATGCAATACAGTAGATTGTACATTCGAAGACCAAAAGTGAGAGGTCCATTGCTGTAAAAAGCACTAAACTTGACTCGCACCTCTTCACAAAAGAAATACTGTCTACTAGTGGCCGGAATAGTATGGGTCTGGCCAATCAGAGGCTGCACACGGAATAACGTAAATTGCCAGTACGTGGAATAGTTACTCTCCGTACACGGATTAATGGTAGCGGCTTTTGCGGGGAGCGAGCGCTTTCAGCTGGGTTTAAAATATTGCAGGCTTGTTTAGAGCATATTGCTGAGGAATGCTTGGTTAGATTTTATGATCGTAGGTGTAAAAACCAACGTGAACCGGTCTTCCTTCATCTCTCGATAGAGGGGGCCGATCTTGGCATCGAGAGAAGAAACCCTCCCAAGACGACAGCACTGACCGCCAAATTCGGCGGGAAATTTCCCTGCAACCTGCGTTGTACGCCAACCGTAATTTGCGAGGTCGGATTCTAGCCTCCATTCATTCTCCTCTCCTAATACTTCATCATGCCCAGTCGCTCAGAGGTCGCCTACTTTGGCGCTGGTCCTGCTCCTCTCCCAACCCCCGTCATCGAGGCTGGAGCTAAAGCATTCGTCAACTTTGACAACACCGGTTTGTCTTTAGCTGAGATCTCCCATCGCTCAACAACGGCGAACAAGGTCCTCGCGGATGCCAAAGAAGCATTGGCAACACTCTATGACATCCCGACAGACGAGTACGAGATCATCTTCATGCAAGCGGGCGGAACAGGGGAATTCAGTGCCGCCTTGCAGAACCTAGTGGGTACCTGGATCGAGAAACGCCGGAGGAAAGCTGTTGCGGAACTAGGGGAGGATAAGGACGCCGAGGTCCTCGAACGTGTAAAGCGAGAGATCGAGGCAGAGTTGAAGGTCGACTATCTCGTCACAGGGACTTGGTCGCTCAAAGCCAGCCAGGAAGCAACGCGGTTAATTGGGGCGAAGTATGTCAATGTCGCTCTCGATGCACGGAAGAGCAATAACGGCAAGTTTGGGAAAATCCCACCTGAGAGCGAGTGGAACCTGACTCCCAAGGGGAGTGCTTTCACATACATGTGCGATAACGAGACGGTCGACGGTGTCGAGTACCCCGGCTTCCCCAAATCTTTGGAGGACGACGAGAGGGTCGTGGTGGCCGACATGTCGAGCAACTTCCTCAGTCGAAAAGTCCATGTCAAGAAGTATGGCGTCATCTTTGTAAGGGCCGATCACTCCCCATTGACATCTTGTGGCCATGCTGATACTGATTTTTTCTCCAGGGTGGCGCTCAAAAGAATCTCGGCATTACAGGTATCACGGTGGTGATCATCCGCAAGTCCCTGCTCAGCCTCGTCCCACCTCCTACCTTCCTTCACGCCTTGTCTCCTGTTCTCCCGACCTCGGGTTGTCTGCCACCGATCATGTTCTCTTTCGCCGCCATCGCCGCCAACAACAGCCTCTACAATACCCTGCCAATCTTCAATCTCTACGTTGCCACGCTCGTCCTCCAGAGCCTCGTCTCCATGCATGGATCCAGGAAAGTCTCAGGCCAGGAGGAAGTTGTGAACCAAAAGGCCAAATTGCTGTATGACACGCTCGACGCATATCCGGACACATACCATGTCGTCCCGGACAAGAGCATCAGGAGCAGAATGAATGTTTGCTTCCGGATTGTCTCGAAGGCAGGGGCCGATCCTGATGAAGCCAAAGAGAAAGCTTTCCTGGCTGGAGCTGAGAAGCGCGGATTACTCGGTCTCAAGGGCCATAGATCAGTCGGTGGTATTCGAGCGAGTAATTACAACGCCGTGCCGTTGGAGAATGTACAGAAATTGGCAGATTGGTTGGTTGAGTCTGCGAAGCGGTGAAAGTTTTCAATACACAGATAGACGGTTCTGTGCATTTAACTTCAACATTAAAGAAAACTTGGTAGGAAAAGTAGGGTACCGTCGTGGTATTCAATGACCAGATGCTTAAAGAAAATATCTCAGCCATGATAGAATTGGAGCTTCACTGTTACACAAGCTTCAAAAAAAAAAAAAAAGTTTGATTCATACGACCAGGCAGGAAAAAGAATCCGAATTTGTGCTATCGAAAACTAAGCTATCGGGGGCCCAAACAAGTCCCAGTGCTGGAGGTTCAGCTGACGGAACAGGTTTTCCCTATGCGAACAACGAACATGCACGAGTGCTGCTCACAGAGCTCTTTTCATCAACGGAACAAAGCTTGACTATCATAGCTCGTTGGTGTCGATTTTTGAAACTGATGAACATCCATGAGCTGCCGTGGCCTCGTTGCCAACGTGTCCAGCTTGGCTGATAAAGCCTGCCAGTGTTGATTTTGAATCCGAATGTGGATGAGGTGTCGTTGTTCTTTGCTGATGGATAACATCTGGCTGGCCGGTGCTGCTGATGTTGAAATTTTGACATTGAATGTAGGCTGCACCGTTATCAATTCGAAGAGTCTGGGTGCCGGAGCCTGTTATTGCTGATTTCGGAAAATTGGTTATTCGCCAGCGGTCATTTGCTTGCTTGCTTTGACAATGGCAACAGCGTCTGGCTGCGGAAGCCTGTGATGCTGAATTTGAGACTGAAGAGTCACAAGCCGTCATTCCATTCTTACTCAAGGACAAGTGTGGGCTGTCGGGGCCTCTGTCTTCCGTGGCCTGTGGTCCCTCCTCCGCCTTGTTTCGGTATCATTCATAGACTTGTGCTTCAGTGTGTAGTGGGCCAGGCAGGGATGTTCTGTTGTGGGCATGTCAGAATATTTACAGACAACAGACAGGAAGAATACTTACTTGTGCGGTCGAGGTCGCCAATTGCCAGGAAGATTTTGGACCTCCCACATGATTTCGAGATAGTCGAACAGCAAACCCGTATTGAGTTCCTCTGAACGAGAGTGTTAGTGAGGTCGCCGGATGACTGACAGTTTCCGAACGATTTGCCCGATGTTGGGGCTGTTGTTAAGGAGCACCATATCGAGTTTGTCGTAGTTGAACTATAAATATATTATAATTCTTGTACAGTTCACGCCGTCCACAGAGCAGGTATTGAAGGAACTGAGGCTGGAAGAATAGCGGAGGAAGAATAGAAAGCCGTTGGCTAAGGACAGCCAGAAAATGGGTATTTTTAGAACCATCATTTTAACAAGGAGAGTCTTCAGTCTCATTGAGACATGCGACAAACGTGCAATTTGTTTCGCCGATACTTGCAAGGTACATGCCTTCTCGTATGGCCCATTTCCCATTGCCCCGATGTCCGCAGAGAACATCGAATGCCATGGTGGCTTAATGGCACATTGCGTTCGACAGGAATGATATTTCGGCGCCGTAGAGTCAATCCGATTCTTGAGGAAAGGTGATCACTGAATGTCCTGAAACTTTGGCTCTGATGGGCTTCGACGGTCGGGTAGAACTCTCGGGCAGATTAGTGGATTGATAGTCCGACGAAGGAGTGATTTGGTATCTTCGGATAATAGATTTGCCGACGGCCAATGTCACCTGACCTCGAAAAGTGAAATCTAAGGCACCGGACCAATCAGAATTTATGAAACTCACATATTTCACTTCCGCTTTGACTGTATGTAGTTAGCCTCTCGTTCTCGGGAGTTGCATTTCGCAGAAGCTGGCCAGCAGCTGGCGCAAGGGCCCTTGCTAACGAATTCCTCTCATCTCCTCCCTCCGCTCCTCCACACTTTTCTCACCTCGTTCGAAGCTGCTAAGTTACCCCTCATCTCCTCCACACTGGGCGACTGGCAGGCTTGCCAACAGATTCGATAATCCCAAATACGTCCTCTCCGAGTGATGGATTCAACACAGTCATCAGGTGCTGGCGGCAGAGTCAAGAGGAAGCAGTCCGGAAACAAGACGAAAACCCTACCCTGCCCTCATTGCCAGCGACTCTTCGCTCGACTGGTATGTACCTTGACATTCGCATCAATGGGATAATGCCTCGGCCGCAGACTGACGGCAATGGCGCAAACAGGAGCATCTCCAAAGACACATTCGCACCCACACAAAAGAGAAACCGTTCGTCTGCGACATCTGTTCCAAGACCTTTGCCCGCAGCGACCTCCTGGTACGCCACGAGAGACTCGTCCATCCGGGCGAAGAAGACCAACATATCACAAGAAAGTCTCACAAACATCATCTTCAAAATGCACACAGTGCGTCAAAGGCTGCATCGGTCCCACATGCGCGGCCCCTTTCATCCGATCCCATGGACATTGCGCCGCAGCAGAACCAACCTTTGCTGTCGCCACAAGCACCGCACGAAGGGAGAGGGATGATGGATATGTTGGATCCTCAGCTCATGCAACCCACCAATGGACTGCATTCAGTCGATGGCATGCCCTCACACCAAACGTCTGTCATGGGCGCTCCTCCTCTGGATCCTTCATGGGGCTATGATTTGAATCTGCTATCTCATGCTGCCAGTCACGTCGCTTCAAGTGGCCAAGATCATTACATGTCCGATCTGCCACAGGTGACACAAGAACAGCTGAATGAACCACTCCAACAGATCATGCCCGCGGTTTCAGAAGGACAATATCCCCCCCGAATGCTGACAGAAGGGTACGGTCAACCCACGCCCATGTTCGAACCTCCAGACCTAAGCGATCCGATGCAAGATTTCACCGTGTTCCTTGACAGCGTTGGTCTATCATCCGAGTGGTACGCCAACATGTTTGGAAATGATCAGGTCGACGCTTATCACTCACCTGAGCTAAGAGGCGACCACCTCAATATCTCGAGACCTCATTTGAATGGTGAGCATTCCACCGACAGTAAGCTTGGTGTTCCACAAGAAGAAACGAGCACGTTTTCTCGATTCGGATCAAGGTTACCATCCCTACAACCAGAGTCTAGAGAACCTGACTTCAATCGACCAGAACCACGAAGCGCGGTCGAAGACCCAGAAGCCATTAAAGTCAGAACTACTTGGGACGTCTCTGACGCGGCCCGATCGGTTTTTGCATCCAAGCTGGCCACATTCGACCCCGTCATGCCCAAAGGATTTATTCCACCATCCAGACATTCCCTCTCACGCTATTTGGCGGGCTATGTCAACGGTTTCCACGAACATTTACCGTTCATACATGTGCCGACACTACAAGTGGCGGCCAGTGCTCCAGAGTTGGTTCTGGCATTGGCCGCTGTAGGAGCACAATACCGATTTGAGAACAGTCGAGGAATAGAATTGTTCTATGCTGCTAAAGCGGTCGTGATGGAACAAATCAGACGGCGCGACGAATTAGCAATTCCTCATTCATGGAATCGACCCCGAACCGGCTCGATGGCCCAATCTCCCAGTGGAGGCTTCACCAGCCAAAGTCATTCGAGCAGTCCGTTTCAACACGTCTCTCCAGAAACCGCCGTCGTCACGGATAGCAAAGAACAGATGGATTCCATACAAGCACTACTCCTCCTGACCGCTTTTGCGACGTGGGAAAGACATACAGAATTACTTCGGGAAGCTTTGGCCTTCCAGAGTATTCTTGCGCGGCTGGTTCGAGAGTCAGGCCTTGCCAGTCCTGAAATCATATCATCATCAGAAGAACTGACGTGGGAGGATTGGATCCGGTCGGAAGGAGAGAAGCGGACTAAATTGATTGTCTATTGCTTTTTCAACCTCCATTCAATAACGTGGAACGTTCCTCCACTCATTCTGAATTCCGAAGTCAAGCTGAATTTACCGGACCCGGCCAACGAGTGGAAAGCGACAACCGCCGAGCAATGGAAGAAACTACATCAAGCGAATGCCGCTCCTCAGATGCCTTTCCAAACGGCCTTTGCCAGACTTTTTAACAAACAGAGTCCATCAACCGCTACGCCCATCTCACCTCTTGGGAATTACATTCTCGTCCACGCGCTCATTCAACAAATTTTCTTCGCTCGACAGCTTTCTCTAGCATGGCCCGGCGTAGCAGGGTCCAGTCTGAGAATGGAAGACATAGCTATTCTCGACCGAGGCCTGAGCTCCTGGAAAGCAGGGTGGAAGCGAGCGCCCGAATCGAGTCTGGATCCTCAGAATCCGAATGGACCAGTTGCATTCACGTCTACGGCACTGTTGGGCCTCGCGTACATCCGACTTCATGTCGACATGGGCCCGCTCCGTCATCTCGAGACCAGAGACGCCACTCAAATCGCAACATCTCTCTTTCACACTCCAGATCTTCGGCGTGACCCTCGCTTGACGCCGGCCCTCCTCCACTCCGCCCATGCCCTATCCATACCCGTCCGACTAGGCATCGACTTTGTCGCCCGCACTCAAACCTTCTTCTGGTCCATCCAACACTCCCTGTGCAGTCTAGAATGTGCATTCCTCCTCAGCAAATGGCTCGCAGTGCTCTCCCGTCTGAAAACTGAAGGTGGTGCTCCCGTCACAGAGCACGAGCGCAAACTCCTCCTCTGGGTCCGCAGTCTCCTTGACGAGACAGAGATGACGGTCCCTCTCAACGGTGATGCGAATAATCACACCGTCCTTAACGAGAGTCGCGAACTACTGGACGACACACACAAGATGCGCGCCTTGAGTGTCGCGGTGGTGAGGGTCTGGAGCAAGACGTTCAAGGGAAATACCAGTTGGGCCATCGTCGATATGATCGGCTCGGCATTGGAGTTGTATGCCGATATGTTGGAAGGGGAATTATTTCGGTAGGGATGGGATGGATGATGGTAATGCAAATACGGGATGTTCCAATTCATTTGATAGGAAGGGGAGGGGAATTAAGGGATGAAAGACCCCACACCTGAATGAAAGCGAGGAAAGAGGTGAGGGAAAAGGATGAGGACATATCACAAGGCCAAAGGGTGTGTTTGCAGTGTTCGTATCTGATCAAGTTTGAAGTCTTTCCGTCCTTTGTCTTTTTCATGATTAGTGGGAGGTGTGGCTTTCTGCTTTGGTTGGTTATTTTCATTCTTCTTCCTATTCTGTCGTCTTGTGATGGAATACAACGGATTATTCACCTACAACTGGATGGGATGGGGTGGGATTGAATGGGTTGAACCCAAAAGAAAAGAAAACCAGCTGGACTTTCCAAGGAACAACTTGACACACATTTTGAACTTTCCTGTACACTGTACATATATTAATGGAACTTGAAATTCTCTTGCCTGCCTGAATCCGGCACGAAGAGCCTGAGGACCATTTATGTATCCTGGCTGCCTGAAGGTTGACGGTGCAAGTAACAGTCTAGGAGCGAGGCTGTAACCTTGGATGACCTTGGGCTTCATTTTTATCTCTATCACCCAGGCTGATCTTTCTGGATTATGCCCAATGCCCTATTCTCTAATATACACCCTCGTAGCAAATGCCTTTACGCACCAATCATGATTAACCCTCATACAAAATGTTGTGAAACCCGATCGCTGTTGGTGTCCATCCGAAGGCACGGCTCGTAACCATAAGACATCACCTCGAAGAACAGCGTCCAGATGAATGCCTGACTTCTAGCGATCACGGTTCGCTTTGCGCTCTTCTCTACTATCCGGCTCTTCCAGAAGTTGCTAACCATTCATTGCTACTGAGCAAGCCAAACACTTTCGACGCACTTCTCCCCACTGTCGAAGATGCCGACGGTGAAGCAGTTGCATCAAAACCTTCTTTCCCATTTCCGCTGACGAGTCTTCCGTAGTTTGGGAGGCAAACGCTTAGACGCTATTCCCATCTATTGCCCAAGAACCTGCTATCAAAGGGACGACTATGTGGAGGAACATTCATGTTGAAAGGTCGGGCTGAGTCGTGCGACCAAGTGATTCCTAGCCTTCCCGCTTGGACTCTCCTCGATTCGGCTCAGCATGGTGGATATGGACATGACGCTTCGCAGTGTTGATTGAACACCCTCTCGGGAATTGAGAGCTATCCCATCAGACCTGTTTTGCAGTCGTCTGGTGGTATTTCCGTTGTAAAGCTCTAAATGCAACCTGCCTGGACTGATCAAGGGAGAGGAAACGTTTCTGTCGGTTGGAATGTCCTCTTTCTCATCCAATAATGTCGCAAAATCCCTCCAACTTTCACTTTCTTTGCTTCCATCCTCGGCTCTGTTGGAAATGCTGCGTAATGCATCGGCACTAGTCTTCTTCACTCCTCGTTTTGCCTACCGCTCGGGGTCTTCTTTGGCTTCGGTGTATTGCTGTCGGGCCAACTTCTAAATCCTGGGGGGGGGGGAAACCCTTGCAACACACGACGAGCACTGGCCGATTTCGCACTTATATTGGATACCGGTCGCTTGACACGTTTGGAAAGGTCCTCTGAGTCGGTATAAGTCTATTCTCGCATGTGAGAGTTAACTTTGCACTCTTCTTCTTTCTGCCTAATGGCTATAACGGCGTCTGACCACGGATTCCATTCGGTGCGCTCGGTGGTCCTAGTACACGAGTCATCTGTTTCAAGAGGCGCCTTGGAACTTGAATAATAAGTCTTTGTCGGTATTGTTGTTGCCATTCCAGTCGCCTCAGAGGCAGCATGAGCGGGCATCGATGGCTCCTCCGAGCTTCCGGTCCAGAAATAGTATTGATCATTGACTCCTCCATCTTTGGACGGACTTTGGATGTTAAGATTCTTTTCGCTGGAAAATGGAAAAAATACTTGACTGCGATTCTTGCATCGCCAATCATTGCTCTCTTCTCTCAACATGCTCTTTACGCTGTTCAGGGGTCATCCCACTTTTCGTTCTTGTGCCATGAACACGATTGGCTACTGAATGGGCGATGTTGACTGTCGGGTGCCCTGGTATCCAAAGAAGAATGGCTGTGCTCTACACGTATAGTAGGTTTGCCATCGAAAGATCTGCTGGATCCTTCTCGTTACCCTGATTGATCGCCTCCTGCGCAATTCTCGTTCTTTCAACCTCAGCCTCTTCCAGATTGACCCGCTTGATCAAATCCAAGTAAACCCGTTGGGGATCGACAGCCAGCAAGGGTTGTCCATCGTTCGAAATCGATTGCAATGGCTCATGGAAAACTTCAACTCCACCAGCATGTTTCCTGGCTGATGAAGAGGTTGATGAGGTCCGCCATCCTCGTTGATGATGGATAATCAATTGCGTCCAATGGGTCTAGACCGAGGGCCAGTGGAACCTGTCATGCTAAGGTGTGTCCAGGTCGCTGTCCATGTCCGTGAATCGGAATGAAGGCTCTCGCGGCTTGCACTCGAATAAGAGTTTGTGGCATCTTGTCAAGATCTTCAAAGGCATCCTGCTCGAAATCTTATGGGAAGTACATACGCTGGCACGAATGTGACTTTCGTTGTCAAACACGATGGGCATCAAACCCTGCTCGAATCTCCTTTTTCATCCTCAAGCTCACGAGAATAAGTTCACTGAGCCGCCAGCTACTGAACAGGCGCACTGTTCCTATCTTTGACACTCTCGCCGAGTGCTCTGCGAACTCTCTTCAACCAAAGCAGAACAATCTCTTCACTTAAAATGAAAGCGAAGCTATATTCACTGTACCTTCAACATTTGAAGAGCAATCTCGTCCCATACTGACTTGTTCTAATGCTGGTTCTGCATGACCTCCGCCGATTCTTTACCTTAAATTTGAATGGAATAGATGGTGCTGCCCGCATGCGGCGATGTTCTAGGTCATCGAGGAACTGTGCTCGAGCCATCTGCATCGCCTCTTCCTGTCTTTCCCAGTCCCCAGGTCTTGTGTCCATGCTGATCTTGCTTCCTCGACGAGGGATCGGCAGCGACCGTTTCAAACGTAGGCGGACATTGTTCGTTGGGAGGCCTGCCGAACTTGTTACTGTCGTAGTGTTCGGTCTCAGCCGAGTGGATTCAAGAAAGGGGTTTCTAGACAGCCTATGTCATGCCGACGTGGTGTAAGCATCGATTGGGTCTTTACTCGGCTTCGTGTCCGATGAGGGTAGAGACGCCGTAGTTCTTTGAAGCTGGCCCACATTCGGATGCTGTGGACGATTGAGCATGATGAGACTTGATCTGATCGAGATTTGGGACCAAGGCCTAGGAATCTTTGTGGACTTGCTAGTTCGCAGTGTTTTGTTCAACCATCCGGCTCCTAGGCCCCTTGTATTGCGAGGAACTAGTCAGGTAGAGGGCGTTGGGTGAGGGTAAGATGTTTTATTTGCTTGACTGCAAGTTGACCGAATCACGCAGCGCTTTGGAAATCATCTGTCCCCTCTTCCCGCTCCGTTTCTATTTCAGCCTCAATATTTTCCTCGGCCCGTTCCTCCACGGTTCGATAACCAAGGAACATTGCCAGCATCAAAATATCGTACACAATCTTGAGAGCGCCGGCGACGATGAACGCGAGACCAAACATGTGTCGATTCGCGAAGATGCCGGTGACTACCGGACCTGCGCTTTGGCAGAGAGTCTTGACGACGTTGACGAGTCCCATGACGGCAGTTCTCTCAGAAGGTTGCACAGCAGCGGCTAGAAATGCTTGTCGGGGAGCTTGGTCCATGCTATTCACACTGGCGCGAAAGAGGACAAACATCATGGCCAAACCAGCGTCGTTGGGAAGTGGAATCGCAGCAAGGGCAAGTGAAGCTGGGACATGGGTGAAAACCATGGTCTTGACGAGGCCAAGCCGGCGTGCTAGCGAAGGGGCGAATAAATTTGAAGAGGATGATAAGATATTGCAAGCGAAGAATAAGCTTCCCAGTCGACCTTCGGAGAGGTCAAACTTGTGGTGGAGAAAATAGGACATCCACGATACCGGCGCAAGGCCTGATGCGAGGCTGTCAAGACCAAAAAGAAAACACAACTTGAGAATTACACCCCTAGTTTCTTTCGAGAGACCGGGGAGCAAGGTCTTTGGTGACCATGACTTGACGGGTTGACCTTGCACTGCCACTTTAGGCGTTGAATCCTCTCCTTGAGGAAGAAGGGCTGACGTTTCGCTCACTGATATCTCTGAATGGGTGTCTGGCCGGGTCGAGGTTTCAGGAGCCAGCTCACATTCGGAGCCAAGCATGAGTGCCAGAACGAATTTGACAAGACCGAAGGCAGCATATGCCCAGAAAACTATGCGGTACGACTCAAGAGGTGACCATGAATATTTGACTTGCAACTGCTGCACAACCCACCCGAAGGTGATTGTTCCTGAAGCGGCGCCTCCGAGACCAGCGATAATGTACCAAGCCAAAACATTACTTCTCTCGGCGGAGGGCGTGAGATGTGAAATCGTGGATTCCTCGATTGCTTTGAAGGGACCGATTTCGTTGCCACTGACACAGGTTAGATTCCCTCATCACAACAGAATGCAAGAGGCTGTAGCACCTGGGACTGATCACACCCAGAACACTGGCCAGCACCAAGATCCAGTATTCACTAGACAAAGCGAACGTGACGCCACTGGCAGTCATTAGCAATGCCCCAACAGCGAGCATGCGTCTCCTCCCAATGCCATCCGCGACAGCGGTCAAAACCAAGCTGATAAGCACATCGCCCAATAGGGTCAATGTCATAAATAGGCCAATTTTCTGGTCTGACACGTTCAGGCTGGACAGGTACAAGGCTAGAATGAGGGCAGAGCCTCCATATGCAAAGAAACGCACATAGCGTTGGAGACATAAGACCTTGGTATTGTAGGGTGAGGCAATCCATGCTTTCAGCCCGGTTTCGACGTACAGTGGGGTCAGAAACCTAAGTGACATATTCACGGCTTGTCTGTCTGATGACAAGTAGCTTCCAGTTGAGCCGAGAAAGGTTCGGCCAATGGTAAATCAAAAGACCACACAGAAATTAAGACAAAATACATTGTCAAAGGTTTGATCCTCACAGCAGATGTTCTTCAGCGCCCTGACTGAGACGGATGAGTCATCGGACAGTGACCAGGGAAAATGCACGATACGCGCGTGCCTCAGGCAGCAGCGATTTTCAAAACTCCTGAAACGTGTTGTACGACGATCTGGGAATGATATTATTTTTAGTGTTGCCTTGCGAGCACGAAATGCTCCGATTCGTGGTATGGCCTTCGAGAAGAGCACCGCACGACGAGGCACTGATGGCTTGTGGATGATGGGGCCTTGGGGCTAGGAGGATTGGCAGACTGGCAGTGCACGAAATCTGTCACGTGGAAGAGCGGAGAGGCCCGGCTAGCCGCCAGCAGCAAGTCAGACGATCGCTGCAAGCGCTGCGCACTTGTCTCACCATTCTCTGCCGTTTGATGGACAAAATTAGAGACCGAGGACGAGCCGAGCGAGTTCGTTTCAGAGCCCTGCTCGTTTGACCTAGCATTGCCATGTGGGAAATCGCCATGATTGATCACCGAGCGGGTCATAGAGTTATTGTCCGGCGTCTCTGATACCGACCGAGTCGAAGTCGCCGGGTTGCTGGGAAAGAGAGCGTATCTTTGCAAGTTCGGAAAAGGGGATGGGGCGGTCCAGGGCAAAGTCATCCTTGGGTTTTTGCCGGGCAAACATGCCAGCGAGGGCGCCGGGGGAAAGTGAGGCATTTTCGGTGTTCTGCTGGTTACTGTACGTCATATGCAGATATTCATGGATGCAGCATTTGACTGCGTCGGACACTGATAGCCTCATGAGAAATCAGCACCGTCTCTCAGGGCAGGCCTTGCATCGGCATGAAGCCGATCAGCGTGGCGATGCACTGCAAACCAAAATGACAAGGTGCTGTGAAACGAAAGGGGCTAAAAATTGAGAATCAGGTATTCAACTTTTTGGGGGTTCATTTCACCGGCGGCACCCCAACGAAGGAGTCGTCGCCGTCACAAGTGACTTGCACATGGTATGATTCGAACGCAAGTAGTAATAGTGGTACATGAGCAGAAGCCAGTTGCTGACTCAATGCCATCCATTTATCCAACGATATGATTGTCCTCCGAACTCTTTTGGCCGACATGCTTCTGGCTGAAATGCTGGAATTGTAGCCCAACCCAACACGATCCAACGCCCCACATCCCCAACCCCTCACAACCCGAAATGCAACGAGAACATGTTGGTGCAGGATGCAGCTGCAAGACGTGTTGTCACTCGCGCTTTTCGTCATTGATAAAACGTTGATGTAGGGAGCCAAGTCTGCACTGAAAAGTAGACCTTGGCTCAATTGGAAGCAGAAGTCCATGCATGCAGGGAGGTCATGTGCGGCTCCCCAGGCCAGGGGCATAACCCCCAACGCGGCGGCCGAATCGACGAAGCTGATCTGTGTGCCCTAGACGCCGCCGCTGAAACCCAACAAAACAGAAAATGAACGCCTGAAATCAACTTGTGACGATGCAGCTCGAAGAAGCGCCGGGAGAAGGTAACAATAGGTATTCGCGGAATGGTGACGAGGCCCATCGGAGTCATCTGGAGGTCGGGAGCGGCATCACCGCACTCTTTCGGAGGGATTGGGCATTGCGTTGCGTTGTTGCGGCGCCAAGGGAGGAGTGAGTGGTGCAGGGGTCGAAGGCCGAGACGCAAGACACAAAAAGCGGTGGTGAATGGGAAATGCTGCAATGCTAGTGGCCTCTATCTCGCCTCATCTGCAGGGCACAGTGACATGGTGACATCAGCCTCGAATGACGTAGTCAGCAGCCCCGACCTGAAGTTGGGCGGTTGGGAGAGGACAGATCGAAAGGGCTTGTTGGGCCGTGTGCGGAAGTTGTACATCTGTCGAGAGGAGAATGTTAGAGAATAGATTGAGCAGAAGAATGAGAGGAACATACTCTACATTCTGCGCACTTGCCGCCAGCTGTGTCGCATCGTCCACGGCAACCCCGAGGCTGATTCGAGCAGGAGAACATTGTGACCGTGGAAGGAGGGGGGGACGAACGGACGAATGGCAGTGAGTGATGGTGTTTGCTCTGTGGTGTGGCTGTTGGAATTTGATATTGTTCTTCGTTATGGCGGAGCTTGAATAGTCATAGGCCGTGTATAGGAGAGCCCGGTGTATGATGTGTGCTGGGTACGATATGGAAGGAAGAAGAGAGATTGTTGAAAGGGGGAGGGCTGATGGTGAAATAATAAAATGGTGGCTCGTGACAAGGGAGGTAGCAATGGCAAAATGTTAAAATGGATGATGGAAAAGGCAGCAACAATAGCGGACCAGGATTTCATGTTATGACGACAAGTCACGGCTGAAATGGAGATACTGTCGAAGCCGACTAAAGAAAAGGGGATCCCTGCAGGCCGCCTGGAAGCCCGAGGAAGCCTGGAACGTGCCATTGTCAGGACCACAGGACCGGGGGTGTATTGTGGCAGAACAGCCGGTGCGAGCGAAGCGAGCAACCTCGGAGGGAAGCGTGCAGACCGAGCGACGGGAGTGCATCATCACAAGGGCTGAGCAAGACGCAAGTAATACCAGGAAAAGTGTATGCGGCACGCACATGATGTGATACCGCAGGCTCGCAAGCCCACAAAGCCTCCAAACACATCGCAACGCTGCTCCTTTCCTCTCACTTTCGGTAGGAACTGTTACTGCCTACAGGACTTCGGAGTATACGGAACATACAGCCTGGCATTGATCATGAATAATTAGCCAGTCACGGGAAAATTGCCTGATCGTGAAATCATACACCAGTAATTATTCCCATCACCTGATTCTCTCGTCGTGATCTCCCCTTCAAGTTCCATCCATCTGTTCCAATGTAGCTTTTCACAACACACTTCTGCTCTACTCCCTCTCCCTTAGTCAGGCAGCACCTCCGGGGGGTTTTAGGTTCCAGGATGCTGTGCTTTGCTGGCCTTATGCTGACAAAGTCACACTCAAATCCACCCTCACGCCAAGCCCTTTCCGTTAATCTCAGGCTTTCGCGCTCTGCCCCAACCAGCCTGCGGATCCTTTCGGCCATGGCCCGTATATGCGTGTCCCTTATGATTAACGTTTACGACCACTTGTGGCATTTTGTCACTGCTTCAACATCATTCATCTGCTGCTGCAAAGCCCATCCACACATGTGTTGTTCTGTATGATTATGGTCTCCTCGTCTAGCTCTCGAAGTTATTTGGCAGCCTCGGAATCATCCCTTTGGTTTCCAACTTCTAACTAGACCCAGTCGATGCAACACAGCATCTGAAACACCATTTCCAAAGTCCCGAGGCCCAGAACTGGTCGCGAACCACAAATGATTTCGAACTCCAACGGTCCTGACTCCTTCACTCAAGATAAACTTCCATCGTAAAACAGCCTGCTGCCCGCTGGGAAAATTAAAGGGCACCATATGAGCCCACTAGGGTACACTACAATCACACCACGCATCGGGCCAATGAGAGCGGACCGCTGCCGGCCCTTGCTGACACGGAAACCTTGGTGCTTAGGATCAGCCTTGGACTATTCTCGGAGGTTATGTCAGCTGCACGGTAACTGCCGGATGAATCGAGAACCTTTGGGTGTGGGGAGTGTTGGTGTATGGGTGCCGGAAAACGAAACCACATGGCACACCTTTCTTCCGATCTGGGAGCAGAATTAGCCAGATTACTGTGGTCAACGTGATCCACGCACATTCGCCTCCGAGTGTTCAAGGCTGACAAAGATGGGAGCCGCTTTGAAATGCACATCTTTGTTTTCTAACGCTAGAACTCTCATCGAAGACGTCGCTTAATCCTTCCACCCTCTTCGGAAAGAACCACTACCCTCTCTCCTCCCCATCTGAGTCCCTCTTGGATCAATCCGCACGACGAAGTGAACTACTTCCTTCGTCATGCCAGCACATCCTGTGGGCGACTCATGGCTCTTCCTGGTGTAACGATTCCCTTTCCTCCAGATTCCGACCATCCGCCTCGGCGGCGTCACACCCTGATCATGGATCTGATCATCAACCATCCTCCCAGGGCTCCAATGGCGGTAGCTACTAGTAAACCTCTCCCTTGCCATGTCATGGTTAGGTAAGCCAAAATACCCACGACCAACTCCTTCTTCCGTGCCAGAGCTCTCTTATTCCTCCACTCAGGGTCGATGGGATACGGTGGACTCTCGCCCTGGCCAGCATTCAATACGGCAGTCAGGGGCACAGAAGCTGCCAATGCTACCGGTCGATGATCTGAGGTTGCAAACAATGGGAGACAGGTATACTTCAGGGGATTCACCTTGACGTCACCTGTTTTCCGGAACAATATTCTATCGCACCAACTGGGCCAGCGGTGACGTGCCCACTGCCAGTGATGATCCTCATCGACGATCACAGCCTGGTTCCTGCTGGTCTGGTATTTGTAGGTCGGTGGAAATCGGATTGCAGCTTCACTCAGCCCATGCAGAGTTTTGCCCGCCTGGATCTGCTGAGTGAGCTGGTCCTCTGCAAGTAGATGCCGATAATGTCGGGGATCATCCTCATTCCTTGTGGGTTGAGGGAATCTCTCGGTAAAATCTTGAAAGGATGGACGAAGTAGTGACGTGCGATAATTGAGATCCCCCGCGAAAAACAGGTGAGAAGATGGAGAATAGACACCGCTTTCGGAGGAGTTTGGCGAGGGAGGTTGTCTCTGTAACAAGGGAGCATCCTCTCCTTCCTCATTCTCCGACACGGGCTTGGAGCTTGGATCCGGGACGAAAACCAATCTTTGAACAATGCTCTTGTAGTCCTCGTTCCGCTGCTCAATTGCATCCTCCATAGGTGCTAAATGGGCAGCAACGAAAGTGAATTGCATCTCCTCGGAACCAGGCGGTTTGTAGCCGAGTCTGACCCCAGCAGCTCCCTTATTCCCCATTTCACCGATACCTAACCCGACTCCAGCGGTGTGAAGCCATTCAATATTGTCCGCGACATCATCCCTTGCGAAGACCATCAAGCCAGTCAGGCCGAGATTCCGACAAATGACGTTGACATAGCTATGGTTCTCGGAGGCAAGTTTGACAACTTGACGGAAAGCATTGAAATAAGGTGTTAGAAGAGAACCGCCGAGGAATGCATAACCGATGGGTGCGAGCTCTTGAAGACAGAGAACAAGGAGCTCTGGCGAATGAGAGCCCGGATCGAGTGCATAGAATAGATAAGGAGCGAAAACATCGGGCTGAACCAGTGTGCGAGCGCAATTGAAGGTAAGGATGTAAAGATTGAGGGTCATTGGCTGAGAGAGTGGTCTTGAGGATCTGGCGGAATGACGACTTCTCAGTCAATGGCAATAAGAGGGAGAAAGGAGAGAAAGGAAAGACAGCTCCCCTATTCGCCCATCAAATTGAGGCGTATGGTGTGAGCGGGGAGATGTGTGAAGAACGAAAGGGGACCGGTGTCAATTATCATCTTCCAAATGTGGTTTAGCGTTGTATGTGCAAATCAACCAATGGTAGGCCGCCGTTGAGATTGTGCCCTCAGCCTTCTTTGGACCTCACTTCTTCTTGAGACATCTTCAATCCTGGAAGACTCCATACTCCTAATGCAGCTGGTGACGTGCCAGCAATGGCAGAGCCAACTCACGCACGCCTGAGAATTACTCTGCCGACACAAGCGCTAAAAGACCTTGACTGCCGATCTAACCACTGCCGACTTTCTCGCAGTCGGACCTACAATACAGCTTCCAAGACTAATATTACGCTCAACTAAGAATCAAGTCGGCCAGGCAGCTCTCTTCTAAGAATCTCCGGAATAAAGCGATTGACCTTCCTGGGTTGCCTTGACCGCCCTGCAATTTTAACCCCAAAGAACAGGATAGCTATCATGAGTTACCCTACGTCCCAGAAAATACTCAGAGACACTCTCATTCAGAGATCCGAACCGTCGACCGATTACCTCTCGCCACATTGAAGGTGTCATCCGTTTAGGGCACCAAAATTACCGGCTCTCTCGCGGCCTAGCTTTTTCCTTTGATTCCCTCTTTTCTTTTGTCGGCCTGAGAATGGGACGTTATGAGTTATCAGTATCAAGCTCCAGTATCCCGCGCAGGGTCCAACAGTATGTGTAAATGTACAGTCAACAAAGGGATCGAGATAACGCCATGAATACGAACATATCCCCATCTCATGTCTATCATTACCGGGTACACTAGGTTGATATTGCCAACTTCGCCGCATCGATCCTCACACAAGATCGCCTGTTGCTAGGTTTATTCTATCTTCATTCGACACTGATGCCTCGACTTAACCCCCTACACGGTACATCTTCCACGCCTCCATCGAAATACCACCCCCTCCCCTCATTTTCCCCCACCCTTTCCAGCGATCATGGAGTTTTGTTGAACAATCAATGGATTTGTACTTCGAGGGAGGAAGGCCGGGGACCATGGTACACGTGATCTTGGGAAACGGCCATTCCAAACAATCCGAGCCCAATAGCTACTTCCCCCATACAGCTATATCGTAAAGTGCCTTCATTTTGGCAGGTCCAAGGATCCGAGACATCTGCTTTGACAATGTCCTCGAACCGACTTTTATTCATTGATCTCAGTCTTTGTGAGCTTGACTACTATTTTTCCAACACACGCATGCATTCTAGACGGCAACTTGGCGTGCTCCTGGTGTTCTCCTACGGCCCTTCGGCGCCAACGATCTCGTCGACTTCTCAACCCCAGCTGCATATGATCAAATCTTCCCTAAATACCAGATTTCCAGCTCAACCACCAAGATACTCCCAAACTGCAAGAGCATGCGTTCTGACCACGGCCAAAAATTCCTCAACGCTCACTCGCTCATCAACCCCTGCCGCCATGGTCTCGGGACTAACTCCAAACACATACGCCGGGACGCCGTGATATCGCCAGAATTTGGCATCTGTGGCACCGAGGCTAGGTATCGCCAGTGGCGGTTTGCTATGGGTCACTCGCGCCGCGGCCTCCGCGAGCGCGGAGACCATCGCATGTGCTGGATCACAGTGCGACGGCGGATTACTCGCCGCTTCCTGCACCTGATACGAGACTGTGCCATGGAACTCCGAGGCGAGGATTTCGTCAATATGTGCCAGCACAGGATCCCTCGTCAGTCCAATAGGTAGACGGATATCAGCCTCGAGCACACAGCGGTCGGGGATCATATTGACTTTGACACCACCATGAACAGTCCCGATGTTAACAGTGGGTTTGAGCACGTGCTTCGCGGCACCGATACCCATGATCTCGTCGACCACTGCCCTCACCTCCGGCAGCGCCATGCGCTTGCGAATTTCCGGATCCAAATCCGGTTCCATGCCCTCGATACTTAGTAGCCGTGTGATTAGCCGCGCAGCCACTCTATTCGCACCCTCAGTCAGATGCGTGTACGCACCATGCGCCCCCGACGTGGTGATCGTGAACGTCACCCGCAAGGTCCCCTTCTCTCCGAACCGAATGGACTGCAGCCCGCCGGGCTCGGCGTTGATCATGACAGTACCCTTCCAGCGGCCTTTTCGAGGGTCTTGTTCGAGCAAGTATCTGCTTCCGAACTTCCCGCCTGTCTCTTCGTCGCTGACCACCGTCAAAGCCACACTGCTACCTGTGCGCTTCAGCAGGTGTCGGATCCGATGAAGGTACGCGAATGCAATCACACTCGCGGTCGTGCCGGCTTTCATATCGACGCCGCCGCGCCCATAGATGTGTGTGCCATCGTTATATCCTGACCATGGACCTCCATGGGACCATTTATGACTCTGTACCCGATCAACGGGGAACACGTCAATGTGGCCGTTCATGATGACACGAGGGCCATCATCCTCTCCTCTTTCTTCCTCGCCTCCATTGTTGTGCGTGATGGGTTCAGAGCCACCTCGGCCGCCATCGTCGCCGCACGTGAACTCTGCGACTAAATTCGGCCTCTCATCCCCTTGTGGCGCGATAATTTCAACCTCGACGCCCTGCTCAGCGAGATAATCGATCAACACTTTGGCCGCCTCCGCCGTGTCGCCGGGCGGGTTTGGCGAGGGTGCTTGGACAAAATTTTGCAGCAAGGCGATATGGGCATCGCGATCAGCTGTGATGAGTTCAAGGAAGCCTTCCTTGTCCATTTTGCCAAGGTCTGAGATCGAGACGTGAATGCGGGTAGAGGAATGGAGACGAGAGGGTCTTGCGATAATGGTTCGAGAATGTGATTATGTGACTCACTCAATTACTCGATCGGACGTTCTATTCAATCGGAACGAATGAGGCAAGCTATGCAGCCCAGTAAGGGAAATACCCATGACGAGACAGTGCAAGGACAGACGACCCGAATTTCAAGAGCATTGATGGTCCAATTGTCCAAATCTTAGGTTCCTTCCATTAGGTTCTTCTTCAATTTCTTCTGATTGTCTTTCTCTCGACTCTCTAAACTCACCGGAAACAGCATTGAATATTCGAAAAATCAAAGACGTGGAGAGGACATGATGCTGTTCGGAGTATCCCGCGCCCAGCAGCGTCTGCATCGTTATCCATCTAGACTTGCCTTATATAGGCACGATCGGCATAGAGTTACCGTAGGGAGCCATGTACGGGAAAGGTCTCGGGTGTGTAATCAATGAGTCAACCCCCCTTGAATGCTGGGGCGGAGGGAGATATGTGAGCAAGAATCCATTTTTAGCTGAGTGCACATTTTCGGGCATGTATAACTAGTGAACTACCATGAATATAAGAGCTCTTTTTGCTGCGTACTTTATTCCCATTCTAAAGGTCAGATCTTCAACTGCTACCCTATGTTTCTCTCCCGTTCCAGATTCCAGTCTCCAGTCAGCTCCACCTCTTCATGTCCTTCCTTCCCAACATCAGTCCAATCCTTCAGCACCGTAGCATTCCATTTCATATCATTTGATTGAAAGAAAACGAAAGAGGAAAGAGAATTTCATCCAATAGATATTTTGTGGGTATCCCAAGATCCACGCTTGCTGAAATGCATCCCAAATGCAAAACGCTCGTCACGTACACAGATAGACTCTGATTCATTTCGATTCGTGTCTTTCGTGAGGTTTCGTTGATCCATGGACATCGGGTTTGGCCGTATATCGTACTACATCATATCCGAACTCGTATCTGACAAAGGAAAATTCGTTTGCTTTGTCTTCCAAAAGTTGTGGTTCCTTCGCGGAATCCAGACAGGAAAAGGCCCTTGCTGCACTTCACCGTCTCCACCCCACTGGGGGCGGCGGTCGTCCACCCCGGTAAACCACTTCACGTTCAATATAGCGATCTTCTTCTCGGTCCCATTCTTGACGAGGGCGAGGTGGTGGAGCCTCAATGGCAAGTGGTCGAGGCACATCTTCCACGGCAGGAGGAGGTAAAACTCGATTCTCCCATTCGATCTCTTTGATACGTTTTCTCCGCTCCTTGCGGATATCGTCGGAAAGACCGACAAGGCGAGCAACGTCTTCCTATTCCACGGTGTAAGTAGTTTGACAAATGCGTGAGAGAGACAGTCACTTACGTAGCGCAGATACGCAATGATGTAATAGAAATCATCAGTCTCTTCGAACTCATAGCCCATCTCTTGGATTGCTTCTTTGACAACCAAATCCTTGGTGATCTCAGTCCACAGACCCTCTTTGGGATCTCGCTCTCGGCCATAACGCCGTCCAATTTCTCCATTGGCGGCTGGCGGAGGAAGAGGCCCAGGCAATGGAGCAGGGGCCGGAGGAGGAAGAGGTCTGCCGACTTCACTTGCGTAGCCCTCATCACTGACCCCGTCGGGCATGAATTTGCTTCTTCGGACGCCATTGTATCTCTGCCACGTGATTTCTTGACTTCCCCCCCCGGCTCCGTCCATACGAACACGACTAGTGCCTGGAGGAACGTCCACAATTGCCCAGTCTCTGGTCGCTCCGTGATATCCTTCACCGACGTAGGTGCGATCAAGCGCACGATGATTATAGCATTCGGCCTCTTCTTCCACATCTCGGTCATAGCCACGGTAAGGTTCACGACGAGGCGGCGGCGCGTCGTAGTATGCATCTCGTGGTGGAGGAGGGGAGTATGGAGCAACGCTTCTCGGTCCGGGCGGACCTTCGTTACGATCAATAATAATATCTTCATTCTCGGTGCGACCATTGCGAGTTTGGGTTCTGCTGATTTGGATCCGTTCCTCGGAACGAGCTCGAGGGGCCGGGGCCGGCAGCGGCGGACTGGGCGGTGATGGGGGTCGAGAAATCACCCGGCGCCGTGCAGGGGTTGCGACTTCAAAGCCGTGATCAATATGACGATGATGAGTAATGACTTCTTGGTGAATAGTGGGAGCATTGATAATTTGCGGCTCTGGAGCTGGAGGTGGTGGAGCTGACGTGACCGAGGTGGAAGGAGACCGAGAGCGAGAATTTTTGCGGATGATGATTTCTTGTCGGTCTCGAGCTCCACTGCGACCTTCTCGCTCTTCTTGTCGAATAATAATTTCCTGGTTCGAGCCGCTACTAGAGCGTCGGGCTCGAGATCTCGCCCGCTCGTGTGACTTGGGTCGCGTCATGGTGTAATCATCATATCGACGGGGATCCAACTTTTGATCTTCACGGCGAATTATGATTTCGTCTCTCTCGGCATCGCCCCTAACGGTTCTCCGGTCATAGTCACCCCTTCTGGAGATGACATCGTCGTAATCTCCATCGTAGCGAGATCGACGGTCATCTTCATCACGACGAATGATGATCTCTTCTCTCGACGAATTGGCTTCTCTCGGAGGCGGAGGTCTCACATCTCGCTCCTTCTCGTCTCTTCGGATGATGATTTCTTCCCTATCTCGATCACGAGCGGGAGGTAGAATCCGGTCGGTTTCTCTCTCGTCCCGACGGAAGATGATCTCTTCACGCTCGACGTCTCGAGATCTCTCCCTTATACGAGGTGGCGGTCTTGATTCCGACTCTTCCCTTCCTCTGATAATGATCTCCTCCTTTTCAGCTTTTCTTTCCGGCTCGGGAGAAGGTGATCGTCGACGAGGTCGAGGGGCAAACTCAAAGTCTTCTCGTTCTCGGGCCCGAAGGACCATGGGCCCAGCAGAGGTTCGGCCATAGTCTTCTCGTAAGAAGGCGGGAGGGGATCTGGATCGAACATCTTCTCGAACGACCACTTCCCTTTGCCGCTCCCGGACTGGCGGAGGAGCACGACGATAGTCTATCTCTTCATCGGCATAGCGGTCTTCGTAGACTCGACGCCCGTTCCGGGATGTGTAGTCTCTTCGATCTTCGTACCGATCAATGGAGACATCGTCGACGTACCGACGTCCTGCCATTGCAGGTGTGGTCTGGTTGCGTAGTCAGACTTCAGGTGACTCTCGGTGTGGTAAGCAAAACGTTGGTAAGAGCTGAGCGGCAGTCCTTGTTTTCAAGTTTGGGGTGGTTGAAGAGGGGCAAGTGAAAGATATTTTACGTTTTACGTAAAGGTCCAAACGATCAACGATTGGAACGAAAAAGCAAGAGCCAAAAATGGTTGGGCTGCAGGATGAGGAAGAGAAGATGGTTGAGGGAAGAGGGGATGTTAGTTAATTACGAGGGAGGTGAGCGAACTTGGTGGGACGCATGGAGATGAGAGCATGCGCATGCAGGCTTTTTTGGCCGTAGAGCAGAGTCAGCACTCGCTTCGGTCCAGCCCACTGTTCCACAAGTTTCATTTTTCTGATGGACTGCCACCAGCATGTGACGTCGAAATGAACTGTTCTTTCCAACTGGTTTTCATCAGCCATCACTGATGAACAAGTGGACAAACTCGTCCAAGCGGAAAAGCAATGCATTTATTCTGGATGTTCCACTTTCATGGCCGAGCACTGCGGATTAAATCAGCCTCTCTTCATTTTCTGATATATCATTTCAATTTTTTCCCCCTTTTTACATTGGCGGCACTATGACACTCGACACTGAAGTCAGGCAACAATTCATTCAGGTACCCACCCACCAAGAACGAGAAAAAGGCGCTTGTTTTCTTGCCCCCCAAAAACTGTCAGCGGGTGTGCCCGCAAAACCAGAATATCAGCCTAATCCTGGCCCATTTCAGGTGCCTAATATGCCTGTTGCCACTTAGCCTTGCCGATACAAATCTTGAACATCGTTTTGGGCATCAGCTTGATCGGGCGCCACTCTTCGGGCTCGAACATTACGTCACATCAAATTAAAAGCCAAAGAAGAGTGGAAGAAAAGTGAGCACACTTTTGTCTTTGTCTATATCGACCCATGTATCTTCGATCTCCAATAGGAACCCATGAAGATCTCATCAAACCAAGTCCTGTACAGGTTGACTCGGTCCATTCATTATTTCATTCCTCCTGTCGCCGCGCCGACTCCTGACTCAACAGGTCCATTGTGTCAAGGGCCGCCTGCGTTCAGCCTGGTCACCTGATTCCCTTGTATGTCGAACGCCATGTTCATAACGAAAAACAAAACTCGCCTGTGGCAATGCACCCTGGTTGTGGTATAGTAAATGTACAATTCCCTTGCATGACTCCCCCCGGTGCCAATTGAAATGCGAGTAATTGCGTTGCTGCAACTTTGAGGAAGAAAGGACGTCTCATCGTAAGCTCATTCTGTCGATGCACGAAAGGATTCTGTGTTGCTGGACTTTAGTCTTAGGACCGCGTGTCAAAAACGAGGGTCGCAGCTATCCGACCAGGGCGGAGCTGATCAGGTAAGTCTCATGAACGAGCGTGTCGATGCGTACCATTAAAGATTAGCGATAATTGATCGAACATCAGTCCGTGCGATGAAATCTCACGGGTCTGGATTGGCGACCTATTCCACCATCAGCGCTTCAACCCCGACAAGTGTGTCAGCAGCACTCACCCGTAATTGCCTAGAATAATCCTGGTTGTCTTGCAGAGATACACTGCTAAGGCGGCTCTCGTCATGGATGTAGAGTGCGTACGGGTTCAGTCTTTGGTCGGTTCCCAAACTTCGTCGATCAAAGCCGGAGGAATTGTTATCGGCACTTCGAGGGTCATTGCCCAAAGATATTCCTGAAGTGTTGATACGAGGAATTTTGCTCCCAAGCAAACCCGAGGACGACAACTGACTAACTTGTCGTGATGGAATATTGTTCGACGGGGATGAGTCCCCAGTCCGAGGCATAAAGGTCGTTTCGGGTCCACCTCCCATCTCTCGCTTCATCTGTCGCCTTCGGAACCAGAGCCAGACTCCAATTCCGATTAGAGCACCTATCCCCAGAGCAACACCGACAACGATTCCAACCAACTTTCCGGTGCTAACACCGCCACCGCCGGTGGACGCTTGGCTTAGAGTTGCATCCGTCGTGGCACTTGGTGTGATGACAACCGTTCGAACCTCTCCAGTCACCGTCGTAATACTCGTGTAAACTGAAGATGGCGAGGAAGCAGGAGTCGGGTTTGAAGGAGGAGAGGTGGTCGCTGGATCGGTCGATGAGCGATAAGACGATGTTGATGAAGTCTAAGACAGTGTCAGCCGAATAGTCTCGCGGCGCACTAAGAGTTAGGAGAGTATCAATCGCCCGCCATGAGACAAGATAGGGCAACAATAAAGGAGACAGGTCTTCATACGGTGGAGGTCGTAGAGGCATCGCTCGAGGAAGTCGTATAACTAGCCTCATCGGAGCTCTGAGAGGATCTAACGGTTACCACGGAAGAGGAGGGATAGGTTGTCCGGGTGTCAGAGGAAGGGGAGAGTGATCCGGTGTCTGTCAGGGAGGTACTAACCAACGGAGAGGAAGTGGGAGACGACGTGCTGGACACGGTTCCAGATGTACCTAGGGGAGTTGCGGAACTCAAAAGATAATATCCGTACAGGTCGGATTCGGTTGAACCACACAAATCATCAGGATACCCGGGACACGGTTCATTGCAATTGTTGGTGCTTTCTTGCTCGGCCGGGACGTAATCGGAGCACCAGCAATAGGCGCCTTGCAGGACGGCAAACGCATAGGATTCTTGACAATGATCCTGGCATGCTCCATTGGACTGAAATAGATTGTAGTCTGTTATTTGCGATATTAGCTTCTTGAAGGCTTATGGATCAATTGGGAAAACTCACAGGCTGGGTAATCGCCCGCATTGTTCTCTGGTGAGCAGTAGGAAATATCTAGTCCATGAGACCGCGTGGTCAATGACAAAATGACTGCGACCAAAAAGGGGAAAGCAGCCCCCGACGAGGAACGAGGTTGTGACGTGAGCATCTTGAGAAATGGTAGACCAGCCTGTGGCAATATCGAGAATCCCAACTATTTCTGCATCGGTATTCGTTTATTCTGCCAATGTGGGAAGATTATGAATGACGCCCGTGGCGAGTGACGGCAGCCTCAATTCGAGCTTTGTGGCATCGAATGCTTGTTGCGTATGGTATTCGATGTTCTATTCCACCAATCGACTCGATGAAGAGGCGAATGAAGTCACCTTGTAATTTTCCTAGTCTGAGACAGGCCGGAGGTGAGATGAAGATGGTAAATGCTCGGTCAACCGGACCAGTCCGGCTGAGGGTGCCTTGCACACGTCGAGATAGACACGACAGGAGAGGACGAGAGTGTGCGGTTGGATGATGAGGGCCTGCAAGGCAGAGGGACAACCAGCAAGCTCCAAGGGAATCTATTCATTCATAAGAGTGTCGTGAGGTAAGATTGTAGATGCTGGGAAAAAGGATGCGTGAGAGGACACGTCGTGGTCGTTGGGGGGGTTGCGAGGTGAGGATGGGAAAGCGACAGGAAGGTTGCAAAAAGCGAGTAAACGAATGGTCCAACAGGCTCTGTTGGGGGGTTTTTGATCCACAGTGTTCGGGTGTTGGATCAACGATCAAACATTGACGAGAAAAAAATCAAAGACAAGCAAGGCACGGGCGCGGGCAGATAAAAAAAAAAAAAAAAAGGGCAAGGCAGCGGAAAGAGAGGTTGTATGAGAGCTGCGGCCGCCAGACCAGTGGCAATAGAGGAGCCAGAGAGCTGTCCGGGCGTTGGAGGACCGCGCTGGCGGAGCACCAGGAGAGCAAATGAGCCCTGCGTATGCTGTATGTAAAGCCGTGCAGTAGAAAGTGAAAGAGCTCCGTGCAGATGCGCAGACAAGCATTCAAGTCAATCAATCAATCAATAATGAACAATTAATGGGGGGCTTGTTGCTTGGATGCTTGTTTAGAGAGTTTAGGTTCCTAGTTGGGACATATTTTGGGAGTGATGATGCCTGGGAGATCCCTGTTCACCTGCTAAACCCTGATGGCCTGACCTTGGATCTCCACGGTCGGCCGGTTTCTCATGCCGCACCACCCTCAAAAAAATTCTACCCAATTACTGACCCGTCATTTCCCCAATTAATCCTGCTTTGAACCTGGCACTAATCTCCATTCAAGATCAACCGACCCAATTCAAGGACAACTGTCTTTTCAACGGCCATGACCATATTTGACGGAGACGATGATAAAATTGTACTCTGAAATGACGATGGGCGAATTGTCCTGGAGATTTCCTCTTCGTAAACACGAACGAAAGAGACCCTCTTCTTGTCTACATCCATCTGCTATATATACCTCCCAGGTAAGGACACTTGGTATGCCGGGTATATCTGACACTTCGCAAGCACCTGTTAGCGACATTTGTCACCTGCCGGGGGAACCTGGATCAGCCAAGGCGTCGCTAGGAAAGCGTCTGACATCTGTGGCAAACATATGCTGGTGAACAAGCAGCGACGTTGGTCGATCATGGCTTCACCATCGTCCAGACTACAGAGATTACACGGGCCTTTGCTCGAGCATCAAAAAGCTATCTCATCTCTTAAAGGATTTCCTCCCCCCCCCCCTTTTTTTTTTTTTCTTTTCCCTCTTCATTTCCTCCTGCAAGGCTCGTCGATCTTGTCAGATCTCTGGAAGCTACCGAATATCTCAAGGCCACTCTAGCATGGCCGAAGAGGTCTGATAAGTTCAACCAACTCACAAGAAGGTGTTCAGCTGGTCCAGTTGAATTTTTCCGCCTTTGCAGGCTTGCAGCTGCGTCATGCATTTCGCTCCCGATGTGGCGTCTGCAGCGTAGCGCTTAGTGGGAGTTCGCTTGAAGAAACACAGCACGCATAACCTTGCAATTTCGCTGCGGCTCCTGCCAATCCTCCAAATCTCGTTGCTCGTCACCATCCTCTTCACCACCATTGTTGGCTGTTCGAAGTACTCCAGTCGGATTCACGTCTAGTCAGACCCACGTGTTTGCATTTCTCAACTTTGGATTCAGTGCTTGGAAAGTTTGTGGCCAAAAAATAAAAAAAGGATATTTTAAGATGATTGTCGCCATCTTGCTTTAGGATTTGCCGTCTCACATCAACCATTCTGAGCGGTCCGCTTAATGGTTGGGGGAGTGGATATTGCTTGGTAACTGGTTAGGTTTCAGGCAACGTCTCGTATGAGAGGATAAGGGAACGTGGGAACTCAGGAAGATCAGTGTCCAATGCTGAGGGGCCTCCTACAGGGATTCGCATCCTCGAAGTGCGGGGGAGCCATCAAGACTCGAGCATTCTGAAATACCATCCCAAGATTTTCGAGAGTACAGGGCGGAGTACAGGGCAATCACAGAGCTCTTCGGACGCAGCAATCATTCTCTGTTAGCAGAAACAAGACCCCGGCTTGGGCAATGGATTCGGCGCTTCCTTATCATGCATGTATCTTATGATCAAGGTTTCACCCGATCATGCGAGGTGGTGCATTTTGACGTGCATGCATCAAGCATTGCATCTTTCCCAGTCCAGATCCTGTATCACCAGTTCGGCCCAAATGAAAACGTTAATTGATTGGTGGAAGAGGAAGCCTGGATATTAATGCAGCTCCTCCGTCACCAGCCTCTTGATTTTTTCTGACCAGGAAACCCTATTCTGTTTCAAGCTTCAAGTCGAATTCGGCACCTCCGGCAAATGACCGAGAGCGCATGTTCAAGTCGTAGGTCATGATTGGGGACCAGTGGCATCGCCTGCACGGTAGAGCCCAAATAAACAGCCATCGTAAAATGAAAATTATTTTTGGGTCGCTTATCCGGTAAGCCGCGAATGTATCCGCACAATATCAGCGCAGCTTAGGGAATTTTCGTACATTCCTCGAAGTTTGGAAGGCCTTTACCCAACACAGAATAGATGAACGGCAGAGGCCTGAGCATCTCGGTGGAACATACTTACCTTTTGATTTGGACGATGACATGACCACAAATGCTCAGGTGATCGCTGGAGCTCAGGCTGCCATCAGTTATACCAACTAAACAATATGAGAGCACAAGCCTCCCTCTCCACTCCTTATGCTGCGGACCCAACAGTTGCCTAGCAACATGAGAGTGAAACGGTTCCTTCAAAATGAACATGGCATTTCATTGTAATGCATGGCAATCTGGCTCGTTTCCGTGTTAAATCCCCCACCCCCAGGCGTCATTGTCACGTGGCGGGCCCTTCGCGGGCCCGAGGGCGCGCAGCCTTGTCGATGATTGTTCTCTTTTTGAGATCGCGCTCTATGATTCATCTTTTCCAGTCCTCCATTTGGCCGCATTTCAGTGGTGATCATCCCTCGGGAGACAACATCCCTCGTGCCTATTCCTGCTTTGCTTTTACCACAACCTCCTTTGATAGGGCCGCAGAGCACTTGCTTCTGTCTCGCCTCAGCCTCGACCAAGAATGCTCATAGCTTCAGCCCCGTAATTATCTTCGCCGGCACAGCGCGGACCCCGTTTCTACAAAAGCCGTGGTGTCCCCGAGTTTCTTGCTTGGGCTTCCGTTGGTGGTTTCTTCTTAAGAGATGTCATTCTCTTCTTATTCATCTTGATATGGATTTGACGTTACATTTGATGTGGTTCAGTACCAGAGTCACAGGCCACAAAAGAGACCTATGACTTACACCAGATTCACTCCACGGATAGCGCCATCCCTTCGCAGGCCGCCATCATCCTCTTTCTCGACCATGAATGGCCAGAGACTTTCCAGTGGTTGCACATCTCCAGAACCAAGACCGACCCTTTCTATGGCAAATGACACATTGATTGCTATCAAGTCCATGCTCACCAATAATTTCCCAATATAGGAAAATTCTCGAGTCAAAATCAGGGAAAGCCTCGTTCAACCTCGGAAAGGCGACGGAAATCTTGATCTTTTGGGGAAGTCAACCATGTGATGTAAAACAGAGACGCAATCCGCTTTGGTCCAAGAAATCGCCGACGCTTTTACCGAGGTGGCTTACGATAAGAGGGCACTAGTGAAGATGATGCCTCCCAGCCTTCTAACCGTTCTGAGAGGCTCAAAAAGAATTCGAGTCCTCACGAACGGGAATGGGCTGGGTCGGATATGACGAGCAAGGCTCTGTTCTGCCACTTCCAATGTCCTGTGAAGCCCGAACCCATTTCTTATTGCACACGGGAACGCAGCCTGGACGAAGAACAAAAACTCCCCGCACCATTTGGGGTGCGCTGCGATTCAGGTTCCTCCGCTCAGCTTTCATTAGCGGACTCTTCCAGCGACAGTTCTAGCGATGTGTTGGGTCTTCTTTGGAACTGAAGCTAGGTCCGATCTCTAGTCTACCCTAACTCCGTACTTCGACAAAAACTTATAAGTCCCCTTCACTGACAAGTAGTAGCGGACTACGGTAGGTCCCCAAGAGGCAACGGCATCTTTACTCAAAACAGTTTTACCTCGGGTGTTTCCTAATAAATCTAATTCAATAACGAACTTCGCTCCATCGACCAGTCCCGGGCAATCTTCTTTCCGTGAACTTTCTTCTTTATTCTACTCAACCTTGTCTGCATCCAGTCCACAAGAACAATTGACTTGCAATAGCTTTGCTTTATCTTGACCTTTCGAAGGCGACGACCTTCTTCGTCTCCTTCTCTCCTTCCCCCCGACCCCTTCAAATCATACCGCAGCCATGGTTTTCTACCCTCAACCTTGGGTACCCCAACTCCCTGAGGTCCCAGACACTGTCCCGATATGCGATTTTATGCTTGATGAACAATATGGCCGACGACCATACTCTGAATCCTTGGATGCCTACACCTGTGGTTTAAGTGGGAAGTCAATAACAGCACGACAACAGAAGGAAAATGTTGATAAATTGTCTCGAGCATTGGCCAAAGAATTTGGCTGGAGAGTCAACGAGGGTACTGAATATGATAAAGTCGTGGGTGTCTTTGCGCTCAATACGGTATGTTTGTGGATTGGCCTTTTGTTGGATTGGAGCTGACATGCCTAGATCGACATCATGACCTTGTCCTGGGCCATTCATCGAATCAACGGTGTATCTTCTCCTGCCAACGCTGCATATAATGCGGACGAATTGCGACATCAGCTTACGAACTCGGGAGCCAAAGTTCTCTTCACTGTCATGCCCTTGCTCCCCGTCGCACTGGAAGCCGCCGCCAAATCCAACATTTCAAGAAAAAACGTCTATATCTGTGAAATGCCCAATGATCCACCAATTCCGAAGGAATTCAAGACTCTGGCTCAATTGACCAAGGAAGGTGAATCATTACCAGAGCTCGAACCTATCAAATGGAGTCGGGGTCAAGGTGCAAGGCAAACCGCATTCTTGTGTTACTCCAGTGGAACGTCTGGCTTACCTGTATGTTTTGGGAACCCCGTCAAGTTGACCAGTCTGACAATTTTGCGCCGTAGAAAGGAGTCATGATCTCCCATCGGAACGTGATCGCCAACACAATTCAAATCTCAACATACGATCAACCCGATCGCGAGGCAATTGCCCCTGGTTATCGGGACGTTGCACTCGGTTTGCTTCCACAATCGCACATTTACGCCTTGATCGTGGTCTGTCACTCTTCCACCTACAGGGGTGATCGAGTCGTTATTCTTCCCAAATTTGATATCCAGAATTATCTCAATTCCATCCAGACATACAAGGTCAACACTCTGTATATTGTACCGCCGATCATTATCGCCATGGTCAAGAACAAGCAAATCCTCGACAAATTCGACTTGTCTAGTGTCAAAACGATATTCACCGGAGCCGCTCCCCTAGGGAAGGAAACTGCGGAGGAATTGTCATCCCAATATCCCACATGGACTGTTCGACAAGGCTATGGTCTTACCGAGACATGCACGGTCGTCTGCTCGTCCACTCCGAGAGATATCTGGTTCGGATCTTCAGGATGTTTGGTTCCTGGCTACGAAGCCAAAATCATGAGCCCCGAAGGAAATGAGATTACCGAATACAATCAACCTGGTGAATTGCTCGTAAAATCACCCAGCGTCGTCCTGGGGTACTTAAAGAACGAAAAAGCGACCAAGGAGACCTTTGTGGATATGCCAGAGGGAAGATTCATGCGGACGGGAGACGAGGTCGAAATCCGCAAGTCTCCCAAGGGTAATGAACATATCTGGGTTGTGGACCGTATAAAGGAATTGATCAAGGTTAAGGTACGTGTATATGTCCTCTTACCAGGCTCAAGCTAACAACTTCAGGGTCACCAAGTCGCGCCCGCAGAGCTCGAGGCCTGCTTGCTCAACCACCCCGCCGTGGCCGACTGTGCCGTGATCCCCGTCCCAGACGATCGGGCCGGCGAGGTGCCCAAGGCATTTGTCGTCAAATCAAAATCCATAGGACTGGAAGAGAGCGATGCCATGGTCAAGCGCGATATCGCCAAGTTCGTCGAGAGGGAAAAGGCCCGGCACAAATGGCTTGCCGGCGGCATCGAGTTCATCGATGCCATCCCCAAGAGTCCCTCGGGCAAGATTCTGAGGCGTCTGCTGAGAGACAGGGAAAGGGAGGCGAGGAAGAAGGCCGGCGCAAGACTGTAGAGGTGTGGTTCATGCACAAATGGGATGTATTGTGCCGTGTTGTCCCTTCGACAAACATACCCTTGGACCGGATAATTGAGTATCTTACCAAAGAGCAATGAAAGATTTCTATTTCATTCCTTCAAGCCTAGATCAGAGCTCCTCTTTGACTTCATCTCTCCTTTTGTTTCCCAGGCACGTGAGCAAATTTCGATGTTTCCGTTCACTCGCCCCCAACCGTTGAGATACATTATTGGTGGAACGAGATAGTCCCACCGTACAACTTGGATCCTTCAGCAAAGCGAAAAAGGAGCCAAAAAAAAAAAAAAAAAAAAAAGACAGAGAAGTTCTGCATCAGCCGCGAATCGAACGCGGGGCCCATCGAATTAGCAATTGATGGCAACGATGGATCTGGAAAACCAGGTTAATATATCTGAACCCCAAGAATTTGGAGCGCTGGGTGAGACTCACTTTACCACTAACTGCACAGGAGAATTAGCATACACATTAAGATCGGATGTGAGATTGCACATACACCACTGATGCTAGTGATTGTTGATAGCAAATCTGAAATTTTCATAGATTATCTTTGGTGTGGGGGGAATTTTTGACATTCAGACTAGCCAATTTTAGCGCGAATGACGGCCGCTTTTAAACGAGAAATGCCTTGTTCTTGGCACAAGAACCATACTTAGAAGCCCATAAGCCAATTAGAGCAATCTTATTTCGCCGCTTTATTCCTCGACTTCCATCCTACCTACAGACTCGCCCCTCTACAACATTCTTGTACGATAGACTGACATCCATGGGTGCTGCACGTCTTCGCGCTTGCAACTTCCCAAGGTGTTGTGGCTCCCTTCTTTTCGCTTGCCCGCTGTCAGCAGCCAACAAATATGGTAGCAGCACTCTCCCCTTTGTCTATTGAAGACATTGGCGGTCCTCGGGTTCTCAATGGTCATGACGCCTTCAGTGGACCTTTCTTCTGTCCGGCCTGACAACAGCAACTCTTCGTTTGACGTGATTGTACACCGGAGCGTGGTCTTGCAGAGATCCCTTGATGGCCTCAGTCATTGACAACTTCCTTTCATCTGAAGTCCGACATCTAACAAAATTCAACATCGCTTCGAATCCGTAGTTTGATTCCTGTGCCGGCTGCAGCCTGTTCGTGGGATCAAATGTACCCTTTCCAATTGATCTCAGCTCGCCACGAAAGTAAAGGTTTCGGCGTGCTACTCGACCTACAATCATCCACGTGTTGAGGCCAATATTCTGCTTACCTGCGACACCCCACCCATGCAGGAACTAGTTTCACAATGTCGTGTTCTGGCAATCCCACGCGACAACCTTCGAGACCTCGTGCGTGGTGAGGCTTTTGATCTTTGCGTTTCAATTTCTTTTGACCTGGGGTAAATAATTGTAGCATGCTTCAACCATGGTGCAGGCTGGGAGAGGATGTTTGATAAGGCCAATCCACATGAGATAGTGATAACGTGAGATTCCTCAGGACGTTCCTCTCGCGAATCAAAGACCCCCTCAAATTTGTGCTGGTGAATCTGATCAGAGCAAATACGGGTGGACACTGGTCGAAAACATAAACACGCAAATGCTATCAACTTGCCTTGTTGGATGGTGCTGAGATGATGACAGTTTTAACGTCCTTGGACATGAAACGAGGCTTGACAAGTCCAGGCTCAAGATGAGACTTGCCAGCACTAGGAACACCATCGCTCAAGAGGATTCCACCTTTCGCTGCCTTCGTGGCAGCCAAAGCATCATGTTGTTCCTCATTGAGTTGAAACATGTCTTCAACGTCGGGGAACTCATCTCTTTCATCTGCAAAAATATCTCTCTCTAGGAGCAGATGGAGGTTGTTGTACTCGGTGAATGGCTTGTCTTTTGGGGCACAATTTAATAATTCCAACTTGGTAAGACAATGCGGCTACCTAGTTGATAGAACTCGATGCCAATCGTCACTATCTCGATGGCTCGCGGGACGACCTGCTCGCATTGTTCGTGTCTAAGTGTCGTTTGGCCGGGAACCCTAGCACGCATGTCGTACGGTTGCCGTAGGATACTAGTTATGCCCTTTATAACCAGGGTCTCGGGGGACTTAAAGGGAATTCGTTGGGGGTATACGAGTAATGATGGATTAACCGTTGCCAGTACTTACCCAGAAATTGTCAACGATGTCGTGGTGGTGAGCTGAAAGCGATCCTACTCCCGTAAAGCTGTCTCTAAGAAACTGTTTGATGTCTTCTTCAGCACAGGTCGAAACTAGCCAAGTCCCGGAGCACTACCAGAATTTGGCTTCGGGTCTGCTTGGGTCGTTCTGCTTTTGAACTCGCGGACGTTTGAGATGGAGAAGAGATCCCCGAGGGGGCATGGCCTTGTCCTTTGTCGAATGTCAAACGAGAAGATGCATCCTGGGTGATTTCTCCCATGGTAGATTTGGTACAATCCAAACGCTTGAAAGGATGTTGGGCTTCACCTTTGTATGCTGCAACGTCTCTCTCATTCGAGGCATGCGTTTTGGAGTGAGTCATGTGCGCATAGGCGGCGTTGTTGAAATGGTCTTTGACGCCTTCAAGAAGCAAGGGTGGCTTAGTATTCCAGTTGCAGAACTTGGCGTCAAGGGTTCCTCCCAGGGGTATTTTCAACGAGGCCTTCACCGAAGTACTTGACTTGCCCCGCTGCATCAGGATTCTGCGCTCCAAAAAGTTTGGCTTAAGGTGCGCTATCCCAGAATTTCCTTTTCTCGTCGTTCGACTTGCGGCCCGGTCGAATCTGCAGGAATCTGTCGGGCATCCAATAATATGACGTCGTCAAGGTCGGGTATGTTCACTCTGCGGGAGAAGAGGGCACATGCCACGACAATTATCTTTGGCTGATGACAGGCCTTATTAATCGCGGTTCGTGCCTGATGAGCCATGTTGGAGTGGATAATACGAATGTTTCCATCTGGAACCGCGCTCGCCTGCATCTGATCTGTTCGGAACGGGGACGAGGAGCTTGTGCCGGCACGAAGCATGGAGGACCTGATATTTTCATCGGGGAGTCGTTCTTTTCGCGCTCTGTATCTCGTTTGTTTAGTCGACTGTTTTCCGTCCCATGGTTGCGATCAACAAAGGATAATTTGGAACTCAGCTTCGGAATGTTTCTCACGTTTTGGTGACTTATCGCAGGTGACGTGGCATCAGATCTGTGTTTCCGGAGTGTTAGGACACCTTTATCCTTGATGGGCTGTAATGCAGGTGCGCATGGGCGGGAGCAACCACATACCGTCGAAGGCACCAGTAGTTTGATATCTTTATGATATATATATAACCTCTCATCCTCTTAAGGGAATTATTTGACTTAATGACGCAAGGATGAGGAGACAAACGCATGATTGAAGGGAGAAAGGACGTCGGAAATGCTGATTGAGTATGGAAGAAAGGCTGGGAGAAAGCGAGAAAACCACGACCTTGTATAGACAAGAAACGCAGGGGGGGTGAAGTTTGCTATGACACACCAAACAGTGAACAAGAGGAGCGTACCTGGGAGACATTTTCGTGACTTGGATGTCATTGAAATGTTGGATTCGATTTCCTTTCTTATTCGATTCCAGACTGTACAATGTAGAGTGACACACAGGCACTCAATTCAACAAAGTGGCCCTGACACATTTAGTATTTCCATAATAGGATCCATTTATTTCTTCTCCTTCGGAGCCAACATGAGCTCGGGACGAACATATTTATCAAAATCTTCTTCCGACAAAGCTTTCAATTCCATAGCCGACTGTTTCAGCGTCAAACCTTTCTTGTGAGCATTTTTGGCAACCTTCGAAGCCATATCGTAGCCAATAACGGGGTTGAGACAAGTGACAAGCATCAAACTAACCACGTTAGTACCCCACCTCCTCCCACATGGGGGAGAAATATTTACCTTTCATGCAGAAGAGTACCGATTCTCTTCTCATCAGCTTTCAGATCGGTGACCAAATGCTCAACAAAGCCATTCATAGCGTCGGACAAAATTCTGCTGCTGTGAAGCAAATTTCGGATCATGAGAGGCTTGAAGACGTTCAATTCGAATTGTCCACTCAGACCCCCCACGGTGGCGGCGGTGTGGTTCCCAATAACTTGAGCGGCAACCATGGTGAGAGCCTCACATTGAGTTGGATTGACTTTTCCAGGCATAATACTGCTGCCGGGTTCATTCTCAGGGAGGATCAACTCTCCCAGGCCACAACGAGGTCCAGATCCAAGGTATCTGATATCCTGGGCAATCTTGAACAGACTACAAGCGAGGGTGTTCAAAGTTCCCGAAGCCTCGACGATGCTATCGTGAGCAGCCAGAACCTCAAATTTATTTGGAGCCGTTTCAAACTTGATGCCGGTCATCTTTGTGACCTCTTCAGCAATTCCCTCAGCAAATCCCTTGAAGGTGTTCAAACCAGTGCCGACAGCGGTACCACCCTGAGCCAATTGTCGGAGATGTGGAAGAACCAGCCGAATTCGTTCAAGGTTTCGATCGAGTTGGGCAACGTATCCGCTAAACTCCTGACCCAGTGTCAGTGGAGTTGCATCCTGCAAATGGGTTCTGCCAATTTTGATGATTTTATCAAAGGCGTCCGCTTTCTTCTGCAGAGCATCCCTCAAATTCGTGAGCGCAGGGACCAGCCTCTCTTCGAAATCCAGGACAGCCGCAATATGCATGACTGTAGGGAATGAATCGTTGGAACTGGCAGACATGTTGACGTGATCGTTCGGATGAACGGGTTTCTTGCTCCCCATTTGTCCTCCAAGGATTTCAATGGCACGGTTTGAAATGACCTCGTTGGCATTCATGTTGGATTGGGTTCCGGAACCGGTTTGCCAAACCACCAAAGGGAAATGGTCGATCAATTGCAAAGAAGCGACTTCAGCGGCCGCCTGTTGGATGGCCTCGCCAATCTTTGGATCTAGTCATCTTGTCAACTATTGTCGCCCCATGAATGATTCACGCCATACCCAAGCCATATCGCATATTCACCGTGGCAGCGGCACCCTTGAGAATGCCAAAAGCTCGTACGACTCCTTCCGGCATTCGATCCTGAGGCTGATTGATCTTGAAGTTCCCTAGAGATCTTTGCGTCTGCGCACCCCAGTATTTGTCTGAAGGGACCTCAATAGGCCCGAAAGCGTCCGTCTCCGTTCTCGTAGAGGTAGCCATTCTTGCAGTGGTACTGAACGACCGGTAGGTGGCGGGAGTTCGATAGGAGGTCTTTCGCGAAATCAGCGAGAACGAGGAAGAAACAGGTCGCTGGGAAGGTGTCCTGAAGAGCTGGACCGAGCTATTACTCCGCACTGCTTTAAATGCATGTGACAAAGGAAGTTTTGCTGATGAAGGTTTGACCACAGCAGGAACCCGTCCTAACATCGCGACGACGGGAGAATCGGATCAAATAGAGGAAGATATCTGCAATCGGCGTGAAAGAAGTCTGGGAAAATATATCTCGATCAAGGCCAGGGCAATGTTGGGTTAGCAGTTCATTGGCCGCGTCTTTTCCTCAAGAAACTTTGGGACAGACAAGTGGTCGGGAATTCCCGCCGCGGATACAGACAAACATTTTTTTGGTCTGTTCCTGAATCTTCCGATAGGCCGGTGGCATTTAAAATTTGAATTGATTGCTATTAGACTGACTTTATGCAGATTTCAACGCTCAATTTCAAACGCAAGGGGCGTCTTTTTCTATTGTCGCCGAGAAAACCGGGTATCTCTATGAAAAGCGCGCAGAACAAAATGTCACATTGAAACGGACCAACGACGACAATACTGATCAAGCAGTGCCTTCAATGGTCTTGACAGCATTGCCAATCATGAAGTCCTTGCTCTTAATCATTTTGACCATGAAACTAGGGATTTTCCAACCAAAAACGGCACCAACACCTTGTTGCGAACCGATTGGGACGAATTGCATGTCACTGGTGATTTTCTTGTAGATTTTCTTGGTGCGAGGGCCCGGAGCTGAAGTATTGTCAGTAAAGCTTAAGATGACGCCCAGGGGGGAGGAGATGTGTACCCTGTCCTTGGAGATCCAATTTCATGCTCTCCAAGAGTGCTGGCAGCGCAAACTTGACATCGATGATAGCGCCGTCAGAATAGCTGGCCACTGTTCCGATGCAGTAGACACCAATGACACCATTAACGCTCAAGCGAAGAGTGTGGGGGTCCGTCTTGACCTTTTGCTTATCATCCAGCCATTCTGGGGGGACAAATTCACTGTTGGGCTTGTCACCGGTGGCCTCGATGTAGATGTCAACGGTCTTGGTTTCGCCATTGCTCAATTTCAAGACCTCCTTGCCATTGGCCGAGGTATGCTCGACAACGCGAACATTGTCGTTGATGACCTTGACTCCCATCCGCTCAAGTCGGGATTGAGCATCGGCGCCAACCTTCTTGTTGTGAAGTCTGGACAAGAGATGGGTGGTTCCAGACAAGAGTGTGATCTCCTTCTTCTTTCCGCAGACTTCACCAAATTCACCAGCTGTCTCGACACCCGCCGCACCTCCACCGGCAATGAGGACGGAATCTGCGCCTGGAAATCTCTTGTGAACGTCGCCAATGGCGGCTTTCAGAGGCTCGGCACCATCTGACACGGTCCATAACTGGGTTGCGAAACTCGTACCCGAAGCAACGACCAGTGAGTCGTAATGGACGGAAGCAGAGGTGCTCGTGTGAACGGTCTTGCCGGAGGGATCGATCGAGGTAACGGAGGCCTTGATGAATTCGTATTGTTCAGGCTTGTAGTCTTTGAATCCAGGAGCGATGGGAAGGAGAGCCTTTTCGAGGGGGAGGGATTGAGGGTTCGCAATCACTCTCGGCGCACCGATCTTCCAAAAGAACTCGTCATGGGGGGCGATCTGGACGATTTTGTAGGACTGTTTGCCGTCCAATTGAGGGATGACAGTCTTCAAAAGCCCGTGAGCAGCACCAAGGCCGCCGAAAGAGGCACCGATGATGACGATTTGGTGAGTAGACATTGTGCAAGTCGAAAAGGCTGGAGGGAGGGTTATGATCTGGGTTGAGGCTGTCAGCGTGAAGATAAATTGGGGGAAAAAAAAAATGTTTGAACCACGGACTACGGTTCAGGTGGGGAGACGCAGATTCAAGGTGTTCTGGCGCCGCAGGGGCCTGAATGGAAACTTCGTAGATGTAAGACAAGACATTCAATCCTCATTTGGCAGAGGGGAGGCGGCCGGGGGAGATTATATGTTTTTGGCCGTCCTGCGCTGTGGATGCAAGTCAGCCTACAGGCGTCTTCTATGGTATCCATGTCTTTCATGCGCTGACGAATTCCTACAATGAGCCTCCGGAATACTGGCCTCAGATGTTGCAATTTCGGGGAGGAGATGTGGCCGAAGTTGATGGCCGCAGGGTTACGCTGATTGGAAGAAAGTCCGCACTCTAGCTGGGAAGAAGACTAATGCACTGATCCGAGGGCACGTGAAACTTGCAGAGAGCCCCCACAGCCAAGTGACTCTCTCGGGCGAAAAGCGTCGACACGCATTATTGACTTTTCTTCCGAATTCAGGGTCAGGCGCCTTTCTCGGTCGAGAAGTCGTGTTTTCGACTGGGGCACACTCTAGTCCCTTTTTGCCAAAACTTGGCTGACGATGGCTGGCCGCTGCCGATTGCGGATATTTTGGGTGTCCGCATCGAATCAAACCCCCCGGCCCAGAAAATCCTCTATTGAATCACGCCATCCAGCGGGTAGGCAGACCCAACCACCTCGAACTAACACGATCAAACCAGCAAAACAGATCTTGGATATCTTCCGGTCCCTGTCGCCATTTTCCTCGTAAAACTGTCTCTCCCAAGGATGTGAAAGAGAGAACAAGTGACACGGCAGCTGCAGCGGCAGACTATGCCGAATAGATGATACGGACTTTGTCATAGGAATTGTGGCCTGCATCTCGGATCACTCCCGTGATCACTCGAACGATGATCTTTACACTATCATATTGTCAGGGGTGGCGTCCTTCGAATGAATCGTCGTCATCATATGAACTGTTCATGGCACCGTGACGCCACAGAGCACCACTTCAGCAACTGACAGTCGGATTGCCACAACACAGAAGAAGCACTTACTCAGAGAGATGGATTGGCCCATACATCAACGAAAGATTCCGATGAAAGGCACAAGGAGGAAACCTGCTTCAAATCCATCATCCGAAGCCACCTGATGTTGGGCCAGACCAACCAGCAAACTGGAGAGTGGCACTGGACCAACCGGCTATCACTGAATCCGTGTCGAACCTCTGCTCTGTCGGTTCCGTGGTATGCCCTCTACTCTTTCGCCTCAAAAGAGCCAGAAGTTCGAAAACGACTTGAGAGAAACAGGACGTAAATTGTACTCAACTGTTAAATAGATCGATTGCAATGCTATGCAATAGTCATGGTAGAACTAATAAGAACAAAATACAGTGTGATCGCTCCGTGGAGCATCAATCAAATCAAATGCAAATGCAAGGGCAGATGCCTGGGTATCTAATGCAATGTTTCCCTCTCACACGCCTCCTCTCTCGCAATGCAAACAAGTTCGGGTAGGTAAGATGACATTGTACCGAGTTATCTTTCGAAAAGCAGCCTCCTTCTCAATGGTGTATTGTATCATGTTGCGGATGAGGTCAGGTATGTCTGTGCATTTAAGGATGAGGGAACCAAGAGATGTTCTTTCTCCATCCGTGAAGCAGTTTATCCTTCTTTGAAGTCGAAGTTTGTTCGGCAGCTGCAGCCGGAGTATCTTCATTTTCCGACTCAGCACTCTGTCTCGGCGACTGTTCGGCTGGAGCAGGCATGGCTCTCGTAGCTTGAGCTTCTGGGATAGTAGGTGCGGCGACAGAGTTCTTTCTCGACTCAAGGCCCTCAGCGACCTCATTGTGGCGGCGGGTGGATTTGCTTTCGCGTCGACCGTCGCGGGTCAGGTGTTTGCGATAGAATTCCGAGTGTTTGATGAGCCAGGGTTCGAGCCAGGATTCGGCGGCGTAGGGGTTGGTTTTGGATGCGCCAGCGGGTTGGTCCATGGCCATACCGTTGAATCCTTCTGCCATTTTGATAGTATTTGGTTATAATGCGTTGTTGAAGTTGAGGTGTGCTTTGTTTAAGGTGTCAGATTGGAAGGTGAGGACGAGATGCTGTGATTTCAGACGTGACCGGTTAGGTCTCAATATGGAGGTGGGTTTTGTGAGGAACACAAATGCTCTGAATGCTAGAGACATAAGATGGCCAAACACGATGGCCTGATCATATACTTATGCTTCTCTCACGCCGGTGCCGGTCGCTGACACCCATCAGACGCGAACCCGAGCTCAGGATCCAGAAACGCCACACACCGAACACTGCGATGACGTCGATGCCCCTCCCGTTTCTCGGTATAGCTGAGTCATATGGCTCATCACACACTAGGCCAAAAATCGCACTCAGTGATCCGAGGTCCCGGGGTGTCAGGATCTGGGGACTCCAAAAGCGCCGAGAAGCCAGTCAGAGCAGCTTGGATATGTATGCAGGGTATTTGGATTGGCAAGGCTGCGGCTGGCAGAGTTGGTGTTGATTGGGTGTTGAAGCCCAGCGGAAGTGCTCGGAAGAAGGCGGGGGCCTGGAAGGAGTACGGATGCTGAGCCTCACCGACCGAAAGACGGAAGACTCCCTGGCATCTTATGTGATGGGGGATGAAAAATCCCGCATTTCGGGTGATCGTATACATAGTTGAGAGGGATTGTGCTTAACTAACCTCTGTCAACCTCTTCTTGCGAGAGTATGGAGAGAGAGACAATCACACCACTTTTCGTGTTGAGGTAGGCATCGAGGAATCACAGAAATGGATTGACCATAGTTTACAGCAACCCGAGGCTGCTGTTGATGATGGTGGCCATCATTTATCGAAGCTCAGTCAACCTGCCAAGGGGCAAAAATTGGGTGCAAGGCTGGGGAAGGAAATAGCTGACATCATTCCTGGAGACAACCACGCTTTACCTTTTTGAGACTCTGCGGATTTTCTTTCTCACGGAAAACATTTTCGATTCTTCAAATTTCACCATCCAAACCGACGTGATTTTATTGGTGGCTCTGTTGGCCAGTCACGTGACTGGTTGCCTTCGCAACGTCACGTGAGGCTGTTTGGCTTGGCAACTTGCGCCCTTCTTTTCGTCTTGCTCTCTCTTAGATAGAACAACAACAACACATTCCTTCTCTAGACTCCACAGTCTATCAGGCTCGATATACATCATTCTATTATGATGACTATTTTATGTACTTTCATATGTCCTTCTCCATAAACATCCCTCTTCCCCTTACCGTACTAGATCTGGGCAACCGCAGATGCCAGAAAATGGCCCTGTTCTCGAGGGAGATCAACCTCTGTCGAGAACACCGGGCCTGGTCCTTGTCATGAATACTCCGAAAGGTAGGTAGGTCGCATCTACGAGAAAATTAAAGAATGACATGATACCAAGAGCGCGATATTCTTTTTTCCCCTTTAACATGAAACTCAGCCTTTGCGCAACGATATTGCCAATCTGACCTGACCCCAACAAACAAGCCGCAATTTAACGTTTCTAGGCAGAGGAGTCTTTGCAATACAAAACATCCCCACCGGAACAGTCGTAGAGGTCAGCCCGGTCCTGATCTTCAGCGAGGATGAAGTCGCCAAACATACTCAACATACTTGTCTGCAGCACTACACCTAGTAAGTCCATAACCGTATTGTTGTTATGCTCATACTCTCGCCCTCGTGGCCGTCAAAGTTGTCTGCCTCCCCGTCAGTCTGCTTCCGCACTCACCAACCCTTTACTGCATTCACAGCTATTGGCCCGCCGATTCCGGACGAACCATGACCCAAGCACTCGCTCTGGGTTTGGGATCGATGTTCAATCACTCAATCCGGGCGCAAAATGTGGGATGGAAACGAAACACCGAGACCGACGTTATCGTATATACGGCCATACGAGATATTAAAGCGGGAGAGGAGCTATGCATCTCGTATGGAAGTGTGAGGTTGTGGTTTGAGGATGTCGACGGCAAAGAGGACTCGGAACTGACGACAAGTGACGAGAATGACACCGGCGGAGAGACCTTGGCTGAGTTAGAGTTGAGTGGCTTGGACAGGATGGATCTCTGAACGTCTTGAATGAACGAGCTTGTTTTCTTCTTGAAAAGATTAAGAGGTTTATTGTGTCATGACTCTTTTGATTTTGAGAGATTAAATGGCCTAAGTACCTTTAAACCGATGACGGTGAGCTCGGGGCCCTGTGCCTTTCGAATATCCTTGACCACGTGCTCATGAACCACGGGATGAGCCTTGATGTTTCTTCCCACCGCTCACTCGGAACCCACCCGTCAATTGGCATCTCCAAAAGTATCGACTATATGGACTCGATTCTGTAGGCGTTTTCGAGGCTTTCAAGTTGTTTGCGGTGTTGGTGTTTCGCGTCTCCCCTTCCGAGGGAAATGTATACGAACAAGGCTCTGAAAGTCCTCATGTCGAGTAGTCAGACGAGTTGTCAGCGTAGTGAAAAGAAGGTTCCAGACTCGTCGACGGCCAATTGATGATGGCAGTGACAATTGTCGGATCGTATTTATCCAAGAAAATGTTCCGTGCGCGTGAATCGGGATGGAGGAGAGCAGGGAACGAATTGCCCCGGATTCGACTGTCCTCAATGAGCTGGGCGAAAACGCCACAGGTCTATTTCAAGGAGTTGAGTACGTTTGGACGATGTTCCGTGATATAGCCGGTGCGATTTTGGATCCGCATGAGAGAAAGGAGGAATTCGAGAAGAACCCGCGTCCACAAAGCAAGTGCAGTATGTAGGTAAGTCGTACCCTTGGTCCCTTTTTAGCAATCCAGAAACAGCCTCAGCGAGATTGGACACACGTGGACCTCGCTTTAATTCTCTTGAATCATATCTACTTTCTCCGACATTGCAATGACAGTAGCGAGGGCCGTAGTGTGGACCGATGCAAAAGTCTCGAATCCAAAAAGCATTTGACTAGCCTCATCTTCGCCGTGATGAGTTTGGTCGCCCCGGCCGCCGCGGAAGATAGTTTGAATGGAGCGGGCTTCACATTGCTGCTTGTTCTTTCGGAGCCGACGCCGAGTCGTATACGCCTAGAGCTCAAGAACTTGAAGACTCGGCACTTTTGAAAATGAGTGGACGCCTAAGCGATATCATACTCTGCTGCGGCTTCCAATCCAAAACTGAGGGTGTAGGATGCATGCCGTTGAAAGACCAACGGAGCTGCTATCGTACTTAGCGATAAATATAGTGCGCTTTTAACCGGAATTTCTGTCACCTCATTTGCCAGCGATCTCCACTAACTATCGATCTTGCCGCTTTAATACTAGCATGTACTATGTACTCACTACATAGATAACAACGCTGGTGACGCCTCGCTCCAATGAGTTCACTCTGCTGTCAAAGCGCAACTAGTTGTCTAACTTCACAGAGCCCATCTCACTACTTGTTTGCCTCCAGCGGCAGCATCTCCCAGAGAATGAATGTATTCGAGTATCAGTACCGAAACTGGGAGCAATGTGCTCGGCTACTACAAAGCCAACGCCCGCATGCACGGCAAATCGGTCAATAAAGAATTCCAGAATTTGAAAGGTTTGAAAATGCCGCGAATAAATTCTTCCCCTCCGCTGTCGAACTCAGCCGTATCATTCCTTCGAGGACTTTGGACTCACAGATCTCAATCCGTCTCGGTATTGGGCACCATGACCTGGTGACGAAGATGCTCGATGTCGTGGTCCAAGTCAATACAGCCGTGGATAACAAGGACAAGGAAGTTCGGCCGACTGATGGATGAGTTGAAAGGACAGGCCAAAGAAAATATGAAACAATTTGGCAGAGACTTCATTCAGTGCTACAAATTGGTCACTGGCATGACAGAAGTGTCGCGTTGGAGTAGTCTGTGAGGAACCGCCGATAACTCCCAACAAGAATATCAAAGATAGTGGAATTCTTTTCTTTTTCTCCTTTTTTTTTTTTTTTTTTAATAATCCGAGCTTCGTCAGGACCGGACGATTGAATCTCAATTGGTCCCTCCTGTTCCATATCAGTATAACTATTGATCTGCGCTGGTTTCCAAGAGATTGTTACAGCGCAAGGTCCAAAAGAATTTCCCTCGGAGTACTCAAAAACAGATCAAGGTACGTGAAAGGTATATTGAATTGAAGAATATTCATGTACTACCAATACTCCGAACGATGCCGGATTGGTTTTCCCCCTTCTCCTCAATCATATCATGCCCTGTATGAGTGCGGACATCGAGAGATGGAGAGTAATGGGCATCAAGAGACATCGATGCCAGATCCACATTCATGACCGGCCCATTCCTGATGTCCTCCCGGCTAGTGCATAACCACGGCAACGTGGTCATCCATATATTTGTTGATGTTGCCTAAGAAGATACTGGCCAAGATACTGATTACACCAAAAGCAATGCTGGTCAAATACACATATTTATAACTTTCGGCATAGGCAATTTGACCAGCAAGCACCACCATCTCGTAAGCAGTCTCATTGCCAGCGATACCAGGAATGGTTTTGAGAGCTGGAAGCAAGCTGGCGGCAGTATATTCGATGGCCTCCGTGATGTAAGTGACGTTGGTAATGCCCAGTTCGGTAGCCATGACACCCCCAATGTATTTCGTGGAATTTGGGACGAATTTGTTGACAAACACGTTGTAGTAGACGGTATAGCCGATGCAACCGCCGATGACACGAATGGATAGGGTGAGTGCGGCGACTGTAGCAATAATATCGTCGGGACAGATAATGGTGGTCATAATGGAGGCAGGGACAACAATTCCGCCAATTCCGAGGCCCGCGAGGACAAGAAGACCCCACAACGTAGAGAGATTATATCGGTCGGCAACGGCGAGAGCACCGCATCCCGCCGTCATAAGAACCGAGGAAAGGATCATCAGCTCACGATTATGACCGCGGAAGACCGATAGAAGCCATAGGACGACACACGCGCCGGTGAGAATGCTGAAACCGATTGGAATACCTCGAATACCAACGTCGACCGGATCGTGGCCGTAAACGTTGAAAGCTTGAGTAGGCCAGAACATGATGACGGAGAAGAAATTGGCGCCAGAGATGGCGGTGATGATCAAGGTCAGAGTGAGAATTCTGGCTTCCTTCTTCATTCGTGATGGGAACATAGGGAATTGGGCGAATTTGATTTCCCAGAGAGGGAATAAGATGAAGAGGAGAATGGCGCCGATAATCAGAGGGGCCAACACGTGAGCCGAACGCCACGGATATTGGTAACCGCCCCATTGCAAACCGGCCAAGAAGACAATCATGCCCGAGATGGACAGGAAACCACCCATAAAGTCAATCTCGGCAATGATTTCCTTCTTGCTCAGGCCGCGGGAATTAGGCCGTGGCGGAGGGAAGTAGAAGAAGACGGTCCCGACAAACCCAACGCAGGCCCACAGTCCACAGAGAAGTGTGCAGTATCGCCATCCAGCGTGGTTGGCAATCAATTGAGCCCATAGGACCGATGGGCAGAAGGGAATGATGGTGAAGACAAGGATGGAGACGTATTTTCCTCGCTTGCGGGTTGGAGCGAGTTCGGCAGTGACAGCCAAGGATGTCAACTCGCAAATACCGGCGCCCACTCCCGAGAACGTCATACCGACTGGCCCAAGGTTAGTTGGGGAAACCGAAGGACGGCGTAAAAAGGGGCGTACCAATAAAGACGTTCATGCTGTGCGCTGTGCCACAGATGATCATGGCAATGATGAGCAGGGTAGAGCCTCCCAAAGCGACCCATCGTCTACCAATGAGATCGGAAATGGAACCAACAAACGGGCAGATGGCGGCCAGGGCGACCAGGTAGGCCAGGACGAACCAAACCCAGCGATCAACACCACCAATGTCGCCGTAAATGTAGGGCGGTATACCTCCGAGGATATAAACGGGAATTTGGGAGCCAGTCCACAAAAACGCCATAGCGACCAAGCTCAAAGCTCTTGTGACAGTCATCTTATAACGGACAGAGGTCAATATGCCAGAGTCCTGTCTCAAAGGCGAAGTAAACACTCACAGGAGGCTCATGGTCATGATCTTCGTCGTCGCCATATGTCCGCAGACCATCTTTCTCATAATAACCAGGATGACCGGGAATTCTTTCATTGGTATGGATTTGTTCGACATGGGCAGAGACTTCCTTGTCGACGACGGGGGAGGGAGGAGTGTCACTGGCACTGGCACTATCCTCTTGCGCTGTCATGATGGGCAACAGAATGATGTAGCAGGAACGATGTAGCGGAAGCAATGTCGCGGAAACAATGTCCAAGGTATGTAGAATGATCGATGACCGGAAAGGTCAATAACGAGTATGGAACAGAAGTAGATTGATCAGAAGAAAAAGACGAAAGAGGTCGGCCCGAACGAGGGAGAGAAGAGGGATTGATGTATTCCTCGGGTAGTACGAGGAGAAGCCAAGTGTGAAGACAAGGTTTATTTAATTCACTTCTGTAGCAGAACCATTGTGGATATTTGAACTCGACTTAACTCTCGATAGGGATTGACGTTGTGGACGACGGCTGAGGCGGGACCCAATGCTGGGGGACCGGGTATGAAGCGAACATTGGAGGAAGCTGGTCATGGCGTCCGGTAAACGTAACTAGTGGGTGAAGAGACCGGAGGAGAAACAGGAGGGGGAGGACCGGCTGGTCGAGATGGTGGAGATGGGACAAGTTGGGCCGGACACATGCCGGACGCAGGCAATGAAGGTCGAGACACACTGATTGGAAGAGAAACAAGACTAGAATGGACCAGTATTTGCCACGTTGTGGAATGGAGATCGAGAGAAAGAGAGTATTGGGGAAGACACGGTTAAGGTACCAACCGTCATGAGAAGGAAACTATTGGGAAAGAAATCAAAATGCAGGATGAGTGATGACAATGGTCGAACTACTAAGCAGCGTCCAGATTTCATCCGCCAGCCATGGTTGGCTCGGCCAGCCCGTTACCTGCTGGATATCATCGAACTATAGGGAATTGCAGGGATGACGAACAAGGCGCTTTGCTGATAAGAGGTCAACCATTTGATAATCCCCAGCCTTTCTCTTCCCGTACTCGCATGATAAATACAGCACCTATCTCCCAGGTTTTGATACCGAAGCAAAGTCCAAGCATAGGCTAACCCCAAGTCAGATGGAGGCTAATGAGATAAGCAAGCAATGGGGGGAGACTTTGTACATGACCCCAAACAAAGAAACCAAAAACTTCTCCAAATGGGTGGGTTGATTGGACGACTGACTACTGGCTGCGCAACGACAATCTACTGTATGTCCTGACTCGGTCTCTCCGATCACCATCTGAAGCACCGAGATTGACTCTTCGCTGGGCTAAATCCTCCGGCCTCCTCTTCTCCAGAATTTGGACGCCAAAATGATCCACTTCCCCGCAGTTCCAGTCCCGCCAGCTCGCTAAATGGCCGCTGTCCACCTCCACCAGAAAAGCAAAAAGGGTTAGATGGTTCGCGGTAGCTGAAATCAACCTTGACCACCCGAAAACTTTCCAAGATAGCCGCCAACTTGCCGAGGCATCTGTGGTTCTCTTTGGGAGTACCGTGTCGCAGTACAGACCGCTGCTACACGTTATCGAGGATACAATGCTGGGAATAGGTAGGCCTAGCGCAGGAGAATATCTACTAGCGGAAAAGAAGAGGAACACTTAACTTGAAGCAGATATCAAGATTCATGGATCTCTGGGTAAAACAGTAGAGCCCAAATATGATCTTCAGAATTCCCCAGATCCCCCTTCGGCGGGTCTCGCCAGTAGCAATATCCAGAGCATGTTGATGCTTGACACTTGACAAACTCTTGCCTCTCTCAACTCGTTCCATCTTTCGCCAAGTCTTACGGGCAACGGCCATTGCCAAATGTGGGGATAAGCCCGGTCCTCCTAGAGAACATCCTCCAGTTTCTGGCATGTTGCTCGTTCGCCTCGAAGAGTCACACTTGCCAATTGCCCACCTGGTCCCTCGGTATTCTTCATGCGTATCGACAATTAACCGAGACCGCCTTTGATTATCCAATCCTATTCCAGGCCACCCATTCCGTTCGGATGGTTCAACAGCTTGCTGCCCCGTGAACCCCCACGAAATCAAGTCTCACGGCGCTCCGTCCCTCATCGCCTGATCCAGAAGCACCATCCACGTGTCGACATGGTCAAGTCAGTCCCTTGCACATCCAGCAACTCTCCCCCCTAATCTCAACGAAAGTTTTCCGCGGTCGACCCAGTCCTAACCTTGTCCCTCCCAGTTCGAGTCATTGGCGCCCTTGATTGACTTGCGTATCGGTATCTCATTCACCGCGGAAAGAATTGCACGTGTCGGTGAAGACCAAATTTGTCACACATCAGGTGCAACATGTTGTCGGCACTCGGGAAAAGGCGACTAGATTTCATGAAGACGATTAAATCGACAAGATTCGCGGCTGGCGATGCTCTGACACCTTTTGGTATCCTTTGCTGAATATCTCTTCCGACTCTTCTGCTTAGAATTGGACGTGTTTCAAGGTCCAACTTGAAGGTGGTTGCCGGGTGTATGTCGTGCTTTCATGGGTCTTCTTTGCGCCCCCAAGGGTGATCTGACTGAATGGTGGTGTTCGCATCAATTTCAGCAAGCCTAGCTTCGTCCACATGGGGTTGTACCATTTGAACCTGGATAGTTGCAACCGCATGTATGCTGCCCTCTGCATCGGATGAATGAAGATCGATGATATGCTGCTCTATCTTTTCTTGTTCGTCAAATTGAACCATGACTTGGGGTGGGGCTTCGACGTTCAGGACCAATGGCAGAACCCGCCCCAGTTGAACTTCTGGTTCAGAGGGATCCGATACGAACTCGGCCGGAGGAACGAAAACTCCATAAATGTCACCCGGTCGCATTGGCTTCTTGAAGTCGATGGAAGTTATGGACGCCCGTCGATTCCCATGGTCCTGATAGAAGTTGTGCAAATGTTGGTCGACCCCTTCTTGGACGAGAGTGGCGACGATTCCACCGTGGATCTATGCCAAAAGAGTCAGCCCTACCAAACTTGAATGCGAACAATTTCGGTGATCCTTGTGAGACTTACCACATCAGGCCAGCCTTCCATACCAAAGCCCAGGAAAAACACCAACATTGTGCACTTCTGCGAAGGATGTTTGAAAGTCTTCATTGTGATTCCCTGTGTTCCAGCAAGCTTCTGTGACACGAAATTTAACCCTTTCCCTGGGCCATTGACGCGACCAGCGTAAAAGTTCTCTTCGATCCAATTTGCTCCACGAAGTGACTCCACTAGAGGATGACTCTCTAACGTATCCGAAATCTCGTCTAACAATTCTTGATCTTCAATAGATCCCGGTTCGAAGGGTGGTTGCATGTATTCCCAGGTTATCAAGGCTGTTCCAGCTGTGAAGCCAATAGTTCCCGAGAGAGCTACCCAAAAGACCGATCGAAAGGCGCGCGTAAGAAGAGAGGGGCCCGAAGGTACACTTGAAGTGTGAGGAATGTTCACATGCTGGTAGGGAAGAGGCTCGGGAATCGGCATCTGGCCGGGGGTTTGAAAGTATTCCTTGTGAGGGCCATATTGGTCGTGCTGCCGGCGACCGTACCCGGGCGGATGTCTGGTGATGCGACGAGCTTGACGCCACAGCAAAGGTCGAAGTGCGCGCATTGAGTACCCGCGATCTTTCCTTTGTAGAGAAGGATCAGGAAGTCTGACGAGACGGACGGTTAAACTAGGACGGGTACTTGTTGCATTATACTTTGAGAAGCGCAGCCTGGGACTCGGTATTTTATTAGCCTTGGCGGCTCCGGCGGGCGGCTCAACCTGAAGACCGCCTCGCTCGAATAATGCTCCATTTCATGGACCCATACTCTCGTCCAACTTTCTTGACTCAACGGCCATCAATAAAAGTTACTAGGAGAGGACCAAGATCGCAGCGAGTCGTTGTCCCATTTTTATCTATACATCCCAAAGACGCTTTACATACAGTCGGCTCCTGCCCGCAGGATGTCACCAGAAAGATTCACCATGTCTGGTTCTCCTCATCGCTCTCAGTGTCCAAAGGAAGTATTGACCGTCACCTTTGCCATATGCTTATTCTCTCGCTGCCACTGCTTGGAGTACCTGACTCCGAATCCTTTCCTGAAGACTTCTCGAACGGCTTCGAGGGGCATGCCTTTGCATTCGGGGTAGCAGAAGACAATAAAGACCCAACCGAAGAAGCAGATACCGCAATAGAATCCGAAGGCGCCGCTAGGCGTCATGCCCTTCATCATGGAAAGGAAGGTAGAGGCGATGATGATGTTGGTGGACCAGCAGGTGACGGTGTTCTGGACAGTCAGCTTTTTTTCCCGAACAAGACGGCACAAGGAATCAAACGTTACCAGCATAGTTCCGACAGCTCGAACTTCGAGAGGAATGAGCTCGGTGCCGATCCAAGCAATAGTGGCCACACCGGAGGAAAAGCATGCGACATAGCAGATGATGGTAACCAAAACCACAATACCCGGCCAGCCCACGTTGTTCGACTCCAAAACCAAGTCCTTGTTGATGGGGATCCAATGGAATACAATAGCAGCGACTAGCATGCAGGTGAACATCCCGAAGACTGTAACGGCGAGGATGATTCGACGGCCAAATTTGTCCACGAGGACCAGATTCACAATCGAAAAGACAAAGTTCGTTCCGGAGACGGTAATCGCCACGGCGGTGGCATTGGTAAAGCCGACAATCGAGAATAAAGTAGCCGCGTAATACATCAAAGTGTTGAACCCCCCCAGTTGAGATATGGCCATGATCACGCATGCTGTCAACACTGCCCGTCCGGTCGAGGGCGTGGTGAAAATTCGGCTGAAAGTGATCCAGAGGGAATCGTCGGACATGGCTTCAGTGGCCACGTGGATGGACATTTCGATCGATTCGATCTTGGCTTGACGCTGCTCACTCGTGGACGTAGGATAGATACGGCACAACACGGCTCCTGCGGCATCATGCTTTCCGTGAGCGACCAGCTGTCTTGGAGATTCAGGGCAGAGCAACAGGAGGCCCGCCAGAAGGATGGGTGGAGCAGCTCCGATACCGACGGTTGCTCGCCACCCTTCTCCGGGTACGTGCTCGAAGGCGGCACCAAGCGCGCTGGCGACAAATTGCCCAAAGGTGACGCTCATATTGTTGAAGGCAATCATTCGTCCACGATATTTGGCCGGTGCCAGTTCACCGACTGCCTGTATTTTAGTATGCGGCTCTCATGTCTCCTGTTCCAAGGATACATACTGTACAAAGGGACAATCATGGCCGCTGAACCGACACCCAGACCGACCACGAACCGGCCAACGGCAAATTGCCCCACGTGATACGCGCATGTTTGGAGGACGGTGCCGGTCACGAAAAGGAGACAAGCTCCCCAGATGGGCCAGCGGCGACCATAGCGATCGGCAGAGAGACCGGCAAACACAGCGCCGACCAGAGCTCCTCCGCTTGTCAACGAGGTGACAAGTTCTTGTTCGCTTGAGCTCAATTTGTGGCCGAGGGATGTTCCAATTGTAACGAGCACCGAAGAGATATATCCAGTGTCGTATCCTGTATGTCGATCAATTGAAAGCCAACTTCCACATCTCTCGGTGGGAGAACATACCGAAAAGGAAACCACCAATGGAAACAGTAATGGAGATCAACCAGGCCGCCTTGGATGCCGCCGTGGCCTCGATGCCGCTGAGTTCGGTGACCTTTTCTGATGTGCTCTTTCTGCTCTCCACAATGGTCTCGACCTGCTCCTCGTTGTAGGAGTCGAGAGCCTTGGACGTCTTTTCGAAAGACATTGTGGCGAATTAGTATAAATTGTCGCAGGTTGGTGGGGGGAGGTGATGAGCAAGGCCAGTACGACGAAGGTGTTGTCGAGATGTTCAATTAAGCTGATGAAGAGGAGGCCACGTTGGTGGGAACTCGAGTTCATCTTATACTCGGTTTTGCCGTCTCGAGGCCTCGAGCCTTCGCTGCTTTGCTTTAGTCACCCTGATGATACGCCATATTGTTGACGGAACTCGAGAGGGAGCTGTGGCGGAGATTCATTTCCCCACGGGGTTGTCCCGAAAGCCCGAAGGCGTAAATATGCCCCAGTTGGAGTGCTCCGCACAAGCATTCGGAGAAAGACTGCTCTTTTAAGGACAGACCAAGGAATGTTCTCGTTCGGCATATCAGTCGATCAACCTGGGGGAGCGGCCATAGGCCGGTGCTAATGAAGACATTTTCGGCTCTCGGTTATGTGGTGTCTCGTGTGCAGGTTGGGATCAGACAACTGTGGCAGAATTCACAACGGCATTTACCGCTTTCACGGCCCTTGACCGGGATTTCATTGCTTTTATCAAGATGGAGGAGGAGAACAATGACGACAATGACGACGACGAAGCCATCGTCGACATTAAAAAAAGAAAAAAAAAGTGTACAGGGAAAGTGAAGAGAGTGGAACTAGATTTGATAGGACAGGGGAAGGTCGTCGTGAAGTGAAACAGTATCGGACGACCTTGGCAGTCTTTGACAAAGTCTTGCACATTGATTCAGTTGTAAAAGCTATCATATATCCAAATCCTATAGTAGGAAACTTTGTGCCATGTTGAATTCAGGCTGAGACTCCCTTTCTTCTCCATACCTTCACGGGCATCTCGCCTAACAACCAGTTCATCGTCTCAAGTCGTTGAATCTCCCACTGCGGATGAGGGAGAGCAAACTCGTATCGACGAAGTACGGAGGCCAGGACCACTGTCTGCTCCAAGTATGAAATATTTCGGCCTATACATCCGCGGGCACCGGCGGAGAATGCAAGGAAGTATGGTTGAAGATTCTTACCTTCCTCCCCCAGCCATCTCTCAGGGATGTATTTGTCAGCCTGGGGGAAGATAGACTCGTTTCTGTGGGCCACCAGAGCAGACATCCCGACCGAGACGCCTCCAGGGATATAATCATCCAAGATGCTGAGCCCTTCGGGGGGTGTTTCACGCGGTAGTGCGTGAGGAGTGGGAGGGAAAAGCCGAAGGGATTCGTCCAAACATGCTCTGAGATAGGGCAGATGCTTCACTCGGTCATAAGGCACCACGGCTTGTTCTTCTTCGCCGTCTAATGCAGCATCGAGCTCCTCGACCAGCCTTTTCATGGCCTCGGGATTCTTCAACAGTTGATATAGCACATTGCACATGGCAATTGCCGTTGTGGCGCTGCCAGCATTCATCATGATGCTCACTTCCGCCACAATTTCACCCCATTCGAGATTGTTGGGGTTTCCATTCTTGTCTTCCATGAGTGCTTGGAAAATATCATCGAGCTTCTCTCCAGCGCGATATCGTTCGAGTCGACGATGGGCCAGCTCAAGAGGAATGCCTTCCCACTGTGCGGCGAATTTGCCCATTCTGCCGTAGAAGGGTATAATGTTTGAGATTTTGTTGATGAAAGGGTACCATTGGTAAGGCCAGACCAGGAGGGATTGCTTGCGGGCATTCTGGTACAAGCAGTCGCGGAAGTGGCATTCATATTTCGTGCCATCCGTCTTCCGAGCGGTGATCTTGTCGTGGCCATTGTCGAGGAATCCCAGTCTTTCCGACAGGCCAATGTCGGCAATGGCGTCCAAAGTAAAGAAATTGGTCCAGACTCTATAATCCACATTCAAATCCGCCGGAGCAGGAATCCGTCGGTCACTTGCTAGTGGAGCTGTGCAACACTTGTCGAGGTGTGCGATCAATCTTGCCGTCTTATCGGCAACTTTATGCTCCCAACCTTCTAGATTCTTCAGAGCATATGCTGATGAGAGGACCTTGCGTTTTCTTGCATGGTCTGGCTTGTCGATGACATCGGCAAGGTGGAAGTGTGACCCGGAGGTCAGGACATACGAAGCGTCTTTGCTGCACTTGGTGTTGTGTCCGTAGATGTCTTTGATAGCTCGAGGGTCTGAGTACGATAGAGTGTTGGGTCCCGTACGGATGACAGGATGTTTCTTGTGAAGCTGGACAAGGTGCATTGATCGGGCCCCCCCATGAGCAAGTATCATGAATGGAATGGAAGTGATTCCAGACAGGGGTGTCATATTCGGGAATTTTCGAAGTCCTGAGCAAGTCAGTCAGCTAACCAATTCCAATCCAGTCAACCCCCAGTGGCATATCGCACCTTTGGCATCTCTGAAGTACACAATGATGGGATATACCACAAAATATAAAATGCAGCAAGTCCCCAAGAGGACTGCATGAGGGGCAGTTGAGATTGCAAGCATCTTTGTCGGAGGAGCTCTACACCAAAGCCTATGTATGATGTTGACTGGTATTCCGTATTGGAATTTCTGTGTTTTTCAGAATGAAAGCGAGTCGAACTGCCTGGAAGGAAAGAAGTTGTGCTTCCCTTTCTGGGGTCTTGAGGATCTCATCAACTCTTCAAATAAAGGACCACCGTCCATCCATAATCTCTTCCCCGCCATCACATGCTGTTCCCCGTACGGAATGCTTGATCTGCTTGTGCAAAACTAGAAAATACTTTCAAAGGCAAACCTATTCTACAATGAGGAGGGGAGAAAAAAAGTATCCTGCGCGGCGTTCTGGAGGTATTCTAGACACCCTCGCAAAGGTAATCTTTTTCCGAGATCATGGCCGAACGAGTGGAGCAGAATTCTCGGCCAATGTCGTCGATTTCCTATTTGGATATATTGAATTCCGAAAGGCAGTTTTACTCCGGTTGCTTTCAAATTTCTCCGTCAAACCGGGGTCTTCATAAAGCAACATAATGGACTCTCGACTTGATCCGGAATGGCTATGCCTAATATCGAGCCTGTCCACAATTACATCCCTCCCGTGACTTGGTATTCGACAGTCGACCTTTGTTTCGCAATGGATTCTGAGATATTGGACATCTCTATATTCCCACCAGTTCTGCGGCACGTTTCCCAATTCCTCCAGCCTACTTCTCCTGCCGACTTTGTCGCATTAATCCTAGCTGCTATCGCAGGGGTAATCTATCTCTTGCGAGGTACCGTGTGGGATAAACCTGACCCGTACTATTACCTCTACTTTGAACGGCCCCAGCAGCAGATCGGGATCGGAAACTCTAGAAGGCAATCTCAGCGCAACATTGCTAAAAAGCTTTCAGAAACTGGCAAAAGGGCTGTGGTCTTCTGGGGATCTCAGTCTGGCACGGCAGAGCGGTTCGCCAACCAGCTGGCGAAAGAATGTCAACTGCGATTTGGTCTCAGTACTTTCGCTGCCGATCTCTCAGATTATGATCCTGATTCTATCGCTGAGCTGTCCCAAACTCGTCTAGCAATATTCATCCTCTCGACATATGGCGAAGGGGATCCGAGCGACAATGCCAGCGGCTTCTGGAACTGGATCAATAATGACATCCAGGGATCGTTGTCGAATCTTCAATATGTCGCATTTGGGCTGGGAAACAGCAATTACATGTACTACAACCGCGTCGTCGACGTTGTGGTTCAATCGCTGAACAGGCATGGCGCCCACAATCTCCTTCGAGTCGGCAAGGCAGACGATGCACAAAGTTCTACCGAGGAGGACTTCCTCGCCTGGAAGGACGATCTCTTCAACATGTTTCGGACGCATCTGGCGCTTGAAGAAAAAATGGTCGAGTATCAACCTACGCTCGCTATCACCGAAGATGATTCCCTGGAACCCATCGATCTCCATCACGGAGAGGCTTCTCATTCTCGAGACAACCCCAAAGCCGCTGCAGCGTGTTCGCCCGTGCGAGCACTGCCCATCAAGAATCCAAAAGAGCTGTTCAGCGTGTCCCAGCGGAATTGTGTCCATTTGGAGATTGACCTCTCAGAACATCCAGACATCCACTACAAGACTGGTGATCACATGGCCGTCTGGCCAATAAATCCAGACAATGAAGTGGACTTACTTCTGACTGCCCTTCAATTGCGAGATCGTCAGGACATACCAGTATCTGTCAAAGCTGTCGACCCATCATCGGCTAAGATTCAAATTCCATCCCCCACTACCGTTCGAGCTCTCTTCCACCACTACCTCGAGATTTGTGCACCGGTCTCTCGAACCACAATTCAAGGTCTGGCGCCATTTGCTCCGACCCCTGGGTCCAAGTCGCTCGTTCTCAAACTCGGTCGAGACAGAGACTTTTACTCATCCTTTCTCACCAAGAACCACTTAACGCTGGGCCGCCTTCTCAACCTTGCCAGTCCCCATGAACGATGGGTCAATCTGCCACTTTCGTATGTGATCGAGACTTTACCTCTGATTCAACCACGCTACTATTCGATTTCCTCAAGCAGCGTCCTCTGGCCTCGAAGGGCCACCATCACAGCTCTCGTGGCTGCAGATTGTCTCCCAGACAATCAAGAACAGAAAATCAACGGCGTCACATCAAACTATCTTCTCGCTCTTTCTCGATCACAGTCACAATCACCGATAACGACTACCTCCAAGCTTCAAATCCAGCAGCATTCGTCTGAAGTCCCATCCTACGACCTCTCGGGCCCCGCGAAGCTTCTCCAGGGAACCAAACTCTTCGCACACATCCGCAAAAGCAAATTTAAACTTCCCATCCAGAGCAGCTGCCCAATCATCATGGTCGCAGCTGGGACGGGACTGGCACCTTTCCGAGCATTCATCACCGAACGCGCGAAACTCCATGCAATTGGAAAACCCATCGGCGACATGTTGCTATTCTTCGGTTGCCGCCGGCCCGACGAGGACTTCATCTACCGTGACGAGCTGGAGCAAATACAAGCTTCCGTCGGTGAAGGCTCTTTCAAGATCATCACGGCATTTTCGAGGGCCGAGGCCCGAAAGAAAGTCTATGTGCAGCAGCGAGTAAAAGAGTATGGGAAGGAGGTGGTGAGTTTAGTCGAGGATCAAGGTGCGAGTGTCTATATTTGTGGCCGGGCATCGATGGCCAGAGAGGTTGGATATAGTGTTGGTGAGACCCTCCAACACCTCAGGGGTTGGAGCGACTCTGAGGTCAAAAATTGGAGCGAGGGGCTCAAAAGGAAGGGGAAGTGGCGTGAAGACGTGTGGGAATGAAGTTCTTCCTTCCGGAGTTGGAGCCGGAACAGGTGCTGGCGAAGGCATCAAATTGAAGTTCCAAGCGCCACAGGAAAATAAGTAGAGATCTGAGTGAGGAATTTAAATATGTCAAAATCGGAAAATCCCCGAAAGAGAATTATTTAGATCTGCCCCCAGCCCCAGTGCTCCTTTAGATCGCGGATAATGTGGGATGTTTGCCATCCCATCCGTGCGTTCATCTTCATAAGAAAGTCGACTGCGGCATCTTGTTCTTCTTGGTTGTTTAGATACATTCCGCCTGCGGATGATCAGCAAACTGCTCTCGGTAGCAACAGCAACAACAACATAAGGCTTGTGGCTTGACTTCAAAACAATGAATATGCCAAGCTAGACAGGACTTACAAGCAGCGAGGATGTGGGAGGCTTGGAACATGGCCGTAGCGACCTGTTCATTACTGGCTGCTAGGCCGATGACCATTCTCAGGTTTTCTCGGACGATATCCTGGATGGAAAAAAGAACAAAAGTTTGGTGTTATTTATTTGGACGATAACGTCTGGCGACCAGTCCACTGAATGAACACGCGGCTTAAGTGAGAAACATACCTCTGATGTTCGCCTGAACCGAATCGAGTCAAAACCCAACCTGGATAAACGAGGGTCATAGACGGCCAGCACAATCTTGGCCAGGTAGTAATGCTGCAATCCGACAACTTGGCGGGAGGAAGCTTTGTGTCAGAACATTGGTAGACAGATTCCAAGAGACACGGGGACGCGGACGCGGACTGTCATCTGTGATTCATGTAACAAACATACCTTGCGCAGGATTACACACAAATAGCTCCGGCCAAGGCATAGTCTTTCGTTCCGGGGACGGCATACTGATACTAGGACTAGCAGTGGCAACAGTCTCCATGAACAAGGGCGTGAAATGCCATGGCTTCGTGGAGGCCCAGGTTGTGACTTCGGCGTCCAATTCAGTCCATTGTTCCAGAGATAGCTGCTCAGAGTCGTCCTCGGGGCGGAAGATGTACGTGAGGATTCTGGCAAATATGAAGATGATTCTGTTGGCCCATGACTCGTCATCCGAAGTCTGGAACACGTGAGAGTGACGGTAGTTGGTGAGGTTGATGGTCAGTGGGTGCTGGGAGGTGAGGGAGATGTAGATGTGTTGTCTCAATGATACCCAGCTCGCGGATTCCCTGAGCCCACCGTCCGCGGCAAAGGAAGCTATCGAGTTGAGTAGTCGCGTGGTGCCGAACAAGTGACATCTCTCGTCGTTGTCTAATTCATGATTATTTAGTCAGCATCCTCGACTCGCCACGTAGCCTCGCTCCCGGCTGGCTGGCCGGCCGAACATACCAGACATTTCTTCGTGAGTTCGTAACAGTATTATGGCAGCCAGGAGGTTTTCGTCGAAATGTCCCATCGGGTCTTCAAGAGCGGCAATGAGAATCCGCAGACATTCGCTCACATATTGCGGTGACTCGTTGTCCTCGGTGCCGGCCAGAAGGCTCATCTGACGGGACGATACCGCGAAAATCGCATACTTGATGACGGGATAGTGTGCTGCTCGTTTAGGAATCTCTTTGCCAAAGTGACACTGTTTGTCACACGAGTCGAACTGGAGCGGAGTTTAGCCATGATTCCTCACTGCAAAAACTAGGACAAGGCTCCGCACCTGAAGCGACAAATGGACAATGTAGTGATGCAAGAGTCTCGCCTCGTGCAAACTTTTGAACGGCCACGCGGGATTCAATCCATAATTCGGAGAAGCGGTGTTCGACGAAGCGTGGTGGAGGACGGGTGATGACGGATGGGCCGAGAAGGGCTGGCCCGCAGATTGCGCCGGTGAAAAGTCCGCAGAAACACAAGCGGATGCCGAAACATGAGGATCGAGACTGTTTTGCTGGAGACTCGAATGTATGGGAGTGTTCTGAAATACTACTTGATGTGGTGAAGCCCAGTCTTGAGTAGATGAGGGAGTTGGATTGTGATCAACCTCGAAGTTTGGGTGATTGTTCGAGGTGAAGCTAGAGATTTCCGCGGTGGAAGATTGTCGTATCCCACTCTCAATGTCAGAATCTGGATCTGGATCTTGGGAGCTATCGTCTTCGTGATCGGGAGCAATAAAGCGAACTACTTGTTGCTTTAACATGAATCATGCCATCCTTGAAGATCAATACCCTACCCTCTGGCGGAAAATCAACCCAGACCTGGCGAGGAGTATACCTCAAGTCATGTTTGATTTTTCGTCCGTCAGCGGTCTTTAGCCGAACGGACTTGACAGGTCGAAAGTGCAGCGGCGTGTCAAGGAGACACTCTCGTTCCGCCTTGGAGCATTTCTCACACCTTTGAGAGCCTGGGAGTCTGACACCTCCGTGGCGTAAGAAGGCGACAGCAAGGCTTCAGAACACTGGACTTACATTTCACATGACGGTCACGACAAGGCTGGCTGAGGAGAAGAGTCCGTCAGTATACTCATTCAATAGAGCGTTTCTTGACTAACCATCCAGTTCGCGCACGCATGAGCCGATGACAATATCAGTAGGGGGTGGCGACAATGAAGAGGGTTGAAATGCGTTGAAGGAAAAATAGAAAATAGGAAATAAAGCCCGAGGATAGAAAGAGTTATTTGAAGCCGGGCGGGGATAGAGACTCCCCGGCCACCTTCTCGTCCGCTCAGGAGATAGGCGATGGGCCTTCCTCTCTTCCCCGCTTCTTTGCCAATTTTCGGGCTAGATAATGACATGTGGGGAAGACGGATTAGGAAGAAGAGCCCCGAGGGGTAGCTAATGCCGTCCCCTCATCATGTCGCACCAGCAGCCTCCTCCGCACCAGGTTTTCGCCTTGCTAAGAAAGATATCAAAGGCCAGACGAGAGGTATCCCCAGTATGCCGAAGACAGTTTTGTGCGGATGAAATTCCAAGGCTGGATCACGTGAGAGTATTCTATTATAGACCACTTTTTCTTAGATATCCTTCACAAATGACAAATAGTGGTACAGCTACGTCTGGGGAAAAGTCGCCTAACACAACATTGGCGCGGCAGAAACGAAGCTGAGTCGATGACCGGAAACTGTGCAACACTTCCTTGTGGAGTGGACAGTGGAACGCAGACAATACCTTCAACAGCAACGGCAAGATGGTTGTGATGTATCCCACCGCCTTGAAGGATGGTTCAATGAGACTTGATGGGCCAAAGGAGATAGATATCTGCCCCAGGAGAGGAAGTTGCTTCACCACCTGATTGATGGCTCGATTGGGGAAAATGGCCTTGGCAGTTATCGTATGGAATCAACGGCCGGGCAGGGAATGAACCGACTGAACAACGAGGGGAAGTGCGTAGCGAATGTAGCTAGTCGCCCATGGGCTTTAGCCCCCACAGTGTGTATGAATTCAGTAAGTAGTCAGTCCGCAAATGAATTGGCAGAACTCCACAAGGCTTAGGTCACATGTTCGCTCCAATGTTGTTGTACTAATAACAACTGTTCAGCTCCCCACCAAAATGCCTACAGAGCATTCGTGCAAACCTCCGCGGGTAATCACAGCTTAAGAGTAGCACCAACCCCAGGACCACTTTGCAAGGGCGTTTGAGTGAGTTGCAGGCTAAAAGAACGTACATCTGCAAAGAAACCAGTCTATACAGCCCACCTGCTACATGGCGGTTTCCGATATTTCTGGGATCGACAGTGGCAATCCCCCTGGCTTAGTACGGACCAATCGGCTGCCCCCAAAGTTTGTACACAGACCAGCGTACCCAAACGAAATCGGCTTCTCATTACTTGTCAGTTAGCGTGAGTGCTCTCACTGGCTAGAATTCGTCTACAGCAGCAAGTACGTCTAAAGTTAGAGTATACCGCTTTGCGTTGGTAGTCATGGCCATTTCTATGGATAAGGCTTCTTTCTTCCGAAGCGCAGTGATGAAGTAATGGTTGACTTGATATCCGGGATCCGGACCAAGATTCCATGGTCTCCGGTTCCCCGGGGAGACACGATGTGGTCTAACCGAGATTAGGTACAGTAAATTGATCGCGGAAGCGGAACCTCTTGATGCTAAGGGGCGGTGGCGCATTGTCTGCACATAACAAAATTGATTCCCAAGTCCTGGTGTAGTGCTTAGTGGCGGGCACCGTCGGAGATCGGGTCGCTGTCTGATATGAATCTTTTTTTGAGACTTTGACTTTTCTGGTCAAGATATGTTTCCAATAAATCGTCAAAGTGTGATGTATCAACCATGCAACTTGCCGACGAATCCACATCGCAGTCCAGTGTGGAAACTTCGTAACCGCCATAGCATATGCAAGTATCAACTTCAATCCAAGTTGGGTACTCGGATGCGGGTGTGAACCGGTGAGTCAGCCCATGGTAGAGGTGCTAGCTCTCTTCTGGGGTGACTTGATTTGGGTCTTTCCGTTCAGCTTGGTACTGGATAGGGGAAGGTTTTTGTTGGCCTTTCACCACATGTTACCGCGCTCACACCTTTCGGGACGGACGCTTCGTTGTCATGAACGAGAAAATCGAGTCGACTTGTGGCAAGATCGTAAATTTGATTTGCATCAGCCATGAGTTAGTGTACGTGATTTATAGAAAATTGGAGCCAATCTGATGCAACCGTCCACCGGGGAACCCTTATGTCCAACTGCAAGTGGCACTTATTCAATGTAAAAGGTACCTTAATCTAATGATGTCTAGCCCCCTGACACACTAAAATCCTCGTTATTTCCCTCCAAATTTCGCATGTTTTCATCCATGAACTGAAGGACGGCGGATTTTGTTGTTTCGTGACTTATTTGAGCTGTTCCCCCTCGAATCTTTCTTCTTCTAGCACTCATTACCATTGCGTAACCTTAGGAGAACCAATCTGTCTACGGAGTTCATTGGGGTGAAGCTTAGCAACATTTGGACAGAGACGCGGACAGAGACGCGGTACAGTCACGACATGGTCAGTATTGGAAGCAGAGAACGAGCATTTAATCTTCCGTACAAGGCTCCGGATTGAGGAGCCTATCAGAGAATTTGCCCATTGAAACTGTTCCCCAGCTCCGGAGTATGTCCGTTCTGAACTTCTCTCTGGAAGAGGCGGGCAAAGCTTGAGGGTAACTCGTGATTTACAAGCCCTTTTTTCACGCCTTATAACTGCTCATCCCCTGGTTCCGGAGTTCCGAAACGCTATCGTTCTACCGATATCAACAATCGCTGACATGTGGCCCATTACAGCCTCCGACGAGAAGAAAGACGTCCATCGTATTCATCTGGTCCTGCGTATGGCTGTCTGGAATTCATGGTGTTGGATGTCTTGAGCTGACGGAATGTGTAGTCAGAATGCGGGGAGAATCCCATAAAGATGCAGATGGAGATTTGTCCTCATTGTACACACCGGCGCTGTTCCATATGCAAAACACAGAAGATTCCAAAACGAAGGACGGTAGAGCTTCGCCACTCCTGAGCTCTAGATTTCCTTATGGGATAGCCATCGACTCCATCCATGGATGTCGTTGGTGACAAGACGTTTGGGAACTTGGGCATCGACCGGGAATGTGAGTGCATATCAAAACAACTCGGCAACCATATTCAACCACGGGCGCTTTTAGCAACCGAGATCTTGACTCCTGTGCATAAGTGAGCTTGTTTTTGTCCTGTCCAACTCCAAACGGCAGAACTTGATGACCCTGACAATTCTGCAGCATTCTGAGTATAGCCCGTTACGTGTGCATTCTGGTCACGCGTCGATGCCATCTGGACGTACTATCTTTCCAATGTGAGAAGTCTGGCAAAGTACGGAAATTATTTGGGATAGTTCTAACTGCTTCTGGCTGAGTTACTTTTGAGATAATAAGAGCATGGGAGGATACATTTCGACATTGGTTACTCTCTTTGGTGGAATCGTAATGATATGAAGGGTGGAAGCTAAGCGATGATCTAAATGGCAATAAGGCAGTTCATATAACATCGACTAACATGCTCCCCGCTCCTCGCTCCTCGCAGATGGATTTGAAGGGAGTGCCAGTGTGAAAAAGTGTGTTGAAGACTAGCCTAATCTATGAACAATCGTGGCCGTTTTACAGGCGCCGTCCTTGGCGTCTTGGCAAGAATCACACCGGCTTTCTGGCTTGGCATGTTTTAGTTAATGTCAGGGGGCTGTGATTTTAAGGACTTCGAAGGGGTATACTTTCGAAGCGTGTACGAAGCCTCCGAAGGTCTTTACAAGCCTTGGCGTCGCCACATATCACTGGACAATAAAAATGCCTTTCTCCTAAGGCCTATTTTTGCCCATTCGGCTGATGAGAGTCATATCTCTTCCGATATTGCGCACCGTAGTGTATAATATATGCTGCTATCCGAGGCTACGGCCTGCTTCCACATGATCTCTGCCTGTGGTAGAGTCGAAACTTGGTGGATTTCTGCGTCTCAGCCCGCTCAGAGAACGCATGCCACGACCAATCTTCTCGATTGACTACTCAAAGAATGACCGTCCCCACAAACTTGATAGCTGCAAGATCCGCAGAGAGAAAGCACCTCCCAATACGAGAACCCCGAAAATGAGACAAATGCACACGAAAGTCGACAGCTTTGCCGATACAAAAGGAAATACTTTCTTCATCACACCCTCGTCCATTGAGAACAGGCTTAATGTAAGTGCTATAGGAGTGCACAGCTGCAATAAAACAAAACCGTCGTTAAATCTTTTGCATCTTTTGCCACTCCATCCAGGATTACGAAACTTACCATCAGCATCAATGATACTCCTTTACTGTCTTGCGCCAGCTTTCTCTGGTGGTTGGCAATATTGAGTTCATGCTGAATAAATAAACTATCAGTGGCAAGCCAGAAAAATTTGAGGGAAGACGAAGGGGGAATAGCTCACTTTCTTGATAAAGTCGTCACAGACATCTGCCGTGTCCTTGAGGGTCTTCACCTGGAATTTCAGATCCTCGAACGAGGTTTGAATACCGCAGCGTGATAGTTCGATGTGTTTTGCATCTGAGACGCCGTCGAAGTAGATATTGTAGGTCGACATAAATCTCTCGCACTCATCCACGGTCCACGTCAGACGCGGTAAGAGAAGCGTCAAAAGATTTTTAGCCTTAGCCACCCACTTCTCCGGTTCTCGGATCTCTTCCTTCTGTTCTCTGACTTCCCCGAACCAGCGGTTGCCTGATGGGTCGGGAGCATAACGGTGGACCTGTCGGACATGTCAACACGCTAGCTAGCGAAGATAAGAGAGGCACTAGGAATATAGTCAGCAACAATGGAAGGCCTCAATTCCCAGTGTGGCTACGTAGAGGCGCAACAGACAAATTTGGGACAATGGATTTTGTTCCATCGCCGAAGGGATAGACATACCCATACTTTCTCATAGTCACGAATGCTCTGTCTTACTTTCCAAACTACCTGGCGCCATTCGCTTCTGATTTGATCCAGACGGCATCGAAAGACGAGCAGGAACCACTCCCAAGGATCCTCGATGTTGGCGCAGAGCGGAGAAGAGCCCACTGTGCAAGGATCCATGAGTACGCCTCCGTCGATTTGACTGTCTTCGTAGTATGCCATGACGGTTTCCTGTGCATCGTCGTTACCGTCGAAGTAGGAATCCACGAAACAATACGCAACCCATCTCCAAACATCTGAGCCAGCAACAACACAAGAGATTTGTGCTTCATAAATGAAAGAATGTAATGCATCGCTTTTGCAGTTGAGAAAAGAGACGTCATGGAGCTCCCTCATGGGTTCGCCCCTAGAATCACGTCGGTGATCTTCGATCGGAATGTTGGTATCTCTCCAGGCATAGTAGGGCAGGTGAAATGCAAGTTGAAACACGAAGTATCCTGGTGACTACATTGCAAAGTGGTTAGCGCCCTCCAACATCCTCTTCTTTCGGCTAGTCGTCTAAGAATTTAGTGTTCCTACCGCACAAGTCACTCCAACAAATGTCTGAGCAGCCACATGTCTGTAAAGAGCATTTCGAAGAGCAGGTGCCTGGCTATCTGATGCTGTTCCAATGAGCGCAAGCATGCTCCATCCGTCGAGATCAGTTAAAAATCTTGCCTAAATGTTAACATCAAAGGTGGTGCAGTCAATGCAGCCATGGAGTAGATTTCACTTACATTAATCTCCGATCTGCATCCGGTTCTGGCCGTTCTTCTTCGGCGGACTCAGCATTCAGGGTCGCAGAATCTTGGGTATCAGCTGCTAGACTGCTTCAGTAGGAGGTATCATTCGGTCCAATCGAGCGGTCTAACTCACACGAGTGAAAGCGCTAATAAAAACATATGAACTTTCAGCTTGTGCTCCATTGAAAAGACAGGCGACGATAAGATACAAGATGACTTACTGGTTTCTTCAGTGCTTTGTACAGCTCTAATGCTGTCAACGGGCCTTTTTGAGTCCTTACCTGAACTCCCCCTCCTTTGAAATTCCTTTCATCCAAGAGTGCACACTTGGCGTTGTTTCCCCTCCCATTAAGAAGACTTTCGAAGTTCGAATTGTTACAGAATGCGAGGATCATATCGGCCTCTGGGGTACAGATTTCAGACTGGTCATGCTCTCGTATAAATTGTGGGATGGCATGGTCCAATTCAATGGGCCTGGCAGGGGTTCCGGCTAAGCTTTCCGTTCCAATTTCAATTTCAGCAATGGTCTCGAGGAAGGGTTTGTTTTCCGACTTGTGGTTAAGTTTGCGGCGTTTCAAAAATTCCGGATTCCATTCGATGTTCATGTAAGAGCTTAGTGATTGAGCAGTCACGAACGGTATTCGTCTGCTCATCGTGAGAATGACTAGGGGCCACTCCGGGCGTATCCCGAGCAGAGCACTGATCGAAGAGCGAGATGGACCTCAAAGAGAGACACTGATATAGGGTAATCTGCCAGAACTAATAAATTTCATAGCAATATGAGAGGAATGGTTTTGCATGATGCAGACGGTAGGGGGAAGTTGACTTTTTTGCCCGATCGACTCTCTATTCCAACAATGCGGCTCTTATCCGAAGTATTCAGATCTTGTTGCCTGCTTTTGGTGTGCGCTTCTTCATCCTGGCTCAGCATAAAGCCATGGCGGTCGTGGTACAACGCCCGATTGCCCTGTTACTGGGTGAACTCATGTTGTGAAACCTATAAGCGATAGAATCAGGACAGCAATTGATTCTCACCGCCATTTTGACCTTCGACCACTTGATCACCTTTCTGCGGCTGAAAGTCGATATCGCACATTCGGCCGGCGAAACCTGCGCTCCGTTCTGTGTTACTTCCACTCCCGGGGGGGAGGGGCGGTGACAGTTTCTCGAGCATTCTCAGGATGGTCTCGGAACAACCCATGGCACCACAGGGGACTTCATAGCAAGGGCTTTACACCTGATCCTGGGCGACTCATCATAGAAATATACCAGGAAGCCCAAAATGAGGCGTCGACCGATCACGTCGTGGGATCGAGCGGATTCGCAGCCTCGTTGTTGGGCAGCAACGCAGCCTCGACACCCCCGGGCGTCAAACAAGTAAGAGACCAGCGCTGATGAGAGTTGCCTGAAAATATGTCTTTGCCCTGCTAGTGTTTCTTTCTATCAGCTATGAGCTGACTCGATACCAATGAGAACGCGTCCATTCAATCTAATGCATGTGGGACACGCAATCTCGCCAAACTCGCCAAATTGGCCGCGAACACCTGTTCGAGCACCTGTTCGCCCTAAATCCTGGAAGTCCTCGTCCAACGAACGCAACTCGAAGTTGGTAGAATGTCATGGAGGCTCGAGGGAAGAAGGAAGAACTTGAGCAGACGTTGAGTTGTGAGGCGCTCATTTCAAACAATCTCTGCTGAATCAGTAATCACGTGCCTAGGTATGAAATTGGTCAAAACTTGTTCGAGCGAAATGAAGCATGAAGGTACTGTATTTGGGCTTCCGAGAGTGTGTATGGTCCGTGAGCATTTCACGAGTCAAATAATCAAAATGCAACAAGAAAAGAGAAGACCGCGATTTAGGAAGTTCCCAACGATTAAGGAACCCGTGTCACACAAAACAAATTCAGCGAGCGTATGTTCTTCTGCCCACTTCATCACCCCCGAACAAAAAGATCAGTGAAGACATATTTGGACATTTCGTGGTATTTCTCGATATGACAGCCAGAACGCCTTTTTCCGATCATCAAAGCAGGTCCCGTGTGCATTTGGACACGCTCTAGGGAATCTAAACCTGAATTTCTGTGTGGCACGCAATTTGCATACGTGAGTATTGCCATCCTTTCCCCACGTTACAGGGAGGTCTTCCACCATTTTTCAGCCTCCATCCTCAAGAATCGTCCGCTGAACATCTCGATCGGCCATGAAACTGCCACCACGGCCGCCGCCACATCAAATGATGGTTTTATGATGTCGGGTTGGGGTTCATCTACATGAATTGTAAGATTTGTGTCCAAATTTTTGAAAGATATGCTGGGAAGCTGCTCAGTCCGCACCTTTCTCTTGCCACCAGTCATCGTCACGTTGACAAATCGTCGAGTGTATGTTATTCTCTTCTTCGCGCGGCCCTTGGGAGTCTTCTTCTTCTCTTGAGGTTCGACCTGAAAAATTGAGTGTAAGCATTCATTCATACCACCGGATCCTGCTATATCCATGAAGAAGCAAAGAACGTGGCGTATGGGGAATTGCGGCTCACCTTGGGAGTCTGAGACTTGACTTTGCCCGCACGAGCAAGGGAGCCGTGAACTTTACCCATGATGGCGAGTTGGGATTCTCCTTTGTGAAATCGATTGTTTGGTGTTGTAGATGAGGTGTAAATTGTCGATGATGATAACGAAAGCAAAGTCGTCAAGACCTAATAATTTAGAAATCTTTGCAGTGGGAGTGCCAAGATGCGCCAAGTGATAATTTCACGTGACCATACATTCAACGGCAAGCCCCTCGCCGCCGCTTTGGCGGCCCCAACCGCAGAGAGATTTATGAGTCATTTCAATATCAGGAGGAATAGAAAAATTCAATTCTATGATTCAGAAGCAGAAGCCAGTACTTGTCTCGTCTTGCGGCTGATCATCTATGTCCAAGTCCCGGATTGTCGGACTCGCTATGCATGTCGTGAATGCTCATAACCAAACAATGCTGGATCAAACCAGATCGACCCCGATTGCTACCGGTGAAATTACTCTGCCACTTCATCCTTGGTGGGTAGGTCGATGGCTTTGTAAAGCAGAATGAGGGCAGAGGCACTTTCGCCGCCACCAGCCAGAGTCATAATTCTTTCAGCATCAACTTCGCTGACCTTGTCATCATTGAACCACCACCATTTGCCATCCTCCTCTCTTCTCTTGCCGCCGGGCGCTTTCGGATCATCGACGAGCTTGCCCTGCTTCTTGACAAAGCTGGTGTAGTGTCCACTGTCGGCGCTGGCTCCTTGATGAGTAATGACACCTCTGAGCTCATACAGGCCAGACATGTTGGACCCCTCATCTGCCGCAAGCTCTGGATCGATGACAGCAAAGAGTTCCTTCTTGGCTTGCTTGATTGCTTCAGCACGTTCGGCCTCATACTCGGCATCGGTTTTGTATACATCCATTTCGCCTCCTTCCCGTTCCTTTTCCTTCGGCTCATTCTTTTCTTTCTGCTCCAACTGTTCTCGTCGTTTGGCAATCGGAGCGGCTTCGACGGCTTTTGATGCTTCATCGTGCTTTCGATCTTCTTCCTGTTTGTGTGCCATCTTTTGTCGCTTCCGCGCCCTCTCGACGTCCTGTTCATCTTTCCGAATTTCGCGAACCTTGTCTCGAACAGGTATTAATCGCTTTCTCAAGTCTTCCGTGCAATACTCCACCACATCAAGTTCCTCCGGGAATGTGACTTTCCGCAACACTTTGGCTTTCTTTTGGACGTCTTTCTTCCAGAAGAATCGGACAAAGTGTACGGTCAGGTATTTTGGAAGACGGGAGATACGAGAGGTCTTGACGTAGGTGGCATTACGTTCCAGAGTGGGAGAATTCTTTTCGATTTCTTCCCTCAAGCCAGCCATGATTCCATCTCGAAGGTGGTTAATAGAGGCATCGATGTGACAGTCAAGCTTCAAAAAGACGTCATCAGACTCGACAACAGGCTCGTTGTCGGCAGCTTCCGGTGGGGGTGCCAGTGAAGAGTGGAATGATCCCGCAAGGTATCGGTCAATGAAAGCCACCTGCTTCTGCTCGTTCGACCCATGGTTTGAAACCTTGAGATGTTGTCTAAGTTGCTGGACGATTTGTGACCAAGCCTCCTCGGCATCCTGTTGTGCGTAGCCATGACCGTTCTTAGCTTTTTGGGCGAATTGAGGGTGGAGGTTTCGAAGTGCGTTCAAGAACATCAGGGGAGGAATGCCTTCCTGGGTTTCCGACATCTGTCTGTAGAGGTCTCGCAGTTGCGCGGTCAAGTCGGTCGTTGAACCGAGGCCACCAAGACCAAACTGGCTGAGATCCTGCAGGCTGGTGCCTGAATCCAAACCGGGCTTATATGACTTCAGCTCCTCTTGCATTTCCGGTATGCTTCGCAGGACTTGGAGAGTAGAATTCAGATAACAGGTATTTCCAAGGTTCTGAAGACCGGCAGGTGTAGCACCCTCTTGCGCGGCAGCTTCAGCTGCGGTCATATCCTCGACGAATTTCATTTTCTCGGTCGGTGCCACCAGAGCACTAGATTCAGATGAAGCGGTTCCCAGCATGGTAAAGACTTGACCAGGTTTCGCGCTGAGTTTGGACAGATCAGTATCATCCTTCAATTTGCCTCCTTTTATCAGAACAGATTGACGCTCAGGTTCGACGCCGGTAAGGGAAAAGAGTTGGTATTTGAGCATTTCACCGTTCGCCGAAGGGTCAAGATCCACGTTGTACTTCTTGCCCTGGTGCTTGATGACAACTGGTCGTCGCCGTTAGAATACATCTTTTGACATGACCTTCTTGACTCACTTGGAATAGTCTCCATCGTGTCTGTAGGATGAGGGACAACAGGGCGGGAGTAAAAGTGTGGTGGTAAAGTAGAAGCAATGATTGTAAATTGCCGCAACGAATGAATGAGCCTCGCCACTCGACCTGTCAGGCACTTGTCAACACGTCAGAAGCCCACAAATATGCCAAGAAAAGTACAACGGCGATGGATTCACTCTTTTCCGGGAATGCTGCCCTGTGGTCGATTCAATAGAGCCCTGCCCGTTGGAATGGTTGTGATTGGTCATGAGAATACCTAGAAACATTTGGTGCGGTCGTTGGAAGCCTCTCCCAAGCCCACGGCTAATTTTCACCGATCGTACCAACCATGGGTGGACATAATTAAGACGTGCATTCAGATGAATGTCTCTTCCACTCGGCATGATTTCGGTCCAGCCATGTCAAAGCATTCAAAAAAATGTCATAAATCTTCGAAAAAGACCGTACTTCATGTATCATGATCTCTCCATCCATGAATCCATTTATGAATCATTCGCCAACGAGTGTATGGTAAAAAGACTGTAGCCCCGACAGCATAGGAACACTGCAACCGTACAGGATGCATACAACAACCTTGATGCACGTCTCTCTGGAACACGATCTGATCATATCTTGTGAGGTGCAACCCCGTGGCTACTGATTCTTTAGACGGACTTACGCTTAATAAGGCTCTCCACCAACGCACGACGCAAACCCATCCGAGAGAAGTCCTTAACGTGGGATGACTTTGAAAAACGGTATAGGACCTCCACATCAATATGGGCAGCCATCGGCCCTGCCACTATAGTGCGCCAGAAAGTTTGGGGTACGGGAAGTGACTCTAGCTCGTCCCACATACCCAGCTTCATCTAAAGAGACGGGACGTTTCCGTTGATGCATTCACCACCGAGAATGCCAACTGTTCCGATATGTATTCCTTGAGTCGGGAGTATCCTCACTGAGAGCAATCTTCACGAAATTCGACATGCCCGCGTGAAGAATAGTGTCCATAGGCACAACAGCTTCGAGATCCAGATATCCCTAGAAGGACAGTTCCCGCTTTGGCCAATATAGTGGACAACGACGGGCCTGTTCTGCCGAGCATCCTTGAGGACTGGTTTTCCGCATTCGAAGGCTGTAGGGAAGCTTTTCTATTGTTGGGATCTAGGAGGAAAGCCTAGGCTTCGGAGCCCACGGACGGCAGATAATGTCCAACGATGAAGAACTTCTTGTCTCAAAAGACTCAAGGCCGAATCCTCCTTCTCAAGGTCATACCTTGAAGCAGCAGACTGAACAGGTCGTAACGAAGATGATACGCCCTCTTCGACCGACGAGGTTTGATACAAACCTCGCAAGTGTTTCTCTCTCGGCTTAGAGCTAAACATCTGATACGCGCCTGCAGGCCAGGGATCAGAAACCTTGCGATCGAAGACTCGCGAAGCCATGTTTGATTGCTCGCCTTAGAACGGCTCCTGCGTAGTTGAATATGGAGGACGAGGCTTAGCACACTGAAATCTGCCATGAATGTGCTTTATCCAGGATTGTCGATACGACGATTGATATTCAACAAAAGTGAATCAGGGCGCCCTTGGAATTGGCAGCATGCTCGAAGTCGCAGGGTACCGTAAAACGGGCGTCAGATTTTGTCCTTTTCGGGAACAATGTGCCTGGCTGTGCTGACCCTCAACCCTCGGTTCCAGGAAAGCTTCTTAAGCGCTATTTAAATGGTATAACCGCTACCAGAGGACCGAGTTTACAGGAGACAATCAGTCACGTCCACGAATGCTGGTAAAAATGGAAATGGGAATAAAACAAAAATGACCAAGAAATGTCGAGAATGGAAGAGGAGAACGAGCTTTTTGAGGACATGGAACGAATCACTATAATATCATGAGTAAGGCCCGCAGTCTAGACATTACAGAGTTCCGTCATTCCTTTCCTCATCTCGGTGCTATGTTCTGTCCTTTGTGATCTCGACAGCTCTCCACAAGTCACCCAGAAACCTCCTACGCCCTTGTCACGTCCACCCTTGTTCCTGCCAACGGTTCGCCGTCTTTGGGAAATATTCAATGACGGTCGCAAGGCTTGCATCGTGCGCTGCAATCACCAGAATATTGGGATCTCCATCAAAGCCTTGGAGCTTCCGGATCATTTCCCGTGCTTGTGTGATCTTGGCACCAACGATAGGCGGAAGGCCCTCTTCCCAGGTTTTTGGCGGTCCAAGGTCGAAGAGAATTCTTCTTTGCTTTCCATTCTGGGAATCAGTGTGAGATATCAGAAAAGAATATGGATTCCTACTGAATGTCTCGAATCCTTTTACTTCAAGGCCGAAGAATATCGAGAACGGGCACCCCGAAAGGCGAAAACTAGTGTCAACAATAGATACTTGGATAGTCGAGTCAGACTATAGTATGACTAGGAGAAGGGATGTGTCCATGGTAAGACTCGAGGCCCTCGGAAGATATCAAGGTGATTTCGACGTCTTGTGGGAAGGCCTTCCTAGAGTAGCTTTTGAATATGTTGATGGAATGAGATATATCTGCCGGCGTGCTCTTTCAATATCTGCGAATCTTTCCTTTAGGTCAACAAGAGAGAAAAAGGGCCGTCATATTAGGGGGGACGAAACATTCGAATTTGTCATCCCGAATGTGCGTGGACGCACGAAATGCTGTGCATCTCATCGCATTTCTACATCGATGTCGGATGGAACACCAAATGCGTCGACTGCACTCTAATGGATGAAGATTTGGAGAGGCAAAAGTTCATGCTCCGGATTTGTCGTGATCAATCACAGTCCGAGGCTGGCCTCCTCGGTTACGTCTCGACTTTGCTGATCAGCATTTCCGTGGTAGGCGATATTTGTGTTTGACCACTTCCTCCTTTCTGCGTGGGGATGAAAATGAAGAGTTCGGATCATTGATTCTAAAGGAGATGATGCTCCCTATATTTTGTCAATTCCATGTTGGTCCTTTCGCCGCGCGAAGATTTTCAAGGAGCTCAGGACCAGGAGGTGTGGATGATAGTCCTTTTCGCTCTCGTCCATAATTGAAAGCTGTAGAGGAATATTCACACTCCCAAGGCTCTTCATTATCAACGTTCTCCTTTTGACAATTCGGCAAGCCAGTAATAGCTTTGAACAATAAAAGGACGTTGGCATACAGCACGCGATTTCGCAGTATGGAGCCCTAAGCCAAGCAAGATTAGGTAAGCGCCCAAGGCTGAGCGTGGAAAAGGGGCTCCGCTGTTTAGCATGACCCCCACGATCTTGATCACACTTGAATACCTCCTCCATTCTGTATCTTCCTCTGCACGCTGACAATACGGACACGTCATGTATTTGTACATTACTAAGCCTGGTTTCCTACGCGGAAATTTCTGCGCCCCAACCAAAAGACTTGAAAACTCAAGCAGGTTCGGAAGATTCCGTAGAAATCCAACCAACCTTTTCACCCTTCTTTTATGTTCCATTTTGTGGTGTCTGTACTGATTGAGACATGAAATCTTAGTCCATCATGGGGACTGGGTGGTGGAAGCGGGAATTGCAGAAGGAAGACCAATTTGGATATATCTGCTGGCCTGATCGACAGAGTCCCATAGTACAAGAGTGATCGTTCCCGTGCTTCGTAGATTGATTATTTCTGCTTCAAAGAGATCATTGTTGCACGGCATCCCAACAATTATCCGTCTTAATCCTTGATTACAATCAAATTCGAATCATGCTTGAATTCGCTTGTCATGTTGCAATCATTGGTGCAGGGCTTGGAGGATTGGCTGCGGGTTTAGGAATTTTAAAGGCAGGGCATCGTGTGACAATCATCGAACGAGCTCCAACCTTAGGCGAGGTAATATATGATTAGAAGAAGACACTCTTTCTTTCGTCCCAATCGAAGTGTGCTGATAATGTAATCTTACAGATTGGTGCGGGGATCCAAGTTCCCCCAAACACGACACGAATTCTTCACAGATGGAGCATCCTTGACAACCTGACTTCGTTGTCTGATAGACCGAGGAATTCCATCTTACGTTCATATCGCGATGGCAATATCCTTTCCAGCCTCGATTTGCGCAAATGTTCTGAAACTTTGTATGGACATCCGTATCTCCATGTCCACCGAGCTGATTATCACAACGTTTTGATTGAAGAGTTTCGGCGACTAGGAGGCAGCGTCAAGACAAATTCCGAAGTGATTGGGATCGACTTTGTCAAACCGATGATTCAGATCCGAGGACAGCATGACGTATATGCCGATTTAGTTATTGGAGCTGACGGCGTCAAATCCACCACCCGCGAGTTGTTCCTAGGTCACTCTGATCCTCCTCGGTTCAGTGGTGACATGGCTTACCGCTGCGTTGTTCGCGAAGAAGATATCAGGCAACATCCCCACTTGGTAGGGTTTTTGGAATCGACTAGCATCAATTGCTGGGTTGGACCCGGGCAACATGTGATGATGTACAAGATGAGGGAGGGCGATTTACTGAACATTGTCATTGCCTGTACTGATATCTTGCCTGAGAGTACCAATATGGCATCTGCCGATGTACAAGAACTCAGCGACGCAGTGAAAGGATGGGATTCAAACCTGGCAGAACTCGTTGCTCTTGCGTCTAGAGGTACCAAAGGCCGTTTAATGAGAGTTGATGAGATGGAATCGTGGATTCACCCCTCGGGAAAATTCGCGTTGTTGGGAGATGCGTGCCATGCAACCATACCATACCTGTAAGTAATGCTCTTGTCTTCCCATTGCCCTTCGGAAGACTTCATCCGCACATGTACCTAACAACCATCCCTTCCATCTAGCGCTCAAGGTGCTGCTCAAGCCATCGAAGACGGAGCGGTCCTGGGCCATCTTTTTGAAGCGGTGACTCATCCTGATCAGCTATCGGACCTCCTAATCATGTACGAAGCGCTAAGGAAGCCGCGTACATCTAAAATCGTGAGAGAATCCACATGGAGCAGACGTATTCTTCATCTCCCTGATGGGCCTATTCAGATCGAGCGAGATCGTCAACTTTTGGAGGAAAAGCCTTTTGACGGTTTTGCCCATGCGTGGGCCGATCCAGTTTTGCAAGATTATTTGTTTAGCTATGATGCTCGTCTGGAAGTTCAAAAAGCTCTAGACAGATACAAATCTGGCAAGTTTCCTCTAACCACTGGTGCATGGAAATTGTGATTCGGCTAGGTTTGTAGAAAAGGTGCGCTCAGCCTTTACACATTATTTTATCCATGACCTGTTCGCATACGCCGTCCTTCCCCGTTTTGAGGAGCACCTCGATCGGACAAGATACAATTCCCGCATTGTAAAACCACAGGAATACAGTCAAAGAAGATCTATTTGATGGAATACTCAGAATTTCTTTCTCTTGCCTTGTCGCTAGAGGTCTCGATATTCTTCCTCAGCCAGCCCTCGCGTTCGTTTAACATTTCTTCTCCTTCGGTCATCGCTTCAATCTCTCCGAACCGCCGCCGGCCGAAGACGGTTCAAAACAAGAAAACTGATGTGTTGGCCATTTCTTCCGAATTCATCCCATGATGGAGTATCTATCCTCCACAGGCTTCTTCTCCTTCGCTGCCGGCATGTCTCCTACAGGCTTTCCAATGACCATCTGAGATAGGAGTTTCCAGTGAGATGGGATTTTGTTTGGCCAGACCTCCTTCACCCTATCGTCAATCAAGGGGTTGTAGTGCTGCACATTCGCCCCCAAACCCTCCGTTTCCAAGGCTGTCCAGATGAGTAATTGGTGCATGCCACTAGTCTGCTCACGCCAGCTTTCGAATTTGTCGGCATACATCTTGAACGCTTGAAGAGGCTCGTACGGTGTGGCATCCTCGAAGAAGAGGACCGTACCGTAAGACCCCTGGAAGGACGCAATTTTGGCTTCAGTTGCTTGAGCTTGTTCGCCTGATACGAAAGGTTTCACAGCGGTGCGGACAATGTCCCACAGTTTCCAGTGCTCATTCCCGAGCAGAACAATGATGCGGGTACTCTGGGTGTTGAAGGCTGATGGGGTGGCTAGCAGGACCTTTTGGATGAGTTCTTCGAGTCTTTTCTTTGAAATACTTGATTCATTGGAGAGCCGGTAGACAGAGCGTCGCTCCGCAACGGCTGAAATGAGGCTGTCTGCAGTGTTCGACGACATGATTGGGCATAGGATATGTGGACACCGACTGATGTCTCAAATAGTGAAAATCTCTTTTTTCCCAGCAAACTTTTCTGGTCGCCTGTGTGGATTTTTGTGGTAAGTTTACTTGATTCTCGCGGGATATATAGGAGCTATGAACACGTGACGACATATTGCCCTCCATTCATCAGTTCCACGTTTTCCTTTTTTCCCCATCATCGTTTTGAGTAAGGGCTGGTGGATGCCATCAACATTAGGGATCAACTACTTAATAATCGGGATGAAAAATACCGATGTCAGCCCTCGGTACTGGTAGGCAACCCTGAAGTATCGTCCCACACGATTGCCTCGAATTCGGAATTTTCCGATGAACATTCTGCAGAGATGGAGATGAGAACAGCTCTCCTGTCAAACATGACACCTAGCAAAGGATCACGAAAGATGAAACCACAGCTTGTTGACGCAAAACTCGTGCTCCTGAGCATGACATTATCAGGCCAATGGAATGTTTCCCGAGAGGAGTACCGCAAATTGATGGTGGAGTGGCCTGAGCTGGCCATATTGGCAACGTCCGCATATTGGACTTTAGTCGAAAGCTCCTGTGACAGTGAGCTAATAGTCTCGTCGCAGGTTTATTTTTCACCTTCGTGCTCACATTGTTGTCCTTTTACCGATCTGGAAATTCAAGATATGACTACGGGTGAATCAATTCTTCTTCCAAACCATACAATGAGTGCCGACATTTTAGAAGTTGATCACTTGATAGTCGGGGCAGGACCGGCTGGAGCATCTCTAGCCTGTTTTCTGGGGAAGCAGGGTAAGCACCTGAACGACACGGGTGAACCATTCTGGTGTCATATTGTAGATTCTCTAACCAGGAAGATGTCTTCGACAACAGGATTGAAGGGGTTAATCATCAGCTCCGCGCCATCTTCGGCGAACACTCCGCGAGCTCATATCATTAATCAGCCTGCAATGGGTGAGTTGACAGTCTGCCACACTTAAAGTTCCAGTTTTCTAAAATAGAGTCCTTGGGGATTGTCTAAGAATGTATCCGCGACCTGGACGCGGATCTCGAAAATGAGTTTATGAGACTCGGATACACTGGCCCCGAAAAAGGCCATACACGTTGGTGCAGCACCATGAAGGGGAGAGAGTTTGGCCGGATTCATTCATGGGGCAGTGGACCAAAACGAGGTGTATGTTTTCATCATGTCATTTTCCCTTCCATTGTACGCCGTGCACACCGTGTAAGGAAGAGAGCTGACTATTCAAATGCAATATTCAGGGAGATTTCGAACTTCACAGCCCGTGCTCGCACATTGAGCTTCCCCAGACATTCATGGAGCCGATCTTGCTCAGATACGCCACTCAACATGGTTTCCCGTGTCGATTTAGCACTCGTCTTGTCCGGTTTGACGACTCCGCACGAGACTCGGTGCTTGCAGAAATCGAAGACCGAATCTATGGAAGGACGCAGATGGTCAGGTCCAAGTATCTTTATGGAGCAGACGGTGCCAAAAGTATGGTTGTTCAGCAACTAGGCTTAGCCATGTCTATCAAACCTAGTCAAGGCGTCGCTCTGAATGTTTTACTACGGGCGGATCTTTCTGGCACGATGAAAACGCGAATTGGGAATTTGCACTACGTAATACAACCTGATATCGAGATGCCTGACTTTGCCGGATGGTCGATCGTGCGGATGGTGAAGCCGTGGTATGAGTGGCTCGTTATCATGATGTACAAACCGACGTGTCCAGCAGATTTCATGCCTGATAAGAAGCAGGTTGAAGAACAGGCCAAAGCTGTTATAGGAGATCCGACAATCCGCGTGGACATCCTTCGAATCGACAAGTGGATCATCAATGAGACCGTAGCAGAGTGCTACAGTAAGGGACGGGTGTAAGTGATATGCTCCCTTTTGGGCCTGTAAACAATTACTGAATTGGGCAGATTCTGTCTAGGAGACGCAGTTCACCGGCATCCTCCAATGAATGGACTTGGATCTAATACCTGCATCCAAGACGCTGCCAATCTGGCATGGAAAGTGGCGATGGTGGAGAAAGGTAAGCCTCACCTTCTCCATCACTAACCTTCGGTTGAGGATGTCCTGGACTCATTGATAGGACGTAGGACTGGCGGGAAAATCACTCCTGGACACCTACAGTATCGAACGGGCACCGGTAGGAGCTGGGGTTGTGCAACGGTAAGTTTCTGGCTCCCTTTCGGTTTTCTGAAAAAAGCTCGTAGCTAAAAGTGGAGCCGTTCAAGAGCGAATTCTTCTCTGAGGGAGCACATACCTATCTTTGAAGCTCTCGGATTTCTCAGCCCCTCCTTACAGGAACGAAAGCAGCAGCTGGCCATTCTGGACGAGGTATCTGAACGTGGCCAGACTCGACGGCGGCAACTCATCAACTCGATTGATTATACCTGTCACGAGTTTTTGGCGCAGGGATCCGACATGGGCCAGCGATACGAATCTTCTGCCATCATTGTCGAAGACGCGGGAGAGCCTCCAAAAGTGCCATCAGACCCGGTTCTATTTTATGAGCCCCATACGTATCCGGGAGTAAGGCTGCCACATGCCTGGTTGAACACGAGTATCCCGCAAACCCAGGTGTCCACATTGGATCTGAGTGGCAAAGGACGATTCACTCTTTTCACTGGCCATGGAGGAGAGGCCTGGCGGATGGCTGCTGCTCACGCCAAGGAAATTTTGGGCGTAGAGGTGGCCGTCCATGCTGTTGGATTCGGTCTGGAATATGAAGCCGTTTACAATGACTGGTATCACCTCCGGGAAGTCAACGAAGACGGCTGTGTTCTGGTCCGGCCGGACAACTTTGTGGCGTGGAGAAGTGTGGATATGGTCGACAATTGCTCGGCTACTTTGCAGGACGTGTTGAAGAAGATCCTGGGCATCTGAAAATATGGTTCTGGTCGAGGCTGGTGTGTTCATATAGTAAGCTTATTATGACTACGCCTGTCTGCGATATGCTACATTGTGAATAGCAGCCTGGTGTAGTCAACCTATGACGAGCGAATCGGATCCGCTTCGGACTGCCTGCTTGGGTTATACCTGAAGCCTTCCCCCCTTGCATAGTTTCCCCATCTCCCTTTGACTAAGCGCCCCTTGGGCCGCCCCCATCCCCCCGCACGGAGAAAATCCGCCCCCGGGCTATGATGCCTGGCGAGATACAATATTCCGCGCTACTGTAGCAACACGAAATGACAGATCTTTCCTGACTAATAGTGAATTTGTGATTTGTCTTTCGTCGTGGTCGAAATAGATTTGTGCATCATTTTGATCTTGCAAGGAGAATCTATCTTGAACATGCCTGCCGAACCCGTCTCCCAGCCAGGCAGAATTGCAAGGAACAGACAACAGACATCGGTTGCCAGACGGAAGAGGGATCGCTATACAACTCACGCATGTAATCGATGCAAAGCGGCCAAAGTTCGCTGCGATGGCCGACTCCCATGTGCCTACTGCGCCGCTCGTGATCCCACCACTTGTCACTATAGTGCGCAGCGTTTGCCCAGTTTTCTAGCAGAAGAGCGGCAGCAAGAGTATGGAAATCAATCCCAAGGCTAATGAGTCTGCCATAGCACGATGAGATTTTAACATCATGACAGAGACAATGACAGCCGCTTTCAGGCATCGGTGTTGACGTTACTTGAGCAGCAGAGCGAGAAGCTGGACCTCTTGACCGGGCAAACAGCCATGCTGGCCGCCGCACACAAGCTGCCGGTGCTACCACTTTTCAACGGGGGTACTTTCGAATCCGATACTAAACAGGCCTTGCCGCTATTTCTGAGTCCCACCAGCTCGCTCTTCTGCGTCAATGTAATCGATGCACGTGTGAGAAAGCTTGAGCATCCGGCCTCGGAAGTGCCAACGTTACGAATTGCGACTGCTCCGTCGCCAACTCCATCCTCGTTCTGGATCATTCAAGGGGAGATCATTGACGGCGAACTGAGCGACATGGCCCAGAGTGATCCTTCTGATGTTTCGGAATCATCGCCACAGATGCATCCACCGCCACAAAGCCCGTATTCGAGCTCAACACGTCCGCTAGAAGAACTAGACCGCAACCATATTATGCAAATTGTGGAATCCTATGGCTACCTGGAAGGAGTCATGTATCCCATTGTTGATACCGCCGAAATCATGCAGACGGCAAAGTGTTTCCTAGATGCCAGGGCCCGCGACTCCAATCGGACGGGAGTTGGTTTTCACCTGTCTGAACTCGGCCGGAATGATTTGGCCATCCTAAAGCTGGTGGTGGCAATTGGGCTTCTGACGGAGGGTGATATGCACAATACAATGACATTGAGACTGTTTCAAAGTGTCCAGCCCGATGTGGAATCGTTGGTCTGGGGTGCTGCTGTGGACCTGAAAGACTTGGTCCTGATGACATTAGTGGTAATGGCTCGTTCCTTTCCAGAATGCTCCATGATTAGCCAGGCTGACTGTCGCTTCCCCAGAGCCTCTACTCTCTGCATCGCGGGACATGGCGTTGGGGCTGGCGATTCCTGGGAAATGTTACTCGGACGATTCTGGAGTTGGGCCTAAATAGGGAGATTGTACTGGCCCGCTCCTTCCCCAATCCATCAACCCGTATCAGGGCAATAAATACCATCTGGACGGTTTACGTTCTCGAACGCCAACTCAGCTATGGACTGGGGGTTACAAATGCCGTTCAAGATCTACGTCTTGAGGCCACATTTCCTCAACCCGTACGCCTCAGCCCTACCTCCGTTCTATATGACAGCTCCAAGAAGTCTACTAACCGTGTGGATCCAGGTTGGGGCGCCGTTCTTGAAAGCAATGATAGAGTATGCACGCATAGGCAAGCAAGCCACCGATGACCTCCTGGGTGACAGAGATCCCGGCCACCAGCAGCTAAATAATTGGCAAGACAACTATGCGTTCTTCCAATATCAACTTGAACGGTGGACACAATACACATCCAGTGGCTTCGCACCCACCAGCATCAGCAATAAAGTCGGCACAGGTCTCCAATTCGTCCGAACAATTCTCTCTCTACGAGCTAACCATCTTCGGATTCTCGTGGCGCGGGCTTTTCTCTGCACAGGTCTCCGTACCGCCGCGCCATTGGACATATGGACGACATCCGTAGACGTAGCCGCCGACACAGTCCAAACATTGGCCAATCTGGACCACTTTACCAAGGAATACCGCTTCCACCAAGCCCAATTCAACCATTTTCTCGTCTCGGCTTTGGACATCTTGCTTTTTGCCACCACATGCGAATCGTCGAAACATGGAAATCCCTTAGCCAATGGGAAGGAAATCATCGTTACCGATGCAATTGGCCTCAAAGCTCGGCAGAGTTCCATGGTAGCATTGAATCTCCTTCGTAATCTGGCTGGGACTACCCATCACTCTAAGTATCTATGGGAGCGAATGCGAGAAGTTGCGGCTCGTCTCAATCTCAGCAACTATTTGTTCTCTTCGACGTCAGGCACAGGTTCTGCCGCAAGTGCCAAAGCAGGCTCCGAAATTCACCCACAAGCCACAACGGGCGGACTAATCAATCCAACAAATCCTGACGATGTTGGTATAACGATGAGTCAATCGAAGCATTCCAGCATCGGCCAACATGATATCAACGGCGAAAGACCGATGCTTTATATTCCAACAGATGACGTGGCTGCCTGGGATTTTGGCGGGCCTTTGTCACTCTCGGAATTCGAGCTTCCACCAGATACCAGCTCCCTTCTCGATACCCGATGGTTTCCCTAGTCTCAGTGGTGGGATTGAAAAAGGGTATCCACCGCCCACTTGCTCGAACATGTCGCCAGTTGATAACGGATCAATGGTGACTGAATCCAGAGCAATGTACACAAGAACGGAAATTTTACCAGGGCGGGGTTGTATGTCTGGTCGTTTGACTTCTCCTTGTTGTCCTCTGAAATTTACTCCTTTGGAGCAAATTGGCCTCATATCGTTTGCCTTCGAAACAAGATTTAATACCTATCCCTGCACTTCTCTGCTCTTGAATCTTATCAGCGGACTCTGGCGTTCAGCAGTCGAATCACCGAGTAAGTTGTACTCTATTCCTTCCGGATTATCTTTAAACTGATCTTCCGTTCTGCCAGTCACGGACTCGACCTTGCAAGGACCCGACATGTCTTGATTAGAGCCAGCTTTTTGCCAATACATTGTCTCGACTAATAAGAGAAGCGCGCCAGCATCTCGGTGCACCATTTCACAGCCTCTTCGCTCGTGTTTTCTAGTAATCACCTCTCGGGTGTGAATCGGTGAGGCGCGAAAAACACCTCTCTTTCTGATGATGGAGTACGTAGACGGGGATGGAAATTTCGACTCTCGTAGGGAACATTTGTAGGGCACACTTTTGGGCACTTCCCGCGGTAAGACTCCAGGGTAAGCTGAGACTGAGTCGTAACGTCTTGTTAACGACCGCGTTCAAGTACCGACAACTATCGAGAGCTCGACCGAGGCGAATGTTGTCGTATGATTGGAATGTACTCGTCAGATGAGCTAATACGTGTGAGTATTCATTGCCAGGTAGAAGAAATTCGCCACCAATTGAGTTGCTGTTGGATCGGAACATAGAAAGATATGCCGGGAAAAAACAATTCCTTTATGTTCTTTCCAATTCATGAATCAGGAAGGTGTAATACCTCCAATAATCAATGTCCTCGTTCAGAGAAACTTCCCCTAGGGTCATCGTACGCCGGACTCCCGCTCTTGTGCTGCGTATTGGCCATGTACCAGAAGAAATCCTTGCGGTTTTGGTCTGCTTTGTATACGCAGTCCTGACTGTTTGTTGGCGGTCACGAATCAATTCTGACCTTTGTGGACGGTAATTGGGAATAGGAGGCAGTCGGAACTCCATTGTGCATGAAAAGCTACAGCCAGACTAAATCCAACCCGCTTGTTAGCGCTGTGTTTTCCTTCGTTGACTCTGTCCCCTTTTTCATCATGTTGATTAATGGAGTTTTGCTCACCAGTAACTCACGATGCAACGCTGCATCAATGATGACCCGTATTCCAAACTCTTTCCCAAACACTAGATCTCCCATAACATCGAACGTTAGGTAGTTACCCCCAAACGACTAAGTCGGCGGTCCAGCATATACTTGCAGCATTACATTACTGCTTTTTCGAGGCGGCACGGAAGAACCCCTCGATGTGCGGGATCATGTCCCGTTTCACGGAGAGGTTGAATTCGGTGGATCCGGGGGCCACGATGAGGCATATCCACGCGTGAAGGTCGCGGTCTCGCGAATTGAAGAGGTTCTGGGGGACCATGTGGTCGACGGACGGTTGGTAGAAGATGGTTTTTCGTACGTTTTGGTTCACCTGCAAATACCCTAACGGTCCCGAGTTAGCAGCGGAGGGCGAACCATCAATGTGAAAGGGTGGACAGTGTACCTTTGGGACCCACAGGCCCTTAGGGATCGCCCAAAAAGACTAAGAATCCAGTCATTTCATGACAGAAACTTGGACCTCTTAGCTTATATACTTGTCAGAACCTGGTTCGTGACAGATGGATACAAGATTGGGAGCGATACCGACAATTTGGCCAGGAAGAAAATCGAAATGCTTCGACCCGCTTTTCTGTATTGAATTATGTCCATCCTGAATTTCCTTCCGCTGCATTCCCTTTCCATACGCACCATATCTTTGACGTACTCGACAAATCTGCAAGTGTCTATCTCCAATGAAGGCATGGTAGAGTGAGTACCAATTGGTAATTTTCGCCTAGAATGGGCCGGGATATTAAGCTAGCGGGTGGACGTATAGGCGGGAAATGACCAGAGCGAGCAGCTAGATTTTTGGAGATGCCATGTATCAGTAAATGATTTTTCTTTAACCGCAGCATTATACTTACATAGAAGGCGCCGACCTCTAAGGGCAGGAGAATCAAGAGTGGGAATTGGTACTTGTAAAGGACCTTGCCATTCTCTGCAAGAGCGTCAACAAGCGCAGATGTAAATGCCATGATTCCTGTCTTGCTAGGAAGATAGTATTCAACCTGTTCCTTGCCTTTTCTCTCATATCCTACTTTTCAAGCGGGAAAGGGAAGATGGAACCTAAGGCAATCTGCCAAGTATTCAGGCTCAATTTGAAAGATCTCAGGCGCTTATATATCGCAACAGAGTAATAGGAATAAACAGCTAGGATTCAAAGATCTCTCCTGGTTTTGTCTGACAATCCAGAACCAAACTAGATCTTTCCTCCAGGTAATATTGGCCTGCCGGGAACCTGAGTCTTAGCTACGATTAATGAATGTCACAAAGGAAAGAGATACGCAGAAGATGATCCATCTGAAGACATTGCGCTGGAAACGGGGACGGATAGGAGAGTCGAATTTCCGTTAAGAAACCGAGATGGAAGGAATTTCTCAGAGAGTATGTTCGGAACATTCCGAAACCCAGAAAGACTAGAACCCTTGTATGACGGGCATGCATCGGATATGAAACCGGGTTCGTGCATTGAATGCAGCTGAATTGTATAACGGCGGTCTGCGGACCCACTGTGCGCGTTCGGGACGAAATGCTGTGTTCACGGTGTAGGACGCCGGAACCAACTAGGTCGCTCTTGTGATAGCCAGTAAAGCCTTGGATCAAAATTTGCCGGAGAAGGAACACGTGAAAGTTGTCTTTTCGAAATACGTGTCAGTTTGGGAATTGTGAATGAGGACAGAGTATGGAATTGGAATGCAGGAAGCGAAAGGAAAGGCCCATGGTTACAAGGATGACAAGGACGCTGAAGACGTAGTCGTCGTTCTGAATGCCACAGACGCGGAAATCCAGATTTCTGATGATTTTGGGGGTGAGCAGATGTATGACTTCATCATGTTCGACGTGGGATAGGCGCCACTATATAGAACAGACACCGCTCCGAACTTCTTTCTCATTTTCAAGGTTAGCTATCCCAGCTCGGCTGTCGTCAGCGAGGGAATGGGCCGTGGTCAAGAACGGCTTCGAGAAGCAATGATGAGGCCAAGATGCCAATGATTGGCAAATGCAACCAAAAAGCTGAAAAATTGGTATGACTTGTGGAATCCCACGTGAAAGCTGCTCTTAAGGTACTCATTTTGTCTCGGCGGTTTTCTAGCGGAGCGGACATGCTTGGCGCGCCGGCAAGAGCTTCAGCGAGCTATTGAGCTCGGAGCTTCCAGATTCAATTGTGAACGTGGTACCTGGAATCCGGTAAGGCTTTGTCACGCAATGCTCTCTTCTCAAGAGCCTCGCCTGTGATTGGCACAAGAGTCCGCTGGTCGCTCTCCACACCTGTTGTCCTCAAATTGGCATTTCTCGGCATAGGCGGGGACAGGATCCCGGGTAGCCTCGTGGTGCTTCAAGATCAGCTGCCAAATGGCTACTTTTGGTCAGCATCTTTGCGGTGGGTGAAGTAGATGATGATCATGATAGCAAACATTTCGTAAAAGTTTGGCGGACTTGGACGATGGCGTGGCTTGGCTGCTGGTGTGAGTTTGTAGATAACCGAGAGACGAGCTTCGATGCACAGGAAGAGAGAGACGGTGGGAGTATAAAGGTCTGCTTCAGACTTAGTAAAGTGGAATGGGATGGTAGGGGACCTTGAGAACAAACTCCAGGGCCACAATTGGATTCGCCAACCTCAAAATGTATCCTCTTCTCAAGACTCTGATTTTTTCTGTAATATCTGGTGCAATCGCCGCTCCAACACTCCTCGGGGCTCGCCAGGAGACACCATTCACACAGAAATCCGCAGCCTGGAACGCCGGCGCTGTGACGGAGTACCCTATTCACTCTAGTTGCAACGCCACACAAGCCCATCAGATCGCCTTGGGGCTGGAAGAGGCGATCGAGCTGGCCGAACATGCAAAGGAACATGTATTGCGATGGGGAAATAGTTCTGAGATATACCGCCGTTATTTTGGCAACCGCCCGCCATACGAGGCCATCGGCAGCTATGAAATCATCGTGGGAGGAGATAAGGGCAATGTTCTTTTCCGCTGTGACAATCCCGATGGCAACTGCAGATTGAAAGGTAGGGCATCGGAAATCGTTACATCTGTGCATAAACTGACACCGTCACCAGATTATGGAGGTCACTGGCGAGGAGAAAATGGCACCGACGAAACTGTCATTTGTGACTTGAGTTATCAGACGCGTCGATCGCTCAACCAAATGTGTGCTCTGGGATATAACGTGGCTGAATATCCCACAAACACTTTCTGGGCCTCAGATTTGATGCATCGGCTGTATCACATGCCCGCCATTGGAGGCGGATACATTGAGCATTTCACCGAGGATTATGAAGGGGTCATTGAGTTGGCATCAGGAAATGGCACCGAGTCAACTCACGATAGCGACACCTTGCAGTACTTTGCTCTCGAGGCGTACGCCTACGACATTGCCGTGCCAGGCGTAGGATGTCCTGGCCCGCGAACACCGGGAGACTCTGTGCCCACGCAATCAGCGAGCACAACGTCGAGTGTCGGCGCCGGAGCGGCGGCAACGAGTTCGGGATCGCCAACGGTTTCACAGAGCCCGTCTTCCACGTCAGAACTTCCCGGAGTAAGTTGATGGTATTTGACTTCAATCGCGCATGCTGACGGAGGACAGAACTGCCACACGCATGAAGGAGGTGACGTTCATTGCACATGAAAAAGCCATGGATTAGCCCGCGTAGAGTAGTTAATAGGGACAGGAGCGCTTTCCAAAGTAGCATGCTCGTAGCGGAAAGGCATTTTCAAGCTTTCTCTCCCTCTTTCTTTTCCTTGGAAAATGAGTTTGCGGGTCCGTAACATGGATAAATCAATTGATTGATTGATGAGGGCCATTACTCGAATTAAAAGCAGCGAGGTATTTGTCCTGATCCTGTCTGGCCCACGCCAAGATTTGCTCAGTCTTCCAGAGTCTCTCGCACCCTTTTGACAGTGTGAGGCTGCAAGATAGACAAGAGCCCACATTGGCTTCAAAGTCCTTGTTGACTGCCAATTTGCGTCCATGCGTTCGAGAAGGCCCCATCAATTGTATTGAAAATGGTCTACCTGCCCCAATGGTCCACTTCATGGCACATTGTCCTTTGCTGACCCTTTGAGTAGTCACAATCATTACGCCCATACCTTCAATGCGTCCGTTCCTCCCTCACCGCTGCCCTCGCACTCTCAAATTTCGCTTCACAAGCATCAGAAAGACACAACGTGCCTGAAATAGAAGCCGCCAGCTCTCCGGAAGTCCTGTTAAATCCTCTGACCATTGCCCGTAATGAAAACGAGAAGGTCCTCATAGAACCCAGTGTCAACAGTGTGCGAGTCAGCATACGCATCAAGCAAGCAGATGAGATTGAGAATATTCTGGTTCACAAGTTCACTCGTTTCCTGACCCAGCGTGCCGAATCCTTCTTTGTTTTGAGACGGAAGCCTGTCAAGGTATGAATACGAGTACCTTTTTTCCAGAGCTGGATTTGACGGAGCTAGGGTTATGATATCTCCTTCCTCATCACCAACACTCACACGGAAGAGATGTTGAAGCATAAGCTGGTGGACTTCATCATTCAATTCATGGAAGAAGTGGACAAAGAAATCTCCGAGATGAAGCTATTCGTATGTCCTGCATGGACCTGGCAAGTTTCCTTCCAAAGACTGATCCAACATCCAGTTGAACGCCCGAGCTCGATTTGTTGCCGAATCATTCCTGACTCCGGTAAGCCTGAAGTGTTGCCGTGGATCATCGTGGCTGACATCAGGCAGTTCGATTAGGCTGGGGGGGGGGGGGGGGGTTTTTTTTTGGCACCAATTGCACAATTTCGTGTTGTGGAACCGCATTTTTATACCCACCATGATACCAGCATAAAGCCTTTTCGGCTTCATTCGGGCTTGATAAAAAGGCGGGCATTTGCGTGAAATCCAGAACCCCTGAGAGATGATGTGACCACGAAGAACGACGTCAAGGCATGCAGGATGCTCTCGGTAATCCAGCATGGGGATGAAGCATTGCGATGTACGATGAATCGATCATGCCAAAAAAGACAGGAGAGAAATATCATCATTGTCCTGATCCTGCTGCCCAAAAAATTCCACCTTTTGATCCAAGTTTATTCTTTGACACCAGGCCTAGGCTATGGCCCTTCCATGTCCATGACCAGGCTGCATGGCTTGAAAGTTCCATGAGGCACCGTTTCCTGTGCTGACTGCTCCAGAGCTTTTCATGAGGATGTCCCACTCTTTTCAACGTGCTGCTAGCGTATCTTCTTCCCGTTCATTGCTCATACGACTTCAACGTTGGATGGCGAGGGAAGCTTGCATGCACCCGATCTTTGACAACCGAATAAAAGGAATAGATAGGTCTGTCCTCAATGAACCTGGCAGATTCATCTCTGACTCTACAGGGCTGTGACTTGAACAGGCACCTTTGACATTCATCATGAGGCTCAATGCAGGTGTGAGGCTGCGTTTAACCTTGCTGTCACAGTTCAGGGAGTCCCCTCCTAGATTTCACACGGCTTCGAAAACCAACTTCCTCATTTGTCTCTCTGCAATCACCCGCCTGTTCTCACTTCCGGATCAAGGGCAACAAATATCGAGATACGTTCGCGTGCTGAACTGAATCGTCGTGTTGTTCGACTTTGTCTTAACTTCCCTCCTCACCTCGCCATCTTTTTCCACAACCTCAACCTCTACCCTTTAATTCCTCTACATGTGATCGTTGGCGTGATCCAGACAAGTCAGCATGGAGTGGAATCGGTACTCCTCTTCTCCCGCTGAGGAGCAGCATGTTGAAGAGTCTGAACTTTCAGGCCCAGGACCCGCTGTTCCGACTGTCGACGATCCTGCGCTTCCTACTCTCCGGTCGCAGTCAAACTCTCGTCCATCAGCGGATCTTCACGTCTTGCCTCCAACTTATCAAAACATTTCTGTCGCAGGACCTCAAATGGCTTTTCAACCTCAGGTTGCTCCCATCTACCAATTTCCTCAAATCCCCCTCATGCCCGGCACGATGCCAACGCAGCAAGCTGGTTGGATTCCACCGTCTCCGGGGCCTGTATACTTCACCGATCATACGTCGTTCTTTTCGAATCAAAGCTTTGGTCCCGTCCCTCCGATCACTTCTGTCAGTCCTGTCACTTCTACTGCGGCCATGGAGTCAGGTGTGCCTTTTGATCCGAATTCTCCACCGCCATTCATCGACAGAACACCTCTCTATCCACCAAGACCTCACGGTGTGATCAAGATCCAGAACGTAAGTCTTCCCTGGTCGAAACCTACCTGCAGGTCTGCTTTGTTTACCACCCGGCAGTGTCCTCACGTTTTCGTGACATCAACCGGTACGCTATCACAAGAGGATCTAGGAAATCTGATAGATCCGTTAGGTCTACAAAAACAGATCGGTACCCTTCCCAAATGCTGTTGTGTCCGAGCCTGCCTGATATCGAATCTGGCTTTGTTTTCATTGTCATAAGGGAAATGAAGCTAATCATGTCACGTTCTCGCTCTAGATCCCCTATGGCCTCACTATGGCGGAAGTTCAACAATTCATCGGCAAATATGTCCACCATGACGACTTGATCAGAGTACATGTTGATGGCTTCCCCGTCCATATCATCATGGAACGTTCGACGGGCAAGACCATGGACTGCTACATCGAAATCGTTTCTCCAGAGGTCGCAGCGGAAGCCCACGAACGTAGTTTTGGCCTTACACGTTGCCATTATCCCAAGCTAGGGCAGAGACACGTCAACGTGGAACTCAGCAACCAAGCAGAATTGATGAGAGATTTGTTCCCACGGGCCCGCAGCGTTATCTGGGTGAATGAAAAGAACGGAGCGCCGAAATATGTCGAGACAACTGATCCGTACTCGTCGGGCTTCAATGGCTTCTTGACCAGAGAAGAGTTGAATGGCGTCATCAGACATGCCGAGTATCCACAACGTGTAAGTCGTCTCCATAACGCAACTTCAACTGTGATTGACATGTACAACCTGCAGTCTCCCTTTGCCATGCGCAGCTATCAGCGTACATTTGAATGCACCATCAGTACGTTGTACAAGGTAAGAAATAGCCTGGACACATGATAAAGAGGAGGCATATTCTAACACTCACCCAGTACCCATGGTATGCGCGAGAATTGTATGGAATGAGACACCAAGCATTCGTCTTCGCTGTCTATCTTCGCCAGCTAGAAATTCTCCTTGGCAAAGCCGACCCCAACGCTCACACTCCCCGTGAAGTCGGCTTGGACAACAAATTGTTGATGGACTTCTTTTTCTCCGGCATGAATTGTTGCGGTTTCTCCGAGCGTCAGAAAGCTACCATAGCTGAACTTGCCATCAAAGTCAGTCAGGGCTGCCCACTTCGCATCCACGCGAGGCACTGGCCATTTCAAACTCTCGCTCCTCATCCCTTCACCTTGTCGGATCAAGATGTTGGCATGTGGCTCGATATTTTGAATCGTGGCATGATCGTCATCGAGATGGAGGGGCGTGATTGGATTGGCGTCGAACCTCATCTGCTGGTTGCCAGAGACAACAATGGTTACGTTGAATTCATCTGTACCGAAGAAGGCATGGACCTGACTCGCGAGGATTTCTCTTCCTTGGAAGTCGGCTTCATGAACGAGATGATGCATTATGGCTGGTCAACCTATCTTCGAGATCTCGGTGTGGATCCGACATCGGTTCTTCCAGGACTACCAAAGCGACCTGAGAAGAAGCCGGACCTCGAAATGACTCTGCGAACGCTTCCGCCTGTTTCTGGTCCTGAGGTGGTGCGCGGTCAACAATCCACCACCGTCAAGCAACATCAGTCCGCTTGCACCGCTGATCTCGCTGGAACTCACGTTGCAGATGATCAAGGATCCGATGCTTCTCCTATCCACGGAGGCGACGATGATGGTCGACTTTCAGACACCACAGTCAACCCAGCCGACGATGGCCCAGAGGTAAATGCGCCTGAAGGCTCTGGTTCCAGCGAACATCGAGGAAATCAACCTACCACTCTTGCACGCAATAGTCCTCTTGAGGCGTATTTGAAAGTCCTCCGGCTGACGCGCGACGCCGACCAAGCAGAACGAGAAGCTGAAGATAGACAAGCTCCAGACCGAGGACGTGGAGCAGGGTTGACATTGAGTGTTCCATCTCAATCACGCGCTCTTCAACGTCATCGTACCGTCGCCGGCTCGCCTTTTAGAGTTGAGTCTCTTGCGTCGGCACCGCAACGTCTGAGCACGCGCACTGCCAGTGACTCCGCATTGAGCACTTCTCCCTCCATGGCCGATTACATTAGTCAACATGCGGGCTTGGGCAATGGTGTCATTAGTTCCCCCACAATCAACACATTTCGCAACGCGGCTCCATCCAGCAACCCTGGTATTGCATCCTACTCTGACCAAGTCCCTCGTCGCGAGCATCGTCTAGTTACCATTCGCACTCTTGAAGGGGCTTCGCTGCAATTTTCATCACGAGCACGTTCTTCCACCACCGCTAGAACTGCAGATACGGAGGAGTCTCGCCCTAGTGCGGCTTACGCTGCAGCTGCTATAGCAGTGTCCTTGATGAATGCCCCGACTACACCACATCGCTCGGCAACTAATAGTCCTGTGGTCATGCCTGCCGTTGGGAGACCTAGTCCCAGCCATACCCGCGACTTTGGAATGAGTTCTCCGCTGACATTTGGCACCGGCGTTGGAAACAGTGCTTCTTCATCCACCCCCGCTTCCCCGGCTCCAGCTCGCGGCACGAGCAGAGGTATAGGCGTCACTCTGCCTCCAGGCTTTGGTTCCCCGCTTGCCAACGACGGCACTGCTGCAGGCAGACGCGGACTCGAAGATTCCGGGTTTGGCAGCCACCCAAGCAGTCCAAATATTTCCCGTCGACAACGCTCTCACGCTCGTCCTGCTTTCAATATCAACGACACTATTAATGAAGAAATCGAGGACGACTATGGCGACTTCATGTCCGGCCCCGGTGCCCAGACTCGTTCTCCAAGGGGATACGATTCCTGAACGAATCATCATACCAAAACAAACAAGTCTGACTATTTTTCAGGACTCAATTTTCCTTGGGTCTCATCGTCTTTTCTTGGTGTGAAATCTTGGATGATTGGCTTGGACCACCAGCAGGTGAAATACAGGACGAGTTTCTGACGGGAGATGAGACGTGAGATGGTCGGTATTGGATCACCGCTGGTGATGATTCTCAATAGTTGTGAAAGTATGGTAGTGGAATAATGAAAGTTGACATGATAAAGTGGTGAATGCTGTTTGCTTCATGTAAAGGAGAGGCAAAGAGCGTACATGAGAGGCATAACACAGCGAAGTAGAAGATCATAGCACACAGCATAGGATATCTCCCAAAAAGACCATGGATCAGACAGAATCAGCCAGGGAGCTTGAATGAAACTAACTACTCGAATGAATATTTATCCAAAAAAAAGCCGAGTCATTGTTGCATGCTGTAACATGCATAATGCCTATTGTGAGACTAGGCCTCTTGCGCCATATTTTTCTCTACCATGACGAATTACCTTCTACAAGTCAGAAAAATAAGAAAAAAAAAAAAAAAGGAAGGGTGGGGAAGCTGTTACTCTCAGCCTTACGCTACCGCCCTCTCTGTCTCGGCCTCGTGACTGGTCAAAGCCTTGCTTCATCACATCCATCACATTGCTGCCTTAGAACATTCCCCAGGAGAACACATTTCTGCCTGAAGCACAAGAGGCGAATAAAATAGGCGTTTCGACACACCACGGTCGACACCACGGCTCTACAGGCCCTCTCAGCCCCTTCGAAGCCTTAAATTGCCATGCGCTGGTTCACCAATGCCAGTGCTGGAGGGTATCTTCCCGGTTTTTGCCCTGCATATCATGTCAAAACGTGTCAATTGCAGTTCACGTCAAGTCCCGTCCCGTGGCCCCCATATGCGGCGGGATGAACGATGTCGTGCATAACGGCAACGGTCGTTCTCAGCCTCCGTCCGTAGGATGCCTAGGGCGGTTCAAGTTTGGGGCGAGTTTTCTTCTTTCCACATGACCACATATCTCCGAAACCGGGACGATCTCCAAACGTTGACTTTGAGGATATAATTGGTGGGAACGATCTAACGGCTGACAACGGGGGTTCTGTCGTTGACTGTATCATCCTGCCATGATTGGACCGTCGTTGACGTCAAAAGCAACTGGCGTAGCGGAAAAATCCCCCAAATCACCATGCAAAGAAATGGCACAAACCCAAAGGACAAGGAATAACATGGCTGGCAAGAACACAACAAGTATGTGTCAAAAGTCAAAAGCCATAGACATTTCAAGTTCGACTATCAGAAAAAGGCTCAATGATTCCTCCCGGTTTGTTGATACCAATGCTTATCCATCTCTCCTTTCCCAACTACCGACGAACAGAACCATTCTCCCATGTATGTAACACCATTGATCAATCTGTTTGTTGCGTCTGAATTGACCAAACATTTTGTTGCCAAACGGTCATTGCGATCCTTTTTGGGACATTGGTATACACTGGAATAATTGGTCGGTTTCGTGTGTTTGTTTCCACCCTCTTGCCATGAACTCCTCATCTCACGCATCTGACCAGCGGTTTTTGTTCCGTCCCTTCAATCCTTTTGCCCATTTTTGATCTTGCCGGGAGGAGAAAAGAAAATCTCTCTGCCATCAAATTTGGAAGAAAAGAACTAAAAACTGATACAAAACCGCCGGCAAAGCTCGAGAGAAGAGGTCAAAAGGAACTATGAATACATGAAGACTTTCAAAGCGGTTGATGTAGTTTGCGCAAAAAAGGAAAAAAAAAAAAAAATTTGGATGATAGCCCTCCCAAAGTACAGTCGAACAGCAAAGAGCAAATAAAAGCAGAGAGCCACCCAGGTACATTTCGTTCCAGCATTCGCGAGGAAAAGAAATGGGCTCTGATAGCCGAGGGACACCACGAAACAACGTCGTGATAATGGTTGCGGGAGAGAGTTGATCAAACAGCCACCCAGTTGTTAAGTTCTTTGACTTTTAGCCTCCCATCCAATTCGCTGGCGAATTTCCAGTAAAGACCGATCTTGTGATAAAAAATGAAATGTTGGGTTGCCCCGAGGTGTATATATCTTTTTGGGGGGGGGGGGGGGGAAAAAAGTGCAATTAATAGTCGGCGCCGTTGATGAGTACAGTACCCCCAAGAGCTAGCTCCTCAGGTTACACACCGCCCGCGTGCATGATTTTGTTGTCTTGGGGTGGGCCGAAGGCTTTAAGGCGGGCCTTAACGGCGAACCCAACGGGCTAGTTATTTCTTGCCGTCAAGTTTGCTCAACATTTCGTTGTCGTTTCTCCCTCGTAGTTCTGGGACGCCGGTAGTCGGATTACCAAGCATTTCATGTACTTTCATGCCACTTCTGCCATTAGCAGATGACGCGGCAGAATTCGGATGATTTGGAGGTGGAGTTCTTCCATCATCGGGACCCTGGCCATGAAGGGGTGAGTTGAAGCTTTGTGCTGATTGTGGTGTCAATCCCGATGGAGGTGACACATTGCCCTTTTGGGATTGATTGCCGTTTGGATAGCGTGGTTGCTGAGGATAAGACTGATAGCTCATGGTCGAGGTTGCAGGCGAGGTAGGTGCCCCGCTATTAGGATCAGCGTAATCGTAGCTGCCGCTACTATTGGCACGCGACTCATATGTACTATGACGAGGACGAGAGTTCGGGTGGGGAGACTGGGATTCATGAGAATTCTCGTTGTGGGGGTCATCATCAGGAGGGGGACGCTTAAGACTGACACGTTCATCATGTTGGGCAGGCTGAGCCTGTCCTTGTGCGTCATACGGTGACCCAGCTGGAGGGTACGTTGGCATACCAGCCTGATATGGAGGATAAGACTGAGGAGGAGGATAGCTATGGGCCGGAGGTGGGGGCGGATAGTTATATTGAGGTTGTCCGTGTGGTCCGGGGGGTCCTAGGGGCTGTCCGTGCGCACCGTAGAGCATTGGTTGTTCGTGTCCATTTTGACCGGTGCGACTGTCAGATTGACCAGCGATGGGAGCCCTGGCACCAGGTCCGTAGACGGCGTTGGCTGGAACAAAGGCCGCTTGCGACGAGACGGGATGAAACAGACATTGTTGGTTGAACCGGACACAATTCTGACAGCGGCCATCTGGAGAACTGTCATAACCCGAGCATCGAATCTATGGAAAGCTTGTCAGTCTTCGACACGTCGCTTCCTCGAGAATATTCGGCACACCTTTCTCTTTCGACAATACTTGCAGGCTATGGCTGTTCGCTGTCTCGGTGCCGCCGCCGGTGGAGGAGGCGCATAGTGTTGAGGAGGGTAATATCCGTGAGCGGGAGGATATGGTGGGGGAAGGCGATAGGCATCTGGCTGCATTGGTTGAGGAGGTTGACCGAGATCCGGTCTCGAGGGATAGGCATATCCTGGATGTTGAGGATCCTGAGAATGTCAGCTGGGTTGTTGAATTTTTCACAATCACTCGGGTGACGAGAACTTACAGGATAGGGCTGAGGAGGAGGATAAGCACTATGCTGACCTGGCCAACCTTGCGGAGGAGGATATGGATGCGTCGCTCTGGCGTCTGGATATTGGCCTTGACGGGATGGATCTGGAGGGGGATACGCATTCCTGTCGTCTCTCGCCGAGGCCCTTTGAGGAGATTGTTGAGAGTAATAACCACCACCCTGGTTCGGATCATCCGGAGAAGGATATTGAGGACGTTGAGCTTCCCTAGGATCGGCCATTTGCGCCATGTCCCACGATCGCGATTTGTGAGTGATACAGGTTCAGAAGACCGGTCACAACGCGGCCGGGAAAGGACCGAGGCTAACGAAAACGGGCAAGGTAAAGGCCGTCGAGGCGATAGATGAGGCAACCAGACGCAGTCGAAAGTGGTTGTCTTTTGGCTCTCAGAGCGGTGGAATCAGAAGGATAATTGGGACCCTCAGAACCAGCTCAAGGTCGAAAGATGAGAACGCAGTCGCAAACCACTGCGCAGTGAGGGAAAAACGAAGGCCAAAAGATGAGTCCTGCAAGGGTGTGAAGATATATACTGGGCGAAGGTTATTATTTGCTGCTTAGAAAGTTCTTCCCCAAAAAATTTCCCCCCTTTGTGGATGAGAGTACGAGGTCGGGCCGTGGTAAACGGATCAGGTGTTCGCAGCGGGACAGGAGGGACGGGTTGGTGAGAAGGCGTCAAGGCGATGGGGAAAAAGTCGTGAGAAGGTGAGAATCGAGGTGAGAGTGGGTAGGTCGGTGAGGGAAGTGACGAGCTGAAGGATGACGATGATGGGAGAGTGACCGTTGTCGAGGGATGATTGGAGATGTGACAAAGAGGATGTACTTGCACTGCTTGGTGCTGTGGCGTGGCGAGCCGGTTATAGGCTGACAAGCGCTGCAGGCACAGGCGAAGGACTCGAGGGAACTAGGCTACAGGCGGGGGGCGGGAGCAGCAGCCAAAAACTAAGTACTTCGAGTAGCACTCGTTGCGTTCTTTTCTGGAAAGCCTAAAGGGTTCCGGCGAGTCGGGACGGAGGGCGGTAGTGCGGCCTGCAAGCAGGGATTATCAGGTGCCAGGTTGCCAGATGGCCAGGTGGATTCGATAACCAGCCAGACTAGGGGGGTGGAAAATGTGACTCGTCCTCGTTGTCTGTGCTTCGTACTGGTTAGCCTGCTGCCACTAATGGCCGCACTGGGCACAAATGATCTTTCAAAGCCGTGTCCGGGCTTTGCCTGGGAGCCTAGAGTAATCCAGGAAGGGCTTCCACACTGCTTCGATTTTGTGGTGGCAGCCCGCTCCCCCCTTGTTGGTGGTACCTCTTGTACGTACTGAATAACTCAAGGATATAGGCTGGCGACAAAGTAGGTGAACTTCTTCCCTTCCCTGATTTTCCGTGGGCGTCTCTTGTCAACCTGCAGGCAGTGTATAGCGTGGGTGCTTTTTCTGGGATCACCTCTCCGTATTTTTTTGATTTATTTCACGGATATTGGCGCCGAATGTGGAATGAATTTCGAAGGGGTGATGGGATCCTTTTCTTTTTTTTTTTTTTTTTTTTTTTTGCTTTTGTTCCTTTGTCTCGATCGTCGTTTTCCTTTGATGATAGATAACTGCCGATCGGTGACTATAGATCAATAGCGATAATAATTTGAATCTGTCACTGAAAATATGGATTTCAGCCGGGCTTTGTGACGCTTCAGTTCGCTCCCAAGTCCGCACAGCTCGCCTCTAGCTTCGTATTTCGTCTTTGCTCGGATACTGGAATGGGAAAAATTGGAGGTTATGCGCAAATAATGGACCGCCGAGAATTCTGAAACCTGAAAGAATTAAACTGGTCAATGGACTCGATGGGTACGGTGGCCCTCGAGAAAGTCGTCAACCAGCGAACATGCAGGATCCACTCCGGGAGAAGGCGAGCGTAGCAAGGACTTAGATGTGAGATGCAGGCGACCAAGATGGAATTTAGGGCTCCCTAGACTCTCTTTGGAAAATTGAGTGGGAGCCAAGCGAGGGGAAAACACCAGTCAGCGTGTCCAGAATCAGATATGGAGCGAGTCGTCTCTTCTTTCCGTCAACGTGCTAGATGCGTCAATGTCCCTCCCACTGAAACCGTGTGGATGGTGACGACCTCTAGGTTCGTGCCCCTTGGGGCGATAAGCCTGTCCTGTCCTGTTCTCTTGTCTTCCAGGCTGGCAAAGGTTCAGTACTTGGTCCTGGTCTGGGCTGGATTTAGGGTTTTTCGCTGGTTCGAAAAGAGTAAGCCAGCGGCGTGTGATCCCCGGGATGCCAGTAGGTTTTGCCGCAGCCAGCCGCGATTAATAATGAAATGGCCACAACGTTTATAAACTAGTCTCAGAATCGATGAGGAGGGGATCCGAAGCTGCAATAAAATGTTCGATTCGACCGCTTTATTGGATCGCATGGACTTTTTCGATGACCCGCGGCGGGTGGCAAGTGAGGGAACATCCAGAGACCTGAGTCTAATTGTGTCTTATTGTCAGTGCGGCAAGGTGACGATAGTGGGATGTGAAATTGTGGTGGGTGGTTTTGGTGAGACACAGGCGGGCGCAGATCCGGAAAAAATGGCTATTTGAATGCAGGCAGGAAGAGTGCGGGAGAGAGAAAAGGGTATTTGCGGAGCGCTGTGTGATGAGTTGCTCGGTACTGTGTCAAGGCCGGTTGTAATGCTCGGGTATTGGTATTGCCTTCGTCGGAGGTTCACCGCGGACAGAAGGATGGAGCCCAAAAAGCCTGATGAGCTTTGGAAAAAGAGGGGGGTGTGATATTAAATCTATTTGTATTTATTCTCTCCCTGTAAACCAAAAGAAATTCGGATCTTTCGGGCGGCCCTCTCTCGCCTTTATGTTTTGGGAGGGACGGTCCAGTCCCCCTTGTCTCCCTTGCCATTGCAGAGATCCCAACTTGTGAGGTTGGCATGCTCTGGGGTCCAACCTTGCCAGACCAGCAGAACGCTCACTCGTGGGTTGGATATTTGGGCAGAAAACTAGTTTAATAGACAGGCAAACAGTCTTTTTCACGATACTTTTGCGTGATCGAGCGGCCCTCAACAAGTATCCTGCCCGCATCCTGCAGCGTGTAGCGTGCAGCAATGCAATGCAGACCCACCACTGGCCAGCGGTGGCCGTACCCGCCCGTGGATTGCGCCCTGGATGCACAAATACACCTGGTCCACCCCCTCGCAGCTCGGCATCCCTCCCCCGCCCTAAGGACAGGGAATGTTCCAATTCTCTCAAACTCTCTACTTTCGTATCCACTAGTACGATACAAGCTTGATACGTTTGGTTGACATCTTGCCTCCGAAGGTCAGACAGAGACGACCCAGGGAGTAATTTGCAGCGCCATCATCCTGGGTCACCAGAATATCGCCTATCCCCTCCGTCGGGGAGCCGTCCATCAATAACTTGCTTAACACCGTCGATCCCTCAACCTTCGCCTCCCCGATCAAGACTTTGGAGACAGAATCGGTCAAAAAGAAATCGATGGACTTTGGCACCAGTCGTGACAAATCTCCGCCAGGGTCGGCAGACACACTTTGAATACCTGGTTCCCTGTATGGAGGAAGGGGTGGTGGAATTCTCGCGCTGCATTGTGTAGTGCAACATCCAGCCGGCCAGCATCAACGCTTCTTGTGGTTGGAAACTTCTTGCCTGTGTCACCATCACCGCCACCCAACTGCCTCGGGCGGGCTGCCTCGTTGTCACCTCTCTGGCCTGTTTGCTACTTTTTCGACCATGACGCGGGACACGAAAAGTCGCAATTGTACCTGTCCTAGTGGGGAATTGATACTGAGGGCGTCAGAACCAAGACCAGTTTCCACTGCACAGCCCCTTTTGCCCTGCTCTATAATAAAGATTTTGAAACAATACAGTTAAACGGGGATTGACTAAAGGTCCATCGAGAAAGCGGTGTGCATGGCATCGACCAGCATCGTAGCATGCCATAATTTACCGTGGAAATGCCAACTTGTTATTTTCAAGCATCGCAAGGCGAGACAAAGAGGAAAAAAAAAAAAAGATCCCTATCTCCAGTTCGCCAGCTACAAGGAACGTTGCATCCTGTCACTTGACCATCAAGCAGCTGTGCCTACCTGCATGATGCATAGAGATGGCCGCCTTGGTTGCGTAGACTCGTCGGTCCACAATCCAATTGCTCGCCTGCCCATCCAGATCCGGCTTCATTAACTTACTGTAGTGCTTGTTGGAGAAGCCTTTCTGTCATTGCCGATGCAACTTTGCAGGACCGTATTGCCGATCAAGTGAAGACAGCATATACATTCTGGTCGATGTTCTCAGGCATACGTATCTGCGATTCGATGGCCAATTCATGCCAAACCGGTCGAGACTTGCTGCATGGGCTTGCGGGTCCGTGACTTAATGGATGAGCTTACTTTCTGCATTGAACGAAGCAATGAAGTAAGGCTCGGGGGATGCGTGCATGAGTCCGTCACCAGTAGCCGCTGCAGACCTAAGGCGTGAGGTGATGTTGCATCAACTGTTGGGTCCCTTAGCCCTCCCCAAAATGCCGTTCGATGTCGTGGAGGATCCAGGCGTTTGGCGAGGGCCAACTGCCGATGGCCAATTGGTCGCAGAGAGGGCCGGTGGGCCTCTCCGCCCATGGGAGAAATAGGGAAGGTAAAGCAAGGCGAGAGAGGGTCGGCTCTAGCCGCCACGCCCGCTCTCCTTGTCACACATACCATACCGTAGTTGAATGCTCACTCCTCGTCACAGCAAACTCTCATCGATCCCTTTCGGGTTGTTGCCATCCATCACCAACTGCCCAAGCATCCAAGGATAACCAGGCTGATCATGCATGCAGGGTAGGCACCCAGTTAGTCTCAGTCCACCATCACCTACCATGTCTGCCGTCAAAATTATGATTTCTCCGAGACAGATCGAGATGGCATCTGACAAACGGCCAGGTACCTACCAAGAAGTTCAGCGACTCCTGCTAGACTACCAACTAGCATGTCTCAAGAAATGCAGACGAACTTGCTAACGGAGCTCAACAGAACCATTTTTAGGTGTCGAGCAGAGCGGTCTGGAGAGTTTCTTTTTCCCGTCATTCTAACCTGAACTTGACAACCGACCAGACTGTTCCAGGAGGACTTAACCCGATGCTGACGTGGGCACACCGTGTTTCGCAACCACTGACACCACGTTACCAAGTGGGAAATGATGACAAAACCCTGCGATGCGGCAGGCGATACCCCTCTCGATTTTGACGGGATGGATACCTTTTCGACTCCCTTGAGTCCCCCCGCACGGCATTAGTTAGAAAAGGAGGAATGAAGACAAGTTTAAGTCCACTTATTTAACCAGGTAAGTCGATCTGCCAGGGTCATCTCGAGGAACCCCCCAAATCCGCACGAGCGCTGGAGTGGGTGGCACCACTTCGGGCACTCCCACCGTGCAACCGGCATGTTGGAAGCGAATGAGCTCTCTCCGTCGACGCACATCTATGCAGTGCGAAGGAGAGCGGTCAGAGTAACAGAGCAATCGGATCGCGTTTGTTGCGGGCCGACGCCGACGCCTCGATTGCTTGCAGGGCATCAACCAGTCCAACCTGATGATATCTCATGTATGTGCCCGCCTGACCTGGAGTTTCGGAATGCTCTGCCATGATCGCCCACCGTAAATGCTCGCCAGAGCCCAACCTTGCTTGTTTGTCCACTCGTCCAGCTCTTTCTTGTTCACTACACGTTCACGGACTTTCGGCCGAAGGAGAGATCTTGACCACCATTTCTTTTAGGCTCAAGGTAAGGCGTGCTCGAGGCACTTGACGTCAATAGAAGGAATCGATCAGTGCAAGAAATGAATTTTTGCATCGGTGGCAGTCCTCTCGTTTGGCGCTGAACTTCGGTGCCTGGTGAGGGAGTACCCGTGGGCTGGCCCAGGATTTTCGCCTGTGTCGTTGGGCTTTCGTCACTGGTACCGTTTTGTTCGGTTTCCGTCCTGTCATGACAGAGCGATAAAACCTGGGCAGATAAATCACATGACTTGACTTTCATGCCGGTGTTTCTACGGCTCGTCCCATGATTGCAGCAGCCCAATGATAACGAGTGAATCAGGTGGAAAGAAAAGATGGGGCTCGCACTTATCACTTGGATTGGTCCACTCACTGACCGCCTCAGAAGATGAAATTGAGTGAAACAAAGTAGAGCCAACCGCCCTTTTCATACCCGACTTGATAACTCAGTGGGACTCGAATTTTAGCTGCAAAGGGAAAAATAAAAAAAAAAAGAAATACCCCCCCGGGTTTCGGGATCTGCCTGATCAAGAAACGAGAGTTGTTCGGGGATTGCCAATGGCGAAAACTATGACTGAGTCCAAGTTTGGAGGTAAAAATGGACTGAAAGCCCAACACAAGTGCAACCATCCCCACCACAGAAAACTTCTAACCTCTAAGTTAAAGCGACTACTGCTGGCCGACGGGCGCCCCTACCACACCTCCGTCCTGTCCGTGTCTGTCGCGCTCATGGTCACGCACAGGGCTACTACCTGTCAAAAATGTCACTGCTTGAACTGACAGTCAAACCCTGATATGCGATGCGATGCGATGCAATGCAATACAAATATAGGATGATGGCAACCTGCGTCGTCATCAACGAAGGCGCTGGGCCAAATGCACTGTCCACTACGATTTTTGCACTAACTGGAAAGAAAGGGAACTCCACTGTCACGACAAAACCATATGGTGGAGTGGACCTCCGGGCGGGGGGGTTCAGGATTCAACATTGCCAATATACTTCCCAAGCACGAGCCGCTTTGTGGTCAGGTAAAGCCCTGGATCAGATACTTCTTCCTCGATCAAGCAGATTGAACCTCTTTGACTTCCTGTGGCAGGCTTCGCATCACCGCCTTCCATTCAGTCTATTGCTATATGGCCTCCATCATGGGTTTCATCGTCGCTGGATTCGTCCTCGTCAGGCATCACGACACTATTGAGATATGTGACCTATTGATGGATGGATGATAAGCAGAGATCCTATGCCTCTTTTGGTGCAGAGCAACGTTCAGAGTTTTCCCCCCCCCCCCATCATCCTTCCATTTCCTCTCAGCCGCCTGGACCATGGCGGGCCGTCTCACCGCCGTACCAAGTCGTTGACGAGCTGGATCTGGATTGAGAAGATGGGGCAAAGGCGAACACAGGAAGCCGCTAAACGGCACATCTGGCCAGTCCCCGTGCGAATCACACCATGGCTCCTTGTGATGATAGATGGAGTCCCGCAGGTTCTGGGAGGGGGAAGACGAATTGGAAGCAAAAGGTGGACTCACAAATGGTACCATCGTGCCAATCAAGTCCAGGATAATCTGCAGCCCTTGCTCGCCTATGATTATTTCGTCAGGTATTCTCTTGCCGAGGGTGAAATTGCGCAAGCGAAGCAGTTCGATATTGGGATTGTCGGCTTCGTAACCCTATCACAGACAATAAGTCAGCCGATCTAGATCGTTCCCCGATAGGCTGAGATGCCTTAAATCCAGACAATACCGATCGAACCAGTTGGATGCTTTGGAAAAATGATGAGAATGTTGGTGATGAAAGCTGTGCGCACAGTTCTGCCCGCGGCAGAGGAGGGACGACCCGAGACAATAGCTCGAAGAGGGGCAAATGGCCAACGGCGAGTCTGCCCGCTCCTAATCGTCCGCAGTCTGCCAGATCGTAGTCTTGTCGCCTTTGATCAGTGAACGGTGATGCACAGGCAATCTGATTCCATGTGCAGATGCTGCCCTCGCTTCTGACTCGACGGCTCTGGTGCCGTGAAGTCAGTCAGAGGTGAGCTTTCTGGCCGTTCTCGAACGTGTGTTCGAGATTCAGCCGTGGGTTGACTCCGGCTGCAACCCGACGAATCTATCTGTTCTTACTCCTTCAAACAATGCAGCAGCCGTGAAAATAACGATCTCACTTATGGTGCGCAAGTAAGCGAGGCTTTTCATTTCCACGGGGTTTACCAGAGAAGTACTTGACGCGGGAGCTAGGTACACTGCTACCCTGGGGAACAGGGGTTGGCACAGATCTCGACGAGCCATCGTTTCCGCGATTCAACGAATTACAAACGCGTGATTGTGTTTAGAGAAGAGATACACACGTACCTTGGGCTTAGTTTTCAAGGCATATTCGGAATTCTGTGCAGCAAACGCTTTGATGGCCTTCTTCTCGTCGTTCGAAGTGACACCCAATATCTGTTTTCGCAGCTGAGGCTCTATTAGAACACGCCTTAACTTCCTCGGTTTTCGGTCGATGTTCGTCCTCAAGAGAGCCAACGGTTGGGCTTCAGGCATCCACAGTCCAGAACCTTGATGCGCAAGATATTAGCAGGTTGTGGAAGCACAAAAACAACGACGTCTATCTCTCACCGACGAGACTTTTGCCTCCGGGTTGAATCTGAACATAATAACACGCATAGGGTCCCTTTCGTCCGGTACGAGACCTTTGTGAAATCAGCAAAGAACCATCTGCGTGCAAAGAGGTGGACATTCCATACCATGCCGCAGAGAAATGAGGCTAGACAGGCGCGTTAGTGATGAAGAATAAAATATGAACCGAGCCTGAAGAGAAAAACAAACCTTGTACGGCGTAGGATCAGGAGAAAATCTAATGTCTCGATAGATTCGAAAGACCTGAAGATTCCAAAGATCAGTAGAGATCGAGAACCTGGCTGCGCGGGACGCTCACCAGGTCTTTGGGCGGCAATTCAGGGATTGTTTCGTCAAGCTCAGAGATTCTTTCAGTCAGTGTTTCCACAAAGCTCTCCCAATCTTTCCAGGATTGCCGATAATCTGGGTCGTGCACTATATAGATTATTCGTCAGTATCTCGTCAGGCGGCAAGATCAGAAACAAAAGGGGCGAACTCACTCTTAAGCCATTCTCGATCGTTATTTTCATTGAGATCCTTCAAGAACGCCATAGTATTGGGATGAATCTTTTCCGGAACATACTTGATACCCCCATCACCGCGTGGCTTGGGCTTCTCAATGAAAACCTGTTTACCGGGTCCCAATCCCGTCTTCACACCTGGTCTCCAGAGTTCCTTGTCCTTCCCCACCAGAGTTACAACGACAGACTTGGACCCGGCCGTCTTCTTGTCAAACTTTCTTTTCTTCCTATCCGCATCGGAGTCGTAGTCGTCTTCTTCCTCATCTGTGGTGACGGCCGGCTGGTCTTCCGTCCCGGATGCATCTTCATCCTCGTACCCGGAATCATCATCACCATCAACGTCGTCATCTGGATCGTCTGCATCTTCAGAATCTGGTTCCTCGAAATACTTGCTCTTGGTAGGCGTCGCTCCGGAGCTTTTGGCTTTCTCTGCAGACTCCTTCAATCTCTTCGACACCCGACTTCCTGGCGTTGTGGTAGCCGGAGTCTCAGATAGCTGGCGCTTATGCACCCTTGCAGATGCCGGAGTGGCTTTGGTTCCACCTGATCTTCGAGCTGGCATGATTTGTTCAACAGATCTCCAACGAATGATTTCCAAACGATACACAACAAACGACACAATAAACTCTTGAAATCAGATCAGCTATCCAATGAGGATTGGTACGGATTCTTACACAGCAGTTTCTCTCGGTTCAGCCTAGCTAGTCAGCTCCTGAACGTCGTCAATGGCAGTACTGAGAGCTAGGCAACGAAATAGTCGGTTCAGGTCGCCGTTGAAGCTTAATGCTGCCGACATTGCCTGGAAAGATAAGTTGAAATTGGAATTGAAACGCGCGCTCCGGGTTCCTCGGCTCGGGCGGTGAGTGGACGTGAGACATCTCGATGTGACGTCACGCAAGCTCTCACCATTGTCATTGCCACCCATCATCGATGCATCGTCAGTTTCGATCTCTTCCGCATCTCGAGTATGCTCCGTAAGTCAATAGGCTTCAGCGTTGATATCTATTTTGAATGCTATGTTCCTTGGGCACTTCTCACTCTTTAGGAACCATTTGATACATCAGCTCTTCGAAATCAAACAACCGGTATCTTCGCACGCCAGACATTCCCGGCTTTCGGACTGAACGCTGAACCTGAGCTTTTGATGTCAAATTGACTGTATGATTGACGTCGATGGATTAAGAAGGTCTAGGAGTGTTGATCTGTCCCCTTTTGGCAATTTGGCAACTCTCTGCGCACTTTTGGCCCTGATGAAGGGAAATTCTTGGTGTCCTACGGGGCCCCGGCTCCCGCCTACAGCTCTCGTATTCAAGTACACCAGTTCTAACGATCTCCCTTACGATGTCGGAGAGCAGAGAAGGGTTCCTGTCATAGCAGTTCCTACGAACTATGTTATCCGGTGCCTATTATAGCCTCCCCCTAAATCAGGAACAATCCACCTTGACTTCCGGTGGCACCCATACAAGCTCTTTTTGTATCGGTGCCATACGCGTAAATCCCAAACTCTAACGATCAACGTTCGTCGCAAGGCTGACCATATCCTGGTGAATACCAGCAGATGCAACCGGGCCTGATTCAGAACATGAATCTACTCCAACTAGGGAGAAACCGTCAGGCTCCCGCCATTGGTGACCACATAAATTATTTAAGCTACAACATCTTGAGCTCTTCTTCCCGCCCTTTGCTCACTCCTCTCCTGTCAATACTTTTCACTCATTCATTAAGGCTCCAAACAATTATCTTCGGTGACAATGGAAGTCGCCGACCTTCTGTATGTCTCCGTGAGCCTGGAAACATTTCAAATGTCTCCGACCAAATCAATCGACCACCCTGTTCAGAGGTCTTTTTGGGGGATCGCTTTTCATGGCATTCAATTTATATAGCTCGAGGGTCGGCATCGTTCTTCTTGCTGTTGTGTTTATTTCCCAGTCTCTCCTATAGTCTTATAAGTATTTTGATTCTTTGGGCATATATTTGATTAAGTTAGGCGCATGATGGCTGACAGCTCCCACCCGCACCACGATCACGACCATGCCCATCATGCTCCCGAACACCATCACGGTGCTCTTCAAAATGACGAGGCCTTTACAGAAGCTAATCGCACACTCTGGAAGTATGTATATCCATGTTTCCCCCTCCTTCCCGCCTCACAAATCGACTGATCAAGGGCATTCGCTTCAGTCGATTCGCCGCTAATTACACGTCCGAGCAATGGCAAAAGGATCTCGTCAACAAAGTCACCGCCTTTATCCAAACGCATATCAACTGGATCGGCGTCAACTTCATCGACCCCACCACAACCTTTGAAACCTCTTCACCCGCGAATGTTAAAGGAGCAGTGCGCGTGCTCGACTACGCCTGCGGCCCTGGCACCGTGACACGTGCCCTCGGCAGCCGCGCGACAGAGTACGTCGGCATGGACCTGAGCGAGAACATGGTGCAGGCATATAACCTGCGCTTCAACCCAGCAGCGGCCACTTCCTCAACCGGCGAAGAGAGAGAGGACGAAACCCTCAACGCTCACGCCGTCGTCGGCAACCTGATCGCCGAGCAAGAACCTCCAGCCTCACTCTCGACAGAAGAGTACCGCAACTTCGACCTTGTCGTCGTAGGCCTGGGTTTCCACCATTTCGCGAATATCCCACTCGCCACACAACGGCTGGTCGACCGCCTTCGTCCCGGTGGGATCTTCATGATCATCGACTTTGTCACGCATCCTGCCGAGCCGGACGTGGCGAAGCACCCTTCTGCCCACACCGTGGCGCACAATGGGTTCAGCGAGAAGGAAATGAAGCGCATCTTCGAAGGAGCCGGATTGGTGGATTTCGGACACGTTGCGATGGGCGAGGAGGTCACGCTGAGGGGCACGATGAAGAGGGAACCCTTCATCGCAAGAGGACGGAAGGAATGATTGTTGCTGGATGTCGTGAAACTATCGCGAATGAACCAAGTTGTTGCTGCAGCGCTCCTGATGCTTGTTTAGTCGATTTCCAAGGCCGCGAGCCCTCCGTCGAGATCGTCCGTTTTCCGCTCATGGGCTCCAGTTGACACATTGCCGGTAGTGTTGGTCGTGGCGTTTCCCTCTTTCCGCTGTCTCCCCCGCCCTTTCTCTCTTTTCGTCCTCCGTCGTTCATCCTTGTCCTCCCATCCACTCTGCATAACATTTTCTTCTACACTCCCTAGTCCTGAACCCCACCCTTCCCGCCCCATCGCCCTCTTCAACTCCATTCTAAACCTCTCCCTTCTCTCGCCATTCCATTGAAACCGCTCATTGATCACTCCAACGCACAAAGTCAGATACTCTTCACTGACGATTCTTTGCATCATCTCCACGCGCCCATTCTCGTGTCCCTCCGCGCCGGAATCTGAGATCACCACGCCCACAACAGTTTCAAATCCTAACCCGGCAGTCCTCACCGCGACCATGACGCCGTGCTCGGGGTCATCCATGACTCGAAGACCCTGGATACCACTCTCCCGAAATCCGGCGTTGATGGCGGCAGCGAGTAAAGGCCGGGCATGTTGTAGAGTTGCACAGTGAATGTGAAGAATGAGAGGAGAAAACGATAGACGGATCACGCGTAGTGAGCCCGAGGGCGGCGATATTTGGGATGTCTCTTTGGGCGGGGAGAGGCTGAATAGCTTCGTGAAATAATCATGGTCATGCTGATTTTGGTTCTTCATCTCTCCACTCACACCATCGTCCATGATTGAAGCATTGATCTCTGCAGTGACCGGCGGTGGCGGCGGTGGCGGGAAAGAGATAGGATCGTGAGCAACAAAGAGCCATCGTCCACCGCCCTTTCCGCCTGGCGACGTAGTCTTTGCTGGTGGGTTGGTCGTAGCCTCATTCCCATTCCTTGCCAGCTCTCCATGTTGCCTTCCGGTTTCAGAAATCGCGCCAGCCCCGCCGAGCTCGTCCTCCCGCTCAACTTTATCCGTCCCGACACCTACAGTCCTTTTCGGACCCTCGACGAACACCGCAACTCTTCCCGCACAACTACTCGTCGTCACGAGCCCATCATACGCATTGATCTCGTCAAGCAGATTGCGGATCTGCGCGTCGACTATGCCTTTGGGTGAGTGGTCCGCGTAAGACTCCTCGGGTCGGGTCAGCTGAGCGAGGATCTGGGCCTTTTTGGCTATGAATGAGGGGGGGATTGTTGGCTTCTGGGCTGCCGGATCAGATCGTGGCATTTCATATGTGGATCGTAATTGGCATGAAAGTCGAGAGATGGGAATGCAGCACCGCGCCGTATTGAATTTTCGAATGAATGGAGTGGTTGAGCTTCGACTTTACTGAAAGACGGTGGTATTCCGAGAGTTCTCATATCTGATTCGCTGGATGGCTCCACGCTATAGCACCTAGACATCCATCCCATCTTTCTACAGAGTATCGGTCTATCTCTCTACTCAGATCGAGTCCGATGCCTCCTAGTGCTGAAGCTTTGCTGTTGAGTCTGTATGCTGGCACGAGGGTCGAAGTTTGAAGGTAGACCCTTGCCGTGAGTCTTTCTCTCGTCGATTTCAAAGGGGATATATGAGAGGTCGTGTTTGATGCAGTATTCCTCCAACTTCAATTCTCGACAGGCGAAGAGAACATCGGCTTCACGAGCTGTAGGCAGATCCGACGCACCATCGCTGATGTAGATGATCACTGAAGTGGTTCCATTGCCGCTCTCTAGTTGAAACATGGTCCGGTAGAGTTCATCAGAGGCCTCACAAAACGTTCGTTCTCCAGATTCCATTTGCTTTGCAAGAATTGCTCTTCGCTCCGGCCCACAGCCGAAATTATCGAATAAGGTGTCGGCCTGTGTCCTGCATGAAAATGGTACTATCGAAGCCTAGATTACCCGTTATCAAAAGTGGTTATTTGAACGTTTTTAAATGTACTAGAGAACTGGATGAATTTTCTGTGCCTCTATTGATAGTTTTGCACATTTAAAGGCAGGACGAGCTTTCTTCGGCTCGACCGGTGGGGGTTTTGATAGCAATAGTGGTCACGGTCAGTCTATAGTCAGTGCAATCGTCTCAAAAGAATCTTAAGGAATGAATGTTGAAGGAAAAGACCACGGAGCTGTCAGGGTATGTATACAACGAAGAAGCATTAGAAGAGAATAGCCGCCGGAGGGGGCGAGGCATGCATTATGGTAGGATTGCGGTGGATGAAGGATTCTGGCCTGTAGCTTTGGGGAGGATGGGGCGGATGGAGGCTCTGGACAAGTCGTAACAAGGTGACCACCAGAATCTTGGTAACCTCCGCAAGGCCGAGGCGAATGCGTGATTTGAATTGACAATGGCTGGCCAGATATCTTGTGGATACTTTTAGAAGCTCGATAACAACTGATAGTGAGTGGCGAAGTAGTAGAAAGATATATGGTGTGTCGTGTGCCCAGTGATCCTATCTTAAGAGCGGGAGGATGTAGAAAAATGCACATGCTTGGCCTCAAGATGTCGTAGGCGCCCCTGAAACAGGGCATTTTGTCATATATGATGTTGTAGCATTGAGCCATTGCACGGAAATAGACAGCGTGGGAGCAGACCAGTAGTCTGGCTGGAGAATATGGAGGTCATCCTAGGGATCCGTATGGAGGAGTGTGCCAGAGCCATCGAAACTTATTCTTCAGGGGAATGACACCAGAGATACCAAGGCCAGAGATTCATGACAAGTGCGAGAGAGAACAGAGTGCAGAAAAAGGTCCAAGCGGAAGCGGGATAGAAGGAAATAGGAGGAAGTCAGATTCCCATCAGAATTTGGGAAAAGCTTGCTGGTCCTTGAATTCTCCCAGGATTGAGCTCCTGTCTGCGTGCCTGTGCCTGTGTCTGATGTGAGATGTTATTGTTGCATTTCAATACCACCATCACAACAATAATGACGCAAAGATTGCTGGCAGCCGATCTGTAAACAATCTCTTTCAAACTCCGGTCTTTACGTCTTGCTAATCACAGCCTCTCCTTCCTCGATTGAATGTTGCCGTCAATGCAAATCAACTTGCCTGACAATGTAATCTCTTCCTCTCAAGCCAAATGCTGCGACTCACCGATTACCACACTCTCGTTAAGAGCACCGCTACCCAAAAGAAAAGATGATTGAACGAAGACTTCTCATGCTCGAATCCTATTTCTCCGAAAATTCCCACAAACCAATGTGGCGCCTCATAAATCCTCCCAGCCCACCTTTTCATGACAACATCAATGATTTCGCTTTGGTCAGACCTGCTTATTGCAGGCCAGGAGTGGTTAATGAAGTGTCCTAGACCGTAGCTCTCACATCTGAATCAGATCAATGATACTGGTTTCTGCTGGTTGAGAAATACGGGCTTTGAGCAAAGAGATTCATCGGTGTCATTAGCAAAGATCCGGAGGAAAGGTCATCAAGACAAAAGGAGGAAATTGCAGGCGAGCAATCATCGAGAAAGTCTCGACCGCAGGACGCATCTGTGCGTACTGTAGAATGCTTTGCCATCAAAAGAAGGAATGCTCCCCAGATCGATATTCTGCGGCTGATCTAAGTGAGAGAAATCCTCCCCCTCCTCACCCATTTCGACGACGTTCGATGAGCTCGGCCAATCTCTCCAACAATGCCCAACGAAAGCACAAACTCCTGCTTATGCAGGCTCGAATTGAAATAGTCAATCTATAGAGCCATTCTCGCGCGCTTCGGGGCTCAGGAACTGATATATTACGCTCTTAGAGGATTGAATTTGGAGTCGTCTTGGTCTCGTCGGAAAGATATCCCATGATTGTGATTCTCGTGCTGTTCACAGAGAAATTGAGTGTTAATGTCCGGATTTATTGTATGTGCAAAAGAGTGTGTCCTAGTGACCAGGAATCAGCCGAGTTCCTGCGCCGGCTTCGCATCTCCGATAGTAATAGCATGCTGTCGTTCACTTTGTCTTTCGTACTCGAGTAACGAAGACTTATTTATCAGAGACGGGAACTGGATACTGTATAAATCTGCTGACCACGAATGACGATACGATGCCGGAACAACCCCCGCATCGTACAGTTTTCTCCTCGGCAGAGAGGGTTGGTTCGGTTAGCTGCGGTGTTGGTCCTTTCGACCTCGAATTTTTATTGTTACGCTCTCTGCAATTCCTGCTGAGCTGAATATTCCAAGTCTCATTTTCCTACCACCATGATGTCCTCCTTTATCCCAAGGCTTGTCCGGCCAACCACGCGTCTCGCTCTCTCCGCTCGTGTCTCGAAAAGAGCAATCCGAGCTGCTTCCACATCCAAACATCCCCACGGCTTCACTCCTCCGACGACCGAAGACCTCAACGAACTACGTGAACGAGTCCAAGAATTCACTCGAAGAGAAATCTCAGAAGAAGTCGCAGCACAGACCGACGCGTCCAATGACTTTCCCCGTGAGATGTGGAAGAAGTTGGGCGACGCAGGATTTCTCGGTCCGACCGCCGATGAAGAATACGGAGGACTAGGCATGGGGTACCAGGCACACTGCGTCATCAATGAAGAAATCAGTCGAGCTTCTGGCTCAATTGGCTTGTCCTACGCCGCTCACTCTCAGCTGTGCGTCAATCAACTTAGCCTCAACGGAACAAAAGAGCAAAAGCAGCGAGTCCTGCCCGGTCTGATATCGGGCGATAAAATCGGCGCCCTCGCCATGTCCGAGCACTCTGCAGGGAGTGATGTTGTGAGCATGAAGACGACAGCGAAAGCCGTGGACGGCGGGCACACATTGAACGGCACGAAGATGTGGATTACCAACGGGCCCGAGGCAGATTATATCGTCGTCTATGCAAAGACGGAGCCCGAGAAGAAGAGTAAAGGCATCACGGCGTTTATCGTCGAGAAGACATTCACTGGGTTCTCGGTGGCGAGGAAACTGGATAAACTTGGCATGCGCGGTTCAAATACCGGCGAGCTTGTCTTCGACAATGTCTTTGTGCCCAAGGAGAATGTCCTCGGAGACGTCAACAAGGGCGTGACGGTGCTGATGGAAGGCTTGGACTTGGAGCGTCTAGTGCTCAGCGCGGGTCCGTTAGGAATCATGCAAGCTTGCCTCGATCTCGTGCTGCCGTACACGCATCAGCGGAAGCAGTTCGACATGCCCATTGCGCACAATCAACTGGTGCAGGGAAAACTCGCAGACATGTACACGAAACTCCAGGCCGCGAGGGCTTATACCTACACAACGGCGAAGAAGGTCGATGAGGAAGGTCAAATTCGCACCCAGGACTGTGCAGGCGCCATTTTGTATGCCGCTGAAAGAGCCACGGAGTGCGGCCTCGATGCTATCCAGTTGATGGGTGGTAATGGCTACGTCAACGACATTCCAGCCGGAAGATTGTTGAGGGATGCGAAACTATACGAGATTGGTGCGGGAACGAGCGAGATCAGAAGAATGGTCATTGGAAGGGCGTTTAACAAGGAGTATAAAGATCAAGGCATTTAAGCGTGAAAATTTTGGTGTGAAGATTTCTCCCTTTGAAGTTTGGCCATATCCAAAGTGGTCCTGGACCTAGCCAAAAGCAAGACGACTCTGGCCTTTCTCGGGTTTCGCCCCCGGTCCCCGACTACTAATGCCTCCACGCTTTGGTTTGGTGGTCGACCGACCAGGGGGACGACTGTTTGACGGACCTTGCATCGCAGGTGTGTCTTGGGCCTGGAGGTCTTTGGCGAAATGCCAATCCTCGTGCTCGGCTCTGTCGGACTCATGAATCGACTGTTGACATGCCTGGCAGAAATACGGGGCGATGCCCTGTCGGTGCAGTCGAGGAGAATGGCCAGCTTGAGCGGCTTCCTTGTTCTCAGGGTCATCCTGGTCATCGTGTTCTTCTACGATGTCGGCTGCCGATTCACCCTCGACATCCCCTGGACTCTCGCCCCTAGAGAAGAATCGGGTAATGCTAGAGGCTTCATTGAGTTTCCGTCGCTTCTCCGGTCGAGTCTCATCCGGATTGGGTGTCGCTATATTACCTCGAGGTGGAACATCCATGGCTGCTCTGGCTTCCTCGCCTTTCAAGAGGAACGTGTCGATTCCCTTATTCCCAGAAATACCATCTTCGAACCCACCTACACTCAACGAGAGGTTCGCACACGGCCAAGCCCTGCCGTCAACAACGACCTGTCCCAAAAGTGTCTTTGCAAGGCCGAACAGAATCGCCTCGTCCATCTTCTTGCCTTGTGGAATTGGCAGTTGTTTCGATTTAGTCTGTCCACCCTGACGATGATAAAGAGTGATGGTCTTGGGCCGTCTCTTGTTCTCCAGCACGCCTTCTTCTACCAGACGCGCATAGATATCTGCCACGAAAATACGTAACCATTTGTTTGCCTGTTCGGTCGTGCTGATACTCGGTCGGAAGGACTTGGCTGACAACATGGATTTAATCTGCGTGCGTGAGCTGACTTCACTATGATCCTCCCCGCGAAGGATTTCGTAGAGCCACATCCCCGTATCTGCGCCCAGCTTAGCCTTCATCTGTTCCAGCGGAATGCTCAGCAGCTCCCTGACTTCCTCGGTGCCGAACGTGTCTACGACGTGATCTCCGAGCTTGCCACCCAGATTGCGGATCTTGGTGAATTTGAAGCCGGAGAGAAAGTGCTGCACTGCCCGATTCCGCACAATGGTCTGCTGATTCGGTTTCTTGTACCCGGCCCCGAGCTTGGCCATCATTTTGTTGCGCGCAATGCCCGCTGAGCAGGTATATTTCAACCGTTCGTGGATTGTGGCGCGTACGCCTCGAACGACCTCGGCGCCGATGTTCATTGCCACATCGTCCCAATCTGGGTCGTCATCCTCGGTCTCCGCCGAGTCCAAATCTACCAGGGCATCCGCTTGCCAGTCCAGCGCGGCGGAAGGCGGCAAGGGCAGATGTTCCGTCGGATCGTCGTACGGCGCATGTGCGAGCTCCGGGTACCTATCGAGGAGGATCTGATGGATCTGTGCAGACAAGTCGAGGAACACCTCGTCGATACTGGCCTTTTCGACCTTCTGGGTTGGGGGCGGCGGGAGGATCTCCTTGACCAGCGCCAAGCCCTTTCTTGACTCCAGCCGGTACGGGTCCAGCGAGACTTTATCTGTCTGGATATGGTTGGCCGCGTCGTCGCGGTAGGCCCATTTGTCGTCGCCCTCGCGCCAAGTCGCCACGTGTTGGATTACGATCTTCGGACATTTGGTCTTTGCTTCGTTGACCGTCACATGTCGGTTCAGCCCGAATTCCCTGGCTGGATAGTTAATGGCGATGATCCCTTGCCATTGTTGTACGGCGAGGGGTTGGTTCTCTGCTACGCCCAACCTGACCATCTCACATTGCGCGTAGAAAGCATCGTAGTCAATCAGCGCGATCACTCGCAGAGGGCATGTCGTCGAGGATTGACTCAGCAGATGGAGATGTTTGTATGTGAAGCGCGATTTCTTCCTGAAGCCACCTTCAATGGGCGATGAGGGGATGAATGGCTGCGAAGGAGACATTGAGAAGAAGGGCGATTCGTATTAGTCGGCAGAACACTAGGCTGCTCTCTCTCAAGTGATCAAGCCTCTCACGGCATGCTGAATAGAGTCGACGGAGACAGTCATTCTGGTGATACTACCTCGCAGAATGAAACTAAGCCCACGTCTTGAGGGCAACTCCAAGATGAAGTCGCAGAGTGAAGGAGCAAAAGTAGATCTCGACCGGCAGAGTTGAGAAGGCACGCAACAACCTGTTATCTAATCAGATGTATCACGTGTACTCACCTGTCAGCACCCATCTCTCTTCTCACCAACTCCCCATTCTGCTGCAACCTTTCAGACTCGACTCCAGCCATCATTCCTTGCACGGACTTGAGAGTAAAACGATCACTGAAACGAGCGAGATTCAAGACTCGGACTCTCAGGCAGCCCAATAAGGCGTGCCACGGAGTAAATGTTGACAGACAGGAGAACTGGGTCCGATATTGCATATATCGAGATCAAAATGGACCGTTTAAACCCAACAATGTTTATATCAGTTCTCTCTGTCTAGGCAAGCATATACCTTGGTGAATCATGTCACACGTGGTGAGCAGATGACATCAAGTTGGGAAAATCAATGAAGAATCAAGAGAGAGGTCAGCGAGGTGTTTGTATGCCTGGGACCTCGCACTCTGGTCCTAATCCTGTTAGCAGCTTCGGCCTAGAATGGGTCGGTTCCTGAGGGAAACACAAATGGGGATCAGGATGGCATTCTCTTGTCTGTGGAAAAGAGGAGGCAACGGTGTAAAGTCTTTCAAGGGGGACGTGAATGTCGGACACTCCGTGGCCAGAAACTTCCTTTCAAATGGGAGACGGTTTGAATATTGTTTCGGCAAGTATTCGCCTTCCCAAAGATTGCTCGATCCTAGTCCAACTCAGTCCAACTAGCTCTAGCCATACATTGCACATTGTTCTTGATCACAAGGTGGACTTAACGTCAGGCGCATCGTACCCCAGGAAGAGCTGGAACCCATCCAAAGGAACACAATGATAAATCACACATAACCAGGGTTGCAATTACGCAGGGTTTCTATGGTTTCTGCAAGCCCTTTGACATCCTTGGTCTTTGACGCCAGAAAGGAGATTTTGCCCAGGAATCCATGTAGGAGGGTTGATCCTTCGCAAGGAACGACGAGGAATGGTCGTAAGTTTTTCTTTACCCGTGGGAGAGCGGATAAGCGGATGCCGCAGGGAAAGTGGAGGAGTAGTCCAGATCAGATCAGATCAGACCGATTGAATCGGTCGAACGACAAATTTTTGGCATCGATTTCGTCTCTGCCCGTGGCTGCGCACAGTAACAGCCCAAAAATGACTCAGTCTCATTTCCCGCAGACCATGTTCACTCCCGAAGATGAAGCCTCAAATGGTGGTGATATCCACACGCGGTAGAGATCGAAGAACGGCGTTCACGCTCTCGAAGCTGGCTTGAGCTTCCTGAGGGCTTTGGTTGACTTGGGGCCTCTTCTCGGCAATCTCGACGTAGCCAATGCGCTCGTAAAATGGTGTGCCAACCTTCGCTTGCAGAGCAAGGCTAATGCGGCGATGATTCTTTGCGTCATTGTCATAACTCAGAGGAAACGAAATTATCGCTATAGGCACAAGATGGAACTCCGACTCCCAGGGGATGTTGTATGGTCCTGTCAAATCGTAGTCATAGTCCGGACAATATCGGTCAGCATCGATCGCATTGACCTCGCCCGTAATTTGCAGCCACCGACTTCTGGTCCACTGCCTTGCCCATGTTGCCTTTACGAGAGGTGCACGAAGGGTGATTGTTGCTTCCATGGAAATGTTGCCCATTTCTGGGGGTCCTTTGGTATCACAACAGACTTGTAGCAATTTGACTGTCTCGAGAACAGAATCTAGCCTTAGATCCCAATTGACGGGAACTTCGACAGATGCCCAAGACCAAGTAGGAGCCCGCCATTTTGCAAGCCTTCTAAATTTCGGCCTGGATGGGGCCTTCCACAAGAGGTCGAACAGTAACGTATTATTCCAGAGGCCTGCTAAAAACATGTCGTCCGGCCTCAACTTGTGCATCCGCTGAGTCAAAGCCGCTAGCGCTGGCAATGTATCACTTGGATATGAAATATGCAAACGTGTGTATTCTTCAACAGTCCGATACCACAATGTTCTCGCATCTTGGTCTGGCTTCCACGAAGGATCCCAACCGCGAAGATCGGTCGAAAACTCGAAATCGTTTGTAGGCTCATCGTCACTAATTCCACTTTCGCTCTTTCTTGTGCACCGGCATGCCCAGAAGTGAAGCACCCGACTAGACAAATGCATCTCTTGATAGACCCATGCCCTGTCTAGGAGGGGAAAGTTCCCTAGGTCTACCGTTGGCCCATAGACTGGATGGCTTGGAGGTTTCAGACGGACATAATATCACTCCCAGGAACGGGAGAGCCAAGGTGTCGCGTATCAGTGGTAGTATAGCATCCCTCAGAGCCTTCTTTGGACTTTGTGGCAGCAATTGTGAGCAGCGCATTCTCATTAATGGACCCTACCTCAGCCGTATTTTGACTCCAGTCATCAATGCTGTCTTGAAGGATACACAGAGAATCAATCCATAGAAAGTCAATCCCCAGCCTGCGACATATATCTATGGCGTCTTGAAATGTCTTGGTAAGTTCTTCCCATGGTACTTCAATCTTGAATTTTTCTAAAGTTGTCCTTTTTGTCTTGAGAATGGTGCTCTCAGGACTTCGCGGGGAAGGGCCCCAACAGTGGCTTAGGCACGCGTATGGATGTCTTTTGCCAGCATTTTCCCGAAGCACAACATGACCGTTCTTGACCTCGAGCAGGCGCCTTGGTAACGGCGTATCGGGGTTTTCTGGCCAGTCTTACAAGCGTGGCGCAGAGTTCCTCTCAAAAGCCAGGAATTACTCACAGGGAAGAGAGAAAATATCGGGATAAAGGACTTGGTCTGCTTCTGCTCCGTCCAGTGTCAGTTCAAACCAGAAACCCCATGTACCTGCCAACGACCCGCCACGAGAGAGAATGCTAGAATCATAGCATGCGATGCAACGAGCCAGAAGAGAGCACCGATGGCAAGCAAGCTCTGCAGCACGTACGAGATCACTGAGATTGCAATCCAAATCACATCCGCTATCAGGACCCTTTGGCCAGTAGCAGCAGGAGCATTTGTCTAATGTTCCTTCAGTGAGGACAGGTCTAGATATGAGCATCGGCATCTAGGAGTCTGGGCCGTCGTCCAGCGCCAATAACGTCTTCAACACCGCCTCGTACCCGTATGTCACTGCCCACGACAGTGGTATTCGACTGTCATCGAAATCGGATAAGACCAACCAAACAACCAAATATAAACAATACCGAACAGTCAAGGGCAGCAAGTCCAAGACGCACGATGCGGACCTTTAAGCTCTTGTGTTTGATCTTGCTAATTGATATCAAGATGAAAGGAAGGATGGTATCAAGGTCGATGCGGTACTGTTTGTCGTATCACACTCAGGACCTCAAGTGGAGAATGAAAAATGTGGTTCGGGCTGTGTACGAAGAGAGATTCGCATTTTCGACGGAGGAGAAAGCAAGATTGTATCAGTAGTGGGTCAATTTAAAAGTGTGATCTGGGTAGGTTGCATGTGAGCTCGTGGTAGATTTTATGTAACAAAAGGACCGAGGCTGAATTCGAACCAATTTGTAGGGCCTTCTTGAATGATACAGTAAGTTAGTTATCCCTTGGCGCGTACATAATCACATTCAATTTTTTTCCTGCCAAGGACTGTAGCAGGTGGATGGCCATATTCTGTTATCATCTGAATCAACGTAAGCGTTCGAGATGCGTCTGTGCATGCTCCTCCTCGAGTCGAGTCGTGTTATATGACGGCTCATTTAAGCTCAAATACCGAGATTTTTGACGAAAGATGACTAAAGCCGGGCTATCGTCGCACACAAAATCCCGCAATGGTTGTCGTCAATGTAAGAGGCGCAAGGTGAAGGTGTGTCACGATCGATAGGACCACGCGAGGCCTCTAGGAAACGGATCCAGGCTGACCATCACTGAGTAGTGCGACTGCATTGGGCCCGCATGTGCGAATTGCAGACGGCGAAGGGAGACGTGTAGCTACAGCGAGGCGGATCAATCTGGAGGGCGCCATATTTTCCAGCCAGCCTCGTCTACCACTCCTCCTGAAGCGGCTTCCCTTCAAATTGAACGCAAGCAGGTGATGGACCACTGGAGACAGAGATGCTATCTTCTCACGCGAGCTCTATTGCCCTTTCCCTGTCATCTGAAAGATTTGCCGGGTCCAGAGAAAGAGCTATCCAAGATCCAGAGAGGCGCGACCCTTGGCCTCTTCTACTTTCGAATATGGCAGGCGGTTGTTCTTTCGTCCGGCAGAGCATCCTAGCGGTTGCCGCAGTTCATCTCTGCTTCCTTTGTCCTTTTAACACTCGAAGATATTTTGAACTTGCTTGTCGGTACTCCCTCGAAGCATCTCGTCAGTTCAGAATTTCAGTTCGGGCCATATCGAGCAATAACTACTTGGAAACAATCGTTTTCTCCGTCCAATCTGCCATCTTCGGCCTTTGTGTGCCCTTTATAACTGAACAGGCACTTCAAGAGAACGAACCTTCTCCCCAGTTCGACCTAACTGATGTGATTTCGATCATGAGATATACTGCGGGGATAGTCCCGATGTTGGACCACTTCTTTGCAACGAGCGATTGTCGACAACAGCTTGGAAATCTAGACGATTCAATCTACAATCCTGAATTCGAATTGTTCAGGAAACATGTATTGGTCAATCTCCAGAGACTTGAACAACAGCTCGCCCACAAGTCTAGACTTAATCCGAAGTTGGCAGCCGTTGCTAACGTATACCATGAAGCCATTGACGCCCTCCAGACCTGGATCATTTCTCTTCCCGGGCCACCCATCGTGTGGAGACAGCTCATCATATGGCCATCGACAATTTCTGAGATGTACTTGCAATATCTCAAAGCGAACTGCCCAATTGCCCTGGAAATTTTCAGTTACTGGTGCATTATCATGAAACAAGTTCCGCCGCGGTGGTACTTGTCACCTTGGTTAGACAGAGCATTCGAGATGTCGAGGAGCCTGAAGGGATCCTGGGACCAAGTGCCCGACAGTTCGGCGTCTGCCTGAAGGATAATCTGGTTCTGCCCAATTTGGTAGGAGCACGTCCCTGGAAAATTGGCCATGAATCTACAAATGCTGGTCTCGTGTCCTAACCCCCAACTGAGTGCCAACCACGCCAGGTGGTTTCAACCATCCCACAAAGACGCCTCTGCTCTCCGTAAGGCTGTGGCAAATACCCGTCCTTCACGGCGAGGAATGGAGAGATTTCTCGTTCGTGACTCAGACGAGACTTTGGTAAGCCTTGTCATGTGGTACATAAAGGCCGGATCGGGACGCGGGTTGGAGGGCTTCGAACTCCTCGACTAAAGTTTGGACTCCTTTCTTGATCACGTTTCCACACCGCCCAAAGATCAAAGTCGACCGGAAGGCATTCCTTTTCTGCGTGATTGCTTCTATGGGTGCCCTCTCCTTTGACTATAATAACACGTATTACACTGGTGTCCTGGGAAGGACCCTTTTCAAGAACGATTATGACAATCATTATGACGAAAACGGTGAGTTTCACTTCTCTCACAACCTCAGCCATCTACATTGGAGACTCGCTAGGCACTCTGATGTCTGCTCCATTGAAAGACAGATGCGGGTCGCAAAGCAGTATTTTGGAGTAAGTTCCTATCTTCTCTGTCTACCCAAATACTCCGTTTCTGCTTTGTATCCCCGAAATTTCGCTGCCAGTTGTGTATCAGCGACTTTGAATTTGAAGAAACATACTTATCCCTTACGTATTTCTCTTCTAGAATGGCCTCCGGCTAATTATTGGGTCGATCATTAGGTGCCTCGTTCCCCTCCTATTCAGCGGTATTGTTCAGGTGGCAGGCACCAACCACGAAGGTGTCATTCTTCTTGATCGCATCCTCATTGGTCTCGGTGTCGGCTAGTTCACTGTCACTTCCCTCCTATATATGGGCGAGGTTGTGCTCATCTCGATCCGTGTCCCAGCCCTCATGATGTACCGGTTTTTACAGTCCATCTCACAATTCGTCGCATCTTGTCTAGCTCAAAGAACCCAAGGAATAAATTCCAAAGCTTCATACAAATTTCCAATGGGAGGACTTGTTGTTCTTCCCATTATGATGTTCGTCGAGCTACCATTCATTCCCGAGACTCCAACACGGCTGGTCGGCAGAACCAGGAGAGAGGACGCAGAAGAGGCTCTCTGCAAGACTAATAAAGGCAATCCTGGGTATGATCCATCGACAGATCTAGCTCTTCCAGAAGAAGAAGTTAGACGAGATCAAGAAAACAGTGAAGACTTGGCATGGATATCTCTGCTCACCCATCCGGCCGAAAGAAGAAAGCTGCTGTTCTCTTGCGGTGGCCTATTCACGTCTCAAATCAATGGAATCATCTTCTTCTACGTGTACGGTGTCGTTTTTGCACAGGGAATTGGCATCGAGGAGCCTTTCGTCATCAGCACAATCACCAACACTCTCCAGATCTCCGCCGTTGGAGCTTCCGTCAGCCTCAGCAACGAGGTTCGCAAACGCACGAATATGGTCACCACTTCCGTGATTATGATCCTTGCCTTTATCGTGATCGGAGATATTGGAACACAATGGACAATCAGCACGGTGTCCCAATATATCATTATGATATTTTCTTACTTTGTCATTGTCGCTTGCAACTTTGCCCCGGGACCGCTAGCCTGCACTATCGCACGAGAAAACAGCAGTGGGCAGTAACCAGAACAAAATTCTTTCGGTCTCGATCGTCATCTTCTACATCACTCTATGGGCCGTTTCATTCACGGCCCCCATATTAGTACTACACGGCAAATGTTGGACCAATGCTCGGCTTTGTCTATACCGGTATCACTTGCTGACAAGGTCTATACTCATGGATCTGTGTCGGCGAGACTGCGGGGAGGACAAATTTAGAGATTACATTGTTCTTCCAGGAGAAAGTCCCAGTCCGTAAATGGCAGACTCGCATTTCCCCGGATATATGGAGGAAAATCTCGGCTATTGAAGGAGAAGAATGAAACTACTGTGGAATCGGAATGTATATTCAACACGATTTTGTGCAGGCTGCCTCGGCAAACAAAGGATTGTCTCTCTTGGTATCGGGCAGGTGACTTAAAACACCTGAGAGATCAAAATCCAGATGACCATCTTCGTGGAGATTATCCGGACCCTCAAAAGTATGTATTCAGACCCAGGCACATCTCGTCCTCACAAATGATGAGCTTGCAAACGCTCTGAAGCCAGATATCAAGACACCCCTAGGTCCGGCCTGTGCGTTTGGAAACATTCAACGCCCACTGATGGTATTTTGGCATGCCCCCCGTGTCGAGGTTCTGACCAGGACTCCTAGACTGGTTAAAGGAACATGGGAATTGCTAAATTCCACCGATTCTCTGCCACACCCAGGGCTCGCAACGATGGGAATCTCTCCCATTCGGTTACCGCCACCTTGGATGTCCTTTAATTCGGCACTTATTCATGACATCCTCTTCACCAACCTTGGAACTGGTGGAATCCAATGTTGTTTCTCGGCGAGGGAACCCTCTGAACCAGCAAAGCGGGCCAATTTCCGCCGAACACGGATTTGAGAAGCCCGTTTTCGATCTCGAGGAAACATTACAGTGGATACCACGATGCCACAGAAGGCAAAAGGGCGAAGGATATGACAAAACGTTAGATCTTCTATCCTGTGCCTCGTAGAGTGCTCCCCACGATCTCTGAAGGCTTGTCTATGTGACAATCTCTCGACTATTGCAGTCCTCTGCCACTGCATTGGAGCACACATCCAGTCGCATTACACGGTCATCATGTGAGTCTCCCATGTCAAAAGGTATGCGGTGGGAGTAGGATAAGCCTTCATTACCGCAGAAGGAATATCCGTTCATTTTCCCATTGAGCTTATGCAAGCGATATGATGGGGAGATATTATCACCAAGACATGGTTGCCTTTCCTTCAGTTCAGTGGTTTCTGCTGGCTACTTCCCTGTCGAAGCTTGAACGTCCTATCGACCCGTCAATCCGAGCACCTACAGTCCTTGGGGATTAAAGACAGGATCATTGTGGAGCGCAGCGGCGTAGGAAATTGGATCGTTCTTGCCGTCGTGACGACTCGAATGGCACTGAAGTTGAAGGCAGCACCTTTTGATGGCCCAGTTTGACTCCTTCTCATGCGTAAGTGTGGACCTCTGGGACTCCGGGTTTCTTACCAAAGAATGAATATCGTGACTCTGTAGAATTCGCAGAGAATGCGCTATAAGCAGAGTTTTCTTTCGATTTTATTTGTCACTACGTTCTACATTTTGCACCTCGTCTTCAGGCATATTTGCCCACAAAAGCGATAAGGGCGTTGTCCACCTCTGTCGGGTGCGAGGCTGATAGGAAGTGTGCACCCCCTTCGACGACAACGAGTTCGGCGGATTTGGCATTGGTAAAGAGTTTGATTTCTTGCTCCGCATTGGCGACGGTGTAGACCACGTCGTTCGTTCCCTAGGGATTTGGGGTGAATCAACGTCAGTATCTGCGCTAGCAAAATCCTTTTGGGTTGGTCTGCTCACATGTAACCACATCACAGGACACTTGACGTCAAACAAACGACCGTGCAATCCGTCACGCTCACGGAGATTGATAGCAGCCATGCGGGCTCGTCGTCGTCCATCGTCACCCTGATAGTTGGACTGAATGGTCTTTCGCCAAAAGTCACGAGTCTCCTGGGGACAGTTCTTGCCGAAACCGATGTCGATGAGGAAGTCACAATACTCGAGGTCGGGCTGGAAGTCATACGTTGGAGTTTTACTGGTCCATTTATTGATAGGACCGGTACAGGCAGCAGCGCCATCCCAACACCCAAGTTTACGAGTGCGTTCAGACTCATAGTCCAAAGATGTACCGAGAGGAATGATACCTTGGATCTGAGGGACACGTCAGTATTATTTTCTGGCCGTCCAAACAGGTGAGTGAGAAGAGAGAAGGTTTGCATAGACCAGACCTTCTCGGGAGCCAATAGAGCCATTCGCACGGTGATCCAACCACCTTGGCTGGTACCGAGAACAAATGCCTTTGGAATACCTAGAGCTTCCATGACTTGGATGTTCATGATCGCTGTATCCCAGTATGTGAAATTCTCTGACTTGGTCCTGGTTTGTCCATGGCCTAGCAGCTCGATGGCCACGAGGTTCATCTTATCCGTCAACTGCTTGTTGGCGTACTGTTTGCGGTAGAGCTCTGACGAAGTGGTGAAGCTGTTGACCAGGATCAAAGTGGGCTTGGATGGATCATATGGATATGGCATCTGGTACGCCGCGTCAATGCCGCCTAAATGAGGCACACGAACAGTCTTCGTGTTAGGCATGTTGATGAGAGGCGACTTCTTCGAGCTTGGATGGACGAGCAACGACTAGGTTCAGTGATTTGTCACTCAAGAAATGCAGAATATTATTAGCCTCGAGAGAAGCCTTCGCCTCAAATTCCAAACACCAGAGGATCTACCAGATTTCTATACAATTTCCCGCGCGGAGATTTCTTCTTCTCTCCTTACTTCCTTCTCCTCCCGCGTTTCTCCACAGCCCAATGTCATCTTCATTACGATCCTCGGCTACCGATGTCATAAACCTGGAATTGGCGGAGAAGCACCTTTCGCCGTCCACGCTGACTTGCCGTGTGGAGTCCCCTTCTGTTCTTGGGGCATCAAAACCACCCAATCGGATACTTCTACGTTCTCTCCAGAAATAGTGAGGGGAGGATCGTCCCCGACCTTAGGAATTGCTCGAGCTGGCGAGTTCTATACGGATCCGACATATTAATAATATGCATGGACGGGGACAGAACGGGATTTACCCCTCATGGTGATCACATCGAAAAGGTCTCTGATGAGTGAGGAGCTGGGCGGATTTGAATGAAGTTTGGTGGTCAAGAAAAACAGATTACGTGAATTGAATTTGGGTCACGTGAAATATTAGCAACTCTCTTGCTTCCTACTCCTTCGATTCCTTCTCTATTTCTTCACCATCCAACAGAGTCATTGAGCTATTTCGGATACAGCTGACGCGGTTTCGGCCAGGCAGCCATCATTACTTGGACGATGCCAGCCGGAATGTCAAACTATACGCGCCTATCCGAGAACAGAGGAACCAAAAATGATGCCGATTCGTGCTCCCACCTTGTATCGGCCACGAAAGCCGCCGACATGCGTCTCCACAAAGAACCGTACACAGCTCGGAAAAGGCCTTTGAGGCTCTGGTCGGTAGATGATCCTCCAGCTGATCTGTGTGCTCCTTATTCCAGGAACAGCTCCGAGAGATCTAGCCTACTGGATGCTACCATCCTCTGACAGGTTAGCCACGAATATACAGTATCTTACACCGACCAATTACTGCGCCATTGGGAACACGTTCTCTCCGCAGTATACACGAAGGACCCAGCTCAGCCTTGACCATCTCATTCGGGTCAAGATGACACGTGACCTATCCGACGACCAATGAAAACGAAGGGCAAGCAAAAGGATCTTCACTCGGCCCCCAATTTTCGGGCTTTGCATTGGAGAACATTTGGATCAAGAAGATTAAGCTCGTCGCTTAATCTTTAGATCTCAATCCGAGTGCGTCAAGCGGTCCAGCATATCATGTTCAAGGGTTTCCGAGACCAGGGACCAAAGCCCCGTGGCTGGACACAGATTGAAGAAGGACCACGAGCAGGGGGAAATGCATATAAAGCCCTCTTAGACCGCAAATATATTTGACATTGCTACAGAGCATTTGTTCTTCACACAATTGTTCTTCTTCAACCATGGCTTCTCGCTCTCTTCTTATCTTGCTGCTGAGCAACTTATTAATCCACACAGTAATGTCTACGTTCCTTCGACCGAAGGGAAAAATTTCTAACCTCAAGTCGCTCCTCGACCCGAGCATTTCATTGTCCTACAAAGAAGTATGTAGAACTACCTCCTACTTCTTGTAGCTTCGCCCAGCTGATGACCAACAGACACATATCTGCGAAACCACTCCTGACGTCAAGTCATATAGTGGCTACGTGAACCTTCCTCCAAACCCTGCCGAGGGGCGCGATTACCCTATTCACACATTCTTTTGGTTCTTCGAAGCTCGAAAGGACCCCGCCAATGCTCCATTCTCTCTTTGGCTTCAAGGAGGTCCCGGTGCGCCTTCTATACCTGCTGCGTTAGGCGAAAACGGTCCTTGCTTTGTCACACCTGATTCCAAGGGAACTATTCTTAATCCTTGGTCTTGGAACAACGAAGTCAATATGCTCTACATCGATCAGCCAGTCCAGGTCGGTTTCTCTTATGAGACCATCGTCAATGGCACGATCGACGAGACAGTATCACCATTCAGCGTGACGGCTTACGATGGCGCAACCCTGGAATCTCTTGAGACGAACTCGACTCTCCTGAGTGGCAGATTTGCATCTCAAGGGCCTTTGTCAACAGCAAACAGTACAATGTCTGCTGCTCGTGCCAGTTGGCACTTCATGCAGATATGGATGCAAGAGTGCGCTGCCCACATTCTCTGGTCTCTGGAGGTTTGTGCTGACGATCCCAATCATGACAGGTTCCCGAAATACCGGCCAAAGGACAACGAATTCAGCATCTGGGGCGAAAGCTACGCCGGTCACTACGCTCCCACGTTCGCTGATTTCTTCCTCGCACAAAATAAGCTTGTTGCAAATGGAACTCTCGATAGCTCTGCCGTTCCCTTACGCCTCGATACCGTCGGTCTCGTCAATGCCTGCATTGACATCGAGACTCAGGTGCCCCTCTACCCTCAGATGGCCTATAATAACACATACGGACTCCAAATCATCAACGAGACCGAGTACAAATCTGCTGTGGAAAGTTTTCCAGCTTGTCGGAAGATGGTGGAAACGTGTCGGTCTCTCGCCGAGGAACATGACCCGTTTGGATTCGGGAATGTGACAGACGTGAACAAGGCATGCAGTGATGCTTTCGAGTTTTGCTTCGGGACCATGTGGGATAGTTACAATAATTATGGAGTGAGTCATGGTGTCCAAATTGTGCCGGGCTTAAAACTGACAACCCATTTCAGCGAAATGTGTTTGATATCACGGCCAAGCTCCCAGATTCCTTTCCACCGAAATATGCCGCCGGATACCTGAACCGCAGAGATATTCAATCCCACCTTGGCGTTCTTCTCAATTTCACGGGAATGTCTGAGGCCGTAAGTAACGGTACATTCATCCCCAAACCGTGACTGAATTTAAGAGGACTTGCTAATGGCAACAAGGATTCACTGCGACTGGAGATTTCGTTCTCGGACACAACCTCGCCGCCCTGGGGAAGTTCCTGGACCAAGGCATCAAAGTTGCTCTGATGTACGGTGATCGAGATTATCAATGCAATTGTGAGTGGACAAGAATCTGGAACGATCCGCGGCTAACACAAACCCCAAGGGCTAGGAGGCGAGCAAATTAGTTTGGCGATAGATTCCGACAATACCCTCAAATTTCACCAGGCTGGATATGCCAATATTCAAGTAAATGAAACATACGTTGGAGGAGTCGTCCGACAGTATGAAAACTTGTCCTTTTCACGGGTTTTTGGAGCAGGTCACGAGGGTAAGTAGATGCGAGCATCATTCTGCCGTCGCATTAATTGACGGGCTCATCGCAGCCTCCTGGTACCAACCGGAAACAGCATATCGGATTTTCAACCGCGTCATGTCGAACGTTGATGTTGCTACCGGGAAATTTTCTACTCGTGGAACATCGTACTCAAGCAAGGGCCCAAGCTCTAGTTTCGCAATCAAGAACACCATACCTACCCATCCAGCACGGACATGTTACTTCTGGGATATCCTGGAGACATGTACACCGTCACAGACTGAGATGATCCGCAATGGTTCTGCAATCCTGGAAGACTTTGTCATGGTCGGCTACCAGCTAGTCAACGGGACCATCAACTATTATTAGACATGGTGAGGAAGCCGAGGGTTCCTGTCAAACCACGGCTTTCAGTTTTATATACCAAGAACGATCCCTTTTTTGGTGGAGGGGGGGGCCTGAAAGCTTACTTAGTTAACATGAGGGTCGCTTGATCGAGCATTTTGATTATGATTTGGCCGCTCGCATAGGTCACGTTTTTTGGGGGGCCAAAGAGGTGCAGTACTTAGCCTTCTGCAGAGAAAGGGATGTCTATAAGAATTAATCTCTTGTGCTCTTCATGTGTCGCAAGTGCTTAATGCCGTCAGAAAATGAATACTCAGATATACGTACATGGAACCAATCAGGAGAAAACGGGCTTTCTTACCCAAAGTGAAGACCGGGTGTGGAACATGCAAGTGCGTGTCCACCCTCTTCTGGTGTCGAGGAAACCATCGAGACTAACGTGTACTTTCCAATGCGAAGAGCTCGCAAAGTCAAGTGTGACGAGCAGAAACCGGAATGTCATCGATGCGTCTCCACTGGTCGAAAGTGCGATGGCTATCAACAGCTGTCGAATACTCCTTCACCCAGCAATAACATCTTGCAGATACACTCTGATCTCTTTGCGTCTCAGACCGAGAGAAGAAGCTTTGACTACTTCCAGACGCGGGCTTGTCAGGATCTGGGCAGGTACTTCCATTTTCCGTTCTGGTCTCGAGAAGTTCTACAAGCAGCGATCCACTTTCCACCTATCCGACACCTGGTTATTGCCCTTGGAGCTGCATATGAGAGCTTTACATTGGAGGGCTCCAACGAACCAAACCCGCATGAATCTGCGGCGGGGATGCAGTTTGCTCTTCAGCAATCCAATCACTCCATTCGACATATGCACAATCTCTTTCAGTCGGCTTCGACGAACGGCCAATCCCTCGAGAGCACATGCTGTATCCTGACAGCGTCCATACTTTTTACCTATCTTTCCAGCCTTCAGGGATATCTAGGACAGGCGATTGAGCATATCCGTTCAGGATTGAAACTTCTGCAAGACTTTGATGCCTCTCCGTGGCGTCAAGAGGCCTCAAATCCAGCTTATCCAGTTCCCATCGAGCTGCTACGCTCGATTCTTATTGCCATGTACGGGCAAGTTCGATGTATGATCAACGACGAGGCTCTGACGAAGTGGGATCGGGACTTGCTTGTGTGCGACGTGGAACCTGTGTTTTGGTTTTCATCCGTCGCGGACGCGCATAATTACGTCGAGAGCCTCTTTCAGAACATGCTTGCTTTCCTTCAGACAACAGAATTCAATCCTCCTAGAACACCGGACCAGCTTGCTGCATTTCAGACGCGACGAAACGAACTGTTGCGTGCACTCAAGAGTAGCTGTGAGGCACTGGAACTTCTTTCCTCCCACCAGTCACTCTCGGCAGGTAGCCATCCCGTCGAGAACGGCATCACTATTCTTCGCCTGTACCACACCCTAATAGAAATGAGATTGCGGATGGACGCTCTTCGGCCAGACAAACGTGAAGCCACCTTCGACGCTTTGGAGCCCCAACTTGAGAAGATGCTAGAGTATTGTGGACTCTTGGTCAACGATGACCCAGCCGGATCAACGCGCGCCTTATGCCATTCGGGCCTCGGGATCGTCATGCCTCTCCATACTGTTGCCGCACGCTGCCGGAACCCGCAACTTCGGAGAAAGGCGCTGGATATGTTGCTCAAGGGTGCGCGACGGGAATGTCTTTGGGACGGCATCATGACTGGCAAGATTGCTGCAAAAACGCTGGAAATTGAGGAACAGAGGGTTCTCGAGGAAGAAGAGGTAGATTTCTCATCGGCCGAGGAGTTGAGAAAGAATGTCCCGGACGAGAGAAGAGTCCGAGAGGTCAAGATTGAATTTCATGGAGAAAGAAAAGCCCGTCTTCAATTTATAACGGTGGGAAATTGGAAAAGAAATGAAACGGGTGTTCAACATGTCATTGAGTGGTGATTTACAGGACTCGGAGGGCACCGGTCCTGGCCCATATCTAGGTTGATCTCGTGGATCGACATCCTGCTCACTGAAGAAATATCAGACATGTAGAATAAAGGAGGTCCAATTGACAGTGAGATATGCGGATAGAGGTAGGGCCCCATGAGGGTGGATGAAATGTACATTATCTGGGCAACTTAGAAGAAGACATCTGCAAGAATAAGCTCTCTGAATCATTATTAAGCCTTGGACGAAGAAGGCGATGGATTGGTCGTGTCGAACATCCACGTTCGGCTGTTTCAAGGCGTGTAGGCCTGCAACTTTCGACATGCAGGACTTCTGCATTAGATCTAGTCAGGGACAGCCAGTAAGCAATATAGAACGAAGCCTCATAGTAGATCTCACGCGTCAATTCTGCCTTTAAGGATCTGAATCCGACGACGTTGCTCGAATATGCTGGGATGATCGACTTCTCCTCCTTCATCGGACCACGGCTGAAGCGTAGGCTTGAGCAGACGCCGTGCATCAAATAAAAATGATGCCAGAACAGTTACACAAAGAAATATACTATCTCGGGGTCAAACAGGACTTTGATCCAGGCCTCGCCTGGCTTGTCACCGAGGGCAGGCCGAAGGCGCAAGGAGAAAGCAAAGTAGCGGTGTATAGTATGTATTTGTGCTGTCTCTTCCCTCCAACATTCCCTAGGGCGTCATGCAGAAGACAAAATCAAGCAGAAGAGAAGCCACGGCGGTTAAGTGTGCTGGTTACTTTGGTGAGTCGCCTATGAGGCACTATTTAAATAGCGCTAGTGCCATTAGTAGTGTGGACTAGCCCTAGTATGGTAAAAGCGGCCATCTTTTGCTACGATCTACTCTCTGCTGCCCACCTGCGTACAGTCTTTTCATAGATCATTATTCCTTTTGATATTGTTGTCCAATGCAGCAGCCTTTTTGCCGTCCTCCTGATGTCCTGCCTGGCCCCCCATCTATCTCGAGACGCTGTTGAAGCCCGACGTAAGATTCCTCCACACGCACAAGGCCGTGTCGAGAAGCCCATCCCAGGCCACTAAAACATCGATCGGACCAAACCAGAGCTTGAATGATACGCTGTTGCCAGGCTTGAACGGTGCGACTCAGCCAAACAGGGCTCCTGCGCCGTGTATCCTCAATAACAACTAAGTCCTAACATGGTACGCCCATAATGACTACATACGCGCATGCTATCGACCAGCCACGAACTCCGTCCGTCTTTGCACCCAGAGTTTACCATATTTACACCATGAAACCGTCTGCGTTACCCGCATCTCATCACTGCTGCCGCAGCCTTGTTGGATAATGAAGTCCTATCCCGCTACTTCATCTCGCACTTTTCACGAGCTGCATGGACCGACCAGCTTGGGTTTCATATCTTCCTGACACTTTGGTGATCTGTTTTGGCATATCCTCAACATATTATACACTGATCTACCATTCTGCCTACTCCTCTCATCTACGGGACCGCTTGGATAACATCGCGGTTATCTTTCCAATTCTGGGATCTTTCATTGCAGGGATTTATATCGGATTCTACTGCGAACCACATCTGCAGAAGATTTACAGATCGATGGCACGTCACGGCCTCTCTAGTCAGTCGTCCACTCCTAACTGGGACTTTTCAGATTGGCACCCCGGGTCTCTTGAGAGGCTTTCCTGTTGTGGATCCTCCTCTGCAAAGCACGAAATGCAGAAACCTTCGCCTCTCTGCCTTTCTTGCAGCGGGATTCTCAGTGTTTGGCCCTATCATTCATGCTGCCACCATCTTTACGTACCAACAATTTGACAAATACGCGGCCCTGAGATACTACTACCACCTTGAAGGCATGATCATTCTAATCGGGTTCTTGTTCTATGCATGGAGGCTAGGCTACATTCTCTCACACACGAGATCGTCTCTAATGCCTGGATCATGGGACCCCGGAAATTTCGGCATCTTGGGGCACCTCCCATTAGCTATTTCGCGTCCTCGTTTTCTGGGCACTGTTGTACCTCCGTATGAAACATGGGCCATGTTTAAATGGAACTATGAGAATCAACGATGCCAAACACATGCGTAAGGAAAGGCGCATACCGTCAATTAGATCCTCCCTTACGATATTCAATCAGAGACAAATATTAGCCGAATGTGTATGGGGTTTCCCGATACCCTAGATGAAGGCCCTGGCTTCAAGAGCCTCAGGAGGCATGCTAATAGAAATGTCGGGCTCTGTGGTTTGTATTCGAGCACGATCGCCACCCAAGTGCACAATCATGACGATAGACCCAGCGAATTCTCCCACGGTCGGGAGTGACTCGAATCCTTCAGTCTTGCGCAGCTCCTGCTTCACAATGTCGATTGCCTCGTCTCAATTTTCCTAGTCAGATTGTGAAGCCACCCGGTAGTCGAAGTGCCTCCTACGAACCTCCCGAGCGCCGTCCCAAATCGCGTGATCTCTGGTTGTAGCACAAGAGCACTTCCTTTGCGCTACCATGACCTTGTCTCCCTCGAAGTCACCTGCTTCAATTTTGCTCTGAAGGAACTGGGGCTGGGACCATTTGTCCATCCCTGCCACGGAAGTGGCGCCCGGACAGGTCTGGCGGTCTTCGCAGTTTCTTGGACGGGCTCTATACTCAGCATGTAGGCGAGAGAGTTGACGAGGGTTACCCTGCCTGGCTTAAGCATGCGGTACGTCTCTCAAGGCGTCGACGCCGTCGCGGGGTAGCACGAACACCGGTCCATTTGCAATTGAGTAAGTGAATGTCTCATCGAGGAGCGAGAGCGCGTTGGAATTCATACGCACGGACTCGGTGGGCCAACCCTTCCTCCGCTGCACGCATGCTGCAGATTTTGAGAATTTCTTGGTTCATATCTGTGCCGCTGGTCGAGACTGTTGCTACTGTAGACGGGGTCAGAATCAGAGTCAGACATTGCAGCCACGACTGCGGCGGTGCTGGTGCCGTGAAGGATGGGGGTGTTTGTGCAAGGGACGCCTTGGCGACCAGTTCATGGTAGAACTCTGGGAGTTGGAGCAAGACAGTCAAAGAGTTGTCTCTGGTTATCATAAAATGCACAAGAGCATCAGATTCTTGCTTATGTAACGCCAAATGCAGCGAATCGGTGAGGCCAGGCAATCGGTGTTGATCTAAGGCTGGAGAATTACCACTTAGAAAACTGGTTGCCTAATGAAGAGTGGTGACCAATTCCAACTCATCCCCTCATCCAATATTGTAACGAAAGTATGTACTTTGTCCACATTGAGTCACGGTGAAGCCAAAGCGGCCTTTGCAAAGCCGAAGGTACCCATTCATTGATATAACCACCATCGATTGGAATAGATGATGACGCTAGCCTCCGGCGCCCTTGGTTGGATTTTGCTACTGTCAAGGCTGATATGTACAACTTTGGCATCGTTTGAAGTGGTGGAGCACTTCAACTGGGCAACAATCCAGTCCTCTAAGGAGCTTCAGTATCACAAGTGTTATGGCTCCTTCGAATGCTCCAAACTCGAGGTCCCCCTTGACTGGTCGAACCTCTCAAATCCCAACACCATTTCTCTTGCGATCGTCAGGCTGCCTGCTGTTGTCGACGTTGCAGACGAGTCTTTCGGCGGTACTATCGTCATCAATCCAGGAGGCCCGGGCGGCTCGGGAGTTGGCTTTACCCTAACCGCGGGAAAGGGCATACAGAAAATCGTCGATAATGACAACCAACACTTTGAGATCCTCTCATTCGACCCTCGCGGTATACAGTTCTCAGGTCCCGAGGTAGCCTGCTTTCATGATAATTCCGCACGAATTGAGTTGTCCATGCGGAGCACAGGAGCTGGGAGCCTCGAATCAAGTCAGTATGCTACTGATTTGAAATGGGGCATTGATCAAGCTATTGGGCTTGCGTGCCAACGAACCAACAACGGACACTTTCCGGATGGCTCGAACAGCCGTCAGTTCGTGAGCACAGCTTTGGTAGCGCGAGACATGGTGGAAATCATCGATCGGGTCGATGCCGACTTACAGAAGGAATTGCAATTGAGAGGCAGACCACGACAGGATCGACAGAAGCCTATGTCTTCGGATTCGCAAAGCGACCCCCCGCTACTGAATTATTGGGGGTTTTCTTACGGTACGTACCTGGGCAATACTTTTGCCAGTATGTTCCCCGAACGCATCGGCCGGATGGTGCTGGACGGAGTTGTCGATGCGGATGATTATGCTGCCACCGGCTGGACGACCAATCTTCAAGACAACAACAAGACCTGGGCCAAGTTCTTTGAGTACTGCCACGAAGCAGGGTCGAAATGTGCCTTGTTCGAACCTTCGATTCGTGGACCAGAGGAAATTCAAGCAAAAGTTGAGGCATTCCTTGCAGAGCTCCAGGACAACCCAATCCCATTCGTCTACAATGGCAATGCCTATATTCACACATACTTCGACATGAAAGCCGTTATCCACGCTCATTTATACTCACCGTATCCTCTCTGGCCCCTCCTCGCACTCATGTTGTTTGCTCTCATGGAAGGAGACGTCTCGACAGCAGCGGCAGTTTGGCGGCGTTCCGTACCGCGAGGCTTTCCGCCTTCTGTCCCATTACCACTACCACCTCTCCTTCCGATACACACCACTCCCAACGGCATTATGGACAACCGGACACGTCTTTTCGACTATCCGTGGCGTTGGGAAGCTACAATGTCGGTCCTTTGCGGTGATGGTGACGATATTACGTCCTGGACGAAACCCGATTATGCAGAATATCTTACTTTATTGGAGTCACAATCCCCCTTGGTCGGATCGATCTGGGCAGAAATCATCTTACCCTGCATTCACTGGCCGGCCTCTGTGCGTCCGGCATCTCAAAATCGGTTCACGGGTCCTTTCAAATCCAACCTAACAGATTATGATTCTCGTGGTAGTCCCCTCTTGTTCATTGGAAACACGGCGGATCCGGTGACACCAGTGCGCAATGCAGTCAAGATGTCCGAAAGGCATGAGGGGAGTGTGGTTCTTACGCAGGATAAGCCTGGACATTGTTCAGGAATCACCAGGCCGAATGAATGCGTCTCTGAGATTGTGAGGGCTTTCTTCGCTCATGGGACATTGCCAAAACCTGGCCTTGTATGTGATGGTACCAGGAGGCCATGGGATGACCTCTAGGCAATGAGTCACAGTTACCTTGGGGGGGAGCTGTGGGAAAGCGCATGTCCTGACGAGAGAGTCTATGTCTGGTACAGCCAAAAATATGTACAAGCGAAAGGGAAAAGTTTCCCGAAAATGGGCACGTGATATCAAAATTCCATTCCACGATCCAATAAACTCCCACTTCAATTTCCCCGTGACAGAATTAAATAGCGCTTCGTACCGATCATGTTTTAATTTGGTCTGATTCACTCTTTTGCCAAGAAAAAAAGCTGACAAGACTTTTTTCTTTTTTTTTAAAAAAATCCCGAGAACCTTATTCCACAAAAATTCAAATTTCGGCCACCATGGTGTCCCCATTCCTGTCCCCAGGCCCGGTCACGAAAGAGGATGACTTAGCCTCTCTGCACCTTCGTAGAGATCTATCACTACCAATCATCCTCACCACTCAAGCCACCAGTGCCGAAGACGAAGGCTACGCTGAGGGCGTCGTTACCAACACTCGTTTCGGATCGTTCCCTCACTCCACCATCATCGGAGCACCATGGGGAAGTCAAATTCGCGCGAGCAAAGTCGACACGGGATCTCGAGGGTGGAAGGGGAAGGACACTGCGAACGCGAAGAAACGTAAAGCTGATGCGCTGACGGAAGCAAATGGAGGCGCAACCGCACCACCGGTGCTCAAGGACGCTATCGCTGCGAGTTCGGGATTTGTGCACGTGCTACAACCTACGCCTGAAAGCTGGACGACGAGTCTGCCGCATCGAACGCAGGTGGTGTACACGCCGGATTACAGCTACATTCTGCACAGGATCAGAGCGAGGCCGGGATCAAGACTGATAGAAGCTGGAAGCGGGAGTGGAAGCTTCACGCACGCTGCCGCTCGAGCAGTCTTCAACGGCTATCCGGATCGTCGTGTTGAGAATGACGCTGATAGCGAACCTTCTGCCGCGGATGCCCAATGTTTCGGCCAGGTCTTCACATTCGAGTTCCATGAGGAACGGCATAAGAAGGTCAAGGCGGAGATGGCCGAGCACGGGTTAGATACTATTGTCCACGCGACACATCGAGACGTATATCGGGATGGGTTTCTCCTGGACGATGAAGACAGTCCTGGGAAAAAATCTCCTCGAGCCAATGCTGTGTTTCTGGATTTACCTGCGCCATGGGAGGCATTGCCTCATCTAACACGAAGCGAGCAGGAGAGCGTACCCAGTGTCCTGGACCCACTGTCGGCTACGTCCATCTGTACATTCAGTCCCTGCATTGAGCAGGCTCAAAAGACGATATCCGCTCTCCGAAGGTTCGACTGGCTGGACGTAGAAATGGTTGAGGTGCAACATAAGCGGATAGACATTCGACGAGAGTACACGGGCCATCAATACGAAGGGATGCGAGGAGTGAATGCTTTCGCAGCGGACGTCGACGAAGCTATTGCGAGGCTACGAGAAGTGGAGCAGCGTGCGGAGAGTTTCCATGCTGGGACATCAGAGGATGGCAAACTTGCCAAGAGCGTGCAGGCGCAGCAGGACGCAGGTAAATTGCCTTTCAACGGCGGGAAACTCGTTCATCGAACAGAGTTGGAGTTGAAGACGCATAGCGCGTACCTAGTCTTCGCTGTTCTTCCGAGGGCTTGGACAGAAGAGGATGAAGCAGCCGCACAATCCAAATGGTCCAAGCATGTCAAGATCACATCGAATGTTCCGAAGAGTCAGCGACAACTTAAGAAGGAGGCGAAGCAGAGAGCAAGAAGTCAAAATAAAAGTGATGCGAAGGTGGCGAACGACGAGGAAACGGAAAATGGTGGTCAATGATGAAGACTGCACTCAATGGGAATGACGAAACCGTGCAGAGATCTACTGCAGCAGCCCCGACTTTGCTCGGACTCTTGACCTGATTCAGGTTGAACGTTGCATGGCATGAGCCTGGTCCTTCGTGCGCGCGACATTCATGGAACAAAGAGTCTCGGAAGTAATAGGCGCCGGGAAAATGAAATGCACTCCGTATTGATTGAATGTTCAAAATTATAGGATGCCTGGGACGTTGTTCTTCAAGCTGAAGGATTTCATCAGGAAAACGTGGCAAGGGTCCTCACAGCCTGACACGTGACGTTGCGAGGTGGACAGGCACAATTGAGAAAATGAGAAATTTTCAAAACTATTTGCGCCACGAGCAGAAAATGAGAAGGGTTTTCCCGAACCTAGGCCAACCCGCGAGGGTCTTTCTCTCAACCATGTTAAGCACTGCCACAAACCCCAGTGCAAAATTGATTGGGCCTATGGCGAGGCTACTCCAAAGAAGCGCTATACTTTGGCGGGTAGGCGTTGCGAAGAAAATTGGCCCAACTCCCAATGACCGAGATACAAACGGCCGAAGACTGGCTTTGTGACATGATCCTGATCTGTCATTCTCTGATTTGAAACGCTCCACTCTCTGGCTATTTGCCGAGCGTTGTCTTTTCTTGATCCTACAATCCATGCGAGGTAATGAACTACGCTGGAGAGAGGTTGCCTTGCTCTTCGCACCTGTTCCTGCAAAGGGTCGTTCACCACGGACACGGGGTCTTAGCAGTGCCACCGTGCAAGCACAGTGCACAGAGCTCGAACTTCTTGGTTCGGTCCCGCAGGGTCGCAGCCTTATCTGAGCTGATGATGTTATGCAGGGGTCTTGGTTACTCATAACATTTTGGGCAAACGCTGGGCTGTGGGCGGGGGATAAATTTTACTATAAGACCCAGGAAGTCGACAGCATCAGGATTTCGGTTCTGAAACATTTAAAATCTCCTCCCATCATCTTGTCTTTTGGAGATCCACAACATCACGTTCAGTTCCTAATTTTCCTAGGCTCATCATTTTGACCCGGCAGCGATTTTGTTCTTGCCCATTTGCTCTGGGGAGAGATCAAGAGACTCGCCAACATGATATTCAGGCCAGCCGACGACCCTCTCGCTCACGTGGTGGCTTTGGCCACTCGAGCACTCGACAGCGGACCTGCAGATAAAACTCCCGAGGAATGGGCGACAGAAGGTCGATACAACTATGCGCCATCTTTCGCTGCAGCAGTCGTTTTCATCGCTTTGTATGGCATTGCACTGGCGATCAACTTGTTCCAGATGTTTCGACATCGAGCTTGGTTCTGGTGGGTGATGAACTTCGCTATCATCCGTAAGTCCTTCTCCTGGTCTTTGGCATCCTTGATTTGGAAACTGCATCTGAACCGCGAGCTTTGTAAATGAGGATTGGAGGCCAGCGCTGACAGTCAATCAGTTGAATTCGTCGGATATCTCTCTCGCGCCATCTCGATCAAGAATCTCGACGAAAGAGGCCCTTTCATTGTCCAAACCGTTCTCATCCTCGTGGCACCAGCAGTCATGGCGGCCGCCTGCTACATGGCGTTCGGCCGCGTCGTTCTGTGGGTTGTACCCGTCCGATTCCAGTCCGCACGACACCTCTGGGTTCCCGCCCGTCGCCTTACACCCGTCTTCGTGGGCTTCGACGTGCTCAGTTTCGTCGTGCAAACCATCGGTGGTGCTATGATCGCAGGGTCCAACGACCAAGAAAACATCGAACGTGGAAGAGACGTGGTGCTGGCCGGGTTGGGTCTACAACTCTTCACTTTTGGCTTTTTCGTCATCGCCAGCTTCCGACTTTTCGTCATGTTGCGCACGACGCTGCGTGACGTGGCCCTGACCAAGGAGCGCAACTGGCAACTTTTCCTGATGGTCATCAATGTCGCCAACGTCTTTATCCTCATTCGAACGATCCTGCGTCTGATCGAATACTCGCTGGGCACCAGCAACTACTTACTCAACAATGAGTGGTTCTTCTATGTCTTCGACTCGAGCATGATGTACATCGTCGTCATCATCTTTATCATTTTCCACCCCGGTCATTTCCTGCCATTCTTGGGCATTCGGAGAAAAGCGATGCAGTTTTCCAAGAATGCCGACAAAGGACCATTTGGAAAATTGGCCAGAGGGTCTGTGGACATGGAGGCCGCGTGAGATACCCCAAAATTGAGAACTACGGAGTACGGCAACAATAACGGCATTGCCGACGGAAGTGAGCAGTACCTGTACCAGTACGTGTAACTCGTGAGTGTGCAAGTCCAGAGTGTGTGACACGGACCATGCGTTGGCGTATGGGAATGGCGCAAAAAGGACCAAGAGAATTACCAAGTCAACAGCCTCTGGACATTCGCTTGAAGGTTTTTTAGTTTTTGATAATACTTTCTGCAAACAACAAATCGATGATCAAGCCAAGAACCCCGACTCTCCTTCTCCTCGCCTGTCTCCCTACCTATTGTGTCTGCACGGATCAGAGATGCCGAGATAGCAAGAGAAAAAGGACAAATCGTGACTCTTCAACTCTGATATTACTCTCCGTTCGGGAGTTGCAGGTCGCAGCTACAGTCGCAGAAAATGAGGGGAACAAGACTTCGAGTGCATTGTATCGTTCGTGCATCGTGCCGGTGCATGAGCCAAGGGAGACACCGTGGACCAAGTTGGGTCTTTCTCCCCGGTCAGTTCCTGAGCTCTTTTTTGCTGCGCCTCAATCTAATGTTCTTGGCCTGGATATCAATTGGGCGAGTTGCTGGTCGGCGTTCCACTGGATGCCACTGCAGAAGATTCGAAGATACCGAATGGATTAGGGTTGCACGTGGAGATGGATATTGGTCGGATACCCGTACGGCCTAAGTTTTTGGTTTATTGATAGTGGGTGGTGGTGAGGGAGGGTTACAGGCCCGGAAGGTGAAAAATGGAGTACGGAGAACAAACGCGGACTGCATTGGGTTTAACGATAGAAGGAGACGAAGGATCCTTTCGATTTCGGAGGGCGAAGCGATTGGAGATGATACAAAAAGTATGGTTCATGGGAAACCGAAATGGAGATGGGAGATGGATTCGTGTCGCATGGGTTATGGAGAAAGGATATCGGTAGATCCCTCGCATTACATGGACCAGTGGCACGTAACTCTAAATGTTAAGTTAACTTAATCACGTCTTGTCGGTACTCTCTTTCATCATCTCGGGACGTTCCCGTCACGGCCTGAAGGACTGAGCTCGAGCGCTGCTCACTTTCGCCATCTTTTGACATTTGCCCGTTCCGTAATCTTTCACCGTGTCGCGGGCGGACATCCAGCATCCACTTCCCCCCCTCCCCTTTTTCCAGGCCCCAAGGGGCTGCGGGCCGTGGGCCGTGGGGCCTGGACGCCAGAAACTTCAGCAGTGCTGATCAAATGCGATCAAGAGGGCCTGACTCCAAGGATCACGGACAAGTCATGAAGACTTTTTGGCCCTGCCCATCTCGTCTCTTACCCACGGATTGGGACAAAACTCGAACTCGTTTAAACAACTTGACCCAAGTCCTTTTGACGAAGCCACCGGCGCCCTCCATCTTCGCCTCTAGTGCCTCTAATGCGGCGGGTAATTACCCGGTGGAACTTCTTGTGTGATACCATTGACACCCATACCGGTGCTATCAGATAGAGTCGTTGATCGAAAGCCTTCCTTTGGCCAAACTCTGCCAGCGGTCCAATCAACCACCATACAAGGTGTACACCAGTACTGACTCGTCCTGGCTCGGCTACTAAAGATACCAAGCTCTCACCAACGGGGGTGCCAACCATGGCGATAATCATCTCCTCAGCATTGGTGGGAATTGGCATTCTCCATTACAGTATGCTTGGGCCCCAAATGTCGCGCGGTCGCCACTCTTTCTTGTCGCATCTCATGCCACATTGATAGGGTGTTGTTTCATCGTGCCTTGCTAGTTTTGCCTGCAGGTTGTCGCATTATCGCTCCGTCCAAGGGGATCTGTACCGAGCATGTGTCTCCCCCGTGTCCACATGTGCCCATGTTCGCCTTATTGAACGATTTCATTTTCTCTGCCCGTGCTAGTGCGGTGCTCTGCGCCTAGCAATGCCCCCCCGAGATTACGCAGTTTCTGACCTGATCACTAGGCTATGCGATGAATGAACTACCACTTTTGTATCTGATCGGTCCGCGTCTTTTGTAGTCTGATTCCCCAGCCCACCTGTCCTGGTTGGCCCAACTCCTCTCAGCTTTGGCACGTCTTGCGTTGCGTCCCATTTTTTGGGGGGGAGGGGGGTTTGCGTGCCAGTACAGATTATCTTTTTTGGGAGGGGCTGCGGCGCGGCGCCGTTTCTTGCCATGCGGTGTGGGCAAAGGCAGGGCAGGGCATGCGTGTCGCTGAAAGTCTTAAACGCGTTCAACCGTATCCCTGACAGTCATAGTACATATATGTCGTTCGGTGGCCGCCCCTTTTTTTTCTCCTTCATAGATATGAAACGCAATGGTTCTGTCTCTTAGTATTCATTGCCGTCAGGCACGCGTCCCTTTCCCGTGATGAAGCTGCCTACCACTCGGCTGCTTCTGATCCCGCTGGCTATTGTCGTGGGGGGGATCGCCATCTTTCTGACCATTTCACACGTCATCATTCCTTTATTTTTATGGTTTTCTCCGACTTTAAACCCGTACTTGTATGACTGGGGCTTGTATGGGGCTTTCCCATCCCAGACATTTATAACAAATGGCTTCGCATCGCCACGGATAGTCACGATAAAGGAGGAGGGTGGCTGCGATGGAGGACTGGTTTTCCTCACGATCCAGGGGGACTCGGTACGGCAGGGGGGGCCGGCGATATTCAATTCCAAGAATCAACTGGTGTGGGCGACGACAGATTATAAATACACGATGAATTTTCAACCTCAGCTCTATCAGGGTAAGCAGTATTTGACCTTTTGGTCAGGAAGGAAGGAAGGCACTTTGGGGTTGGGCTCGTATTATATGGTGAGTCCTCTCCCCTCCATGGGTTTTCGTCGAACATGGGAATTGAGATTAAATTAGCTGGACGAGTCGTACCGAGTGGCACACGAAGTTTCCGCCGTGGGAGACAACCTCCATGGCGATCTCCACGAATTTAAAATCACCCAGGACGACACCGCGCTCATGACCTTTTACAATGTCACCCCGGCGGATCTATCTTCGTTGGGCAAATTTTCCAATGGTTGGCTCATCGACAGCGGCTTTCAGGAAGTCGACATTGAGACCGGCAATCTCCTTTTCGAGTGGAGAGCCTCGGATCATTTCCAAGTCTCGGAAACTTTCATGACCAACCCATTCGGTGGATATATCAAGAGCATCCCCTTTGACTTTTTCCACATCAACAGCGTCGACAAGGACTCGCAAGGAAACTACCTAATTTCGTCCCGTCATACGCACACCATCACCTGCATCAGCCCCAAAGGCGAGACTCTATGGATTCTTGGGGGGGAGCGGAACCAATTCGAGGATCTTTCCGGAGGAGATGCGCTGAATTTTAGATGGCAGCACGACGCGAGATGGGTGTCCGAGGAAGAGGGAATCATCACTCTCTTTGACAATAAGGAAGCGGGCCCGTTACATGTCGACGGTCCATACAGCCGAGGCATGATGTTGAAGCTGGATATCGCCCACAAGACAGTGACGCTCTTGCATGATTATGTCTCTCTGCAACAAGGTCGGGCACCTTCGCAGGGATCCGTACAGTTTCTTCGGGAGAAAAATCACGTGTTCGTCGGATGGGGCCATTACCCGGCACTTAGCGAATTCGACGCGGACGGAAACCTGCTGTGTGAGACGCATTATGGTGCATCGAGACTCCATTTCTTTGGACGGGTTGTGTCCTATCGAGCCTTCAAGAACTCAGACTGGGTGGGAAAACCCCTCGATCCTCCCGTGGCCAAGATCCAGGATCAAACACTTTTTGTCAGCTGGAACGGTGCGACAGAGGTATCGGCCTGGACCCTGCAAGGAGCGGAGGCCCAAGATGGCGAAAACGAATTTATCGACCTCGATATTGTTGACAAAGACGAGTTCGAAGAGAGCTTTGATCTGAGCTCATTAACGGGATATTCTCGTTTCCGTGTGGCTGCTCTGGACAAGAATGGCCAATTACTTGGACTCTCGCCAGTGGTCACTCCTCAAAGGGAAGGGGGCTGGTGGAGCTTTTTGTTGGTGGTATTTTTATGGGCACTTGTCATCCGAGCGGGTTGGTCGGGATACAAATGGCTCTCCAATAGGAGCGATAGAATCGGGCTGAGCTGGAAGGGGTATTTGCCATTGAGGAATTCAGCATGACATTCGGAGTCTCGAGTCTTGGGGCGGGCGTTGATGATTCAGTATAGCATTTATCACGACATTTCTCATCATGATGAAGAACTAGAATGACTGTGCATACGATTACGGAGTAATAGTGGCTTGGTACAGTACCTGGCTGACTCACAGAGAATGGAGTCGACCTGATACTTGTGAGAGAAGAGAAGAAAAGAAAACGTGACCAGGAGACCCTATTAATTGGCGCGCTAAACACTTATTAGTTGAGTCTGGGGTATCAAAGTACCGTTTTTCAAGGCAAGTCGACCGAAAAGGCTCGGCATCCATCTGCGTTGACTTAATCATGGGTGACTCCAGCGTCCCTGGCGCCCGATTATATTGAGCCTGAGGTTGGTGAGTTGTGAGTCAGTGGTTGAGGGCTCATGAGCTATTTGAGACGTTCTTTCTGCTCATCAGCGTCACATCTCTGCAAAGCCCTCAAGATGTCTCAGCCTCCCTGGAGTTTGCCTACCGGCTCAACCCACCAGCCGCAATTAAAAGTCTACAACTCGCTGACGCGATCCAAAGTTCCCTTCGTTCCCCTACAGCCCGAGCACATCACCTGGTATGCTTGCGGTCCCACTGTCTACGATGACGCTCACTTGGGTCATGCCCGCAATTATGTTACTACCGACATCATTCGTCGGATTCTGCGAGACTACTTTCACTTCCAAGTTCGATTCGTTATGAATATCACCGATGTTGACGACAAAATCATCCTGCGGGCCAGGCAGAGACATCTTTACGATGAATACAAGAAGAACCATAGGTATGAGGACAGAGGACCCAATTAAAGATTTTCAGAATTGACTTCCTGCCCAGATATATCGACGACCAAGTCCGTCAAGACGTCCGACGTGCCTGGCATTACTATATCCAAAAAAATCTGAAACGATTGGGCCCCAAAACTCTCGTCACTCCCGAAACCTTCGACGACATCATCGAGCATACCTATGCGGATATCCTTCTCGGCGGAAGCTTGGAGGCAGGAACCAAACCTGGTGACAAGGAAGCCAAAATCAAGATGCACATCCATACGGCCATGATCGCTGCCAAAGCTTTACTGCAAGATCCCAAACTCTTGACCCCTCACGAATTCTACAACCGCGTAAGCGATGTGATGTGCCTCGCGCTCGACGAACAGCTGGGAAAGAGTATTCGAGGAGATGATTACGCCGTTTTTACCAAACTGACGAAAGAGTACGAGAACCGATTTTTCCAAGACATGCACGACCTCAATGTCATGGATCCAGATGATCTAGTCCGAGTCACAGAAAATGGCAAGGAGATTGCCGACTTTGTCAAGAAGATTGTCGACCACCACTTCGCTTACCGGACATCAGACGGGTCAGTATACTTTGACATAAAAGCGTTTGAAGCGGCCGGATATCCTTATGCTAGGCTAGCACCTTGGAGTCGAAACGACAAAGACCTTCAAGCAGATGGAGAAGGCGCGCTCTCTCAAAAGGATGAAAGCTTCAAGAGATCCGATGCCGACTTTGCTTTGTGGAAAGCATCTAAACCCGGTGAACCAAGTTGGGAAAGTGAATGGGGCCTCGGCCGACCAGGATGGCACATTGAATGCTCCGCAATGGCCTCGGGAAAACTTGGCCGTCAAATAGATATTCATTCTGGAGGAATCGACTTGGCCTTTCCACACCACGATAACGAACTTGCTCAGAGTGAAGCATTTTGGGCCGATGGCAACCAATGGGTGAACTATTTCCTCCACATGGGCCATTTGTCCATACAAGGCTCCAAAATGTCAAAGTCGTTGAAAAATTTCACCACCATTCGTGAAGCACTTCATGTCAGAAAAGAATGGACGGCTCGGAGTCTTCGGATTGTCTTCTTGCTTGGGAATTGGAAAGATGGCATAGAGATCACCGATGATATGGTGGTCGAAGGCAGAAATTGGGAGGACAGAGTGGACAACTTCTTCCTCAATGCCATGGAGAATCTCAAAGATGCGAATGCGACAGACGAGCAACCAGGAATCCTCCAAGATGTTCTTCGGGATGCAGAGGAAAAGGTCCGGGCTGCACTCTTGGACTCGTTCAATACCCCGGTCGCCATGAACACGATTTCGGCGCTGATTAATGCCTACAACAGTGCGAGAAAATCCGACCTGACGGTGTACGATCACAGAAACATCGCACTCTTTGTCACACGTCTCGTCAATACCTTTGGTCTCAATGGTTCAGAGCCGGCCGACACAGGACAAATAGGCTGGAAAGGTATCGATATTCCCGAAGCCGCAAAAGAATATGTCTACCCCCTGGCTAAGATGAGAGATGAACTTCGACAAGCTGCAATTGCGAAATCCATCACGGCTGAAAAGGTTCAGGAAATCGTCTCCACGTCGCCCGGTCTGGAAGAGCCATCCGCTATGGGAAGGCCAAGGCCATCGTACGCTCGAGCCTTGAGTGAGTTCAGCAGAAATGCCCTCGAGATGGCATCACCCGTCGAGTCGGGTGATCTCAATAAACAGATCCTAGCACTCTGTGACCGCGTCCGAGACGTGGATCTTTGGCAATTGGACATCTACCTTGAAGACCGTGAAAACGCTCCCGCTCTGGTTCGACCTGTCACTGAAGGTCTCAAAGCCGTACGACGCGAGCGAGAAGATAAGGCTCGCCAAAAGGAGGAAGCGAAGAAAAAGAGAGAGCGTGATGCGCAAGAGAAGTTGCAGAAGGGAAGACTCAGTCCTATGGAAATGTTCAAACCCCCAAATTCTAGCGAGTACTCGGCCTGGGATCCTGACGGGATACCAACTGCTGCGAAGGACGGTTCTCCTTTGACGGCGTCACGGGTCAAGAAGTTGAAGAAGGAATGGGATGCTCAAAGAAAAGCGCATGAAAAGTATTTGGCTGCGATGCAGAACGGTTCGACTGCTCAATAGTTGTTAGCCCGTTGATTTTGGCACCCTTTTTATTTCTCTCTTTCTCTTTTTTTCTGTTTTGACAGGGCCCCTTTCGTCATTCACCTTCCTCGGAACGAGTGTATTAGATACCCATACCCAGGTTGAAACCGGTCATCCGTCATATGACATGCCATGCCACGACACGCTTTGCCGATCCAAACGCCTTATAATTCTAGATCCGTATGGCACAGTTCTCCTCGTTTCGTTCGACACTCTATGCTTCGCCTTCACCTTCCAAATGATAACGTTCATATCCTTCCCTCCCCTTTCAATCCCTGGTACAGCGCCAACGCAGCCAACGTCTTGCCGTCCCGTCCCGCCACCTTCCACACTTCATCCAGCCTCACGATCTTCAACGTGATTTTCTCCCCATGGCCCCTAAGCCCGGTCAATTTGCCTTTGAGTTCGTCAATCGATGCCTGAGGCACTGTCTTGCGCGCCAGGAAAATGGGTATGAATTCATCACTGCCACCGGGCGATGGGTATATGGCTGCTTGGAGATGGGGTTCATCTACATCACTACTTTTGACATCACTCCCAGTGGCAGTATGGTGAGCAGGATCAGGGACCCATTCCGAAGGTGAAATACGTGCTTGCATTGTCAACTGTGTCAAATCGAGTAGTTCATCTGCCGCGATTTCCAAACCGGTCTCCTCGCGTATCTCCTTGGCGGCGGCGCCCGCGAACGTGCCGCTATCATCGATCATTCCGGCAGGAAGCTCGACAAAGCTGAGAGACCCCGCGGCAATGCGCGGCTGGATGGTCAAGATCACGTATTCTTCTCGCGTGTCCGTCCATCGATGCGTTGACTCGGGAGACAAGATGATGAGCATCGTAACGCTCCCGCCGCGCATGAATACGGCGCCTGGCAAATGCTCACCGGCATCGTTGGTGACGGTGGCTTTTAACTTGAGAAATCCGAGCCGATCACCTAGAAAAAAGTCGACGGATTGGATCGCGACTGAGCGTAGAGCATAAGGAGAGAAATGGAACGGATGGGCTTGTGAGGTGTATTGTAGAGACAGGGACTTTTGTAGTGTGCCCAGCCAGAGTTTGAAGGCGGGAAAGGTAAGAAGTTGGTCCTTTGTGAGGGATGATGGGTGGGTTATGGGGATGCTAGGGTTCGAGTCAGGGAGATGGAATGTGGATGTCCCGGCGGTGGTGGAAGACATGGTTCTGGATAGAGAGGATGATGAGAGCGCAGGGGTGGGTAAAACGCGTCTGATGAGAAGGGGAGACAAATTCCTCAGCCTTGAAACCATCAGGGGGAGAGGAGGGAGAGTGAAAATGTCCTCCATGAAGAAATGAATGAAGGACATGTTCGTCCTGTGCAAAGTAGGAGGAGAGTAGAAATTGATCCGTGATGTTGGAATCGACCAATCGGCATGCAACAACGGTCTTGGTTTTTTCCGTGACTGGCCACCCCGGTAACCACCTAGTAGGGACTTCCTCGATGTTCCCTTTGGTATTGCTTCTATCTCAGGCTATCTCCTTGCATTTGGTAAATGACTCATCAATCGCAATTGATGCCTGACTCCTCTGATTCGATTTGCCGCTTCCTCCTTCCACCAATGCTTCAACCAATGACCCATGAAGCCACGACGACTTTCACCCTCCGGAACCCACCGTACACCTATTTCCACCTATCTCTCCAGTCTCTGCCACCACAGCCTCAACAATCCCTCGACGAGATAACAGCTCGCTCATACCTGACCGCGGCACTGCGGCAATACCTGGGTCTGACAGGCACGGCCATTGGGATCGACATTTTAAAAGTCAATGGCGCCAACGTCTGGATCCGAATCCCCAGGGACGATGAAATGGCTGTCACTGGCGCATTGAGTCAGTGGGTCAGCTCTCAGGGCGTCAATTTAAGGATCGAGGCCAGAGGGAGTTGGCTGGGTGGCGTGGTCGCGAGAGGGGAAAGGGATCGAAACCTTTGGAGCCTGGGAAACTAGTCGGAGATAATTCAAGAAGAGCGGTGCTCCCTTCCCAACATCATGCACGGGATTGGGACAGATTAACGTCACTCACGAACGCGGCACTAAAGATACACGAGGAACGAATCGAAGCTGAACGCGGAACAAGCAACTATAGCAGCATTGAATTGGGCTAAAAATTTGCAACACGGCTCAGGCTCGGTCACCATCGCCACGTTCCTGCCCAAATCAAGGGTTGCACCAAACTTGAAGGGGCAGAATCAAGTCGCCGGAATAAATCCTCACTCCAACGCCTGCTTCAAAGAAATCTCGTCCGAATCACTATCATCCACCAGATGTCTCCTTTCATCCTCATCGAGTCCACAATCTCTTTTCCTCTCCTTCGGAGCTGTGCGAAACACTCTCATCAGAACCTTGAGAGTGGCGGCTACAAAAGCCCCTACGTCAGCAATCACAGACCGGGAATCCACACAGATTTTCACCAAACTCACCCTTCTTTCCCTTCGCCTCCCCTTCGGTCTGCAAACTCATCCGCCGATCATTCTTGAATGCCTTCTTGAGAACCTTCTCTTCTTCCTTCCGGCTTTTCTCGGCCATGAGGTACCGGGCGCGGAGCTGGTTGAATGCTTGGACCTCGTAATCATGTTGGACTGAAAATGGTGAAACGGACATTATGAATTCGGCAAATGGTGAGATGATGATGGTTTCAAGTCCCCCCCCCCCGAAGGGTCTGACAGGCATCAAGGGACGTTGACGGAGGATGCCGTCGACGCAAAGGATTTATGCTGATCTGTAAGAGTCGCTGGTTACAAAGAAGGAGGAGGAAACACAATTTACGATACGCCCTTCAAACGGGAGCTGAAGGAACTCTCTTTCAACCTCTACGAAACGAAAGAAACCCCCAAAATATAGGGATCATTTTCAGAATTCGAGCCATCTCAGCCTCTTTTATCCTCTCCAGGACGACGTCCCTCCTAGTGCACAACAGAGCAACCGATCCTGGTCGGAAGGAGAAATCACGCAATCGCACCAACTCACCCAGCATTATCAATACAATCAACAGAATATAACTCAGCCGTTCGCCGAAGGTACTGCGCTCTCGGTTTCATTTTCAACATTCAGGCATATCAATCGGTCCATCTATCGGCCGGGCGAAAAAGTGATGGACTTCGGCCTCGTGATTCTGTAGTCCTGGAGCCTTAGGACGCAGGGCTCAAACCGCCGTGTTCGGCCCATAGTCTCGCCTGACGAGGTCCAATTCATCTTTTGCCGGAGCATTGAGCAACCATATGTTCTCGGGCCACATTTCGCCGAACCAGTTCTTCGATTTTCGGCGTGGCAATGGAAACAAGACCAGAAGCAGGGATGGACTACGGCGACACGGATGGTCCGCCGAGTACGTTGATGGGAAATGACGAGTTGCTATCCTGATAAGAGAGTTCCGAAGGTGAGATGCCAATATTCTGAAGCGCTCTGCCGGGACAAAGTTCACGACTACGCCAATGTTGGTAGGGTTGCGGATGAGAACAAGAATAAATACGAGACAGGTCGATGGGCTCAAGGTTCGCGTCATTTCCGATTGCAGTGTTTGGTTGGTGTTGTACAATGCGTAACCCCACATGATATACAGCTTTATATTCATCGACAGACAGGTCGGTGTCCCTACTAGGAACCATTCGGAAAACCCGTACCCGTCGTTTGATAGAAGAGTTTACTTAAAAGAGATCAATTGAAGTTGGGCGACGTGTGCATTGATTATCTTCCCTCAAATTTCTTTTGGATTCTGCGCCCACCAACTCAGTTTAATGCGCAATGGCAGCAGTATACTGTCACTAGACTATGACTATGGCTTTCGGCTGTGATTGTGGCCGATCTGGATCCCCATGTATCCAGATTCCATGCATGATACCAACCAAACGCCATGCTCGAAAAGTTCCTATCCCGTCCCATAAAATTCAGCACCACTGTAAAGCCTCGCATAGTCAATCTGCCCATTCAACTCCATCCCGTCCTGGCCTACATGTCGTTAAAAGTCATGATAATCTGCCTCTGAAATTAGGCCGCTCACTTGTTCGCTGATGGATATGCTTTCGCTTGCCGAATTTGATTTTGATAAAAGACGAATAAAGTACTAACAGGGCACCTTACATCCTTGTGTGAAAAATTGTTCCAATTCGATTTGCAAAGATGATTGCTGCTGCACGGGTCGGCCGTCGTTCGAGACGGTCTTTGAACCGATGCAGATGTTCTGGGGGTTTGAATCAGCCTCGGTTTGGGTCAAGTCTTGAGATTAAAGGTCGCAATTTTGAACATGAGGATCGTGGAGGTCGTGATATCCGGTTCGTAGCATAGGCCGATTCCTAACCAAGATCGACGGAGCGTGTCAGCGGATTGCACCCCAATCTGCCAATTTGCCGACGAGGCCATCACTGTTCCGACCTTCATTGCCCTTCTTGCCAAACACTTTCCAAAATCTCAGGGTTTCATCTCCGGCGCCGGTGACAACAGTCGTCCCATCCGGACTCGTGCTCAAATAAAGGACACGGAACGTATGGCCCGTCAGACTAACGACCTGTTCCATCTTGGGATATTTCCATACCACAATCTGGTTCTGACTGTAACCGTGTGTGGAGACGATTTCATCACTATTCTTGCTCCAAGCCAAATTACACACCTGACTGCCGGTGTCGACCTCTTTGATTAATCTACCATTTGCGGTGTTCCAAAACTTGATGGATCGATCTGCGGTACCGCCACCCGATGCCAGCAAGTGTCTCTGATGGGGACTCCAAGCAATGGCCTTCACTGCGGCAACATGATGTGAAAATCGATAGACGGGTGTTTCCGAGAGCTTGTCCCACACACACAGCTTGTTGTCGTTTCCTCCTGAAGCGAGTTGGCCGTCTTCAGTGTTCCAACGGAGACCGCAGACTTCTTGTTTGTGACCGGCCAGTCGTCGGAGATATTGATCGGGACTGCGGACATCTCGATGATATATCAGTCGGTCTCTTGATCCCGATGTCAAGATATGGTCGTTCCAGGCTAGCGCGCCCACTCGCGCAGAGTGACCAGTCATCGTCCGCAACCTCCTGGATTTTTCGGCGTCATAAATTTGAACGAAACCCTTGTGAGTGCCAATGGCCAGGTGTGAGCCTCGCTGAATCCACGCCACCGACGTCACCAGGTCGTTATCCGGTAATTTGCAGAGTTGTGTAACTTTGCCGGTGGTACTGTTCCACATATAAACACATGATCCCAGACCGACGCCAAGGATGTTGGCGGATCCCCAGTCCACCAGGTTCAAATAGAAGTCGTCTGCCAATTCGGGAGCATCCAGCACTTTGTACGGCACTTTGGCAATCGGACGAGGTGGTTTTCGGGGGGTTTGGAGAATAGACTGGGAGGAGTAGTTGATGGGTGAGATAGAATACAAATCGGACCGGGCATTCAGATTGATGATGCCAGGGTGTTTTGCCGCTCGGGAAGAAGGCGTGGGATGACCGGATCCCATCACCTTTTGTGGGGATGTGTATGAAAACATATTCTTGCGGGGCGTCGTGGGAGTGATGGATGCTGGAGGAACGGCAGAAATGGGTGGCTGACCAGGAGGCGTTTGCCGTCTGCCAAAGAGGTCATCTGGAGACAGAGATCGATAGTCTTGCGGGACCGTGTCGCCCATCAATTCGTTGCGCAAAACTTTGGAATAAGTTCTGTCGGCTTCTTCAGTCCGTTGAAAGTGGAGTTCACCGTGAGGGGTCTTCTTCTTCGACCGAGAAGGTGTCGCAGGAGATCCGTCATCATGCAACAAGCTGTAGCTGGCTTGTAGATCTTGTCCATCTCGATTGGGGATAAATCTAGAGATTCCCGTCAGTCTCGGCAATGTCAACACCGCACTTCCACTCACCGATCTCCATATATTCTTTGTCTCTTGCGGCTCGGACTTCTTCCAGGCGTTCTCTCCCTCGGTCCTCTGGCATTTTCAATCTCTTTCAGTCTCCGATTCAACGCTTCGGCTTCCATCGCCTCGGTAGCTCGTTTAATAGCGGACATGCTGTCGTCGTTTCGAGGCAGCCGATTGGTGGGGATTGTCGGAGGAGTTCTGGAGCCAACAGGAGTCGGCAAGGAGGGTGTTCGAGGGCGATCGGAGTGGTCGACAACGAGAGAAGCTGAGTCTTCCGGCATGGCGACAAGGTTGTTTGGGTGACGAGGGAGATGAAGACTGTTGTGATGGAATGGTGTCGCGACTGAATCACGGGGTGATGCACAACTGAAGTGACTTGGAAGACGTTGAAGTACGCAACGCAGCCCGGCAGAGATGTGAGCACCTTGTGCAGTGCTGAAAGTATGTCGTGGATGTGTTGGGGGTCTCCGCAACCGCGACCAGATTGTCGCCCTGACCTGACGGGTCCTCTGCGGTTCCTGAAAGGATTGAAACACAGGCGAGCTAAAATGCGTACATTATGGCAATAAGTGGCAAGGCAACAATGTGCAATGAATAGATGGCACTCCAACTGCAAGGTAAAATTATTGTGTAGACACGGTGAACTGGTGGAGGGTGTTAATGGGATTCGCATTCAGGGACGACAAAGCGACAAGTCCCGTTTCTGTACTCACTAACCGTCTACGGTCTAGCCGCCCGGCAACGGTCTTTTCCCAAAGCGGATGAATACAAAATACCAAAAGTTGGCCGCAGCTTACGCTCTTCTACTAGACCCGACCGTGGAGAAGAACACTATATGGCTGCGAGTCTCTCTCTTCAACTCGTGTACTGGCATTCCTCATCCATACAAGTGCCAATCCTGACAGCATTGTTGTCGTGGTCGATGCCCGACACGATGCATCCCTATCTTGGCCGACCACAACAAGCCCACTTTACGCGGCCGGGTCCAGCGACCGCAGGCGAAAAGCTCTACTGTAAACATCGCGTTTTGTCTGTTTGTTGTGGCGGCAAACAGCGGGTTCTCCGTCGGTTTCAGACATCTTTGAGCATTCTCGATCTTCCCTTTCTAATGGATGTTTAAGAGATGGCTGCGGGAGCAAAAATGATTTGACAAGAGCGGCGTTTCAGATAAACGGGAGCCTGTTAGTCTCAGCGATTGGCGTCTGCAGGGCTCTTGGACAGGCGATGGTATTGGCCAAGCACTGGGAGCTTGGACCAGCAGACCACTTGCGGGGGACTCAATCGGCACCCACGTTTGCAGCCTGCACAATCGTTCGTCCATACGGCCTCATTGAGTAGATTCACGTCTGTTTCTATCCAAATCCCTAAGCCTGAACCCCTCATCGTCTATTCTTCCGCTAGAGTAACAGCTAGTACATGATCCTACGTCTGAGGCTATCCTTCCGCCGCCTGCCCTTTGCCAGACTTTATTCCACCATGCCCCCGGTCGACGTCAAAGTGGCAGCCCACGATTTCCTCGACTTCGTCAATGCGTCACCTACCCCGTTCCACGCCGTCAAATCTGTCAAGGAGCGATTGAGTAAGGTGGGCTTCCAAGAGATCAAGGTTGGCCATCCCTTTCTACACCGGCTCTCCGTTACCGGCTTTATTAACACGATCCGTTAGGAGAAAGAATCATGGTCCTCGACCTGCCTCCCAGGGGGTAAATACTTCCTCACCCGGAACGGGTCGACCATTGTGGCCTTTGCAATTGGCAACAAATGGAAGCCTGGAAACCCGATATCCATGGTCGGCGCACACACAGACTCGCCCTGTCTACGCATCAAACCTGTGAGCAAGAAACAAGGAGACGGATTCCTCCAAGTGGGCGTGGAAACGTACGGCGGTGGCCTGTGGCACACTTGGTTTGACCGCGATTTGGGGATCGCAGGCCGAGCAATGGTCAGAGGAGCAGATGGCAATGTCGTCCAGAAGCTGGTTCACATCACCAAACCAATTCTGCGCGTTCCAACCCTCGCCGTCCACCTCGACCGACAAGAGACATTCTCCTTCAACAAGGAGACTCAACTATTCCCAATCGCCGGTTTAGTCGCCGCCGAACTCAACCGCCAGGGCAAGAAGAAGGATCCCACCTCAAGCGAGGAAGAAGAGCAGGCCAGACCCTTCACACCGCTCAAAGCCATGACAACGAGACATCACCCGCACATTGTTGAACTGATAGCCAAGGATGCGGGAGTCTCCCCCGAAGACGTGGTCGACTTCGAGATGGTCCTCTACGACACGCAAAAGGCATGCCTGGGAGGTTTGACGGACGAATTCATCTTCTCGGCCCGCTTGGACAATCTCAACCAAACTTACTGCGCGACCATGGGTTTGATCCACTCGCTCAGGTCGTCTTCGGCACTGGACGACGAATCCTCCATCCGCCTAATTGCATGTTTCGACCACGAGGAGATTGGCAGCATGACGGCACAGGGTGCGTTCTCCGCGATGCTGCCGGCGGTCGTTCGACGACTCTCAGTCCTGCCCTCCTCGTCCTTCGTCGAGGAGACATCAGAGGAATCGTACGACCATGCCAGCGACCCAGAACTATCAACGGCATACGAACAAACATTATCCGGTTCCTTCCTTCTCTCGGCCGACATGGCACACTCAGTCAATCCCAACTATGGCGGCAAATACGAATCCGATCACCGCCCAGAGATGAACCAGGGGCCGGTAATCAAAATCAACGCCAACGCGAAGTACGCCACGAACTCGCCGGGTATTGTGTTGCTTCAGGAAGTTGCTCGCAAGGCCGCCAAAGTCATTGACAGCGACCCGGACGGTGTGCCATTGCAGTTGTTTGTCGTGCGCAACGACTCAAGCTGCGGCACCACCATTGGACCAATGCTGTCGGCTCACCTAGGCGCCCGTACCCTTGATCTCGGCAACCCACAGCTGTCGATGCACAGCTGCCGTGAAACTGGCGGCGCCGATGATGTCCACCATGCCATCAGACTGTTCAGCAGCTTTTTCCAGCATTATTCGGCTTTAGAGAAGACGATCTTGGTGGATTGATTTAGCTTACTTTGGTTCGAGGAGGTCGTGTCGCACCGCTTAACGAACGGGCCCTGCCATTCGCAGTGCGTGGAGCGTACGCAGGCCATGGACGGTGACTGTAGGAATATGGAGAACATCTCTTTGGCTTCAAATTTTGTCGTTGTCATCCGAGATGTTTGCACGTTCCTGGGCGGATTCGACGTAGGTGGCGCAGCACTCTAGGGGGCTTTAAGTGGTCATTTAATTTGTTTGGAGTCAAGTCAGGATATATAGAGGTTCTGCATGATCCACCACTTCTCTTGGTGCTTTGAGACCTTTCAGTTGAGCAGACATGCTCGCCTAATTGCAATCTACTTCGAACGATTCATCTTTCATTGAGCATGGAGAGAGGTGGATTCAATTCTTACGGAACACACGAGAGGGATTCACGTGCATGGCAAAACCGGAACAATAGGAAGGCAAGTTTCATTGAATGAACTAAACGAAGGTCTGCCATCCCGCCAACTGATATCCAAAAACAAATGCTGAGGGAAGGTTGACAATCGATGGTATTTCTTGTAAACCACCCTTGCGGCATGGACAAGAAAGGCCAGTTCGACTATACTATTTGGGGGGAGGATTATCCATAACTTTCTGAGAAACAAAGCTGTGCAATGAAATATGGTCCGTTGAGTAGGACCTCGCCTTTTGTTGGAGCAGAGACTTCAACTGCTCTAAAGCCCCGACGAATGCACTGTGAACAGCTGACTATGGTAGAAAACCTTTTTGACGGGTGGGAGTACCTCATCGTCGATGCCGGCTGTTCCTGGACATGAAAAAGAAAGAGATGTTCATGTTGATTGATGCCCTCAACGCGACTGTTGTTGCTAATGATTGAAACTTGTCAAGAGCGAGGGTGTGAACACGACACTCAAACGGACCTGCTTAGATATACCACATCGCAAAGACAATGCCGTTGGCATTGAAGAGAGGCATGAGTGGCTTAACTTCGGAGTCTGATGGCTCAGAACTTCGTGAAGGAGCGTTCTGTTTGAAACCAGGGCCAGATTGAGGGCCCAGGGTCGCGGACAAATCTTCGTGTGCTCTGGCACGATTGGAGGCAAGATGAGCATAGTACACAGCTGGGTGAAGAGACACCGAGGTTGTAGACCGCATATACTGATAGCAGTGCTCATATATCATATTCTGGATAGTCTCAGGACGATGGTTGGCGTCGTCGTGCAGAACGGTGTAGTGGACTGGACGAGAAGTCCCCTGCAACGCGACATGAGAATACTGGTAAAAGTCGAATTCATTAGGCATGGTAACATCTCGCTCAATCAAGCAACCTGGGAGAGGATTGCCCTTTTGATCACCGGCGTCTCTGTCAACAGGGAAAGAGCGGATGTGGTGACGCTTGGATGCGATGATGACGGTGATGTTGCCGTTCCACGGCTTGGTGTTCGAACAGGCCTCGAGAACTGCCTTGATATGAGGCACCTCTTGATTGATGACGTGTGCAAACTCGCCCTCAGATACACCATCTCGGATGTAGTAGACTTGTTGCGGGCCGCGACCACCACCGACTTGAGATATCCACTGAGCGATTAGAGGTTTCAACATATTTCGCATATTAACTTCAGAAATCATCTCGACACGATGGCTATTAGTTTGACAAGCGGCAGCGTATCTTCCGCCGAATCGATCGAATGACACCGTCAGAGCCGCCATGGATGCCTGCGTACTTCCAGGTGAAGCATGAGAGACATCAGCACCGATGAACATAGTAGGAACTTGGAAGGGTTTGGTTCCGCTAGTGGGTGCGGGGACGGTCTGGGAGGTGGTACCACCCAGTTTGGCGTTGACCTTCATCAAAACATTGGAGTAATATTGAGGATTTCCTTTCGTGGCTTGTTGGAGCTGCATAACTTGCGACACCACACCGTATCGACAGTCACAGGACTTCTTGATGCGGAGATAGTGGAAACTGTTCTTGTCTTGAACCAAGAATATCAAGAGCTGGGGACGACGTTGGAAGTGATTACCGGTCGATTGATGGAGATCCTCAACTGCATTGCCAGCGTCTTGGTTCAGCAACTTGACGAGGGGAGGCTTATTGGCAACGTGACCACCGTGGTTGCGGTAAGCTCTAGCAAAATCAAGACAGAATTTGTCGATTAGAGCTCTGTCCGGCTTTCTGCCCGGAAAGATACCTACACCCCATGAAACGAGTTCTTGAGGGTTGGTCTTCAGGAACTTCTTGCCACGGAGATCCCATCGACCTCGAGTGCCGGGATTCTCTATTTGATTGTTGCCAAACTTAACCCCCGGTGCCGGAAGAACTCTGGCATTTGTCATGATTGGCTTTTCGTTGACTCTGAGGCCGTAGTTGGTGATATGCTTGTCGCCACTCCAATTGAGCCACGACTTTCCTTCGCTGATCGCTTCCAGGCGGCGAGCTGGTGGAGAGACGGCGAACTTGATCATATTGGCTGTCTGCAACTCGTCTAGCTTGGAACCATAGCGCTGACCATCAATCAGATAGAGAAATTCCATAGGATACTTGACACCCTTCTTGGTCATTTCCACCAGTGGTAGGTTAGGATGTTGAAGTGCCATGTTGTACTTCCGCTTGAAGTACTGGGCAATGCTAAGCATCTCGCCGGTTGGTTTCCTCGTCTGGGGATCTTTCCATTCGATTCTCTCCTCGTTCGCATTGTTGACATCGAATCGATGAATCTTCCATTCTTTGCCAGGCATGGGGTTGCCTTTGTACTGGGCAGTGACAACCATGCCTTTGAAGGCTCTCTCGACGGCTTTGTGGAAGGCATTAGGAGTCTTGGATCCATTGGCCTGGGTGGGGCGCATCTGGTAGGCAATGTCGTTGACGTCTTTGATTTCTTTCCATTTGGTAACCATGGCAGCGGTGAGTGAACTAGGTTTCCAGAAGCAAGAGTTTGCCACATCGAGATTGATGATGAGTTTCTTGCCCTCAGCAAGACGCATGGACTGATAAATGCCGCGCCACACTTCGATGCCGCCTCCAAGATCAGCTCGCTGACCTTGACGCTTGAACACTGAACGACGGACCGCAACAAATTGGTTGGAGTTTGATGGGCCCTCGCGCAAGAGGTGGTCCATGAAATTGATTGCCTGTAGAATGTCCGGGCTCATCTGAACCCTGCCTTCGAGGAACTGTTGGATCATTCCAATGCTGACTTCACGTGTCTGCTTGATGTGCAGGCGAAAGGTATTTCTCTCCCCTCGTGATGGTCGACCCTCCTCCGCATCGAGGTCCACCATGAGACGGATCTCGCCATGTTTGTTTAGTGACCAGGCGAGACGGTTGCCATCATAGATCATTGCAGGGCTCGTAGCATCTTTGCGTGCTTTGGAGTTCCAAACCTTTCGTTGCACGACACGCTTCTCGTTGCCGTTTCCGATAACAACATCGTACTGATACACCTTCGCAGTGGGATATTGTGTAACTGCGTATGCGTTGACATTGAGTCTGACTGCTTTTCCAGTATTGTTGTAACCCGGACGCTGGGTGAATTCGGTGGGCAAAGCATACTGGAAGTCGTCAGTGCCCGGGGCAGCAACATGGCAGAAGTACGGGACTGTAGAAGCAGTCGGACCGGAAGGCATTTTGCTGGGAAATGGGCACTGCTATGTGGGATGGGTAGGGAAGAAAGAGACCGCTTAAATAGATGAGAGGGATAGTAGTGCAGACAACACAATACATCGTGAAGGATGGGTAGGCACAAAGAGAGGTAACAAGTTCTGAAACAATGCGGATGTGATGTTTGACAGTCATAACAGCATTGTGCGAGATGGACATTGAAGAACATTGGTGCAAGGGAATCTGCGTGAGGGAAGGAGTATAGGAGAGATGTGGTGAAATAGAGTGTCGAAGTCGATCAGGAGGGAATATGGCTTGGGGGGTGGATGGAAATATTCCGAGTCAAATATTCCGGGAGAAGAGCTCAATGGATGGGTGTGGAGAGGGACCAAACATATTGACGACATATCCAAGTCTGGAGTGAGCTTACCAATTGGTCAACATTGTAGAATGAAGCAGGCAGATCAATGTTGCGCATCTGATCAGTGAACCGAGATGGTCGGTCACGAGCAGGATCGCCTTGAGGTCCTGAGGCACTTGGTTGCTGTGGTGCTGGTGCAGCTTGTGGTGCTTGTGCTGGTGGCTGACCTCCGGATTGACTGCTCCGTCGGGATTCTAGGGAAGGTGTCAGTGGTGCGAAGCCGCCTTGAAGGGGGGGGTTTGGTGAACCTCTTCCAGAGCCAACAGACGGTACGTTTGACGGGCGTCTGCCATGCGAACCGGGACCAGAGGCTGAGGCGCTGCCTCGAGAGGCAGGGCCGTCAAAACCGCCGCGTGGAACTTGGAGCCGATCACCACGTCGTGAGGAGGACGAGTCAGATGTCTGTTGACCTCGAGTCGCGCGACCTGCGCCTCGCTTACGTGCTGCACCGGACATGATGGGCTGATGAACCGAAGCCTGTGCAATGACGCGTCAGTGTGAAGTGTTGCGGGAAAGGGAATAGAAGACGAAGAAGGGAGTCCGGACCTGACTGGGGGATGTCTTAGAGGAGGATTGAGGAAGGTGGGAGAGAGAGAAGAGATCTTTGCAGATCAGGAAGAGATAGAAGATGAAGGTTGAAAGGTGATAATGGAGGCAGAGGAAGTTGCTTATATAGGCAGTTGCGCAGTCAGGCTGAATCGCACATGCTCGCGTCGACAACGACCGCAACGACGATTCACCCAAAGAGCCGGCTCCGGCCTTGGTAAGACCTCAATTGAGGCTGATATGAGGGTCGTTTGACGTTATCGAGCTGGAAGCATGAAGTCAAAACAAGAAACATGGGACTGAGGGAATGAGATCCCGGACGTGGCCAACGCTAGCTACATGTAGCCTAGTCAGATTTGCTCACCGACTTATGCGCTCCCCAGGCCACTGCGCTCTCCCCAACAGCACCCTTCCGAGGCGGTTTTCCCAAAGTTTGGCATGTCTCGGGTTGAAAGAGTAGTTGCAATTCAAGATGTAGTACAATACATTAACACAGTCACTTTGGAGCAAGGCCTGGCAGCAGAACGGTACGGCTATGGACAAAATGAGATTAAGAGTAGGATTTCACCTGGTATCTCTGCTCAATTCTTTCTTCATAATACCAGTGTGGACCCGCCCAAGATACCCCATGATTGACTTTTCGTGACGCAAGACCCATACCATCTTCCCAAAAGACCAGTGGATACTGGAACCCCCCCGATTAAGATCCTACCCCTGCGCAATGCATGTTTCTGGGCTCGTGATGGTACAACAGGTTGATCTCATCATCTCAAACGCCATGAAAATGCAAGACATCAGTGACCAATGTGCCATGTCATCAATTCCTTCATGCGAAACGAAAATGGAGCTGTCATCAAATTGGTATCTGTGGCTTTGGGGAGTAGTTGATTAAATCCAAGTACCTCCACTGTATTGCCCTTGTGTAACCCCCGGTGGCGGTATGAAGCCTTGCGGCGGCATCGGAACTGGTTGGTGCGACGGATACGGAGGCCAGCCTGATCCAGGAGCAGGTGCCGGAGGCTGATGCTGCTGACTAGTGACTGCACCTGGCGGTGGAAGATGGACATCGCGAATCAATTCAACCATTTTGGCAGCGTCAAATCTGGTGTCGACGTAGGTTGAAGCTTTAGGAAGGATGCTGAGTAGGTAGGTAATCTGGGGTGGCAGTGGAGGGGGCACAGGGAAAGAAGGCATCCCAGCAGGTTGACGTTGTTGTTGTTGCTGTTGTTGCTGTTGCTGATTCATCCGACGGCCAGCCGCACCCTTAAGAGGCGACTCGCCCCGTGCCAATTTACGTGGCATGGCCTCTTCGAAATCATCCGGAAACGGGCGTTTGGGAGAATTGGTTGTGATGGCGTCGATGACCTTTTGGATTGGAGAATTGACTGTCTCCTTTACTTCCACCGACGGGACGATGGACGGTTTAGCAGGTTGAATTTGGCACGGTGAAATAATGGGTCGGACGTTGATTGGGTCAAAACTTGGGGTGCTATATCGGCTGGAAAATAGCTTGAGAGTGGGATCTTCTGGAAAATGCTTTCTCATTCTCTCTTCGAGAGATTGGACTTGGGACAATTCTCCATATTTTGATTCGTAGTCGTGCAGGAACGCAAACAAGGGCTTAGCTCTTGCAGTATGTTCCGCATCATCGTGCGCAAGAAGCCTCTTGACTGTGGTTTCGAAGACCGCTCTTGCATTTGTGACATCGTTGATATCAAACAGATGTTTCACGTATTGCAACGGAAGGTAATCGTCTTCGGGGAAGAGCTTCATGCCACGGTCGAGTATCTTGGTCCCAGTTGGGTCGCGATAGCATTGCCATTCAATACGTGCAGACTCGACATAGAAGTCACTGGTCAGTTTGCCTCGCTTGCGGGCCTCGCCGAAAACAGCACGAAAGCCACTTGGGCCTCGATCGGTCGGCAATCCTTTCCCTTGCACTCGACGAGTTGCCCGCATCAAAGCAATCCACACATGTGAGATCATTTGACTGAGAGTGTCTGCCTGTGCTTGAGCCCCTTTCCTGATAGTCTCAATCTGGCCATCAATTACAGCCTTCTTTGCCGCCACATTGGCAGCATTGATTTCGTCCTCTTCAGTGCCATTTCCATCTCCATTAGCCGCGGCTGCGAGCTCGGCTTTCTGGATGTCCTGTTTTTCACGGACAGATACTTTCTTGATCAACTCGTAAAGCGCATCCAAAACTTTGTCGTATGGCTCTCGAATTTTCTTCATCCGTTCTTTGGCTCCAGGATCTGAGCCTTCATCGTTCTGCGTTGATGACTCGATACGGTCTGCGAGTTTGAATGCGAGAAGTGGTGACTCGGGATTTGACGCAATTCCTTGGTTCAGCAGTTTGGTACCGTCGCTGTCAAGACCGTTGGCGAAACAGAATTCGACTGCCTCATACCACATTTCTGGCCAGAACTGCAACGCCATTAGAGCCTGCCTGTATGTGAAAAGAATTCGGGTGCGATATAGAGCAAAGTCCTCGTCTTTGAGAACAAGGTTGTCCTCCTTTTCCCATTCGATCCACTGTTTCCACAAGGCAACTTGCTGCATGTATTCGTCGTGACCTTCGAATCCGGCTGCCGGTGGTAACCGTGGCCGCGAGGTCCGCTGCAGGTCTTTGGTGAGGTTCTGCAATTGAGTGTACGCCGTTCTTGCGGTCATGTAGACCGGTGACTTTTCCTGAAGGTATTTTCGACCCTATGGATGGATTAGCAAAAGTTCCCAAGTAGGATGCGACCACAGTCCAACATACATTGATCTTACTCAATCCCGTCTCGAATGCATCGTATTCCTTCCAAAGAGTTGTCGTCGCCGCAGTGGGGACGGCGATTGCTTTTTGATATGCTTCTCGCAACGCGTCGACCTTTGCTCCATCTTGCCAGCCACTCCCGCCAACAGTTCCTGGACCAGTTTTTAAGAAATTAATGTAGTCTTGCCATAAGTGGCCCGAGTCTTTATCCATTCCAATGGTTTTGAGCGCAAAACTGAACGACTCATTGATGATGCTGTAAGATCTCGCGACATCTCCCGACTGCATACTGTTGCGGCGGCGAATGTAGTTGATGTACAGTGACCAGAGTTGAACATCAAGCACTTCAAGAAGAGATCGATTGAACAGCGTTTCCATAGCACGCATCCTGTCGTGTTCCTCTTCCCATTTGACAAAAGCGCACCATTGTTCCGCCTATTGCAGGTCAGTAGGGTTAGAAAAAAATGTCGAAATAAGAATAGACACATACAGCCAATGGAAATACGGCAAGATACTGTTCGTATACCCTGCGAACATCATCCTGTTTGTTTCGACTCTTCAACTCGTCGATCAATTCGAGATAAGCAGCTGTGTCACCGCGTGGGTCGTCTTTGATTCGGTCTTCCAAAATACCAACCACATCATGAGCTAGTCGAGACTTGGGTAAGCCTGGAGCAACAGAACCATTCACATGAGAGCGAGGCGGAGAAGGTTGAGCTGGAGCATCAGGAGCAGTTTGAGAAGGTGTGGCGGTGGCAGCACGTGGTGCATCAGCGCCAGCAGGAAGAGTGGAAGAAGAAATGTCAGCAGGGCTACCAGTGGCCTGGACAGGAACAGGAGCGATTCCATTTTCTTGTTCTGGTGACTGGAAAGTTCTATCAAGGGGATTTGAAGGGGCAGGCGTAGGAGCATCGAAGTCCAAGCCAATAGATGGATCATAGACATCACCCTCATCCTTTCCATCCGGGGTCCCTTCCTCATCTTCTGGGTCATCATCAACTTCAAAGCCGCCCACTATTCGGGCCTGGGCTTGCGAAGGGGGAGGAACGGATGTAGTAGACATGCTTGGTGTTGCGGCTTGAGAAGAAAGTTGGCTGACAGGTTTCGGAGGAAGAGGATGAAGAGTAGACTGAGTCGGAGATAGTATTGTATCACGCAAATTATCGACTGAACTCATTTCTGAGGAAGTAAATGGCTGCGCCTGATGGACAATTGAACTGTCGGTTGAAGCCTCAGCACCGTTTGGCCCAGCGTGAGATGATTGTACGGCAACCTCAGTCGATGACGAAAGCACCTCCTGATCCGGGCTCGCCATCGATATCGACCTTGTCTAAACGTTGCAAACCGACAGAAATGGAGGGAGGGAACGAAAGGAAAAAGATTTCTCTGTGGTGAAGTCAGCGTCAACAGTACATTGCGAGTGGTGGTAGCATTGAGCACTGACCAATGTTTTTATCCGTAGCTATCGTAATTATCAGGAGGATGAGCAGGAGGAAGCCATTACTATCTAGGTTCACAAATAATTCAGAGAAAATCGTAGAGATGCGAAAGAGCGGGCGTTGATTGCTTGTGAAGTCATGGATCTGGCTTGGATGAGAAAGCGCAGGAGAGAAGCCAGGATGAGCGAAGATCTTGAAATGAGCAGGTGTCAAACAGGCAGCGCAGAGGGCAAAAACGGGTCATGCCATTTCGGCCAAGCCCCAGATGGTTTTGCACAGTAGCAGCTAAAGGTGGCTTGCATGAACGCGAATTGATCGCGCTGCCCCAATTGTCTCCAACTCTCCCCGCGACTTTTTACTTATGCCTCATCTCTTCACCAAACATTCGCAACGACATTCTTTGGACCCCCCTCTCAGAGCGCGCATTAGAGTCCCTGCCTCCCTTCTAAAGAGTCCTGGAACTGTACTCTCTTCTTTCAACTTCATACGCCACCGCGCAAGTTTACTGTCGCGCACCTCGCGAGCATGTCTGTGGTGTCGCTCTTAGGCGTCAAAGTTCTAAATAACCCTGCACCGTTCACAGCGCCTTATGAATTTGAGATCACCTTCGAATGCCTTGAACAGCTGCGAGAAGGTAAACACCGGACTGCATGATCAAAATGCCTCAGATCGGCTTACTTCTCCATCAGATCTCGAATGGAAGCTCACCTACGTTGGCTCGGCGACATCGGCGGAGCATGACCAAGAGCTCGACTCGCTACTCGTTGGGCCTATTCCAATTGGCGTCAACAAGTTCATCTTCGAAGCCGATCCGCCTAATCTTTCCCGCCTGCCCTCTTCTGAGATTCTTGGTGTGACCGTGATTCTCTTGACCTGCTCCTACGACGGACGAGAGTTTGTACGCGTTGGATACTACGTGAACAATGAGTATGATAGCGAGGAATTGAATGCCGAACCCCCCACCAAACCAGTCATCGAAAGAATCCGCCGAAATGTCCTTGCGGAAAAGCCAAGAGTCACCCGGTTCGCCATCAAGTGGTACGTGATGGGCTCGCGCCGTTGAAAGTCATTTGAAGAGCTAAAGTGTTCTCTCTACAGGGATTCCGAAGAGTCTGCTCCAGCCGAATATCCTCCTGAGCAGCCTGAAGCCGATACCCTGGACGATGACGGTACAGCCTATGGCGCGGAAGAAGCAGAGATGCAGGCTGCACTAGAGAAAGAACTTGAAGAGACAGAAGCGGCCGCTCGGAAAGAAGTGAACGGCGATCAAGAGATGACAGGTGCGAGCGGCAAGGCCAAAGAAGATGACGAGGCTAGTGACGACGGAAGCGAAGATCTCGAGGAGGAGAGCAGCGAAGAAGATGAAGAAGAAGATGAGGAGGAGGGCGGTGAAGGTGAAGATACCGAGATGGGAGAAGGCGATGAAAAGCCTACCGCCACCGCTGAGTCAAATGGCGAGCAAAGGACATCGACAGAACCGCAACCCGAAGTCATGGTACATTAGAGTGCACAGCACGTTGGTGCCAGCAAGGTGTTCAGGAGTCACTGGTGGATTGGTTGTGAGACGAGAACATGGAATGAAACGAGAAAAGACCGTTGATGGATGGGAGAAAGTCTTTTACATAGGTATGATACACTGGCACGGCGCTGTTGGCATTGCATGATGCTCAACCCGGATGGTGCTGCGATTACGTCTTGCTAGACTTGAATTAGTCAGCCTCATGGCTGAAGAACTTGTAATAAACTGCACAGCCCTGAATTTGGCTTTCTCTGGTACAACCGCATTCATCAGACATGTCCATGTCACGAAACGTCACACATGAGCTCTGACAAATTTGGCTCAAAACAATGTTGAAATTGAGAATCATGTCGTCCTGACATCTCGTGAAGATCGAGGTGGATCGCTCCTGTAGAAAGAAACGGAAGACGCGGAAGACGAATGTCCCAAATCTCAAAAGTCACTCACACCCCCGAGTACACAGCAGTCACATTCCTGCCGCATTCGACACGTTGCTCGATTTCCACTTTCCGACCCTTCACCTTCACCTTGTGTTTGGGCGTGATATGAAAGCGGTGCTCGTCTTTCCTGCCCACCTCGATCTCCGCCGCCATATCTAGCGGACGAATATATAGCGGCGTGGCGACGTTGTTCCTCTTCCCAGTTCCAAGCTGGTAGTACTCGTTGCCGCCCCACCATAAGACGTCAGCACCCCAGTTTGTGTCGTCCTCGGAGCCTCGCTCGTTGGCATCCAGGTAGGTGACATTGGCCATCACTGCAGCAGTGTGCTCGGAACCGATGGAGAAATTGGCCATGCGAATGGGTATGGAACGATGCTTCTTCTCGTCGTATTCAAAAAGACCACTCAAGGCTGGGATTTTGACCGGCTTCTCTTGAATATGTGTCCATTTCCCGTTGGCAAGGGACCCTTTGATACCTCGCCCGCAGATCCATGCGTCCGCTGTTACACGACCGAGATTACGAATGCCAGCCGGGTCTTCAAGTCGGCCTGCAACACGTGTGGCATCAATGGTGAAGATGCTATTCTTCCCTCCGGCAAAGACGTTGGTGACTTTTGGTACTTGGTTGGCGCCTTGGTACCAACCGTTGATCGGTAGTGGAGTCGGTGTCTCAACATAAGGCGATTCGGTGGAATCGATACCCAATTGGCCTGACGAATTGTCACCCAGGACAAACACTCTCCCGCTTTTGTCTAGTAGCACAGAATGCAGGTCACCAGAGACCACCTTCTGAATCTTGAAGCCTTTAAGCGTCTCAAGCTCATGGCACATATCGTAAGGGCCTTTCGGACGTGTCAGCCACGTTAAGCCTGGAACTCCCAACTGTCCACGGCTTGGGAAATCCTCGGTCCCAGAAGCAGCAGTATACGCTCTACCGGCGTTCGTGAGCAAGACAACATGCTCCAACCCTCCGCTAATAGCTGTGACTTTCTCAAACATACCCAAATTCTTTGGCTGAAGTTTCCTGTAGCTGATATCGGACCTTTTACCAAAATACCCCATCCAAGAGCTCTCGATCGGCTTGAATCCACTGTCTTGATCCACCTTCGAAACAGGAATGGAATAGACTGTTCCATTCTTCGATAACCCGATGATACGATCTTTCGATATCTCAATGGAAGTAAGATTTTTACCCTTGAATGTGGCGGTTGGTTGCTCTGTGGCATCAGAGTATCCGGCTCCCCATTGAACAAGATCCCCATTCTCCAGGACGGCGGCGCCAAAGTTCATATCGAGCTTGATATCCCGAAGTAGAACATCGTCGAAGTAGGGTATTCTTCTCGGGGTCTTGACATAGACGTCCTTCGAACCAGGAGCCGCAACTTTGGAAGCGTTCGATCCCCATGCATATACTCCCGGATTTTCCCAGCTCTTCTTGACTTGTAGATGCTGGGAACTAATCATATCCCGATTTTCCTCTTTCGAAACGCCCTTTTTCTTCTTTGGTTCCTCAACTATCAGCTCCGGCGGCTCAGGAGTAGGCGCTGGAGGAGCTTCTGCCCGAACTTCATTGAACCGAGAAGTGTAGACAATGGCGACGACGGCTGCTGCAGCGAAGATTGCAGCTGATTTTTTCCTCCATGGTTGATGCGGACTGAAGTACGGTGTCGCTCTGTGTGAGAATTTCCTGGGGCTCATCAGTTGGGCACGAGATCGAGGTCGGATTGTAGGAGCTCGATGCGAGCGTGCCAGGCTGCGGATAGCGGTGGCACCGAAGCTTCTCGCAGACATTGTTGTATCTTTTTCCAATTAGCTCGAGGCCAACATTGCTTCTCACATCCCTGTGGCCGTTTGACAAGGTCAGTTGTCGTAGAGTGGATAAGGAAGATGTGATAGCACGTATTCGGGAAATCATGGACGTCATGGGAGATCCTCACCGCCTAGAAGTTTTTGGAAGTGGCAGAATTTTTGTTTCAAACACGCAGGCCCTCTCTTATTGGCCATTTCCACCCACAACCCATTGTCTTCCTGTTGTCGAGTCTATTGCTATGTATGGGACTTGCGAGGGCAAGCAACATGAATTCGTACCAGTCCTCATGAGTCCACATTGCGGGCCTTTGAGGAAATATACGAGCCTGGCGAGCCAAAGCCATGGCCACAATAGATCCCGTCGAAGCAGACGAAGATGCCACCCTTGCACGACTCCAAAATGCAGAAACAGAATTGGATCTGTTCAAACTGTCCGGGGACATGGACGATGCATTACTGGATGCCAGTCTAGATAAGTACCAGTGCGGCTGAACCTCCACTACATCATACAAACGAACCTTCGCTAAAGAAATTCCAGACACTACCTCGATCAGCTGGACGTGGCACGAAGCCATCTCGACACGCTCCTAGCCGATACGGCAGCCACACTTGGTGAACTGACCGAAATCTCCGCCTCGTTCAAAGCCATCGACGCCCAGACCAAAAACTTCCAGAAACTCTCCGTGAACATTGTGGAGGAGCAGAAGAAAAACGATGCGATTGCTAAGGATGTAGCCGAAAATTTGCGCTACTATGAACCGCTGGAGCGGATTACAAGGCGTCTCAACGCGCCCGGGGCAGGCGCATTCGTTCGAAGCAAATCCTTTTCTGAGATTCTTGTGACGCTGGACGAATGCATAGACTACATGCAAACGCACCCAAGTCACAAGGAGGCCGAGACGTATAGATCACGATACCGACTTCTTCTGACGAGGGCATTGACGCTGGTGCGGAACACATTCATGGCCGGACTTAGGGAGACCACGACCGAAGTAGCCGGCAGGATCGCCGCGAAACAGCTCAACGACACAACCATGTCTGCTCTGTTGTATGCGAAGTTTCGCGTGGGCGCAGCCGAGATGAAAGAATTAGGTCTGGAGATCCAAAAGCGCGCAAGCCCTCCCGCCGACGCAGAGCCCGGCACGGAAGGGGAATACCAGAGTCTGATGAACGAGTTGCACGCCAGCTTTACAGCCTGTCGAGCAAGACTGATTCTACCGATCGTGCAGAAACGGCTGTCGGAGATCAGCCAGATGCCGACTTCCAAGGATCTGGTCCACTTCGCGCGTTCAAGTATAAGTTATATTAGAGGAATATGTCTGGACGAATTCGAGCTGTGGTCGGAATGGTTTCATGGCTACGGAGGGGTCTATGATTTCCTAGAATCTATCTGTGAACCACTCTATGATCACCTCCGGCCGCGAATCATCCATGAGAACAAGTTATCCAAATTATGCTCACTGGTGACGCTGCTCCAAACCAGGTATTTACACGACGATGAAGAAGACGGTCCAGCGGACTTGAATCAACTAGACTTCTCGGCGCTCATCCAACCAGCCTTAGAGGACGCTCAAACCCGACTCGTCTTCCGCGCCCTAGCCATCCTGCGAGATGAAATTGAGAATTTCAGGCCAAAGCCCGAGGACCTCGACTATCCTAGGCTAACATCACGACCTCCAACAGCTACCGCTCCTTTGTCTGGCCGAAGGGCATCTCGCGACCCACTGACGCCATTGTCCAAGGCTCCTGACCTCGGTGATGATGAGTCTGCAGAGGAAGGCTCATTTTCATGGACCATCGCATCTCGCCGCACGGCCCTGAAGAATTGCTACCCAACGCTGCCCAAAGCCATCCGCCTTCTATCCCGAATCTACCGACTCGTCAATTCCTCAGTCTTCGACGACCTTGCGCACCAGATCGTACACCAGACCACCATGTCTTTGCACAACGCATCTACCCGCATATCTTCCAGATCCTCCCCGCCTGATGGCCAGCTCTTCCTCCTCCGACACCTGCTACTCCTCAAGTCCCAGATCGTGGCTTTTGACATTGAATATGTCACGCCAGACGTGTCTTTCGACTTTTCTGGCGTAGCGAGCACATTCTACGAACTCCGCGAACGAGGCGGCCTCTTTAACCCACGCAGCTGGATGAAATTGTTCAGTACGGGCGGCCTCCTTCCCCGCGTGGTGGAGAACATGCTGGACGCCAAAGTCGAACTAGATGGCCGTCTGAGAACCGTGATCAACGATTTCACCGCAGGATTCGCATTACACATGACCAAAGATCTGCCCCGGGACATCGAGAAAGCGAGTATCAAGAACAATGCCCTCGAGGAAGCCGTCTCCGGGACTCGCAAGCACATCGAGAAGGAGATCCCAATCCTCCGAGCCAAGTTGGAGCAGTACCTCGACGACGCGCGCACGCGCGAGACCCTCGTGGCCGCTGTGGAAGGCCAAGTCGTGCAGATCTACGAGACCTTCTTTGACGGATACGTAAAGCGGCTGGGCGGTGCTGGTGGTAACGAAAAGATCAACGGCGTGAACCAGATCTCGCGCAAGGGCAAAAGTCCCGAGAATGCAGTGTGGGATATCGATACGTTCGCAGAGTGGACCGAGTTGCTGTTCAATGTCGCGTTGCCGAATGTGGAAGATGATGGAACCAGTCATCCTGCTTCGAGAAGCTTGTCGAGAAGCGGGAGTCCGTAGTGCGGACCGTGAGAGAATAGCGGAAGTAATGAGATGTGTGTGGAGTGAGATGAGACGAGATGATTGATCAATCATGAATGACATGACCAGGCTTACCTCCAAGATTGACTTTGCCTCTGCCTGCGCCAGTCTGGAGTTTCTGTGCCCTTTCAATCCATGTCCGTGCAGCCTCGCGTACACCACCTGACATCGCGCACTCGCGATCGACCAGATTTTGAATAACGCCTCCCATATCCATATTTCCCTCCTCGGCCTCGTTTGGCTCTGCTCCTTTCAATTCAGAATGCTGCAATGCCGCGACTTTCTTCCTATTTCCTACAATACCGAAGTTCCTCGTACTCGGGATGCGCATGAGTGTCAACTCAACGTCAAATCCGACCTCTTCGGCGAGCGCGACGACTTTCCTCGTCAAACACGCGTACATCGACTTAGCATCCGTGTGGTCTGTGGCCTTGGCTTTCGTAGCGCGTAATGCTCTCAGGTCGCCTGTGGCAAACTGGGCTTCTGTGCCGTTTACGCTGGTGGAAGGAGACGCGGCGTGGATATCCTTGGGCGAGTACCGGTGTTTTGCGCCGCTAAGGGCGTGCGAGCAGCATGGTATGGCGAGGAAAGGGAGTGGAGATTCTGGTGACGACAAGGCGGCTAGAATTGATGTCCACGGCGTGAGTTCGTCTGCGTGGTTGGAGATGATGAACGTTCCCGGTTTGAATAAGCCATGGTGGACTTGCGTGCCTGGGAGGAGAATGGCAATGTCATCTGTAGCACGGTCCAGAAGTGGTTGTGGCACGCAGATCATCTCGTCCAGGTACTCGTCCATCTCGAGCACCTCCCAGGTAACGCGTCTTCGAGCGTCGAACCCGCGCCCGTGATATCCCTCCTTGATCAGCACATAGCTGAGCACCCCGTTGCCGCATGCTATGTCGGCGAAGCCGGGGAAATTGTCCGGTTTATACATTTGTTTCCAAAGCTCGATGAGGAAGGCTGCGATGGAGAGATCCTCGAAGACATGCTTTGATGGTTCAGTTTTCTCGGCCCAACGGGACATCAGATCTCGAGCATATTGTTGCTTCAGGCGACTGTAGGTGTCTTGGACGATATGCTGAGGTAGGATGGTGTCTTTGAGTGCCGATGGAGTCATAGAAAGGTCTGTCGGAGAGTTACCGCCCGTGTCGCCATTGACCACAGCTGGAGCATGCTTGGGCGCAGGGTTCTTTGCGAGCCTAAGAAACGTCTGCAGTAAGGAAATGAACGTGCGATGCAATCGGGATGGCAGAGAATCAACACTAGACTGTGTGAAAGGAAGAAAATGCACCGAAAGAAGCGCCTCACTTCCCTTGGTCTCGTAGAGATATGCCAAAGACTTGACAGGAGGGTGATACCAAGGCATTTCCGACTCAGCCTTGACGTCGGGTACATAGACAACAACAAAGCCGGATGCCTCATTGAGCCCCCCTACCAATTTGTAGATGTAGCACCACTGATCTAGGACATGATCAAGTTGGGGCTTTCGAGGTATGAGCTTTCTCAACACACGCCTTTCTAAGATGGCGTCATATGATATGTGCGCAACTGCAGTGGATTCCGGCTCATCTCGAATAAAGAGATCCTCGATAGTCGCACTTTCATTCAAAAGCTGGTACATTTTTTCTTTTTCAGCCGCTGTTTTGAGCACACCAGCACTGTCATACAAGATATCCGCTCGAAACAGGTGCGTGGAGTTCAAGTTGGGATTTTCCAGCAGAAGGTTAGATAATTGCATAAACTTGTCTTCTCCGAGATCTGGACAGCATTGTTGATAATCTTGTGCAGTTTGCCAGAAGCTCTCGGGGGAGCTAAGCCTGGAAAGGGACAATGTTCGCTCTGCTGTTGTCTCCATTACTGGTCATTCATTTCAAGGCCTTTATCAGCAACGGGAACCCATTTTGCCAGTCTCGGTGGTGATTGATAAGGAAAAGATATTAGTGGAGTATGTGGTACTGACGTAAACTTAACACAATTTACCGCACAATCCTAAATGGAATCAAAAACAAAATATTTATGATGCGAGTGGAAAAAAAGAACACATATGTTGACGCCCGCGGAGAGGCTCGAACTCTCAACCTTGAGATCTCTGAATGCTTAAAAGTCTCACGCGCTGACCAATTGTGCCACGCGGGCGATTTTTCATGATTTTTGAAACTCTTTAAAATATGAGCGAAGAATTTCTTAATTGCCGAAGTTGCCGAAAAGAAGACAAACGATTGGCTATCACCGCAACCAGGCGCAGGTCTCCTTGGCACGCACTAGACAGGAGACCCCAGAAATGGTACAGGAGTATACCTCTGACAGAAGGCTAGTTATCGAGCTCAAAACACCAGTTCCAATCGAGTTTTATGAATGCCGCTGGTGAATTATTTAGTCATGTCCGGTCCCCCAAATTCAACGTATGCAATTGGGCATTGAAGAAAAAACTTCATGCCTTTCAATACACGTAATTCATTCAAAGGAAGTCCCGGCCAGAGATGTAGGACATCTCCGGCAGCAAGCCATGATCCCAAATGCCATAATCCCAGCTCTCCACCTGCTCAGGATAGGAGTGGTTGAAAAGAGAGGCCATCATTTGCCCCACCGAGTTCTGTTCGGTCGGTTCGGCGGCTTTCTTTGATTCATCAGGTTTTGATTCAGGTTGTCGCTGTTTGAATAAATCCGAGTAGGGAAGGCCTTCGTAGTTAGCGTATTGATTCTGAACCACGGTGATCGAGGCTGGGATTTCATCTACAGCCCCAATTGCACTGCGAAATTCAGGATAGGAGTTAAAAAAGTCTTTGGTGACTCCGATCCTTCTAATATCTCCAAGGATCTCGGCGTACATCGGATTTATCTTGTACAATCCATTTGCTGAATTGAAGAGAAAGCAGTCGCGAAATTCATAGGGCCACTGCATTCGCAGACTGCTGATGAAAGTTCTCCAGAAGTGATTACGACAATATCGATGTATGTTCTTCGCTAAAGCCTGACGCAGGTGAGGCCTAGAGGAGAAGATGCCAGTTAGGGAAGGCGTCATGCTTCGGAAAGGGAAAGACATTACCAGACGACAAACTTGGTGGCGTACGTAGACCGGTCAGAATCCAGACTAAGAGAGAAAAAATTAGCACGTGAAGACGGTTAAAGATAACGCGCCCACCTGTCCACAAAAAAAGGTGGCAAATTGGTAATTTGCTGCCTCGTGGGGTCAAGATGGGCTCTCAGTAACCGCCCGACGTTGTAGAGTATGCCCAACCTGTTCTTGGGATCGTCAGCAAAGGTAAACAGGTTCTCATCCACAACTCGAATAAGACGCCACATGGGATGGACATTTCCCCTTTTGTCGACCGCATCCCATCCCTGAACCATCGCACGTATAGGCGTGTCGTCATTGTAAAGGTCATCGTCGGAAACCGGCGTGACTAACGTCGGCCATTTCATCCATGCACCCAAGTTCGTGTTTCCCATGTACCAAAAGTTGAGTTCTTGCTTTTTCAGGGCCTCAGCGTAGCCGCATTCACAAAAACTTGCTCTCATATTCGAGGGAATCAATTGCGGTTGCCTCAGCTGGGAAGACCCGCCATGGAACTCGGCGGGCGTCGTTGAGAACGAAGTGCAGGTGCCTTCTGAAACCTCTCGGAGCTGATGTGGTATGACGCTTCGCTCTTCGACTGATTGAGCGGCTGGTTGGTTGGCGGAGATGTTTCGGATTCTCTGACAAGTATAGCCACTGAAGGGAGCTGCAGAATCATTCATGATGGGATGAAGTGCGTGGAAAGATGTGAGAGATTCAGATTCAGGTGGCTGAGAGCCTGGTTCCTCGGTTTTAGGAGTTCTTTCCATGGTTGAACCTGTCTGAGGCAGCAAAATGTTCTCGATACTCTTGAGTTTATTGGCAAGGGAGTTCCGTTCCTGCCGCAATTGGGACATGCTTTGTACGAGCGACCCGATTTGGCCGGAGGCATCCGCTTGCTTCAATTTCTCAACCAAGTCTTCCAGATAGGCGATGTGAGATTTGGTTCTCTCGCGAGACATCCGTTGGCATCTTCGGTCAGACTCTCGTTTTTTAAACCTTCGATTCGAGCTCATGGGTCGTGAGCCAGAGAGATGTTCCAGCAATTTGGGAGATAACTCATTGTCATCTGCAGAGATCCTTGAAAATAAGTCTCCGCCATCTAGGGTTTCCTTCGAAGCGATCCGTGCTTCCTTACAGGCTGGAACAGACATGTTGACGCACGTGTTCGAGTCAAGGTGTTGTAGTAGACATGAGGTCTTTCCACTGTTCACAAGCTGGCTAAGTGAGTTATGCTGAATCCTGAACGTGCCGTGAATTGATGTGAGATTGTGACCAGTGTACGATCCAGATGGTGGGAAATGACGAACCGAGGATGAGGAATTCTTACTCAGCGCCTCCCCAGAACGCTAATTCCGGAGTCTTATCGCTGCTGGTGCATTAGCATTGGGATCGTGTGCATCATTAGTGATCCCCAGAACGAATGGTTATCACAATCTTGGGTTAGGGCGGAAAGGATTCGATCTTAGAAGTGGAGTGATAAAACATGTGATGCCCCGACGAGGCCAAGATTTCTCGGCGGCCTCGTTTCTCATGGAGTGTCAGAATGTACATATATATGCAAGTGAAGCACGCTCTTCTGTTCGCAAAATAAGCGAGAAGACGGGTTGATGTCAATGCTTCCATGGTTGGCCTCGATTCCAGCTTCTTTAAGCCAGTGTCCCATGCATGGAGCCGATAAAGGGACTAAGCCTGGCCAGCCGCCTCAGGGCCGATCCAGATACGGTGAAGGGTAAAAGAATCATGGTTTGAGAAGGAATCTGTGTCGGTATTGGTGTCGACCATTATTCAAAGAGTGCACTGCTCTGGCTCACTGAATGTTATTGTCTTCTAAATTGAAGACATATCGACCCATATAATTTGAATAGGGATAATATGCACCGTGAAGCTTCCTGGTGAATCTTGCGGCCGCGTGTGTGGGTTAGCGCTCAGGAAAAGACTGGTTATGCTACATCTCCTGTGTTGATGGTTACCTTTCCTTTCAGGTCATACCCAGTATAGAGACTATTCTTTCTTCTGAACACAGACGCTGATTCAGATAAAGGGCTAGTCATTGCTTTCCTGCTTCGGATTTCTTCAACCCAAGATGGACACAATGGAGGAAGCCAGATAGCGGTAGGGGATCGGTCCATGTTCATTGTTTGCTCCGAGGATTAATGTTGAATGCGGCCATTCAGACTCAACAGCACAACGCCAGGGATACACTAGGATCCCCTTGCTTTTCCAGTCTGTACAGGCTGTTTTGGAAGACCTGTACATGGAGTTCGGACTGGGAAGGAGAAAGAAAAAGATACGGGGACTGGAAAAAGAGCGTGAAAAATAAACTAGTCCCGATAGAGCTAGCGGTCTTTTGCTGAGAAACGTGACCTATTCCGTACGCTTCCCCAGCCTCTGAATCTCGAAAGACTCTCAATCTGCTCCCCAGCGTTCACATACGCCGCAGAGTCAGCTGCGTACCGACTACGATCCTTCTATCAGCTTCGACATCCTCTCCGACACCAAATTCTCCCAAGATGGGGCGGACCATCGATCAGGACGTCCACGCGGCGTTTGTCGAGTTCAAGGCGAAAGGTATTGTCATCCAGTATTGACTGTACTGTACACGTTATTGTTACTGTGACGGTGACGAGGAGCTGACCGAGACGATTGTTCTCCACATAGAGGACGACAAATGCATGTCGGTTCAATGCATCTATTGCCAACAAATTCGTGCAAAGAACACTTCTCGCCAGAAGCAGCACTTGCTCGAGTGTCCTGGCTTACAAAACCATCCAAATGCCCCTCGACCACAATCCTCTGCCGGCGATGCCATCGGCCCTCCCCATGGCTTTGGTACGCCATCAACGCTCCACACATCCAATGGTCCTATAACCAATGGAATTGCTCCCCATGGCACTCCTATGCAAGGAATCACCACCACCCCGTCGATGCCCTCGCAGACGCCGCAAGGCAACTCGACCACGCCGTTGCAAAGACCGACTCCGAAACCAAACAAGACTCCCAAGACTACCCCGGGCTCGAACCTGCCTGCTCCACCTCTCGATGATGTCCACGCTGCCTTCGTTGAGTTTAGAGCCAAAGAGGAAGATAAGTGTTTGTCGGTACAATGTATCTACTGCAACCAGATCAGAGCCAAGAATACGTCGAGACAGCGTCAGCATCTGCTAGAGTGCGCAACCTATCAAAATGTCATGAAAGAGTCAATACCGGCCAACAACCTCCTCCATCGGTTCGACGAGGGAGATATTGCTCGATCACTACAATTGCCAGCTCCCGCACTTGAGCTCGACTTCCGTATGAGCATCAAGGTTAATCCCAAAATTTCCGTGGGAGCAGGTCTATTTGGTCATCGTGACTGGGTTAGCATTGTTGGCGGCCAATGGGCCGGAAGATGGGGCAAGGGAATCATCATTGTGAGTCCAAAGCACTGAATGAGTTCAATGAATCGAGCTGTGACTAACCCTGCCACAGCCCGGAGGACAAGACAACCAGTTGGTCGTGAAAGATCTCGCGACACGTATTGACGCCACCTATCTGCTCCAAACTAATGACGAACCGCCCGCCTACATTACTGCGAAATCCAAGGGTTGGCGAACTGGCCCTAAAGATGTTCTTGAACGTCTTAACGATCCACAAGTGGCAGATACGATTCCAGCGAACCAGTACAAATTCCGTATCTCGATCGAACTCGAGACTGGGGATGAGAGGTATGCATTTCTGAACACTTGTATCTGGATGGGAAGTGGTTGCCGAAGAATTGGTGAAAGTAAGTGGCTATGAAATGGAATCTTTCCGTCTCAAGTTCGATAAGCTTGCTAATGTCCCTATAGTCATCTACGACGCCTATCGTGTAGGCTAGAGTCTACCACCACGCTCATTCATCGATGTATACGATCTTTGACGTATCCAGAGGGGACTTTCAGTGCAGATTATGTATCCCACTCTATCACCTGACCATCTGCATATGGATTCAGATGGTTGGTATTATTGTGTTCTCTCTGGCCATTGCGGAAGGGCATGTGCGAAATTCCCGGGGAACTTTTACGTGCACGGTCTGTTCCATCAGTATACTGTTGTCAAGGCGGAAACGGAGGATTGCCATGGTACCCATAGGAGGCCCTATGTTAACGATTTACTTTGCTCTTCTCACTTGACTCTTTTTTGGGCTTTAATTAGCGTTGCGTTGCCTCGAGTGCGCCGGACATAGGTATGGAGCATGATCACAGCATGAGTATGAAACCGTACGGATCATCAGGTGTGTGTATGGAGTACAAATGGGGGACATTGTTCCATAATCTAGGGCGCCTTGTCTTTGCTGAGTCCTCGTACGAAGAATGGAAAAGCTCTCCTTCATCTCTCAGTCTCTCTCTTTTTTTTTGTGGAAATAATGTACAAGACTTGAACCAGAACTAATATGATATTTTCAGGCAGATCAAGAATGGGATATCAATTTGTGCAGTACAGTGAGAGGAGATAATACATATGTAGTATATTCTTGGTATCTTGTGTCCTATATCTACACACTCCAAGGGAGGAGGCATATTTTCCTTCAAGCATTTCCTATTCAAGCCTCAGCTGCCGTGGTCTGTACATTCAATCAATATTCACCTCCTCCTTCGGCTTCCCCATCTCTTCGTCCTTCCCAAAGATCTTAGTAGAATCCTGCTCAGACTCCTCTGGATTCCACGCCTCGCCGAGCGACTCACCCATCCTTTCACCACCCAGATATCGCCACAGGCGCCAGACCTCGTTGATGACAGCCTTTGCGGGGCCGGGTCCCGGACGAACAAGGAGCAAGTGGTCGGTCCGATTGTGATCTGGATTCCCGAGGACCGCGTACCGTGAAAGAAGCGAGTTGAGGGTATCAAGGTCTAGTCCAGTGTCGTTAGATAGCATCGCACGGAGCGGGAATACGGGCATACGGTATGTGTCGGCTATCGTTATCATGGGAGGAACGAGAGGGTTGTCGGGAAGAGGTGGGAGAGCCGAAGCCCGGTCGGAGTCTGCGTTTAAAGGTGACGGTGGGAGAAGAACAGAAGTGTCCGTTTCTCCAATATGTAGGAATATACTTCCCGGGACACAATGCGGATGGCCTAGCAGAGCCTTTGCTTCAGAGCCTTCTGCCAGGTGCGAAGTGGAAGTGCTGGAGTTGGTCGTGCCGTTCTCTGTCTCTTCGTGTCCGCTTTCTTCTTCAGCGGCTGCTGCGACAGGCCTGGCCCTCATTGGGACCAGTTGGTTGAAGTCATCGTCTTTGAACTCCGCGCCCTCCGGGATCGGGAACGTAGCCAACCTGATGGGCCCTCTGCTCACGGGACGCGTCTGAGCAGACTCCACTAAAGCTGTAAGAGCAACCAGCACACGCTTCCGAAGAATCTGCACCAGGCGGTCATGGATATCTAGCTTCCACTGGAGGTTTTTGTATTGCAACTGATCTTCCTGTGCCGGTGGATTATCGATAGCTCCAGTGGCCAGGTCGACTTCGATTTTGTTACGCAGGTAGTGCTGCGCGATAGAACCGGCCTCCTTTCGCCGTGGTGGCACCAATGAAGCGACCGCGTGCATCGCTACGTTTCGGACCTGGGGATTTTTCTTCTGCCCTTTGGTCATATTAATGGTCAGGAAACGCATAAAGTTGATATCAGGAAAGAGGCGACTCGTTGGATAGTAGCGTTTTTGAGAGGGTTGAGAGCTCGACTGCTCTGTTGATCCAGGCGACTCATCTAGATCCGTCTCCAACTCGGGAGCTGACAGAGTAGGGTCGACTGTTTCCTCCACAGCTCCCCCTTTTCCAGCAGCTCTTTTCAATCGTTTCCGATCTTCTTTATCTAACGGCATGGCCATTTCCTTCTCCAATACATCCAAGTTTGCGAGTTCTGCTGGCATGAGATATTCCTTTCCGTCATTAGGGTTTGTCACAAGGTCAAAGTTAATCATTAGGTCCATAGGTAGCCTGGCACCGCTTCCCTGACAACTTCTCAGGGGACTTGAAAGCATCACGGCCCATGGATTGTTCGCCAATTGTCCCAATTCTTGGTCTGTCGGTTGCTCTTTCTGGATTCCCCGTCTCTTAGCTGCATTCTCGACCAGATTGAAGATGGGTGACTTCGGTATGGGTATCCTGTCTTCAAGAGAATCCAGCGTGCTATCTTTGGACTCTTTCTCCACCTTCGGGCTGACATTCTTCAGATCTTCAATCAAATCTTTGATTTTCTGTCGTCCCGCAGGTCTGTACGGATTGAAAGATTCCACGCGCTGCGAAACTGAGTTGTCTTCTGAAGCTTCTGCTGATATTGCCGAAGATTTTGGGGCCTCAGCTACTTCCGAGTTCGACTCTTTGTTTTTATTCTTGCCATTAGAATGATTGGAAATACTGTAAGTCTGTTTTTGTCCCGTCGCCTTTTTTCCAACATGGGTAGCCGGGTTTCTTTGGGGTTGGGATTCGGAGGACTGGCACAGTGTCTGAAGGACACGCAAACGCCATGTCGCGTATGATACGTGCCGGTACGGACATTGTAAGCTCATGCCTCTTGCATGGCCCAGTACAGGATCGAGTGGTTTTGTATGGGTTGAACACTGGACAAACTTGGGTAGCATGCAGCCAGTTCTCCGATTTGGAGACGGCTCTTGGCATTTCATAAGGCTGAATGGAAGCCATGTGACGAGGCTGAAGCTTCGGGATTTGGGGTTTAATTTCTGATGCGAATTTAACATGAAACTACCTGACTGGGACCCCGGGGAACTTTTTGGGGGGGCCATCGACGATGTACACACACAGGTTACACACCAATATCTTTGGTGAGTGTACGAAAGTTTCTCACGGCTGAAGATTTTGGCAACACCGTCACTATCTCTCAGATTGCCTCCTCCCGTCCAAAGGAACCAGTCGGCCGGAGACGATGAGTACCTGCGTTATCCTGGTGATGAAAGGTATGCCTGAGGACCGATATCCTTCAACAAGAGGTGCCGTGATGGTGGAGGCGCAAAAAGTCTGTAGAGGTTTCCTCAAACATATTGGATCGTACAGCGGCCTTCACTTGTTCATTGGCACATCACCTAATCGCATTGAAGTTGCAGCCATCGTCCTTGGCCATGGAGCATCCTGCTCAGATTGATATCCCTTCGAATGGCGATCTTGACCTCCGGGAGTGTCGGAAGATGATTTCCCCAGTCATTACTCGCAGCAGGTCATCATTTACTCCAACTTGCACTCAGGTGATACTAACGGAGAGCCTCATGAACTGTCAGCAGATCACGTGTGACCAAAAGAAAGCCAAAAAGCGGCGCGGACTTTTGGCTCCTTTGACGGCGGCCGCCAAGTCACGAAGACACCGATTATGGTGGAGTAACTTGCTTGGGCTTATCTTAGGTGATACCTAGAGTATACTGTTCAGTAGAAGCTTACCTTTGGTACGTTGTGGGTGACCTGGCCTCGGCGAGAAAAAAAAGGGGTTCACTCGAGGGCAGCCTAAAAAGCAAAATGAAGCTAAAGGGCCTCTCGGGAAGCCGAGTCGCCTTTGGTTGGCTGGCTTTTCTCCTCTCGCCTCGCTAACTTTCGCGGCGCCCCTGGTTCCCTGCGCTCTCCTTGCAGGTTTGCATTGTCTGCCATCTCAATTTCCCAAATTACCAAAGCCAATCGCTGACTCCATATCACACGGCTTCTTCTCAATCACCCGAAGTCCAGCCTCGCTTAGCTTCTGTCCATAGTCCTGCAAGCTGAACGTGGTGCGAGATAGGCCAGATGCTAACCTTCCCATCTCACTGGTCAGACAAGCCGCCGCTGGGATGGCCTTGAACCCAGGGTTGACTATGGCCCACTCAAAGAGATCGACTTCACCAAGTAGGCTCAAGCTGAAACGGTGTGCTGACTATGACCGAAGTCATGAAGCCTGCGGCAAGCATCATATCCATCCACGGTACATACTCGTTTCTTCCTTCTTCCATTTCGGCCAGTGTATTCGCGACACGACTCTGACGTTGCCAGTATATCCGTCAGCTTATACACCCTCTGGAATATATCGTCTCCTACAACGCAAAGACAAATTCCATGAACCCGTCGCGGAGCAACATGCAGTAAAAAGGCCTCCAAAAAAAAAAAAAAAAAATTCCAAGCTCTTGATCACAACTAGCTTGGGTTTCGAATCGGTTACTACTATCTGCAGTTTTCTTTGCCCACCTCCTTGCCGAGTCTAACCGGAATACAAACGAGATGGCTGCGGTGGGCAAGAAGCTTGCGCTCCGGACGAACCCTACGGTATGGACATCTGATCCTCTCTGCCAAAAGCCAGTCGCTCACATGTGCCTAGTCCCTGACGCCGAAGAAATATCTTGGAGACCCCGACGACCCTCATTTCATTCCTGACTCGCCCTTGATTGAAAGACAGACTCTCACTGCACAAGAAGAGGGTGAGTTGAAAAGGATATGTGCTTTGGTGCTGGCCAATGTACCACATTCGGATGACATGTCGGACGATCCTCTCAAATACATAGCAACCCAGATCCAAGGAAGCAATGCTCCACAGCAGAAGAAAGCGAAACAAGAGCAAAGGTCGGAACCTGACAATGCTACCTCCGCTGTAGCACGTCATGTCGCTGACTTACCCAACGACACCGCCACTCCTTCCGAGACCTCCAACCGCGATACTTTAACTACCACTGATTTCTCAACTCCCCTGACGAGCGCTGGCTTGACCCCTGGTGAATCGGCTCGACGATTTTCTGACGCCGCTCGAAAATCAATCACGAGCACCAAGAAACCTGGAAGCAGTCTCCGGAACGAAACCACTACGACATCAAAAAGTCGAACTACGTCGAACGCTGGTGTACACAAGTCTCTCGAAGTGCATAACCCTTCGGTCGAGGTCGATACAATCAAGCGTACACTGCGCCTGGTGGCTGGGGGGCCTTCAAGACCTGAGAGCAGCAGTACCAAATCCATGGATAACCCTCGGCCTGTCAGATTTTCAGCACCGGATTTGAACAAGAGTCTCCCTCCACCTCCACCACCAGAGTCTCCTTCGTTCGATGACCAAAAACAACTCCATATCAGCCGACTAATGAAGACCATCCGCAAGAAGAAGAGCATGACCGCCGAGGGTAGAAACTTCTCAACCACGTCTGCTCCACCATTACCTTCGACCGAAGAGGCGAAAGCAGCATTTAACTCGAAACCTCATATCTCCGGAGCCCCTCCTTCACCACCGACCGGGAGCCAACAGCCGCCCAAGAGGAAATTCCGCCTTCGTCTATTTCAAAGAGAAAGGCCTCCAGACGTTCTTGTGTCTTAGCATACGGCCGGCATGGCTACATGATCTCTAGTCCGTTTGGCTCCTTATCATGGGTGTACAAACTCCATTCCTCGTTAACGACACTATCAGCGTAGGCGTTCACATTACGGGCGTCACATTGATATCGATCATTTATAGTATGGTCTCGTCTGACCAACCACAGTCCTACAAAAGTTTACATGTCTCCCACGAATACATGTTTAAACATCAAAAGGTTCTGATGACCTCTATCTTCATTTCCTGGCAGTGGCAGTAGTAGAGAACCACTTTTGCTTTGAATGGCGTTCATTTATTCCTTCTCGAAGTCCGCTCTTCGAATATATTTTGGTCGTGCTGCTGTTGTTGTTGTTGTTCTGGTGGCTATTTGTGACTATGATTGGATGAATGGATGGATCTCAGGAATGGAAACGGAATCAGGAACAGCGACAGCGACAGAAACAGAAATCGTAATGATCAGAACTAATCGTAGGAGTTTTCAAGTTCGGATCGTTTGGTACGGAGTAATATGGGTGAGAATCAGCGGGTATCGCAAAGCAAGGCTCCGCCAAGTAACCTTGACCTGCACATTTCAAGATGAATCGCCGAAGACTGGCAGAGTCTTAATAGATCAAGTCACTGAATATGTGATTCCGTCTTAGCAGAGACTTAAGTTCAAGTCTTCGCGTTTATTCACCCTTGTCAGTCTTTTCATTTGCCACTCCCAGCACGCAATATGCCGATTCACGCACCGAGCGGTCTGAAAATGTCTGTCTGAACGCCGTTGCTATGCTAAATTACCTCCGTTCATAGTGATATCCGTATCTGTATCATGGAACCCTTCTGATTTCGTTGAAAAGCGTCGAGGGCAGACTTCCACAATTCCAGCACCCTGCGTCTCTCATGTTGTGGTCCAGAGCTTACCCCCACGATCCCGAGAAATTTGGGGCCCGACATCCGATTTGCGTTCGTGAGGGCTGTGTCAATCAGGCCCTGACTGCCATGGAGCAGGGTCTGGGGCATTGATAATCTGGATTTGGGAAAAGGATGAGCTCGACCTCGAAGTTAGACGGTGTCGTTCCCTTTCTAGCCTTAGAGCAAGTAAATTCCTTCTCCAACGCATCTCTGCTCACACCATCATAGTACTTCCACCGCTCATCGCAACCCCGCCAAATCGGCCATCAGCTTCATCCAAGCCTGCGAATGCACCGGCTCCACCTCCAGCAACGCCACCATTTTTGGAGCCGCCGAGCTTGCCTTTTGAGCCACGATTGTTATCAACCGTTGCAAACTTGCGGCCAAGCTCACTCATGGCCTGGATATCCTGACCAAGGATCGAGAGCATGCTGGCTAAAGCGACGTCGTTGGATTGCGCTTGTGAGACGGCCGCTAAAGGCTGTACGGAAGATGCAGATTCAATTGGCGTCAGCAGAGATAGGCGCGTGAGCAGGGCTTGTATATCGCGCAGGTGTGGAAGGTGAGAGGGATCCGGTGATGTAGGAGTCAGTGAAGCAGAATCTTGGTCGGAAATGTAGGTTGGGGGGAGAGACTGGATGAAACTGCGAAGGAGAGAAATGCGGGCTTGCAGCATCTTTACACTGTTCAACCGAGTGGTTATGCTGGCAATTTGGTCCTCTTCTTCGACAGTGAGTGTTTTTACGTTCTCCTCTACCCCGTTCGTCTCTCTCTGTTCTGTGGCTCCTGGTAGTGGATCAGCCCGTCTCTTGCCTTTCTTATCTGCCTGTGATGATTCGACGGGCTTGGGGGTTGGGACTCGCTCTTCAGATGATGTCTCGTCTACTGCTGCGGCACTGCCGGCTCCCTTGGCCACATAATCAATTGCAATCATTTCTGTCTCGTCGGTGTCGATCGTGTATGGCAATTGTCGGAACTTGATCACAGATAACTCCTCCCCATCGACCTGCATTGAACCATCACCTTTGGGCGGTTCGACATCGAGAACACTCTCGTAGACGGATATTGGCAGCTTCCCACCTGCCATATTGGCGGTCTTGATCAATTCTGGGTGTAAAGCAAGAAGGATGGCGTTGTCATTGTAGAGAGTGGTTGCTTGTTTCTGGAGGGGAACGAGTTCCGGGAGAGGCCCATCTTTGGGACAAAGAGTGAACCATCCAACAAATTCGAGAGCCGGTGCTTTGTGAACATCCTTATCTAACAGATATAAGTCGGTGTGCCACTGGAACGGGCTTTCGAAGCACTCACACTGTTGAATTCTTGTTCCCATCCAGACTTCGTTGAACTGCCACTGACCTTCTGGACCTTGAACCAACGCTACTTGAAATGCATGTTCTGCTGTAATTTCCTGCCCTTTTTGCTGTCCAAGAAGTGCGCCCGCAACGGGGCCTGACTGTTTTCGTACTGAATGTCTTGTGACTTGGTCGGATACTGTGAGGAGGACGAGAGGGTGCAGAGAGACGAGGAGACCGGTATCAGAGGGTTTGGTGGATATCAGAGGGTGATCGCTAAGTTGCGCCATGGTTGAAGTCTCAGAAAGACCGAGAGAGAGACGAAAATTGGACTATAGAGTCTAGATGGACCTACTCAAGGTCAAAGCCTTGTTGAGTTGGGGTATCAGGCTGCGATGGCTATGGCAGTGGCGGCCCAAATGCTCCGCAGTAGCCCGTGTTTCATCACGTGAAATCCTCTGTGCTTTTCTCCTCCGTCATGAACACAGTGATCCCCACTCCTTATGACTCGAGATTGATTGCGGGAGCCGAGCCCGAATCGATGTGGCAGGAGATATCGAAGTCAGAGATATGGAATTCAACTTCATTACAGCAGCCGGGGACCCTGAAGTTAGAATCATTCTAACGTATAAAGTTAAGAATTTTCGACTTACGATTTACAAAATCTCGGAATTCTTCAGCAGATGGTCCCATGGTAAGTACCGACTTTAATACTTGGTTTTTGGTAGAAGCTCTGATCACGAAGATTCTAACACCGAAGGGGAAAAGGGATTCACGGTCAATTGGTCAGACTTCTCTGCAGCATTCGAACGCGGACCGCTCCTGAGTTCCCATTGCCAAAGCTTGCATTTCCAGCGTTGGAGGTGTTGGTGCCGCACTTTTCATGTGGATACTAGGATTTTCATGTCCACGGCGGGTCTGATTTTCTGGCTTGAACTGGGCTGTTTGATCCCAAAGAGTGGCGGCGAGAAAGTCTATCTTGACGCTGCATATTCAAGACCTATACACTTTGCAACGATCATGTTCGCGATATAATCAATCTTGCCGGGATTTTGGGTGCTTGCCCCTTTGCGAAGCATAGGAATTGAAACACACCAGAGACCACGGCTAACGTCGAACATTGCTGGTAGCGACCGGATGCATTAGGTTTGCGAACGACATTGCATACACTACTGGAACAGAGCTCTCTGAACACAACAAGCGTGATATTGCTGCGTCCGCCATGATTTTGGTCGCCCGGATGCATGACCTCATCCCCAAGATTGGTGTCAAGGTCATGAGCCTTGTCGGCATGATCAAGTTGGTCATCCTTCTCTTCATCGTCGTTACCGGCTGGGTCGTCTTGGGTGGAGGCATCAAAAGAATTCTCGACCCTGGTGCTGGCTTCCACATTGCAATTACAGGTTTGATCAACAATGCAATCCCTTATGCCATGGTTCTTTAGAAGATGTTGAGCTCTTTTGCTTGGGCCGGTACAACACTCGCCTCTCACCTAGTCTCAACAGGTGGAATCGAGGATCTTGTTGCTGAAAACTACACGGGCGGTCCAATCCAGCCTATATGCTGAATGAGGTGAAGAATCCTGGTCAGAACCCTGAAAATTGCAGGTCCGCTTATCGTGGCCACTTGCGGGCTGCTGTATATTCTTGTCAACATTTCTTACCATGCCACCGCGACACTAAAAAAGTGTCTGAGAGCGGTTTTCACAGTTGCAGCTTCTTCACGGATCGAGTCTTTGGCAATACTACTGCGCATGTGCTTAAGTAGGTCATCCATCACACCATTTTTCTGACCAGCCATGTGGGTATAGCTATTTTGTCGTCTTGCCAGCACTAGGAAACGCCATGGCGGTCACTTACGGCCACTCTCGTGTCAATCAAGAGATAGCCACAGAGGCCGTTCTGCCGTTCGGACGATTCTGGGCAGGACGTGGCCAACCGGCACCCCGTCAGGAGGTCTGTTCCTGCACCTCATCCCATCCATCATCATGATCAACTGCAATCCCGTTCGGCGATGCCTACAACTTCATCATGGACGTGGAATGGTATCCTCGAGCCATTATTTCTTGGTTCCCGATTATCGAACTTCTGATCACGCGTTATTCAGGACCATTTAAGCACGCGCTTCGTCCATCCAGATCTGGCTGCCGGTGGGTCCTTCTTCTTTGATTGCGCCAATGTTCATGCTTGTGGTTCCGTTCTTGAGGCATCCTGGTGGAAAAGGGAATACAAGTCAATCATATTGGTGTTGTCCTCTGACAGGCTGCAGGGGGTTATGATTCTTTCCTTCTTGTATTATCTGGGCCTGGTTCCCGTCTTCCTTCGCATCGGAGGGTACAAGATTCACGGGACCACTATTGTCCTACCAGAGAGTACATGCCTCTGCCAGCTCCAAAAGGTTAAACTCACTGAGCCAGGGTTTGAGGCGAATAAGCAACACCAGACAGTGGAGATATTAACGGCGCATTGTATGCCGCTGGCGATAGTTTTGAGCGGCTTGTATACATTGATGCAGATTGAAACTGAAGTCAATAATATTTAGAAGTGCTCCCTCAGTTGTTCAGTCGGCATGAAGCACCAACAGAAAAGCAAAGCAAGATGAGCGGCTGCTGGAATGGAAGGTTAGGCGAGGTACCCACTAACTCGCTAGTGTCCCCGTCTTAAATGCCTTGGAAACATCGTCATGCAGATCTTTGATCAGCCAGAACAACTTCGAACAATTTCTTCGAAATGGACGCCATTGTCGAGGATCGAGATAGTCTTTTCAGCCAAGTTTTTACTCATCTCGCCGCTGTTGAATCCCAACCGGGATCTGTCCTATTGGGTGAAGAACTCCTGAAACGAGCAGAACGATGTCTTGACGTTTTAACACCAAATGACACCCTATGGCAACTTTTAGGGACGGGAGAGAGACTTCTCCAAACTCTCCAGCAAGATCCCCGTCCGCTCACCCGGTTATTGGAGCGCGTTGTGTCCTTAATCCCTTTTGATGAATTGAAGACCACCATCTCCGCCGAGACCCTTGAGGAAGGTCTGAATTCTCCTTCGGTGGCAGTTCAACTTCTGTGTCTGTCATATCTCCGCAAAGCCGCAGACTCGCCTAGCGGTGCCTCATTCGTCGCCGCAAGCTCCAGCCTTGTTCAATGTCTGTTCACAATTTGGCTGTCGTCGGAAAGCACCGAGATTGCAGAACGCGCCTTGGAAGTCATCGAAGCTCTGCATGCCGTGGACTGTCAAACTAGTGTCACCATGCTGGCTGCGGGTAATGACTTAGGTGAAGCACAAGGTCAGGGTCTCCTCTGGCGGAGAGTATTCAACGATCCTGACGTCTACTCCATTCTCTTCGACTGGACTTCGTTGTTCAAATCTAAACGAGATATCAAGACCAAGAAGGGCAAGCAGCTCGTGACGATATCTCAAGCGAGATTGTTTGACTTCATTGCAAGACTAGCCCATTTCGACTGGGCCGCGATCACAACATCCAGCCTGCCTGCTATCGAAACACAGTACATACAAAATATCGATAACAACCAGCCGTACGGTGGGATACTCCGCTACGCAGCCTCTCATATGATCGAGGCTGACGACATTCTGATGGAGGTGCTCCGACAAGACTTCTTCGTGAAGCTGCTTGGAGTGGTAGAAGAGAGTAACAGCCGACATGTCTCTCCTCGATTATTGGAAGCTATCCAGCAGGGTGCCGGGGTTGATACGACCAAGGACACAGATGTTGGCATGCACCTTTAATGGCGAATTGACTCGGTCTTCGTAGCAGCAGAAGACTCCTTGCTAGACACCTGCAAGCTGTGAGAGAAGGACGGATGAAATGACAACTAAAATGGGGAGGACGCCTCTCAGATCGACATGGGAATGTTTCCCGTCCGAGAGGGTATACTGACTTCTCGAAACACGTCAGCCAGTGGGAATATTGATATTGCAATTGCAATATCCACCCAAGGCATATCGCTCAGCACCAAGAGCAATGGCCCTGTCCGGCTACAATGCCTTGTGTCAGGTTCTGCATGGTCCCGAAACCGGTGGCACAAGGCCAATTCAAAAGACAGATGAACACGGAAGAAGGATTGAGACTACAGTGCTCAGAGCTACAAACGATTATGCCATGCCTTCTGCCATTTCTCGGGCCTCAGGATTCGGTGTGCATCGAGTGACATGTCGCGACCGCGCATTTGATGGTTGCGTGAAGTAGGAGGTAGAAAGTTAAGGCCCGAGGTATCCAATGATTCAGAAACTTTGTGGCGCATATCACTGTTGCTCTCGTCGTATCCTCGCTTTGAACTTGGCCTCGATCACCATATTTTCATCCCATATTCTTTGACTATGGAGAAACGCGGTGGTTGCAAAGAGGCCTGGATTGAGGAGAGAGGTCACGCAATCCGTACTTCGCGTCTCGCGTAACCTTCCTAAGTCGCGTCATTCCATCTGTTTTTTACTCTCCAATACAGCCGGAAGATCTCTAAGTTGTTTGCTTCTTGTTTTGTTCTGATCAAGGAACCCGTGCTAGTCTTCGGAGACGGCGGTTCGCGGGGGAGTTGGCGGCTGGGACAGTTTGCTCTCTTCAACACCAGATACGCCAAACTGCCTTCGAGATCATGACTTCGGTCTCTAACGCCATTCGGCCTCTACTTCGATTCCGAATCTCGTCAGTGTGCATTCCACGTCGCTACGCTACCTCATCTTCTTCTTCTACCGCAGGCAGTTCAAAACGTGCTTCACAGGTTCTCCCATCGAAGTCGAAGCCTTCCCCAACGCGACTCGAGAGTCCAGCTGGACCAGGTCACAATGACCTCGAACCGGAGCAGCTGAAAAAGCAGTGGTATGCCACCAAATTATACCAGGCCGGCCAGCGAGTCATATTCAGACCAAAATCGCATACCGGGATATTGGCGGCCTCATATGTTATCGCCGGGTCTTGCCTCGTCACCAGCTGCGGGCTGGCTTTCAACAACATTTGGGCATATCAGACAAATGCAGACCTCCACTGGATAGTGGGAGTTGCATGGCGACTGGGGATCATTACATTCACAGTCATTGGCGGACTTGCTTTTTTACGGCCAACGGGAATGATCAAATCAATCGACTTGGTCTCAAGAGACGGCGTGGTGAAGCTTCTGGTGGAGGCGCGACCGACGCTGCCCTTCCTGCGACCAAAGTCATACACTATTGCTCCTTATCAATTTGAGATGGATCGGACTTTTGTACAACAGCTGGATGAGCCAGAGTTCATGTATGAGGATGCGCCGCAGCCGCAAGGAATCGCAGCAAGCATCGGTCGGACGATCAGCAAAGCGATATGGTACCCTTTTGCCGCCACACGGAGGCTGGTAACCAACGAAGGATTCATGCATGTGCAACTTGCCACCAAGGATGCCCCCTGGCTCAAGCTGGACACACAAGGCACATTTTCTAATGACGGGAGGGACCTGCTCGCAATGGGCACCCTCAAACTTTGATTTGCATATCGGGATTTTGCAGTGGTCCTGAATTATATACCCCTTTCAGCCTGGCGGCCCCTCGCGCGGGCCAAAGGATACGTCATCCAGACACACAGTCTGAAATCGCCTGCAACCGACGAAGAGGTCGTCTCGTGCGGTTTCAGCTCGGGAGGACTTTGTCGGCCTCCGAAGGACTTAGATGCCGCTTTCAGAGCGGGTGTCACTGTGGAGGCCAGCCATGGCCGTTGCTTCTGCTGGGCCAGTAGCCGTCGCCGATGTATTTGCTGCCTTCCAGGCACGGCTGATGATTGCCATGGATTAGCAGCACCACTTTGTACAATAACTGTCGAGAGAAGGAAGTCCTAATAGGGTGTCAAGACGGGGGGCCCGTGTCAGGTGTCAACCTTTTAAGTTGACGCCAAACGCTGCGGGGGGGCTGCCTGGCCTGAGCCTCGAAGGTGACTATCTCTAGCCTTGGCAATTCTCCCTGCAGTGTTCATTCGAACTCTTGTATTTAGTCGCCCCCTCCATGTTTCATGCTCCAACCTCAGCAAACACTCTTTTCTCCTATCTAATCCTTACGTCCGACTCTAATCTGTGTTGTAAATCTGGCTCGGACCGAAACCGAGTTCGCCGGATATGCCCTGCCATGTCGTTCAGTAGCGGTCATGTAGAGCAGAGACCCCCCAAATCACTATTCGCAAGAAAGCTACTTGTGGTGCCTTCTTTCGTCAGGTTAGTCAAACCGTATAAGGTGATAGGAATTGACACATTACAAGCCTCGCCAATGAGACGGAAGTGGTTAAAGTCGTCGTTGGACAAGCTCCGCCGTCGACCTGGGTGATTCATGAAACTCTTTTAACCACCACTTCTCGATTTGCAAAGTCGGCGCTCTCGTTGCCATTCCTCGAGAAGGGAGAACGAACCATCAAATTGCCCGAAGAAAACCCGGCAATATTCGAATCCTTTGTCAGATTTCTCTACACCAACGTCGTCGATTTCTCTTCTTTGGACAGCGGTATTGAGCTCTATCTACTTGCTGATCGATTACAAGCATCTACCCTCTGCGACAAGATTTTCACCGCAATTACTTTCGAGGTCGACACTTTCACCACCGAGCAAATTTTGCACGTCCTTAATAACACCCCGACCTCGGACAAGTTGCATCACGCATGCATTCAACGGATCTGCCGAGACATTCGTTTTAACAAATACCATGCCGGTGTGTCAGTGACACGAGAGCTGTGTGAGAAGCACTCGTGGGAGATCCTGGCCCTTCTACTTGGAAAGCACGATGAAATTGTCAAGGCACCAGTGGTGCATCCGGATAAAAGCAGTTCTGAAGCAGCAAAACCTCATGCCGCCGATGGTACGGGGAAACGTTCAATATTCGGAAGCCCTTCTTTCAGCTTCTCTTTGCCTGCATCAACATCGAATGGAGACTCAACCAACCTGTTTTCTTCACAACAGAAACCTCTCTCCGTGTTCAGCTTCGGTACTCAGCCTGCATCATTGAATCCGTCCGCGAATGTGAGTGCTGCAACTTCAAATGCCAATCCTCATTCTACAAGTCTGTTTGGGGTAACATCGAGCTCAACGCACTTGGCGGTGACACCCACATCATCTGCCTTGGGCAAGACTTCCGTGTCCTCGGCTTCCACATCAAGCACGCCAGGTTCAAGTGCACTCAGCACACCGACGACTGCTACATTTACAGTCTTGGAACAGAAGGATTCAAACCTTACGCCAACTGGCCAGTCTGAGACCTCCGGTACTAGTTCTGGTTCAAGTTCCGGTTCCGGTTCAGGGCTACGATCCACAAAGTCCCCTAGCGCACCAGCTGCAATCCAGCCGACAGATCCGGTGAACACAACACTCCCGAATAAGTCTACTCCCGTTGGGCAGTCTTCCAAGGCAACTACTCCTGAGAGTGCTTCATAGCTCAATGCTGGCACTGCGAGATGTAATAGATCTGGTCTCGTCGAACAAACCACACCATACGCGGCTGAAGGTGACTATATCATTGCGCCATATGGTGGTGGATTAAGCACCTAGAAGTGAGCTGGAAATTCTCGGGAGAATGCTTCGGATTGTGTTTTGATAGCTAGAAAAATGTCTCTGAGCGCTCGCCCACCCTCTTCTGTCTATTCCGTAGTAATGCAATCGGCCTCCTAAGCGGTCATCCCTAGTGATCGCCACCTTCATCAATTCATCATCAATGTCGCCTACGACCTCATCAAATAGCCCTTCATGACCTTCACGTTGAGAAACATCATGTGCTTCCTCAACGTGCGTTGTTCTTAGGAGCTGCAGTTGGAGGACCCTCGCCAGTCACATAGGCTTTGCTCAAGCCACCATCAACGACAAACTCGGTGGCATTGACGAAACTGCTTTCATCACTGGCCAGGAAGAGCACCGCTTGAGCCTGCTCGATGGCCTCGCCAAACCGACCGCTAGGGAAATGCACCTCGCGCCGATGTCGCTTCTGCAAATCGTCACCCAACCAGTCTTGTAGCAACGGAGTATTCAGCGGCCCAGGGCACAGGGAGTTGAAGCGAATATTCTCCCGGGCGTGAACGATGGCGAGTTCGCGCGTCATGGCCAGCACGGCGCCCTTGGACGCGGTGTACGCGAGTTGCGGCGTAGCGGCACCCACTAGGGCGACGAAGCTGGCCGTGTTGATGACGGAGCCGGTCTTCTTCTGATGGCGCCGCATGCTCAGCACTGCGTGCTTACTGCCGTACCAGACACCCTTGACGTTGATGGCGTGGGTCAAGTCCCAGATCTTCTCGGGCGTGTTGATGGCGTCGTCGTCCTGTGCGTGCATTATTCCCGCGTTGTTGAACATGATGTCGACCCCGCCGTATTGGTCCTGCGACTCCACGGCGGTGGCGACGTCGGATTCTTTCGACACGTCGCATTTGATTGTGCTCAGGCGTGGGGAGTTGGGGACAAGTTCCTTGACTTTTTCAATCGCTTGGGCCAGGGCTGCTTCTGAGATGTCTGCTAGTAGTACCGAGGCACCTTCGCGGGCGAACAGGATGGTTGTTTCAAGGCCGATACCGCCGGCTGCGCCTGTGATGATGGCATTTTTGCCCGCGAGACGGCCGGGTCGTGACTCGGTGGTCATATCTGTGACAGAAGATTTGCTGCTGGTTTTTATCAGACTGAGTAGATAGCGGTTGAGGATGATAGGAACTGTCTGCTTCGCTGTCCGACTCGTCAGGACTGGATCGTCATGCGCCGATGAGTTGAATAGGTGGTTCTAGGAGTCTGCTCTCAGGTGAAAAGGTTCAATCAGCAAGGTGTCGGATATGTGTTCCAGAGCTCATCTGTGTTATCTAATCCATATGCCAATGCAAGTCGTATCCGTGATCCATGCGCTGTTCCCCGAAGTAACCATTGGATTGGACCCAATGGGAGAGTTAGTAGTGCACATGGTCTTTGGCTGTTCCGAGTAATCAGGTGCGTGATCTGCTCATGCATAATGCTTAAGTGTAAGATAGGGAGACAGAACACAATTACGCAGTACGTGGCTTTGGCCTCGGTAGCTCAACACCGAGATGCTTAAGGAGGAACGACGCAAAGGACTTCTTGCTGCGACAGTGGCTGCTTCGAGCTTATCAGGCACAGGCTGCGTCAGGCCAAACGAGTGTAAGTCCATTATCAATTTAGCTGCTGTTGCCGTGTATAATGCACTGTAGTTGTAACAATCACCTCCCCACCCTCAGTCCAGCTCTGTGCTGAGCTCATGAAGAGCATAAGACACGAGCCTCGACTCGTTCCTTTGTTCGCCTCAGACACCTATCCTGCTAGAACTCTTCATTGTTCCGTAAATTGCAGCAATGGCCAGCAAAACCAAGGAGAGTGAGGCCCTGACTTTGGACAATTTGGAGACTGCGCTGGCCAAGGATACAAAGATCAAGCTCGCAGGCATTGACATCGATGGCACGCGCCCACTCGTCTGTTCCGGTTGCACTCGCTAACCCACACAGGAATCCTGCGAGGAAAACTCGTCTCCAAGAAGAAGTTTCTCTCGGTGGCCAAAGATGGTTTCGGCTTCTGCAGCGTCGTCTTCGGCTGGGACATGCACGATTTGACCTATTTCCGCGAGCTCAAGATCAGCAATAAAGAGAATGGATACAAGGACTTGACAGCAAAGATAGACTTGGCCAGTTACAGGCGCATACCATGGGAGGACAATGTCCCTTTCTTCCTCGTCAGCTTCTATGATCCAGATACTGGCAAGCCCATCTGTGCCTGTCCCAGAAGCCTGCTGCGAACAGTCGTCGGGAAGCTGCATAAAGCCGGCTATGGAGCAATGGCCGGTGCAGAATACGAGTTCTTCACATTCCGAGCCCCTCGAGACGAGTCGATACAGTCGGGCCATACTTCGTCGGCCACGACAGCCCCTTTCCTTCAGAGCAATCCTGTTCACGCCCTGCCTCATCTGACCCAGGGAATGTTCGGCTACTCCCTAACTGATCCAATCCACAATCAAGACTGGTTCTACAGCGTCTTTGAGATATGCGAGAAATTCAAGTGTAATGTCGAAGGCTGGCATACTGAATCTGGGCCTGGTGTCTTCGAGGCGGCTCTGGAGTACGTCGAGGTCGCTGAAATGGCTGACAGAGCGAGTTTATTCAAGTATGTGGTCAAAGCCATGGGGAGTAAGCATGGCATCACTCCAACATTCATGGCCAAACCCAAGGAAGGCCTCCCTGGCAACAGCGGCCACATCCACTGCTCGATTGTTGATAAGTCAGGCAAAAATCTATTCTACAGAGGCGAAAAGGACCCCAACCCGCCTTACAAAGATCTTGAGTACGTGTCAGATCTTGGCCGGCAATTCCTTGCAGGCCTTTTGGACGGTCTCGCGGATGTCATGCCGATTATCGCGCCCACGGTCAATTCCTACAAACGGCTGGTCGAGAACTTCTGGGCCCCGGTCACCGTCTCCTGGGGTTGGGAACATCGGGCTGCCTCAATTCGGCTGATTTCTCCTCCAACCGCGTCACCCAAGTCGACTAGGTTGGAGATACGAGTCTGTGGAGCGGATGCAAATCCATCTCTGGTCCTTGCCACCATTGTCGCCCTTGGATGGAGAGGCATTGAGAAGAAACTGGAGATCGATTTACCTCCACTTGGAAAAGGTGAGGAAGTCGGGAGTTTGACTGACAAAGGAGAACCATTGCCCAAGAATCTCAAAGACAGCACTGCACGATTCATGGCCCAACATAGCGTTGCCCGCGAAATCTTTGGAGATGAGTTTGTCGAGCATTACGGGGGCACGAGAGAACATGAGTGTCGATTGTGGGATGAAGCAGTCACTGACTGGGAGGTAAGAAGGTATATCGAGACTGTATAAGGTACCCGTTCGTGTTCATGAGCCTCAACATACAGGAGAATTTTCTTAGTCATTGAGGACCCTGTTTTCATTCTACCATGGCGTTTCATTGGTCATTATGATATGATAACTAACAATAGGTACTCCATTGCTCCTATTGACGTGCAAACAGTAGGTCTATTCATCTGAGACATGTTGATGTCTCTGTGTCGCACCTTTTCGAGCCCCACCACAGCCTTATTGTCCCTGATGCCCATCGATCCCAGCTGAAGACTTTTTGGATATAATAACAACGGCTCTCCTTTCAATACTATTTCTGGCTCTCGAAACAAACCATGTACAAGATCTCACGTCTAACCGGGTCCATGATCTCGTCGCTTTAACATTTCCAGGGAAATTCGCGAGCAAACACACCACACATTCTACAAAATAACTCCGCAAGAACCTCGACGCAGCGGCAGCGTATTCAAGACCACTGGACGTACTACATCTAAATAAAAAGAGCGTGCCAAAGACTTCGGCATAGGGCCAAACGACCACAGAAGAATTCCATCAAAGGGGTAGCAACCACAAGGACAACGATGACCCGTTGGACAAGACACATCCCCACTAGTTCTTGCCCGCGGGCGACAGCGCAGCCAAACGCAGCCAATTCGAATACGCTTACAGCCGTCAGCTGAAAAGCGCAGGCTCCCAAGGCGTCAACGCGAGCAAGAAACCGAGAGTTGGAACTCGTCAAATCGCTAAATAGGTCGACATACCCAACTACATTGCATTAGCGAGCTACAATTGGCCCGATTCACCAGCATGGGCTCCCACAAACCCACTATTCGCCGGATCCAACAGTCCATGTGCCGCCGGCATGACAGTACAAAAAGAGGCTAGGGATTCAGAGCCCCCATGAAATGGTTTGCCTATGCACTTTTGCCAACCTCTGTAGAACCCGTGGGCATGATTCGGCCGTCCTTGTCGCGCTGTTCGAAACGCAAAGAACCGGAGTAGGGTTCGGGCATTCGGGCACTCAAAGACGCCTATATTGGCCAATGCCTTGGGGAACTTTCCTCAGCGGTGTCTGAGAAGCAACGGAACGCGCCCTCTCTCGCTATGGGAACGACGACAATGTCCCACTGTACATTTTCGACCAGGAGATAGCAGAGAGCAACGGAGTTAGATTCAACTTCGACACAGCAGCATGTGGCAACTGGACAAGATACATGGTACACAACTATAAGAATAACACGGCGTTGGAGAGTATCGACGTCGGCCAGCGCAGTCCCGTGGCCATCGAGACAATTCGGCCCATCGAATACGGCGAAGAGGTCACCATCAACTAGCGCAAGGATTATTTCCATAATCTTCAGTGCAGATGCACGTGTGGACATGCGTCCTGCAGGAAAGGGAGCGAAGGAAAGGGAGTAACAAGCAAAACGGCGCTCAACCTGGCAAAGGAGAAGGGGATGGTCCTGAAATGGACCACGGGCGATCGAGAAAGCCCATACGAGTAGGTAGATTAATGCAATGCATATTACAAACAATTCTATGTGTCTTTGAATGCGAGGTCGTAGGCATGGCGTACACCAGACCACAACCTCAACACCATTACATGCCATGCCTCTCGTCAAAGCTCTCGTTAAGGCTTATAAAAGCTCCGGCGTGTCTCTGGCATGTCTTGAGCCTACACCCCCCCAGGAGTCTTACAATTAGGGCATCCTCCACTGCAGCCTTCCTAGCCTGGAACTGGTTCTACGCCTACTGCGTGCTCTCGAGTCGCACACTCAAACAACGCTATGGCATTGACCACAACGGCAACCCGCGACAGGACCTGATCAGGTTCGGTGACGCAGCGATCCGCGAGGGCAAATTGACGAAGAGCCAGCTCGAGCAGACTCAGCGCATGGAGGCAGCGAGTGCGAATTCTGTCGATGGATATCAGTTTTTTGCGATTTCGGGTAAGTTACGTCTTGAGGATCGATGAATTGGGGTTTGGTCTCCAGTACTTCTTATATATATTAATGCCGTGTCCACAGTTATCTTTGCTCTTGTCTCTAATGTCCCCAGACTCACGTTGATGAGCGCTTGCACCACGTACACGGTGGCGAGGCTGGCTTATGGTGCGGTGTATGTGCTGATCGAAGATAATCTGTGGAGCCAGTTGAGAGGGATTGCTTGGTGGATCGGGAACGTGAGTTGTTTGTTCTTGTTGTGGAAGGGCGCTCAGGTAAAGACACTCGAGCCATGATATGGCGAATCGCAGGGCTCGGCAACTAGATAGAAATACTAAGGTACTAGTAGTGTTGGTACATGGAGTGAGTTCAAAGAAAGGGGTCTCCACTCAAACTCATTCAGAGCGGTTCTGAACGGCCTCTCAGCCTCGTCCGCAGTTATCCAGATACCGAGATACCCAGGAATCGAATTCGCCCTCGGTCTTACTATCCTTCCTGAAGCCAATTCCTCTTTTGACTTGACCAAGCCAAGCGTCTTGGACAACGAGCTGAATTCGAAAAATTGAGGCGCTCAGCCCGATTGGCGCCATGAACTTCGCTAGCCTGCATGTCGCCGCAATTATGAAGATCCAGACCGATCTACCAGAATTTCGTTCTCCGCCATCGTTAGCCTTGTTCTTTGAATTCGCTTCGACAAAGACATTTGGAAAAGAAAAATGAAAACCTTAGCTGCTGCCGAAAATTCCGACGCAGAAGCGGGAGACGGAAGGCCATGTCGAAACCCGATAGGCATGATACCAGCCTATCAGGCTGCAGGCAACGGCAACGGGCATTTATGCTCACTATGCCCACGAGGTCGGCGGGAATACGAGGTTGAATAATCAGAGCCTCAGAAACTTATAAAGTGGCTTTGTTCTCGAGACAAGTCCTCTTTTGGTGCACGACAATCACAGAGACAAGGCTAGAATCGCGATGGTGGACCACTTGCAACTACCACGTCAGCTTCGCTACCCCCTTCCTTCCATCCCATATGTCTTGAGGTCGCCTCCGTCATCTGCCTACGATGGCTTGGAATTCTCGTCCTATCCTCAACGCCGAGGCTTCAACAAGGATGAACTCCTTCAAGGGCATGTCGCCGGACGAAGTGACGAAGAATTGAACGAATTCTTTCAATCATGGTTATTCTTCGGAACGATTTATGAAGTTTTCAGAATCGCTAAAGAGAAGTTCAATATGACCGAGTTTGTTTGGGTCAACGGTGATGGTCAACAACTTATCACGACAAGGCCATTGAGAAAACATCTCGACAGCTGGGTGCAGCGAGAATTGAGGGCCGGACGAAGTCTTTTCTGGGGGTTGGTGTCTCTGTTCACAGACACTTGGTACGAGAGACTACGCCGCATTGACGAATGTTTGGATGAAGCAATGAAGTTCACCGCCAAGTTACTTGCGCCGGCTTCCCCATCCTCACTTCCTCGCGATCAACTCCCAAATATCATGCCCGAGATAAGCCTCTCCATCATCATTTTGACTTCGACTCTAGAATGGGCCAAAGACCAAGTGGTACCGGCATATGTTAGAGAGCAAATGATGCAAAATATGGGCTCAGACAGCATGCTGGGGTCAGACATACTTTCTGGAAGCTTACCCTATGTCCCTCGGAGGGCCTACACGGCATGCGGACCGGCAGAGTACACTCTGCAAATGCTCTATCAGGGAGGTTGGTGTCCTTTGGAAGTTCGAATGTTCAAGGAACTCGCAGATCCAACCATGTTCTATTTTTCACAGCTTGTGCGGCCACCTTTGAACCTAGGGCCGAGCCATGCCAATTGCACAGCCGACAAGTGCGTAGCATACCAGGTCGACGATACGAACTATAGACCTCGCCATCGGGATTTTTGCGGGGGCTGTGATGGGATAGGGTTTCTTACATCACAAGTCGCCCTTCTGGTCTCCCAGGGCCATATCCCGCTGGTCCGAGTGCACAACCAAAATGGAAATCCACAGTTCCAGCTCTGTCCTGCCGACGGAAGAGACTATATCGCTATTTCGCATGTCTGGGTGCAAGGACTAGGGAACAGGGTGACCAATACATTGCCAGAGTGTCAACTCACATTCGTCTGGAACCTGGTGAACACAGTGTATGGTAATCCAGATATCGGGCCGGTTTCATTTTGGATCGACACTTTATGCGTACCATTGGAACCCATAGATGAGAGGAGACGTGCAATCACCCGGATGAAGGAGGTCTACCGGGGAGCCCACTCAGTGCTTGTCATCGACCAGGAGCTTCTTCGAATCTCGTGCCGGCTCCCCGATACCCCTGGAACGCTCAAATACGCCCACTCCGTCGACCCTGATGTTGGTCCAGTTGACGAGTTCGATCTGGAATCCAACACAAGGGAGTTTTATATGCGTCTATTTGTGAGTCCATGGTCACATCGCCTATGGACGCTTCAGGAAGGCGCTCTGTCAAAACAGTTATTCATCGCATTTGCAGATGGCATACATTCACTTGGAAGTATCGTGCGTTCTAACCATACTCTGACTATGCTCAGGAGCGCCTATCAGCCAGCCGAATCCGCTCCGATGCGCAACGCCCACAACATGCTGGGATCGGTTGACGTCGCCGACGGTGGAGGTGTTCATTTTGGGAAGATGGGACCGCTCCTCTGCTATCGTGACACGAGCAATCTCCCTGATGAGGCTGTCTGTCTTGGAGGTATTCTCGACCTCGCTACAGATCGCATCGTCAATGCTGGAAACACAAGAGAGGAACGCATGTTGGAATTTTATCGACAACTGCCCAAGGTACCAGTGGGCCTCTTGTTTCTAGAAGGACCTAAATTGGACGTACCGGGGTTTCGCTGGGCTCCTACTTCTCTGCTGGGAATGACTCTCACCCTGACACAAACGCTAGAGACCATGGTCACTGACCGGATCGAGGGTTCTGATCAAGACAATCATGTCGGAGGGCTCTTGATACCGAGCTTAGGAGTTTTGCTCCACAACCCACAAGCTACAGAGTCATTCTCGAAATCACCATCGCATGATTCCTGGCGTAGCCGGCTTCCACCCGTCTTCTATGTGGTAGACATTTGGCGAGCCTTGATTGAACCGGGCCGAGAGAACGATCGGGAATATGTGCAATTCGTACTCGATGCGTCTTCCGCTCTTGGTTCGGCTCTTTCACAATTTTCTCCCCTGCAGACCGATTATCTTCCCGGCGTTGTGTGGCGGCTGACCTATACCGGTGCGATGCCATGGAGCGATGTCCTTCGTTCTGTGAATGACGAATACCACAGCAAAAATAATGCCATTGGCGACGTCGGTGAAGGTCAAGAAAGTAATGATTCGGATTCGGATTTGTCCTTTGGATTCGTGATCCAACAAACCCTGAATCACGCGGGAGAATCAGCGCTGCCCACCAAAAAGGCGGCGCTTGTTGCGAATCTGTCCCGAAGATTTATGACAACCAACAACGATGGAATACGGAATTTCCAGAATGAAGAACCCTGTGAGACAAGTGGAGAAGGCGGAATGTCGGCTGAGCTCGTCGTAAGCGGCTGCTTCATGGGCGTTTTCACACTCGAATCAATACCGCCGGATGAGTGGAGTGTCATTGAACCGACGATTGTTTCTATTGAGCCAGACAATCCGATTGTGCTAAGACCGAAAGTTGGAGGACGATCAACGTATTGGATTGTGCGATGAAAATTTGGGGGGGACATGTGGGTCTACCGAGTACTCGGAACATACTAGGGGGCGGTTTGTGATTGGTTGACTTGGTAGGATCGCCGAGGGCAAGGCTCGTGCGGATAGGGGCACATATCGCAAGGAGGAATGAATGGCTGAAAGACTGCTACACAATGTGCTTGCGAAACGCCGTATTTGAGCCTCATTTATGTGCTTTGCTGAATCTGCCAAATTGAATTAGATCCCAACGCCTTTGATCGCTGTAAACTGCTGCGCTATGCTTCCGTTCTCGTTGGTCCATCTATCTCAATCAATCCATATAACTAGCCGTCCCTTAATACGAGGATCCATATACATCTCCGGCAACTCAGAGACCTTTTTGAGCGGAATCGTCATGACATGTGAACGAATTCCAACCTTTGCCACCGTATTCGTCATCTCTTCAATTTGCGGTGTACTTGCCACCAGAAACTTTTGATAACATGAACCTGAAAAGCAGTGTCAAATGCATCGAATTGGAATTTCTAAGTTGATAAGCCCGGAGAGACGCACTCTCCGTGAGGCCGAAGAATTTCGAGACTCCTGGTGATGGCGGCAGAGGCGTCGACGCAGACGATAGTAGCCGCCATACCATCACCTTGGCCAGCTCAGGATCTGATATCAGGAATTAGGTCAGCGTCGTCGAAATCGATGGCCAGATCGGGTTCGAAAGGTGTTTGCAAAGCCGACTCCCTTCCTTCAGCTCGATTGGACTACGAGGGAGTCTAGGCCGCCGATACCTAGGATGCTAGTCGGCTGAGATGACTGAAGATTCGCTTCGGCAATGGCAGCCCACACGGTCGCCTGACACACAAGTCAGGTCGGTCTTCAAGTAACAGAACATCATTTTCTTCTCGTGTGCGTGGGTACGGGAAAGCGTATTTGTATGCGTATACGTACCCCAGCGTACATGAGCGGCGCAACCTGCTCAAAGAGAACTAACTGGTGGCCATCCGCGAAGCATTCCGAAGGCCAAACGTCAAGTAAGGATTACATGTTTGGTTTGTAGCCGGGGTATGGTAAGTGGTGCACGCTTCGAGAACTATATAATCTGACCATCCCCCAGACTCCCTTCGAAAAGGGACAAGTCCTCCGCAAAATCACAGCCGAGTTTGCATCACTCAGCACCGGTCCAAGAAAGACGTTGAAGACTTGAAAGCCGGGAGACCATTTTGGTAATAAGGCAAACGATGCCTTGCTTCTGCTTCAGCGTTGGCTGTTCTTCGGTCTGTCGCAAGGCTGCCTCCAAACACCGTTCGGGACTTCAGAATTTGTAAAGGCACACGGTGACGGATGGATTCTTCACACTGCTCGGTTCCGGGGGTGTTCATGAGAAAGTGATCAAGGGTCTTCATAGAGTTGACTCCAGAAAGGCTCCACAACCGTCACGGATAGTGACTCAGATGTCTCCAAGCATCTTTGATCATCCGAAATTTGGCCTTCTAAAAAGACATCGATTGGCTATACTCGGAGCTATTTCCAACATTTGACTCCATCATACGGTCCTCACTGGAGTGTTCTTGGAATGTGCCATATTCTATTGCAGCAATAAACTCGCTGGCCGCAGCAAATGGTATTGCCCACCCAGGGGCTCTGACAATCTGTATATGAAAGGGTTGGTGTCCTCTTGTTTGTCATCTACTCGAGTCCAACTCACTTTCAAAGGCGGAATTTGCGTCCTTGATTGATCTTACAAATTTATCCGGATCCAGCCATGAAAACTGTAGCAGGAGTACTTGTGTTGCGATCCCGCCCATTTCGATCTCGTTCACACTACGGCTGATTGTTCATGCAAGCCGGTCCGACCAGATGTCGAGAAGATCAACGATATTTCACAACAGGGCTCATTCTCGATTGTCTCCCTGGGCTTGTTGCTATAGTCTCTGCCGACTGAAGCTGTGATGTCTAGTTCAAACATCAAACATGTCACATTTTCTCATGTTTGGTCTCATGGGCTGGGAAGCTGCATCGAAGTGGGCCCACCCGTATGTCAGATCATTCGATTTGAAGAGCTTGCTAGAAAGGCTGCGAAGACAACATTGATCTGGATGGACTCTTTGCGGGATCCCCCGAGCAAGTGAAACTCGTAAAAAGGCGATTTTAAAAATGAAAGATGTTTTCAAAGGGTGTCAAGCTGCCATTGTGCTGGACACGGGTCTCAAGAGGTGCGATCCTCTAAAAGTATCTACGGAGATGTATATCAAGTAAACTACATGTGTCTGGATGCCAAGGCTTTGGACGTTGCAGGAAGCAGTGCTCACCCCCGGTTACGTTGTCTCTACAAGGGGCTGGTTGAGTAGGCGCCCTTTTCGGCAACGAAAGTGATGGATCGCGGAACCTTGCTTCCTCTTAGTCCCATCACCCTGAATACGGGGAGGAAGAGACTGCCTCTGAGGTCGAACAATGTAACGCGCGTCAGTGTCGGTGTCTTGCAACAGCTCCTCGCAGATCGCACATCCAACAAGGTAGAAGACGAAGCAGTCGCGATTGCGCCACTGTTGAGCATCGATAATTTATATCGAATAGTTGTAGTTTAGGGTGATGAGCGTATGCTAATGCTCCGGGCCTTACTCTCCTGCCGCCTCGTCGAATGTGGTCTTGGCTCATGGAGCGAAGCTGACGCACTCGGGATTTCGATGGGCCGTTGATGGCTATCAATGGGGAGGATCAGCCGATGTCAGTTCGATCTGATGCCAGAACCACACTTTCAGGAGTGAGAAGCATATATACAATCTTACGGGCGTACCACGTCACGAGATCCGGGTACATGATGTGGATGGGATGGTTTTGGCAGTGCCACGAGCAGAGGCTTTGAAGGCCATCGGCTGTCGCATAGACGCCTTCGCTCTTTTGTATCCTCCAACCACCTGAAGGGCAACTCATGGAGCTGGTCTTGAAGTTCGACCTCGCAGTGGAAACCGTCGGCCTTTTGATATGACACGCTCGTACCGTGCTGAAATGTATAAACTGATGGGCTATTGGGTGATGGCAGCAACTGAGGCTCCGATAAAATGGCAAGACTTCCACCATCGCCAATTCAGACAGTAGAGTTGAGAGCCTGGAGCTGTGAATGAGGGTGAAGCTGGTTTGGCAAGCCACTGTATGCGGAGTGGAGAAGGATTCTGAATTTGCAGCAAAAGTCGTTACCGAGTGGAAAGACATGGATAGTTGGAATGCTGCGCAGGGGCAGAGGAGACGAAAGAGGCTACGAGAAATGTGCCGAATTTTGGAAGGGTGTTGTCGGATGAGAGCAATTGAAAAAGAGTATTGCCGGTGTCCGATAAAGAAGAACAGAAGATGTTCTGTGGTGGCATAACACCAGAAACCACCCATGCCGTTAAACCCAGAGTATTATTTCCATCGGCAATACACCACCAAAGACAAACCGAGTCATTCGCTTCCTCCCCCTATGTATTGATATGTGACGGCCGATCAAGCCTCGATTTGTCATCCCATGCGATTTTCCTAGCCGAGAATCTCTCCTCTGAAGGAGCAGGAATTGCATTGAAATCGAATAGTGAGGCCTTGACGAAAATTTTATCTGTTTCTTCAGAAGTTACGCTGTACACGGGACTATTGTCGACCAGGAGCATGTTCGCATTGCACAATTTTAGAGCATGGTTTCTCGACATACCTTCCACATGTACCACAGAATCGCCTCTGTCCGATATGATCAGCATTACTGTTCTGGTCTGATGATCTGCGTGAATGGCAGGGATGGAGACGGTGTACATACGGCAAGCGTATTCCCTGTGGCGGTATTGCTGTCATGATAGATTTTGATCGATTGATGGGTATCGTGCACATTGACCGCGTCTTTATCAAGCACAAAGTTGACTGAACACACTGGTTTCGAAGTATCAGCCCATATACAACGACACAAAATGGGGAGTTGGAAGCCGAAATCGTTTGGTCACTCACAGCCACCAGAGCGTCGACAATTGTCACTATATTACCGGAATGCTAGTACGCCTTTTGGGTTCAACTTGATCATTTTTTAAAAAAAATAACAGAACGTACCAGTAGCAAAGGATGGATGAAGAGGGTAACTCTGGAAGGACCACGCGCACGTTGCCGCAGTTGCAATGTCCCTCAACAACCATTTTGTGATGTTGACGGTCCGGCCAATGTCTGCCAAATTCTGAAAGCTTGGAGAGTAGGAAGTGGCATAAGATGATATGCCCACTGGGAGATTCGATGGTGACTCTTGTACCAAGGAGCTTCTCTTGAGCTCTCAAGTTGGGCCAAGTAATACGCGGATCTGTAACGGCGGCTGGAGTATGATGCTACTGATCCCTTGCAACAGTGCTCGGCTATGCTGTCTTGTAGTATCGTGCCGGGAAGCAGTAGAGGGGGGATTCACAGTCATGGGGCCTGAGCTGCAGTGCATTCAGTATCTCCGATTCTCCTTTCATTGCGTCGTGACACTCCCACGCTGATTGGCTTACATAAAGCGGCGATGACGGTAGAATCTTCGTCGAGATCATAGGTTGAATGAGTCAGTCTTGGGAATCGCATCCAGTTGCGGACGTCGCAAATCTCCGTGCTCGCTTATAGATTGTGTATACGTGTCTATTTGCGGGCGTGAAGGTCTCTTAAAGATGGAGTTTTGAAGAGATGTAGTTTAGAAAGCTAGCAACTCGGCCGGGAATCATGCTTGTATGCTCGCGATACTTCCGTGTCATGGTCGGAACCGCCCGAATGGACTCTTGCAACATACTTTTGTCGCGGCAGGGTGGCATCAACTTCACTTGTCACTTTGCGTTCCAATTGATGATGTCTAGGGTAACACGCGTGGCAACTGATTCATTGGCCCAGAAAAGTGAGATGGTCACGGATAGAACCGGTTCATAAACGATTGGCACTTTGGTGCTCTTTGCTGATGGTGGTAGCGTGGTGGTCGGGCACCAGGAGGCGAAGAGGTCATGCCCGCTTAACTAACAAAGGCTAGCTGGCAGTCTAACCCGCAGCAAAGGATTGGCGCGACCAAGTGGATTGCCCGCATGCATTCTTTTCCTTTTTTTTTCTAGCTCAGGTGCTTTCAAGTTCTTCGCGACAACACCTACCCACACACTTCACTTCAGCCTGAGACACGGCGTTTTCATTTTCACTAAAAAATACTAAGCCGATGGCACTGTCTTTTCCTTTTCGCTTGAGTCCGGTGCACAAAGGATAGCAACGGCTGTGGAGAAGGAAGGCCACTTACTCGCATCCACGCCCGTCTTCCTCCAAATCCGTGCAAAACGGACACCGAGTCAAAGCAGATCAAGCCGCACTTTTACCGCATCAACGGTCCAAGCAACGACCCGCTAACTTGTCGTACCAAATGTCTCTATCTCGTCCCCAAAGTGAGCAGATTGGTGGAGACATCTCACCCTCAGCATCCTCTCCCACGACTGGAAACCACAAATTTCAACCATGGCGGGCAATATGGCCTGCTCAGAGAGAGTCGCATCCCCAGGCTCAGATCTTTGGGTTCAAGAAAGGTGATGTCATGGTATTTGACGGCAACGCGGGGAACTTTTTCGCCAGGGACGGTTGGACAATCGAGCAAGCGAGTGACTGATAGTGGACTTTGAAGGTTCTGCACTGCTATTGATGTGAGCTCGGAGGTCGACGGTCGGGATGAATGGAATTGAGAAGAGCTGTCTGTTCGCGGATGTGTCGATGAGCACACTCGAGGGAGTCCCTGCACCCGGGCGGGAAAGATGAACATCGGAGTTGGCGGGGATCAGATTTGCACCGCATGGGGATTGTATTTCTCTTCGAACTGAGCACCAATTGCAATCAGGGGAGGGATCCCGGCTTGCTGAAATGAAATTCGCGTACATCGGAGCATAGCATGGGAAGCCTACGTGGTGGTCGTGTCCCCCAGCTTTCTGGATTGAGGCATTGTGAAGTCCATGCCGAGCAACGATCGAATGAAGAGACAGGCCATTATTCTTCCTGTTCGTCACCGAATCCGAATCCGCCATAATATACAAGTGCTCGGGCTTCGATGCTTTCCCGCGGGGGGACGTCAGCAGGGCCTACATCCGGGAAGGGGAAAGCAGTGTGAGCGACTATCCAAAAGTCAGCTTCATGTGATCGCGAGTGGAATATTCACAGACTAGGATTGGTCCCAGGCATCGAGTCTGCTTGCAAAAAGACCCATGCCTCGTTGGGCATTTGATTACTGAGATAAAACCATTTTTGCTTGTTTGAGTGATATACCTGGCGGTTCTCCACCACGTAATCTGGATAGACAAGATCACAAGGCTCGAGTTCCGTTTGTGGATCGATGCTCGTGGGGTTGCACATGGCTAAAGGCCAGTCTCGGACAGGTCCAACCAGTGGTTTCCAGAAGCTGTGGTGGAAGGTTAGCCTGTGTAGTTGTGGCAGAGGAAGTGCATGAGGACGAACTTGACGCATTGGAGGCGATGCTGTCCAATCTTCTCAGCCTTTCGGGGATTCAGTTGTTGTGCCATGGCGAAAGCCCACTCAGTAGTGGTATCGACATGCGCAATGGATGTTGGCTGGTTGTATCTGTAAGGCTCGCCTGTTGAGATGGGGAATATTTCGTGCCGTTTTCTTACCTGAGGGGGGTCACGCACATTAAATGAACCGTTCTCATGAAGGTATTTGGGCTCGAACGTACTGTATGCTCAAAGATCTGAACGTGCTGGCCTCCCAGAAACACCTTGAGACCATTGGCAATCTCCTTGAGCAGAACGGCTTTGACCACCTCTTCATTGTCGTAGTCTTCATATACCATCTTTGATTCAAAGTCGAGAATCGCAACTCCATCTCTCTGGAAATTCAGGGTGGATTTGTGATTCCGGATGTCGTGGATATCAATTTCGTGCTTTTCTAATTTGATGTTTGATCTGAGAAATCCCTCCGGGGGTGTGAATCGTAGCGAGTAGGGCTTTTCGGTGCTGTACAATTCATCTCGTTTGAGAAAGTGCGTATTGGAATGAACGACATTCATGGCACCAAACCCTTCGTTCCTCCAAATGATTATGAGGCCAGGGCAAAATTCTGGGAAGAATGTGAGTACTCGGAGGATGAAGGCAAATGGGAGAGGCTTGATCACTATACCGCCCAGCCTTCCCCGGCGGTTTTGGGGGGAAGAGCCCGAGGGGGCTGGCTACTGCGACGAGGCCCCTTTCGTTTCTTGTTTACCTATCGCCTGCCCCGTTGGCAAGGGCTCCACAGTTGAATTCTCAAAATACTGTACGTCTCTGGGTATACTTATTTCAATGTGTACGAATCGTCGTGGAGAGAAAGCTCCTCTACTGAGTCTTAAGAGTGTACATCCATGGGCAGACTGTCATCGACCGTCGTTCCATTTCATCTCGACCAAAACGCAATGAACGAAGTGACGTCCTTGCTTGTCAATTCGCTCTCTTGCGTTTTGCGATATTCAGCATTAGCCACCTTGCTCCGAATCAATTCCCTGAAGAGCAATGTATAGATCTTGAAGCACTTCGAGACCTCCAAGTCCGCCTCTTCATCTCTTCCAAGCCCCCGCAAAGCCTCTGCGCGTTTGAATGAAGCCCGCGCTTTCTCGGGCAGGAAATGATTGGAACTAGAATATGCTTCAAGAGCATGGTTTAGAAGAGCCTCCGCCATCTCATACTGGTGCATGCGGATGTTATGGTCGGCCACCTTCACAAAGGCATCTGCGGTGCGGTGATGGCGATTACCAAGTGTGATCTTGTAGTGCTCAACTGTGCGGCGGTGATACGAAAGCGCTTCGTCTTGGTTGCCTTGACTGCCTCTGACGTTTCCGAGGGCATGAAAGAATCGACCGGTTCTGTGGCATACAATCAGCGCAATGACCCTCAGCGTGTTACCGAGAGCACACTCACATAAACGAGTCTCGATCATCCAGACCCAACGCTTTTTGACGATCCTCTAGCCCTTTGGTCAATGTTTCGACGGCATCTTCAAGTTTTCCTTGAAGCCAATATGCCAGCCCCAGATTGGCGAGTGGTAATGATATCATCGTCGGCTGGAAATCTCTCAGCTGCTTCATCTCTTCGATCGATTTCAAGAAGCACTCCTCGCCCTTTGGCCAGTTTCGATTCAACATATAGGCGTTCCCCAGCTCATTCCAAGATATTGCCAGTCGCATATCATTCCGGGAAGGTTTGCGACCTAGCTCCTTGATCATCTTTTCATTGAATAGTTTGAGATACTTAAGCGCATTCACCGGGTCGTTGGTTTCCAGATCAATGCAGCCTCGATTGTGATGGATTTCATTGAGCGAATAGTTCAGCTGGGACAAGATACCCGGCTCATCCGATGCGCATTCCGGATCTTCGAGGATCCGGAGCTTCATCGACTCGCAGATTCCTTGGGCTACGTTGTTAAACTGAACGGCGTCGGTCGGGCTTCCTCGTTCGTGTCGATACCTTTAGAGCTTAGCGACGAAAGAAAATGCAGCAGCAACACTACTACACTTACCATCCAGCGTCAATCAACAGCCTCGCGAACTCGTAGTCCTCGAACGAGTCGATCGAGGTCGCAACCTCTGGGAAAAGATCTTTGAGTCTTTGGACATGAGGAAACAACTCGTCACACTTCTCCCACCTGGCAATTCCATGGCGCCAACCCAATGACTCAAAAGGCCACTTGCTGGAAATAAGCCTCACACACGTAAGAAATACCGAACGCATCTCGGAGGTCGTCATCCGCGTCCTTGACACATCTTGAACGAGTCGATGCACGAAAATCTTCTTCTCGCGCTTGCTTTCCGTCATGAGTGATCTGGCCAGAAGTTCGTTTTTGGCAGTCTTATAATCACGTTTCAATTCGACCAGGTCGGGATGATCACTCTCAGCCGGTTTGTCGAGGAAGAGGTTCTCAGGTATGCCATCGGGATCGAGCATGGATAAGACGCTGAGCAGATTGGTCCCTTTCCCAAGACTGTCAAAGGCCCATACCGACGCCACATTATGTTCGTAATTTGATGGCCGTGGCCGCGCACTGTCCACGAACCACTGAAGGAGCTCCTGTTGGCTCTCTTTCTCATCGTAAAGGCGTAGAAATTGGCCAAACGACATCGATTTGTGCGCAATGATACCACCCATTTGAGCAAGGGCAAGAGGGAGGCCCCCTAGGCGTCGCGCAATCGTCACAGCGGAGGCCCTTTCTTCATCCGAAACTTCTCTTCCCGTGATCCGCAAAAGAAACTCTGTGGCTTCATTGACGTTCCATGGCCTCAGCTCCAAAGACGTAGACCAAGAATGTGGATTGCGGCTCGTAATGAGGATTGATCCGGGTCCATCATATGGCCAGAACTCGTTTAGCACTTCACCGTCCTCAACTCCGTCGAAGACCAGCAGCCAAGATGCTCTTTCTAGTCCCGGGGATTCATTTTCGTCCAGATGCTTGAGAGGATTAACAAGCCACCTCTTGACCAGGTCTCGTGTGAAATACAGATCCTTGGCGTCAATATGGTCTTCAGAAATCAGCCCGAGACCGATGGCGATGCTGTTGAAATCCTGTAGGATTTTGTAAGTGTTTTCCGCATACACCCAGAGAACAGCATCAAATGTATGGCGATGGGATGTGACAAATTGTGCCGCAACCTGAGTCTTGCCCATTCCTCCCGGCCCGTGTACTGCAAAGCAACGTGGAAAGCTGGTAGGCTTCACATTCGAGCCCTCAACGTGGGGATCGGGACAGAGAGATTGTCTGATGGTCTTTAATGCTTGCGTTCGAGCATGGAAGTTCTTGTCTCGGTCCACTGGAACGATGTATGCGGGAAGATTGACAGAGACGGCATCTGCGGATGGCGCGATGTCGAAGTACCACTTCCGGAGTAAAGGCTGCAGGACTGGGTCCCTGTCGTGTCCATAGTATGCTGGATGTGGTATAAAGTCCCAGGTTTCCGCGTACGACTCAGCCGTGGAGGAATTCTTCTCTGAGTCTTCATCAACAATCACTATCGAGGAATCATCTGAGCCGTGCTCATCGTCATGGATTTGGGAAGTTTGGGAGGACGACACCAGCTGGGCCCTGTAAATAGCAGACGAGTCATCTTCAGTCTGGTCCGTTCCTTCTTGCGCATGTTTGGATTCTACGCTCTCGTCGCTTTCGTCTCCGGGGCTCTCTGGCCACGGTAATGCTCTCACCGAGAGCAATTCCAGATGGCTGGCGAGGTGCTTGGTAATGCGCTCCGAGGCCATCTTGTCGATATCAAACGAAGGAGGCTCGTCCTGGGTCAGATTCGACAGATGACTTCTCAGTTCATCTTCTGAGGGTCTCCAACGACAGAGCGGACATGCCCTAAATGTAGTGGATGACGGGATTCGGCTCCGTTTCTTGAGTAGAGGTAATTGAGATTTCGTGAATGTACCTGCATGCGCCTCCCACATGTGGTCCTCATATTCTTGGTCCGTGCGAAATTGACAAGGGCTGTGAGGTCCAGATGTACATACCCACCTCGTGGTATGTGTATTCCGCATATGTGCAATCCAGCTACTTCGATCTCGGAAGAAGAGATTGTGGTCCGGACATTTTTCGAACACGCACGCATATGGTTCCAGATCTCGCATGACATGTCGTCTGTGCGTGCTGTTAGCTGGCTCTTTAAGGACACAAGCAAAGTCTAATTACCTCCACTTCGATGCTTTTGCGTAGCTGATGGGTAGAATAATGCAGCAGTAGGGGCACTCAAACTCTTTGCTTCCGGGAGTAGGCTTAGGTGGATCAGGGATGAACGTGGTGGTACCGCCAGGATCCACCGGAGTGTTGGTGAAAGTGGTGGACTGGTTCGATTCCTCGTCGTTTTCGGTCATGTCGATGTGAATCGAAGTTCGAGCCATGCCCGAAGCCGACGTCTGAGAAGGGAGTGCGGCTCCACCCAATGTCCCTTTAGGGCCTTTCATCGCCTGGTTGGAGCTCTCAAGGACTGCACGGGTTCCTCGAATCGTAGATTGACCATCTCCCTTGGGCACTGGACCTTTCTGCTGCTCCTGTTTGCTGTCTGCCATTATCGTCCTCGTACTCAACTTCCGCTGGTGTTTCTGGCGGTAGAGAAATCTCTTCCTGCGGGTCACGATGCCATTGCCTAGCCTCTCTTTCAGCTCCTTGGATACATCTGGGAACTTATGGGCAACGCATTCCACGGCAAATTTCCGAAATTGCTCATCTATGTTATTATCTTCGTCGTCAGTAATGGGGAAATTTTCGGCCTTGGGGTTGTGACTCAGGATCGAAGGTTGCCGAATCAGCTTCGAGAGGCGATATAGCCTGTCTATAGTTCTTTCAATGACTTGCAGTCTCTGCTCGAAAAGACCCAGGTTCGTTGGGGGTAGCGCAGCAGCCAATGAATCGGACTCTGTCCCTTGGAAAGGTGATGATAAGGAAGAAAGCGACTGCTCAGGGCCATCGCCCGATGGAAATGCTCCCGCATCTTGCGACTGCATTTGGTTGGGACTCAATGATTCCGTAGCTTTGGAAACAATACTGATCAGCGAGCTTCCTACAATTTCAGCCTTATTGTTACTACCTCTGTGAATAAAGTCCCCGAGCGTTCCGAGAAATTCGATCATCAGTTGTTTCGCGTCGTCTCTGTCCCTGACTCGATAGTCAAGAGATGCATGACCATCCGCAAAAACCCCGATGTTGCTCGCCCACATCTCGAATCTTGCGAGTTGTTCATCGGCCCTTAGCTCTCCAAAACCCAGATCTTGGGCCTCTGTCTTGCCAGCTTCTCGAACTTCATTTTCGATCTTGACCAGAAGTTTGAACTGATTGAGACAATCGTCGGCTCGTTTATAGATGGACGCCATAGCGAATCTAGGCCCCTCGAACTTTCTTGCCCGCGTCTGGAGGCGTTGAAAAGTGAGCAAGAAAGATTCCCCCCGCAAAAGGGAAAGTTAGAGGTCGCGCGAATTGGGGGGAGCGGTGCCCCGCCTCATAAGCGAGGCGCATCATCTTGAGAATCATGCAGATTGGTTCAGGTATGCCGGCTGCATGCAACGTGTTGATAACTTGAGGTCTGCTGGACGAAGAGGTTGTGGTCAACTTTGTCTAGTGGTTGCCTCCAGCTACCAATTAGAGCGGACGGGGGCAATGGACTGCATTATATCCGGCGCCCGACACGGCACGAACCATGAGCACCAAGCAAAGCGGACCAGCTGCTAGTCCTTGGAGGCAAACAGTGGTGGCTCTTTAAGAGGAGGGCACCTTCTCCCTCAGCCTAATGGCTCCCATCATCCCCTCCCTCGCCAGCTGATTCCTTTCCTTCTGTGTCTCTCTGATCTCGCGATGATAACCGGTCTTGAGCTTATATTGGCTGTCTTGCCGCTCCTCATCTCAACCACCGAGCACCACAAGAAGGGTCTCAGGCATGCAAAAGCATTGACTTCGACCAAGGTCAAAAACGAACAGCAGGTGATATTTTATTATGAACTGTACGACGAGCTCTCCTTACTCGAAAATACTTTGGACGGTGTACTCCGAGGTCTGCCTTCGCGTTCAGACGCTGAGAAGCTCTCGCCTCTTACCGAGAATGAGCAAGATGAAGTTGAAAAAGTTCTGGGAGCCAGCGCAAAACCATTCAGTGATATTCTGAATCGGCTACTGAGAAGCCTGGATGATCTGGTCAGCGAAAAATCTTACGGCCTTGCGTCGGTGGTGAGTCTTCGAATTCGCCTTGTCCACCCGAATTCAAGCTTAGAATATCTTGCCAAGGAATCAACGGGCAAGATGTTCGACAGACTGGAGCGTTTCAAACAATCCATAGACAGCGGAGTGGCTACGACTACCCTTCGAGAGCGATTTCGATTCACTCGAAATGAGAGGAGCCGCCTTGTCGCAATGGGAAAAATACGGGAGTACAACCAGAAACTGGAGCGCCTACTTCACGGCTCACTCCTGCCCCGTGGAGGTGAATCGCGTCCAACCCGGAAGAGACCTCGACCACAAAGACTCAGGCGAATGTCCGAACCTCTATACAGGAAGATTGTCGACAAATTGTCAACCGCATGCGAGTCTCATAAGCAACACGAGGCAAGACTCTGCCTTTGGAGCTGTTGCTCTCCACAAGGTAACCCAGAATCGATCGAAAGCCTTGACATGGTGGTGTCTGTGACAGATGTGGAAGGGGATGGGTCCCATTGGCAAGAAAGCACTATCATGATCACCTCTGGAGAGTAAGCTTGCTGGCTTGGTCTACTTCATGCAATTGCTAAGGAAAGGTCACTTGACAGCTCTCGAAATCTACCTCAAGCTACTACCGTTCGATTTGTCCTGAGCGGCTCTGGTGAAGAAAAGCGTTCTCTCAATCCTCCATCCTCGAACTGTGACCGACGAGACATAGAGTCGGACTCACTATGTGCCCTGATTCAAGAAGCTCATGTCCAAAAAGCAGCGCTGCAAATTATGTTTGATGGGAGCAGGCTCTGGCAAGTTCGGTCGAGGAGAAACAGTATGAATATTGAGAAGCAAAAGGATATCACATTAAACGATGTCCTGGGTGCTGAAAATTGCCGTATTCCACTTCGAGAAAAGTGGATCCTAGCAGTTGTTCTTGCGCATGCTGCTCTCCATGGGTCGGACAGCCCTTGGCTGTGCGAGGATTTGAGTAAAGAACACATATCATTCTTCAAAAAAAGCTCATCCAGGGCGCCAGACCTTACGAAACCGCTTTTGAAAATCCACTGGCACCAGGACTTCGTCAACCAGAATAACGCCAGAAACTTCTTCAACGTGCATTCAAGCTCGTGTCTTCTTTCTCTTGGGATCCTCCTGCTCGAAATATATTTGACTGAAGCTATTGAAAATCAATATCAAGACGAGGACTTGAATGATGGTGAGCCAAATGAGAACACAAACCTTACGACGGCGTTACGACTGCTGGAAGGTACAGAAGGCGAGCTTTATGAGGGATATAGAGCAGCTATCAGAGCCTGTCTCGAACCAGATCTGTACACTCCTGACGATACTGGAGATTTCCGAAAGAAGGTATACGAAAGAATCGTACTGCCCCTGGAACGAGAGTTAATGCATGGGTTTCATCTCACGCCCGAAGATCTGAGTTTCGCGCCTCGCGAAGATGTTGCGACAATCAATCTGTGAAGTCCCCATATATGATTTCGCGCCTGATCCAAGGTAGGGGTAAACCGCGTAAATTTTTGGTTAGAATCGGGGAACAGGGAAAGCAACCACCTAGGTAATAATAAGGGCCTCGTCAGACTCAGGCAGTCTGCTATGTATATTGAATATTAGGAAATCGCTGTTGATCGACACACTATGGATGACGATGACGCTGCTCGAGGTATGACTGTTACACATCTCCGATCTAGTGCATCGGTCTTTAGAAGTGCTTCTCTCTGGATCGTAGGGCCAGCCTCAAAACATCGTCTTACCAACCGCCACTTCTGTTGGACGCGCAGACTGCTCCAAGCAATTCGCGGCGACATCCAGCAGCTTCAAATCCGTCCCGCGCGCTGACAGCAATGAGACTCCGACGGGCAGGAATTCCTCCCTACCACTTACCTTACTAAGATACGGCACTTGTCCTGCTGGAACAACTAGCTCTGGTCCGCCCAATATGGGAGATAAGAACAACATGGGAACACCAACTGGGTCGAAATTGGTTGTCGCTTCATCTCTGTATCTAGGCGACATGTTTTCAATAGGGAGTATCACTAAGGTTGTCTTCCGACCAAGTTCCAAGATCTCTCGAGCGAACCAATCTTTGTACACCGCCAATCTGCGAACAGCCTCATTTCGTTCTTCTGTTGATATCTTCGAAGACAAGTCCCTGGTGGCCTTGATGAACGTTGGCCACGGAGCAAGATCGGCAAAAAACTTACCACTGCTTGCGTACTGGAGGACTGACGTATGGCATCTTAGAGTACTTCTCAGAGTAATCTTCCCGGAAACTGTCGAGACTGTGGTAGTCATCGTGAAAGAAAGAGTTGCGACATGCCTGTCGCCACGTAAGATCCCGCTTTGAGCTTTTGACCAGGAGATCATACATGTTTCATAAAGTCACTCAGAACCTGTCCTTCTGCTTCTACGGGCGGTGAGGAGTCCCACGACTCATCAAAAGATACATTCTGACGCTGAACGCCGAGCGACTGTTCGAGATCTTTCACAAACTTTTCGATCACTTCGAGTTGAGCGCGGTTGGCGATTACGTTCAGGTAGTCGGTGGCGACGATGATTTTGAGAGGAAGCTTGCAGAATCAGTTGGCAATCTTACACCAAGGTACACGACGCAAACGTACATTAGGAATAGGATTCGGCAGATTCTCGCCATACCAAGCGGCAGCGAAAGCTCTACATTTATGGATGTCACGGCCAAAGAAGGTCGGAGTGTCGAATAGCCTGTTCCAAGTCAGTCAGGCCACGGAACCTACATGGCGTCGCCCACCGAAAGCTTGGAACAAAACCTTCCGCGTCGAGGACTCCGTGCGAAGGTCGAAGCGCGAAGCAACCACTCCAATGAGCGGGTCGTCGTCCGCTGCCGCTCGCTAAATGAGGTCAGACGAGGTCAAGCATTGTAAGCTTCCTCGACGACATTGACTTACTGTCAGATCCGATGGCAATATCGAGCCATTTGTATGAAGAAATCGCAGCGGCACTCCCGCTGCTACTTCCTGCGGGGGACTGATACTCATCTGCGCGGGGATTCCACGGCGCTTGATAATCAATGCATTCAACGGGTTCTTCGGTCGCGGCAAAAGAGGACATTTTGGTGGTACCAAGGATATAGGCTCCTCCCTTCTCCAGCTTTGCAATGCAGCAGGCAGTCCGATCGGGCGGCGGATAAAGGTCGTAATATGCCCGACTACCCAGTGACGCTCGTATTCCTTCAATCTGGAAATTGTCCTTGACGGCAATTCTGAGACCAAGCAAGGGCTGTGACCGAGTCGGACGCTTTTGAAGGCGAGAAGGCACAGCAACAACCCCGGTCTGCATTTCCTTACCCGCAATTTTGATGGGAGTGTGTGGACTAACTGGGATGTCAGCGAGGTTGAACGAGCCGCGTAAAGGAAACGAATCGAATAGAGTATTGATTACCTTTGGGCCGAGGGGATCAACGATGTTAGGAACGCCCCCTGGTGATCATCATAAAGCTTGTAAACCGGCAGCAATCGGTTACGCGAGGCAAAATAGACTCCGGGAGCTGGAAGGGATTTCTCATTCTCGCCGTCCAGCGCTTCGCACCACTCGTTTCCCCACAATTTGAGGAGGGCCAGAGCGTCTGGTGAAATGAGCTTCTCCGGTCTGTCATGTATGGCGACAGTGAAAATCACGCCCTGGAGGAATTTGAAGTGGAAAACATCATCCTCGGACTGATACTCCTGGATTTTCTGGCGCAGGAATTCTCTCTCCACCGTTTGATTGTTGCTCAGATGGATCACTGAAACCAACGATGGTCGAGAATGGTATGGTATCGTCACTGCCTTCTTTTATGGTTTAGCCAGTTAATTCTCTGTTGATGGCCAAATGCTCACTCACGTTAGCTAGGCCATATATTATGTATCGATGTCCATCGATCTGGAACACGGCTGAGTATGATTCCGAGAAATCTGTGGCTGGTAAGGAGAGGTCTGTTCTCGTCTGGGGCCGAGCACGGATTCCTCGCCGATGGACCGTTATCTTTGTCATCCTCTTGACTTCTCATCCCCAATTCAATAGGCATCTGCTTGTGGTGCCAAAGGCGTTTCTGCACCCCGGTACTGTCGGGTTGGGATGTTCTGCGGGTTTCTGAACTCGCCCAGGCTCGTCTAAATATTCGATTGCATTAGGCTGGAGCAACGTTACTCCATTCCGAAGGTAATAGCTTGCGAAGCACTGATGTGACGCCAGCGCGCCGCCCAGCAGCTGACGCCGTGGACAGGGTCAGTCTTAGCTTTTAATGGAGGAATAACCCCAGAGTCAAAAATATCGATCAACGTCTTCTGGGCCGAGGCTACCTTGATTGCCATTGACTCACCTCGCTTCTGCTATATATCCGGAACGATTATGGGCTTGCCAGCACTTTTCTCCTTATCAAAACACTTCTTGGCATCATGTTCACCACATTCGTCTGCGAGCAACCCAATTCCGTCTCTCGCCGGCAAAAGGCGACGTCAACCCCGCCGAAAAGGGAGCAAGTGTCACGAGCGTGCGATTGGTGTCGTGCCTATCGTATCAAATGTGACAGCAACCATCCCTGTCGCAATTGCGTGGCTAAAGGACGTCATTGCAGCACTAGGGGCACAAACGAGGGGCGGACTTTTTCTCACGCTACAAGGTTTGCTCAGAGAGATAGAACGACTGAACCGACGAATTAGGGAACTCAAAGCCCAGCTTAAAAGGCGCGATGGCTCTCTCGGCCAAAGTAGTTCATACTCTTCTACAGTGAGTGCTTCACTTCCGACATACCTCGATCCCTTAAGAGAACATGGAGGAAATAAGAAACACTGGGAGTCCGCTTTTATGAAAACTGGACGCTCCCATCAGAGGCAGTGCTATGGTCCCGCTTCTTCATTCTATTTTATCGACCGCATGAGGTCGTTTCTGGAGACAGTATTCCAACAACCATATTTAGATCACTGCATCCCGCTCGGATTGGCGGGTCGACGTTTCGAAAATTGGGGGCAACGCTGAGACTGCTGATGCTGAGGATGAATCCATACAAGCAACCGCCCAAACTGTGGGGAATTACCTATCGCGTATACAGGAAGAGTACCTTCTAGACTGGTTCTGGCAATCCTGTCATTGCACCTATCCAATTCTCGATGAAGTCGAATTCAGAGAGCATTATCGCAACCTGTGGACCGTGTCCCCTGGGACTTGTCGGGGACCGTCAGCCCTTGTTGATATTGTCCTAGCAATCTGTTGGCAGTTCAGCACCACCCTTACTCAAAAGAATTGCGGGAAAGCAGAGTCTAGAGCACATATGAATTGCGAAGGGAGGGACGATGTCGGTCGTCGGTTTTACCGCAGATGCCAGGAACTCCTGACAGAGGAGATAGAAGGGCCCTCAATTACCGCACTTCAATGCCACATATTTTCCGTCATCTACCTTACAAACGCCTCCTTCTACAACACGGCCCATAGTACCCTAGCTCTGGCTATCCGAGCGGGTGTCATCGTAGGTCTGCATCTGGAACCCTCTGGTTGCATGCCTGCCTCCCAAAGAGAGTTCCGCAAGCGATTATGGTGGACATTGTACGCTCTGGAAATGAAAGCTGCCATGGAACTAGGACGACCATTAGTTGTTAATGTATCTCAGGTAACCTGCAATTTGCCAAAGGATGATAAAGACGCGACCGGGCTCTCAGATTCGACTTCCACGTTCACGGGTGACGGGGTTACCGGCTACACTTGGAACTTGCAATTCATCAAACTCATCTTGGCCGCTCGGTCAGTTTATATCACCTTCTGCCACAAATGTGCGGAGATTTTAAGGAACAATGGAGGAAACAGTCCATACAATGACCCTCAAGCGCTCGAAGTCTGTGCTGAATATCTGCTATCGAGGATGGATTTTCTCCAGACGTGGCTTCACGGCGTTCCCGAATCTTTGAAGATTAAAAGAAAGGGTACCGGTGAATTGTTCTCCACCGATAGGTCCCCTCTTGACCTAAAATCAATGTCTCCTTTCTGGCTTCACCGACACAAATTATTGTTGGAGTTTCTTTATCACAATCTTTCCATGAACCTGTATCGACCATTTATCTGCTTTTTTCGAGTGTCGGATGCCTGCACCAAAATGACCGATAATAATGCAATGGCGTGTGTTAATCATGCCGTCACCATTACCCAGATCATCCACCAAATCCCGATTGAAGGCGACGTTCTCGATGGCTGGCACGAAATACTCCAGTGGCAATGGAACGCTATCCTCTCACTGGTCGGATACATATTGACCTATCCTCTTGCGCCATCTACACCATCAGCTCGCAAGGCCCTCAGTATTGCGATACGCGTCTTTGAACTTCTTGAAAGCAACGTTCCCTGTGCCGCCAATGCCGCCAGTGTGGCAAGGGATCTCTCGGGCAAAGCAGATTTTCTCGTTGACCACTTTCGGAGCAATCTAACCACGCTGACGCCTTCTCGTTGGGATAATGGAGACGTGTTGCAGAAATACGGCAGCGATTTTAGAAGCCCGAATTTTGTCTCTCAGCTTGAAGGGCTCTCGCCTGTGATGGTTCCAAATGAGCTAGGGTCTCGTTCCCTCAACGATTTTGCGTCGACGTATGGCAGTGACACTTTCATTCCCGATCTGAATTGGGATCCGGAGCTGTCATTACCATGGCTTCCTAGCATGGAAACGAATGCTGAGTTGGGGTGGAACACTGAAGGGCTTGAGCTGCGCCAGGTGCGTGAATGGCGGGACTTTTCTAATGAAGCCTGATGTGCTCTTGGATCACCCTCACGATGTCAAGGTCTCTCCATTGATCCACCTCTTAGGTGATGGACGAACACGGACCTTAATCCTCCCTATGGACGTAGTGAAAGTAGGAGATAGGCACTCAATAAAGGGGAGGGGACAAGGCTGGCAGTTTACCACCCGAATCTCACCAGCCCGCCGAAATCTTGGCACCCCAACCCCGCAAAAATTAGATGTGGCATCTCCAATTGCAAATTGCCCTATCTAGAATTTTGGTCTTTGAAGAGTCACGGCAGCCAAAGAGCGCGACAACATCAGCCACCACTTCGTCCACTACATGGACAATGGGGGCCACTTCAGACGCGGGTGCTCCAGAAACCGCGGAGGCCCAAGTTTGGGCTCTCAAGAGCAGCTCTACCAACCTCCGCATTGAAGCTTTGCGGAAGCTGCTCCACGACATCCAGGGCTCCGGTGCGGTGACTCTCATGCGAGTACAAATATCAAACTCACCCGTCTCTAGCAGATGAATCAAGCTCAACGAAGGCACTAACCCTTCTTCCTACTCTCCTGGCCACATATTCTCGATACTCAGACAGAAAGTCCCGCCGCGCAGTTCAGTCCTGCCTTCGTGCATTCCTGAATAGCCCCTCTTCCGCCGACACCGCTTACTCTGCCATTACAAAGTTCCTGTTGCAAGAGAGTCAAAGAACAGTTATAGCCCCTGCAAGTGCATTTGTCCTGCTTGAATGGTGTTGTCTAGTCCAGCAAGAGAGTCCAGACAATGAAACGTCCTTTGACTCTTCCTTTGGAAAGATATGTCTGGCCGCGGCCCGACTGGTGGACAAATGTGAAGACAAGACTGTTCGTAGAGGGATCCAACACTCTGCATTGACCCTGGCTAGGAGGGGTCTGCGTGATATTTTCGAGACTGAACAATTCGGAGAAAAGGCATTGGATCTGGCCCTCAAGGATGTCGCCAGCTCTACTGATACCAATACCAGCTCTGCCCCATACCTGGGGATCATTGCAGGTGTCAGTTCTCGAATCCCAGAGAGGAAAGAACAGCTTCGAGCCTCGGCCAACAAGGTTCTTGATTTCTACGTCAAGTACATTATCGGCTCCAAAACACCAGTGCCATCCCACGAGTCTTTGGGCCTGGAGGATTTCTTTCAGGACTTTGTGTCCATCGAGGATATCGGTGACGTTGTCGTACCTGCGATCGAAAAGGCTATCTTAAGGTCACCGGAAGCTGTTCTCCAAGGTCCTATCGACGCTCTAGCATCATGTTTGCCGGTGAATCTCGATATTTCAGAACTGGTTTTCTCAAAATTGTTGAAGCCTCTTCTGTCAGCCATGAGTTCTACCAATCCCACCATTCGTGAAGGTGCCGGCAAGGCGTTGCTGTCTCTAGTTGGCAGAGGTGGCGATCCTGTCGCTATACAGAAAATCTCTGGAGAACTGGCCTCAGCTTTGAAGTCTTCCAAGGCGGCGAGCTTCGAAATGAGGGGGATCCTCGCCGGTGTCCTCCAAATCATCAGCCCTGAACTGAAGACGTCAGCGATGATTTCTCAAGCTATTCTTCTGGCGGCGTCCAAAGAGGCGAATGAAGGTGCCCTCAAGAAGGAACTCATGGCGCTGTCTCCTCATCTACGGATTGTCATCTCCACCTTGGCCATGGAGAAGACTCTCTCGGACCCCATCCTCAAAGGCTGTACTGATAAACGACCCCTTTTCCGCAAAAGCTGGATTCTCTGCATCGCCAGCATCCTTAAACAACTAGAATGTGCACCGCCAGAAGCTTCATCTACAGAATTCGTTCGTTCAGGGTTGAAGATTTTGAAAGAAATCTACGACGAAGTCACTCCCAATCCACTACCTGCGACACAGAACGGCTACGTTGCCGCGGCGTATGCGCTCCCTGCCATCCTTGATTCACCAATACTGAAGGCCAATGAGTTTAAATCCAGTACCTATGACCAAGTTAGACAGCAATCTCTGTCAACGGCGCCCAAGCTCTCCTTCTTGTTGAATCCAAAAGTGTACACACGGCTTTCGTCCGGGGACGATAACCATTGGGCTCTTTATGCCTTGATAACCCTGGCACCAGAGCTTGAAAATGTTTCAGAGGACGCAAAGACTTCATGGGCGAGGGCGATTTTGCATTTAATGCTTGCTCCTGATGTCGATCCAAGCCTCAGAAAGGAGACTGGATCCTCTTTGTCTCGTGTCTATCTTGAAAAGCCTGCTTCAGTGGGGCCAAGCATCGTGTTCGGCATCTGGGACGTACTTCGATCTCGTGCACAGGAAGCTAACCCCGCGGCTGGAGACTCCTTTCCTCTCAGCGACAATCGTTTGCTTCAGCCTGTGAAGTGTATAACTCTGGCAAAAGACAAGTTCAAAGAGACGCCCCAGGAGGTATCGACAGCGATGTTAGAGAAACAATCAATATCCACTGTCGTTCTACTGCGCCCCGAATTGATCGCGAATTCGGATTGGATCGCAACATGTCTGGCCATGGGAGTTGACCCTGGACAGCTGGCCGAGAAGGAAAGGGAAAGTCTTTTTAGCGAGATTCTGTCACATTTCGAGTCCCCCAAACTAGCTCCACTGAACATATTCGAGATGGCAGCCTGCAACGCCGCTGCGACTTTAGCATTTGTGGCACCAGCTTCTATTACGCCATCACTGATCGGCCAGTTTCGAAAAGACTTGGATCCTTTGCAACTAGATGGTGTGGGCCCGACCGAAGCGCTCATTGCTCGTGCTCCTGAAGGAACATTGGTTGTTGATGTGCTCGGCCGACAGTCAAATGGAATTCTGGAGAACAAAAATCAGAAGGATTACGATGTTCTGAAATGGGAAGAAGAGATACGCTCCCAGCTGGCAAAGAAGAAAGGTGCCCCTCAGAAAAAGCTGACTGCGGACCAGCAGGCCAAAGTCGACACCCAGCTTACTCATGAGGCTACAACACGAGCCAGACTAAGGTCAGTTTCCAGCAACATTCGACGAGGTGCCAAATTCATCGAGGGTCTCGCCCGTGGACCGCCGACAGACGCTCGAGTGTGGATGTCGCCCGCCATTGCCGCATTGATAAGTGTTCTAGAAGCGGGAGCTTCACTCATCGTCGACGATGAAGTAGTCTCCGCCTATCTCGCTTGCTCTGAGCAGGTCTCAGATCGCTTGGGAAACTTGCGATCCTTTGTCGGCGTTGCTACTCTGAGGTCTTTGCTGAACGCCAGTGTCCCTGATCACCTCACGGTGGAGCCTCTCGCAGAATTGGCCACCAGAGTGCTGTATCGACTGAGATTTGCAGCCGAGCAACGTCCGTTTGACACAGCAAGCACTGCTTATGCTCTTCCACTCATCTTTTCGGTCCTGGAAAATGGGAGAGTCGGGGACGTTACAGGAGACGATGCTGATGCACAAGTCCTCCTTGCACTCGAATTTTTGTCCTTCCAAATGGGCTCTGGCGCCGATGAACACCTTCCGAGAGCCGAAATCCTTCGTCATCTAATCAGTGCAATGCAGCAGTATAACCAGCACTATCGCATCATCAAAGATTGTCTGTTTGATTTCTGTCGATCGATATCTACAAACTTGACGCCGGAAGAAAGAGACATTCTGTTGTCAGCCGTCACTCTCCCCCAATCCTCTGTACGCTCCGCGGTTCTGCAAGCAATCCATTCTGAAATTGATTTGTCAGAATTAGACCATTCGGTCCATTTATGGATTGCTGGTCAGGATGAAGAGGGCGAAAACGCAGAGACCGCTTTGGCGATCTGGGAAGAACATGATTTCACGGTTACCGAGGAGATGGTTGATAGTATACCACCGTTCCTCTTCTCAGCAGCACGGTCGACCCGAACAGCAGCGTCCGAGGCTCTTGCTCGAGCACTTTTTCAAACGCCTTCCAAAACAGACGCCGTATTGGCCAGTCTCGAAGAATCATATCGAATAGAAGCACAACCACTTGTCCCAAAACGGAATAAATTCGGAATCGTGCAAAAGGGAGAATTGATCGATCAATGGGAGAGAAGGAGCGGGCTTGCCCTTGCGTTTAAGGAACTCGCCTCAGTACTCAACCCCGATGCTTTGGTCCCTTTCATGAACTTTCTGGTGACGGATGGTGCACTATCCGACCGCCATGCGATCGTACGCTCAGAGATGGTCGACGCTGGTATTGCGATAGTAGCAGCTCGCGGAAAAGAATGTTTAGAACCATTAATGGAGCTTTTCGAGAGGGTCTTACAAGGTCCTGACAAAGCAACGCAAGAATCTGACTGGGTCAATGAGGCAGTAATCGTTCTCTTTGGTTCCCTAGCACGACATCTTCCAGACGGCGACAAAAGAACATTAACTGTCATACAAAAGCTTCTCGACACACTTAGCACTCCATCAGAGTCTGTCCAGTACGCCGTTGCGAATCGTCTTCCTCCCTTGGTTCGGACTCCAAACGTTGATGCTGGTGCTTATATTACCTCACTTCTCGAACAACTATTTCAATCCAAACAATATGCTGCACGTCGAGGAGCAGCTTATGGCCTTGCTGGAATTGTGAAAGGCAAGGGAATGGCAATTTTGCGGCAGCATCGCGTTATGTCACAATTGAGGAGCGCAGCAGAGAATAAAAAGAGTTCTGAGCAGCGGCAAGGTGCAATGATGGCGTACGAACTACTATCATTGCTCCTTGGACGAACATTCGAACCGTACGTGATCGAACTATTACCACAGTTATTGACCTGCTTCGGGGATCCTGTTGTGTCAGTTCGTGAAGCTTGTTTGGATACCGCAAAGACGTGCTTCGCAAGCTTAAGCTCCTTTGGTGTCAACCGCGTGCTTCCTCCACTATTGGAGGGATTAGACGAAACACAATGGCGAAGCAAAAAGGGAGCATGCGACCTGCTCGGTGCAATGGCGTATCTTGACCCACAACAATTGGCTACCAGCCTGCCTGATATCATCCCGCCATTGACGGCGGTCCTGACAGACAGCCACAAAGAAGTCCGAGCGGCGGCAAATAGCAGTCTGAAGAGGTTTGGTGAGGTGATCACAAATCCTGAGGTTAAGAGCCTTGTCGATGTTTTGCTCAAGGCCCTAAGTGATCCGACCAAATATACCGAAGACGCTTTGGATGGTCTGATCAAGGTTTCATTCGTACATTATCTCGATGCACCATCACTGGCACTTGTGGTGAGGATCTTGGAGCGAGGCCTCAGTGGTCGTTCGGCCACCAAACGAAAAGCTGCTCAAATCATTGGTAGTTTGGCGCATCTCACTGAGAAGCGAGATATTATCACACATCTACCAATTCTGGTCACTGGCCTGCGCCTTGCTTGTGTCGACCCGGTGCCAGCGACTCGAGCGACGGGGTCCAAGGCACTGGGCAGCTTGATCGAGAAATTGGGCGAAGATGCCTTCCCCGATCTGATCCCAAGTTTGATGTCCTCCCTTCGTACAGATAGAGGTGCAAGCGATAGACTTGGTTCTGCTCAGGCTCTCAGCGAAGTGCTGGCTGGCCTTGGAACTGGACGACTCGAAGAGACTCTTCCAACTATCTTACAGAATGTTGCTAGCACGAGAGCGACAGTCCGAGAAGGGTTCATGACTCTGTTCATATTTTTGCCCGCATGCTTCGGCAATAGCTTCGCCAACTACCTTGCACAAATCATCCCGTCACTCCTTGGCGGTCTGGCTGACGACGTGGAAGCCATTCGCGAAACAGCTCTCAGAGCTGGCAGACTCCTGGTGAAGAATTTCGCTAGCAGGGCTATTGACCTGTTGCTGCCAGAGCTGCAACGTGGATTAGCGGATGATAGCTACCGCATTCGCCTCAGCTCAGTTGAGCTTGTCGGTGACCTCCTTTTCAATTTGACCGGCATCAGCGCACAAACCGACGCCGAGGAGGAAGGCGGGTCGGCGACGCAAGCTGGACAGTCTTTGCTGGAAGTCTTGGGAGAGGACCGGCGGAACAAAGTACTCTCTTCACTCTATATCTGTCGCTGCGATACTTCCGGTCAAGTTCGGACAGCTGCAATTTCCGTTTGGAAGGCCCTTGTTGCCACGCCAAAGACCCTGCGCGAGTTGGTCCCTACCCTCACTCAGATGATAATTGCTCGCCTTGCTTCCTCCAACATGGAACACAAGGTCATCGCCGCCAACGCTCTCGGCGAGGTGATTCGCAAGGCTGGAGAGGGTGTCTTCACCTCATTGCTTCCTTCTCTTGAAGAGGGCCTCCAAACTTCTACCGACGTAGATAAGAGACAAGGTATTTGCATTGCTCTGCGTGAGATTGTCAACGCGGCTCAACCAGAATCACTTGAGGAGCATGAGAAGAAATTAATTGCCATCGTTCGATTGGCATTGACTGACTCGAACCCAGAAGTGCGCGAAGCTGCTGCAGAGTCATTTGATTCTCTGCAGCAAACTTTTGGAAAGCGAGCAGTGGATCAAGTTCTGCCACATTTACTCAATCTTTTGCGGAGCGAGTCAGAAGCTGAACATGCTCTATCCGCATTGCTCACATTACTCACTGAAGCCACAAGAGCCAATGTTATTCTGCCAAACTTGATCCCCACACTCTTGACGAACCCAATTACTGCTTTCAATACCCGAGCCCTTGCTTCTCTGGCCAAGGTTGGGGGTGCTAGCATGGTTCGAAGATTACCCACAATTCTGAACAGCCTTGCGGACAATATCGTTACGAGCAAGGATGAAGAACATCTAGAAGAATTGAACGAAGCATTTGATGCAGTGTTGTCGTCTGTTGATGAATTTGACGGGCTCAACACTGCAATGAGTGTCATGTTGACCATGATCAAACATGACGATCATAGAAGACGCGCTGTAGCTGCCACTCATCTAGCTACATTCTTCGCTACGCCCGTAGTCGATTACTCTCGCTACAATCAGGACCTCATTCGTGTCCTGCTCATTTCTTTCGGTGATCGAGACCCAGAAGTCGTCAAAGCAGCGTGGTCCGCACTCAGCCAATTACAAACTCACCTTAGGAAGGAGGAAATGGAGACATTGGTTGCCTCGACGCGCCAAGTTTTGCAGCAAGCTGGGACAGCTGGATCCATTCTACCCGGGTTTGCGCTTCCTAAGGGCATTCTGCCAGTCCTCCAAATCTTCCTGCAGGGCTTGATGAACGGAAGCACGGAACAACGAGTTCAGTCTGCCATGGGTATCTCGGATATCATCGAGCGCTGTGGTCCGGATGCTTTGAAGCCATTTGTTACTCAGATCACAGGTCCACTCATCCGTGTGGTGGGTGAGAGATCGATGGATGTCAAATGCGCCATCCTGTCCACCCTCAACCAATTACTCGAGAAGATTCCGACCTTCCTCAGGCCCTTCCTGCCACAATTGCAAAGAACCTTCACCAAATCTATCGCCGATCCGACAAGTGAACTCCTTCGCACACGTGCAACGAAAGCACTGAGCACCCTTATTGTCCTAACCCCTCGAGTAGACCCGCTTATCGCGGAACTTGTTACGGGAGCAAAGATTCCAGACGTTGGCGTCCGCAATGCAATGCTCAAGGCTCTCCAAGAAGTTGTCAGCAAAGTCGGCTCTAACATGAGTGACGCTTCTCGAGAATCCATCCTAGGCCTTATGGACAGCCAGCAAGATGCGGGGGACGACAGCATGGCGGTGACCAATGCGCGCCTGCTCGGTGCCATGATCAAGGTGCTGCCAGCAGAAAAAGCAGCCTCGTTAATCAAGAGTCGAGTGCTACTTCACCCGTCCACCAATGCTTCAATCCTCGCCCTCAACGCTGTGCTATTAGAAAGCCCATCGACCTTGATCTCTGGGTATGCTGAAGAGACACAAAGCGTTCTCAATGCAGGACTTACAGGTAAGAGTATCTTTGTCCAACAAAACACCGTTCTAGCACTAGGCAAATACCTCCTGTCCAAATCCACGACATCCGACGAAGCGGTATGTCAACCACTCTTCGAAGCCCTTGCTTCGGTAATTGCACCAGGAGGCGACATTGACTCACGCCGTCTTGCGCTCGTCGTTGTGCGCACCGTAACCCGTCACCACGGCGACGACGTGCGAAAATTCCTCTCTGTCCTTGTCCCTCCTGTCTTCTCCTCGGTCCGCGACCCTGTGATCCCCATCAAACTCGCCGCGGAAGCGGCGTTCCTCGAGCTCTTCGGCGTCGTGGACGAAGAAAGTACCATCTTCGACAAATACGTGGCTGGCCCTGGTAAGGCTCTGCCACCGGGCCAGGCGCGGCCCATGAGCGATTACTTCAAGCGTGTGGCGTTGAGATTGGGTGCACAAGCAAGGGAGAGGCGTGAAGCTGAAGGTGGAGCTGGAAGTTTGGGTCTGAGTTCCGATGAGCAGGAAGATGAGCGTGAAGTGTGGAGTGTGGGCAGGGTGGATTTGGGTGAGGGAGGTGATGATAACTGAGCGATTGTACTTTTGTTGGCAAGAAGGAAAGCATTCGTGAAGGACTAGTTGAATCGATACGAGGCTGACGGATCGAATTGGGCGTGGGGTCGTATTTATTCCATTGTCGAGCCCAAGAATAGCGAAATGCGAGTGAACGGTAACGGCGAGGTCGAGAAGCCTCTCTGAGCTTCCTCTTGTCATGATTATGAAAATAATGGGAAGAATAATTGTGTTCCATAGCATAGCATCGCATACAGTAGAACAGGCACAGAAAAAGCGATGTTTTTTTTTTTTTTTTTTTTTTTCCTTTTTTTCATCAATGACAAAGCACGATGAAATGAGTGGGGAAAATACCTCCTCAGAATCAAGAGGAAAAGTAGCGATTCATTTATTATTGATCGTCACTCAAACCCGACTGCCCATGACAGATCGCTTGGTCGAGAGACATTCCTAAGCAATACCCGCCGGTCCACCGTCTGAAATCCTTGCACGATACCCTCTCCATACATACACACACATCGCATAACCTCCAAATGAATGGACGAGTCAAGTAAATACCTGGATAGGAAGGTGAGGACAAGGAGAAGAAACCTATATACTGTACATACATTTGAGAAGGAAGAAATGCATCTCCATCTCCATTGTCATCTCGCTCATCCACATTCTTGCGTATGCAAGGCCAAATCCATTTCGCGAGCTTCTCGGGACTTTTCAATGTTGAGTCCAGGGAGCTTGGTTTCGAGTATCGAGTTGAGGCCGCGCGAGAGTGCAAATGAGGTTCGATTCTTCTCTTCGTTATCGGTCTTGGATCTTGCATGGATGTCTCATTGGAGTTGAATCTTGGAATTTGTTTACCAAAACATGGAGATTCGAGAATACCTTGCTGTTTGCTCTATTTCATTTTTCTTCTTGCTGTTCTTTGGATTTGTTTTTTGGACTCAATTTTAATCTGTCCCTTCATTCATTTTGCCTGCACAATCATAACGCCTCTGCTATGCGACAAGTCTGAGGAGAATAAAGAAGAGAGTTCGGTGTAGAGGATCAGGATCGGAACAGGGCTTCCCAAAAGTTTTGACTTCGTGTTTACAGATTTCGTGTACAACTGACGGGCGATTTTTCGCTGTTGCGCTATGCTGAAGGAGGTACGGTCGCGGGAGGGGGGTCGGTTTATTGCTTGATCCATTTGAAGGCCGGCGCGGGTTGACCAGGGAAGTTTCCAGAAGGGCCTTCTTGTTCAGTGGGCGGTGGTGGCCTAGATGAGGAACCCAAATATTAGCATCAAATGATTCAAACGGGAAATGGAGAAACTTACGGTGCGATCTTTCCCTCTGTATTATCGAAATATTTGTGGAAGTCTCCCGGATCCTCAAACGGTCTTGGACCGAGAATTCTGACCAAGTCATCTCGTACGAGCATTTCCTTCTGCAATAATTCTTCGGCAACCGCTTGTAATTGCTCCTTCTTTTCCAGCAACAGGTCTTTGCATTGTTTGTATGCCTCATCGACGATCCGGCGAACTTCGGCGTCTATGTTTCGGGCCGTCTCCTCGGAAAATGGCTTATGCAGGCGCTGCTCGTCATCTTTATAGTGAAGGTATCCAATTTTTGATGACATGCCCCATTCTGTCACCATGGCTGTCGCCATTCGTGTAACTTTGTTGAAATCATCGGATGCACCACTGGTCACGGTGTCGAACCAAATTTCTTCGCTTACTCGCCCACCAAGAGTCATGGCCATGCGGTCCATTAGCTGCTTGACACTCATTAGGTACACATCGTTACCCCCAGCAGGGAGATATTGCGCGTAACCCAAAGCGCCTTGTCCTCTCGGAATGATGGAGACCTTAAGGAGCGGGTCGGCATATTTGAAGAACCAGCCACAGATGGCATGACCAGCCTCGTGGTATGCTACAGTCTTCTTCTCTTCAGGTGACAAGACCAGTGATTTCTTCTCCAGACCGCCAATGACACGTTCAATGGCTTGTTCAAAATGAATCATCTCGACCGAGGTTGCATTTGCACGAGCAGCAATCAAAGCAGCCTCATTGACACAGTTGGCGATATCGGCACCAGAAAACCCAGGAGTCAAGGCTGAAAGACGTCCAGTCAAATACTCCAGATCGACCTTGGTCACAATCTTGCGTAGGTGGACTTTGAATATTTGTTTGCGACCATCCATAGTTGGCCTGTCAATGACGATATGCCGATCGAACCTCCCTGGACGCATCAAGGCTTTGTCGAGAACGTCGGGTCTGTTTGTGCCAGCGAGGACAACGACTTGCTCCGAAGTATTAAAACCATCCATCTCAGTCAGAATCTGGTTGAGTGTAGACTCTCGTTCGTCATTGCCACCACCAAAGTTCTGTTTAGCTCTTGACTTGCCAATGGCATCGATTTCATCGATGAAGATGATGCAAGGGGTATTCTTCCTGGCATTTGAAAACAGATCTCGTACTCGAGATGGACCAACACCGACAAACATTTCGACGAATTCCGAACCAGAAACGGAGAAGAAGGGAACTCCAGATTCACCGGCCGTCGCCTTTGCCAGCAAGGTTTTACCCGTACCCGGAGGACCTGATAAAATTGCGCCGCGAGGTATCTTCGCACCCAAGCTCTGATACTTAGAAGGATCTTTCAGAAAAGAAACAAACTCCATGATCTCAAGCTTTGCTTCATCCATGCCCGCAACGTCGGCAAATTTAATTCGCACGTCAGTTTCATGGTTAAACCTCTTTGCTCTGGACTTGCCAATGCCGAAGATTCCACTTTGGCCTCCTGCTCCTGATGCTGCCCTTCTCGAGAGCCAGAACAATGCGCCCACGAATAAGAGAGTTGGGCCGAAGGAAAGGATGGCGGCACTCAACGGTACTTCATCGGAATAGGCCACGGGAATCCGTTCACTGCTTGGAATTCCCAATTCATTATGTGCTTCATCCAATTTTCGTTCAAATGCTTCCACGGAGCCTATGGTGAAGTAGTAATAGAAATTGGGATTATTTGCCGGCGAAGACGGATATAGTTCAGCGACGGCCGATCGGTGAAGCTCAACCCTGACACGATTGCGGTTGATAACAGTGAGTTTGCTAACAAGGCCCCGGTCGAAGAAGGTGGTTCTGAACTCTTGCCATGTGATGTCTTGGGACGACTCGGCTGGATAGAGGGTGCGGTACAGGTAGTAGGAAAGGATGGCCGCCAGTACAGTTGTGCCTACATCCAACCGGATCTCAGTCATCTTCGGAATTTGACTCTCTTGTCCTTTCTGCTGCTTGCGTTTTCGATTTTGATCCTGCCTCTTGTTGGACTGTTCAAACAACGGTGTCTCTTCAGGCGCCTCGGTCTTGGTGGACTGAGTCTTTTGACCGTACTTTTCTCGAATTTCCTCCGGGCTCATGCGAGACATTTTGGTGAAGAGGCCAACGAGGCGAACGGTAGTTGCCAGATCGATTCGCTTCTTAGGATCATTCCTCCGGGTTTCCATAACTTCTCGCAGCTCCTTTGGAATTCCACCTTTCTGCATCAACTGGACAGCTTCATCGACCGCCGCGGCTTGCGACTTGGGTAGGCCAATTTTAATCATTTGTGCAACTTCGTTGATCTGCGTGATTTCTTCCTCTGTGAGGGGAGAAAACTCTGTGGTGTTGGCGCCTTTTGTCTTTGATTCTTCGTTCTGGTCTTTGCTTCCATGTTCTTCCGCAGACTTTGGTGAACCGTCGGGCTCGTTTTTCTTTTTCTCGGGATCTTCGCGCGGAGGTTTCGGATCACCAGGATTGACAGTGGCGTAAGATCTCGATAGCGGAGGAAGTAATCTGCTAGTATAGCGAAGTCTAAAGAATTGGGTAGAGCGGCGTTGCGCACCAAATGTGCACCCAAAGGCAGCCTTGGAAGAGCGCATCAACTGCAGCCGCAAATAGCTAGCCGCCATCGTTGGCGAAGCTCCGGAGAAGGAGTGGTCAGGCAGAGCTTGAGATTCGAGTTCGGCGGAGGAAAGAGAGGGAAGAGGGCAAGAGAAAGGGTGACGAGAAAGATGGGACGGTGACGAGCAGTGGTCACCGGGTACGGGTTTTGGCGGGCGGGATTGGAATCTGCGCAGCGACTCCTGTGCTCGGCCCAAATAATGCCACCACCGCAACAGTATTTCTCTCAGCCTCGTCCAGCCTTGTCCTCGTTCCCAAGTGTGCGTTCCTGGATCAAGCGTCATGCTCTTCTGATTCTCATGGATCTATCTAAACATATTGAATGATCTTCAAAGCTGATGCATGCACATCTACTCTCCTTTTACCTACTCGATCCTTTCAACGTGGATTCGAATGGCTTCACACGACACCACCGTCTCTCCTGATTCGCCCAGTCACAATCGTCTTCTTCCATACGGGTCACGACGGCGTTTCCATTCATCCTCCGACTTTGGTTTGGGGCCTTCCTTGCTTGGCGGTCGAAATCTTGGATCCCGGGCAATTCGGCATGGAGCATTGTAGAACTCTCCCATCTCCTCCTCAAAAAAGCTCGTACTCCCAGTGTTGCCTGTCAGAAGCCGGCCTCTCTCAATCGCGTACTCCGGCGCCGGTTTGTATTGGTAAAGTAAACCACCATTGTCTGAGCCGTGCCCTTCCGATTCACCTGGGTCTGTGAGGTTAGTCAGTATGTTGCCCACCGCACGGATCGCGGCACTCTCAATTCTGGGACCCGATGTTTCGTTGGGATTACACACAGCTCCGTCAGGGAGAGAAACGTTAGGGAATCGATTGAAAAGGTGATCTTTAACAATCTGATCCACTAATTTTCGTGTTGCGCGGTTCCCACGATGATCTGCTTGCAACCACTTGTGAAGTCTCTGTTGCCGATCTGCGCCGAGATTCAGCAGTGAAGCCTCGGACGTATCGGTATCTCCCAGCGTCGCTCCTCGTTTCATGGCCTTATTCATTCTTATGCGCTGAGTCTTGGTCACGGGCTTGAGCTCACACCAGTCACTAGTGCCCACGCCGAATTCTTTTCGGAGAGTCTCGTCATTCTCGGAACCGAAGCTGCTCGTCTCACGTGGATGTGAGCTCAACTCATTTCTCGCTCGCAATTCGAAACCCGGCGGTGGCTTCAGAAGTGTGCGCGGTCGAAGGACGCCAGGTCCTTCATTCAATTCTCTGCCAGGCTCGTGTTTGGGTATTGTCTCTGGACTCTCTGTAAAAATCGGAGTGGCTACGTCGCTCATCTTAACTCGATTCAAATCCGGATTATGCAGAGCTGTCTTGTCCGTCTTTGCCATTGCTTGTTGAGTGGTCACATAATGTTGTATTTTGCTGCTGCCGTCATAAGGCTCGTGACGGGATGGAGGTTGGAGAGTTAACTGTCTCACATTGTCTGCGAGTCCTTGCCGATCAAGGAGTATTTGTCCGCTTTCTGGGTGAGAGTGACGTCTGACAACACCTCGTATGAATCGTGCAGCCAACTCCGTATCACAAGACATTAGACCATCAGAATTGACACGCGGCATCATTGGGCGCTGGATGGGATTCTGGGGGACGAAATCGATCTGTTGGTATGAATTCCAGCTCGGTACCTCATTCGGATAACGAGTGCCCAGCATCTGACCGAGTAATGAAGTATCAATCATACCAGGACTATCCAAACCTTGTTGACGAGAGGGCATAAATGCGGGGCATGGGTTGCCGTATTCTTCAGATAGCAGAGCCAACTTGTTCTCTTGCTTGGTGGGACTGATATCAGACGAGATCATCATGTTGTAGAAAGGTGGATCTGGGTTGAAAAGAGGTACCGAGACTTGACCTGATAGGGGGGAAGTTTGTAAGTTATGCGGACACATGAAAACAGGATTTGGACACGTACTGATTCCTGACAGGCTGCTGGGAGCACCGTGTAACCCCAAAGGGATACAGTGCTGAGACTGTTTGATGACGGAGTGTTGCTGAGCCCACTGAAGGGTTGGATTGACAAATACGGTGGATGATCTGTCTCTGGTGTTGACCATCGCCTTGGGCGCAGTCGGAGCTAACAATGCGTAGACATTCATTTGGGTGGTTTGAGATTTTCGGGGACCCAATGGCGTCTCACTTTCGGGTCGGGTAGTGTTGCTGCTAAGAGTGACATCGACGCTGCCAGTCGGATGGGTTGGGGTTGGGAGGGTTCCCTCATTTTCCTTGCAACTTTTATTATCATCTTCGGGTGCGTCTCCTAAGACCAACGGGACCCAGGCTTTAGCGCCCTTGTTGCGATTTGACTGAGAATTTTTGGTGAAAGCACTCAGAGACACGGGGACAAGTTTCGGAGGCAGCTTCTGTTCCTCAGCTTCGCGGGAAGCTTGTCTTGCAGATGCGGCTTTAAAGGCGTTGTACTCGGCAGCTCGGGCTCGAGCACCCAGCATATTGAGACACTGGTAGGCAAAAATGGGATCGTCTCACAGGAACGTTCCACCTCTTCAACAAATGATTTATCTAAATTCTCAACATTTACTCCTCGAACGAGAGAGCCTGGAATTCGCAACCGTTGAGGATGTAGTCCAAATGTGATAGAATTGGGGAGGATGCGCCCTAGAAGAGTCAGATGTTTGGGACAAGGAAAGAGGCCAACAGGATAGGGAACGCCAGATTCCGGCAAAATCTCGCATTTATGACACCTGCAAATGAGGGACGAGAGGGCTGAACCTGATGGTTATAGCCCAGCCGGTTGCGGAGACCGGAAGGAGAGATAGGAAAGTGGTTTTGCAATAGACCTGACTGCTGCTGAAGAAGAGAGAAAGGTTAGAGGGTCAGGGTGAGGCAAAGTTGACAGAATAGAGGAAGACGCCGAATACTAAAGTTCACCAACACTTTGGAGGGAGGTCAACGCAGAACGTTCATACAGCGACAACCAGTCGTAGAATGCTGAAATTTGGGAAGACTGAGCAGGGAGGTGGACATGGTGAAGGGGGAAGGAGGATGAGCAGCAGTTGGCCGCGAGTGTCGTGATGTTTGAGAGGCAGGTACGCGAATGATGAAGCAACTGCCACCTGCGCAGATTTCAGGCAGATCCATCTTCATCTTCGTCTTCATCTTCAGTCAACACGGTCCCTTGTCTGTTGTATCTTTGATGCCTCGGCAAGATTCTTTAGACAATGAAACACACTTTCTTTCATCTGGAAAGCACCGCGGTGCACACATAAAGATCACTTGAAGAGCGTGTTCTTGTTTGCTAATCGCGTTCAACCCTGCTGATGCATTCGCGCTAGGAGGATTGAAGATCCTATTCCCTGTATTCTGGTTTCGACACCTGGTATTGACACAATATTGTGTCGCGATACACTCCGAGTTGCTCTCGATTCAAAGAGATGGGGAAGTCGAAAAGATGACACGGAGAGCACGCCTTGAAATTCCTATTAAATTGCATCAGCGAAACAAAACGCTCGGCCGTACCGCTTCAACGTCGATGAGGGCTCCTACAGCTGAACATTCTGCCTCCAAACCCACTCAAACACGGCTTAAACGTTTAGGTCCAATATTGAAACCAGGCAGACTCCATCCTTCGTGAAGGACGGCTTTCTATCCGGATTTATCTCCGGAAGAAAGGGACTGCCATCGAAATCCTGACCAGCATGAAGATTGGAGACCCTGTCTATCGTGGTGCCGAAAGACATCTTCCTGTGGAAGTGATTGGCCTCATATCAGATTACATTGCTTCAACTCACAATCTTCTGACCCAGAGAACGTTGTGGGCTTGTTGTTTGGTGTCGAAAGCCTGGTACTCCGTGTTTGTCGGCATGCTGTACCATCATCCACTTCTTTCCAGTCGGAATTTTGACAAATTTGCTCGAACAATATGTCCTCCTGTAAACTCGCGCAAGCGGCGGATTGGTCTGGGAAACTTTGTCAACCAACTTGACATGAGTCAGCTTGCTTACGAGAGTTCCAAAAGCATCACCGCTCGTCTCCTTCGCCGGACAAGGAATTCTCTTACGTGGTTTGCTTCGCCAGCCGTGACGTTTTCGTGAGTTTGGGCCCGGCCTTGAGCCGGAGTCATGTTGCTAAACTTTCTTAGGATTGCCTCTTTAGCTCCACTGTCCAAATGTATCAACCTTCACTTACTCGACCTATCCTCAGACGGATACGGGATACGGCTGCGACTCGTACTCGACACAATAGGACATCTTGAACATCTGGCGGTTCTGAGGCTTCCAAGAGATAGTCTCAACGGACGCTGTGACCTGGGGCCCAACTCTCGTTGGCCAAAGAATTTGAGCCATCTCCAAATAACCGACTGGCTGTTCCTCGGATCCCAATCCTGGACGACACTTATCGAGAGCTGGCCAAAATCCTTGAAGACCCTCAAATTTGAAGACTGCATGCAATACGCAGATCTGCAAACGCTTGCCCTTTGCGAGACACGTGCCAATTACATCAGATGTCTCGAAATCGGACTTGAGAGGAAAGAAAGCTGGTTCCCTTGGACACCAGTCCTTTCTGTTTTCCCACAACTGAAGGCGATAAAATTTCCTGCCTGGACGATGCGCAGACAGGCTTTTGTAGGAACACAGGGTACCTTGCTTCGAGAGTTCTTGAAGAAAATTGAGAGGGATAATCTGTTGGAGGTATTAACGTTCACACCACAACAACCTGAACCAACTCACCCGAATAACTTGCCCATAGATGTCCTCCATTCATTTGTTGACAAGTTTCCTCGACTCCGAAGGCTAGAAATAGCCAAAAAGGACCTCGATACGAATGTAGAGCTACCGGCCCTCGAACGACTTGGATCTGTGCTCGAGCTCAGGGCTACTCCAGGCGAACGAGAATCCGCTGGGTTGTTCTTTTTGGACGATTGAGATTTCCGACAAAGGGCACATCTATGTGGGAACGACAAGCGAAATCTTCCCTTTGTCGACGAAGTTGGGCCTTCAGCTAAAGTTCGCTAGATTGAGGATCAAGGGACTCAGAATTCTTCACTCAACCAGGAGATGATGCAAAACAGTGTAGCAGTGCTAGTACAGATGAAGAGCTACATAACATCAGGCGTAATGAGGACAGGACTCAAATGGAAGCAATGCATAAGCACGTTCGCTTTTTCTCGTTCCCGAGACTCCAGCTCCACGGTGGATTTTCCCACCCTTGTTGTTCGCCCAAAATCATTTGCCATTCCAGTTCCGTTTCAAATTTACTCACAAACATATCCCGGACTCTCGCTTTGTTCACTGTTCCACAAGCCCTTCATTCTATGTCCATTCACGAGGCTTGATCTTGCCCCCCCCCCCCATTACAGCAACCTAACGCCATTCTGCCAATCCACCAAACCGATCAATCACGGCGCTCGTTCGTACAAGTCTTCAAGTCAACGTCATACCGAGAGTGCGCAACGAGCAGGGGGAGTCGAAGCTAAAGCCCAACACCATTGTCACTCGTTCCTCAATTTGAGTCTCTCTAGAAGATAGTCCCAAATGTTCCATCGGTCTCAATTCGCTTCCGTGGGCTCGAGTCAGCATCGGGCTTGCGGTGCCTGATATCGTTTGTTAGCACCCTCCAGAACACAAAAGATGTCTCTCGAAAGCCATACCTGAATGTGAATCCAACAAACAAACTCTTACCCATCTTCTCATCTCGCTCTGCCATCTCCTCCAGTGCTCTCTGCTTGTCGTGCACTTCCTTGTACTTGGCCATGTCAGCCTCGTTACTGAAATCATCGAAGTAGCCAGCATCGGTCTCGGAGTCAAGCTCTGGAACAAATGGAGCCTTTTGCTCTCTCAAAGCATTGAAGTCAACTTCGGCGAAGTATTCATGCTTGTGAATCTCGGAGATATTCTTGAAACGATGATCTTTCGCCGCCACCAGTCGAGTGATCAGATCCCAGGTGCGCTTGCTTAAGAAGTAGTTAGGATCGTCGTAGATGGGTTTCCGAAGAACCCGTTGCCATCTCTTCAAATTTTGCCATGTCTCGTCCACAGTGGCACCAGCAAATGGGGGATACCCAGCAAGTGCTTCGAACAACATGCACCCCAAAGACCAATAGTCGACAGTGAAATCGTACTGTTCGCCTTTGAGAACCTCAGGAGCCATGTAATCGGGAGACCCAACAATTGACTTTGCATAATTGATGTCCTTCTTTCGGAGAGAACGATAACCCTCTCGTCGCTGGTCGGCAGATCGATCTTCCACGGGCGTCATTCCAAATGGAACTGGTGTGTTTCCAACCTCTTCAAGTTTGATTCTCATGCTCTCAATCTTGATCGGGCTCAACATACCAGCAGCCAGACCAAAATCGGTAAGCTTGACATGACCAGTAGCATCGATCAGGAAGTTCTCCGGTTTGAGATCTCGATGAATGTACCCAAGCGTATGCAAAGCGTCGACACAAGAGAACATCTCTGCAATGTAGAACCGTGCGTGTCGATTGTGAAGAACCCCCGTATTGTTGAGCAGGGTTCTGAAATCACCCCCGGGCACGTACTCCATGGCCAGATAGATTTGTTCTTCGTCCTGGAAAGAGTAGAGCAATTTGACGAGCCACTCCGATTTGGCAGCGGTCAAGATATCTCTCTCGGTCAAGATATGTCGCACCTCATCCAACTTGAACAATAATTTCTTTCGCATGACCTTGAGCGCACAGACCTCTCGAGTATCCTTTTTTTGAGCCAGATAAACTTGACCGTAGCCACCCTGACCGACCTGTGTCAAGATCTGGAAATCACCATGTCGGAGACGAGTTCGACGTTTGCGCAGATTGGCACGTTCTCGACCGAGGTATTTGTGAAGAGCGGCATCGAATTCTTCTTGTGGAGTCTCGGGGGGAGCAGGGAAGGAAGCTTTGAAGGCAGCCTCTCTTGATTGACGGTTATGAACGTAGGACAAAAGGTCAAAGTAGTAGTCGAGGAAGTCTGGTCCCATTAGCGACTGCCGCCCCTCAATCCGAACCGAGCATACTTACAAAGCTGAGTGACATTTGCGAGCCGTTTGACTTTTGGAAGTTGCAGCTTTTGCATTTCTTCAGTAGTCAAGCCCCGAGTGATGGTCCTCCTGGATTCTGTGGGCTGATATTGCTCTTGTCTTGATAGCGCAGCGTGGTTTTGATGGATATCCTTTCCATATTTCGAACCACTAGCAGGGGCATTTTCCTTGTTGGACTGGCGAGTTGGGCTCTCAGACCGACCACCATAATGTTGCTCGGGATCTGCGAAAGGTTCCTTGATGACAGTGTCATCGTACTTGGAAGGAGATTTTGGCTGGTTCTTCACAGGCGAGGTCGGAGCAAGTTTCATAGCATTGTCGAATACACTGGGTAAATTATTGGAACCAGGTGGTAGTTGTTTCTTGCTCGGGCTACCTTGAGGAGTCTGAACGGGGCTGGTGAAGCCATAATTGGCGCCGGGGGTGGTAGGAGTGTGAGGACGGTCATAGATCTCGTTGCCGGAACGAGTATGCAGGAGAGGAGGCACCATCGGCAGGGCCATGTCCAGGTCTTGTTGTGATTTGGAAGATAGAGGCGTACTACTGACAACGGCCATTTCACGCTGTGAGGATTCTGTTTGCGTATGGGCAGGTAAAGACAACAATGCACTCACAACAAGTGATTCGAGAATGATTCGGTCGCACCACTACAATTCAGAGATTGCGCGAGTTGGGCCTCGCGAGCAGCGCAGACTCAGAGAAAGGACGAACGCCTTTATGCAGTAGTAAGGTGGAAGTCGAGTGCAAGGGAGGGATCAACACACCAAGCGGGCATAGTGGAGTGTCTCCAAGGGCAACTCGCGCAAAGCTTTAAGCCACACCTCCGGAGCCGAAACCTTCACCCAACGAGCCTCATCGTGCCGATTATCCTTTCCTTAGCGCTCCCTAGCCTCGATCGCCCTAGTGCGCCTCGATCGTTTTGCTCGACGTCATTCGTTGTCGGATCATTTCAACGAGCACGTCAGGAATTGTGCTTGAAAAGATGAAATCCGAATTGAAATAATTTCCTCCTGATCTTCTTCCCGATCTTCCTCCTGATAAATCTCTTAATCTTCCTCTCCCTCTTCAACCTGGCCTCCAAGACTTCCTGCCGCCTCGCTCGCCTGTCCACCATGTCCCATCCAACCCTCGCCATCACTGCGCCCTGGAAACGGCCATTCGAGCAGCATCTTGAAAAGGCTGGCGGAGTAGGTGCAGGGTTTTCTCTGGCCACTGTAAATGCAACGGGGTTCCCTCGAGTCCGAACATGCATCTTTCGCGGCTTCTGGGCCACACTGCCCGAGATCGAACACAATAAACTCCCAAAGAATCCCCCGATCTACGAGTCGGATTGTCCCACATTCACCACAGATGCCCGCATGAGCAAGGTCTACGACATCTTTGTGACGGGCAAGGGAAAAGGAGATTTGGCACAATCCCAGTCAGGCTCAGGCGGTGGTGGTCCAGTCGAAGCCGTGTATTGGATCAAAGATCTAAGAACACAGTGGCGGGTACGCGGAAAGTGCTGGCTCGTTGCCGCTGATGACATCGAGGACGGCGAAGAGGCTCAGAATTCTGGGAGTGTGACAGTCAAGGCCGAAGTCGGCCGGTACATGCGTGTTAAGAAAGGATCTGAACATATGGAGAAGGATAAAGATTGGTCATGGAAACTCGAGACAGAGAACTACTTTGAGAACTTGTCGCCCATGATGCGTGGGACATTTAAAAACCCACCCCCGGGGCGGCCGTTGTCGGAAGGCCGGGATGAAAAGGAAGGAGAAGCATTAGGTCAGAAAGCGGGACACCTCTCTGAGGAGAAGTTTGCAAGGAAGAACTTCCGAGTTTGCATCATCACACCTGAACAAGTGGAAATGGTGGATTTAAGTGATCCTGCGCATTGTACCAGGAAGGTCTGGACGTTAGTAGAGGAAGCAGGAGGGCCTGGCGGGCCCCCGGCCAGTGACACTGTAGGAGAATGGAACGCGGTCGAGACATGGCCGTGATAGAGATAAGAGGTGGAAAAAGAAATAGAAATGTCTGATGACTTTAATGACCGCTTAAAGTTGTATGTTACAAGGCTCAATTGCTTCAATGGGCGCCTGTGCACTAATTTTGGTAGGTCATGAGCCCTTCCCAGCTTGATGCCGAAGATGAAGTAGAACTGGAAGGATTCGTCCATAGGCCCGAGCGGCTCTGCGACGTGCTATCGGCATTTGTCTCATTGGCATTGACCTCAGACGAGAGAGAGGAGGTCGTCACGCCGGTGCCGTTTGTGCATGCAGCTGGTAGAAAGGAGGTCACTGGGCCAGTGGCGAATGTCAAGTCGCTGTACTGGGAGAAAAAGTGTTAGTAACCGAGCAAAAAGACAACGAAGGCGCGCCCAATAAGGTGACGATAAGTCTCACAATATACAGCCCCCCAGCGCCGTCGTTCTGGTGACCACTTGCAAAATCCCGTTCGTCGCATCCGAATATCCATGCTGGTTGGAATCTTGACTGAGGTCAGACAGAACGAACCTCCGTCCTGCTGCTGGAAGATTGGCTCGAGTGTGATGTTGAAATTGTCACCTGGATCATTACCCAGGGCGAGGAGCATCTGGACGACGCTGCAGGCCTAGTCCATTTCGAGAGCAACGGGGAACGCTGAGGTAAAGACTAGGGTGCGGTTCTCAGAGACGGAGAAGCCGCAGAGAAACTGAGTCTCTGTTTTCTCGGGGTAGCGGGTGTAACATTGCAGAATTTCTTGGTCAATACTATCTGAAAGTGGCTGAAGTGTATCGAGAAGGAGGATCAAGTGCAAAGGTCAATTTGAACCATGAACCTGAATGATGGAAGTACTTGGTGAGATGAGGCAAGAAAAATTGACAGGTCAAAGTACTATGCAACAGCGAAGTCCTCGTTGCCGTCCAAAATCACGACGCAGCTTTGCTTCACGCGCTGGCTCTACCTTGTCTCATTTTGAATGGTTAATAGGATTGAATAGCATGATTTTTTCCTGGATTGTTGATGGTTAGCGCGAGAAATGCGAGTCTGGAGACGATGGGAACAGACAGAGAAATGGGGTCTGAAACTCAATCTCCCATGCGATGGGCAATAAACCCCCCACCCCCAACCAGCAGAAGTCCGCAAGTTAGTTACCGTCAAAGACGGTATTTACCACGGAAAACTCCCGTGATGGCGTAGAGAAAACGGTGGATGAGGAGGGAAACCAGTCATTCTGCCCGGTCTATAATTCGTCCAATTTTTTCATGACCGTAGTATAGAATTCTCTAGAGTAGCGTACACGCCGGATTCTTCCCTGTAGTCCTCCTCTCGTGGGGTAAAAACACTTCAATTCCAAAGCGGACTCAATGCAAATGCTCATCAATCTGGGCGTATCTGCCCACTGCAAGCTCGCCCACCAAGGTACCTGCAAGCACAGAGAGAAAGTAACCAACGTTCATGGTCATGACAGCCAACATTCTGGAAACTGTTAGTTGATTCATGATCCCGTCGAGGTGGCACCGTAGACTTACAGCAAATATGACACTCCAGCAATAATAGTGGTCAGGATCGCCCGAGGAACATCGACCGACAGACGAAAAGGGACGACGTCTCCCACCCTCGCCTGGACCACCTTGACATTCTCTTCGACGCCCCGAGCAGTGACAAGAGAGCCAATTTTCGCATCAGGATCCTGATCAATCCTGGCGGCTTCGGTAGATCTGCCTCTGACCAAAACATAACGGCGCTTTCGCGCGGCAGCCAGCCATCTTTGCTCCGAAACTGCCTTCAGTGCAAAAAGAGAGCGCAATATCGTTGCCAGAATGACAAGGAACATGCAGGTGCCAGCATAGCCGCCGTCAGAAGTGGGTGTCCATGAGTTTGAGAAGAGAGGAGTACGGTGTGAAGTGGTGAAGATCATGGCCATGGTCATCGAGCCAGAGGACATGGAGTCTGAGGACATATCCATGTCGGAATGCGACATTGTGAAGAACAGGAAGCGGTGAGCTAAATTCGAGAGATGGTCCGAGGAATTGAGATGGGAAGAGAGGAAAACTGGCTCACTTGGGCTTTGTATAAAAGTACACAGTTTCTCCCTTAAGAGTGAGATGTGGAGGTGAACATGTTACAGAAGAAGGCGCATTGACACTTCTTTCAAGCAAAATTGCCGGTGAACATCTAATCCCAAAAGGTTTAGAGGATCAGATGCGTGAGCAAGTTTTCTGGCCAATAGAAATCGACTGCGCAGTCCCCCCGGACCACACACTTCTCGAGTCTGTGTACTCTCCTTCAACCTCCCTCCCTCCTCGCCTCGATGAGATGCCGTGAGATTCGTGCTCATGCTCGCCCATGAGCAAGATTTCGCAGGCTGAGTTTCGAGTGCGCTCCACATCGACTTCATGACTGACCTGGAATTTGGTATCTAACACCTTCCCTACACCTATATTTCCACCCATGGCCAATGGACCACGTCAAACGCAATCCTCGAACGGATCGCGGGTCTTCCGCGTTTCCAAACCCACATCAAACGCTTTTGTCACCTTTGTTTACAATGAAGGAGGACTCGATTTCATATTTTTGGTCTTGGATTTCTTGGGTCTTGGCCAGCCCAAGTCATCTCAAACCTTGGGAGGCCTGGTACGGGCGACGAACGGAATACAAGTTTAGGAATATGGCATCCCATTTGCTTTGGGTTCTTTTCCTCGTTCAATTTTCATTCGATTCCATGCCAGACCGTCTGTCAAGAAACCCAGAGATGGTATAGAAACCATTTCACCACCCGTTCCCACTTAAAAATTGCCAGCCGCCTTCTCTTTCATACCTCTACGCTTTGCTCAAGAGGAAATTTCCGCTTGAATATTCACTTGTCTGGAGACCATTATGACTCTCTTTGTTCGCCATGGTGGCCATGACGTGGAAGACATGGACCACGGGAGTATGGGCACTTCTGACGGCGTTCCCGGATATTTCTACATGCAAAAGATGTTTTGGGCCGTCGTGGGCTTTGTCATTGGATTCGCTGCCCTCCTCAACCTCCTAGATCACAGCCTGTTTTGGCAACGACAGCGGACTCTCGATGCGAAACCGAAAGGTTTTCTATGGTCCTTCTATGCCACTGTGACAGCACTCGGTCGTGAAATCAGTGGAGCTTCCCTGCCGACTTACCAGCTCAAGTCACTGAAATTTAGATCTCCTCCTTTGGGCAAGACCATTATAGTTCTCTCCTATCTCATCACAGTCATTGTATTTTGCTTCGACAAGTACGATACGGGTGACCAGCGGAGTTGGGAAGATATTGCTTACCGGTGCGGCTGCATTGCACAAACCCAGTTGCCGATAGTTTTCCTATTGGCTGGAAAACAAAACTTGATCGGGTTTCTGGTTGGCATGAGCTATGAACGTCTCAACTGGTTGCATCGGTGGGTTGCTCGCGTTTTGTGGCTGACCGCCACCTTTCACCTAATGTTCTGGTTCAGGAGTTGGGCCAGATTCGACTCCATCACAGTGAAGTTGTCCACCGATCGAATGTCCCAAACCGGCTTCGCTGCTTGGTGTATTCTCACGGTTGTAGTGGGGACCTCGTTTGCATCATTGAGACGTCTGAATTATGAAATATTCGTTGTCACGCATGTGGTGCTCTTTGTGAGCCTCGTTGGGGCTCTCATGCTTCATGTTGATCATGGCAAGGCGTATCTTTGGGCCGGCGTTGCACTTTTCTTCTTGGACCGAGCGTTACGTTTTATCAACATCCTTCTCGCCAATCTATCATTTCTCCACCGCCCAAAAAGAGGAAGGGAGCGAATATGGGCTAACAAAGCTGTCTTGACTCCTCTCCCGGGAAATGTCACCCGGATCACCATCGACAAACCCGTAATAAAATGGAGAGCGGGCCAACACGTTTTCCTCTCCTGTCATTCGGTGGTCCCGTTGCAGAGTCATCCGTTCAGTATTGCATCTCTACAGTCCGATGAGAAGTTGGAATTTCTGGTTCAAGCTCGAAAAGGGGCAACTCGACGTTTTCACCGATTTGCGTTAAAAGGTCTCGGCTTCTCCGATCAGGAAAGTGTACGGCAAAAGCTTATTGGAATTGAAGGCCCCTATGGCACGATTAGGCCCTTACGTCAATTCGACAGCGTGTGTTTCCTGGCAGGAAGCACCGGTGCGGCTTTCACCGTTCCCCTTATGAGAGATATTGTGCAGAGGTGGAAGGCAAGTGTTACAGGTGCCTCGCCCATCGTTACCAAGACAATTCGCTTCGTGTGGGTCGTGAAATCTCGAGATCGGGTTGGGTGGTTCCAGAATCAGCTGGAAACGGCAATGTCAGATATGGAGAACATTCGGCAAATTGATCGACATTCGGACAAGGAACTGGACCTCAGCATTTACATTACCTGTGACGAAGAATTAGAGGCCTCCAATTCCGACAGCTCATGCAGTCCTGCAGCACATGGGATTGCCGAGGTCACCACGACGCCACCTTCCACCGCAAGACTCGAGAAGAGCGAGAGACTGATTGAACAATCTGATGCAATGTTGGCCGAGTCGAATGACGAGGGCAAAGATGGCTGTGGCCCAGATGGTATATGCTGCTGCAAGACTGCTGTCGATGAGGAGGGCACAGTAATTCGGAATTGTTCTTGTCGGCCACTAACAGGCACTACCTTTTCTTCCTCAATCGGTGAAAAGGACACGAAAACTCCAGGGCCCCAATCGGAGGCGACAGCAACGCGCCTCAAAGTATTTGCCGGTCGACCGAAACCCAAGAACGTCATCCGCAAAGTACTGGAGGAGGCCGACGGTGAAAGCGCCGTGGTGGTTTGCGGTCCTCAAGGGCTTCATGATGATGTGCGACGAAGTGTTGTGGCTCTTAGTGACGAACGAGCCGTGCACAAGGGGACTAAAGCTCAGGGCATCTACTTACATGTTGAGGGATTCTGCTATTAGGCAGCAGCGAATCATTATTTGGCATCACAGTGGCGTTGGATAGAAAATGGCGGCGGACGATGCCTGATATATTGATACCCCCAGGTCACCTTGATCGGAAAAAAGCCGAAGTGTTTAGAGTGCTCTGGAAGCACAAGTTGTGCAACGATGGTACTATAGTTTTAGAAAATCAATCACACTTCTTTGTATCATCCCCTAAATTCTAATGGGAGAAGAGCAGAGCAAATAGTCAGAAAGCTTTGCGGCCGAATGAATCTTCCAACATCAATTTGTGGGGTGAGGGGATTAGTCGAAAGCCAAGCGCGTAAGAGCGGCAGCCAAGCGGTGACGCTTCGAATTGCGAGCAGCCTAGTCTTTCCTCGGCTCTTTCAATGCAGTCGGAACGATGTAATTGCGTGGATGGCGCCACATACCGACGAAGATTTGGACGACGGCAATATCAAAAGGGTACAAAAGAGCAGCGGCGCGATTGCCGGCGATGCAGAACAAACTCCTCCGGCCACTTCTGTATCAGGCCTTCGAGACACAGCTTCGATTTCCACAAGGCTCTCAAATTTGAATGACTTCTTTTGCCTGGCGACATCCTTTTTGCCATCCCTTGTTAAGAACCCACTACTCACGATTGAAGCGTATCACCCCGGTTTGGTAAGCATGTATCCGTTCAATATTTCCTCTTCATTCGTTCCAGCAAAAGACATTCGGAGCCTCTCTGGCAAGGTCATCCTCGTCACCGGAGGCAACAATGGCATTGGCAAAGAGTCTGTGCTCCAACTCGCCAAACACAACCCTCATAAGATCTTCCTGGCCGCCCGAACTGAGTCCAAGGCACGCGACGCTATTGCCTCCATCAAGGCCCAGTCTTCCCAAGAGGTCGACATTGAGTATCTACCTCTCGACCTCGCCTCGCTACCGTCAGTCCGAAGGGCGGCAGACCAAGTCATACGTCGTAGCGACCGACTAGACATTCTTATTCTCAATGCCGGTATCATGGCCGTGCCGCCGGGTAAGACAGCATCCGGACAGGATATCCAGATGGGCACCAACCTTGTGGGTCACTTCTTGTTGACCAAGCTTCTTCTTCCAACCTTGCAAAAGACCGCCGAGGAGTCTGACTCTGATGTGCGTGTGGTGTCTGTTTCATCCGAAGCCTGGAACTTGGCGCCGAATTTGGACACCATCCTATCGACTGAGAAACTCACAGCTACGGGTCCTTGGATAAGATACGGCGCTTCCAAGGCGGCAAATATCATGTTCGCCGCAGAACTCGCGCGGCGCTACCCCACACTCACCAGTGTAGCTATCCATCCTGGAATCGTCAAGACGGACTTGTACATTCCCAACACACAGGCAAATCCACTCCTGAAGTACGGATCGATGGTCTTTGGCCCTTTGATATTCCAAACCATTGAATCTGGAGCATTGAATCAGTTGTGGGCATCAACTGGCGCAAAAAGGGAAGATCTTGTCAATGGGGGTTACTACACTCCAGTTGGAAAGTTCAGAAAGAACAAGTGGGCAACCGATGCTGACGCGGGCAAAAAGCTGTGGGAATGGACGGAGAAGGAGTTGAACACTGCCGGGTATTGATTAAGCCGAGTTGCGTGCCAATTGAAGCCACGAGCATTGCAATATGTCCTTATTAGTTTAGGCGGATTGGGATTTTGAGAGTCGACCGGATTCGTGAAGATGAGGTCCAATAGTTCGACAGCTTGATCGTAACGTGGGTTGTTCGTTACCTCGGTCATTGCCTTGAGTTGCTTAGAGATTGCGAAGCTTGGTATGGCAGGCGGCGACGGTTTAGTATACCAAGTACTATGGAACACTATGTAGATAGTTGTCGATGAAGTGCTCCGACGGTCGCCGGAGCCCGCGCCTGTGTGTTTCATATATAGTATCTCCATTGCTTTGCCGTCGGTTTTCTAGGCTTTCAGGGACTGAGACATTGTCTTACCTTGAACATATTGAATCTCAGAAGGCATTCTGGCGACGGCAAGCAACTGCCACGTGACCAGTTAGCGCGTGCGTGGGGTCGGCGTTCCCCGCCAATCAATCATGAAGATCTCATGTAGACCCATCTTAAGGAGCACCACGGCCCACTGATACCCCACGCCCTGAACACACGTACCGATTGAGTCATGTATACGATGTTCAGAGTCTCTCGCGACAACAGAAAGGGACAATTAGGTGATCTGCGATAGAGCTCATCGAAAGGATTATCCTTGGGTTCCCTGCCATCGAGAGACAGCTTGTAGGCTGTCTAGTCGGTTATTATTCCTCATTTTGCTAACCAAACTTTCTTCTGCCCTGCATACTTGCTTCTCTTGTTCCAATTAAAGTTACCAGGCTTCTGCTGCATGTTCGTGCCTCTCAAGGAACTAGCTCGTCTTAGTGGCACAGCGGATGTCGTAAATTGGAAGAATAGTTTATTCATCTTCAAAAAAGCCGTAAAGCTGCAACAGACGTCTAACTCTCGATCTCAGATTCGAAGTGCAACTCATCTCTCCAAATGATCCCTTAATCATCATGCGAGATTGCAACAGACTAATACCTCCCGGACTCTCCGTCACTAGTGTCTGGTAGGTAAGGCGCACCTTGCCCACCCCCAGAAGATTGTATTGACATCAGCTATAGCGACATATGCTTGACTTCTGTTCTTCGTCCCCGGCTGCGAAGCTAGACCTGATCGATATAATGGTCTCGACGGAGTCTGTTGCGGTCCAAGACTTTTCTATACCGATATGACTGGACAAATATTCATTCTATCTATCCATGGAGACCAAAGCATACACATCAACGCCCGGATTTAGCGTCTGCGAAGGACCTCAACGCCGTGTTTGCATCGCTTGCTCACTATACCAAACAGCCGTGCATGTTCACCCCAATCTATTAGCGATGATGCATCATGGAAACAAGTCCTTATATCCAGCTTCCTCTGATGTCGAGGGAGACTCCACCCTCGTCCTCAAGTTTCATCGTCGGAGGAATTACTGACCAGCAAAAATAGCCATCGGTTTGCTGGTCTTCACCAATTTCATAGCCTCGCTGTCTTGAACTGTCACAGGAGACAAGACCAGTCTTGTTCTCATCAACTTGAACCATTCTCTTGGAATGAGGCTGCAACAGCCCATTCGTGCCGGGTGTTACCAGAGGCACTTGACGCTAATATGACATTCGTTCTTAGGTTGGGACAATACCGACCAAAACCACGACCAGACGCTGTTGAAGGAGCGGTGATCCAGATCCAGAGTGGGATCGAAATTGAAGGAGGGAATGGTGGTGTAGAGTTCGACTGGTCCGTTGAAGATGGACCTGACAACACCAAGATGGTACCATTGGCGCCTACACCATCAATATACATGCCAATTTCGACGGCATTAGCACGATGAACAACCCCTCATCGGTCAACATCGGCTTCATCGACGTTGGTAATGCATGGACCCCATTTATTCGAGTTGGCGACACAAGTTCCTCTATCGGCAATAATCCTCCCTCGGACTGGATGCAACAGAACCGGGACTACTTAGGCCGCCTAAACCTGCAGTAAATGATCATCCCTAGAACTGACGATTCAGGAATGTCCAAAGTCCAATATAGCACCGCATTCTCCCAATGCGGCCGATACGCAAACCCAGGAGCTAGATATCCTAGGCCAAATGAGCGTAGGAACCCATTACTTCGACATCCGTCCTGTCATCTCCAGTGCCAATAATTATCCCGGCCACTACATCGACAACGTCAATGAGTTCACTTCAAGCAACAACGAACACATCGCCTTGTACCTCCCCAACATCAAAAACACCGACGAGGGTTACTCGCCAGTTAACGATGACGAGTGGGCCGGCATCCTGCACCCATTCTGGCCAGACCTGAACTATCTCTGGGCAGTGAACTGCTTCACAATTTGTCGTTTCTCTGGGGCGATGGCGTAATATCAGGGATAGTCGCTATTTGAGGGCGCTGACACTCGGATTTAATAGGTATATAGTGTTTGCTCGTGACAATTATTACCACCTCGGCGGCTAGTAAGTTAAGAGGAAAGGCTTAGGGGTCAGCTCATCGAGCCTCGTCCAAAAAGGGATGCATAGACAAGGCCAGATATTATTTGTCATTGAACTCTATTCCCCTGATTGGCCGAGGGCAACGTCTTCTGACTGCAGGGCGCTTATGAATTTTGCTCAGCCACTCACGACTGTAACGCCCAGCTGAATGGTAAAGGCAAAAATTTCATCTTTTCTCCAGACGACATCAAACGTAGTATATGTTACACTGCCGAAATTTGGCCAGCGACAGCTTCTTAGGAATCGAGCCCAAACGCAATCATTCTTCTCAGGACACATCGCAACACCATTCTCTGCATCGGCCATTGGGTGAATAATTCGATCTTCGAGGAGCACGAGAAATCCTTTCCACAGAAATTGAGGTTGAACCGCCAATAGATCTACCTCTCCATCGACTCACACATCCACCTCCCGAAAGCCTGTGCCAGCTTCGACGGCATACCTAAGAAGCAGAAACCCGACCACAGCCCGAACCCCGTTTCAACCGCCAACATAGAGACCTCCAAGAGACTCTCTCACATCTATCTCCGCTCCCTCAGCCGAAGTCGCAGCCGGTCCAGATCCATCTCTCCGATGTCCACGCCCAACAACAAGGACAAGGTTGTTCTTGTTACCGGCATCGATGACTACATCGCCACTCATATAGGCCTTCAGCTGCTCCAGAAGGGTTACACGGTCAGAGGCACGTCTCACTCGGCGTCCGCCAAAGACCATCTTCTCGCCGAACCATTCAAGGGCTATGATTTGCAGTATCAACATTTCGAAGTCAAGGACATTGTTGTAAAAGGGGCGTTCGACGAAGCTGTCAGGGGCGCCCACGCCATCATCCACACCACCTCCCCTGTCGACTTCACACTCAAGACGGTAGACGAGTTCTTTGGTCGGGCAATCGGCGGAAACTTATCAATTCTCGACTCTGCAAAAGATGTCGCTGGATCTCAACTGACGTCATTTGTGGTGACATCCTCCGCGGCCGCAATAGTGGATGAATGGAGACAACCCCTCGACTACAACTATTCCGAGGTGGACTGGAACGAGACCGGTGAGAAAGTAGCTCGGGAGACTTTCACAGCCCCGGTGGCCTACGGTGCGTCTATGGCGGCCGCCGAGCGAGCACTTTGGAATTGGGTCGAGGAGAACCACTCTCGTTTCGCTGTTGCTGCCATAAATCCCGCCGTCGTCACGGGACCTCCCATCTCATTCCCAGCCTCGCCTGAAAACCTCAATGAGGCACTTCTTCCCGTCTGGCGAATCTACAGCGGAGACAAGGATCTACCGTCTCAGATTGGCGGTGCCGGGTATATTGACGTACGCGATGTGGCACGAATGCACGTTTGGGCCATGGAGCATCCTGAGAAGAGCAATGGCGAGCGCTACCTGCTCTCAAACGGCAAGGCTCCGCCTCAGGCGGCCGCAGATCTGCTCCGCAAGACGTATCCTGAGCGAGACATTGTGGTGGGCCATCCTGGTCGGGGATACACGCCAGATTACTGGTTTGTCAAGGGAGAGAGTAGCATGGTGTCATCCAAGGCATACCAGGCTCTTGGGGTTCAAAGATTCATTAGCTACGACAAATCGATCTTGGATACCGTGGAGGCATTTGAGAGACATTGGCCTGGGCTTGCGAAGAACTTGAAGCAGTAACGAGAAGTGGTAGATCTAGCTATTGCTTAGAAGTACAAACTGTCCATTTTCAGGGAGGTGCGCAAACGGGAAAATGAGTTAAAGTTCCGGTAGACATGAGGTAATGGTATGAACTACGGACGAATATCTCGAAATAGGAACATGGAGGTGTTATTCTCGAATAGCAATTGGAAAGCCAAAGGACAGTAACCGCCCATCAACGTGATACAAGTCCGGATTTCCCACTCGTTGCGACAAAATCGACGCAAACGCACTGGACACACATGCACGCATCGATCGCAATAGTACTCTCATACATCCCATGGTCGAAGCATGCCATGTCAAATGTCCTGGTTAGCCGGGACATCCCTACCCCGGAGAAAAGGTCTTGATGTTTTTTATATTCCGCATCACATCAATGGACGGAGTCCATCACACCATGGCTGCGAAGTGACGAATTTTACGTCTAATGGCGACAACAGGGCTGGATCAGAGAGGGGAAACTCGCACGGCATATAACAGCAAGATCAGAAGCAGGAGCATCACCATCCCTGTCCAACCAAGCATCGCCTTGGATGTCTCCCACTTCATTGATCTCCCTGTTCCTCAGCACGGTCCAGAAAAGCCACATGTAACACCAGAACCCGCCTTTCCCCTGTTGATTTGGAATTTCCATAGCTACATGGTTTCTTCTCCTCTTCGTGTTTCTCCCTCTTGTGCTACCATCCTTTCAAGCCACCTGACAACTTATCGCGATTCGCCAGCCGGATGTGTATGTCATGTCAGTTGCAAGGCGAGCGAGAAGGGAGGGGGACTTGGAAAGCGATGCCAAGGCTCGCGACGAGGTGCTGGGACGAGACGTCGTCATAGGGTCAGGGGCCTGCTAGGGCCTGCGTAGTTCTGGGTCGAAGAAGGATTCCGAGACTGAGTGGAGGGGCCCAGGGGATTTTTGGTGGAGCTTTGGTGCGAAAGCTCTCGCTCGGGCTCTAGTTTAGAGGACACTGAGATGATAAAGAGAAAACTTACGGGCCGAAGGGCATTACACACCTAGGTATCCAGACAGGTATTTGTGATTGTTCAGATGGCTTTTGTGTAGCTGTTTCAATAGCTACAGAATTTCTCACGTGGATCGAGTCTCATGTCTTCGCTTCGAATACAATATTGGGGTACACAAATAGAGCAGATGTCTCTCTGGATCTCGCGTATCTCGGCCTGCGCCTGGAATATGGTTAGCCTGACCAACTAGTAGTTAGTGAGCCTGGAGGTGCGACACTGCAAGCTAGGCCGGTAGTCGGGAAGCAAAGATAACAGAATTGGCGAGGCAAGTAGCTGGCAGAGTTTTATTGGCCACAACAGACATGTCGGCAGCGATCAGTTGGTGCACTGATTGGCGAGGCGTGAGGCTGGTCTCTGGAGTTCTTTTGTTTGTGTGGACATGCCCGCTTGCTGTCCTGCTTCCCCTTCACAATTCCTTCTCTCTATGTCGTCGGCTTCTGATTCCGCCTTGCATTACCCTACATGCCTGTCGAGCCCCTCTGGCCGTTGATTGATGGGCAGGACTTGTGGCTGTAGCTGCCGTCACCAACCCAGTGTACTTGCAGTACCTATACCGTTCGACGCTCCAAACTTATTTGTTCATGGATGGATTGGCAGCTCCAACTCCCCACTTGCGCCGCAACTGCATCCGCATCCCACCAACTGGCCCTGGCACCGTCCATCGACTTGCTACAGAGACACACATTCTAACCGATATCTCGCCCGCATTTCCTCTCCTCTCATCTTCTCAATCAAGCCAATTCCTTTTCAATTCATTTTGTTTAATCTTGTTTTATACTATTTTGTTCCACCTAGATCTTTGTCACGACCTAGAATCCTCTCTCATACCAATCAGTCTCGACGGTCAAGCCAACGCCATCCAAAGTACCACCGATCCGCTCACCACTACGCCCGCCTTTTTTTTTTTTTTTTTTTTTTCCCCTTCCCTCCTCCAGGCCACATCCGTCGTGTCCATGTCGCCTGTCCTTGCCCGCGTCGCATGGAGGTCCAGATCCCTTCCCCGTCCGTTTTCTTAGAGAAATCTCCCGTCATTTCGCCCGGGTCAGCGGTTCCAGCGAAACGACATACCGTCGCAAAACCAAAGGGAAATGCTTCCTCAAAAGTTCTTAGCAGACCCGGCCTGGCCGTTCAGGATGGCGCGGTCACCAAGCCAAAACAGAGCAAGAGTCGAAATGGTATGTCGGTTCCTTGCATATCTCCTTCTAGATTGTCCTTCAGCTCGAGGGGAAGCATACCAAGTGTCCCTACCTTCGGAGCGGGCTTGACTGACTTTGGATCACCTTTGTATCAATAGGTTGCATGACATGCAAGAAGAAACGATTAAAATGTGACGAGACAAAGCCTTCCTGCGTCCAATGCCAGAAGAGAAGTGTCGTGTGCGAGGGATATAAGAAGGACTATAAGTGGAGGACGTTCGAGGAAACCACTTTTACGTCCAAACCGAGCGCGAAAAGGAAACCATTTCGATCCAATTCCTTCTCCCTCAACCACAACAATATCTCTCAACCGCTCGATATTACTGCTGGTGGACGGCCTGTTCATCAGGATGCCGTCGTCGAAGATTCCCAGGCATCAAAAACATGGTCGCCAGGACTTCATTCGGCATTTGCCACAGCTGCCCACGCCTTTCAACGCCAAAGTCATGGTCAAAGCCATAGTCAGAGCTCGTCACTGAGTCCGGATCAGCAAGGAGACCTCAAGTCAGAGAAAACATCATCATCACCACCTCTCCATCTGACACCGGATTCCATATTCATGCCACCATTTAATGCAGAAGGCATCTCTCCTAGCCTGTCATTTGGCGATAACATCGACCCCTACAGCTTGACGACGACGACGACGACGTCTTCTACCAATGATAACAATAGCACTTGCTCGTTCTCGTCTGGATCCCCTCAACTTCTGGACCTCCTCTTACCGGGAACTGATCTGAACCAGCCGCCAGATCCCTCCGAGATCCGACCGGCAATGTCCCCTCACCCGTATCAGCCTGGAACCTTCGATGCCAACATGAATATGGATGAAGACTTTGATGAAGAAATTATCCGATCGGACGCTATTGCTACCTCGACTACGATGCCCACACTTCCTCTCCCCACCCCCGCCTCTCTCCTCGACCGGAACTCTACCCCTCCGACCTGGCATGCTTTCCGCACGTCGTCTCCCACCCCCAGCGAAACATCCACGTCGTCTTCCAAATCGAGCGACATGACTATTCTGGCCCAACCTGCCCTCGACGCCTCCTCACCTGAAATGCTTATGCTTCGGTTCGACAAGCAAACCTGTGGCATTCTGTCTGTCAAGGATGGTCCGACCGAAAACCCCTGGCGTACCTTGATTTGGCCATTGGCGCGGGAATCGCCAGCCTTGTACCACGCGATCTCCTCAATGACAGCCTTTCATGGTGCGCACGAAATTCCCAATCTGCACATGCCAGGCATGGCGCATATGACCAAATCTATCAAACGCCTTGCCTTTGAGATCGAGAATATGCGGCTTGACTCGGCGCTCGCCACGTCACTGGCTCTGGCCTTTAGTGAAGGCTGGGACAGCCATGTGAGTACCGGCGTGCAGCATTTGCGCGGCGCAAAGGTCATGGTCAATAATGCGGTTGTCAAACATCGACGAGACATGCAAATGGGCCGAATGACCACCCAGGATGCCAACAGACTGAAATTTCTCTGTAACACCTTTGTTTACATGGATGTCATCGCCCGATTGACGTCTCTCGAAGAGGCCTTTGACCTGAACTTTGAGGAAATTCTGAGCACCGTGAATGCTCCATTCGGGGATCTGGTTGAAGTCGACCCTTTGATGGGTTGTGCAACGACCTTGTTTCCTCTGATGGGCCGTGTCGCAAATCTCATCCAGCGCGTGCGCAAGACCGAATCAAATTCTCTAACACTGGTGAGCACAGCGATGGAGCTCAAGGAGCAACTAGCACAATGGCAAGCGCCGAGTGCCATGCTCTTTGAACGACCGGAGGACCCCAATTCCGAAGTCCAACACTCGATCCAAACCGCCGAGGCGTATCGCTATGCCACTCTCCTCTACCTACATCAAGCTGTACCTGAAATACCCAGTGATTCGGCACTGACACTAGCGAAGAAAGTGCTCGTCACGCTAGCCTCAGTGCCCCTTTCGTCTCGAGCGACGATTGTCCAAATCTTTCCCCTTTTTGCGGCGAGTTGTGAAATCACAGAACCCGACGATAGGGACTGGGTCGTGCAGCGCTGGGCGGCGATGATCACGAGACTCAAGATTGGAAATGTAAATTCCTGCTGGAATGTTGTGCAAGAGGTGTGGAATCGGCGTGATGCCTACGAGGCCGAGAAAGCCAACAGATTACTGAGACGGTACACGTCACGTGGTGTCCCCGGTGGTAATTTTGTCCCTCCGGTGATTAATATGCCGCCTGGCTTGAAGAGGAAAGCCCACACAGCTGATAACATAACTGAGGAAGAGGTGCTTCTCAATCAGAACCAGGACCCGGGTCAGGGTCAGAATCTGCAAGCGGGGAATTCTATGAATGGTGTTTTATTGGGAGATGAACTTGATGCAGCCGGTCGAGTTCTCAAACGACGGGTCACTGTTGACTCGACGAGTCACGGGATGGCCATGTCTAATATGGGCTCGAGTGCAAGCGGAAGCTATCTAACTTCAATGGCCACGGTCCCTCAACGACGTCTTGGTGGCGACGTCATGTCTCCAGACCAACTTGAACCCGAGTACACGGTGCGAGGAAAATTGCATTGGTTGGGGGTTATGACTGACTGGCACTGGGAAGGTGCGTTCCATTTTACCTTGACATACCCTTTCTCCTCTTGGCGCCCCCCCCCCCCCTTTTTTTTTGGCGTCATATTGGGACACTGTAAGCTCTTTGCTCTGAGAATTTTTACAATGATCTGATGTGTTTGCCTCTACTCGCCTTGCCCACTCCCATCTGAAAGACAATAACTAACATTCACCTGTTGCAGTGTTTCTCGGCTGATCCACGGCCGATCCCGGTCGACGGCATGGGCGCTTGCGGCGCATGCGCCATATACCTCTTGCTCAATAACGACTTTCCTCCAGGACTTGCAGACCGATGTTCTCCTCGATGGTGATGGTGATTGTGGTGAGCATAGTGGTGGTGTCGGGCATCAGCAAGGATGCCCAAGGGGTGATGAGGTGGGAGTTTTGTTGTCTCTTCCGAGATGCCAACCCCACTCGCATCATCACCACTGAGATTTGCCCCCCCATGCTCCCTCCTCACACTCGCGAGATCCATCCAGCAGAACTCAGGTGACTTTTCCCTCTCATTGCCACTGCCACTATCATCACTCTCTCCGCGATGAAGTGACATTCCCTTGACCCCTTGATCGCGACGCAACTGTGATTCCTCCACACTCGCAAGGAAACTTCGCATTCGCGCGGTGTATTCGTCCAATTCGGCGCTCTGCGTTATTCGTGCCATCGGCGTGGGTTTCATGGCGACTGCACTTGGCGGGTTAACGTTGCCGTTCAGACTCTGGTTTTTAATCCGATTGCTCGTAGATGCGGGATCGGTCGTGGCCACCATGGTTGCTGCTTTCGTTTTCGTTGTTTCTTATGATGACTTTGTCCTGTCCCAGTTCGTCGAATTTGTGTTGTCAAGGGGGCGGGGTGGTGTGAATTGTGTCAATGACGATGTGTTCATATATTTATGCTTACGATTGGTAAGAGGGTGGCCAAGGCGTCTCGGAATTTCAAGGATTGTCTTGCTTCTGTCGCGTTCGTCTTTCACTGCGTTGTTCAGCGATACGAGCAAGGCGTCCTAGGTTTTATGTTCGGCCTGTTTGTCTCGGGGTTGCCTGGATATGGGACCGGTGTGCTCTCGTTGTCGGCGTCGAAGGAGGAAGTACGAGCACAAGTCGGGGTTTACTGGTATCAAGGGGAACTTAAGAATGAGACGTTTGACACTGTCACTTGGTTGCCTTTGTCGTTGGAATAGAGGCGTGACGGGCACAAGGTCGTGGCGATGTCAGGATTTAGGATCACACGCAACAGTACTTTAAGTCCCTGGGTCCATCATGTGTCGGAGCGACTTGATGATAAACGATACGTCATTCACCTCCGGAGTATTCGAGTATCAGAGTCGGCGTTTTCTTGGTTCCTGACTTGCTGTTTCGAGTGGCGGTTTTCGTACTCTTCACATTTGGATGTCGATCCAACGCGATGACGATCACAAGGCCACAAGGACTGGCGATGACAATGTCACTGTGTAGCTAGCGAGATAGGCAGCGGAATGCGTGCTAAGCTACAAAGACCCGGCGACCGAGCATCAAAAGGTTGCGCTTGTGAGTATGTGAGAGAGATTATGCAGGGAATGCAACGGTTCAGGGAGAAATCTCAATTGCGCTTTTTGCAGCGTCGATATCTGCCTCTCTCGTCGTATTTCGTCCAGTAATTGTGGGTTATAATTTTCCTTGATCACGACCAAAGAAAAATGAAAAAATTTTCGATCGGAGGGAGTTGAATGTGGGAATTCGATCGCGACACAACAATTGGTCGAGTGGGTAGGATGGAGAATAGGAAGAAAGTTGCAATCTCGTCCAGAAAACCGACTTGGATTTCTGTGTCATGCCATCGTAGATTTTTTTGGGTGTGATTTCTTCGGTACAGAAGAGGAGGGAGAGAAAGAGAATAGCCTGAGGAAAGAAAATTGAGTCTCCTTGTGACTTCTGGTGTAGCAAATATGCATGTATTATAATATGGAGGAGGTCGAAAAAGGTACGTAGGCAAAGCAGAGCCGGTCCAGACGGAGCAATCGTCTTGTCTTCATGGGTAATTGAATGCGTTCGCACTCTAAAAAAAAAAAAAAAAAAAAAAGGCAGTCTAAGCCGCCTTTAGCAGGGCCGGACATTGATCGTGAGAGGCCAAAAAGCAGAGAATTTCATCATGCGACAGGCGTCTTCCCAGAGGCTTTTGGCCTCACTGGGTGGACAGACCGACGTGATTCCAAACGTTTGCAACCCCCCATTAAGGGCTCGGCGTAGGTCAAGTGGGAGGATGGACTTGGAAATCTCTTGAGAAAATCATTGGCCAGTTAGTGTTCAGCCACTTCCGTGTATGAGCTGTGCCTCCGATAGGACTGCGTGTTACATGAAAGATGTATCTTGTGTCTGCCAGGCCACACAAGGATACGGCGGTTCCAAAATTTTGGAGGGGGGGAGGGGACCAATTGGATCAGGTGTGGAGAATGATGTTGTCGGTTGCAGAAAGCATTGACGTTGGCGTGCAAAAAGGAAACTGTGGAGAACGGGATTTCGGTGGTAGAGAAGGGATTTCTTTGCATTTAAATGCAGCTTTCTCCTTGTTTCTTCTAAACGGTATAAGATTAGAGCAAAGTCAAACAATCACTTGAGGAGGATTCATGGGTTTGTCTTCGGTGGGGTCCGATGGGTCAAACGTCTTTCTGCCGTCTTTGGGGTGATGTTTTGTTGATCTTGTTGGTAATAAGCTATATCTGCTATTCAGTAATAGCATGTGTCTCAACCAGAGTTCTCCCCCCTATGGGTCTCTGTTGAGGTAAATGTCCTTGGAGACAGCGCGGTGCGTTCTTTGGGGAGTCGAGTCAGCAGGACCGGGCTTGATTGGCCACACCGGGGACATCCCATTGATTCGTTCATATCCAGCCTGTGGGAGTTGTCACGACTTAGTTGGAAGATCCTCAGTTCGCACCAAATCCCTGCCTGAAAAAGGCAAGGTGTGCGGTGGTTGAAGTGGTTTATGTAAGTGGTTGTTGGATTCCGTAGCAGGTAAATGAGGTTCAGTGGTGAAAAAAGACTTGCCGAGAATTGCCGAAGGGAAATGATTCCTCGATTGAGTTTCGCGCCATATCAACTGACCGGGTCGAGACAAGGCTTTCTCCGCCAAACAGAAAGATAGTTGAACGGACGAATGAGATGATGGCCATAGGAGAGGGAAGAAGATGGAATGAGAAGATAGGAAGCTGTAAAAGAAATCGAATATTAGCGAAGAGAAAGCTGGGGATAAAGTGAGGTGAAACTGCGCCTGCCCCATGACTCGGATGTTCGGACCTGCTGCTGCTTGGCATGAGTCAGGAATCACAAAGACCTTGTTGAAATATACCAAGGCACGTACGTCCATATGCAAGTAAGCTGGAAAGATTAGAAGGATGTACGGACGGAACCTGGTTCGCGTTGAGTCTCTCAGCACACTGATTAGAGCCCAAGAACGAGCAACACCTGGCTTTGGCCGAACGTTGGAAAACACAACAAACATGCCAAGTATCAATTCTTATCTCTTATCGAGGATGGGCCTCGCGGTGGGATTCCCTCTTCTTCGCCTTAACCCTCTCAGGCATAATCTTCCCCTGCTTTCGCATCTCAGAACTCTCACCCGTTGGAGCGCGCCGCTCATTGGTATCTGACGCCCAGTGCGGAACCTTTTACACGCTGACGCGAGTCTTTTCCTTGTCTGTCGCCTGGAGCGCGTTGTTGTCGGGGTCATTGCATGATTGCCAAAGCTGACGGGCAACCCTCAACACGGCATAGATACCAAACCATTAGGTAGGCAGAACGAGAAAAAATTCAACAAGTATATCTTTGCGACTTTTGGCACCTGTTCCTGCATTACTCTACTGTCTGCAGCTTTTCTTTTCCCAACTCGTTCGCATTTCCTTCCACCCTGTCGGAAAAATCGTGCAATCACGTCTCGACGACTTATCGCGATTTGTTCTTTGAAACAACACGCCCTTGAATAGGATCCCTCTCGGTTGAAAGGACATCCCACAAACATATACTAAAAGGTGAGAGCAATTTCGGTTTGGTCGCAAAGAGCATTGCACTTTTGTTGGAATTTCCGGTGCTCCCTCCCGACCTCGACTCTCCCATCGGTGACAATCATATACACACCGGCTTTCTGCCCAATTAACATGGGTATTTCTCTCAGTAAATTCACGTCCAAGCGCAAATCTTCAACACCAGCACCTGAAAAAATGGGCTCGACACCAGCATTCACCCACTTCTCCAAAGTCCAATCGGAATTCAAGCCTCCTTTGATCGCCAATGAGAACGCCTACCTCGGCGACATCGCCAGCAGCGATAAGATCGATCCGGAGAAGCCCATCAGCTGTGGCATTTACAGACTCGAGAAGGGCACTCCCCTCGTTTATACCTATACCTACCATGAGATGAAGATCATTTTGGAGGGCGAATTCGACATCAGCGACGAGACCGGCCAATCTGTTCACGTAAGTTCTGCGCCTTTTAGTTGTCGATCCGGAGCCAAGTTGGAGTCCGGGTCCGGGGTTTGGCAGAGAGCGTAGTTCTCTTACAGGTCCTGTGGCTGACTCGCCCGTTTTGGCAGGCTGTCGCCGGTGATGTTTTCTATTTCCCCAAGGGCAGTGTCATTACCTTCAAGACCAACACCTATGGATTGGCTTTCTACACTGGACAGCGCAAGGAGGGTGCCGCGTAAATCAGTATGGAAGCTAAAAAAGAAAGTTGTTCGGGGAATTTTGAAATAGCTTTCTAAATCGAAAGGCCGATTTGAAACCCCATGCCAGTGGGGCACCGAGCAATCTTATGCTCTCTTCGCTCTTATTCTCCGATTCCATGTTCTGGTCACCGCCAAACATATTAACAAGGCCAGCAAAATGAAAATGGTGATTGGTATCCAGGTTCGGTTTCGTCTCCGTGGACCTATCTCTAGTCAAAGGGACCCGGTAGGTGGTAAGCATCGTTTAATGAATTCCTCTAGATCGTCGATTTCTTGCATGTCCGCAGAGTGCCGAAGATTCCTGTTATGCGCATCAGCGGAGACACTTGATGAACAGGTCCCTCGTTGCGTCGACCACTCACCTGTACGTCTTGAATTCTACCCTGTAACCTAGCTCATTCTTCAAGAATTCTGCCGTCTGTTGTCCCCACTGATACTTGACGACCTCGTCTGCATCACCGTGGCCCATGAAGAACGGTGTATCTTTATTCGCATCCTGGGCCTCTTTCGCTAGGTCTTTGATCTTGTCCCCCATCAGCAGATAACAGCTGAGCCCGAACACACCCCCCAGTTTATACGGCGTGGTAACACCGGTGAAAATAGACATGGCGCCGCCCTGGGAGAAGCCACCAAGGATGATGCGGTTGGAGGGAATTCCGGAGTCGATCTCATCGGTAATGAGTTTGCTGAAGGTGGTTCGGCTGCGAAGGATGCCGGGTTCATCGTGTGCTTGTTTCAGGGCTGAGAAATCGGCCTGTCGCGAGAGTGATATCTGGTCAGCAGGTGTGGGAGACGGTATGCAACCGACTTCATGAGCGCTTGGGTTTGCAAACATCTTCACGGCGTCTTACGATGTCGTACCAACCGGGCATGCTCATTCCCAAGTTCTAGTTCATATGTAAGAATACATATTTCACGGGGCAAGTCCCTTACATACCACAGTGATAGGGATGTTGGGGGCATTGGGAAAGACGAACTTGACGTCTTCAAACTTTCCACGTCGCCGCCAGCTCTCAGCGAGAGACACCCTGGGTCGGTGAGTGTGTCTGATTCCCAGATAGCGCTCGATGCCTTTCGGACTCACCATCCTGCACCACTGTATTCCTCAAGTTAGTCAAACCTACAAACTGTACGGACGGGCTTTGGTGCCGACCTGTCGCCCAACCCGTGCGCCATAATGATTGTTGCCGTCTGCTTCTTAAGCGCAGGCACAATCAACGCTTGCTTTCCCGCCATCTTCACCTTCCGCAAAAACGAGAAGAGGTCAGAAACAGAAGAGCAAGTTGGTGGTCGAGATGGCTTGAATCAATCTGTGGAGGGTTGAAGAATGCGGGCAAAAGATCCCCGGTAGGAGATCTTTGCTCCCGGCCCGAGGTTTTCCCAAAAATGTTAGGGAGTTGCGCCAAGACTTGCACACTGCCCGGTGCAAGTACAAATCAAAGTCGACTTAAACGGTTCATTTGGTATTCCGCCAGCTCAACCTGCCCAAACATCCCATATCATCTAGGAAGGAAGAGTCACTTCGGCTTGACTTTTCCTGAGCCTTTCCCTTTGGGGATTTTTCTTTTTTTGAGGGTGTCACGTCGTGCCAAGTCCCAAATAGCAGGCTCGGACGTCCGAAAGGCCTCAACTTGTCACCCACTACAACAGGACATATTTCCCAGCCTCGCATTCTGAGCCAAAGCGCTCAGAAGAGAATTCCTCGCCAACATGGATCAGGAGAAGCTCAAGCGCATGCAGGCGCAGGTGCGAATTGGTATGTTCTGTTCGAGCTCGAAATTCCATCATCATTTGTGCGGAAGACCGCGAAACGACTAACTTCAAGGGTAGGGTATGTGATTTTCCTTGTCTCTTCATGCCGATGACCGCTCTCTTAGAATCATCTCATCTAGCTTGTCCACGAGGAGGGATACTCACTGTTGGTTTTTTTATCCAGAGGCAAAGGCACACCGCGAAGAAAGACCAAGAAGGTTCACAAATCCTCCGGCACCGACGACAAGAAACTGCAGACTTCACTGAAAAAGCTGAATGTACAGCCCATCCAGGCGATCGAGGAGGTGAACATGTTCAAGGAAGATGGAAATGTGATACATTTTGCTGCACCAAAGGGTACGTAAACTAACTGCACACCTGGAATCAGAGGTCCAAAGAACGAAGGACGAGAAAACAAGAACCCTCAAGAAGGAAAGACAGGGCGTCGAATACTAACAAAATGCTCCAAATAGTCCACGCATCTGTCCCCTCCAATACGTTTGCCATCTACGGCAACGGCGAGGACAAGGAATTGACAGAACTGGTACCGGGAATCCTGAACCAGCTGGGCCCGGACTCGCTGGCGTCGTTACGCCGTCTCGCTGAGTCATATCAGAGCTTGCAAAAGAAAGAAGGCGGAGAGAAGAAAGAAGGTGACGACGACGATGACGAGATACCAGATCTTGTCGAGGGTGAGAACTTTGAGGGCAAAGTCGAGTAAACGCGGAAGTTTATGGTCCCGGGACCACAGTGATTCATAGAAGGCTCAGGCTCTTTCCAAGAGTGAGCTCTTCTTTACCATGAATGTCGCAATGGCAAACCACCTCAATCTCGATCTCTCTGTCTCTTCTCAGCTGCATGGCCAATACTCCTAGTTTTCAATGCAAAAAGGAAACGGAATTGTCATGAAAAATTGGGTCACAATGCAAAAATTCCTGTTCATGGAAAAGTAAAATAGGAACACACCAAAGGGAAAAAGCATCAAAATGGGAAGCCTTTGAACCTCGTCTTGTGAGTTTTTGTACAGTTCAGGCGAGACATCCGGCCCTTGTTTTCACTTGAGACTACCGGTACCAGTCACCCTCTCAGACCCCGAGTCCTTTTTTTCCCGGGATACCTTTTATAGGTACGTATTGTACCCAAACCTTCAACGCCATCGCTATTCGTAGAGAGACACCTTGCGTGTATGCCAGAAAACGCATCATCCATGCACAGTTTTCTTCACCTTCCCTCGTTTGATGCAGTTGAAAGAAATACTATCAATTCACCAGTTGCACAACGACCCAGAAACAGACCAAACGAAACCATTCGTCTGATCAATCATCCTTGAGACCACAGAAATCCGTGCCTAGCCAATAATCGAGGGAGTGCCAAAGAGACCAATACCAGCCATTAGCCGGATCCCACGACCCGTCTTCCTTGAGCAAGGGTCCCTCTCCGATAATATCCCCAGTAGTTCCTCCTCCTTGCTTGTTGTTGCCGCCGCCAATAAACCACGTCACGATCGGTATGCTTCTAAGAACGCGTTCGGCAAAGGTCGGTTGTGGTGGCAGAGCTTCGGAAATCGGACGAAGAATCGCTTTTTTGACCTTAATATGCGTCATGTACTCGGAGTCCAAGTCCAGATTTGATTCCGTCGTTTGGCTGTGAAGGGGAGGAACAGACCGAGATCGTAGACCGGATGTTCCTATTGTGATTGAGGGCGAGGCGGGAGGCGCAACAGCATCTGTCGCCGTGGCGGACGAGGCGGTAGTAGATCCAATGGATAGCTCGTCTTCAGGATTCGTCGGCTGGCCGTATTGAACGTCTGGCACCGTCTGAGATCGAGGGAGAGTTTGCAAGGCTCGTTCAAAACCTGCAATGGTCGAGTCTTTTCCTGTCGGCATTCTCGCAGACTGCGAGGGACCTAGTGTTCTAGCCTTTCGACCGACGTCTGGCGGTATGAGGTCTGACCTGTCTGAATCCAGAGGTCCCCTCGGTATCGCGACGTCTGCTGCAGGTCCTTTCCCCTGCCACATCTCACAATGTACCATGCATCCGTCGATGTCGATGGGGCTGTAAAAACATGCCCTTTCCGCAGCTTGGTATGAATCGAACGTGACCTTGATCCAGTGTTGTCCTCCCTTATAAACCCTACTTTTCCTCATTGCTTCCCGGCTCAAATTTTGACGCACCACGACAGAGGAGTTTGCAAAGCCGAGCGGAGAGTTTGATGCCAGGAAGAGATTGGGATCTTCCCTTGGATAGTCCTCGCATATAATGCCGGGATGGGCTATCTTTTCAAATTTCGACAGGACTTTCCACTCCGATGCTTTGCCCGCGTACCCGTAGAGGAGACATTCCGTCGGGACAGCTTCTGGTTCAATTGATCGTGCTGCGTCGCCGGAGCCAGCAGAAGACGTCAGAGAACTCTTAGTTCTTTCCTCCTCTTTCGCCTGCTCCTTTGCATATAATCGACCGAAGTCGGCCACGGCGGTATTCTCCTTCTGCCGTACAGGCGTAGTGCCGGTTCTTGCACGTGGAGTTCGCGAGCCTGTTACTCGTAGACTTCGATTACGGCCAAACGGTCCACTCTCTTCCGGTTGTCGAGCATTTCTGGCAGAACTGAGCAGGTCAGAATCATCCGAATAAGAACTGCTGGGAGATTTCATGGCTCACTCTGTGTAGCGATACCCCCAGGGAAGGGTATCACCTTTGGGGTCTCTTGCACGTTCTTCAGGAAGCACTGAATGAATCTCCATGATGCGGTTTGGCCCAAAACTTCTTTGTGTTGGCGAGGATTGTTCAGCGAAAGGGTATTCATGCAGTCCAGCACAAACGCGCAGTTGGAAACATGCAAAAGTATAGTCGAGACGATTTGGTAGCAGCGAAACCCAAAAAGACTTTTTGAGGCAATTGTTTGCGACGCGTCTTACCTGAAAAGACATGGTCACGTGGCCCCTCAAAGTCCTCACCCGACTTTCTCAGAAACGACAATACATAGTAAAGGATCAAGTTTCAACAAATGACTACCTCAGGCCTTTCCTCCCCCGACCCCCCGGGTAATTACTTCCATAGTCGACAACTTCTTGCTGGCCTTCATATCACGTGCTACGTTGAGGTATGTCATGTCACAAGGCTGGGGGGCTTCCCTGCCATCCCATGCCCTCTTACCATAGCCCAACCTTCTCTACATTCTCTGTGCTCTTCTATTCCTGCTTTTCAAGCTGTGCTTTGAGATGGTTCATCTTAGTCTCATGTACCTTCTCAACATCCATTCCCATAGCATTCATCCAAGCAGGATCAATATTCTCAACATTCAGATATGGCGAGACATCTTCTTTGTTCACCAGTGCTTGAACAGTTCCCATGCCCAAGAATGCCCACATGTTTTGTTTGGCTGGTCCAAGATATTCGATCTCGAAATCTTCGTACCTGGGGGTCCTGATTGCTTCTATGTAGTGGAGAGACGAGCCAGGCCAAACAGCATTGACACGGCCAGTTTCGTTATTCTTGTACCTTCACCACGACAGTTAGCTCCCTGCTTTCAGACATATAAGATTCTAGCATGTAAAGGCGTTCGGGTTCAGATCCAAGTAGAACACAAAGGGATTCACTCACCAGGACCGACACTCTTCAACCCATACCGTGTGTCTTATCCACTCTTGGCAATGTTCGTTGAATGCGTCAGTCACATCTTGCCTCGGGGCGATGCTGCAGATATACTCGCTCTGAAGTTTCTTGATCATTTGCATGGCGTAATACGAGACTTGCACGAGAGGCCCCATGACACTGCCGTTCTCCACAGGCCAATTCGGACCGATGAAAGTGAGAAAATTAGGGAACTCCGGGATTGCAAGGCCTAGATACCCTTCAGGGCAAATCTTCCATTTATCGGCCAGGTCGACTCCATTTTGGCCGATAATTGGGAAGCGGGGACGATAGGAGACGTCGAAACCTGTTGCGCACACAATTGTATCAACCTCACGGTGGATTCCATCGGCCCCAATCACTCCAGTTTCGTCGATCTTCTCCACGGGGGTAAAGTGGACGTCCACATTGGGCTTCTGAATGGCTCTGGAAAAACATCAGTATAGGTCCCTCGAAACCATATGTGTATAAACACCGCGCAAATGGATACAAGAGGGTGTACCCACTCCATATATGGATCTCCTGGTGTGACTCTTCGGCAACCAATACCGAATGTCGGAGTGAAGCCTTTGAGCAATCTCTCATCCTTGATAACCTCAGCCGTGCGAGCCTTTAAGGCAACCTGCCCTTCAGACTGTGCCTTCGCATTCTTGTAAAACATACCCCACAATCCATTGACTTGGTCTTCGATGGATTTGGCATGCTCCACGATCTTGTAGGGATCGCGGAATTCCTGTTTTTGCTCAGGAGTATATTCGTGATTCGCGCCGAAGTTGTTGGCAATTTGGACGAACCAAACACCTAGACAAGAAAAAAATAAAAAATAAGAACATGAGTGTGTATTATCGTTGTCATAACACGGGAGAAGGTGGTGGATGAGGCCGTGGAGCGGGAAAAATACACACCTGTTCGGACGAAAATGTCGATATGCTTTGCATGGGGTTGCATCGTCGGGACTGTCTGAATACTGGAGGCCTTCATGATAACTTGCAGTTAGAACAGTCCCTCAGATAGCGGCTCATTCGGTTCACATACTCCAGACCCAATAACTGCCACACGATCTTTCTTCCATTCCTCAGCTTGATAGTCTTGGGGCCAACATGCGGTGTGCATCATCCTTCCTTTGAATTTCTCCATGCCCTCAATATTAGGCCACTTGAAGTTATTCAGAATTCCTGTACCGTGAAGGAGCATATGGCAGCGATCTTCAAAGATACGAGTACTGCCACTTTGGGGGTCAGTCTGCTTCAGCTTCACGAGCCATTCTCCGGTTTGTTGTTGCCAGTAGCATCCGATAACCTACAAAGTCCATCCATTGTTGGTTACGTGCGCCATAAGAACAGGGGAAATCGAAAAGAGGAGCCATACCTCGGTGTTAAAAGTCATATACTCCCTCAATCCCCATACTTCGCACACTTTATCCAAGTACTTCCAGATATCAGGCGAGTATGAGAAGAAACGGGGCCAGTCCGGCTGCGGAGCGATATTGTTAGATTGAGCCCTTCTTGTGAATTGTGTCGATTGCAAGCAAAATAAACTTACATTCAATGCAAAGGGATAAGTATAGGCATGGCTGGGAATGTCGCAGGCACAACCTAATGGATGTTGTCAGTAATCGGAGACGTGCAAGGTCAGAATTAGGACCAAGTATATCATCTGCTAAGAACAGAGTAGGCCATCTCAAGACTTGAAGACGGAATGATCTCCATAGTCTTTGGATTCACAGCGATCTGGGGTTCCCCTCGACACATTGACTTCTGAACTGGAATCTGGACATACCAGGATACCTATTCTCCAACCAAGTGCCACCAATGTCTGGATTCTTTTCGTAAATCACATGTTCAACATTTTGCAGAAACTTTTGAATGTGGTAGGCATTCATAATCTGGGGGAAAATCATCAGATTCAGACAAAATATGGCAGCCTTCGAAGGGCAAAAAGGATGTGTAAGGAGGCTCTCGACTGAATGGGACGTATCCCAATTTTATGGAGAACTCACCCCCGTGACGCCAGCGCCAATAGACAACACTCTGATTTTTCTTGTGTATGGTCCGTGCAGAACAATATCTGTGCAGGCCTATCAGTAAAACAGGCATTCAAAAGCTTAGACAACGAAGATGGTGTGAGGGTGAACGGCCTCTTTGAAGGTCCGAAGACAAGTAGAGGTTGATGAGCATCCCCGGGCTAACTATTGTCCTCCAGTCGAGCACAACAATAACAGCAGTGTCTGACGTTCAAGATCCAACTTCGGTCTCCATCATGTCAGACGGTTGTACCATGTTGCTCGACACAGGTTGGATAGCCCATAGAACCTTGAAGCTTTTACCTCCATCTCATTCTCTGACATCGGTACAAGAAAAGACAGAGGACAGACTCACCGGGAATTTCATATTCTTTGCGAGGAACCCCATTGTTCGCATACCCATCGGTTGACCAATCGGCCATCATGTTAATGTCTGGAGCCATTATTACAAGAACAGCGAAGAGTATCAGACGAAGAGAATCAGTCGCTTCGGTGGGCGAAGGCGAAGACGGTCGACTTGCGATTTGAGTTTATTTACAGTATCGATCAGCTCCGAATAGCCACGAAGACAAATGGTTTCCACAAAAGGGTATTGACGCAAGACTTGAGCCAGAGGATGTTGTTAGCAGCAGTGGGCTCATGTGAGACTCACGAGTCTATAAATGTCCCATTGAAGAGCGTATGTACCGCCATAAATTCTCCCACCCTGCCGGTTTTGCCCAGACATTTCTCGGACCGATGTAATCAAGACAATGAAGAATTTGGCAAGCCAATAGTCGATCGTGCCAACTTGAATACGAATCACAGAAGTAGGGCCATTGGTACACTAGAATGGACGAAACTTTGCAGTCGAGGAGTGGGGTTGCGGGGGATGCAATGGTGACGCCCTCGGTTGACAGCGGGTGATGTTATAGTTTTTGGATATCATCCGAGGCTATTGTGTGAGCTGACAGGGACATGTCGAGTGAGCGCATTGTGTAGAATAAAGTCCTCTGCCAATGTTGTGGTTGTGACTCGTCTCAATCCTCGTGTCATTCAAGACGAAGAGACACCGCACCCGAGCCAAGTGGGGATACTTGATATTCGGGTGGCCATAATACGGCCTGGTTTGTCCGAAGCCTTGCTGACTCGAAGGGCATCTGGCTTGGTGATGTCGATTAATAGGTCCCCTGCAAAGGAAGATCTCGAGAACTTCGTCCTACCGCTAAGGTGAATGGTCCACTGGGCATGACCCAATTCTGTTGAATAACAGACCAATAGCTCAAGTCTTTTCTCGTCAAGCTGAGATGGACAAGTTGATCAGAGCCTGGCTCAAGCTCGATTTTGGTAAAGTTGCGCAACACTTTCACAGGTGTCTCGATAACCTCTCCAGTTGACGGTTCCTGCGTCGACGGAGGAAACGACACATACAGTTGAACGACGGCTTTTCCTTTGCGGTGACCGCTATTCTTCACGCGTACTCGGACATCGACATAGTCTTCAAACAAGGCTGGATTGCCTCCTCCTCCACCTCCAGCTGGACTAGGTTTTTGCGCAATATCGTAGCCGTCTGGATATGGATATTTCCCTTGCTTGATCTGCCTCGCACTCGATATGTAAGGATAGATGTATTTTCGAAGCTTAGAAAAACCATTGGGGAACAGCGCGCTCTCAATTGGTGGTATGGTCTCGTCAAAGCTAGGCGGATCCAATGTGTCGGGCCTCGGTGAAGGGAGGGGAGATTTCGGCTTCAAGGCCGTAACTGCTAGCTCCGATAATTCGAATTGGGTGAACGATAATCCGTGACCAAAGGGATATCGAGGTTCGATGTTCTCCCTGTCAAAATGTCGATAGTCGATAAATAGGCCTTCTTTGAAGTCGACCTGGGGAATAATGGAGTTGGGATAGTAGAGAACAGGGGCCCCGGGACCGTAGTCCTTGAGACTTCTCCCAATGGTGTACGGAAGTCTCCCTGAGGCGTCAGTCCGGCCGAAGAGAACATCAGCAAGAGCGTTTCCACTTTCTTGGCCAGGAAGATTGGCGAAGAGGATAGCCTTGACGGCCTCCAAGTCGGCAAACTCATCAACGAGCACCGGGCCAACGGAATGAATGACGACTATGACAGGACCTCCACAGGCCTCGGCAACATTGCGAATCAAACGACTTCCGCCCTTTTGAATGTCCAGATCGTTTCGGTCTGCACGCTGTCTGTGCCAAATGCGATGACCTTCACCAGAGTCTGCATTGCCAAAGACAAAACACAGGTCCTGTTCCGCAAGTTTGTCTTTGAGATTGGAAGGAACAGTGTTTATGAGAGAGCTGGTAATCTCAACAGCGGTCCTATCGAAGCTTGCGTTCAATGCTGAAAGCGGATCAATCAGGTATGTGAAATCTGTGGCGCCAGAGCCCCAGCCGACCGCGAGAGTCCCTTGGTTGCATGCTCGATCCTCACAATAATTGGGGCCTTTACCGGGACCAGCATCCTCCCCGATTACAGCAACCCGCTTCACGCCGTTAGAACCCAAGTCGGAAAGTTCTGGGCTTAAAGGCAAAATCGAGTCGGTATTCTTCAGGAGCACGATCCCCTCATTTGCAACTTGTCGAGCAATGTCCCGGCTCTCATCGTTCTCGGCTTCGACAAATCTATTGACCACCACTTTTTCTTGCTTGCTGCTGCTTCCATGATGCAGGTACCCATATTCATCGCCCGTCCAGGAAGAAAAACTTGGTCCTTCTGAGGCCCCTGAATCTTGGCCCAACTGATACCAGGCCGCAACGACACGTGTTACCATATCATTCAGTCTCGTCATAGGAACTGAGCCGTTGAGCACTCCGATCGTGAGTTGATCACCGAAGAGCGGTTTCCCATCTGCCCAAAAGAGCCCATCTCCAGGCATGGACATGTCAAGGCCTGCCAGGGCACTGGCGACACCACTGCGTTGTGCTAGCCAATCAGACTGGACAAACCCTTGAAATCCGAGCTCATCTTTGAGGATACCATTGATCAATTTGCTATTCGCACAGGCGTAGGAATTGTTCACCATCTGATAAGAGCACATAATGCTCGCAACTCCAGCTCTCACACTCTCCGCGAATGGCCAAGCATATAGTTCGTGCATGGTTCGGTCATCGATGTTGGAAGAAAGAGCCTCTGGCAGCCCCCATTCAAAAGATCTCCGAAAATGTTCTTGCTCATTTCCCACGAAGTGCTTCGCGGTAGCAATAATGCCTTGGGATTGGATTCCCTGGATGGTCTCATATGCAGCAACGCCTTGGAGGACCGGATCACTGCCGAAGCCCTCCCAGACTCTACCGCCAGCAGGGTTTCGTCCAAGAGGTCCCATGGCAGGCCCGAGAAGGACGTGGACTCCTTTCAGTTTCGCCTGCCGTCCATGGGCCGCACCACGTTTGCGCATGAGATCACGATTCCAGGTGGCACCCACCGTGATGCCCGCCGGGAAGGAGGTGGCATGATCAGAGAACCGTATTCCCAAGGGACCATCCTGGAGACAGAGTCCTGGGAAGCCGACGTCCACGGCAGGAGCAGTGTTACCTACACATAAGTCCATGGCCCATCCTGTGCCCGTGGTGATGTTGACTTTCTCAGCCAGGCTCATACGCTCCACCATTTGGCGAGCCTTGTCGTAACTCTCCCGCCATGATGACAGAGTCCCTCCTCGTGGGGTAGGATACCATGGCGGTGATTGACCGTTGATCGGTCCTTTGGTGTAGACCCAATATCCACCCCCTCCAACGACGGAGGCGAATATGGTGAGGATGAGGATTGAGAAGGCGATGTAGGTTTTGGTCAGTCTGCGACCGGCACAGATGCGGCTGGCCACGGCTTCGGAATACTTGAAGGACTTGCCCTTCGTAGATCCCCGAGATCCCAATAAACGGCTTTCGCTTGGGTTGATGTAGGATTGGAGGGCCAAGGCCTTTGAGTTTTCATCCGACAGATCTCCGTCGTCAATATCGGTGGAGTTTGGGAGGAGCCAATAGCGAGAGCGGCTGGTCGACATCTCTTTTCGCTTTGGAGACGGAATTTTTCTTCGACCTCTACCGTAGCCGGCCACCCGATAGGCCAATCAATCTTGGGTCGAGGAAGTCGTGGAGAGAGGCTAGGAAGAGTTAGGAGGATCGCTCTCGATGGGCTTCTCAGCAACTAACAGCTCCGATCTACGGTACAGGTGACGGAGACAACAGGCTGGCGGCCAAGGGGCTGGTTCCTAGGGTTCTCCGGAATAGACAGCCGAGACCGAGGCAGTCGGAGGTCAATCGGCGGGCGGGAGAGAGGGACAAAAAGGATGAAGCGGCGAGAGACGACGCTGCCAGCGATAGGTGGAGGCAAGAGTTGACTAGGCAATAAATCGTAGTAAAAGCTCGGAGAATATGGCTTCTTAAGGGGCTGGAGAAGAGCAGCGAGGGCGACAAGGTCAGAGCTGAAGAAAAGGTCTTACGAGGCCGGCGGTATGAGGAAGTGGGTAGTATGAGGTCAGGTTGGAGTTGTGCAGCGAAGCAAAAGCTACAAACTTGTTTTGAGGCTCGTAAATATTTCCCTCGCTCCTGACTTTTTCTTACAAACCCTCTCCCCTTTTCACTTCAAGATCGTTCTCTGGTTCCGTCAAAGTCAAGTCAGTCGGTGAAACCATCCAGGCATTGGTCGAGTGACTGGCGCCCAACTGGGAGCACGAACCGAGTGCTTTGTTAGATATCCTTTCTGCAACCCTTTCCACGACCCGACCGAACCATGCTGGCATCTACTGCCTTCAAAAGAGCCCCAGTGCGAAGATTGGCTGCTGGTGCTTTAGTCGTACGAGTACCTACATCAGCAGTTCGCCAGTCACCCAGCTTTGTGCCTCTGCCCTCTAGAAACCCCCGAACGTCGCCCGCAATGGCCTCCTCCTTCTCGACCTCCGCCGCGAAAGGTTCCTCTGCTCCTTCGGCGGCACCCACACAGGAATACGATAAAGAAGTCACGGACATTGCTTCCTATGTCCACCACTACAAGATTGACTCAGACGTTGCTCTCGATACCTCCCGCTACATCCTCCTCGATACCATCGGCTGTGGCTTGGAGGCCCTGAGATTTCCACAATGTACGGCTATCCTCGGTCCGGTGGTCGAAGGCTCCACAGTGCCCAATGGAACTCGAGTGCCGGGCACACCATTCCAGCTGGATCCCGTGAACGGTGCTTTCAATATTGGTGCGATGATCCGATGGCTGGACTACAATGACTGCTGGTTGGCGGCGGAATGGGGCCATCCCTCGGACAACTTGGGTGCAATTCTCGCTGTTGCAGACTGGATTGCTCAAACCAACAGAGCTGGTGGTAATGTGGGCAATGGCAAGATCCCAACTATCAGAGATGTGTTGGAGGCCATGATCAAGGCCCATGAGATCCAGGGTTGCTTGGCTCTGGAGAACTCCTTCAATAGGGTCGGATTGGACCACGTCGTACTGGTCAAGGTCGCATCCGCCGCCGTGGTTAGCAAGCTGCTAGGGCTTAGCGAGGCTGAAACCGCAGCCGTTGTTTCTCAAGCCTTTGTTGATGGTCAGAGCTTGCGTACCTACCGACACTCGCCGAACACGATGTCCCGCAAGTCGTGGGCTGCCGGCGATGCTTGTCAAAGAGCTGTCAACCTTGCCTTCAAGGTCAAGCAAGGCCAGGCGGGAATTCCAACCGTCCTCTCCGCTCCCGTCTGGGGTTTCTACGACGTACTCTTCAAAGGAAAGAAATTCGAATTCCAGCGTCCTTACGGATCCTATGTCATGGAGAATGTTTTGTTCAAGGTGTCCTACCCTGCCGAGTTCCACTCCCAGACTGCCGTCGAAGCGGCCCAAAAGATCTACAAGATCCTCGCCGACAGGGGCAAGTCGGCCAAAGACATTAAGGAAATAACTAACCGCACCCACGAAGCATGCATCCGAATCATCGACAAGCAATTCAAGCCTATGGACAACTTCGCCGACAGGGATCATTGCGTTCAATACATGGTCGCTACAATGCTGTGCTTCAATCGTCTGGAAGCCACTGATTACGTTGATGGTAGCGAGGCGGCGACTTCTCCCCTGGTCGAGGATCTGCGCAAGAGGATCAAGTGTGTTGAGGACCCTCAGTTCACCAAGGACTACCATGACCCTGCCTTGAGAACAATCTCCAACGCTTTGACCGTCACTTTGAACGACGGAACTGTTCTCGACGAGGTGGTTGTAGAGGCGCCCCTTGGCCATCGTCTCCGACGCGACGAAGCTAAGCCAGAAATCCTTGCGAAATACAAGAGACACTTGAGCCATCACTTTCCGGAGTCGAAGATTATCGACCTTCTGCAACTGGGCACCGACGCCTCCAAGCTCGACTCGATGGATGTGGACAAGTACATGGACCTCTATGTCAAGGAGAAGATGGAGTGGTAAATGTCGGTACTGACTCATTGTTATTTTTGGGTGGATGGAACCCCCTATTAGTTTGACCAGCAAATCTCTGTGCAGTTAAGGCTGAGGTAGGTTTGTCCCAGGACGGAGTATTTAGATGAGAAAAGTACCGAGTTTGTAAATACTTTGTCACCCTCGCACGTAATCGATTTGTGTTTTCTATGGCGACATGTGCCAGAGAAGTCTACTTGTAACCGGGTATACTTCGCGCCCTCAGCCTTATGGAGTTCGAAACTCAAAGCAACAACCATCATGTGCAAATCGACACCTCAAGGAGGAGGCATATTTGTTACTAGTCAGGTCCTTTTCACTAAGAAAGGAATGAAATGACAGAAACTCAGATCTCTTAGCTTACATACTTGTCAGAACCCCGTTCGTGACACCAGCATTGGGCGTTATCAAACTATTGGTTTCCATGAGAGCAGACGCCAACAGTGAACGAAGCTCAGCTAGCCTTCACTTGCAGGAAATGCGAGTCAGTTCAAGGAAAGCACAGCAGGCCGATATGAAGTTCCTCTAGGGTAAAGGAGATGTTGAGTGCACAGATAGTACCCCAGATTTCTCCGCCAACTCAAGAACGCAACATTTGGAGACCTCATCCATTTGCGACATGGCTCCCAAACATTCTGAAGAGCAGTCTATGCATGGTGGCTGACTGCTCTCCATGCGCCGCCAAAAAGGTCTAGGAGAGTAAGCTTTAGGCCTGATGAGCATTGAGAACAGGTCGCTTATAAGAAGATTACCGTTCACCTTGGAGCGGCTTCACCGTGTTTTATTCGATGCTGCGACTTGCTAATCTGTCTTGCTACTTACCTATGGGCTGAAAGAGGCAGGTGGAAAACGAGGAGATTGATGTTTTTGGACGATGGTTATGACATCGACATCACATTTTCCCATGAGTGAGAAACAATTCCTGAGTTGTCCAGTCCATCAGGTCCACTAGCGAGAAGACTTTGTGGTCTGGAATCGATCACTTACGCCAGCTTCGTTACAGGAGATTCGCCGCAATGCCCGCCCAAAGTCAGTCTGACAACTTCAAGTATCACGTTACTGAGTAATGAGCTATCATTCTCCCGGAATGGGTACGTGCCTTGATAAACGAACGTCTTTTTAACCAGAATGCGCACTCCTACATTTTTGCCTTGATTCGGTAAGGGACGCACGTCTTGAACGCAGTCAACGCATCACTCGTTCCCACAATGCACACCTTGAAGCTATGAACGACTCAAAACATCGGGCCAATTGGCTGCCGCGCGAAGAGCTGGCGGTAGCGATATTGGGTTCCTAAACACTGCCGGAGACCCGAGATTCAGGAGGTGTCTCAATCACAGCAGCATATTGATAGATGGGACCATATGATGATCCCTTCCCATACCCGGTGAAGACCGATCTGGAAAACTGGGGAACGTGGATCCTCCGGCTTGCTGAACTCTGTATAAGGAAGAATTGCCACCCCCATCCTGAATGATTCGGGACAAATCTATCAAGGGAGATTCCCTGAGTGCACCTGGACTGACTCCTTGTCAACTCTGTACATTATGTGCCAGTCTACACAAGACGAAGACGTCTATATTCTTGCCAGGGACTATGATGCCTCCTGGAGGTGGGCTATACATCTGGCGTTGGTGTTGTTGTCTATGCGAATACTGAACAAGACACAAGGCTCTCTGGCTAGCACTTTTTGTTGGTGACGAGGAATGGCTAGCTTCTTCATCCCCAACTGCAGCGATTGCCCAGCAATCTGACGCCAAAATTGCAGATGTCGCAACTGGTAATGGGTGAACAGGGACATCTCGAAATGGGACACTGCGCAAGTTGCTTCGAAAGAGACTCAGGTGCTGACTTGTTCGCCAACATAGAATATGGGCCGCGCAACTTGCCATCGAACACCCGAACGCCCAGGTCATTGGACTTGACATCTCGGACAAGCAGTACCCGCCCTCCTGGTCGTGCCCCAAGAACCTGAAATTCAGCATCTACGATTGCCTAGGGCCACCACCAGACCAGTTCATCGGGTACCTTGATGTCATCCACATTCGTCTCCTCGCACCAGGATTGCGTGATGCTGCTGATTTCGAAACTGCAATAAACAATTTGCCCAAACTTCTCAGTAGATATCCCTCCCCTTCTTGCCACTATTTTTGTTCGATTGATATATGTATGTGTACTGACTCTATATTTGGCGATCAACAGAGCCCGGAGGATATATTCAGCGGCAAGAGGTCCTCTTCCCGGATGGCAAGCAATCGATCAATCTCTGGTTATCGACGACTCGGCATTTCCGTCATTTATTCAGGTCTTTGACCGTGCCACTAGCGGCCGTATCTCGATCCGCATGCGTTTCCGGCTCGAAGAGCTGGTCGCCCAGCATCCAGCCTTCACGGATGTTAAAAGGCAGGAACCCCCCCCTGGTCCCGTGGTTGATTAGGTACGAGACGGATTCGGTTTGCAGGACGTTGACGGAGATGCTGAGGAATGCGAGGTGCAATGTGGTGAGGGGCGGAGTGGACGGCGAAGAGAATCTCAGGCTCTTGAATGAGGAGCAGAGGTTGTTGGATGAGTATCTGAATAATGGGGGCTTGATGGCTCATAAGATTCATGTCGTTATGGCAAAGAAGGTGGGACCGTGAAGATACCTTGTGGCCCAGTATGAATAGATATATTCACGGGGACCATGCAATGACTTCTCATTGATGGAGAGGAACGAATAGATAGGGCTGAGATGCCACTCCCGGTTCCGCTAGACAAAAAGGCCGTTGGCACTAACAGGACATCACTTATCATCTCAATGTTGTAAATTCATCTCATTATTTGTTTGGTGTATGGTACTAAACACTTACGAAAAAATCACCCAATTCACCCTTGGGCGAAACCTTCTCATGAGCCCCTCGAGCATCCCAGCTTCTTTTCCAACCCCACGCTTCGTCCTTCTCCTTCCCATTCGACTTACCGCCCAGGACATTTACGACATACCTACCAATATTTGGGAGGAATTTCCAACTGTGGAACGACCCCGCGGTCGCGAAGTAGAGGTTTTTGAGGCGAGGATCAGGGTGTCGGGAAATCAATTGGTTCTGATCCGGCGAAACAGCGTCCCAGCACAGACGCCAAGCGTCAGGGACGCGATCATCGGTGAGGATCTGAGGGATGCGCTGGCGGATGAGGTCGATGGACTGCTGTTTCAGGGCCTCAGGCACAGCTTTTTGGTTCGGGGCTGGAACGGAGATCCGCTGGTTTGTGTCTGGGTGAAGACTCGTGTTAAGAAACGTGTTTGCATTGGTGAATTTGAACAGATTTTGCTCATTAGGGGGCATGACCTCGCCTTTCCCCCCGTAGATGAGCACAGGCATTTGGCCATAGAATCGGGTATCTTCCTCTGAGGATGATAGATCGAACGCAGCAACACATACACCGGCGGCCTGAATCTGCCGCTGAACGCTATCTGCTTCGGAAATGTTCATCGTCTTCTCTAACGGGGCCATTAACCATGGCGTCCACGCGCCCGTGGCCAACAGGATCTTGTCACCGGTGAATGTCCGCCCGTCGGCGGTGCGCACTGCGGTAAGCTTATTTGTTTCGTTACTGAGCAACAGCTCAGTCGCTTCTCCTACCTCGAAATTTATCCCCGCTTTAATCGCTTCGTTCATCATCACTTCTACCGCGGACGAGGCATCAGCCCAGCCCGCACTCGCATTGGTGTACGCTTTGTCATAATCCGTCGTGGCTAGGCCAGAGAGAACGCCGCCCCAATTGGATTTTACCTCGTCCAGCGAAATGTCTGCCGAGGTATCGGGACGACTGCTCTGACGAAAATTCCTGCGTATGCGCTCGGCCAGATCACTATTCTTCTCGTCCAGCATCACCCAGCCTGTCTGGTGGAAGTGTGGCTTCATGATTGGGTTGGTGGTCCAGTACTCCATGGCTTCATAAGCCAGGTCCATGTAGAAGGGCTTGCTATAATCGGCGCGGACGATCTTGTTGATGTCCGAAGACGCGGCGGAGGGCGAGGGAACAGGGGCGCGATCGAGCACCGTGATCCTCGAAGGGTTCGCGTGGCAGAGGGACAAGTGGTAGGCAGTGCTGGTTCCGAAGATCCCTGCGCCTACGATCAGGATCTCGCATCGTTGGTTCTCGACCGTGGAACCCATGATGTGTGTTTGGATTATCGAAATCAAAAATCAGTCAAGAGAGTCCTGGTGGGGGGTGTGGTGGACGATCATCAACGTGTGCATATTTCAAAAGACCGTGTCAACAATCAAGCCACTTACAGGCCCCAACGGTTAGTATGGGGCTAGCAACAGCTTTGTCGTTTTGCCTATGGCTGGACAAGAGTTGACAGGAGAGGAAGTCGTTTCTGCAGGTCTCCACCGCCACTTCATAAAGGTGAACGACACCGCCTTCGGCACCCAATTGGCAGTCCCCACCTCAAGTTTGTGCAATCTGGAGAACCTCGGTATCTCACCACAAACTTGATCTTGTACGGGGCGTCAAGGTCTCCCGTGTGGATGGCGGCCAGCTATCATGATGAAGTTGAGTGGAGTTCGTCGGCACATGTGTTCCTCCGGCTTCTGCAGTCGGGCTCACCAGGCTTCTCCGGTTTTCTTTTTTAGGAGGACTACAGAGTACTTCGGCCGTTGTTCGTCTTGTTGTGCTGATATCTAGACTAATATTCTTTCGCCTGAGCGCTCTGTCAGAAGGGGAGAGATCATTAGACTTGGAATAACGGGGAAGGCAGATCGTCTTCAACATCATGACCCTTGGTATGGATTCGGCTTACTGTCCTGTTTTTGTGATTGGCTGTGCTGACGACTCCTAATAGCGACGACCGCGGCCCTGGCTGCTGGCAGTTGGGCCGCGGCTGCCTATCTCGATGCGAAGTACCATTTTCGGAAAGATCTCAATGTCCTCTCTAGAATGAAAAAGGGTGAGAGAGAATATGCTCGTGTCGTTAAAGAGGACAAAGTCAGTCTGTGGTATGTCTTCGAGGAACAATGCAAGAAAAGCTGGAACTTCCGTGCCATCTGGTGGAGAGAGCGGTCGTATACCTTTGGGGAATTCTATGGAGAATGCGTCCGCTATGCACAATGGATGATTCAACAGGGTATCAAACCTGGAGAGCTGGTCGGGATGTACCTCACCAACTCCCCCGAATTCATGTTTATATGGTTCGCGACCATGGCGATTGGTGCCGCCCCCGCTTTCATCAATTTCAATCTCGAAGGGACAGCTTTGATCCACTGCTTGGAAGTCTGTCAAACAAAACTGCTCATCGTTGATGACAATGCCGGCTGTCAAAAGAGAATCAATGCGAGCAAATCAGACATTGAAGCCCGGGGTATGAAGATTGCCGTTCTCGACGGCAAATTGAAACAAGAGATATCCGTGATGCCTACCGAGAGACCAGGAGACGAGTGTCGTAAGGGCACCCAAGGCAGCTTTCCTTACTGCTTGATATACACCAGGTCAGTTGCCATTTCGCCTTGACACCCTCACCAATTTGTTAACCAATATCCTAGCGGTACCACGGGTCTTCCCAAAGGCTGTGCCTTCACCCTACAGCGAGTGTACTTGATGTGCGGCCACAACATCCCAATCTGTGATGGTGTACCAGGTCAGGATCGGTGGTACAACGCCATGCCCCTCTACCACGGCACGGGTGCGATTTCCACCTCTTGCGCGCTACTGCAAGGACTCGGTGTTGCGATTGCGCCCAAGTTCTCAGTCTCTCATTTCTGGAACGATATCCACGACTCAGAGTCGACGTTATTTATCTATGTTGGCGAAACCGCACGGTATCTTCTCAATGCACCACCCCATCCTCTTGAACGCAAGCACAAGCTTCGATGCGCTTATGGAAATGGTTTGAGGCCTGATGTGTGGGAGAAATTCCAAGCCCGATTCAATATCCCTGAGATCGGGGAATTTTTCAATTCCACAGAGGGAATGTTTGCGCTCCTGAATTACGATAAGGGCCCATATCTTCAAGCTTGCGTCGGTCATCACGGTCTCCTTCTTCGAATGCTCTTGCACCACGTCTATATCCCTGTCAAGATTGATCACGAGTCGGGGGATATTTGGCGAGATCCCAGGACTGGTTTTGCCAAGAGGACGTCTTATGATGAAGGTGGGGAGATGATCGTGGCCGTTCCCAGTAAAGAAGCATTTCAAGGCTACTGGCGATCTCAAAGTGCGACAGACAAGAAATTTTGCGTCGATGTGTTCAAGAAGGGAGATATCTACTATCGATCCGGCGATGCCCTTCGGAGAGATGCCGATGGGAAATGGTATTTTCTAGATCGTTTGGGGGATACATTCCGCTGGAAGTCCGAGAACGTGTCCACCGCAGAAGTGGCCCTGACAATCGGTCAATACCCTGGCATCGCCGAGGCCAATGTCTATGGCGTGCTTGTGCCCAACCATGAAGGCCGAGCCGGCTGTGCAGCCATTCATCTCGACCCGAACCACACCGGCCCTCCCGTGGATTATAACGAGCTCTTGAAATTTACTCGAGCCCGTCTTCCTCGGTACGCGGTACCTGTATTCTTGCGCATTGTGCGAGCGAGCACGCATATTCACAATCACAAGCAGAACAAAGTCCCGTTGCGCAAAGAGGGTGTCGATCCCCAGTTGATTGGTACAGAGGTACCCAACGGCAAGGATGACATCTTCTTGTGGGTACCACCCAAGGGAGAAAGTTATGTTCCGTTTACACCTAAGGATTGGGAAATTCTGGTTAATGGACAGGCAAGATTATAGCGATGGTTATGGTTTAGATGAAGGCATGCATGTATAGATGGGCGAGAAGATGCTGCATATGAATATCGTTTATATTTGCATCCCAAGATACAATCACATCACGTCAAATTGGGCATGCATATATCCGTGCATATCCTGCCTTAAAACGAAGCAGAATCCAGGAATGGATCACCCCTATTTCCTCCCCAATCCATCCTGGCTCTCGTGTCTTCCTTCCTCTTCCCTCCTCTGAGCAACCTTCTTCAAATCGGCGTGTTTCTCCGGCTCAAAACCATAGATAGGCCATTCAAACCCGATTGTCCTCTTTGCAATTGTTGGCAATGCTCTCCAAACCGCCCGCGGCATCGGGACCAAAATACTCGTACGGTCCGACCAGTTCTTATACTGGCGCCAGGACTCCCCGTCTGGTCCATCTGCCTCAAACTTCTTCTTGGCCCCCGGCCGTTCTTGGAGGGTCAAGCCCGACACGAAAAGCAAGAGGAACGTCAACAAGAACGGGCCTACGATACTCGCATACTGCGCGGCATACGCTCCCGTGTTGGCCGGCACATAGCCATATGCTGACGGCGAAATAGTCAGCGTGAAAATGCCAAACTGCAACAACATCTCGCCGAAATAATTCGGGTGTCTGCTCCAAGCGAACAAGCCAACGTCACACGTCCGTCCTTTATTCGCGCTATTCGAGCGGAACCGGTATTTCTGCACATCTGACACAGCTTCAATCATGAACCCGATCGCCCACATGACAGTGCCGACGATGTCGGCGGCAGTCCCGAATGGTGGCGCGGAATATTTGCTGGTGACGCTGGGCGAATTGAGTATGGACACGGGCAAACTGACGGTGTAGACCCAGAGCATTTGAAAGACCCAGAAGCCGAGGAAGGGGAAGAACTTATCGCGCTTGTCGTCGAAGCGGGTGTCGGTGCCAGTTTTGAGGATGCGGAAGAGTAAGAAGCCTGAAAGGCGGAAGGCCCAGAGTATGAGGAACAACGAGGAGAGGATCTGGCGCGTGGAATGCTGGCGGGAGAGGGAGAGGGAGAGGATCGCCAGGATGATGAAGTTGGTTCCGCCGGCGAAATCTGAAAGTTGAGAAAATTAGCATCGAGGAATATTCAGTTTTGGAATTCCTATTCGGAATCACAATGAGGTACACACAATTGTGATCGGGGGTTGTTGCCAAGGTTTTTCTCTTTCATCCCACTGACCATTTTGTTTCTCGATTTGGCTCCATCCAGATACACATCAGGACCTCGACTTACCGGTCAACTTGTCGAATTGAAATGTGAATGCGATGGAAAATCCCAGAAGCTGATATCCCACTGTCACCAGCAGCGTGATGGCTAGAAAGTAGTCGTCCAGTACATGAGGGACGCCCATCTTGGAAAGGGCTCGAGATATGCCCAAAAAGAAAGATGCAGGAATTGGAGCAATGTCCGCTTTAATAGGAGAGAAGCTAAAGGTATTGAGGGGACGGTCTTTGTGTCCTGCCCTGACCGACGGGCTGGAACAGCAAGGTGGGATCTGTTAAAATCAGTTTTCTGAATCTGAGTCGAAAGTTGAAGTTGTTCACATATGAAACAAACCCCGTCGTTTTAAATATCGACGTCCCAAACCTTTCTGACCACAGGCTATGAGGTTTATTCTGTACACCTCATTCACCATGTGTTGCGCCTCGTATGGACGTAGATGTCCATGCTGCCATGCCTGAGCTTGCAATTCCAAGCACTTTGACGGTCGTGGATGTCATTGTTTGGAGATCTGAAGCAGTTGGGAGAAGGCATGACGGCAAGACAAGTGGTGGTGGAAAAACGTTGTTCCGTGCTTGGAAGCCATGGAATGTGACATTCTTCCATGCGTCTGCGAGGTTTCGTCGTTACTATCTGGCTTTTGGAGTAAGATATGGGTGATAACTGACCTTAAAAGTAAGGTTATCCGGAATAGGGCACTCGTGGATGTGGACTAAATGGATGGTAAAACTGTCATCTCTGCCCCTTCTTCAACCGATACATCCTCATTTCTATATACGCCTGCCATCTAACAATTCTACGCTCTGGAGACAATATACTAACTCTCCTAACGCCGACTTTTGCTTGCACTTCTTGAAAGCGTCCTTCCTACGGCCTCTCATAATTCACAGCTTACTCTCTCTGCCTATTCCAGACAGACTACTGGTCGCCAACTTGCCCCGCGCCCAACTCACCGCGTAGGGATGATCTTCTCTCTTAACTACCCATTTATCGATCGCGCCGGTATTCACGTACTCAGGTGAACATTCATCCATGTTCGTGATACCATTGTTCCGCATGCCGACTTCGAATTCGTCCTTGAGGACGTCAATCAGATGTTCTACTCCTTCTTGTCCGTAGCCCGCGGCAAAGAGAGCGGGACGACCAATTCCCGCTGCCACGGCACCTAGACAGACGAGTTTCAGGATATCGGTACCGCGGCGAATGCCCCCGTCGACGAAGATGGAGAATGGCCTGGACAGACCAGACCGCACGGCTTTGGAGCGTGGGTGGTGCTGCTTGATGATCTCCGGGTAACGAGCGTGGATTTCCAACAGAACAAGTAGAGCCGGTGGCGAGGTGTCGAGGTTTCTTCCTCCATGGTTTGACAGGACTACACCTTCTAGTCCATGATCCAAGGCAAGTCGCACGTCGTCCGCGGACATAATTCCTTTCAAGACCAGAGGCAATTTCGTCTGTGTCCGCAACCACGCGATATCTTCCCAGTTGAGGTTCGGATCGATAAAGCTACCCATCAGACGACCATAGCCGCCACCTTTTTTGTCGTTTTTGGCCTTGGTGGTCATCATGGGGTTTTGAATTGACTCGTCGGCTTTTACTCGTTCGTCGGCTTCACGTTTTCCCGCCGCTGCGGCATCAGTGGTCACAAAAATACCGCGGATATTCCCGTGCTGGTGGATGCGTCGGAGCAGGGCTTCGGATTTGTGTCGTTGTCGGTCGACGTATAGCTGGAAGAAGAATGGATAGCCACGGACTTCGTGTTGCGACACGATTTCGCCGGCGGAATAGGATGCATTGTGTGATATACATTGTAGAACCGATTTTTCTTTGGCGGCTCGTCCGATTGCGAGCTCTCCGTCCGGATGGATCAGACGAGCCATGGCTGCTGGCGAAACCATGAGAGGAAAGGAGACGTGGAGGCCAAGAATTGTTGTTTCGGTATTGATTCGGTCGACTCGTCGCATTACTCGAGGGCGGAAGAGAACTTGGTTGAACAGCGATGCATTCAGGTCCTTAGTGATGAGATCGTTGCATGCTGAGCTGTAGAAAGCCCATGTTTTCGCGGTCGCACTGTTTTGAGCAGCCAGTTCGAAATCGTGGGCGTTTATCAATGATTCTAACGGTGGTTTCTCTGAAGAGGATGCTGGCTTTGCCGTGAGAGCTTCGTCGGGTAAAGGCTTGGCCCATTCTTCTGTGATGGTCGATTGATCAACTGTGCCTTTTAAGGCATCTGTCGGTAGACCATTCTTTATTATCGCTGGTGAATGTGTCTCGTTGTAGGTCTTTGAGGCATCACGACCAGCGTACTTGTATATGATGCCCGGCCCGCCCGGGTGCTCTGGAGCGAATTTGGTAATGTCCCATACCTGTCCATCAATGACTATCCAGCAATCAGTGTCTTTATTGTGAGCTGAGATTTCAGAGATCGGAATCTGCCGTTGTGCCATGTTTGGGAGTCCTCCCACAAAGTGGGAAGCTTTTTTGAAGTGAGAAAGATATGGGCAAAACAGAAGGAGAGGAGTATATCAATCGGGAGTACCTTGCATGAGAAGCTCCATTCAAGCATTTCGTACTCCATTAATTGGGGGTATCTTCCCGGCCGCCGGTGTACCGACGGGACCATCATTGGCCGCCATCCCATGCGTCGATACCAAAAAACTCATGAAGCGATCGATCGGACTCTCCTCCGGTGCGGAGGCCGAAGTCTCTCTGGAGAATTGACCACGTGACTTGAATTCGGTGGAATGGCCCCCGAGCTCTTCTCCACTCGAAAAAATAGGATGTCCGACATTGAAGGTTTCGCCCGATATGCGGCGCACGGCCGAATATATTTCAAATGACAGATTCCGTGCAGATTGAACTTCTTTCCATCGGAGTTCGCCCCTGAAGGCCGCTACCCCGAGTTTTTTTTTTTTTTTTTCCCTTACCATCATAGAACATGCATCGAACCTGATGCTGTCACGGGTCCGGATCTGTTCCAAGTCTAATCTCAAGCGACTCCTGAGACGTTCAGCCTCGTCGTCTCTCAATCCCTGGTCTCGTCAAACTTGGGCTGGTCAGAGTGAGTCACCCAAGTTTGCTGACCGGAGTCATTTCTGACCATCATAGACCAAATCTCTCAAAGATGGCTCGGTAGAGCTGCGACACCTCCGTGGGAATCAAGTCCGGCTCTTTACGTCACTATGGCTAATGAAACGAAGCCCTTGAGGTATGCAGACGTGCGTAGGCGGACGATTATTAAGGATTCAACTACTGAGGACAGCAGGTGGGGATCAATCTGGGAGATCCTGTGTTCCGAGGGTCGTACCACGGCAAAAAAGCACACGAAGATGACTTGGACGATGTCATCCAACGCGCCCTGGACGTGGGTTGCACCAAGATGATGATTACCGGTTCCAGTCTCAAAGAGTCACGCCATGCTGTTGAGATAGCTAAGCAATATCGTATGGCCAGAAGCTTGACATTTTGATCCATCTTGCTGACATTGTTTAAGCTGGCATTTGCTATGCGACTATTGGCGTGCACCCATGCGCTACGCAGGACTTTGACAACCACCCTGGCGGGCCTGATGTCTTAATCAAAGATTTACGAACTCTTGTCCTTGAAGCAAAGCAGAGTGGCCACGTGGTTGCATTTGGGGAAATAGGCCTGGATTATGATCGACTATTTCTGTCGCCCAAAGAGGTTCAACTGAAATATTTTGAGCTCCAACTCGATCTTGCAGAGGAGATGCAATTGCCGCTATTCCTCCATTCAAGGGCATGCGGCGAAGACTTCGAACGAATCATGTCTGCTCGGTTAGACAAGCTTCCCAAACGCGGACTGGTGCACAGTTTCACGGGGACTGTGCCCGAATTGGAGTCACTGGTCAAGCTGGGATTCGATATTGGGATCAACGGATGCAGTATGAAGACGGAGGAGAATTTGGAAGTGGTTAGAGCAGTTCCTCTGGATCGACTTCAGATCGAGACCGATGGCCCATGGTGTGAGATACGGGCTTCTCATGCCTCGTCGCAGCATCTCAAGGACGGGCCGGCCATCCCGAGAGCGGTGAAAAAGGAAAAATGGCAAAAAGGATTGATGGTCAAAGGGAGAAACGAGCCCGCGACCATCGTCCAAGTCGCCCATGTCATCGCCAAAGTAAAACGAATTTCGGTCGAGGAAGTCTGTGAAGCAGCATGGAGGAATTCAACCGAGATGTTTGGATTAGGCATTGATGCCCTACATTGACCATTTGAGTAATCAAGGCCGGTGAATAATCAACCGGATTGGTCATTACCTGGGGCGTAGAGTAGATATTAGACTGATCAGGAGAGAGGTGGCATGGCACACGTCATAGACGCCAGGTACATGAGCAGTCATATAGTCAATGGAACCTGACTCTGCTTCTGCATCAAGTTTTATGGGACTCTCATGCCTCAGTCCGAGTTGTCGGTATCAGCGGAGGAGCTTAGTCATCCGAGTTGGCGCACGGTGATTGGCTGACGACCTTCGCCGGTTCTCCGTGGCACGTGCCCTCCAGGTTCCGGCCCTGCCCTGCCAAATTCCCCTCCCCACGGTACTTCCGTTTTCTTCTCTTCGTCTCGTCTTTTTCTGCCATTCCCTCGCAATCAAAAAAATCCACTCATCCCAATTCCACTGGCTCTCATCCAATTTTCTTCTCCGCGCTGCCGCCTTGAGCTTTTCGCCCTCGCTCCTCGATCCTCGCCCTCTTTTTCGCCTCCGTCGTCGCGTTGTTTGCCTGCCTGCGACCAATTCTAACAACTGCTGACTGCGGATCCATCCAGGAACCCGGATTCATCAAATTCTCCCGCTAGCTGACCGCAACCCTCTTTCGGTCGATCCATTTCTCTTCCACTTCTTCTTCCTCTTCCTCTCCCTCAAATTTTCCTTTTCTTTTCTCTGCTCCTCCAATCATGATACTGCCTTATCCATTTGTCCAGAATTCTCTCATTATTCCTTCTGTGGTGCCCTCCATGCAGAGCTCTTCAGAAATCACCCTCACCATGGCTTCGCTCACCATCCAATCTTGTCACGACCGTTTCAGGTCAAGATAACTGTCTCATCCGATTCATACAAAATCCACCTGACCTCCCACCCTCCTTTCCGGGTCATCACGATCGAGCTAGCTTTGGCTTCGCCTGTGGATTTATCCGATACGGTCTCTACCGCCCTGGGGACACGTCTCTCCCAGCCAGGCTGTCCTAGCCTACCCATTGGTACAATCACCTCCGGTAAAATGTCCAACTAGTCGCATCAAAACACGTCCCCAAACTACCTCCACGGGCCAGGCGTTGCCTACTAGCACACCATTCCACAGGAACCTCCGATTTTCCTGCAAATATCTTGATCCAGCTACCATTCCCTTCCCCGAGACATCTCTCTTCATCCTTCAATACTCCAGGCGAACATCAGTCCCCGCATCGACAACGACTTGCATCGATCCTCGACAAAAGTCCTGACTCGCTGCATGGGCTTGACATCTGCAACTCTCGTCAACAAACCCAAAACAGTCACCCATTTACCGCTTCTCCTGCCGACGGAGACTACGCCGTTCGCCGAATCACTATCTCGTTGGAATTTTATTCGTCGGGTTGAGATGACGGAAGGCCACGCCAAAGTGCCTGGCCGCTGGGCAGACTCTGACGAAATCGCCGCATCTCTGGCTACTCTCGACCTCTCAACAAATTCAACAACAATCCAGCTCGACAAATCCCAACCTCCAACTCCAGATGGCTCAGGACGACCAGTCAACTTCCAAATTATTGCTCCTGGACTCTACCGGTCTAGCTATCCACTCTACGCACATTTCGAGACGTTAGCAGACCTCGAGCTGAAAACTATTGTCACCCTTGTCCCCGAACCACTCCCTTTCGACTATGAGAACTTCATCTCCTCCAACGGCATCGTCCATTACCAAATCCCCATCCTCGCCAATAAGGACCCCCACATTCACTCTTCGGACGAGACAGTCAACAAAGTTCTCAAACTTATGCTTGACCCGTCCCACTATCCAATGCTTATCCACTGCAACAAGGGGAGACACAGAACGGGCACTGTTGTGGCTTGCTTTCGCAAGGTGACTGGCTGGAGCTTGGATGCATGCATCGAAGAATACGAAAAGTATTCCAAGCCTAAGGATCGAGCTTTGGATAAGATCTTTATTGAACGCTTCGACGCTTCCACACTGAAACCACTGGCATTCTCACGAGGCTTTGTTGGTGGTGTCTACCGACAACCAGAGCGACCATCGACCAAATCTTCCATCTACACTACCAACACTGTCGAAACTGCCTATACCAGCGACGAGTCCGAAATCCCACCACATGATTACCAAGAACGAGTCAAGAAAGAGAAGGATGCGTTGCTCGAGTCGCCGAGGTTATGGTCGTATAAATAGCGATCCTGTACCGAGCGGAAACCCAGCACTAACGAAGGATCACATATGGGAGGCCTGTGCGATAGAGAGAACAGCGCAAGCGAAACTGGCGCCATGAGTCAACAAGCGGTGCAAAATTCATGAAGGTCATCATGACCCTTTCAACCAGAAGAAAGCGCGGCAGCCCAGGCCTAAGAAAGGCCGGTAAACCGACAGAATCTACAACAGGGAATTGTCATCGAGTGGAGAATGATATGTGTATTAGGAATGTTTTGACCACGAATTATGTTGGCCTCCGAACTATAGGAGAGAATAGGAAAAGGAAAGTGTGAAATGGAAAAAGAAAAGTCAATTTTGGGGAAACGGTGACAAAACACGCTCCGTTTCGCAATGGACTACATATGTCCAAACAGAAAACAGCAGGAATAGGGGATAGCATGGAATGAAAACGGTTTCTGGAAAACCTGTGGTGAGGGAGATCAGATCTAATGCCAGATCATAAAGATATCAGATCGATGTGGGAAACCCTTCCCCCCAAAATCTTCGACGTTAACCTTGGAATTTTGGATTTGTTTGCTTTTTCCCCCTTTTTCCTTTTTTTTAGAATCCACCCAACATCCACAGCCATGGTTTCTTCCGAACAGAGTTTCGGATGCGCAATGGGATGCCACCTCGAAGCCTGGTCTTCAGGTGGATCGGGCGTCCCATTCACCCATTCAAAGGAGAGGTCTTAATTCTCTTGTGACACATCGACATGTGGTGATTTGGACGGGACTGGACTGGACCAAGTCAGATCGGGTCAGATTCAAGTGAGTGACAATGATAACTTATTGAAATATCTCCAGCGCAGCAATGATAAGCTCGAAAAGAAAGCAAGAAAAAGGATGAGGAATTCATTTACAACAAATATGACCCATTTTTCCCTTGATTTCCTATGGAAGTTCTTTCTATACAGTGTGATTGTTTCTTCGAATAGGATTTTAAGCTAGAATAATCAAGACAGCAGTCCTGCAGGGGTGCCTCACAAAGGTGGCCCGTATCGATCACAATCCCGCAAACATCTCTTGAGCACTCTGACGACAGCGTCACGCTCGTTAGGGTCGTTGGTCTTCCAAACCTTACGCACCGAGTTCCATACCTCTTCTACCTGCCGCCGCGAACCTGTGCAGCGCGTGTAGGCGCGCAGAAGCCAGCAGACTAGAGGGCGGGTCGCTTGGACTTGGTGTGGTGATGTGGGTGGTAGGGGTCGTTGGTCTTTCTCGTCTTCGTGCTCATTCGCATCTTCATGTCTAGCATCGGAGCTTGCGTCTGGAGAGGAGGTACTGTCGTCCGCTCCGGAAGAGGAATTTTCGTGGGATTCTGTCGCATCAGAATCAGCATTTTGAGGAACTGTTGGTTGGTCAGATTCAGGAGAGTCGTTGCCTATATCCTTCGCCGGACGAGTTGGAAAAGTTGGCGATTCAAACTCATGATCACCCTCCCTTCTATATGGATGGATGAGTAGACTTGGTGACGGTAGTATATATTCGCCCTCTTCTTGATCTAGCGATCTTTCGCCCAATGGATAATACGTTTCTTGTTCCGATGGAGTAGACTCTTTTTGATTCTTGCTGAACAAGGACTTCCTTTTTTCCTCCTCTTCATCGAACAGCTGGGCATGAATTCGCTCGATATGTTTGCGCCGTTCATTCGGAAACAGAGCCAGATCCAGGACAAAGTCGTTCCATGTACTCAGGCGTTTGAAATGGGGTTGTTTTACAGATCCCTCTGAGTCGCTCTGCTGGACCAGTTCGTCATCGGTTGAAGGGTTGCTAATGTCTTGTATGGACGGAAGGGTCGGTTTCACTGGCTCTGCAGAACCACGCAGTCTTCGCGCTGCCTGTCCTCCTTTGAGGGCAGTTCGACATGCATCCCACACCATGTGAAGTCGTTTCACATTCCACGTTGCATCGGGGTTACTCGTGGCTCCGTGAAGAGCAAATCCCTTAAACAACAACTGATAGTGGATACTCTGAAATGGTAATCCGAATTTCTCGTACATTTCGTGCATCAAGACCGTAATTCGATTGAGATTTCCCGAAACGTTCACATGGTAAGAAATCATGGACCGATAAGTGACATGGTCTGGTGTGAGAGGCATCGCCTCTTGCAACTGTTTGTGATTGTCTGGTAAGAGATGCTGAAGTTTTGAAGCAAAAAGCAACACCCGACCAAGGGAATTAGATGCCATCTCGCGATCGATCAGCTCTGATCCAGGGCCGGGATATTGCTTGTACAAATAAGTCTGACCATCAGTTCGCTCGCCTCGTCGAAGTCCTCCCTGAAGACTTTTCATGCGTTCATATATCTGCTCTGCTGCCGCAGGCTCCTGGGCATTGTACAATGAGGTGATGACGCAGTTGAGAACCAGGGTATCGACGATCTCGCCTGCGTCAACAAAATCCCGATAGGCTTTCCGGACTGCGTCGCCATCGCCTCGTAATCCATGATAGTATATGATGCTGACACGACCGAGACGGTTGAGGCGAAGTCCACGTTCATGCATCTCTTTGAGCACCATTTGAGCAAGGGCATATTTATTTGCCCGGACCGCGATATCAAAAAGAATGTTGAACGTAACATGGTGAGATTTGACTCCGGCGTCGTTTTCCATTTGCCGCCACACTCGGAACGCTGCGGTCACCTCGGCCTGGGTGACTTTGGTGAACGATCTTCCCGCCAAATATATAGCAGACGCCCATTCCGACTTTGTAATTGGTAATTCGGCCCTTTGCATGTCGTCAATCAGTGATAGATATCTTATCATCGACTTTTCGCTCTTCTGCCAGGGTGTTGACATGCGCTGTAAAAATACTCGGACAATTCCGCGAGGAAGAAAAGCCACGCCAGGCCGTGGCAGCCTTTTGTATGCTTCAAAAAGTGCCGCATTGCTAGAATAGTCGTCGAGAAGCAAGTCCACAAAGGCTCGCGTAACGTCTACTTCTCGCAACATCCGCGACTTGATTCTGCTCTCAATTTCCTTTAAAGGGGACTCAAAACCTTCATCATTATTGTAGAATTCAGCATATGCCTGGGGTGGCGCAAAGTCTTCGGAGAGCTTGAAGCTGTAATCTTCAAGAAATATAGGAGTAGGTGACGAATCCGCTGATTCAGGGTCGAATCGACTGCGGTGGGTATAATAGTACAGATCCACAAGGTTTTTAAAATCGTCTTTTGACAGCACTACAGGCGAGTGCCGTGGTGGTAATGATGCAGGATGGTTCGATAAACGAGATTTCTTGTGTATTGAATCCGACAGGTCGGCTTTGGCTTTGGCTAGTTTCTCTTCGAGTGCTCTCACGGAGCGTAACAATCGAAATTGTTCGTTCAGTTGGGAGTCCGTGGGTTCAGCTCCATCTGGCCTTGGTTCCTGTTCAGCCTGCTGCATTCTCTTTTGCAGGCCATCCAAGTCGTGGAAAAAGGCGATTGGCAGTCGGGTTTGGGATGCGAATTCAAGAGCATTGGAGTCAAAAAAGCCCCAGGGATTCCCTTTGTCCTTACCGCGTTTTGCGTCTCCTTTGAAATGTTCCGTGCCTTTCTGGGCAGAAGGATGTTTTAGACAGGCGCTATTGCTCATGCTTCGACGTTGCTTCCCTAATACAATCCTACCCTTTGTGTATCCGCCTCTTCCCTCTTCTCCCGATCTCGTACCAATTGTAGGTCTGTTGAAGAAAGATTGGCTCCCTGTCGCTGCTTTCGCCGAGTTCGACGTTCCACCATGATGGCCTCGTGTTGCCAATGACAAGGCTGTGTAGAAGAGGGATTCCACTGATTCAAAGGCTCGCCTTTGTAAAGCGGTAGAGAACGATCGGTCGACATGTCGCGGACGGGTGCGAGTCGAGCAGAGAGCAGGCGCAAGGAAATCGCAGCAGGCCAGAGGTACTATTGAGGGCACATGAGGAATGCTCCTGCGTGCGGCAAATTTGTGAGGTCGATGCATAGGCCGGTCAGCATTTTGTCACGAGGACATTTTAAAATTGGGTAAATGATCATAAAGAAGTAATGACTTGTCGAGATTGTTTAATGTTGCGCTCTCGAAAATTGTAGGAATATCGAAGTTCTCCAGGTAATTAGCGCAACTGGTCCTTCGAATTTCATCCCCATTTTGGGAACAAACATGATGCCGCCCTGTCCTCACGCAAACCCGCTTATCTCCGTAGAATTCCCCCTATCCCGCACTATATTCCGAACATGAAAGTCCTCCTGAACCATAAAACCATAGTGGGTGCAATTCGAGGTGTACAAACTCGGGATGCTAAAGGAACAGCGACGGACACACTCCGACATCAGCTTGTTGATGTCAAGCAAAGCAACGCGCTTGCCGACACAGATGCGAATCCCGTAGCCGAACTGGAAGCATCTGTCAGTATCTGCATGTTGCAAAAGTGCATTCTTGCCGCAGCTACGTACACTGGTAATGTGGCGTTCCATTGCAGACTTGTTGTCTTCAGACCATCTTCGAGTCCGACATCTCCGGCATCCTTCCCAAAGATCGACTGGTCTCTATGTATGACATACGAGTTGATACCCAGAGCTATCTACAGAAGATTTTAGCCAAAATCGCCGCAATCATTTGGCGCGGAGAAGACAAACTATGCTAGGGGAGAAATGTGTCTCCGATTGTAACTAACTCCTGCTTGAGGAACGACTCGGACCTGGCTATGACCCATGCTCAGATTGGATCTCATCGCTTCCTTAATGCACGCATGAAGGTAAGGCAATTCACCAGCCTCAGGACAAGTGGCACACGTAGATAGCCGGCTAGCTTTTGCCGTATCCTCCCGCCCTTTGAGTAAACTTGTCCCAGCTGCGTCTGATGGTGATGAGATTGTATAGAATGCCCACAAAGCCATGCTTATCGTATCAGAGACCCTCAATGTCGCGAGGATCTGAACGTCAGGATTGTCGAATTCCTCCGAGTATAATCCTAGGAGGTTTATGGCGATTGTTGAAGTACCTTACCTCGACCTTCGGAACAGAAGAGCAGATTAGGGGTTTTGCTGCTACGCTTGTCGCAATGAGTTCGGGAACCTCAGACACTCGAGACGTCAATTCCTGATCACTGGCTTCAGACGACACATGCGGCAGTGTGGCGAAGTGGTCGACAACGAACACATAGGCGCAACTGGCGGGGTCGACGACGACCAACAAGTGAGTGTAGCGGGCGAAGAAGACCACTGAGGAACTCGAAATTCCAAAAGGGAATTCTAATCTCACGGCGATCGAGACAGAATAGTGCTTCTTTGCTTCATTGGGCAAGATTTTGCCGAATGCTGAATATCATTGCACAGTTGTCCGGTCAAGATGCTTTGAGGAACTTGCATCTGCTAGGCATGTTACACGGTGATGTGAACAGACACAATTTTCTTGTACGCGAAGCTGATGGACGGACAACTGTTACAATTGTTGATCTTGAAAATGCATCGGAGCGTACCAAGGCTGGGGCGTTTGAACAAGAATGACCTACAGAGACGCCCTCCCTGTATGGCGTTATCCATCGTATATCCGCCAAAAGAGGCATCAATATCGCCTACCATTGATTAAGTAGTTTCTTAACACTCTTCATCTACAGCCTACCAATTTCCAGTCAGTTTCGCCAATTGCAAATTCATCACAGCATTGCGGCCGCTCACGGCCTGGGCCTTCTGGTTGAAAGACTTCTTGCCTCAGCAGATTTCCATAGCGTGTAAATACTGTGTGACAGGCGATCCTTCAGGCTGAAAGGAGATCTGACTCAACTTCTCGAGAACTTCTCCACGTAGACCTTAGAACAGCAATTCATTTACCTGGCTAGCTTTACTCAAACCAATTCCCCATCCTCATCCTCAGTAAGCTTAATATCCCTCGCCATTGCCTCCGCAAGCATCTGCACCTCCTTTGATCCCTCGACAAGACCTTTCTCATTTTGTGCCTTTTGCACGAAGTCTCAGCCCTCTTTCTCATACGCACCAGGCTTGCAAATAGATAAATCCAAATCAAATCAAGTCATGATGCTAGATTTATTTATAAAAATTCTGTCCAGTCAGCGCTCACCAGCATTAGGCAATATTTGCCCCAATTAAGCTGAAAATCGCATATATCGTAATCCTTATGGCTTGCGCGATCCTTCATCCGTATCGCTATACTGGCGATATAGGACTTAGGGCGCAAATCCCAAAAAGAAAGAACCCCTCCTATAGTCCATCCCTGACGAACTTATAAATGGGGCGCCACAGCCAGTGAAAGCTTCAGCCACACAAGTTCAACTGCAGAAGTTTGAATCAGTGGCCTCCCAACAGTATGAACAAGACGACATCATGAACAATCACCGGCTGGAGCATTACGTTTACCCATCTAGGGCACCTAGAAAGCTAGGCCGGACAACCCTCTTACCTTACCCACGATTTGGTGTCAATTTGGAGGGAAATTCTGCAGAATAAAATATAAACCTTAACGTTAAATTTTTTTTTCCTTTTAAATTCGCCTTGTTGCGGCTTGGCGTTGTGTGGCGACGCCAAGACCGTAATGTTGGCCAATCATGTTTGTCACTGGCTTGGCACCTCACGTGAGCACGTAGGCATGTTGTAGCGGCGGAAAGAGAATGTATGAACTATTACTGAATGAACCGACGGACATCGGTAGAAATAATGTAGTATAGTAGCTAGTCCCCTATGGGCTTAGCCCGCACAGGGTGTGTGAATATCGTATCGTATCGTATGAACTATCTGCTGGGGGTGGCCGCTTTATATTTGTTCCGTAAACGAATGTAGTTTAGCGTAAGCCAGAGCCCTTGGCAGAAATCCACAGGCACTCCCCTCGCAGTACCGTCATCGGATCCAATCCATGGACCATGTGGCCGAGCGGGCACCCTACTCGATAGATGTCGATATCCTCGATATCGAGATGGGCCACGGATCGGATCCAGTCTGTGGACCACCCAGAGAAGCTCTACTGATCACCCTCGAGATGGTTCGTAGCCTAGCGCGAGCGGACGATGTCGAGATGACCCATGGATTGGATCCGATGGGTCGTGGTATTTCATCGGATCCAGTCTGTGGACCACCTAGCGCAATGCATATCATCTTGGGAGAAAAGTGGGGCTATCCAAATATCCAAATCGATTCAAATCGATCCTTTCGATTTGATTTATTTGTTTGTAGGCCTGATCTGGAACTTTGGAACGAAATGAGAAGGGCGCTGTCGCTAGCTAAAGCAGGATTGGAGAGGTTAAGAGAGGTTCAGCTTTGGTGTGCATAGAACAATAAGGCCAATACAGTAGCTGATTGCTGGGACGATGCGTACTGTAGCTGGAAGTCACGCGCTGAACTCATCAATTAAGGCGACATCAGCAGCGGCCGGCGCATTTAATCTCATTGCGGGAGAGTCAGGGAGAGGGCTCGCCAGCAGGCTACAACGACGTCAAAAGGACTATCTATCTATATAGGTGCAAGGGGGACATCGACTTCCACGCTTGGAAGTCGAATAGGGGTATCCTGCGTAACGCATGCTACATACCGGTATATTCCAGACATCAGTTCACGAAGAGACACCGGTAAATTGCTGTAGGGTCCAGTAACAATTATGTACAGTCGTTCCCAAAACCTCCCTCCCTTCAAGGAACACATTGCAACTTTCTCCAAATAAAGCAAAGAACAGCAGTGGGTCACGCTTGCCTGCGTTGACAAGTAGTATTATGTTCCATTTCATTCACCAATCGCGAATGTCTAGATGAATCCTGCAACCACGTGACATGTCTTGGCCGTGGCCTCATACCTTCCTGGCAGACTTGATCAACCGCCTGTTCTTTTCAATAAGTCCATCGGGTCATTCTCTACCTTCAAGGCGGATTTAAGGATTATGCTTAAACTCTTCATCCACTCGAACTATGAACTTATGGTTGACAGGCGAGTTCTAGACCACAAGACTCGGCTAGGAACCCAAGCACCAGAGTGCTAGCCTAACTGACCTGCAATCTACAAGATCCCCCTGTCCAATCGAGACTATGGCAGCTACGACCAAAAAAACACTCAAGCACGGCGAATATACAGTCGCAATCATATGCCCGCTGGAGGTAGAAATGAGCGCCGTCCGGTACATGCTTGACGACGAGCACGCCCGGCTACCGAGCAAGGCCGGTGATTCAAATCGATACATTTTCGGCGAGATGAGTGGACACAATGTGGTCATCGGATTCTTGCCGGAGGGCTCTCAAGGAATTGGTACTGCCGCCACGGTGGCCACGGATATGAGGCGTACATTTCCTACCTGCCGCCTGCGCCTGCTCGTGGGCATCGGCGGAGGGGTGCCGAGTCACACGAATGACGTTCGTCTAGGTGATGTGGTGGTGGGGATGCCCTCTGGCACACATGGAGGTGTGGTCCAGTACGATCTAGTGAAAGAGACGATAACGGGATTCGAGCAGAAAGGGTCTCTAGATGCTCCACCGAAGAGTTGGCGGGATGCTGTTGTGGAAATGAAGTCGGATCATCGAGTCAAGAAGAATCGAATATCCGAATTCTTGTCGGAAATGGTACACCGATACCCTCAATTGAGCACGTATCGGCCTCCAGCTTCAGAGAAGGATATCCTTTTCCTACCCGATAATGTACATGTGTCTGGCCAGATGACCTGCAAGGAATGTGACAAAGGTCGGGTGGTTGAGAGGACTACTCGACATTCAGATAGTCCAACCATCTTCTATGGGCTAATCGCGTCAGGGAATCGAGTGATGGAGAACGCGAAAACGAGAGACCGGGTCAGTAACGATGCGGGCGGTGTCCTTTGCTTCGAGATGGAGGCGGCAGGATTGGTGAATGACTTTCAGTGTATCGTCGTTCGAGGCATTGCTGACTACGCGGACTCGCATAAGAATGATGATTGGCGCGCATACGGGGCCGCAGTGGCAGCCGGATGCGCGAAAGAGCTTCTGACGTACATGGTGCCCGTTATTGGTACGTCGAAACCCTAATGAGACGATTTGACGGAGAGTTTCGTTTCTCGAGTCATGATTTACTCGAAGCCCATGCGCTGTCTAATAATCATAAAGAAATTTCTTATCATTAGCGAAACAAGAGCATCTAACGTGTACGACGATAGAGACCAGACCTGCGCAGTATTCCACCATTCCCTACCAAAGAGTTAAAGACTTTATTGGTCGAGACGAACAGTTAACTCAGATCGCTTCCTACTTTTCGTCTCCCAATGTTAACCGACCTCGAATCCTGATCCTTCACGCAATGGGAGGACAAGGTAAGAGCCAGATCGCTCTCGAATATTGTCGGCAAACGAATACAGTCTATCGGGGTCTCTTTTGGGTCAACGCTCGGTCGGAGTCCACAGCGGTACAGTCGTATGTCACCATTGCCCAAGTGCTCGATGCATCGGCGGCGGCGTCATTGAACGATACCGAGAAAGTGAACTTCGTCCTTCGGGCCCTCGCGCACTGGGAAGAACGATGGTTAGTGGTGTTTGATAACTATGACGATCCCACAGTCTTTCCATTTCCACAGATCTTAACGTTTCTTCCGACTGGTATGTCTCTGCTTCTGTGATGCTAATCTCCACTGACTCTAACCATAGGAGGCCAAGGGGATATCCTCTTCACTAGTAGGCATCGCGGTTTAGAACGCTTAGGGAAAGTTCTCGACGTTCCACCGCTACCGAGCAAGGACGGTGTTAACCTCTTACTACGAGACTTTAAGGGGGTCAACCTAGAGAACTATATGTCGGAGGCGTCGCGAATTGTTGATCGACTTGGGGGTCTTGCCTTGGCTATTGATCAAGCCGCTGCGTACATCCAATATCGCCAGTTAGCTATTGATCACCTCGACGAGTTTTTGAAGACCTACGAGAAAGAGCAAGAGAAAGTCCTCCAGTATACCCCCGAGGATATCTGGGAGTATGGGGCGATGCGCATGGAGAAGGGGGCTCAGGAGAAAGCGGGATCAGCGTTCACAACATGGGATATGTCGTTGCGGCAGCTCTCCCAAGGGGAAGCGGAACGATCGGCGGCAGTGGCTCACTTCTTCGCTCTCTCCGCATTCCTCGCACCTGCTACGGTTAGTGAGTCGATATTTCGTCATTATTGGGAGTCGATCGATCCTCCACCGAAATGGATCCAGATCTTCACTACCACCAAGGATACCGACTCGGACGAGGAAGGCACAGAGAGCAACATAGAAGTGGAACTCGATAATCCAGGTCAGTCTGGAGATCCCCAAAATCGATCCTTTAAAGAAATTACCCAGGCAGTCGGTCGACCACACATTAACTCGACCTGGGACCATGATCATTTCTGGGGGTTAATCTTTAGAGCAAATCGGTTATCGTTAGTTCAATCCATCTCTCACGGCTCAGAACCAGACGGAGCGACCTTCTCTTTACACCCGCTTATTCGCGACTGGCTCCAGCTTCGAGAAAAACGTCGGCAGCGTCGAGGGTTCACAAGTGAAAGTATCGAGATGGTCGTTAGTTCCATCCGCGTGTTTAAGAATCGTGGAACGGCTGCCCGAATCAAGAAATCCCTTCTCCTTCACATGGATACCTGTCTTCGGAACGATATCGAGTTCTCGAAAGTGGGGCATCGATTGGGAGAGGAGATGAACAATTGTGACGCGGCCAACTGCTTTGCCGAATTCTATTATGAGCAGGGCCGATATGAGTCAACCTTTCTGTTAGAATCGATGGTGCAGAAGACCATGATGAAAATACACGGGAAAGAGCATCCCGACACACTGACGTGCATGAGCAACCTGGCATTGGTGCTAAGCCATCAAGGCAAGTACGATGAGGCGGAGCAGATGCATCGAGACGTACTGGGGATCAGACAGAAGGTGCCGGGGATGGAGCATCCCGACGCACTG